CCTAGCTTCTAGTATTCTATTAGATAACTAGTCTTATAGTATCTAAAGTATAGTATAGTCTAACTTATACCGACTATCTACGTCATTCTATAACAATTTCTTATAATCTTTACACCGCAATAGAGGATTAGCTTTATTCTCTCTTCTAGCTTTATATAAGATTTTAAAGTTAAATATTAATATCTACTTAGCCTAACGTACTTATTAGCAATTAAGAACCTTAGTCAATATAAAGTAACATAGATTTATATAATCCGATAATAATTTAATCTAATATATAGAGCCTTCTAAATAATATTACTATTACTTAAAACTCTTAATAATTATAAGTAGTTTCTAGTTATACATGTTATAACGTATCTCTATATCCGCTATTTTATAGAAAAAGAAGGCGACCGGGTACTATTATACCTTATCTTTCGTATCTTTATATAGTTAACTAATAATTCTAGTAATTATAAATTCTAACGCGTTAGTTTTAACCTAAATATACTTCTTAGGATTAAAATACCTAAGAATTAGCGTAGTTATAAAGTAATTCTTTAATAATCGGAACGTATCTCGCGCTTCCGGTATTAACTATATCTTAACCGACTTAGCTTTACGCTATACTCGCCTATCTATAGAGATTTTACCGCTATTCTCTATAAGTTTATTAAGCGGCGCCGTAATTCGTAAGAAGTCTATAATAAATTTACGATAATAGTTTACGAAACCTATGAATATTCTAATTTAACGTATAGTAGTAGGTTCTAGCCATTCTATAATGGTCTTTACACGCTCCGGCTCTATTTTTAGGCCGCCATATATTATAATAAAGCCGAGAAACCTAACTTCTTATTAGTGAAACTCGTATTTAGATAATTTTACGTAGAGTTTATACTACCTTAAATAATTTAGTACCGATTTCACGTGTCCTTTATAATCCTACATGCTATTAGAGTAAATTAGTATATTATCGAGATAAACTACGTAAATCACGTTAAGTAATCCTACGAGTATAGTATTAATGTATCCTTAAAACGCTCCTAGCGTATTTATTAGCCCGAATGGTATAATAGTATACTTAAAATAACTATATCTAGTCCGAAATGTAGTTTTCCACTTATCTCCGCGACGAATTCGAAGCTAGTAATATATATCTTATAAATCTAGCTTCGTAAAGTACTTTACCTTCATTAATTAGTCTAAAGATTTACTAACTAGCGGTAATGGGTAACGATTCTTCTTAGTCACTATATTTAGTATCTAATAGTCGATATATAGACGTAAACTTCTATCTTTCTTCTTTATAAAGAGAATAGATACACCGGCCGATAACGTACTACGACGTATCCAGCCTCTTTTAAGGTATTCTTTAATATATTTACGAAGAACTTCAAGTTCTAGTCTTAAAAGTAGGTAAAGTAGACTATAAGGGACGTCTACTCTCTCTTCGAGCTTGATCTTTAGCTTATACGGCCCGTAATTAGGGAGAAGTAATGTATCTCCTACCGAAAATACATCTATATACTATGAATATACGTCGGGTAGCGTGTCTTCGCCCTAATTATTACTATTATCCTTATCTTTATCGACGATTAATAAGGACGTAAGATAGATTAGTAACGATCGGGTCCGTACGGCGAGGTTCTATACCTCCTTACTAATAGTTATAACTTACTAGTATAATTTACTACGGTATCGTCGGAACGTTAATATCTCCTTCTAAAAATTAAGAATATAGTTTAGGTATCTAAGCTAAGGCATCCCTAGAATCATATTCTATTAGCTAATATTAGCTACGATAAATTTATTAGATATCTACTATTTTATTATCTTCGAGTCATGAACTTCGTAATTCGTTATAGCTTTATCTAAAGTTCTAACTTCATATCTGTTAACTACGATAGTTCGACTAACTTTACCGAGATCATACGATAATCTATACTCCTTTACGAGAATCGACGAAATATAGTTATCTTCTATACTAGTGTCTACGAGGGCCTATATAGTTTTATTACCATTTACTATAGATAATAATACTTTTAGTAATATTAGGTCTTTACTCGCCGGAAGGCGCTACGGCTTCTCCTAAGTATATATAATTTAGCTAAGAACACGGTTAGATCTCGTGTACTAGCCTATTCTTTTTTTAGATTCTTATAGTTAGGCGAAATATATCCTATTTCTCTATACTTATAGTAACGAAGTGCGCTATAATCCTACTATTTTACGATAGGCGTTATATTTAAGCCTATACCTTATTCTTTTCCGTGTTAAGAAGCACCGCCTCGATTATTTTAGTATCCTCTTAACGCGTTTCTACCCCGATTTATACTCTTCTAGCGCTAATCGCGGTAAGGTTACTCTTAATCGAACGTATTCGATCGACCTCGTTTCTAACCCGTATAGGGTTCGTCGGTTTTACCTAGAGAGCCGCGTTCCTTAAGGATATAGTAGTATTTATTAGCTTTCTCCTCTAATTCGTATAGATAGTTAAAACTTAATAATACTATTCCTAGTCTTTCGTGGATTAACAGAAGTAGTACTTCGCGAAACTAGAATATACAAATATTTTCCTATAGCATAGGGATATTATCCTATAGGTTTTAGAGGTATTATAGTAGTTAAGTAGGTGTCTAGTTCGGTCGTTATACCACGCTTCTTAACTTAGATAGTGCCTTTCTTTCACGTTCTCTATCCGTTCCGAGGGTGTTTAGTATAAATATAGCTAAATATTCCTAGGTTATCGTAGATAGTGGCTACACTTCCTTCTATCTATTCTATTAATCGCGGGATTATAAGCCTAGGTATCGTTCTCCGAACGAAATGTGTTATACTTTAGTAGAAAAGAGTAGAGGGTTATTAAGGAAGTACTTTTCGTAGTCTCTCTTCTAGTCTTTCTACTCCTTTTAGTTCTTCCCTATAAATATAGTTGGGTCTTTAGATTTTAGTATACCTAGGGAAGAAGTAGAGTAAATCGGTAACGAAGCGGCTGGGTATACGGTAGATTATCGTAACTCTAATAGTAGGTGAACTAATTCCGCCTGAATTAGTATAGGAAGTCGTTCACCTACTATCGTTTGGCGTAGTTCTTTAAGAGACTTCTTAAGTTCTCGTCTCTTTACGAGGAGTTTCGCGCGTTCTATCTATTCTTTAAGGGTTTAAATCTCTCGAGTCTAATTCGCGACGTATTCCTAAAGTTTAGCGATAGTTTATTATAATACCTCGCGTGGCTCCGCCACGACTCGTTATCCGGCTTTATATTATTAGAAGTTACTTAGTATATCTACTATTTCTTCGTCTAAAAGCTCCGTGATTTAGTCTAATATTTCTACTTCTTAGTTAGAAACGGCTAGGATTAATACTAATTATAGAGGATCCCTATTATTTAATATAGTATTACTTATCCCTATAGTAGATCGTGTTAACCTTCTCGGTTCTAGTTAGACTATCTTAACTATAGTACTATATAGGGAGTAATTCGAATATAAGAATAGGGTTATTAGATAGTAGTATAGTTAGATAGAATAATAGGGTATATTCTATTATAGAACGAATTACTACCGAACCCTTTTGGTAGGAATCCGAGAGTATATATATAAAGAGACGCCGATCTATCTAGCACGTGACTATTTACCGCCCTTTACGTTACCTCCTAACCCTGTTAGCTAAGGTACGTGTAGGTCGGGTCCTACCTAAGGCTAAGTCCTAATAGAGAAAGCTAGAGTCTACTTGGCTTCCTTAAGATAAGGGACGGAGTACGCTATTAAAAAGGGGCTTACTTAGCTTTATTAAGTAAGGAGAGAGTAGTAGTATAGACATAGTACGCTAGCGTTAAGTATATCTAGGGTCTACCCTTAATAAGTAGATATTCTTCTATAACTCTATTATAGCTAATAAGCTATTAGAGATCTTTATCTTTAGTATTTATACTAGCTATTCTAACTATAGATCTTTAATACTAACTTTAGTATAGAATCTAATTATTATATAAGCTACTAATTAGCCTATTTAAATATAGAAGAATCGCGCTATATATAATAGTACTCTTACTCTAGTTATTATACGCCGTAGTACCCTTAAGGCTAAGACTCTCTTATTATAGCGGGCTTTATATTTAAAGGCCTTTATTATCTACTCTTATAGTTAGTAATATCTTCTTTAGAATTAGTTATTATATATATACTAATATTAAATCTAGGGTTTAAGAATACTATACTATATAATAGGTATATTTATATCTATAATAGTATAAATAAATTTAAGATATATATAGGCTATATTAGTCTATATAGCTACTTTAATAATATCTACTCTAACTATATATATACTAAAGTAATTACCCGCTATAATAAGAATTATAAGATTAAGAATATAAAGAATCTCTTATATAATAAGTTTATATACTATTTCTCTAATAGTCTACTATAGCTCTATCTATCTTTAGTTAGTAAGTATATAGTAGATAGCCTTAGTAGCTCTCCTAGTATAAAATATATTATATAATCTTAGAAAAAAACTAGTTAATATAGATTTCTAGGGAGATAGGTATTATATAATATATAAAGGTTATATTATAAATATATAGTAGTAGAAATTAAAGAAATCTATACTTAAATCCTATAGAAATCTTAAGCTAATAACTTTATCTAATTAATACTATTAGGTCTAGAAGGGACTTCTATAGAAAATAGCTATAGAGACTTCTAACTTCTAACTTTAACTTCTGACTTTTAAGTTTTAGAAGTGTGGCCCGCTAACACATACCGTCCACAATATGATACTCGCGTATCGACCCGTACTGCAAGATCAGCCGAAGAGGGCTCGTGCTTTTGCGGATTTCGACCGTTCCGGTATTGTCGGAGCGATTGCCATTGTGTCCGCCCGACAAATCGTCACTCTCACAGCTTCACCTTTAGGCTGCAAAACTGCGCCAGGGTCTGGTGCCATGCGCCAGCCAGCATTTATACCTCGTCTTCGAATCTCATAACTGCCAGCGCTTCGGTAAACGTCTTATGGCCAACAACTTAATGATACCGCCAAATCTGGCGGTCGCGACTCCGCAACCATCTTTGACGCCGCGAGACCTCCCGTTGAATTTGATTGCGCTCATCATACAACATGTGCGTCTGCAGCATAATTGTATAGATCTGATATGTACTTACGATGTTGCACTAGATGGACGACCTAGGCGATATAGCACGGCTTACCTGTACATGTCGCCTTCTATATTACATGGCTCTTCCGAAGCTTTGGGAACGCGTTACGCTTCGGTCATATACAGAGGTTAGATATATGGATGGGGTACCAGAAGGCTTCGGAAGTGGCTCGCCGTTTGCTATGGGTATCAACTCGCTGGTCACAGGCAATGTAGCTGCGTACGTCAAGAGCTTTGCTTTGACCGGAGAATGGACAGAGCTGAACATGGACGAATATACGAAAGGCAGAGTTCCAGACAACGCTATGATGTTGAACATCTCGCTTCGAGCAGCATTGGACAAGATGCCGGAATTAGAGACTTTCAAGTAGGCACTAGCACAAATCGTTACTCGGCATTACTGATATAGACGCAGGTGGGAGTTGAATCCTAAACTTTCGCTCAACGTGTATCAAGGCCTAGCCCAAAGACCGAAGCTGAGCTCCCTTACACTGCGTTTCCCTTCTACTCGAATGGCGAGACCAACTACTACGATCCCACCGATGCCTCAGCTCCGTAAATTCGTCGCCTACGAATTAGACCCTCTCTCCTACCCCGATGATATATCTATCCTCATAGCCCAATCGAAGAAGTTACAGGACTTGACATTGCATTGGAATCCAAGAATTCGAAGAGATGCCGAACAGAGCGTGAATGTTGGCTCATATTTTGGACCTCTTGTAGCTTCACAACGAAAGCTTCCTCTAAAACGTCTTGGGTTCCACAATTTCTTTGCAGCTGCTACAGGCCCTGAATTTCACGAAATTGTGGATTTCCTTTTCTTAGAATGCATCAATATCCTTAACGTGAAGAGCACTAGAGACCACAGCACAGTTTTTACCGACGATACTTGGCGCAAGAAATCAATGAAAGGCACTCCATCGAATCTGAAATCATACCGGGGAGATGTACTAGACAAGCCGCATGCCCTTATGCTTGCAAAATGCTATAAGATGGAAGAGCTGATTTTCGTCAACACATCCAGATACTACGGGACGGACGGTACATCATCGTCCAATGGCACTCCTTCGACACCTAATTCGGCGGACCCTGAAACTCCTAGATTACTCCGTCCCTCACCTTTCGAGCTCGTGCATGTAGCGTCGGACTATTTAGCCGCTATCCATACGGCTCATACACATTCCCTGAAGCGGCTGTTACTCTCAGATCAGTGGCTTCTAGAACCGACTGTCGTTCGAAAGCTTGTCAAGGCGTGCCCGAACCTTGAGCAGCTAGGTGTAGCTTTGGCGGATAATAGCCCTGAATCGGCCCGTATTTTCATTCCTGATGCTCCTAAAGTCTGGGCCTATCGAGCGCTAATAAAACCGAATTCAGAGCTGCAAGAGAAGATGCACGGCATGGATCCTCAAGACCTGGAGATTCTGGTAAGCTACGAATTCTGGAGACCGGAGTACCGCAACCTGAAATTCCTCGGTATGGGATGCACGCCGTATAAGTTAGGATCTGTGGGCAAACATCCGAACGGATCTGGAAAATTTCTTCGACATTGCGAGTCACTGACTTGGGCTCAAGTGTCACATATTGAAATATGGGGAATGGACAACACCGGCTTCTTATGAGAGAATGATCGCGCTTTGTGTACCAACCTACTACTCTGGTCTGAAATCTCCAGCTCGAGCTTGAAATGAGAAATCGACGGCCAATATGAGATATAACGACAAGCAGTGGGTGTCCTACGCCTTGGAGTGCTTACTCTCTCCGGTCTTGGTCGTCGAGAGGATCTTGAACCGCGGGAATCGCGCTACGCCAACCACCGTCTCGTCAATTAAGAACTCAATACCGCACTACTGGAGCATGCCAGACATCCTAGTAGGTCCAGTACACAAGACGTGTTACTGTGATTTATTTGATTGATACCACGGGCAGCCGATGAAGGTCATAATAGGCACATGTCGATGGATATAGATCTCGGAAAAATACATAATATCACCATTGACACTCACGAACCTTGACGTCACGAGTGAACTAACGTCAGGTATTGAAACCCAACATCGCCTTCCAACGCGTCTACTATATGCCGAGCATGGCGCTATGGCAATCGCCAACTCAAGATATAGCCCAAGTGTATCTGCTGCCAATTGTCAAATTGATATGCAGCCAAATATATGTCCGGCCCGCTGGCCTTACATACTAGTGACGCGATGATCTTCTATCAATATCGATCGTGCACATCATCCCAGCCAAAACATATTTGTGCCGGAATCCACGACTGTCCATGACCGACTTCGATCACGGAACCTGCCGATCTTACAGACGACATTCGGCTCCGTTACATAGTGCATCGTAAACGCCGAGATCTTGCGAGCTTTCGCGAGGTGACGCAGGCCGCGATCGAAATTCTCTTAAGGCCTCTATTCATTTTCGTAATTGCGAACAACATAGCGTATCCCTAGGAATCTCAACCGACCAGTATGCGTCCTAGAGTTAGGAGAGGTGCACATTAGAAACCTGCATAACATCACAAACGAAAAATACGAACACGCGAGTAAGACTAGCTAGTAAGGACTTCTTAAGCGAGTGTGAAGACCGTGGAAAGGCTGCACCTGGCGCCGGAGTTGGCTGGTGGCGCCCCGCCAGGATAGCCAGGTCACAGCCCTGTGGGATGAGGAGTCGTGCGGGTCATTCCGTCCGGTGTCTGATGGAAATCTCAGGACACGAAAATTCCCTTCTTGGGAGGTAGGCGGCCAATGAGCACGCCACAGTCTTTGTGGAAGAGGGCGCTGACGGTGCGGCAGGGAAAACAAGAACGACGATGGATGGGCGTATGATCGTAGTCGTCTTATAACGGATGGCTCTATCTCGAATTGAATGAACATCACACTACTATCAGAGGTATGTGTATGACTTTCTTTTTGTGATATCTATACGCGTACATTACTTTTACATATTTGCTTTTCAGGTTTCGTCTATTGTGGCATGTCGCACTACACGGGATTTGAGGGCGATAGACCTCACTTCGTAAGTCAGTAACCTAAGCAGTGCTAGGAAATTTTATTTTCCGTTAGAGTCTGTTTGATAGGGTTTCAGGCGTTTCAAAGACCTTTCCTTTGTGATTTCTGCTTCAACACTTCTTTCTGACCTCACATGCACGCATCTGAGGTACGATGTAATAGTCTTGATTACCAAGGCATAGTCTCGGCTTACACCTTCATCTTTCTGCTCCGAAGAGCTATTCATCACAGTACCGATTGTTGGGCGAAATCAGTATCTATAGACCGTCAGTTGTAGGCGGTAAGGAGACCACCACAACTCCAGAGCAGGGCATTTGTCCACCATCAAAAGACAAACATCATATTCAGAGCCATGAACGTCGGCGGATCGACTTGCAGATAGATAACTACTCGTCTTTTAGACAAGTCAAACTAAACACCAGAACTTCAAAATCGAGGACATCAGACGTGCCCAACGTACTTTCGCAAGAAGCCGACACGCAAAGTGAAGGCGAAAGTCAGACTGCACCCAGGTAATGGTGCATGATCCTATAACATAGTCGGAAGAGCTGAGTTCCCAAGCCGAGGGCAGACTCTGGAGGATGTAGTGTAGACATACAGTCACGGTTGTATTCAAATGCTAGATCTTCTTCGAATTTAACACCGGCCTTCTATCTACACAACGCCCGGTCCACGCAAGGCCGTGAAACCAGTCGCTGCAGATTATGAGCATAGTGAAGCAGATTATAATGCACAGAAGTAGTGCTGGCAGGCGGATTCGTGATATCAAGAGTCAATGCATCACTGCACAGTGAGTCAAGTAGCGTTCTTTTTCACCGCTTTGTATACATTGTTTTATCTCTCGACATATTCGGTAATGCCTAACACAAAGCCTGGTTGCGATATATGGCAGATCTCCGATTCGCGGCTACGATACAACGGGCTTGTTTCGAACAGAGTGCGCAGCCGTAGAAACAAAGAAAATTTATCTCGCAATTCTATCAATGGGAGACTGGTACGAGCGATCTACCTCTGAGCAGATGTGTGCTATGCGCCTAGGAACTGGCAATAACGCGATAAGTGCCAACGATATCATCACCGTTCTTGATAGGCCCTAAGAAATGTCAGAGCGGGTATCAACAACAGGTACTCCTATTAACTTACAGCAGACCTCTCCTTCAACCTCGCCATCATCGCACTGGCCCTTTCCTGTGCTACAGTTCATGGTAGCCGTCCAGCCGACCTTACCAGATTGACCTGCAGGTACTGAGAACATCACTTGTTTAGATGTGCTTTCGGACTCAGTAAACTCTGTGCTGACACCAAGACTAAGAATATCGGCAATGCCTAAACTCATCGAGGTGGACCACTGTTGCGTACGTTCTTTAGTGATCGCGACTGAAGTTCCTCCACTGCCGCCTTGGACTTCCTGGTCATAGACAATCTGCACGTTGTCTGCAGGCTTTGTGAGAACCTCGCCTCCTTGCCAGCTGTTCTTGGTGCAGTCACGCTTGGACAGGATACTACGTGTCTGATGCTTCGCTCCCTGGAGCTCTGGTGGAGGGCCAACCTCAGCAGGCTCAATAATCGTACCGTTGGCATGCTTCAGGTATACACCACCGCGAGCACCGACAGTTACAGAGCGAGCACCACCGAGTCCGCGGATCATCTTTGCTCCAGCACTGTCACAGTCGGTACCACAGCAAGTCTGAACCATAAAAGATGACTCCATCGCCAAGGCGACACATGCCGGCTGCTTGAAAGCACCAATGGCAACACCACAGCCTGCGAGATCTGTACCGGCAGGTGTCTTGATGATTGTAGCACAGCCTGGCTCATGTGCTTGCACATCGAAGAAGACTGAGTAGCCACTTTGCTACGATTAGCATTCCAATCTGAACGTTGAATATTACTTGAGACTCACCCTCCCTCCGTACCCTGGTACCCTTGATTGGCGAAAACATCTTCCGAGTTGTAGACGACGCATTCTGGGTAACCGGTTCCAGCACTGGCGACAGCAGATGGACACTGCTCACAGGTGTTTTCGGTACACATGTAGAATGGATCTTGCGCAGCCACAGATGAGGCAAGAGCGGCTATAAGCACGCTGACTGAGATTCTGGAAGGCATCATAGAGACTGGTTTGGAAGCAAAGATTGTGTGAGTTTGAAGGTTTAAACTGTGATGAGGACGAGTCTCTGGGGGAGGCAAAGTAAGTTTATATATTCTTTGAACCCTCCTTCCACAGAGATTAGATTTTTGCAATTGCTCCAAGGAGCCTAATCAAGTTGATATCCTCGTCTCAGATCTCCTGAGCAGCCCTCCTGAACAAAACAATACATGTCATCAAATTTTACGACCATCGTCATCACCGACCTGATTTCTCGTTTACATCAGTACAATGATGTAATAAGGTTACCCCAGGATTGACGCTTGCTCCCACAAAATAACGCTTCATCCTACGTGTTGAGCGATTAGGTACAAGAATCGTTCCGCGGCCTTTTAAGCACTGTAAACAGTAGTAGTTTCGCCTAACAGCGCTAATTTTACCAACGAACGTAAGTTCGCCGCTAAAGCTTCCAATCCTACTCCACGCCGTCGTGGCTATCACCACCAAATCGTGGGTCCAGATCTTGGCATTCACAGCCTTGGTGCTTTTTCATTTGGAATGTGGTGCTAGATCTACGATTCGACTCGCCTCCTGATGTTACTAACGACTTTAACTTAGATCCTTGATACAATCTCCACGAATGGCAAGTCTCAAATACGTAAAATTTGACCATGCTCCTCGTGATACTGTCAGGAACGTGCCGAATGGCCACGATGGAGCCAGGAGCTCGCTCAACGGTCAATGTGCTGCCTCTTGCCGGTCCGCGAGGCTGGATATGCGATTGTAGTATTCAAGGATCAGTCTAGCCTGTCTTGAGAGCATCCTCCGTCAACGAATGCTATCATTCGAGACGCTATCGCTAATATCTACCCATACACATGCGAGTATCCCGACCTCGTTCGTCGTCACGTGGCGTCTTTTCACTTGGCATGCATGCAAATAAACATCCCCATGGGGCTGGGAATCCTATGGTCAATATCGTAGCGTACAAGTCGACGTCAGAAACCCAAACTCAGATGTTGGCCATCGAAGAATGCCTTTGCATTTGGCTTGACCCAACAGACCATGGAGTCCATGAGACAATAAACTATCTGTGATGAAGCTAGACCTGAGGGAAGAGGTGACATCGTGGGCAAGAGAACGGATCCATGAGGATTTGGAATTGAGCAGTTCCCATCAGGAGCAATGTTACACTAAAGATTTGTACCATTAGAATATCACGAACTTGTGAGGACTGATGGCAATCCCCGTAAGACTAGCGTAACATAATCTACAATCTGAACTCCACACTCATTGAGCCTGAATTCTGGTATAAAAAGATGAGGCGTGCCTCTTCTCCACCTATTCCATCATATTCCTCTTAGACGATATACTGCGCCTACTGAATCCCCTTCTTTTCAGGTCAACGAAAAAGCTTTTTGCCTCAAGTTTTCACGATGCTCTTCCAACACTCTCTTGCCACCCTCATCTCTCTCTTCGCCCTCACCTCCGCCATACCTCTCTCAGAGTACAAAGCCCAATACACTGCCTCTGAAATTGAGGCCCTGCAAGCTCGTCAAGATCAAGAGTATAACTTCTGGTCTGTCCACACCTCCTTTTTCTTACACAAGGCATCGTCACCCCAGCAAATATTTCATCAGTCGCCCTTTGAGATATATTGATATATTAACGTCCGCAGGCGCGTTGACTTCTACACTTCCGGCTGTGATGATGAGCCCGCTAGTGGCTTCAGCGGCATGAACGACCAGATTTTCGAATGCACTGGTGGAGCTGAGGGTGGATTTGTATGTGCCTCATATTCCCTTCTCCCATTAATTATGTGTCATACCTACCTCTAGAGCCTCGTGTTGAGGAACGCCGCACTGACGTCTTCAATCACAGCACAACGCCAAGATGACTGATATGGCGAAGAACGGCCGTAAGGTCGTGCTGTACTCTGATCTTGCCTGTAGGAATGAGATTGGACAGGTTCTCAGGGATGGGACTTGTGTTGCTGCGGCTAGTGATGTAAGTTCTCATTTGACTCGTGATGTGAGAGTGCTAATCTATGGTAGTCGGTCATCGAGGGTTACGCTATCGTGCCGTTTTAGACAAGTGACACAAGAGTTTGAACGCTGTTTGTGACTTCGAGCATACTGCACCAGTTGTTTAGATTCACTCCATAGTTATGTAAAAAGATCGTAATAAGACTTGAACCCCTCTGCGCTTCACTATGAACACCGACCATACCAGAAACGCCTCACATGCAATAGCCGCTCCGAACAAAGACTCACTCCCATCTCAGTGGGTATTGACAGCATAGAAGTTCCAAAGCACACACCCCTTGTCGCCGCTTTCCAGGAACGATCCCAGATCCAGCTTGCTCGGATCACTTCCCACACATTGCCCCTTTGGCTCTACTCCCATGACTTTCCTAAGGTACCTTTTGCACCGATCTCCGTGAATCTCGTACTTCTGTCGTGCCCCACAGCCCCAGTTTTGAGGTGTGCCAAAGTCCTGATACGCTGCTTCTGCTCGCACGACAAGGTCGCCAAGGCTTCCTTTGTCAGTGACTCTCTTGCCGTCATTGGTGTAGTAGTAGGCGCATGCCGCCATACCGTCCTGAGCGCACGTGTCCTGAATAAAGGCATTGGACGCCGGGATCTTGTCAGGGTCCAGCGTGTACGACTGGCCGTCGCCGGAGCGGTCGCAGAACTGACTGATGACGTCTTCGGCCATTTCAGGACTGATAGCGATGTGCTCGCCCTGGCTGATAAAGCCCTTGTCTTTGTTGTCTGGATAGCAGGAGAAGACGTCTACACCATTGGGGTGGAACTCGAAAGCGCCGCAATTGTCTGTGTCCGTGGTGATGCCGCCGTGCTTATAGTTGACGCTGCCCGTGTCGCAATTATCGACAGTTTCGCTGAGGTACTTGACACAGAGGTCTTTCTCGATTGTGTAGGATCCACTGCCTGTACATTTGTCTGAGTAACTGGCTGTGAAGGCGGACTCCTTGATGTAGCTGCCGTCATCCTTGGCCTTCAATACATGGCCATCCTGTGCCGTGCAGAAGTTATTGATCGCGTCTATTGCCGCGTCACGGTACATGTATTTAACAAAGATGTCACTAGAAGGGTTTTTGCAGCTAGATTCAGTCCTTGGATCGGCGTTGACCATGAAGTTGTAGGTGCCGCAGCCTTGTTCGAGGGAGCCACCACCGAACATCGAGTGAGAATCATACTGGCCTATGTCTATCATCAGTATGTTGAGATGCAATGCGGTCTTGTGATTCAGAACTTACACATGGAAAGAATTCTGCCAACAGCGTCGTTACAATTCTTGGCGCATCCATCATGTGTGCTAGAATACTTAAAGTCAAATTTCACTCGTACACTCTGAAGTTTGTCGTTCTTCCATGAGCTATCGTTTGGAAGGTCAGGCTGTCCAATCTCCTTGCTCTGATCCTTAGTAAGGTCCATCTTGCAAAACACTTCTGCAAGCGCCTTGATGTATCCCGGATCAGTTCCGCGTAGCAGTTGGTTATTGCTGCCATACTTCTCACACTTAGGCGCAATCTCTTCGGCGTTATCTGGGGGTGAGCCCGCAGTCCATTGTGGCTGGTTGTCAACTTTCTTGAAGTCCACTTTTGAGCCACCCGTGGGGAATGGACATGACGGTGGGTCACTTGTCTTTGGAGGGTCTGTCGTCTTTGGGGGCTCGTTATTCTGGCTTGATGTACTATACTCAGGAGGGTTCGTTGGAGCTGGAGGCTCGCCAGGTATAGGTTTGTATAACCATGCAGCAAGGGCACCAGCGGCGACTATACCAGCACCAGCAGCAACGGCGATGGCAACAGTCTCTACAGCGCCATTTTCCTCCGTGAGTGTAGTTGTGACGGTGGTTGCGGCCGTGATAGGGGGCACTAAGCCACTAATCGCCAAGGATGTTGGTGTAAATGTTTGGACAACCGTCGACCCATCGGCACCAGTATTTGTGAGTAACACTGGAGTGACTACAGGTGTCGTTACTTCAGGTGCCTCTTGCGGAAGTGGTTTGGCAGCCACGTCTGTGGAGTATGAGTTCCATAGTAGGAGATAGGTAGCAAGTCGTCTCTTAGAGAAGGGGGTTCGTCCAAAGAAACTCATAATGGATGCAATGCTGAGTTGTGCAGTGAAGATTGTTCGGATATACATTGTGACAAGGCCATGGCATCAGAGAGATATATAGAGATGCTTCGTAGACTTGTTCGTGACTTGCTCAGTGAATGTTCATAATTAGAACATCTCTTGCATCCGCTAAGGAGGATCTTCATCGTTGATAGAAGCTGAAAGTCTGACCAACATGCTGTTTCAAGATTCATGAATCCATACCATAGCCTCATAGAGGCTATTCTCATCATAAAATGTGGATACGACCGTACGGTGGGGTCGGTGTTGTAGTCTGGAGCATAGAGAGATCTTAGAGCTAGACAACTATAGTCGATTACCTTTTGTGTGAAGATCGGCAATCGCCGCAAAATGGCCGTTAATAGAAGCTTATAGTGGGGCGAGGGGTAATCCCTGTAGTAGCGTGGTAGGCGCAGGCTTACTCCCAGATGAACCCCCCTCAGCCTCTGCCCTATGGCATCTATACGCTTAAGCATCTCACGTTATCTAATCGTCGCTATAGCTCGTACACATCCACTGTTGTGTTTCATGTGTAGTCTAAAATCCCGAAGATCTAAATTTGTGCTATGTGCGATTCATCCGCTGCCCCTTCAGCATGCTATCGTGACCTTGTTAGATCACAACATCCCACATCCAACATGGAACCGACAATGAGCCACTCAAGCTCGACGCGAAAATCTAATTTTGACCTTCGGCGGATCATAGTCACCCCAAATGTCACCGCCGCAGTCGCAAGATCCCGTAAGCAGAATGGCCGAGTCTTGATATATAGAGAGAAAGTTATGAGCCGATTAAACAAGACATTCCAGAGCATATCCTATTTCCTTCTAAGTCGACGAGTACAATGAAGTCCTTACTATTCCTCCCATTCTGCTCTCTTTGTGCGGCACTGGTTGTTTCGACTCCAGACAATGTCAAAGCTACGCATATCGCACCTCGCGTTGGCCAGTCTTTCACAAATCCAGACAACGAGCCTCAATACGAAGACCCAGTGACCAAGGCAAAAGTGGATAAGGCTAAGATTCTGAGTGGTGTAGGCCCCAAGGAAGCAGACGATAGGTGGTTCGATTGGGACGAGACCTGCACTGATGCCGACCAACGCAAGATCATCTTTCAGACCTTCGAGCATACTATTCTGATGGCAGATTATGGGGCTAGTCATCTTGATAATCTCAAGAAGGGCCTTCCAGAACCAGTAACGGATGATGCTTCAAAGCCGAACGACAATAATCGCAAAGCTATCTTCCAGACCGATCCCGCCTATGCCCAGATGTTTAATGGACACGACAATCGTATAAAATATGTCCGAGACACTTTTGGACTTGTGTCAAGCGAGGCACAAAAGGCTCCTGGTGCTAGAAATGGACAGAAACAGGGAGCTCTACGTTTCATTTGCGATAAAACTGGCGCAATCAGGAGCGGAGATGGTACGAAAGGGGCTTGCGAGTAAGTTGTTACAGCATCTGACAACGACTTACTTACTGGCTGACAACATACTATAGTGGTGGCACTCAAGCCTTTACTCTTGGTCCCTATGATCCAAAGTATGAGCCAACTATTGACATCAAGTGGAGCTTCGAGACTTCGTCCAGCATCACGTTTTGCCCACCATTTTTCGATGACAGCAAGTTCCCCAACATAGCCGATAGAGTCGGCCTCCCACAGGATCAGCAGACGTTGGACAAAGTCGATAACCGGGAGCGGATCTTGCTACATGAGTACACTCATCTACCGTGGGTCCGAAATCTTAATCCTGGGGCGAATCTTGACTTCATCGGATACCAGAATGCGGCGCAGGTAATGGCGAAGTCGGGTTGGGGACAGGCTAAGAAGACTCCAGACAACTATGCTTGGCTCACTGTATATGCCTACTTTAACAATGACGCTGGAGGCTGCCTGGACGATGCATGGCCTAAAGGTGAAGATAAACCTTGCAAGCTATGATACATAGCGGGCATACAGTGGTGGGGTTGCTAGTCTCGTGTTACATTGAAGTTGCTGGAGTTTTTTTGCCTAGTCCTGAATATATATCCTGAATTATCTCAACTTGTCTTCAAAAGCTCCTCGTACTCTTCTTGCCCAGGTACACCATAGTCATACCCAGACGGTGGCGGGTGATGATCCACGTACGACTCCTCGGTCCAATTCACATTAGACACGGGACAGTCTTGTATCAACGCATGGATCTCCTCAAGATTAGCATAAGGACTGAACATGTCATTTCCCTCTAAGATATTGAATCCTCGTACTTCTATTCGAGCGAGACGAGGAAATGACTGTATGGTGAGTACTTTCAAGACTTGCCCAAGGAAAGAGGCGGCAAGAACGAGGACATTAGGCTGCATGTATGTTGAGAACGTGAGGCGATCTGTCCCACAACCTGAAGAGTTGGGCTCCTCGTAGTGAATTGAATCGTTGCCAAAGTACAGGACGAGTGATTCGAGTGATTTCCTGGTCTTGAGCATGATTCGAACCGTGTGTTGATACATGGTCTCGTAGTTCCGAAGATCAATCTCCATGTTGATTGGCGCTAACTTCACTTCCAAATGTGTAAGTGACAGGGAGTGGGAAGATAGTAAGCGTAACGGAAACCACATGGGACCAGGAAAGACGCATGCGCTCCCTGATTCCTGCCGCTGGAATAATGCTTCATCAATAGGGCCAGATATCTCCGCTCTGTTCTTTAAATTGGGAATGTAAGGATCCGCAAGATCCTCAAGCATAGGCAGACCTCCTGGCAATGAACCCTCGTCTCCTAGATGGTCTAAGCGCAAGCTACGAAGATCGCTCGGCTCGAGGGCTGTGATGATGGCTCTCACAAGTTTCCGATTCATAGATCCTACGAGCCGGAGATCAGTGACAGCAGGAAACAAACGTGGTGGAGGTTGGCGACTGTATTCGATCTCACGTTCGCCGAGTATTTGTGCTAGGTCCAATCGAGTGACACTATTGAGCCGATCAAAGACCACCCAAGTTTCGCGGTCAATATCCGTAAGATCTGAACAATCCGAGTACACGAGTGTCCAAGTGAAGGAGTGGACATGAGTAGCGAGCTCTGGTCGGTCTGTCATGAGCTGGAGGAATGCGCGCTGGCGAGGAACCAGATTGCCAGGTTTGAATTTGTCATTGAAACTGGCGTACACAACAGGCATGACTACGTCATCCTCAAACTCAGGCAGTCTACCTCGATTGTGGCAGCTCAAGTCGACATGATAAAGAAGATATGGAAGGGAGAAAGCGTGCCATGCGGTGCAAGTGAGACCAGCTGCGATCAAAGACTCGCTGTCTCCGACCAATGTTTCGAAAATGGACACTAGAATGTCAGATGGTATTTCTGGCATCTTCAAAGATGGCGCCATCCTCTTATAAGTGATGGAATTAGTGTCGTGTTGCGTAAGATGTTAAAGCGAAAAGGCGTAGTTGCCTTCTGTATCGGTATCGACAAGCGTTTCAAGTCGCTTTGGAGGAATGAAGTGACGACCCCATCGAGGAGGTATAAGTTGAGGTTTTGGCTTCATGCGATGATGATGGAGGGTGAAGACAGGTCGGGGACAGCTTGGCCACACTGTTGGAGAAGTGAGATAGTGGTGTTTTGGTGGTATTCTAGCGCTGACAGGATCCATTCAGCCTCAGAGGACCCCACTAAGACTCCTAAATTAGGACACGATTCCCTGAACCTTGCGAAATACACATACTTGTACTTGCGATCAATAGGTGAAAGCATATTCTATCAATCGATGACGACCGGTCTCCATCGACAAGCAGTGTTGAGAGATGAGGGCGAAGCATTGCAACCGCATATACCCTTCTATTTATGCCATACGAGGCTATGGAAACATGAAGAACTATCTCATCGACCAAGCGCATGCTTCTCCTCGTAAATGCCGCATCATGTCAAGCTGACCTGTCAACAGGCTCTCACATGGTTTGCCATCCCATCGCCAGCAATATGCAAAGGACATCTACCATATTAGACATTTAAGGCATCCCACAGCATCATATTGCCACGCGCATTCCCTTCCTGGGGTCGCTATTCAGTCGCGCTCGTGATGTCCGAAGACACACGTCGGATTACGACAAACCCCGTCTCTGCTCTCCGCAGCCCTGCACTCCTTCGTGCGCGTCACCAGCCACAGTGCATTCCACTCCTTGTCGTCTAGCGGCCGGCACGAATGCTGCTTCCGACACTTCGGCCCACCGACCTCTTTACATTCCCCTCGCAGGAATAGGTATGGGCATAGATTGCCCTTACGTACCCAGTCGAGCGCCTCTTTGTTGACCGATAACAAACGATCCACGCGCTTCCCACGTTTATTGTACAGAGGAGGGCCAAGGCGCTCGGGATGGGCCTGAGAGTTTCGGTAGGTCTGCGTGCCAGTGGCAGTCTTGATCCCGATGGTAGTAATAGCGGCCAAGGCCGCGCCAGCAGCCAGAGGCACAGGCTTGGGCTCCCGTGGAGCAGCAGCGGCAGTATTTGTAAAGACTTGTGGTAAGGACAAGGCATGAGATGCTGCTTCGGCATAAGAGGTTACTTCACCGGTCTTTACGGAGTATGAAGGTTCTTGCGTCTTGCCGTTCCTGAAATGAGTCGCAGGGTCGATAAAAACTGTGTTGAACTGAGTTGTGCGGAGCGGACCCAATTGCTCGATGTCGGCTTCACTGAGAGGCGCAGAGGTATTGCGCAGCATGGTCATGCGGTGGAGACAGTGCACGTTCATGTCAAATGTCGCGAAATGCTCCGTTGTGTCAGATCCGAGGCCGAGTCCGAGGATAATATGCTTGCAAGCGTGAACTTGGAGGTGGAAGTCCAAGACGCCTTGAAACGTTAGTATGAAGTCCGTTTGGATGAGATGAGAAACACTTACCGCGTATCTTTTCCGCAGCGCGGCCCTTGCTGGGCCCGACGTCCGAGAAGTCACATAGTGGAAAGCGACCAGAGAAACCACTAAAGAAAGGACGAAGCTCACTGACTGAAGCAGCGCTTGCGCCTCTACTGAGCATGCTCTGGCAGAGTCCTTCCATGTTGGCGTATGCCTTGACTACGACGTCGATCACGTCGTTGTCAGTGATATTCAGCTCGAGATATTGTCTGATAGCACTGTTCAGCTTCTCAGCTGCGATGGCTCCACTCTTACCGCTCTTGGGAGTTAAAGCGTCGCGGAACTGTACAATTAGCGCGCTGTAGGCTTTGACAGAGAGAGAGAGAGAGTGTGTGTGTGTGTGTGTGTGAGAGTGAGAGAGAGAGAGTGAGAGAGAGAGAGAGTGAGAGTGAGAGAGAGTGAGAGAGCAATTGTAACTTACCACGAACGCATCAGAGCTTGCGTCCAAGAGGACCAGAACATATGGCTTCACGCCATCGACAGCTCCAGAGCTACCAGTGCCCACGTTAGCCGTCGCCAACGAACCAAACTCTGTTGAAGTCGTCAGTCTCGAGACAGCTTGGTCTGACCGTGGATAGAGTTGCAAGCGGTTCATGATGTGCTCCAGGGCACCGCTATTGGAGTCGACGGGAGACAAGTCTCCATTCTGTACGATGGACAGCTTCCATTCCAACAGTATCTTCGCGTCTACGGCGCGTTGGCGCTCGATAAGAGCTTCATCGCGCTCCTTTGTGGCTGTAGTCAGGAGTTCAATAACGCGCTAAACTTTTGTCAGTAGCTACGAATATCGAGGTGCTAGTCTTCCTTACAGCAATGAAGCCCTGGCGCTTGCGATCGAAGTCACTGTACTCAGCCAAGAGTTCTGGGACAGTCTGAGAGCTCGACATGACGTCGAGCCGAATATTTCTTGTTGTCAGATAAAAGATGTTTCAGACATTGAAGTGTCACCTTGGTCGAAGTAGATTGTTGAAGATATAGAAAGAGAGTTGTCAGGCAACAGTGAGCCAGCAAAAATAATGTAGAGGTCCGAGGTGCGAGAAGCATTAAGCAAATTTCATTGTTTTATACCCTGTGTGGTCATTTGCCTACCGCAGCAAGCACCGGCGCTAATTGTCTGTGGCACAGAGCGATTGAATGGTTAAAGTGAGTCTCGTGAAATGTTTGTTCACCTGCACTAAGCGTGGCGGTGCTACGCTGAGCCTTAGGTCTTAGGCAACAACAACAACAGCAGCGGCAGGACCTGCTGATCCTGGACAACGGATGACCTACATTTCTTAAGGGTATCGAAGGATCTTCAAAAAAGACTTAACGACAAAGCAGCAGATCAAAACAACTTACTTAGTAAGCAGCGAGTGAGTCAAACAATGCATCCATGGAAAAGGTCCCAATGCTTCGCTATCTCATCAGAGTTTAGTATATTGTGCCATCTTAGTAGCCAGGTAGGTGAACTCGTCCCAATAGCATTGAACATTAAACAGAATTCGCAACTGTCCGCGAGCGATGCCAGTTTGAGTGCTGTAGACAGCAAATATTCACCATACGTGTCATTTGACGAAGAGGAATTCACAATATGAGGAAGCTTGTGCTTTACAAGCATCACATCTTGCCATACTTGCTTGACCACATCTAGGAACGCCTTTAAAGTCTTTGGATGATGCCGTAAGAGGTAATGTTGAACTACATATACTCCTGAGCTCGCACATGTCAATGATTCAATGGATGAACGACGCAGACCGAGTTGCACATGATCTATACCAAAATATTATGATCAAGAATCCCGTCTCCATACCTTTCTATTCATTATCGTAGAGGCCAGATTGACCGCCAACACAAAGGTATCAAATCACCTTGTCAAATGTTACCTTCCTCTGCCTACAGATTTACCTACATCTGCGTTTCATCGTTCCTTCCTTCACTGTGATGGTATGGTGCTAGTCGTCATGAAACGATCATGCTGTTATTCATCATCATAGCATATTATCATCGTAGAATAATATAAGAGAAACTTGCGAACAAAGGCATGCGTGAGCTTTGGAAGGGTAGTGAGGAACGCGAAGCATCTTAGGAAACTCCCATCATACACTTGTGTGCTATGCTAGAACGAAGGGCAATAGCAACAAGTAGAATGGGAAGTCCTGTAATAGTGTCAGTACTCTAGAGGGCAGACACCTTTAGCATATAAGCATACAATCGGTATGAGATAAGTAAGGAAAGGTATTAATATACTCGAAACTATTGGGCAAGTGTCACGAGTTATCTTTCCCACGTGCCTTTGTAACACAGTTAATATCGGAATGAGTCACAGCCTCTTTTCACAGTGTCACAATCTTACTGGGGTTCTCCGAGTCTTTTGAATATATGATTAACACGAGACTAAGACACTAATTGAACGACGAAATGCTTCACTACTACAGTGTGTCAACTTTCTTGTATCCGGCACAGTATGACCGAGGCACAAGCAATGACGGAGTCAAGCTCGAGCATAGCCACTTTTATATAGTTCTTCTCGATTGGAGAGAGCAAATATAGGTAAATATACATAACCCCAGCTCCTTATTGAATCGCCCATCGTAGGATGATGCAGTGAGTGGCTTTCCTCAATTTATGTACGAGTGATGAACAACGTTTTCTTGGATGGAACAAAGGAAATATATTCATCAGGCACTGCCTGCATAGTATAAGCGTATTGACGGCGGACCAAATGCACGCCTGTTAGCGGGGTGGAAGGTCAGATGAGTATAACGAAATGCTGATTCCGGGTAAGGTCAATGATCTCATTTCTTTGGAGGCTGCACTACGAGCTCTGTGAGAGGGCCGTAATGACAGAATCTTCGACATTCTATGGTTTGGCCGTGATTTCACCCTCCAATCAAGGCTCTTAAACTATTTGAGATAACATCATGTGGAATGAGAGGAACCCCTAGATATACTAATCGTCACTGTCATTCTGAATACCATAGGTTATTCGCACCACCCTTACGTGAAGAGTATAGAAGACTATATTCGTGTTAAGAATCCACTTTCTCATGAAGGACCTATGCAATTCGAGGTCATCTATCCACTAATTATTTCAATGCGGAAGTAGATGCATCTTCAGTCGTACTTTTAAGATCATGATACGTAGTATATGGATGATTGCCGATGGATGTATATACTTGTAATGGTTGTTGCGTGCTTAGAAACAGGCTGTAGAACTGACAGTATACATATATATATGAGACGCTGCATTAGAAATCTTTGAGGAAATAGCATAGTGTACGAGGGAAAAAAATGTGAACGAGGCACTCCATACTTCACTAACCGTGTACTTAACCGCGTCTATCTTCAATACTTACCCCTATCAAAACAGCATAGTTTTAACAATCATCATCACAACAGAAGGGGCACATCGCAGATTTTTCCGCCATGTATAGCATCCGTCCCTAGCCATTTTCCCATTTCAAAAATATTACTCAGTCTTACTCACTAATGCGAGACACATCTCCCACTGTGTCAACCAGCACAAGAAACGAAGGATACATCGAAATGTTTCCCCGAGTGCAAGATGGCAATTTTGCCAGTGTTGTGGATACTTACGACTTGAGAGGCGATGGCAAGCATATAAATATGTGCGGTTGCAATGAAGTATTATGCCGGGTTGGTACTGTTCAATTAGATGACTTGGTCACACCACCCTATAGTGAATGAGCTAGGGGTTTCAGCCTTTAGATAAAGTGTCAGCTACACTAAACGGCCGTGAATGTCGCAACAAACATCTACCTGGAACACATACAGATAACCATCAGCGCGACCTCACACCAATACACATCACCATAGAATAGGTGCCGGGTCGGCGCATCAGCTGGACATGTGATTAGACTCAGATCTCTAGATCATGCAGAAATGACAGTAAGAGAGGACTCGATGACCTAATGTGAGGTGGGTAGGACTCTCACACGGAACTACACTAAGACACAGTGCTCGTTATCAACGTTACCAAACCTCTAATACAGAATATCACCACGGAAATCCCGTGCCAAACATAATGATTGCATTGCATCCTTTACAGATACTCATAGCATGTAATAACGTCATGAGCTAAAACAAGATCACCAACGTGTTCTTTGTTGAGGTTGTAAAGGCGCCATCTCGCTGCTTCAACGGAAAATCTCTGGTGTGGTGGATCACGGTCCAGAAGTAGAAGAAATCATAGTATATTCTGCATGATTTCTACATCAAGGTGGACGCCAGGCATATTTTCCTGGCTCTTCCTGTTATCTACATCGCAGAATAGCGAATGAGCTTGTATGTTTTAGGCTCGGTTGACGATATAGCATACCTGCTGGGAAACGTGGAAGACTATTCGTTAGCGATTGCAATACTGATCGTTACTATCACACAATACTACACATTGTTATCACACCGCACTGTCATCAACGACATTGGGCCGCGAAGTTCTCCAAGCGAGCAGAAAGATGGAATCAGTTCCGGTTCGTGTACCGGGCGCTTCTAGCAAAACCGCAGAGTGGTTTATATCGAAGCGGCTTGTGATATCAGGACATGTATCAGAAATCAGTTCTACAGATATCAGGTTTATGGATGTGCTCTCGAAATTAGTATCTGACAAACATGTGACAAGTGTCGAGTAAAGAGGTGCATTCTCTTACGGTGACTGCCTGGCATCACTACCTAAATACTTGACAACGATAGACATTTGCCTGACTAGGCACTGTTAATGAAATAACGAGATTGTGGTACACTGAGGTACAACTGAGAATATCAAACTTTATCTACTGGCCATAATGGGAGTATTGTATAATCTAAATATGCACACAAAGAAGGAAAGCTTGAGGAATCTTAAGACGAGGGCTTGCAAATCTGCATCTATCGAACAAGTGGTATATTAATGCCCGTTCCCAGACGCCTTATTAATGCTTGTGGGAATGCCTTGAAGCCTCCTAAGTCCAGATTGGTACAAAGGCCGCCTAAATTGCGAAGGGGCCAGCCCGTACAAAAGCCTATTCAGCGCCAACCAATTCTTGCTATGTTCATGACACCGTCATCACATATCATATGTCGACTAGAACATACCGAAATTACGACGCAGAGGCGTTTCTGCGCCTGCACTGCTACTGGCCGCTGAATACCCCGAATCATGGTCGACATCATCGATGTCAATGTCGAATTCGAGTTCTTTGACGCTTTCACCGCTTGATTCGGTGGCTTGGCCATCCCAGCCCTTTTGTTGTGCACCACGAGTGTTCCAGCGCAAGGTGCGGGAGATGCTGTCAAACCATTCCGTGGGTTGGCTAAGAACTGTCGGAAAGGGGTACTGTGATGCTGCGATGGTAACGTGATCGCCAGGGCGGAGCTCGACACGACCTTTCCCATCGAAGGAACAATAGGCCGTGGCGCGAGAATTGCCAGGGACGGCGACTTTGAGGAGCATGGTGTCGTTGAGAAGCATAGGACGGAAAGAGAGGGTATGGGGGCAGATTGGAGTTAGCAGAATCGCAGGAATATCGGGGTGTACGAGAGATCCACCGGCTGAGAGAGAGTATGCGGTGCTACCGGTCGGAGTACTGAAAATACAGCCATCGGCTTGTACGACTGTCAAGAGATGATCATCGCCGTACAATTCCAGCTGTGAGACGTAGGGCGATGGGCCACGGTCAATGACGAGCTCGTTGAGTACTTCGTATTGTTCGGACTCAATATGATCTTCGCTGGAGACGCTTACTCTAGAAGTGTTCAATGCTGCTCGATACACGGTGCAAGTGAAGCGCATGCGAAGATTCACTCGCATACCAGCATCGCCCATAACCGTGTTGAGTTGCTCCTTGTAGTTCTGGAATTGGAAGTTCGTGAGAAAGCCTAAGCTGCCGAGGCTGAAGGACAAGATCGGAGGAACAATTCTCTGAAACAGCCAGCTAGTAAACAGGACGGTGCCATCACCGCCTAGAGTGCAAACTAAATCGAACTTCTCTGGCGAAGACCAGCAGAGATCCGGCGTCCAGTAGCGGAGCATATTTTGAAACCGTTTATCCTTGGCGAGCAGGCCAGCTTCGTCAAATCTCTTGGATCTGCGTAGTTTCGCATCAACGTAAACATTGACACCAACGTCGGAACCGTAGCGCGGTGTCGTGAGCAGCCATTCTGCGAGCTCTCGTGTAAGGTGCACCAGCTCATTGTCTCTGGCCTTCGTGATTATCATAATGTTTTTGAAGGTCATCTTAATCGGGCGACGTTGCAGCTGTTTCGAAACCTCTCGAACACCCGTGGCTGTCTGCATGAGTCTGGAATGCGACATGCTTGCGACATCTTGAATCTCTTCCAGAACCTTATCGATATTAACAGCATTATCGAATTTTTTGTGAAAAAAACATGGTGAGGCCAGTGCTGCAGCCTTGGTGGCGGTTAGGCAGTCCGGATCTAGTCGTAACGATGCCAGTGCTTCAGAGAGCCTGTTGCCCTGCGAATACTCTTGCCGCGACCCAGGCTTCTCCCACAGACCGTTCATCGAGTCTATTGATATGTTTGAGGTGGATGGAGGTCTTGATACTAATGCTTTGATAAGGGTTTGCTTCGGAACGTCGAGAGATTGGGCAGCTTTGTGGTGACGACGGTCCTTTATAGTCGTCCGAGGGGCAGCGCTGTGAAATTCAGAGCGCTCTCTTTCAGAGCGCAGGATGCCACAAGGACCGGATTCTCGGTAGTCGATCTGAAGCAGAGAATCGTGACAGGCGGTTCGTGGAGTGGAGAGAGCAGACCCGGAGGTGCTTATGAATGTGGAGCTGTTCACTACTGCATTGTGTTGATGAGGCTTATGTTCGCGAGGTGTGTCGACATACAATGTCGAGGCAATGGAGGTGGGCTCGAGAGGGCAGGGGGAACACGTAAGATGCGACTCTAGGGCCTGTAATGTTATGATGGAGGTGGCCGAAGCAGCGGAGGAGATGTCAGATCCGGCGATAGAATCATTTTGCGAGTGTAGGTTGGTGGGTGATGGCGTACTGTTGGGTGAGATCATACCAGTAGGTTCTTCTTGGATCGGCATTTCCATTTCGGCCGGGGCGGGGGTCCTCGGGGGATCGGGGAGATCAGGTCAGCTAATTTGCGGTGGCTGCGGGGTCGGGGTGCGCGGGCTTTTGGCTTGGGATTGCGCGTATGCACTTGTGTATGCGGCACACAACACAGACGATGTTTTCTTTTTTACCGGAACAATGCCCGAGAATGTATGCAGACGACCTCGTGAGCTGCAAGAGGGCCTTGAAGAACAGAGAAGCCGACAAAAAGACTGAAATGGTGAGCCGTGGTTGGACGGACGTACTTCCACTCAAGGTTGGCTCCAACTGTGACAGTGATGGCGGCTGCAGAACGACCAAGCCTCAGAAAGCTTCTAGGCACCGCACAGCGAAAGCGGTGAGGAGTAAGAATGATATGGATATATACAAGGAATAGGATACGAAGCCACAGGCTCAGTTGAAGATGCAAAAGACACGAAGAGCGAAAGCGGGGAGCTGCAGAGATACCTCACAAATTGTAGACGCCGCAGCGTTCCTATATTGCGTTCGCGCCTCGTAACATGAGCCCTCACTGTCGGAGTATATGTCTCAATTCTCTGCGAGTGAGACCATCAAACTTGCTGATGCGAAGCGTGTATCATCACCGTGGATCCTCAAGCCCGGTAGCTAACATACTCAAGTCTCACAAGTGCTAGTTCTTAACAACATGGATCGGATGCTTACTCGTGCTATCAGCTTCCATAAGGTACCTCCTCAATTTGTTCCTTCGAATTGACCGATGGTCGTTCTTTGATGAGAGCTCATGTCAACGGCAGCTGCTGTGTGACGGAATAGAGGACACTCTTTCGCAAACACGCCCATAAAAGACCGTGCCGAACAGTCCCGTCTGATCGGATTCATCACGTTGAGATGTCAAATAAATGCAGCAAAAACTTGTTCATCCCTGCTGACACGTGTATGCGACAGATAACAAATATATCACACATTGACATCTCCACCGCTCCGCACAGGTAAGCCTGACCGTCTCAAGCCTAATCCCAAAACATGTAATTATGCTTGTCTCAAAACATCTCGCTAAATACCACCCGGAGACCCGTTGCCAATATTCGGTAAGCTCTCCCAGAATTAGTGGTCGACCTTTCTTCACCATTCCGATACAAGTGTCAGAGCCCCACTATTTTTCGACTTCGGCTAGTCTCAAGAATCTGTTCAAGGGGGAGAGGGGCTGCACGGTCTCTATCACCGTGCTGGAACGGGAACTAATGCAACGATCGGAGGGCCCTTCCCTTTGTCCTTTGTCGTGTAACGTTATGTGAGGAACTTTCTCCCAGGCGCTACAATGCATACTCTCAACATAATTATCGTACCCATCTCAAGCCGCATCATCTATCTCACTGATCCTGCACGCGGATAATCGCAAGAACACGCCGACAACTGAATCCAAATAACATTTTTATTAGACTCTAGAGCCGTATCTTGATACAATGCCATGCGACCATCTCATGCCAATACATGATTTTGCGACGTCCCCGCAATACTGCAACACCGCTAGGCGTTAGCATCTTGAATGATTCGTGGGTATATGTTCATATTCTTCAACTCTCATAGCTACTTATGCATTACTCGTCCTTTTTTCAGATTTATTTGCGTCGGTAGCTCACGGAGGAAGTCAAAGGTTCTTTCCTTCTTGCCTCCCTTCCGGATACTATGGATCACATCGTCGATAATCTAAGCACCCGCAACTTGACTCGTTTCGTCGACCTGGAACCCGGACTTAGGAGAAAAGCATGGCATTGACCTGGATACCGCGTACAACTGGGTATGGCGCGACCTTATCACTCTCTTTTGCCGCAACATGCTCTATAGACGTCGGTTTGCCGCGAATGACGATTCAACTACTACCTAGGTGTATAGATACAAGCACCGTCGCGTCCGATAATCTGCATGCACCAAACATGACGTATGCGGGGAAGCTTTCTCGCTGTCGGCCAGCACCAATCAGGACGTGGAGCTATGGTGTGATATTCAACACTTATAACAACGCCTCTGCATAACAAACATCGTCCGATCCTGAGTCTTCGATACAACGCAATCTCGCTCTGCCACCATCCTTCCTGCTTTGCTCACCAAACCTACCAACGACTACACCACCTCCTATAATCCCACGACACACGCCAATCTTTAACCTCACAACCTCTTCTTTCAAACTCCCAAAATGACCTCCCAACGCGTCCTCCTTCTCGGAGGCCACGGCGCGATCGCCCAATTGATGACCCCGCTCTTCCTCCGACGATCATGGAGCGTAACATCAGTGATCCGCAGCGCCGACCAAATCCCCACGATCCGTGCCCTCGGCAACGGCCAACCAGGCACCATCGACGTGCTGATTGAAAGCCTCGACGACGTCAAGACCCAGGCCGCGGCGCAGAGCGTCATCGACAAAGTGCAGCCGAACTACATCGTATGGGCAGCGGGTGCGGGCGGTAAAGGCGGGGCAGAGCGCACGTTTGCTGTGGATCGCGATGCTGCGACACACTATATACGGGCTGCGGCTGCATCGCCGGGGGTGTCCAAGTTTTTGATGATTAGCTATATTGGAAGTCGGCGTGGTCGTGCGGCGTGGTGGAGTGATGAGAGCTATAAGGCGGTGCAGGAGGTTAATGATGGGGCGCTGGCGAATTATCATGTCGCAAAGCTGGCTGCCGATGAGGTGCTTGTAGCTGCTGCAAAGGAAAGGGGTAGTGAGTTTGCGGGGATCTGTCTGAGACCGGGCACGTTGAAGGAGGGTAGTGCAACGGGCAAAATTTTGCTTGGTAAGACACCGGGTCGGGGTGAGGTGCGGAGGAGTGATGTTGCGGAGGTTGCGGTGCGGCTACTGGAGCAAGATGGGGTGGGGACTAGATGGTTAGATTTGGTGGCAGGTGATGAGGGGATTGATCAGGCTATTGCGAGAGTTGTGAAGGAGGGACTTGATTGCTACGATGGAGAGGGCTGAACGTTCGAGTTGGAAAGACAAAACTTCCGGATTGTGGATGTTACAACCCACGACAAAATGTAGGATAAGCAATTAACGAAGTGTTCGTTTATATAGTGTGCTATGCGCTACTTGGTACTTGGTAGCCTTTGGGATATCTTTGAAATACGACTTTGATGAAACAATTGCCTAACGCGAGGACTTGTCAAATGGGTAGGGAATTTACTTCCGCTCAGCATCTGCCTGTTTCTGCAGATCAGCCTCGACACCGCGCTGAAGGGTTTTGCCACGGTCGTGTTGCTCTTGAGCGGCAGCTTTGGCTTGCTCATCCCCAGTAAGACCCGCAACAGCTCCAGTTAACACACCTCCAGCGCGCTCTTTTAGGCCCTGACCAAGATCACTCAGTTGTCCTTGTGCCTCTTGTACCTTTCCCTCTTCATTCTGACGTTGGCCTGCTTGCTTGAGCTGCTCAGAGCCCGTAATGCCTCCAATAAATTCTTTGCCGGAGCCTATGGTTTGATTCCAAGAGCCATCTGTACGGTCTTTGTTATCTGTAGCCACGCCATCAGCGGTCGCAGTGACAGGGCCAGCCTTGACAGTAGCATGGGAGAGATCTGAACGAGCTTCGGCTTCGGCCTGTTTGCGGTCGGCAGCAGCCTGGTTATCGTGAGTAGAACGATTTGTAAGCATACATCGCCGAACATACTTTATCACCTGGATTGCCAGTAACGGCGTGAATGCCACTCTGGATGGTGCTTGAGACAGAGTCTAGAGCGGATTGAAGAGTGGATGTTTCCTTGTTCGACATGCTGGAGGTTGGTATGAGTATTTGAGGATGATGTATTGACTTTGTTTGACGAGATCGAAGTTGAATATAAGTAAAGAGCAAACAAGGAAGAAGATGTCAGTGACAGATTTAAATATCCAAGGTCTGAACGCGCCTTGCATAAGGCCGCGACGTCTTCACGGATAGGTGCATGTGAAACATGACGTCAGTCAGCCACACGTCCCCACCACTTCCACAACGTTGGGCCATTCAGACCAACCTTGACAAGTGAAGCATCCTGGTTGTGTCCAGTGTTTGAGCGAGTCTGCTGATACTTGCAGCGCCATCCCGTATTGTATCTGCTCTTGGAGCATCCACATGGAACGGGTAATGACGCAAGATGTTGCGACTCGACGGTGATGCTACCCCCGATGGAGAGTCTAGGCTGTGATCTCGCAATGCTTTAAACTTCAGCAGTGGTCTATTTGTTGTGGTTGTCATAGAGTGTTCCACTTTTCTCGGAAATGTCAAACGGTGTTGCTGGTATCAGCCCATGCCCTCCATGAACGCCCTAAAGTCTCGAACTTCCCTGATCCACATATAACGAACGCATATCTCTTGGATCTCGTAGTAGAGCTCTTCAGGGGGTATCAGGGCCTTTCGTACCAAGTTACGCATGAACAAAACCAAAAGCTTCACAGATCTTCTTTGCGCTTCCCGTCCGACTTCTCCTTGCTCTTGAATGGAATCGTTGCTTTCGTATAGTGATGTATCGGGTATGACAGTCTGTCTCTGGCCCATCTTCTCGATGTGACGCAAGCCGTGTTGTATGTAATTTCTGATAGGGTTCAGTGAGTCAACACGTAGGGACTCTAGTGTACCATTCTGTAACAAGCCCGTCAAGAGTTCGAGGGTATTTAGATCCACTGGTAGGCGCGCAATAATCTTGTCCGCAGTCTCAACTGGATGTGAGCTTTCTTTTATACGTCGAAGAATTCCTTCCTTAGTATTGTCTATCGGGATATCAATCTGCGAATTTGACTGTGATCCAGTTGATATTTTATAGGAACTCTGTGCAGTTGATCCTGTAGTAGATTGTGCTTCTGGTGATTGTGAACGCTCGTATATGTCTTCGTCCTCCAGGATCCTGACGAAATCATCCAGCACGAAGTGCATAAGCTCTAACTCAGAGAGCGTCTCGAGGAGATCTCTAGGCGATTGATGCGAGATACGCATGAGTGTATCCGCATGCAATATTTGTTGTACGAGTAATACTCGAACTCTGTGAATCAGTGGCCAGCTCATGCTTTTGCTCGTAATTTTGCTTATTTCCATACTTTCAGGTTTCCGGTCCAGTCGCTGAATCACTTCAACCCAGTGCGAGAGGAAGGGATTATATCGCATAGGGGTCTCGGCATAGATCGAGTAAAGGAGGTATTCGCAATGCAGAATACGCGCGAGAATAGGTAGGGACGGTTCGCACGAGCCTTGATCAGAAGAGTCAGCATAAATCTTGGTTGGCTTTGTAGTAGAGTTTGTGTACCAGTAACAGCACCTGCTTCGAGCAAGTCAAGTTTCTGTTTGAGCAGAAGTGCATCTTGAAAATTCTCCGTCACGTCTGGAGCGTCTGTGCTACCTCCCCGCGCTGCATTGCGAATGTCTTTGAACTTGCTGCTTGTGTCTGCGAAACTCGAGCAAACGTCGGAGAGCAAGGACTCCAGCCTTTCGGCTATTGTTTCGGATATCTCCATAGGGACCGAGAAGTATATATGATATGGAGATCGAGGAAATGAATCATGGGGAACTTGTACACGTAATTGTGGTACTGCTGCAACGTTGCTGGTAAGCTATGGTCCACGGGCTGGAGTTAGAACCTGCTTCTGCTGGAAGCTTTGGGTGGGCTTGGCAAGCTAATCTATTATTGATGTGGGCTATCCCGACATACAAGTCCCAATCCTCATCTGGGGACATTGAAAGTACAACTTTGATCACTGCATAAGTGCACAGGATGCGGCATGTTACTTTCAACACGCCCTGGTTAATTATAGGCGTAACACATTCGATAAGTCCGACCTCATGAAAAACCCGAAGGCTTTGAACCAAAAAGAAAAGTGGTATATTACTATTCAAATCCCCAGTATTAGTGCGACTACGGAGAGACCGATTTCACATATACAGAACGACGCGCAGCAGCTCAAGCACTTGCTATGTTGGGCTAATGACGGCCATTAACAGGTGATGCACCGCAGTCGTATTCGGAAGCGCCGGATATGCATAGTCACTAGAACTGACCCATGCGTCGACCATGGATGCGAAGTTGCGAGGGTTTTGTGAGACTATCCACCAGAAGAAAACCATCTGCCATCATGAAGGGTATCGCTTTCGTTATCGGTAGGTTATCAGAATTTCAATATGATATACCTACAGCCCGTCAGTGACTGTTAGAGGACCATGCGCAGGTGTACTTACAAGGCGTGAATGATGCCGGGAATGTAACCCAGGATAGTCAACAGGATGTTGATGCAGAAGTCCGCATTACAGCCGCGCTCGAGGAATACGCCCAATGGGGGAATGAAGATGGCGAAGATGATCTTGATGATATCGCTGAGGAGAGTGTAAGCGGTTTCTCTCTCTACTATACACACGATAGCACGGAAAGACTTACGAAGCGGTGAAAGGCATGGTGACGGGTTGGTGTCGTTGACTTGGGTAGCTGAGTCAAACTAAAGTAAGAGATTGGAGATGGATGTTCAAGTCTTGAATGTATGGAAGTAACAGTAAGAGTGTGGAGAGGCAGGTCCACGTCTTTATGAATGTCGGAGAAGTGTAGCGGTGGCCGGACAGCAAATAACTGTGACGTAACTTAAGAGGCCATAGCTCCTACCATTCACTCAGCAGGCTTTAACTATTATTGCTAGTCATGCCTACCTGAGACACCCCCGCCACGCACACGCTTGCCTGCCCTTTCATTTACTGCCGGTCCCCCAATTATTGACCGGCTATCCTGCACCACCTGCACAAGCAAGAATGAAAATGCCTAAGCCACAAACGCGCAAGTCCCCGCCATCGCTGTTTGGTTTGTTTGTTTCTGGCTGAGATGTATAAAAGGTAGTTAATTACAACCGTTCTGGATTGCTATAAAAGTGGTGGCACCGACTTCCCATACTCTTTGTGACACAGCAGTCATAATCTACTCGTCCAACTAACATCAGGAAAGTCCGCTTAGTAGTACCCGCAAGCTTGAACGACGGCCGTGTAAAGTACAATATTAGTATCAAGTATCGACTCTATCGAGTATCAATATTAGTATGGCATGATCGACGTCTGCAACTGGGACTGGGTCTGGGCTTTCACCCTTGTTGTGACGGCTGGCGGTGGCTGGTACCCACAACTTACGTCACCCGCGACAGCGCCACATACATCAGCCACAGATCGAACATGTCAATCGTTCGTCAGCTGGCGATCAGTGTAGCGGATGCGCGTCCATACTGCTACATAGGGCGTGCATCGTCAGGAAAAATGTGCCGAGCGGCTCGTACGTTCGAAAGTCATGTTGCGTCGCAGGCTTGCAGCATTGAAAAGGCCTCGTAAGCTTTCGTCCGCCTTTGAACCGCTATGCGCTTATGCCGAGACCCCCAGAAGCATCACGTCACACGCGCAAGACATGGCAGGGATTTAGACTGGATCGAGACCGGGTATCGGCATGAACTTGAAGATAGAAGCGCTCTGTGCCCGTGGTGACAGAACGACACCAACATCGACAATTTTCCAAGTCCAGCTCCCTCATCACCTACCGATTCCACCAAAAGCCAACTCGCTGGGTCGTCGTAGATTGACGTGGTAATAATTGGAGATGATCGGGGGATGGAACGCTAAGCTTTGCGCCTTTAAGACAGGAGTAGCCGAATTGGTATTGCGTCGATCGCACCCGACCAAACACTCATCCACATGGCCGATGTAATCAACATATCACTCCGTAATCTGATGCAGTATTTATCGGCTCAACGTTCTAGCGTTTACTGGTGATCGTTTTTGTCGCCATTTTCTCCATCTCACCTGATGGACAGGACCCTTGTAACAAGCCCTAGACGGCCAAGGTCCATTTTCAGCACTACACACACAAGCTGGAACTTACGCTTTCAAAACAAAATAAAGTAGGTACCGTCTCAAATTTCTCCTATGTAGCAGAAGTATACAAATCATAACCACGATGCAAATTGTATTCCCATGTCGTACGAGATTTCGTACATAGATATGGCGCACATTTCTCATCTCAACATCAATGTTTCGCAGAGGACGCTTAAAGGAAGCGAAGATCATCTTCACCCAGCGGAGCCCCATGCCAAGGAAACTTGGCAGAACTTCATATGAAGACATTTCACGCCAATCTGATTGGAGTTTGTTATACATTGATAGGATCTACTGTAAGCGCTCATATCTGCTATCCCCATGGACCCACTGCGGTACGGTCCTATTCGGGTGCCCCCTTGATAAATGGACGATTTCCGCAATCCTAGGTCGATGATTCACCCCCTCACATCTGTGGAATGGCTGACCGACAGCAGATAGTGATCAATTTCGCTGGTATGTACACATGTCACGGATATGAGATACTGGTTGACCTTGGGTAGCTGGCGGCGGGGCCGGGACCGTTGAGGCATTCGCATGCCATCCACTCGACACTATCAAGACACGTATGCAGTTGTGTCGCGTTGTCGCGAATGCTGGCGTACGTCTACATTGATATCATATTTACGAAATATCCTATAACATGTCTAGCCGAGCCTAAGTTTCATTGGAACGACTACCTCAATTGTCACCCACGAAGGAGTCTTCGCCTTATATAATGGTCTCTCCGCAGTCCTTCTGGGCATGGGACCAAAGATCGCAATCCGTTTCTCCAGCTTCGAATTCTATAAATCCTTGTTCCAAAAACCCGACCGCGCGCCCCAAAGCCACGTACTCTTCTTGAGTGGTCTTGCTGCTGGTGTCACGGAGGCTATAACCGTCCTCAACCCCATGGACGTGCTCAAGATTCGGCTGCAGGCACAGAAAGCTGCCTCTGCACAGATCTCACCCAATGCTACAGCCCCGGTGTCGGCACGCCCAAGCCTCAGTGTGGTCTTGAAGAACATGATCGAGAAAGAAGGTGTCTTCGCACTCTACCGCGGTGTCGGCCTCACAGCAGTCCGCCAAGGCACGACGCAAGCCGTGAACTTCACCGTTTATAACATCCTCAAGGATTTGCTTCGCAAGTACCAGCCCGACAAGGATGTCCTGCCCAGCTGGCAGACCATGGGAATTGGATTGTTTGCAGGCGCATCGGGCCCGATATGCAATGCACCGCTGGACACTGTGAAGACGCGTGTGCAGAGCACGACGGGTAAGTTCAGCGTGTCGCAGGTGCCGGGCATGATCGCGGTCGTAGCGAGAGAGGAGGGTGTTCGAGCGCTGTGGAGGGGGATCACACCGCGGCTATTGCGTGTTGCGCCAGGACAAGCAGTGTCCTTTACGGTATATGAGTTCTTAAAGGGCCTGCTGCAGAAGTCCGGATGAGGAAGGGCTGTGTATGGCGTACCCGCGGGTAAGCAACGCTTTGACAGGAGACGACTTAGTGTCTTACAACTTTGAAGAGCTGACGACTTGCAACGGGAGAGTAAGCATCCTAGACAGTAGCATGATAGACTGCTTCCTGAACGCCAGCTCAACCAGCGACACATTCGCATTTGAGATGCGACCTCTGCTTCAGCTCTCGGCATGGCTATTTACGATAGACCGAATACAGATTTATAGGATCATCTGCGCCACTACATTTTAGAACAAAGCTTGTCATATTTTTCAGCTGCATAGATACTCCGACCCTAGAATCTCCACTTCGATATAGACATCGTTAGACTGGGAGCGTAGTGGAAGTGCAATATCCTTTCATAGTGACTTCGGCGTAAGCACGCACCCATCCTGAAGAATCGACAGTATTCCGAGTAGTGTAGGATCAGCGGATAGCTGCAAACAAAATTTTTGTGATAATAATTTAGGTATGACCTTCCACGAATCTGAAAGCAGTCTCTGGCATTGACGAAGCTCGATTACCAAGATATTCAGTGTCCCACCAGACTTTCTCGCGCCAAAAAAACCGAGACTGGACAAACGTTTTCTTCTCCGAAAGACTCCGCGCCAAAATTCAAAGGATGTCAGAGAAGACACCATAGTATATAGAGATGGCAAGTCTCCATTCATGCACCCAAGAAAGGGACATCTTGGTCCAATACACTCCGCCACAGGTATGCGCCACAACTCATAAGAAAAGCCAAAAAATCGAAGTATGTAGCTTCCAATTATACCACATATACCTACCTTATTCCATATGTCCCCATAGCCATGACATCAAAAGAGTGTCTCCCTTCACAGCCTTCCTCAAGTACCCTGGGACTAGCAGGCGATCCTTGTGATGCATGACTCTCCTTCCTGTAACCCGAACTTAGCGGCGAAATAGATGAGCTACTCAAACTACACTTCCACTGTCTGACGAAACTCGGCGTGCTCAGACCGACACTAGACTGCCTCTCGCCGACTTTTGCGCTGGCCCACATAGCACTCAGCGGCAAGCACAGCAGTGCAGACGTCTGCACCAAGCTGTACAGCTGCGCAACATCACTGGTAAACTGCACGAGTGCGAACAGACTGGGGATCAGGAAGGTTTGCAGGCTCATGACGAGAAGGACCTGCAGTGGGCCGAATGCCCGGAGGCCGATGGTGCGGCGCTGGTAAATCGCACAGACGAGTTTGCCGCAGAAGATGAGGGACGTGGTGCAGATGGTGATGGTCAGCAAGATGTTGCATGCTTGTGGTAGCCATTGCCAGCCGGACGTGATTTCGTTGTCGACGATGGCCTTTGCGTTGATCGCGCAGAGGCAGAAACGGAATGTCAGAGTGACAAGCGCGAGCGCGAGGGATATGCATTGGATGACTATACGTTGCCAGCGATACGTTGCGATTGTAAGCATGACGCGGATCTGCAGATTGAGACTTGCGAGAATGCATGTGTACACGATGAAAGGGAGAATGGCGGCGGTGACAGATTGCGCGGTGATGGAGGTGGTGATCCGGGAGGTGTCGCCGGTGAAGTAGACGTAGGGATTCCAGTATTCGGTAGTAAAATATACTGCTTGGAGCAGATTGCGGATTGCGTTGGCAGTGAGGCCAATGCAGTTTGTGATGAAGATTATGGATCGTCGCCTATCAGATTTGGTGAGGGTGAGGAGGAGGATGAGCAGCGTGATGCTGGCACCGAATTGGCTGCCGTAGTTAATGCAGGCTCTGGTGGCATACAGCTGCCATCTCGAGAAGTCTTCGAGGGTGATAGACATAGTTTCGTACTCCGGGACGACGGTGATGTTGATGGTCTGGCTGAAGGGATCGAAGCTGCCATTAGTCGTGTCGTTCGTAACGTCCATCGTGAGTAATTCGCTCAGCGAATTGACTCGTATTAGACGGTTGAGTAGTGTGCATATGTCGAGTCGTGGATCTTCGATTTGAGTTTGGGGATGTCGCTGATGAACAATGACAAAGGGGCGAGCTTTATGACTTGAAAAGATAGTTGGCGATGGAAATAAAGAAAGCTAAGGTTATAGAAGATAGAAGAGCTTATACTGAGGTACCCGTAACTGTTCAATACAATATAGAGATGACAATACCTACTTTGGACGGCTCGTGTATCTTGACCAGGGGAACAATACGAAGCCCAATAAGGTAACTCAAGGATCCACGGGCGGGACAGGGATGTTTTTGGCGAGCGCCGTACACGAAATAATCTGATCCGCGCAGAGGACAATACTAACATATTCATCCCCCAGCCAGACCACTTTATCTTCTTCGTAACCTTGCATGAGAATATCTCAAATGGCTCCCTTTTAGGGTGTAAGCAAACATTGTGCCTATCGCGCCTGGGCTCGCATCTCGCTTGTTGGGGATGCCAAAGTCGTGATTGCTTCCCCCGTCAATCATTATTCGGCCCTTCGCCACGTGTGCCGATTGGATATTTGGTAGACTGATAGTTTCCCGACTCGCCAATAGGATCATAGAACATGGGCGTTTCTCCGATCCAAGAATGAGATATCTTCTTGCTCTAACGCCGAACTCTAGTCGTCAGAGCCAGTATCACGAATGGGCACGGCAGAAACACTGGAACTCCGACATAACTCTGTTGACCGGGGGTGTTTGGCCCACGCACGTGATCACGCGTCACGGCGCGTTTCCCTATCAGGTCGCTGAGACGCGTCTCGGCAGGTTGAGGTGCCTTCACAGAAGACGTTGACATCTCTGCACTCACATTAACGCTGGCCTCACCATTTTCATTCAGATGCTGGATAGTACCTTACTCCAGCTATGATATCTCCACGATTCGTGATCGAGAATCTGTCCACAAAGAACGTCACCGTGCTCGCAGCGCACTTGAATAGTAGATATGAAATTATCGGCCATTCTGACGATGTGCTCTCCGTTCGATTGGAAGAGGATCGAGACAGAAATATTGAAGATAGAGACGGTTTGCTTGGCATACTTGGTAAGTCGACTAAGGCAGCACATTTTGCAATATTGATATATCCCAAAGACTTCTGCCCCAACTTCGTGCTTTGCCACGCCAGAACCACCCTGATGTTGAAGCCTGCACCAACTGCTGGACACCCCAATGAGTATTCGGCTATCGTAGACCCCCAGAAGGGCGGTCCAGCAGCAGTCGCACTCAGAGATGGCGATACTTTCTACTTCTCAGAAAAAGAGTTCGCCATGCAACTAAGGATCATGCCAGAGCATAGTGTCGAGGAAATTCAAGTCACATCATCTCCCCATGGAGAGCAGGATTCAGCAAGACATACAAGTGGGAACGTTCGCGCAAACTCAAGCCGAGCGCAAGCACTTGACGGTTCTTCTCGCGTCACACCCCATGCATCTTTCATCAAGATTGATACCGTTGCTGAGACACCCACCATGATTGAAGGCCGGCACAGACACGCATCGAAGTCACCATTCCTGAACGGGGCTAATGACGAGCGTCCTCCTGCCACGATCTCAACTGAAGCTTCCGATGTCGGCAAAGCTACCCGAATACCTTTCAATCAGCGGGTTCGATCTGTCGCCGCATCTGATGGAGAGACAACAGACGAGGATTCCGAGTCTGAAAATATTGAAAACTTTGTGGATCAGAGCAAACCTGCCGTTGCAATAAATGGCGAACCGACACCGTCGGAAGATGTATTCTCGACTCCCATGGACCGCAATGGACCGACCCGAGCAGATCAAAATAAAGATCAAACAAAAGCAGTCATTGTTGAGATATCTCAAAATGTACAGTCGCAATCAAAACGGCGCGCAACAGGGGAAATCGAGAACGAGAGCAAGGGACCACCCAAGAAGAGGCGACAGAGTCAAACCTCAACTGATGACACGCCTCAGCGTGCTTTCAAACCAACAAAGAGAGGAGTTGGAAGGCCGAAGAAGGGCGCTGCTTCAGTATCATCTGTCACACCGACGAAGCCAGCAGGCTCGTCAAAGCAGTCGCCACCTGGAGCAGCAGGTTCACTAGAGGCTACTAGTCCACGTCCCCGGGTCGCTTTCAGCAGTAGTAGCAAGATACTTCGAACATCAGCCCATAGGAAGTTCTTGACAAGCGTAAAGTGTAAGGTGATCGACAACGCCTTAGATGAGGATTTCGACATCTTTTGTGTAGGCAACGATGGACTCAAAAAAACAGGCCAATTACTCATGAGCGTTGCTCTTGGACGGCACCTTGTGACTGATCATTGGGTCACGGAGAGCAGTAAGACTGGCTACCTCCTTGCAGCGGAACATTTCCTTCCAAGTGACCCAGAACATGAAGATGAATGGGGCATGCGTATAGCGGATATAGCTGGAGACTGTCGCACCGAGCTCTTCGCCGACATCATCGTCTATATCACACCCGCGGCGAAAAAGGCTTACGGCGCTGGCTTTAAAGAGATCGAGAAGGTTTTAAGGACAGCTGGTGCTAAGGAAGTGGTATCTGGCTCACATCGAGATCTCGATGAGGAGACTAAATATTGCGTCATTGTCAACGAGAAGTCGGACTATGATGCTTCCGCATTACAGCAGGCCGGACACAATCTCTATTCCAAGGACATCATCTCGCTCAGCATACTCCGAGGACACTTAGATCTGACCAGCGCCGAGTTCCGAATTGAAGTTGAATCAGCAAAGAAAGGTGGAAAGAAAGGTCGCTGAATATACTGCTTAACGCAGCCCTCATTCTAGCTTTATGACACCCCAAGTAACAGAGAGTATGATTGCATGACATGATATACAGCATTACAATAACATACGACCTCAGACGCGATACTGTTTCCGAAAGTGACAACGCCGAAACCCAGCCCCGCGTGCTCAGATCGAGACTAGGTGCGTCCAGTCAATTTACCAGGATTTCAATCGGGAGCGGCCACATAGAATAGACCGCCTTGGCGTGCTTCAAATCGTCGGTCTTGCATCAGTACACAGACAGTACCAACGCTGCGAACTGCAATAACCATATATTGAGACATGGAATACGAGACCGCTCTGATTACTATATTGGGAGCGAAGGATTTCACTTCCGCTGTCCCGACATCGTCACGCCTTTACTCCACCAACAGAACTTGTACATCGAATAATAAGGGTATTCATACCGCTCGACATAGATACCAAGATCAAATGCAGCTAAGTAACATGTGGAGAGTGAGGTCAAAGAGCGTTTGCTGTCTCCCTCTTGAACGGGTGAAGTCAAATTTGCCAATGGTACCAGCAATGGTGTAGCTGTTCACCCGTCAATCAGGGCCAATCACTTGTAAGATCACACCTTAAATCTAAGTATGTACTATTCCAATGAAAACAAGATGTCATGCGTTATAGAAGTGTCAGTCCAGGGGCCCGTCTATATATGAGATCGCCTTTGCTGCCTTCTGCGGATATGACATGGATAGTATCATCCGGCCCGTGACGCCGACTCGTTTATGCATTCTCATCTATCGGCCATGTCAACTCTCCTGTCGATGTTCTTCGCGTCTTCTACGTAGCTTACTATGCATCTGTGGCCCGCTCATTTGTGTTTCATCTATTTCCTTGCCAAGGACTCGGTTTCAAGAGAGCAACTGAGGACCGCAAAATACAAATCTTGGTACAAGTGATAAGGACATTCCTGGGCTTTAAGAGTGCGCAAACATCCTTTCTACAAATTTTCTTTCTCGATATCAAGCACACATCTCCTCACGTGGGTCACCGTTTGACCTCCAACGGTCACAATGTTGTCCCTCGCCCTGACTGTGACTGCTCTAGCAGCGTTTATCTCCGCATCTCCAGCAGACTTGTACCCCAATCCATTCATTAACAAGGCCCAATTTGTGAACCCGGCCTACGCTGCCAAGCTGAACACCACAATCGCCTCCTTCGAAGCCAAGCACGATACGCTCAACGCGGATCGGACACGCACGGCGCAAAACATCAGCACCTTCGTCTGGGTCACAAGGGCAGTAGACATTGCCGCCATTCCTGTTGCTGTCACCGCGGCTCGCACCGCGCGATGGAAGACTGGTAAAGACCAGATCATCGGGCTTGTCCACTACAATTTACCAGACCGTGACTGTAGCGCCGGCGAGAGCGCGGGTGAGTTCAGCTCGGCTAAGAATGGACTTGAGCTATACAAGAGGACCTTTGTCGACAAATTCGCCATGGAACTAGAGAAGGCGCGTGATTTGACGTTCGCGGTCGTTCTGGAGCCGGATAGTCTGGGGAATGTGGTTACGAACCAGGGGATTGAGTTCTGCAAAAATGCAACGAAGGTGTATGAGGATGGCCTCGCGTATGCGATTCAGAAGTTGCAGTATTCGCATGTTCATCTGTACGTTGATGCTGCGCATGGGGGATGGCTTGGGTGGGATGATAACCTTCCTCTTGGTGAGTACATCTTCGGCCATGATGCTCTTCCGTCCCGCTGATGGACATCTTTTTTCTATGAACCTGAATTCATGACTAACTTGGTTTGTAGCCGCTGCCGAATTCTCCAAAGTCATCAAAATGGCCGGTCCACACTCCCGCATTCGCGGCTTCTCCACCAACGTCTCGAACTTCAACCCCTATATCGCCAACCCCCGTGCCAACTACACACAGTACTCAAACTCATACGACGAGCTCCACTACGCACAATCCCTAACGCCCCATCTACTCAACAACTCGCTCCCTGCACACTTCATCATCGACCAGGGCCGTGCCGGGCTGCAGAATCAACGGGCGGAGTGGGGCGAGTGGTGTAATGTCAAGGCTGGGTACGGGCTAAGGCCGAGCGCGAAGACTGGGAGCGAACTTGTGGATGCTATTGTGTGGGTTAAGCCTGGGGGCGAGAGTGATGGTAAGTGTGGGCTCGAAGGAGCGCCGGGATCTGGGCAGTGGTTTAATGCGTATGTGGAGGGACTGGTGAAAGATGCGAATCCAGTGTTGGATCCTTTGAAGTAGCGTTGGCGATCAGTTTCCTAGCTCATATACAGGAAATTTCGTACGGGTTGGATGACGGCGCACATAATTGTCACCACACATAGAACTCTATTATATATAGATCGTCGCTCCGTGTAGCCCATTTAGACTGTTGCCATGAATAGACTGTTGCTAGGTTGGAGATCCCCTAACGGAAGACATAACGCGGCGTGAATCGCTGTAACTTTCTTCGTGTATGTTCCTGTCAGAAAGTTCTACCTACTTACTCAAACCATGAAGGCTCATGTACAAGTGAACAGTTATAACAACAACTCACTGTGTCGCCCTCGCTAGCAATCGGACCCCCCCCCATTTCACTTGATCTACAGCAATAGCTTCATTATGGATCAGTTGACCACTCATGTTATGCACTGCCTTTCGCTCACGCTCAAGTGAACAGTTGACTGTCTCGTACTTCTACGTCAGCCTTTCGCTCTTCTCTCGTTCTTGCACCATCGTCACTTCCTCATTGACCTGATCTGTATCTCTACAGACCCAATGAAGAATCCTTTGAAAGACTATAAAATTGCCGTTACTGGCGTCCTTCGAGGTAATAAGCCCGAGGACATGAAGAAATGGATTGAAGCAAATGGCGGCAAATGGCACCCAAATGTCACAAGCGAGACCACTCATCTCCTCTGTTCGGATAAAGCATTCGAAACGCGAGCCACCTCAGGTAGAGTGCCTTCTCTCTCCTCTCTCGTGTCCGCAATGTCTAACAGAGCCTGCCAGTTCTCACGGCAGTGAAGTTCAACAAAGCCAAGATCGTAACATACGACTGGCTCGAAGATTGCCTCATCAACAACGCTCGTAAACGGGAAGGCCCATACTTGCTGCAGAAGCAAAAACAGGTCACCGAGAAGCTCAAGCATGAATCCAAAGCCGCTGCGAGAGCAAAAGAGAAGCGTGCAGTACAGGAAGATGGTTCGCGCTTCCCTTCCTTCACTCGGCCCCCTTTCCCGTCTTCTTTCCGTGTAGATTTCGCTGACATTGCAACAGCAGCTGTATTCGAAGCAGGCTGCGTATCGGCAAAAAACGAATTGATGTCCGGTACGTTGTCCCACCTCGAGGAGATCAAGGCCACAAAGGCAGCAAATGCCGCCATCGTCAAAGCCGCACGAAAGGCGTTTCTGAAGAGCAAGAAAGACGCCGTCCAGCGCAAGGCCAAGGACTCGCTGTCCGCATCCTCTATATCTGTAGAGCCTGCAAGCGCGCTTCAGCTCAGTGCGTCTGCCGGTCCCGGTGCGTCTTAAATTCTTGTTCATACTCTGTGTCCTCCCCCGAACTTGGAGATCTATTACATGCTAGCATCTAAGCTGTGTAGCGAACATGCCGCTAATGTCTCGCTTTGCCTAGATAATCACCACGTTTACCGCGATGCCACAGGCTTCGACCTCGACATCATGCTCACGCGCATCTCATTCGCCTCAAACACAAACGAGCGCTACGCCCTGCGTGTCTACGAGTCGCATACCCACCCACACACCTACGCGCTGACCGTGCGCTACACCCGCTCGCACACCCTGCCTGTCACTCGCACTCTCGTGCCTATAAGTTCGTCCTTCGCTGACGTCTTCGGCACATTCTGTGCGTTCTTCAGGGCGAAGACGAGGCTGCATTGGGAGAATAGGTTCGAGAAGAATTTGAGGGACACAGTGACTAAGGAATATGTGGACGGGTATGGCGGCGAGGAACAGGCCGTGAGGATGGGGATCTTGAGTGTTGCGAAGGGCGATACGAGGTTGTGGCCATTCGAATATTATCCGCCTATGGAGGGGCCACAAGGAGTGCTCGTGGAGGGACTGTCCGTGGACATGAAGGAGAAGTATATGAAATTCGACATTTGAGCCGTAGACATGGACTATGCGCGTTTCACGGTTGTGGTTGAGTCAGAGTTGAGTGATTTGGGGGGCTAGGATAGACTATATGCGGACGATATTTGGGGAGAAGGAATGTTTTTTTTCGCAGGTTGCGCTTGGGTGTCACATCATTTATCAATAAAGAACCCGATCTCGACGGGTGTCATGCAAAATTTGGATCTGAAATGGGTCATGAGCGTTCATCTAAATTGGAAAGAATTAGCACAGCTCAGAAAGCACGCACAAAGAAACGCTTAAGATATAGTTTGCATTTCGTGTCATTAATGTTCAACTTGTTTATCCGTCTATGCTGCATGCACAGCAGATATGAAAGCCTGGATCTTGGTCAGGTCTTGCTTGCCGTCGGTCTCCACCCCACTGCTCACATCAACGCACAAAACTCTGTTGCTTAGTTTACCAAGACTCTTAAGTACAGTCTGGATGTTGTTCGGATGTAGTCCACCTGCCAGGCTGATCTTTATATCTGGATCCGCCTCCAGCACCTCGGTGACTTTTGTTGTGTCTAGTAGCTCACCCGTCCCGCCAATACCAGAGTCCAGTAGCGCAAGTGCGTGGTAGCCCCTGAGCCCCAAACCTACATCCTCAGGTCGAAAGCTTTTAATGACAGGTACGGGAATCAACCGTGCCCATTCCAGCGGCTCTGAACCATGAAGTTGGACGACATCTAAATTCAGTGCTTTCGTTTGCTCGATAACGTGCTCCAGAGGTTGATTTCGGAAGACACCGACAAGCAGTGCGCGATTTGGGTGCAAGAGGTGCTCGGCGGCAGTAAAGTCGAACCATTCGCGCGCACCCGAAGCGTCAGTCTGGGTTGGCGGTAGACGGACGTTTGGACGGGGTGTGGCATGCACAGCCGCCGAGATCGCGATTGCGTCTTTTGTGCTGACAGTGCGTGTGCGGTTCTCGGCGAGGATCATACCGATAAAATCTGCACCGGCCCGAATGGCCGTTTTGGCGGCGTCGACAGTCCTAGTGCCGCATATTTTGACCATAGGAACTCCGGAGCCTTGTATTGAGGGTGCAGCAGCTGCGGGGGAGGCCTCGAGGAGCTCACGGATGAAGACGGAAGTGTCGGCAGCGCGCATAAGGGCCTCACCTATGAGAACGGCGCCGACACCAGATTCAGCATAAGACTGTACGTCTCTTGGACCATTGATACCGCTGAGAGCGCAGAGCGTGGTGTCCGAAGGCACGAATGAGAGAAGGCGGTTCGTGGTTTCCATATCAACTTCGAAGTTGACAAGGTTGCGATTGTTGACACCAATGACCTTAGAACCAAGCGTGACCGCGACTTTCATTTCGGCTTCATTCTGTACCTCCACGAGGGGCTCCATGCCGAGAGACTGAGAGTAAAGATAGAGACGCTTGAGGACAGGCTCATCAAGCATCTTAACAATAAGTAGGACCGTGTCAGCACCAGCGAGACGGGCCTCTAGGATTTGATATTCGTCAAATATGAACTCCTTACGAAGAACTGCAGGGCGATTGGGCATGCCTTCGAGACTTTGTCGTACAGCGCGAAGGTCTTCGATACTGCCCTTAAACCAATGTGGTTCAGTGAGGACTGATATCACACTGGCCCCTGCTAAAGCATATTTGCGGGCTTGCTCAGGGGCACAAGCTGAAAGAGAGATTATACCTTTAGATGGTGACGCTCTTTTGATTTCCGCCATTAGTGAACAGCGGTATGCAGATTGCTTCAGCCGCTTTGGAAATGAGATCTGAGGTGGTGCGAGATTGAGTCGGTATGATGCTTCAAGGTCAGCAGACCGTTGAGATGGTATTTCTTTTTGCGTAGCCACATCTTGCCTTCGTTGATCATAGATTCTTTCTAGTATAGAAACTTTCTTTGTGCCATTGGTTTCTTGACTTTCTGTAGCTGCTGTTGCACACTTCGTGGCAGCCAAGCTTGTCATGTGTGCGTTCTCTGCCCAAGTTCCACCTTGCATTTTTAGAAAATTCCTCAACATGACCCGGCCTTCTGCGGTCAGGATACTCTCCGGATGAAACTGAACACCTTCGACCACGAATTCTTTATGGCGAACACCCATGATTACGCCTTTGCCACCGTCCGGGCCAGCGGCAATCCACGAAGTAACTTCCAAACATTCTGGTAGTGTTGGGTGTGTTCCAGCAAGAGAGTGATACCGAGTCACTGGTATATCTTGTGGTATGTCTACGTAGAGGCCCTTAGTATCATGGCGCAAGGGTGAAGTCTTGCCGTGCAAGATCTCGCCAGTGACATCGACGCGGCCGCCGAAGGCAGAGTAGATGCACTGTCTATAGCACTCTTAGCAGATACAGAGAGTATAGAGATCATCCTGTGCTCACTCTCCCATGCATACTCCCAGGATCGGTATTTTGCCGCTGAAATGGCTTATAGCAGCTTTGCTGATGCCAGAATCTGTCTCTGGGTGACCAGGACCAGGGCTGACCACCAGTTGGGTTGGTTTCTTCTCAATAAGCTCTTGAAGACTGATTTCATCATTACGATACACTGTCACGGCGGCGCCTTCAAGGACAAGATACTGGTACACATTCCAAGTGAATGAGTCGTAGTTGTCGATCAAGACCAAGTTGGAGGCAGTCGCAATTCGCGGCGCTGGTTCTGGATGACTAGGCGAATGATCAATCAAGTCCTGTCCAGTCATTTTGGAAATATTTTGGCAGTCTACAGTGTTGCAGCGTAGCAGCGTTGCAGTGCTCTAATAAAGATCAGTCGACCCGCAGACACCGACCTCACAGTCATAACTCGCAATAATAATTCAGGGCACGGGCCCACTAGGTGGAATATGACCAGCCCTGCCAAGACATCGAAGCTACCTAAGCGCTATCAGAGCTCTTGGGATGTTTTGGTTTGCGCGCTCTACAACTTTTGCGACGCGACATCTCTAGATCCAAGAACCCAAACCGCGACTTCGATATAATGCTTCCACAGTGGAGAAGCTCCTGATTCCATGGCAGCTGCTCTGCGATTTGATCTGGAATCTCTGCTCGCCGCAACATGGCGTCACAGAATCGAGCTCCGGATTATCTGCCGCCGCTGAACGACTGCTTCAGCGGCGAAGCAATCATCCTGTGTGTACTGCTCGACCCCATTCGATTTGGAAGCTAACGTAGCTTAGCTCCTGGGTGGAGGCCTTTCTGGCTTTGTGCGATCTCGATATTCTGAGTCGAAAGTATCGGAGGAGTGCCGACAAGGCGGCCGCGCAAGTCAAGTACCCAAGTGGCATAGAACATTTCCTCACCCAGGGGCCTAGCAGAGAGATCCTGCGCCGAAATCTATATCCTTTTCAAAAATGCAGTCCGGACACGAAGAAGGCGTTTGATGCGACGACTGCGCCGATCAATGTAACGCCTTCAGACACATCTAAAACGCTCATCGAGGACAGCTTATGGCTTTCCAAACAGACTGGGATCGACGAATCTGCAAGCTTGAGAGTTGCCCTAATAGAGTACCAGGATAGATCACGGATCCAATTGGCATCTGGGTTGACCGAAGAAGAAGCTGTGGGCATACAAGAAGCATGGAAGAACTCTAGTCTGAGAGGGCCTAGTTTCAGCATGAGCACTTCTGTATTAGGAATACCTACGAAGACTGAAAGGCAAACATTCTTATCTACAGAAAGGAGAAAAAGAAGGCTATTAGAAATTTACATGGCCGAAAAGAATGCAATACTTGCTGTTGGTAAGCTTCTCCTTCAGCATGCCTTGTCAGATGGGCTAGACTGCCTTCCCTGGGTCAGTTCACTGTCAAAAGATATTGCCGATAGCCAAGGATTGGAGATACCGCCCACGCAAGATGGCCCTGTAAGGATAAATGGCACAGTCACGAAATTCATACCTACCGGCATAGCAGCCTTGCGCGCAGCAGTCTCCAATGCCGCCATCTGTCCGTGGGAAATGGTATCTGACGAAGGAGATTTCATTGTTCTGTGGGGTTCACAGCAAATGACAGAAATGATACAAATTTTGCAGTATCTCTTCATTCATGTGTCGGCGTCCACAGTCCCTCAAGAGGCACAAGATGTCGCTTCCTGGTATTCCTACATGGCGGAGTCCGAGTTTTTCGCACGATACGAACCTGTAAGTCAATCGCGTTGTGCCCAATCACACCGGTGCTCTAACGCATATACAGCCCGCGAGTCAGCAGAGCATTTCGCATTTTCAACTGCTCATTTCTAGTATCTCTTTGTCTATTCTGAGCACGCAAGCTACTATCGTTAATGCCGAAGACTATGCGGCAGCATTGGTCGAGTCCGCCGACAATAGGAACATCGCGAAACACCTATATTTTTCGGATATTGAGTGTCTCCACATCATACACGAGGCTTTATCAAAGGCTTCAGGGTCTGGTCCTAGCCCAGCGACACCGGCTATCTTGGCTTGGAGTCTTATATCACGAGCTTTACTGTTTCAAAAGGAGAATATCGAATCTACCACGTCACTTGGTATCGATGATAGCCCTGAAGAACGACGTCAATCTACCTCTATTCCCACGGTCTTCGATGAATTCTCAAATTTTATGAATCAGCACCGTAGCGACGACGACCCACACCCAACGATGCTCATTGCGATGTCAAGTATTCAGGACGGCAGGGTTTTTCAGCTCATCGTGGGTTTCATGTCTTTGCTCGCATCTGCTTGCGGATCTCATAATGAGCTCGTTATTGAATCTCATATACGAAAAGTTTTCCTGGAACTTATCGGCGAAGCCGTTGGCATCGTTCAATATTCTCAAGAGATCGTTCTTGCCACTCTAGCTATCCTGAATGCGGCTTTTACTCATGATTCCGACAGCGTAGCCTTAGCCACAATTAACGCAGTGCAGTACCTCCAGAAGAACGACCTCCTGCGCGAGGAGATTCTTGGCAAAGCATTACTGCGCTTCCCTTTCGAGATCATACCAGCACTCAAACTTGGTCGGGCAGCAATGCTAGTGCGGAAAGACGACGAATCACCTGAGTCTTTCACAGAGCTACGCAACATGAAAGCGTTCACTTTATCTGTTCCAACACGTCAATATCAAGTCCTTTTCCAGACAAGAGAGGACGAGCACGGAAATCCACGGGCTCGTCTGGACGATGAATTACGACTCTTCGCTCCATTGACCAGCTCCAAGACCAGCTGGCGCAGTCGACGTGAGGGTTCGCCCGCTGACACACTCTTGATAGTTCCTGCTGGCTCCGAAGGCTACTTGAGTCAAGGTGAAGGGGCCCATGTCGTCTCACTGGAATACGAATACAGTGCGATCGACTATTTAGCCAAGCTGCTCTCTACAGCTACTGCGAACGCCGATTCCGTGGCGACCATGTCAGAAAGTGCACCAGACCTCGAAGTTATATGTGAATCGGTCGCTTTCTTCACATCTATACTCAGTACTCAAGCAAAGACAGAAAGTGCAGAAGGTAGCGCACTAAAGATACTCGAGCAAGCCCAAGTGACTATCGACTCTGATGGTGATCTGATATCAGTAGTACTCGACATTTTCGAAAAGAATCTGAGGAGCGACAAACTGCGCACTGATAGCGATCTGACAGTTGAGCTTTATAGCAACTGCGTTGCGTTTCTGGACGTCTTGCTGCTCATCCAACCAAGCAGAGTGTGGTCTTTCCTAGCCCGCACGCAGTTCCTCGAGCTGCATCGCAGTAACGTCAATCTAGCATCTATCATTCTGGCTGTTGAGACTGTGCTCGGGCAGTATGATTTGCTGTTGAGCTGTATTCGACTGACGAGCTCTTTGGTCGAGAATGCAATTTCTACCACGATAAAGCCTGCCGTATCCACCAAAGCATTGTCACGATTTGGCTCTGTGCGGTCACGAGCCGCCCCCAGCCCGGCCAAGTCGCAATCGTCAGTGATAGCTACCTTCCTGAAGGTCTTCACAGGCGCGTTAGAGTCACTTCCTAACTGGCGATTCAACGACCCGACGGATCAGCTTAAAATCAACACGTCTCTTATGCTTCTCTTCGACAAAATACTCACTTATACTTACGGCTTCGATGATCCGACCAAGGAAAAAGGACATGTTGGTGAAGTCATGTTTCCTTCCGCAAAATACCTTTTGGATATATATCTATCGGTTTCGTCGAATGAGATGGCTGTATTACCAACATTGAATCTGCTGGCTACGGGGTTGAAAATGAGTCCTTCGCCTGTTCACATGCAAACCTACGAGCTTGTCGTCACTCAAACGAAGGCTACGCTATCGTTCAGCACAACACTGCTTCGTGTTGGTACTTTGATGAATCACCCTACGTCAAGATTTGAACAGCTACTGTTCAGATCAGCGCCTATAATCATCCGACTGTTTGCACGTCTGGGCTCGTGTCAATCCAATGTCCTCAAGCTTCTCACGGCCATGATCGAAAGCGGAGGTAGGATGTCGGACGACCCGCCCTCGTTACTTGGTCACCTTGGAACAGATACCGCGAAATGTTTCTTGCAACTCATCTCATCGTATCCTCGGCGACTTCACCAAGATAACACGGGCGTCAGCCTTTGGACTTTCCTGACCACCATTATCACTGCCCGGCAACAGTGGCTTACCGTCTATTTACTGACCGGTAAATCTCCTCGAGAATCTTTCAAATCTACCACTACGGCGTCGTCCGCCGAACAAACTAAACCTGTCTTGCAGGTAGCGTTAGAGAAGGTGAAAAACCTGAGCAATATACCTGAGCAGGAGGCTCTCGCAGTTTTGAGGTTCTTGTCCGCCGTGCAGAGCTACGTGCCATGGGCGCTTGTCAAGCACGAAACAGAATATAGGACATCGAAAGATAGCATGGTCAGCACTCTCAGCAACATGCAATGGGATAGCAAGAGCAGTAAACAAGAAGAGAAAGCGTATCAGCTCTCTATAGCGGCCATCATCACTGAAATTCTAGCCATGGAGATTCACGATGCCAGGAACCGAGGAGCAAAGGTAGATACACGATCTTTGTACCCACACTTACATCTTCTCCGTAATAATGGTGTGGAACCCCCGGCATTCAACAACTCCCTTCACGCAAGTCTACAGAAGAATCTGGAAACCAAATTCCCGGGCAGTAAATTGGAGCGCTTCAAACATACGTCAGTTACTGCAACATATCTTGGGACCAATTATTGCTACGATCTCGATCTAGCAACAAAATTACTTGGTGGCGACCAAGCGTGGAAGCAGAATAGTGAAGACGGATATTGGCACGAGTTCTGTCGGGCCAATATCAACCTATCATTCGTTGAGTCCCAGATCATGCTTCTCAACAGCTGGAAGCTACTGACTATCGAACTAAGTCACGCCATCTCAGATGATGATCAATGGACACAAGCATTGGTACAAACAGCTAGGGACTGTCTGAAAGCTAATGCCGAATCACAGCTTCCAGAGGCACTCTTCGAAAGACTGTCATCCGTTCGCGTTGACTTTGCTTTCGCGTTGATTCAGAAATTGGTCAACATGAAATGCGGGGATCCGAGTGCTCTCGAGTTGGTCAAAACGGTATGGGACACCATGACTGCGAGCGTGCCAGACTTCAACAATGTGTTTGCCAGTCCCACCGCGGAGTACTATCGCTCACTCCTAAGAGTCCTATTCCTGACATTGCAATTTCACGTCTGGAGCCCAGGGGATAGGGGCAATACGAAAGGCCCCAAACAAAAAGCCTCGGAGCTGCGAATGACTATCGATGTAACACCGATTCTGCTCGAGATTCTCAATACAGTCATTGCGACTGGTTTCCGTTGTCTTGCGAATATGTTACATGAAGACTCATCACTCTGCTCACCGACTGATTTTGTGCTCCTGACGGCAATACTTCAAAAGCTTCTGCTGGTCCCAAGCATAAGAACGATCCAGCACGATATTGCGTCTGACATTGCAAAGAGTGAGACTTCACGATATGCCACTACGTTATTCTCATGGTCAGATCGTCTTTCTGCGAATGATGGGGACCCTCTGTACGGAGAGCTGAGTATACTATTCCTTCTCGAGCTCTCGATCATCACGCCTGTAGCAGAACATCTTGCTATAGAAGGAGTCTTGTCTCAGTTGAATGATGCAGCTATCATGGAATACTTGCGCCGTCCCAACGGAACTGGTCCTTTCGATCATCCGCCACGCATGTTTTCCATCTGGACTCGAGGAATCCTTCCGCTTTGTCTGAATCTCCTCCATGCTGTAGGACCGCCTATCGCTGCTGAGGTCGCCACTTTCCTTAACCAGTTTCCTGGACAACTCGAACGTGCTGGTACGTCGCTCAGCGGCCGGATCGCACCGTCAGTCTCCAATCCCAATGTTGGCAGGATCACGTTAGGCATGGCATCCGAGGCACATTCGCTTTCCCTGATCTCGTTGCTGCTCGATCAATACCGCCTGAGAGGTACATCGGAAGGAATTGTGGCGGGCGAGGTGCCATCCTTAGACTGGGACAGGATGGGGGTGAAGGAGGATATTGACGGTTGGCTACAAGGCAAACGGGGCTTGCGCGACAGGATAGTGCCTGCCAATGAGAAAGAGCTCGAGTTTCTTGGGGTGAGAGCATCAGATGCAGCATCCGAGAGTAAGCTTGAAGAACGTATCATTGCCGAATTTGCCGGAGCATTGGAATGTTTGAATATGAACATACAGAATTGAGCGAAAAGTTAATAATGTTGTAAGTTGAATGCATTTGCGCGGCGCTGGACGAATTGAAATAGAGGCTCGCTCATGGAGTTCGAATCAGACCTGTACCATGCCTATCCTTAAGCTACATACGTGCTGAACATTACAATGTGTACTGTGCACTGGTTATAGTTGTTTACTCCATGTCGAATAATGCGTCCGTGGTATATGCCCACGAATCACCGGCAGATGCTGATGCAAAGAAGACTATAAATTGCTTTGATGGGCTATTGTACTTCCGAATCAGGCCTAGATCCCGCAGTTCTGCTGAGCCCAGCTCAGGTCTGCAGCGACCTGCGCCTCCGCTTCCACGCACTCTTTGCCCGCTTCCGGGTTATGTCCGTCCCGTTCTTTTCACGACGTTAGTATCATTGCACATCTACAAATATCTGCTCCAGTCCGCAGTTTTGACACTGGGGAATACACTCCGTCGACAGCCCGCTACCGTAGCGTTGATTGAACTGGTTCAGGCATCCAATTTCCAGAAGTTCTTGGCGGCGCGCTTAGAATCTCCTTGGATCTTCGTTTGCTACCAAGCTTACCCTTGCCTTCTTTCACCTTGCAGCATTTCGCGCGAGCGCTTCTCCATCATCATCAATTGCGCAACTTCTGCCGCGACCCGCATCTCATCCCTTCTACTTCCAGGCGATCATCTATTCATAGTCTCGTCGCCATGTCATATAATCAATACAGCGGCAATCCTTATGGCCAGACGGGCGAGAGTGGTTACGATGCAGGCAATCGCATGGAAGGTGGCTACGGATCTTCCAACCCATACGGTGGCCAGGGTGGATATGGATCATCAAACCCATATGGTGGTCAAGTACGTGCACCGTATACCAGGACTTGCAATTGTATCACTGACAACTACGTAGCAGCAACAAGGGCGCGTAAACCAACCACCGCTTCAGCACGAAACTTCAAACTATTCGCAACAAGACCACTACGTGGCAGCAGGCACGCAGCCAGGACTGAACTCGGTGCCTGAACAAATGGGACCGCAGCCATTGTCCCGCGAGGAATACTTGGAGAGGATCGACATGGTCAAACAGCAGATTAACGAGCTCACACACAACATCTCTGAAATCGGCAACCTTCACCAGCGCATGATTGCCAGCCCTGACAATTCGTCTAGTGCGAGACTCGAAAACCTGGTGTCTCAAACACAAATTCTAAATACGAATATCAAGGACCAGATTAAATATCTCGAAAAAGATGCTTTGCGGAGTGAAGGCAACAAAGTCAAGGATAGCCAGATCAGGAACCTGAAAAAAACATTCCATGCGCAACTATTGGACTACCAGAAACAAGAAAACTCATACGAGCAAAGATACAGAGAAACAATCGCGCGACAATACCGCATAGTGAATCCTGACGCGACTGATGCTGAAGTCGAGGAGGCTACAAATGCGAATTGGGGTGACGAGGGTATCTTCCAGACCGCCGTAAGTTTCCAGACCACCAGGTTGTGCGCACTGATCATGAATCTACGACACAGCTCAAAACCAATCGCGTCGGCCAGGCCAACTCGGTCCTTGGCGCCGTTCGCGCCCGCCACAACGACATAGTTAATATTGAGAAGGCCATGACCGAGCTTGCGACTCTCTTCATGCAGCTAGATGAACAGGTCACCTATCAAGAGCCGCTCATTCAGAATATCGAGCAACAAGCAGATGCCGTTCACGAAGACACTAAGAAGACCAACGTGGAGCTCAAGAAGGCGACCGAACACGCGCTTCGCACCCGTAGGATGAAGTGGTGGTGTGTCGGTATTGTTCTAGTCATCCTTGCTATCATTGGTATTGTGCTCGGTGTGTATTTTGGCGCCGTCAATCCTCCAGGCAACAACAACAACAACAACAACAACAACAACAATGGCAATTAGCGGCCATCGAAGACGGTAAATACATGTCACTCAAGATCAAAAGCGCCAATAGTATATTTGCGTCAGCAGTATGACCACACAGTGAGGGCCAATGCGTGGGCAGTAAGAAAAGGCATGTCATGGCAGATTGGGCAAATGACTTTTCATAGTTGGGCGTTTTGTGTCTTCAGTGTACACCAGAGGTCTGTACTGGTTTCTGGCTACGTACTGGTTAATAATTAATACCCCTATCTCTTCGCATCGCTTTTCCCAATGCAGTTCTGTATTGATGAAGCATGTCAGACGTCTAATTCGTAACACCCACGTTCAATGTGTTGATAGGTCTCTTGAACAATTTGATGTGACTGCTGTCTTTTCACAAGCTGTCAGGCCTGTCATAAGAGTCCTGTTGAGCCGCTTCACATGTCTGCCACATGCGGAGCTGATATGTCCAAATGTAGTTTCGTACGCTCTGTGTATCATACTCCGTTCGTTGTTCTCTATTTACACTGCCATGCTGCAGTTAGTTTTCCACCAAAAATGGCCATTTCAGACGTCGTATGATCATCTGTAACAGCACCAACAGCACCTCTCAGTCCACAGACAGCTCTGAGAATAGGGCAGGGGAGACGTTGCAGTGTATGCTCTGAGCCGCTAGGTAGGCCCTAAGAACATACCTCTAGTAGTATATATATATACCACCCTCACTAGTACCAAAGCCTTTCGTGCTCGACATAAAGGATATCATATTCATCTATATAGATGCAGCTCACATGCTCACTTCGTACCTCTGTCGTGGAAGCATCTATATCAGATACCGGTCTCGAAGTATCCTTGTTCTATTGAATCAAGAGCTTCTCGCAGACCCTCAAAGAGACTGTTCATGTCCTGTGCGTTGGACTGGAGTCATGTTAGGGATGGTGTTGATCGTTATCATATATGTGTGATGGGGATCGTGGGCGGCAAGTGTTGTCGGGGCATAAGGATGTGATGCCCATGTGAGTCCACTGGCTTTGTGAATGGCTTTGGTCCCTGGCTTGGCAGCTACTTCACTATCTATATCTAAACGTAGGTTTCGTGGCCTCTGCAACACTCATACCTGCTGCGTCCTTGTGGGACATGTGGGCAGGGGATAGATGTGTGGTGTGTCGAGGACATGATGGTCCGACCACCTATTCCATGACTTTACTCGCGTCGGCAAGGCCGAAGTTTGACGCGAAGCGCAGGTAGCGTTGGTGATGATTTGCAGCATATGAATACGATACCGCTCAGCACCAGCCGAGTTTAGTGCTCGTATCACACGTCATCTCCAAGGAGATGCAGGCGTGGACGGCATCACTATCGAACGGAGATAGGTCCGAGTCATTTCACAGCGAGGACGGAAGCCCATCAACCTATCTCAGCAGGGTAAGCGTCGATATCACAGTCATTGCCAGACGACGGAGGATAGCGACATTCAAATTGTGCTTTCTCAAGGAGTGAATACTACTTATGAATTGGAAGGGGTAGTACTCGAAATACCAAACCTCAAATAGAAAGTGAAATTCTAGGCTACAATTACAAGCTCTGTTACGCGATCAAGCACTGTCCTATTTACACAATTACCACTTGCATTAACTAACCACTGCTGGGTAAGACGTGTCTTATCCACCCTCTAGGTATGTGTACGTATCCTATAAAAATCCTATATAACCCATCAACAACACCCTGTTCCACACCATCCCAGAACCACTACCCAAGCGCCCCTTTACTATCATGGCGTCCTATGATCTCCACCATCCAAAGCCTGAATTCTCGGATTCATGCTCCCCTGTTCCTCTTTCGCATCAAGGCAAACAGATCTTGTATCTGTTCCCCACGGACGCAGTCCTGTTCATGGGGTTGTCATACTTGTATCCGTGGACATCGCCTGCCATGCTCTTCTTCGGTGCTTTATCGTTGTGTTGATGATCGTCATAGACGTGTGGTGGTGGTGGTGGTGGTGGTAGTGGTGATGATGATCATGATCTGATAACGACGCTCGCCGGCACGCTTTCCGTGACAATGAGAATAGTGTATATATGATGCATGAACCCGGGCCCGCACACACTCGTCGCTGTATCTTGCATGAAGGCATGTGCATAGTGTTTCAGGATGGTTCAGAATGCAGGCAGCGACCGACGAGGAAGCGTGTCTTCCTCTGCTAGTAGGATGAACTATCAACATCAATATGATATATCATCACACGAAAATACACCACGGAAACTTCAAGGAGGATATTATATATTGTGAGAATGATTGAGAGGAATGTGACGTAACCATGTTATATGCCGGGTAGATGCAGAGCGGGGGGTTTATGATGGTTGGTCTATCTTATGACATATATATATATTATGCGGATATCTGCACCACAGGTTCTTCGTAACGACGTTCAGGGGCGACTGATACATATCCTGCCTGGGCTTTTTGCCAACCGATGTTCCATGCTTCTAACGATGTTGTTGTGGTATGTGACTTTATTAGTCTCTGTCACGTTTACGATTCCGTTAGAGACGGTAGAATAGCTCTGCGCGTGCGTGCGATTGTGCGATTATTAGGGTTTTAGCGTATGTCTCATTTACGGAACCCATTGTTACGTGATGATGAACGGGATGGGATGGTCATGGTGTTATGGTGGTGAACACTATCGTTCAGATGCCCTTCATCTAAAATGCTTGTTCTGTGGTGTATGAGATTCTGTTTGGCTAGTTACTGAGCAAGATTAATCGAATAGTGTACACTCGCGACCCAATGTCCGTATTCTGTCTCCAGCGCCATTCGTTGATCACCATCATATACATATAACTACGATAAGCAAGCATCTACAGTCTAGATCTTGAAAACTTCCGGTAAGTATTAGCGTCGACCTGACTGGAGCGTCAACACTAGATCACCTGTCGAGAGATGAATAGTCATATGCTCCGGTAAGGAGAGGAATCTTGTGGTGATGCTGTGGTGATGCTGATTTATGTGCCAGGCTGCAGTGCGGTGATGATGTTGTTCATCATCTCATGGTGGCAATGATGACAGATGTCGTTGGACGCGATATGATCAGTGAGCATCATCTGTCGTCAGTCGACATTGCGTATCGACACTGTGTACGCCTTAACGCTGGTCGCTGACCACCGGAATCACATGTCGGCTATATCTTCGATATTAGCCTGCCTGTTGGCAAGCGGCGAGTATATTCGATGATAGCATTCATCATTCGCCAGGATCGAGGAACGCGTCGTCGAATGCAGTTCCGTCACCACCGGTCGGACCATTCATCCAGTCTTCACTGTCGTCTTGGTCAAAGCTGAACAGATCATTGAAGTCATTCTGGTCGTTCGTGTTTATAGCATCTGTCGTCGTTGTAGCAGCTTGCTGTGCGGCGGCTGAGGTTGTTTGCAATGTCGTAGTGGCAGGAGCCGACGTAGTTGGGTTGGGATTGGAGACCTCTACTTGCAAGTCTGTTATGGTGAAATCGTCTATACCGTTACTGGAGTCTAGGTTCATGTCTCCTCCGCTGTTTGCATAGTCCTCAAGGCCCGCGAGAAGAGAATTGGACGCGTTATCGCCTATGGCAAAGCCAAGGTCGTTGTCATTATCGTTGGTATCCATGTCTTGATCGTTGCTCAGATCCTCGAACATCTTGTCGATGTCGACGTTGCCGATCCCAGCAGTCGTAGGGGTCTTACCAAAGAGATCATCAGTAGCTGTGAGAGGGTTGTTAGTAGCCTCATGCTCAATCTCAGGGTCAGATTTCTTGCTCTGCTCGTTCGTTTGTGTCTGAATTGGTGGCGGCTTTACAGGCTGTGGGACCCTTGTGTCAGAAATGGATGTTGCATTCTTCTCCTCCTCGGGCATAATTGAAGGCTTCGCGTCGTCATTGGGTGCATCTCCCACATCTTCCATGTCCACGTCCTGCGTAGCTGTCGACTTCTTCTCTTCGTCAAGAGTTTCGGTCAGATCAGGCTTCTGCGGAGATGCAACGGCAGGGGCTGGCGCAGTCTTTTGCTTCTCTGCAGCCTCTGCCTCTCTCTTCTCTCGTTCCTTTTGCTTGACAGCTAGGTCTCTACGTATCACCCGTTGCGCAAACTTCTGTCTGGGTGATCAGCAGGTAGTAACAAAGCAACCAACTAGACTGCTTACAATTTTAGTTGAAAGCTCATCCAGATGATTATGGTAGCTAGACAATGCAGCTGGAATGACTTTCTTCAAGCCACTCTGTGCACGTTTTGAATCACGCAACGCAGGATCAGCAAAGAATCGACCGGTTTGCAACAACTACGTGCGTCAGCAAGGATCATGGCTCTATCAGTGCGAACGCCCTCACCACTAGGTTCAACATGGCTTGAGCAGCATCAATCGGATGGTGTGGAGGCGGAGTCGCTACCTGCTGCTTCTGGGCATCCATGATGGTGAAGAAGAGGCAGGAGCGAAGCTTGAAAGCCAAAGAAAAATCTAAGCTTAGTGGATTCGCGCCGATCGGCAGTAATGGAGCATGCGAAGCAATTAGGATCGCTGTGGGCGAACGGTCACGTTAATGAGCTACTACTCCGCAGCTGCAGATGCAAGATGCAAGATGCAAGATGCAAAGGCAGCGCAAGCCAGAGCAGGGTACAAGCGCGGTCGATAGATTGATAGGCAGGGGAGAGTGGAGACAATGGGTGTGTGTCTCGTTCGATTAAAGAACCACCATGGGCAGGCCAGCAAGGCGGCCTGGTCTTCGTGGCGGTTGGAACACGGATACGCTCGCTAGCCAAAACTATCGGGGGGGGGGCTAGGCTAAGTGACGGCCCGTCTCGATGGTGTGAGAGAGTATGTGTGGACGAGGCTTAAGATATTATATCATCATATAGAAATAATTGCATGTAGAGAGAGATGGTGATTACAGTGAATACAATCCATGGTGTAGCAGTTCCTCTAGTCGATACTAGCGCTAAGCCTGGAGCAGGCTGGCGAGTAATGTATTATAATTAATGACATGTATTTAACGTTATCTGATATCAGTCAAGAATGATGCCTGACAGCAGCGACTCGGGAGCGACACAACCCCGTTGCAGCCTTAGAACGGGGGCCTCAATCTCCTACTGGCGAGCGAGTCACCTCCACCCCACAAATCGATTCTTGTTCAGTGAAAGGTGTTTGGTGTGGCCGCTAAGTAATGTTGAGCTAGCGGGAGAGTGGAGGGAAGCTCAGGCACAGCACACCCTCACTACCTTACCTTACCTACTAATTACTGCACTGATTCTGCTTTCCTCTCCTACTCTTCACACCTCATCTTCCCCTCTCAAGCATCGTCTTCCTGCACTCTCAGAAACGGCGTAACGAGTCTCATACTCTGTCGTCTCCTTTCTCTCCTCTTTCCTTCGTCCTTGTTTCCTTGTCGGCATTTTCCTCCAGCAGCTCATTAAGCGCCTTTCGTCAGCTTTCCACAAAAATCTCGCCAATCATCTGGACCGAAGCTTGAGCGCGCGTTATATTCACGACTCGACGTGTCTACAGCTCCGCCATCATTTCCCCTCGGTATACGTACGGATATCATCTGCTTTTCGTCGCGGCACATTGGCGCACGGCTCGCTGTATAGCACATCAGTTCTGGAAAGGATCTCAAAGCTCTTCTGCTGCCTTCCACCCTTAACCCCTACCCTGCACATCACCTGTGCCAGACTGTTTGAGTAACACACGAAGCAAAATCCTCCTCTCGCTAAGCGAAGCATCAATCTAGACATACTGAATCAACATGTCTGACTCTACCCACTCCGGAGCATCTCTTCCTCCGAATCCAGCTTCTGCTGGAGCCCCAGGCTTCGATGGCCAGGGAAATCCCCAAGGCAACACCTCCCACATGCCGCCTCCAGCACTCGCCCCTGTCATTATCCCTCAAAACAACAACCCTATTCCAACTGCCATCGGCTCGCCCATGTCCGGCGGACTTACATCGCCTACCAGCGCTGGTGGCTTTGTTCGTCGCGCCGCTCCTGAGCCAAACAAGAGGGCTTTGTATATTGGTGGATTGGACTTACGTGTAACGGAAGATGTCTTGCGTCAGATTTTCGAGACCACTGGACATGTCCAAAGTGTTAAGATCATTCCCGACAAGAACGTAAGTGAGACTGTAATCACGCCTCTATCTTCCATCATTTAGCCACAGCTGACACAGCCTGCTTCGTATCAGGCCAAAGGTTTCAATTACGGTTTTGTCGAGTATGACGACCCCGGTGCCGCCGACCGCGCTATGAACACGCTCAATGGACGACGGGTTCTCAATAACGTAAGGGTCTACACTGTGCATAGTTCGAGGCAAGAAGGCTGAACGTAACAGGAAATTCGTGTGAACTGGGCATACCAGACCAACAATGCACCCAAGGAGGATACATCGAACCACTTCCATATCTTTGTTGGAGACCTCTCTAACGAGGTCAATGATGAAGTTCTCCAGCAAGCATTCGGAAATTTTGGGAACGTCTCAGAGGCGCGTGTCATGTGGGACATGAAGACCGGACGCTCCCGTGGATATGGTTTCGTTGCATTCCGTGATCGCTCCGATGCTGAGCGTGCACTCTCGTCTATGGACGGAGAATGGCTTGGGTCTCGTGCTATTCGATGCAACTGGGCGAATCAGAAGGGCCAGCCTTCTATTTCTCAGCAGCAGGCTATGGCGCAGATGGGCATGACACCCACGACCCCGTATGGCCACCACCAGTACCCCACCCATGGCATCCAAAGCTACGACATGATTGTCGCCCAGACTCCCGGATGGCAGACTACGTGCTACGTCGGTAATCTGACACCCTACACCTCGCAGTCTGATTTGGTGCCTTTGTTCCAAAACTTTGGCTATGTCGTCGAGACCCGCTTTCAGTCCGACCGCGGCTTCGCATTCATCAAGATGGACAACCACGAGAATGCCGCCATGGCAATCTGCAACTTGAGTGGCTACAATGTCAACGGCCGTCCTCTTAAGTGCAGCGTATGTTGCTCAGCTCATTTACAATAATCAGTGCTAATTTGGTTCAATTTAGTGGGGAAAAGATCGTCCACCGACAGGGCAATTCGATGGGGGTGCCTATTCTCCGGCGCAGGGTCCCAGCTCCGCATATCCTCCTACCCCTAATGCATATTTTCCTCAATACGGTGGTCCAGGTGGCCCAATGTCTCCTCAATGTATGTACTATGCGTCAACTTCCACTGTACAGAAGCTAATCTATATTCCCTTTTAGCTGGACCTAGTCCAGGTGGACAACCAAACTATCAGGCCCAACAAGGCTTCGGAGGCCCAGGTATGGCCCAACCCTATCAGCAAATGCCACAGAATCAACCTGGATACGGGCGCGGAGGTGGTGGCCAACCCCAGGGTCAATGGCCTCAACAAAGCCCCGGAGGTTACGGCCAGGTGAACAATGGCTTTGGTGGCTACCAAGGCTAAATCCATCCTACATGCATCGCTTGTCTGGGATTTTTGACTCTTCATAGACTCGGTCTGGCGCACTTCGTCTCCTATGTTTGGATATACCCGCCCGGCCCTGCTCCGTATTGAACGTTTCATGTGATCTCAGGATCAAGAATCTTAGCGCGTAATGTACGAGGCAAGCTAAAAGTATGTGGCTTGACCCATCATTGTTTTGGAACCTATCGGACGAGACATATCTACTTTTCCTTACTTCCTCACTACATTACTGCAATATTCAGTCGACCTATCCTTGTCAGTTACCATTTTCTCCTTCATCTTCATGACTTTTTGGCTTCATGTCTTGGCCAAGCCTCCTCTCAAAAATGTGTGTATGTGTTGTTTCTGACTTCATATATTTGGGTTGGATTAATGAATTTCCTTGATCTTCCCATGGACCATCTACATGCTATGTTTCCTGCTGCCAAAGCGCATGTGAGCTTGTATTTATCTCCTTGAGGCTGTCCTCGCTCCCAAAAGTATGACGAATTTTTCGATGCACTTCCCTTCGGCTGCTTGCTGCTCTTGCTTTCGCATGATACACGCACCATACATACCCTTATTCAGATAACAAACGGCTTTCTCTGTAACACACTTTGCTTCTTTCTACAGCATGCGCAAACATTGAATACCTAACGAAGCTTCACGCATCTCCTTGAGTTCTGCTGTTGCTGCTATGGCAGCACAGCGCTTCTCTTCGTTTCTTCGTTCCTTTTGAAACGGTTTCAAGAAAAACAAAATGAAAAGCGAGAATAGGGGTCCATACACATACCGTCATGTTTTGTCTTGTGTCGGTGTTGTGGGACAGTTTTGCTCGGGAACAAAAGGAGGTTTGGCTGGAATGGCTGGAATGGAGAGTAGCGGGTTGGGAAGAGTTTCTTGTTCAGAGCGGCAGAGGAAGATGATTTTTTTCTACTTTTATTCTTCTTCATGTCCTTGTTTTGCATTGTTTGGGATGTTTGGGCCAGGGATTGGCTAGACTAGCTAGCTAGCTAGCTATAGTTGCGAGTTTGGCTGGATGATGCTGGAGTCGAGGGCATCTATGTTCGAACGAACGGTCGTACGTCAGCTGAAAATATACACTCTCCATTCTTCCCGATACTGCGTCTTCTTGGATTGTTGGCGTGCTTCCCCTAGCCACGTGTTGACGGATACATACATGGCCTGCTGATTGGCTCTGTTTTGGATTTGCACCCCTCGTTATTGACTTTAAGAAGTCATGACATCACAGATCTCTCTGTCGTTGAAAGACACCCTACAGCTGTGACAGATGCTCGCCCAGTCAACATGTAGAATCCAGGGGTCATACTGTAAGTCTCCGGCGTCATATACTTCCAATGCCTGCAGCGTTCGAAAACGTGTTGGCAATAAATATATCACCCGGTTCACCAACACAGTTTTATCGTGTGAAAGCGCCCACATACAGCGTAAAGAGCTAATCGAAGGCTTATTTATGAAAGAGGTGACCCACTTCAATACATTGATTCTTTCAGTGTTGGCCTACTTTTGCGCAACGAGAAAGCAATCCGAAGAGACAACAATTTGAAAGACTCCGATGACAAGTCCTTAGCCATTTGATCCTCCGTATCGTGCTACCTTGGCTGTCTGTACTCGGTCCGAAGTTGTACACTGTGCTCTCCAGTAGAGTTGTGACAGACACACAACATGCAACTTAGTTCAAAACGATCATACAGAGCCAGCCCCCGGCTCCAACGATGAGACTGAGCGCAACGACACTCCTGAGAATTCGCGTAGTTGCTAATAGACCTACCTTGGTAGCACTGGAGGAAGTGTCCGGCTCGTGCATCGATGAAGTTGTGCATTCCTGTAGGTTGTCCAAAGCTATACGAGCGTTCGTTAGCATAGCTCATACCAATCATGCAATCTCATACCGTCATCTTCCTCACAAGCAATCTTAGTGATATCAACAAAGCAGAGTCGCTGCGCGTGCAAAACCCAAGTCCTTGTACATAGAGTTAGTTAAATAACACCATATTTGTCTCAGCGCGAATCGTAAAGAATCTTTCCGAGACCAGACAGATTGTGCTTTCCACTCACCCAAGGTTCTGCGATATCCATTTGCAACTTATAGGAACCACTTCACCACTGGCGATGGGAGAATTAGAGTCTTGTGTAAAAATTACGTTGTCCACGCAGTATTGGTCTTCGGTGCTTTGGCATTCTAAAGGTTCGTCAAGCTTACTCAAGGCCGGAGTAGCAAGCGCCCCGATAGCTAACCACAGGCTAAGGAATGCTGTGAAGAGAAAAGTGGATGTGAAATCCGAGCGGCGAGTGCTGCTGCCACTCGTGGCGCCGCAGCAGTCAGACTCCTGTTCTTGGGTGTCAGATGGCAACATTGGTATTCCGTTAAGATTGTCTAGAGGATAGCCAAGATTGGTCTCGTTGTATAGACACCTGACGTCGTTGCCATGAACTTGAGAATGTTCAGCCAAACATGAACACATGATCGACGAGCAATGACTCACTGTTCTTCGGGCAACCTGACCATCCAGCTCGCACATAGCACTCATCATACGTGTAGATCCAATCCCTGGCCATGGTCAATAAAATGTTACACCATAGTAGGTCTTTCAGCAGTCTTAGGCCTGCCGATAACCTGTGGATGCCACTGGTATACTTACGTGCCTGTGCCTAACAACGTCCCTGTGCTGCATTTTTTCTCGAAATGGTCACCAGGCATGTAGCGTATAATGGTCTTCCCGGAAATGATACATTCAGTCTCCTCATCAGGCCAGCAAGTTTCCCGATTTTGGTCTTTTGCCGACGCAAATGTAGCGAAGGCCGTGACGCCAAACCATAGACTGAGAACTAGGCTGAAGAATGGAAACGAGTAGATTACCGAGCGGCTACTGCCAGACGGAGAGTCTGATGTTTGGCTCGAGGCTTGGCCGCTGCAGAAGGCATCGAGACCTACAAGCGTCAGTTATCTCTTGATGAAACTGAGTTAAGGCTTACTTTCGCCGCCGTTAGCCTCGCAATAGAGTAAGGCTGCGGGTACATAGCATTGATCATGTTCGGAAAACCACCATTGCCTGCAACTAGTCAGCTGTGCGGGCCGTAGCAAAACATTGGAATGAATGGTGTTACTTACCCGACAGCAGGATCAACACAGCTGACCGTCAGGACAGCACCTAGAGGATACTGGATGAAGTGGTTGTTGAGGTCGTTTGTATTAGGGGTCTTGAAGCACTTGGCTATACCAGATATGGTAGTACAGTCCTGGATTTCCTTCTCCGTCGATGATGATGAGGCATAAACCGAGCTAGCGAACCAAAACCCAAGTAAAACAGTCAACAGAAGGGATGAAATCTTTCTGGAGCGGCTACTGCCTGAAGATTCATCCGAAGTTGACTGTGATGTCGGTTTTGGTGCTGGGCCGGAGGCCACGTCGCAGAAGGCGTTGATGTCTGAGCGCGAGGTAGTTAGCTTTGCCAAAGATGAATAGAAGTATAACCTCGAATCCTACCTTCGCCCCCAGTAACCATACAATCGACATGGTCTGCAAAGACATAGCATTGATCACTAACGGAAAACCAGATTTGTCTATGACCAATGTCAGCTGTCTGAATTGTATTGTATCAAACTGATCTGTTCATGATTGAGACCCCTTACCCAGGAACAGGTATTGCGGATTTGGTGCAGGCGAGATCCAGTACAGTCCCTGGAAGATATTCGATGAATGGGTTACCAATGTCGTTTAAATTCTGGGTCTTGAAGCACTTGGTTAAGCCGAATGTGACGGTGCATTTCTGAGTAGGGTCTTGGGCATGCGTTGACGCGATGGCAACGACTAGTAGAGAAGATAGGGTGGCGGAAAAGAAAAGCATGGGGATAACGTTAAAGATGACGATGGGGCGCTGTAGAGACCGATTGATAAGTATACTGGGAGTTCAATCGAGAGAGGTATTAGAGATGATGAAGAAGGAGAAGGAGAAGAAGAGAAAGAGTGCCGACCTTAAAAGGACTTCAATGCTCAAGGACTTGCCTTCCTTCCCATTGGATATCAAACAAGCAGCTGTGACCTGAACTCATGGAAGTCAACATCATTTTCCTTTGGGGTCATCACAAGCTGGAGTCATGGCCGTATACACTTCCTTTCTGGAAGGTGCTCTTTGGTACGGTCTCTCAGGACTTAACTTTAAATATTCAGATGCTATGTTTTCTGCTTAAATTGCAGAAGTACTGGCTAGGCCATCAAAATTTCGACTTCAAATACGCAAACCTTGTCAAGAGCATATTTGCGAATGTCTTGCATCATGTTTGAAAGTATGCTGAGCGCCTTCCGAACCTTGATGAGGTCAGGAGCGCGCATGCACGGTACGCTATACCTGCGTCTGCTGGCACCAGTGATGTTATAAAGGGTATGAGAAACAACGGTCAGCCATGTAGGACTAATTAACTTGGCGTCCATTGATGCAAGTATCAATGACTATGGATTGACTAATGAGCCGGACTGAATTGGATAGACGCGGTATAAACAAAGAGGGAAGAGGTCAGGCTGCGACAAGCTTGGAAATGAGTCGTGAGCAGGTCGATCATACCTGCTGGAGCCATACCTTCTCCATATGCCTTCAAAGAAATTTTCAATTCATTGCAAAGCTTAAGAATTGAATGAAGGTGCACTTTAATGTCCGTTGTGATAGCGAGTACAACCTCTCATTTGATGAGAGATGATTGCGGTCACGTGCTCAGTTCCGATAAAGCACCAACGCGTTGCCATCGCGGAACTACGCGATTTCACGATATCTTCGATTCTCATTCCAGGACCGCTACAAATTGCATTGCTGCCCAGCTGGTCAGCTTCTGCGACACTTGCTACCGAAACCATCCTATTTTATCCAGCTGCCGCTTTTCTCTTCTCCTGTATGCTTGTACTTATTCGCACGCTCTTGGCTGGTCCTAAAACGCCTCGCTTGACGCGACCCCCTACATGCTCGCTGCACTCAATACCACAACCGACATCCATTCAGTCACTTTGGGCGCGGCCTCTCTCTACTACAATGTTCAGGAAAGCTGTTGATGTCCAGAAATCATCACAGCCTAAGCCCAAAGCCCTCGCTCAGCAATTGTTTCCATCCAGCAGCCCAGATATACATCCCGAACCCAAGCATACGTCGCGACCGGGAGCTCAACCATTAGCCACTGTGAATGGAAATATCATAAGACATAATCATAGGAATACCCAAACAGGGCCGGCTGCTCCCTACAAGCTGCCAAGCTCCGTGAGCGGTGTCAAGCGGACCTCAAGTGGCTTAGAGAAGGCTTTACAGGCGCAGAATAGTGGCTTTGAACATGCCACATCAAACAATGCGCAAACCTGCAATGGAGACATCAAACACGAGAGCAGAGCAGTGCCCCCTTCGGACAGAACGACATTTCACGATGAGGCCTTTTATGACGAAAATGACTTCGAGAGCGATTTGGACCTCGATGTTGAAGATCCCTCTACGATGCCTACAATCGAGTATCCGAAGCTCCCAAACCGGCACCTAGACAGCACGAATCTTGGCCGCTCCATGTTCAAGCCCACTGCTCCAAATGCGGCCGCGATGGCAGCCAGGGAATACTCAGTGGATTCAGGGTATGGCACGCATAAATCTTCAACACCGTACATACACTCCGAAGTCCCACAGTCGAACACTTTTGCGACTCCCAAATTTAGAAACCCTCAGTTAGGTTTGAAGAGGGAACAAGAATCGGAAAGACAGACAATGAAGCCCGAGTCTACGATAAAAACTGAACAGTCCCCAGGCACCTTTCTTCAATCTTCTCAACGTGAGCCCCAGAGCAGTGCCGCTCTACCGTGGTCTTCATCGCCTGCTGAACACCTTCACTCGCCTCCAAAACACCTTCAGTTCGAACGATTTGAATACCAACCTGCAGTGAAGGTGGAGCAGGGATGCACACAAGATGTGACTCCGCGACCGACAAAGCGGAGGACTCTACCGTGGTTGCAACAGGAGGCAGAAGAGAAAACTGCTGCGGAGCGACAAATGAAGATAGACAAGCCTAAGCAGAGCTACGCGGAACCGGCAACGTCATTCACACCCCTGCCGAAAAATAAAGATGCTTCGACTACATATCCCTGGAATACGACCGCGAGCGCAATCAAGGCACAGCAGAAGAACTTGCGACAAGCAAACAAGAAACTTGTCAAAGAGAATGAAGCAACGGACGAAGGACTACGGAGAGCTATTGAGAAGACTAAAAAGAACAAGATCTCGCAGATATTTTTGAGCGAAGAGCAACAGCACATCCTTCACCTAGTAATCGAGAATAAGAAGAGCGTCTTTTTCACCGGTTCTGCTGGTACCGGTAAATCCGTATTACTGAGAGAGATAATCTCGGGCCTGCGGCGAAAATACGCCCGTGAGCCTGATCGCGTTGCAGTCACTGCCTCTACGGGCTTGGCGGCATGTAACGTTGGTGGCGTCACTCTACATAGTTTCGCTGGCATCGGACTGGGCAAGGAGCCAGTGGAAGAGCTTGTGAAAAAGATCCGGCGTAATCAAAAAGCTCGCCACCGCTGGATGCGGACGAAGATACTCATCGTTGATGAGGTTTCAATGGTTGATGGTGAGATGATAGATAAGTTGGAATCTATCGCGCGAACGATCCGCAACAACGGCAGACCTTTTGGTGGAATCCAACTTGTCATCACAGGAGACTTCTTCCAATTACCACCCGTTCCTGACAGCGGGAAAGTCGCAAAGTTCGCATTCGACGCAGGAACTTGGAATACTTGCATTGAACACACTATTGCATTACATCATGTTTTCAGACAAAAAGATCCTGGTGCGTTCTGCAGCCATGTTATCAAATAGGAACACACTGACATATTGACTAGTATTCGCGAATATGCTCAATGAAATGCGTGAAGGGCGACTCTCGCAAGCATCCATAACATCCTTCAGTTCTCTTTCCCGCGCTCTACCAGAGGACAATGGAGGTATACAAGCCACAGAACTGTTCCCAACTCGTAACGAGGTCGACCGTGCGAATCACGTACGCATGCATGCTCTCCCTGGCGAAACCAAAGTTTTCGAAGCTAAAGACGGCGGCTCCATCATCGACAAGACCATGCGCGACAAACTTCTGTCGAATTGCATGGCTTCCGAGAAGATCGTTCTCAAGAAAGGGGCACAAGTCATGCTCATCAAGAATATCGACGATACTCTTGTCAATGGGTCCCTCGGTAAAGTTGTCGGCTTCATGTCCGAAGCCGAATTCGACAGCTACGACCAAGACGAAGAGAATTTCGCCGCTCTACAAGACGCCGACCCTCTCGATCTCAACCCGGCTCAGCAGCGTCAGAAAAGGAAGCTTGAAATCGCTGCGACCACGGCGCAGAAGTACCCACTCGTACGCTTCGCCATTGCGGATGGTACGACGAGAGACCTGCTCTGTCAGCGAGAGACCTGGAAGGTCGAGCTGCCGAACGGTGAGGTGCAGGCCAGTCGTAGCCAAGTCCCACTGATCCTCGCGTGGGCACTCAGTATCCACAAGGCGCAGGGTCAAACTCTAGAGCGCGTAAAGGTCGACCTAGGAAAAGTGTTCGAAAAGGGCCAAGCTTACGTCGCGCTAAGTCGCGCAACAAGCATGCAAGGGCTACAAGTACTACGGTTTGACGCGCGGAAAGTCGTTGCTCACGACCGCGTCCGCAAATTCTATGCTGGACTCAGCCGAGCAGGCGAGAAAGGATGGACGGAGGGCGAAGCTGTCGGCGACACAGAAGGCGTGATGAATCGGATGATGAAAAAGGCGAAGAAAGTCGACAGTGGGACATTTTGAACAGAGCCGCCAAAAGGGGGCTCGTTCGGGTCTGGGCTAGATTTATATGTGTATTCATTGCACCACTCGCACGCGCGCATTAGCTGCTACACAACGCAGCAAAGCATCACCATCTCGTCAGTTTAAGATACCGAAGCGTATATGCATCGAGCATTCTCTGTACTAGACCTCACGCGCACTACACAGCTAAATGAAACCGAGCAAGGCATTGCATCCAGCGTCTGTGCCTGTAAACACGACTAGATTGTATTTGCTAGCAGATATATACATATACATATATAACGACGTCACAATCAATCGTCTCGGTTGCAGATTTCCCGCTTGTGTTGAGATCTACGTCGTCATATGCGCACACACAACTGTGTGCTCTACGGTTCTATGGACGGATCATTTTGCAAGGCTTCGTGCTTCCGATATCATGCCCCCCCCCTGAGGTTCTTCTCCGGCAGCTGACATGACTCCTCGGGACCTTCCCCCACACATACCCCACACACCCCACACTTTTCTTTCGTCAGCCCTATGTAATGCAAGGAAGCGAGGCGTGGGCACGTTACGTTATTCTTATTCCGTCTAACGTGGTTGGTATATCAATGAATGCGGGACTGATACGGCTTGCTTGGCCCCCTAGTATATATATATATAAATGGGCACAGCGGAGAACATACAAGAATGATGGTCTATATCTGAGGGAATCTTGGGGGGAGGGAGCACTGCGGGATGGAATAGCGTCAAAGTGCGCGTAGACCAGAGTACGACTTTGCTGTATTTATGTAGTAAGGCAGGTGGACACATGTCATACATATCATATCAAAGACATTCGTCACAGAAGTGCTTTCTAACACACCAGCATGCACCAAAAGGAAGAAAGGGAAACGTTGCAATACCGAGATATATATGTGTGTGTGTCTTTTCTTTCTTTTCTTCTCCATTAATTCTCGTTAAGTGAGTTCAGGCGGGGTAATAATTTTACGTGCGTTGATTGCTCACAGAGAACCCTTTCCCGTTCTTTCCCTTCTTTTTTTGTTTAGTAAGTTACTAACATGGGACCGATGAGTATAATCAGATTGACTGACTGATGGGGATTGAATATGATATACCCCGTTTGATTGATTGATTGTAATTGATTGATTGATTGGTTAACCGTGTCAGTAGCTGGCTGGTTAATTATTGCATTTGCTTTTGGAGCTGGTGCTGTCTGGTTGATGACGCCCTTCTACCATTGTGATGCAGCGCCTCAATACAGAATGCCCTAAAAAATTGAAAACAAAAGCAAAAATGTTTGGAAACAAGTAATGCCGCACGGTTCGAGTGGAGTTGAGAGTGTGAGAGTGTGTGTGATTGAACAGAGTGGGCCGCCCACCCTGAATACGTCCGTAATGCGTGGGTTATTGTGCCATCCTTTACCTGTCTTGTGTTTTTGCCGTGCCCCATCCTCATATTTTTGGTGTTCTTCATGATAACAACCAGGTATTCGCCGTCTGTCCGTTATAAACCGTCCTATGCATCCCATTGTGCTTCTAACCAAAACGCCATGAACCTGTCTCTACTGCTCGTCTCCCGAAACGCCCTCTAGCAAAATATACTCTAGGATATCACTAAGGGTCAGCACACCACGCAACTTGCTCTGCTCGTCAATAACAACCAATCGATGCACGCGTGACCGTCGGATTGTGTCGAAGATGGTGTCAAGACGATCGTGTACGGAGCACGAGTAGATACCGGGAAAATCGTCTGGACGTTTGAGTAAGGCTTCGCCGACGGGAAGGGTCAGTTCGTCGTAGTTGCCGCCTTTGATGACAGATATGACATCCACAGATTCGAAGACGTTTATTACGGTGCCTAGGGGTGTGAGTTCAAAGTCTGGAAGGAATATGTCCTGAGGGGCTCTGAGGTGGTGAAGCAAGCTTACCATCACGGTCCAGAATGGGTACGCTGGAGATGTTCTTGCGAACGAGCATGTGGATGATGTCGATGACGGGAGTCTCCATATTTGCGGTCTGAATGTTCTCGTATGTGCCTACATTCATGTCACGGAGTGGCTTCTGCAACATCTGCGTCTCCTTGACGTTGACGGCGATGAATTTGAGGATGCGGTATTGGGTGATGACGCTGACTACTAGAGGACGATCTGTTTCATCGTCAACATCTATCAATGGAATACGTCGAGCACGAGATTGGAGCATCTTCCGACAAGCTTCGTAGAGCGGTTTCTCGGGGTGAATCGATACCGTTTCGATTGGAGCAACATGGAGGGCCTTTTCGATATCTGATGCATGTTAGACTCATGTCCGTGCTTAGGCTTTGATAGTTGATCATCTTACCTCGAAGACTGTCCAGTCTGAATTGATCAACTTGTTCGAGAGCATGAGGATGCTGCCAGTAGTACTGAATGACATTGATGTAATCAGAGGTAGTCAGCAGACCGGCAAAGGTCGAGGAGGTAGAGTCCCACAGTGGGGCTGAGACAATCGCTGCGTGGCACAGGGAAGTTAGTCAGAGCTACGAAGATGAAGTCCGCGGAGCACGTACCGTTTTGGAGAAGAATGTTTAGACTCTTTTTGACCAACAGGCGGGTGTCGAGGATGATCAAGCGGTAGCTTAGAGGGAGCACATCATAACTCGTCCGGAGCTTCAAGAAAGCTCGGATCGCTCGCTGTCAAGAAGAATTGAGTTAGCTCTTGGCTGATCGGGATGGATGATAGCAAGCCATACGGCGGTGAGGGACGATGCCAACGACTAGGGAGATAGCCACGTGGGGTGCCACAGACACAGCGAAACAGATATCGGAGGTGCATGAACAGGAGTTTTGGTGCTTCCCCATGTCTCCGTGTCTTAGCGACGGCACGGCTCTTGTCACCGAGCCCGCGCGCCTGGCACACAAAGCTAGTCTCAGGGTAAATGTCATGGGACGGGGTAGTGATGGTGAGATGTGAGGAGGGGGGTTAGGGTGGGATGAGATGCAGGCAGTAAGTACCGCGGCGTCGCGCAGTCAGCACGCTGAGCAGACTTGAAATAAATCCTCGGACTCACCAATCCTTGAAGCTGTTCGCGGTCGACGGGGTCGTCGGAATCGAGGAGAGATGTCGGCGTCATGGGTCTCGATGCAGGGCGAGGACGCAGGTACGAGGCCGGATGCACGACTTGGAAGGCCGGATTGGGGTGATTGGAGTCCGCGTGACCTCCAGCGGCCCCGATGAGACTCGGGCCACTACTGCTATTACCTAGATGGGAGGAGTAGCGAGTAGCATCATGTTGTTGTTGTTCATGAGCAGCTGGCTGGTTCTCTTCAAAAGGAGTTTCCCTTGCTCCCGGAGAGTTACTGGCCGAACCAGACATTGGATTAAGATGGCAGACGCTGACGCTGCCTCATAGAGGTGGTTGGGGTGTCTCGCGACGAAGCCAAGGGCGCTGGGAGTCTAGCGTGGCGGATCACACAAGACACAGCGATGGTCAAAGGGAAGGGCCAGTAATGGCGAGAGAGGTGCGGTGCGGTGTCAGAGCCTCAGAGCTGCAGATAGAGTGGCCGGCTGTCCAGATGATGTGATGCGGTGGCAGAGAGAACGTGTTGGTGGTAGTCGTAGTAGTAGTGTAGGAGAGTAGTAGGTAGCTGGTAGAGGGGGATGGTAGAAAGCTATTAGTTAGTCTAGTGAAAAGGTCAACGTTCAGAAAAGGTGATTCCGGAAGACAAGAACGAACAAGATCAGTGTCAGTATTAGTGTCGCTGCGAGAGAGTCACTTAGAAGCTCTTGGAAGCGTTCGTGGCCTCACAGTCACTCTACTGGGCGTGATTCACTCAAGACACTTGATACACTTGCTGTTGATATCTATTTCTGTCCATATTACAGTCACTGTCCCTTCCTGTTACGGACTCCTGTTTTTGCTGTTATTGATCTCCCACCCCACGTCTGCCAGAGCTTGCCCAACCCCGCCGTATCACATGCGCCCCACGTGACTATGAGCTATCCCCAAATATACTGTGATTGGCCACAGTTCTGGGGCACTAAAGTGAATGAATATCATTCACCAACACCAACTACAGCGTACATCTTCATCACATGACAGGATATGCACTTGATCTTGCGGTTACGACGTTTATGTATGCTAACAGGATCCTGAACACGGCTTGTGGCCGTACCCCTTCCGTAATGCTGGACTCTTGGTGAGTTTGCAGTGTGTCCCAGCCGTACCACCGCCAACTTCATGTGTGCCACATCGCTACAACCCATACAGCTTTCGCTGCCTCTACAATCTCCTGCAGATGTCCATAGTGCGGCTTATTATCCCCATTGATTCCACTGATACAGAATAGACGCCTGCCACATGCTTCTTCCACGTGAACACAGAGCTGTTTCGCCAATGCTGAAAACGGACTGCTGAGACTGGACAGAGCCACCGAAACGATTGTGACGGGACGCCAGACATTGTAGGAAGATACATCAACTGAGCCCTTGGATTTCAACAGCGCTCGTGAACGAGCCAGGAAAAGAGCACCCCTTCGTAAGCTGGACTGCTTATCCTACTTCTTCTGCTGGGTCTCCTTGAGTGCATCAACGTTGAGCTCCGGCCCTGTATCCTCTTCCTCTTCCACAATCATGTTGGGTGTTGCTGTCTTTTCAAGACTGTCTCCCGATTCCAGTTGCTTCTTGGCCTGAGACACTATTGCTTCTGTCTCAGTCATGCCCTTCGGCTTGACTCCTTCAACTTCGACCCCCAAGGTTGGATCTTCCCGACGCTGCTTCAGCGCTTTATTGTCGAATCTAACGATCATGCACGAGAGGTTGTCTGTCGAGAACCGTGCAAGCGCGTGGTCCACCAGTTGCTTGGAAGCCGCTTGCGGATCTTGCATGTGTCGAACGAGATCGACTGCCTCCTGGTCCGAGCAGACATCCCACAGCTATGTATGGTCAGTAATCGTCAAAGTAATCACTTCTGCTGCACCTACTCCATCGCATGCTAGTATCAAGAACTCATCAGAGTCCGGCTGTATGACCGTCTCCGTCGTGTAGGGATGGCCAGTCACTAGATCTTTCATGTAAGCATCTCCTAGAGCTCGAGTAACAGCAAGGACACCATTGACACGGTTGTTGAGAATGAGTCCACCAGCATTTGCAACACGTCGGCCTTCGTTCTCGTCGCTTCCTTTGTGGTCGTATGAAAGTCGAAGGGCGCGTCCGTTTCGGCATAGAACAATGCGGGCGTCGCCGACATTGGCTGTGTACAGCACTCTCTGTCGTGAAGCACTCTCACGTAGTCTCGCCTCGGAGGCTACAGGATCCGAAGACACGGTAGTTGTGACGTCTGAGCTATTCTGTGTTCCAGTGCTTGCCTCCCCAGCAGTTCCTTTGTTCGAGCCCTCGGTTGCTGATTTGACGACTGCTGCTGCTGCTGGAGCAAAGAACGCCGACCCTGTAGCCGACTGGGAATTGGGCACTCGGTCTTCCCAACGGAGGACCGCGATGACAGCAGTACACCCGCTGTTCTTCAAAGGAAGTTTCTCCAGTTGAGTATCCACAGTGGTGAAGGTCTGGTCTAAAAGTTCGGGAATAGGTGTATTCGGGTTTCTTTTGATAGTGTCCTCCAAGAGTAAATGTAGCTTCTTCCCACACCAGTCCGCAGCAAAAGTGCCGGCATGGCCATCAAATATGGCAAAGTATCCGTTGTCTGTCTCAACGACTTGCTGCGTCCCATCAGAAACTGTACTTGAGTTCGTTTCTGTTTTTGATAGCTTGCTCTTAGCATCGCTATCTAGACCTAGCACAGGCGCTGGCGTGCTGAGGAAATTATAGAGATAGGCATGGGTATCTTCCATGGTGCGACGACATTTCCTGTTCTTGTCTTCCGTGACACCAACACGGAATGTGGATCGAGGTCCAGGCACCGATTCGCCGGCTGCATTGTTGAGAGATCCTGGCAGAACGCTCAGCGCCGGATCGCTCTTTGCGAGTTTCTGCATGGGTGTCTGTTGTGCTTTTGAATCTATGGGCGAGGATGAGGTGGGTGAGGAGCCAAGATGGAAGGACTGCTTCGCACTGGAGAATATGTCGCGAGCGCGCGAGCCTCTGCGCTTCTTTTCGGCTCCGTTCTCGTCGTCTTTGCGGTTAGGGCTGCCGCCTTCGCTGGACCGCTTCTCACCGCCGTTGCCGGGCTCGCTTGAGGTCGGGATGGTAGGAGTTCTTTGTGAATCGAGGGAGCTGGACGAATCTAAAGCAGAATCATCCTCTTTACTTAGCGTACCGGAGCTGCCGAACATTCTGTTCAACAGACCTCCTTGGCTAGAAAAACTCCTCCGCTTATTTCCTGCCAGGTTGAAAGATGTGACGAGGGTCGTGCAGCTTCGAAGAGCCGTGGGTATTTATAGAGGGGTGCGGGGTTGGGTGGGTTTGTCGACGAAGTTCGTTGTTGCAGCAAGGTAGGCTGGGCAGGGCAGGCTGAGCCGTGCGTGCGGTTGAGTGATGGAGCGACAGGTCAGTCTGCAAGCCACAGGTGGTCAGCAAGCATGCGAGACGAAGCAAGTCACGTTGCTTTGTGTATGGTTTGACGCCGTACAAGCGCTGGGCCAACTCACGCTAGTCGCTGGCCTCGCGGCGAAGCAAGATCAGGTTGTTATGAAGTACAGCCGGGTGAGGACAGTGTTGGAACGGGCGAGAGTTGTAGTGTTGTGCAAGGTGAGCAGTGCAGATGAGAGTTTTGCTGTTGTTCGGAGAAGATCCGAAGGCAACGTGGAGATGCCGGATGCGCGAACGTTTGAAGGAGGGGGACGACTTGTGAACGAGGGGACGAGGGAACGAGGGGACGTTGGAGGCAGGCCCGATGACGAAACCACGTTGTGGCTAATGATTAATACCTACGGGGAGGGCAGAGATGTGTTTGTGGCGGTATTATTGCCAGCTGAGATGGGATGGCTCGAACAATGTTGAGAGAAGATATATATGCATAAATATATAGATATTTGTTGGGCAAAAGGGTTCCCTGTCAAGTATGATAGCCAGGTCAGAGTTAATAAGGGGAGCAAACGGGTCATGCAGCAACAGCAGCAACCCATTGATTCATTCATTCATCCTCGGGCGCAACCAGGGTGTGGAGACCACAATGGACTTAAGGGCCGCCAGGGGAGGGGTACCGTGAGTTGACAGACCTAGTTCGGTATTAGGTTCTCATTGCTGACGCCTAGGCCTCTGGGTCACTATTAAACAACATTCTGTCGACGAACAGAAGGCGTTCAAAAGTATCGCATCAGGCCGTCAGCGTGGTCTTTGTTACAGTGAGACTGCCGCAACGATGTATTCGTACAGCACGAAATATTTACCACGCGTACAAGACAGCTAGGACCGGCCGGGCTTCACGATGCATTAGATCTAGCTAGCCTGAGCCAGTCTGTGCTTGTAATACTATCTTGGAAAACTCTCGCAATATTGACATGGTATGCATAGTCTCAGCGTCTTGCGGATACCTCGTGGCGAAAAGCTTTTGCCTGCCTGGAGATATTGCCTGTTGCCATATGCAGCATGCAGCCGCAGCACTGACGAGGCAGATGAATGCTTAGCACACAGCCTTTCCACCCGACGTTCGCAGTGAGGCGCGTTCTAAGCGCCAGAGCTGCCGAAGCGCAGGCTTGTAGATGCCCCATTCCACAGATGGTACGACTTGAATGACGGACATCCACACCGGGTATCCTGTCTACCGTGCAATTTTTCTACCATGTACTGTCTGATGCATTGTCCTGAAAGCAATGCTGTTCGTTCCAATTGTGCCCAATTTGGCCTACCGTCCAAGTCTGCCTTAGGAGAGCCTCTAGATACGCCTTCACACCCAAACTCCATTACCAGCATGGCGTGTATTATGTTCATAATGAATGCTGTCTGTTCTACCGGCGGAGGCTATCAAGACGTGCCTGGAGGTCGTCATCGCCGGGATCTCCACCCCCTACCGCTTGGGCGACCCTGCTTTCGGCAACTTGGTTCTTCTGTAGACCTTGTGGAGTTTCTCCAAGCTGTGTGACATTATCAGTATGGTCGGCTTGCGGCTGAAGCTGCTGTAACATACCGCATCCTTGAGATCGATGCCTATTTCGTCGAGGACTTGGTTGACTACATCCTCGCTTTCTTCCTCGTCTTCAAGACCAGTCACATCGTCAATCGCATCATCCATCATCTCCTGCCGTTGGTCCATGATGTCGTTCTCTTTCTCAAACTCCATTGCGATTCGTTGTAGGGCGGGGAGATTCATCTGACGATTCATGCTGCCAAGTAGAGCTGTTGCTCCCTTCATAGACTGCATCATCTGCTCGTTGCTGCGGACGGTCTTGAGGGCACAGTTAGTGGAAGCCAGCAGCGTATGCCAGGTCCTCATAGTACATACCTGGATCCGCAGAGAGATGGCCTGTAGTTGTGTGCGCATCTGATAGAACTTCTGTATATACCTATACTCGCCATCAGCACTTTTTTCAACTCTCAGGCGTGATACCATACCGTCTCGTTCGGACAAGGTCCTTGGCTTGTATCTTGAGTGGGCCCGTCTGCCCATTCTTCGCACTTTTCTTGATATCTGCAACCAGCTTCTTCTCTTGGTTTTCCAACTTTACTCTCTCACGGTCCAACTCTCGTTGTGTCTTTTCTAGCGCTCGTTGATGTTTGCGCAGGCGCTCTGCGGGCGTCATGCGCTTTCCGAATGCCCATTCCACGATCTAATTCCTGTAGTATTAGCTGGGGCACTGTGCAACATCTAAGGCTTAGCTTACATTCATCCTGATAGTGTCACTAGAGAATTGAGGTTGTGTTGTTGAAGGTAAGGCTACGACGTTGCTGTGCAGCTGTGCAGAGGCAGAAAAGTGGGCTGCCTCCACGTGCTAAGAGTTGCAACACGCTCGTGCACGATGACGAAAGTGATAATCAGCACTCCCTCTGAGCTTAATTTGATGCCGTGCAGTACATTGGGGTCTAGCTTGTCCTCGAGTGGCGCTGCAATACACTAAAACAAGCTACTTCTGCTCAGAAGATAGCCTATCTAGAAGAATTAGGAGATCGATCATGTATTGGGTAGAATACTGCAGATGCCCAGGGGTTTTGACCATTAAAACCGGACCGGACGCTAAGTTTTCGCCGCTCCGGGGTCTTACCGACCTCACAACCGTCACTGACAACAATTCTTGAGCCTGATACTATTATCCCTACGACCATCGCAATACGCGACATGCCTGACCATACCCTACATAATCCTCAAACACCCTCATAATGGATCCAGATGAACGTCGCAATCATGGCTCATCGTCCAAACCGCGGCGATTCGAAGAGCCTGTCCCTCGCCACCAGCGGCCGGATTACATGAGTATGACCGTGGGCAATGGGCCTCGTTCTCAGCACGCTGACCACCTCACGACCCTGCTTCACGACGACTCAGGCTACGGTGCTAGCACGATGGATGGTAACTTTGCCGATGGATGGAATCCAGGAATGACTGAGGACCGGCCGACACCTGGAGGTACTCCAGTCCTCGACGATGGAAGCGAAGAATCGGAGCGCCAGCGCGAAGCCATAGCTGGCCACACCATTCAGATGTATTACAACAGGAATCGTACTTCTTTGATCCGCGCAATTGGTGATACTGAGGCAGTACTTGCCAAATTTCAAGAGATGAATCAAACATGGCCTACTCAATATCCTCAAGAAATTCAAAATGAACCTCACAGTGCATCACCTACCCGCCCAGGCTCTAGACCGAGCCTGCAGCATTCCTTTTCCACCCGCGATCTTGATAACGAATCTGCTCCCTCACCGAGACCTGGCCCTAGGAGGGCTGAGACGTCATTAGGATCAAGAGTATCTGCCGAATCGAGTTCCGCAGCTGCGCAGCAGCTAACGTCGTTACCCGAACCTAGATTGCTAAACGCCCAGGTCGCACATGAGTTCTCCCTCCTGAAGCTTGAGCTAAAGATGGCTGGTCGGGAACACTCAGTACATTCTTTCGACAAGAACGCAATCGCCTCCTTGCTAGACAACCAGTTCCGAGAGAATATTCGACATCTGCACTCTCTCCGCGACCGTGTTGAAGACACATCGAGTAAGGTTCTTGTTACTGGAGACCTTAACGCTGGCAAATCGACCTTTTGTAATGCGCTCCTGCGGCAGAAGATTTTACCAGAAGATCAACAGCCTTGTACAAGCATCTTCTGCGAGGTGCTTGACGCAAGAGAAAACGGCCAAATTGAAGAGGTACATGCAATCCCACACAACTCGATCTACAATCGCGATGATGAGAGCACATACGAGGTGTTTGCTATTAAGGAGCTTGAGCAGATCGTCACTGAGCACGAAAAGTATTTAAACTGCAAGATTTATATTAAAGACGTTCGACCGTTTGAGCAGTCACTTCTGAATAATGGCACAGTCGACATTGCGCTCATAGATGCCCCCGGTCTCAACAAGGACTCGGTCCAGACAACAGCAGTCTTTGCACGACAACAGGAAATAGATGTTATTGTTTTTGTCGTATCAGCTTCAAATCATTTCACGCAATCTGCAAAAGAGTTCATCTTCAATGCTGCGAGGGAAAAGGCATACATGTTCACAGTTGTGAACGGTTTCGATCAAATAAGGGACAAGCAAAGATGTGAAAAGATGATTCTCAGTCAACTTGCCAAACTAAGTCCGACCACGTTCAAGGAATCCAAGGAGCTGGTGCATTTCGTCTCAAGCAATGTTATTCCCATGGCTCCTGGCTCTGGACCTAGACCCGGTGGCGACTTCGCGGCAGGAGGCGGTGGATCAGGATCAGGCAGTTTTGATCCCAATGGAGATGACGATCCATATGACGGAGATGGTGAGAAGGAGGGCAAGCATGGCGAGCCCGGTTCACCAGCCAAGGGTAAGGGTAAAGGGAAAGAAAAGGAAAAGATCCGAGACTTTGACTACCTTGAAAGCTCACTTCGACGGTTCGTCTTGGAGAAGCGTGCTCGGTCAAAATTGGCCCCGGCTAGGACATATCTTATGAATCTTCTTGGTGACATGAACCGTCTGGCGGATTTCAATCGCGATGCGGCACAGTCAGAGCTGGACCGAGTTCAAAAGGAACTCGAAGATCTAGAACCACAGCATGAAGCGTCAAAAAAGGCCAGGAGCGAAGTCAGTGAAGAGCTTGACATCACTCTTGAATCCTCAACCACGGATACCTATAATTACACTCGCGAAACTCTCACCGACTCTATTAACCGCGTTTCCGAACAAGACCTTGGCTTAACATATCCTGGCCCCTTTAGCTGCCTTCAATACGCAGAAGACATCAAAGACGCAATGCTCTCGGAAATTTCCAACACCGTCTACCTATGTGAGGAGCGCGCTCGCAATAAATCCATTCAGGGCTTCAACGCCATTAAGAACCTCGGCCTGATGCACGTCGGTAACAAATTCTATGAAGGACACATCTTCCACCCTGAAAAGATGTTCATGAAGCGACGACACAATCTCGCCCGCCAAGTCGACATCGACCTCGAAATGCTTGACTTCTTCGACTTCAGCTACATCTGGGAGAAGCAGGAAAAGCTTGCAGGTACCGGCATGGCCGGCACCGTCGCCCTCGTTGTCGGCGGCCGTCTCTTAGGCGGCGCAAGCTGGATCGATGGCGCGCTCGGCGCATTCAAGATCATGGGCGTCAACGGCTCAAAGCGCCTTATACTGCCATCCCTCATCACTCTCGGTATGTGCCTTCCTCTCCCCTATCCCTAGTTATCTTCACAGCCAGTCAGTCTAACAAATCCACAGTCGGCGTTGCCCTCGCCTTCGCGATTCAACAAATCCCGGCATCCCTACCCCGCCGCCTCTCTTCCAAACTCGCAACTCAACTCGCCGCCCAGGACTACGTCCACGATAACGCTACTCGCATCAGTGCCGAAGTCCGTCGCGCCCTCAAGAACCCCTCGCAGGACCTCCGCATCGAGTTGCAGCGCGGCGTGGAGAAGCTTGAGAAGGACCGCGAGGATCGTCGTGGTATCAAGGCCGAGGCGGAGCGTGCAAGAACGTATTTTGCAGGCCTGGAGAAGAACAGTGCGAATGTGCGGAGGAGAGTGGAGAATGTCGATCTGGAGGGTGCGCCGCCCGGGTTGGCGAGTCAGTATGCTGCCTGAGGATGAGATTGCGGCATGCCCTTGTAGGTTCATGAGCAGGATGATAAGATTAGCACAAACATTTTGATATGGGCGTTTTGGGTGGAGGACAACCCCTATGACCGGCTTTCGCTTTTATGTAATGAAATTGGACTGTCTGTGCAGTGGCTGGGAGACAGGATGTTGTTTATCGGGCTGCATGCAGTCAGGTGTTTGTTCTATTCTACTCTGCACATAATTCAGACGCTCTATACTCGCTTAAATAAATCGACTCACTCGCTGTACCACACACACGTACGTCACAAAGCAAAGTGGAAGTGTCTGTTTCCGCCATTTTCTCATCTCATTTCTTTCTACATAATTAAAGGGTGATTTGTCTTAATCTCAAAACCAGGTGCAAGACGTGTATTCGGTGGGACACAGTCGGGGGACAAGTATCTCTACGACTATCCTCGTACAGGTTGTGATTCGTGCCATTCCATACATATATCGTGTTGTTACATCTGCTACGACCATCTCAAACTGTTGCGTTAGCTAGTCTTCAACCAGTAATTTTGGAGATGTATCGCACATCGTATTCTCGTCTCATCGCATTAGGACATGGTACAGTATAATCTGAGATCCGCGTCTGAGCGTACGTATCGACGCAAACGTATCGACGCAACAACACACGAAATCAATCGATATCGATCAATTTACCCATTTTCGGGCCATCTGTGCAGGACCATGGCTCCGCCTGGGTGGGTATCGGTTCATCGTCGTCACAAGGATTCAGGAGAGGTTCGTCAACAGGTGGTGCTCGAGTGTCCCTGTCTGGAAAGGCGTACAGTAATTGAGATTGGGCTGAATGCGTGCCAGCGTCATGTGTCGGATTTGAATGTAGGCTCGATAGCACGTGTGGTACTCGTTTTGGCTTGCCTTTGTTCTTCTTGTTCTTCGAGTCGGTCTGGCTGTTGAAGACTCTCGGAGTCCCTGCTGCTACTGGTGCTGATACTTCTGCTGTGGCGCATCGGCTTGGCTGCTGTTGACCAGGTGCAATTTGGATATTAAATTCGGTCCCTCTGGTTCCCATGGCTGGGAAGTTATCATTGTAATCGATCTCAGTGGGTCTGTCCCATGGATCATCTCGGGTATGGACTATTTCAGGCCTTGAACGGCCCTGAGGCGACAATGCGGTCATGGCTCGTGGGTACCCTGCATTTCTGGACGTTGATGAGTATGCTGCACGACGACTTGTTTCACTGAGGTCATGGACAGAACGAGGTAGCTTCGTCGTGGGTATGCTTGAGGCAGCAGACGGACCCGCAAAAGGAAAAGGGTTGTCTCCAAGTCGGTAGCTTGTATCTTGGGAAGTTGCTTTGTGTTTCCATGTGTGAACTTCCTTGCTTCTCAAGGGAGTCGATGATATGTTAAAAGTAGCTTCCTGATCTTTCGACAAAGAAGACCTTTCGACAAGAGAGCCATGCTGGTTGCGAATCTCGATGTCAGCAAGGGAGACGTGGTTCTGTCGTCGAAATTCCGTTGCATTACGCTCTAGTTCAGCGTCCTCCTGCTTGGCCTGCCGCCTTGCATAGCCTTGCCACTTTAGAGGATCAGAGGTCTCAGAACTGGCCAACGTACTTTCAGACGCCTTTGCAATCTTCTCGGTGCGCGGAAGCCTCTTCTTTGGCGGACTGTTAAATTCCGTGCCAGCCGGTGGGCAATCTTGGCAGACTAATATTGCTCCGCAGGGTTGAATAAGTGTGTGCCCACATGGGAGCAAGGTACTGCATTCAATAACACAAACAATGTCGTCACACGGGAAAGCGTGACAGTGAAGCTGACATGGGTGACCGCAGCTGCGCTTCTCACGACACTTGCAGCGGCAACCCCCATCGACGCCCTCCCAGTCGTTATATTCTTCGATGAAAGTTTTGTTATCATGCTTGACGCATTGCAGAGTGACATGATATCCAATCCGACGTCTCGTTTTCGTAGCACCTGAGGTGTATTTGCGCCGAAATAGTATGTCTATGACTTGAGACCATAATCGGCTTTCACCAGCGAGAAGCTCGCCATTCCCAAATATATAGAGTCCTCGCCTGGCACGAGAAAGCGCAACGCACACTCTGTTTTCGACTTCAAGGAAGCCGATGCTACCACGGCCATTATTCCGCACCAGAGACAGGATGATAATATCATTCTCTTCGCCTTGATAGGAGTCCACGGTGACAACGTTGGTGCTGTCGCGCCCCAAATATTCTTTCAACTTTGCCTGGAGCAACTTTCTCTGTGCGTTGTAGAAGGTCAAACAGGTTATTCGTTCCACGGGCGTGCCATTCATGATGAGATATCTGCAGAATGCATAGATCATGTCGGCTTCGAAGACGTTCTGGCATGATGACAAGTCGTCGCGACTTTCCTCATATTCATGCGTGTAAAAGTACAAGCTACAATCGCCCATTCCAGGCACAGGTGGCCTTATTTCAGAATCGCTGAGGCCTGGATCATCAATGATGAAATTCTTCCCGTAGATTGGGTCTAGGATTTGGCGTATCTCGGGAATCATACGTCGCTGCATACGCAAGGTGGTGAAGTCGACCTTGTTTTCGACCAATCGTTCGAAAAGTGAAATGTTGAAGTTATAATCGTCTTTCTCAAGTTTTTTGAGATTACAGTGGGGACGGAGCTGCTTGTGGTCACCCACAAGAATGAGGTGTTGGACCGATTCGAAACAACCAGCAGTGACAGGAGCTTCCAGTGTCTCAGCAGCTTCTTCGATCAGTACGATTTGCGGATGCGAAGCTGTGAGCATAGGGCGGTATTTGCTGAGACCTGTCGTAGTGACTCCAATTATTTTCACCGCCTTCAAAAGCTCCGCATCCGATTGCCAACTGTATGCTTTACGCGATTGAACCATTTTTCTGTACTCTGTGGCTAGGGAGCGGAATCCTGCCAACACTCTCTCTTTCCCTCGACGCTGGAAGTACTCGAAAACTGTCCCCCGGAAACGCTTTTTGATCGACCAAAGGTTTTTGTGCTTTGCCAGGAGAGCTTCCACCTGTTCATCCGTAAAGTCTTCAAAGCTGTCCGCGGCCCAGTTATTGGTGATGTATTGAGTGTGGCCTTTGAGTGCCTCGATATCTCGCTCATCATCTTTGGCTTGGAATTCTGCTTCTCGTTCTTCCACTTCTTCCTCTTCCAAGTCAACCTCTTCGAAAGGTAATACAGCTTCGTCAATGCGGTCAGTAGCAGGTGTTATCTGTCTCAATTGACTGCCTGCCCAGACCAAAAGCCTTGACCCTTCTCCCGTGTCCTTCGTGTGATTATACTTTGGATCATCTTCCAGGAGAGACTGATACTGATCTTGAGAGATTATATCGAGTTCCCGAAGCTTATCCAAGGGAAACGGTTCGGCAGCTTCGTCGGGACCCTCGGGTGGCTTAAGGACGGATAAGGCTTCTTGCATCTTTATTTCAATATTTCTCATATCCTTTCTGAGCCATAAAGGGACACCTGCCCCTCCGCCATTCTGTTTCCGCACTTCGAAAAGCGTTCGTCTCTTGATCACATCTCCGCCTTTAGAACGACCTCCAAGACGTATGAAGCTGTCAGGCGCAAAATCAGCTACTTTGGAAAGGATTTGATCAAGCGCATGGTTGGTTTGGCATGCCACTACGATCGGGGGGTCGCCGGCTCTCGAATGACCCATCATTATCCTTAGGGCCATGACCGAAACATACGTCTTACCGGTACCAGGAGGCCCTTGAATGATCGCGACACGTTTAGTTAGGATCCTATGCAGCGCAGACTGCTGTGAGGCATCCATGCCACTAAATACGATCTCATTTGGCCAAGATTTGAGTACATCTATGTGTTGAAACCTGTCTCGATCGGCGAATGAGTCACTGACAAACGCGCCCAGGTTGAGGCGGGGATTATCGCAGAAGTATTGTGGTGGCTCTACTTCTTGCTGCACATCTACGATGTGCTCGCTGAGGGGAAACCTGCTCGATTTTAGATAGGGCGAACAGAGTGTGGACTTCATAGTATGCTTACGGTTCCTTCATGAGCTTTTGTAGAGATACCATTGTGTGACGATCAGACTCAAAATAGGCGGCTCGATTTTCAACCATGATCATGTCTTCATTGGAGTCGAGACACATTTCCTCATCATTAGGGAAGAAAAGATCGACAGCCGGGGGATACTCACCGAGTAAGTCTAGAGGCCGCGCAGCAACGACCGCCATGACACATCGACTCCGAAAACAGTCTGCGGCGGGTGAGAGAGCAACAAGAGTACCGCTTATGAGCCGCTTTGACTGTTCCCATCTTATTTTCTTGCCGACGCGGCGGAGTGAGAACACCACTCTGACAGCGACACCACGAGCCGGAGCAGTTGTAAAAGCGACCGGGGTAACCTTTTCATAAATACCGATACCTGTGCCAATGCCGAATCTTGAGTCGGCAAAGTCTGCCTCAAGTCCATTAGGATTTCGATGTAGAGCCTCTACCGCATCGCATAATGCGCGTGTGCTGTCCTCTCGGACAAGGCGGTACTGGGCTTCCAGGTAGGCATCCTTGGACGGCCATGGGCCCTTGATCAAGTTTTTCGGGAGTTCGTTGTTGTCAATGATTTCTGAACCAAGAAAAGGACATATCTCTCCGGATGACGGAATTTCTGGCCGGTGATACCACCTATCGCTGCTATCACATGGAGCAGCAGCAGCTTTGAAGTAGTCGTGAACTGTCGTTAAGTGGCGCCCACCTCGTGCGCGGGGATACTGTGTATGTACATCTGACGAGCTTTCATTGGGATGGCGAAAACGTTCAGGTAATGTTGCGTTCAACTCGTGAGGATCTGGAAGACTTTAGCAACAGTGTCAAGCGGGAGTGACGAATTGAACACGAAAACAGGTGACTTACGTTGAGGCGATTCACTGCTGGCGTGATACCTTGCTCTAGACGTACCTAGTGACATGAGCATTTAACAAGACACTATAGTCGAAGACTTATTAACCTCTGCTTGATTGTCTTCCAGATGCCCGTCCATGTGAGCGACTGCCACGATTAGGACCTACTTCTTGCCATGCAACGCCATCGCGTGTTTCTGACGCCGAAGCGCGTGAAGGGGGGCTGCTTGCGAAGTACCTCATAGAGGCCCGCTGCGACGGATGTGGCATCAGGCCAATTTCAGACGTGAGGTAACTTCAGAATAGTGACAACAAATAAATCCAAGTAGCGAAGGTAGGTATTGCGTTTGATGAAACGAGCAAGAAAGTCTAAGACGAAAAGTATCCAGGTGGAAGTGCTGAAGAAGCAGCGAAGCAAGGAAGCAGCTGATTGGTCAGATCCGGTGCTGCGCAACGGCAACAACAACCTACGGCAGTACACCGGTTGAAACCAGAACAGTAAGGCGAATCACTGTAAAGTGAAATGAACATTCGGATGCTCCTAGTGCGCTCGACACGCTGCCCAAATAAAGCCATTCCACCCAAAACGCTTCCAGGGGAATTGAAACAGACATGTTTTCAGGGGCTTCAAGTACGCCCTCATCGACAACGTATAGTTGAAATGCATAAGAGCGGCTGGACGAGTTTTTGGAAAGGTTCAACATGTACTTGAGCCGGGATCTTTCGCATAGACAAGTACAACAAATGACGGGCCGTGTATATTTCCTTCCGGGGGAATAAAGGACATCTAATGGTATTTGGAGCTTGTACAGTAACACAGTAACGCAGGAACATGAGACGCTTCATGTAAGTAGGCCAAATAGTAGAAGTAGAGGACTTAGCATTAGCCAGGCTCTTGGAAGGGATTGTGATATGTCCGGTCTAGGGATGAATGATGGGAATCAAAAGTATTAAATGAAGGATATCGAAAGGATCAACCGAAGGACATTGAGAGTACCAATGAAGGAATCGAGAGCGCATTTCAAGAGCATGTCTTGAATCAACTCGCATGTCTTGCCTAGATTTGTCTGTTACTGATTTTGCTTTCAACTCTTAGTTCACGTGTTTACGTTGTTCCGATCATGAGTACACAATGGTCTCTTGTAGTGCTCAGGCTTTGTTTACAGTGACGGATTTCTGCTGCTCGACTCAGCAATTATAATTAGAGATAGGAGTCGAAAGTCGAAGCACGTCAGTCTAGTGACTAATTATGGCGCGCGTCTAATATGGATCCATAGGGCTTATGGATCGATTACCTAATCCTCAATGGTGGCGCCGAAACCCGCGGACGGTTGCTGCCGGCTTGGCGTCTCCAGCGCGTCGTGCGGTGCTATGATGAATGCTCCTTTTAACGTCTCATGAATCACTATACTGTTGACGCAAGGTCCTACTTCCTCTTGACTCTGTTACCCCCATAATTCACGCCCAAGATATTGCAGTAGCGCGGCGCCGTTCTGACCGGCCTTTCCTACCAGACTTGCATGACAACCGGGAATTGAGTCCAGGAGGCTGGCCGGGATGAATTTAGCAGACGATGACGAAAATGGTGCCGGTGAGCGCTTGAGATTGATCAAGAGTTCATGCGTTAATATTTCGACTAGGGTCCGCTGAATCTGAATCCGATAATGAAGTAGACGAGACTATGGAAGATGTTGATCCTGATGACGACAATGGAGAAGAAGGAGACGGTGATGGAGACGGTGATGGCGATGGCGATGGTGATGGAGATGGCGACGGAGACGGTGATGGCAACGACGATGACGATGAAGGCGATAACGATGATGACGACGACCAAGACGAGCCTGATTCACCTTCTCAGCCGAGTCGAAACCTACAAAATGGAGTGTCCACCACACCGCGCAATGGCCAAGACTCTATAACAAACCCAACCGTCACGTTCACTTCTCCTTCGCCGCGAGCCCCTTCGTCCGGGCTGACGTACCCAATCCCTATCCGCCCCAGTGTTCGCCCGGAAGCACTCACAGCAACTTTCTATGATATTGCACCCACCATAGCCGCCCCTCACAGTACCTCAATCAATGCAGTCACTGGAACCCCTGACATGAGATGGATCTTCACAGGTGGCTCCGATGGCTACATCAGAAAGTTCAATTGGGTCGATACAGCAAATGGCAAGCTAATGCTTACGGTTGCGCAACGGCATCCATTCGTAGACAGTGTTACAAAAGCTGGTGTGCTACTGAGTTACTGGGAAAATGAAGAGTCGAGATCTATGGACACACCAAATGGCGATGACTCAGCCACGCTTTCTCCCGTGTATTCGTTAGCAGTTCATCACCAGGCGTTATGGCTCCTTTCAGGTCTTGACTCAGGCGGTATTAATGTCCAATCTGTTCGACATGAAGAGGGAAAGCGTATAACGTGCTTGCAGGGTCATACAAGTGCGGTTTCTGTGCTGACACTATCTCAGGACGAGAGATCTGTACTATCAGGAAGCTGGGACAAATCAATCAATGACTGGGATCTGAATACAGGGCAAGTGAAGAGAAAATTCACGACTAGCGGTGGGCAAATATCAGCAATTGAATTGCGCCCGCAATCTTCTTTGCCCGTGCCTCAAGATTCAACGCCTCTGGTTCTGTCGAACGGCACTTACAGCTCCAACAACGCTGCCCGGCCGACTACCAATGGCATCATTGCAAACGGGGCGATGGCTACCGAAAAGACAGGTTCTCTTAAGGAGGAGGACAACGGCGTCGAGGACCCTCAAGTATCTCCTGGGGGATCCTTATTCGGTGATGGCGACTCGCTTTTCGGCGACAAAGACGATGGGCAGTCTGCCTCAGGTGTCCCAGCCCTTGGTGACGACGAGGACGATGAATTCTCTCGTGCGATCGCCAGCGGCATACAACAACAAGATGACGAAGATGGGCAAGCCGACGTGGATATGATAGACTCTGGGGGTCCTGTACAGCCAGCGGATACCATCACAGTTCCTGTGGGATCAAATGACATGATGGTAGCGTCAGATGAGTTGATCACAGATGAGGCGACCGATGTGCAGGCAGATAGCCTTACCAATGGCTTAGCCCACGCTGAAGAGACTCGTCCGCTTGAGGACCAAACAAGCTCCTCCCTAGGCCAGACTGACACCCCAGCTTCATCGAACTCGGTCTTTTTGGATGCCTCCATGGATGGCACTCTACGCGTATGGGACAGGAGGCAGCCAAATCCCATCGCACGTATTGCGCCGCCCCGCTCAGTGCCGCCATGGTGCATGAATGCTTGCTGGTCACCTGACGGAAACTTCATTTACGCTGGACGGAGGAATGGAACAGTGGACGAATACAGCTTACACAAAGGTCTCCGTGATCCCAAGAGATCATTCAAGTTTCCATCGGTTGGTGGCGCCGTGAGTGCCGTTCGAGCCATGCCAAACGGTAGACACCTTATATGGTAAAAACATTATCACTCGCAACAAGGCATCAATTGACTCATACTTAGCGCATCTCATGATATCCTCCGAATGTACGACTTGGACGAAGGGGCAACTTCTAGGCATAGAGCGACTCCGTTTAGTGTCGTTCCAGGTCACCGTACTGGCGTCATATCCCAAATTTATCTCGACCCAACATGTCGCTTTATGATCAGCACAGGTGGTAATAGAGGCTGGGAAGGGAGCTCTACAGAGGTCCTGCTAGGCTATGAGATCAACGTGATATAAAAGTCGCGTATCGCACTCTACGTTTTGGGAGGGGGGGCGCTTTGTTTGATATACCCAAATGCCGATGGCGGCTTGGCGTTTGAAATCGAGTTGAGACTCTCGGTTCGTATCGATCTCTTGTTTGCTACTTGAACATGGATTGTGAAGGCTATCTATGAGGATGCGTGTGCTTTAACTTGATTCACCAGATGTTGAATATCATGCAGGTCAGTGACTTTGTCAGACACAAAGCCTTTGGTTCACTTGTTTTCATTTCTTCGATGACGTTAGTCACGTTCCAATAGTGATTTCGGACACCTGGTGCCGTTCCTAATTTCAAGGAACCATCAAATAATTGAGGGTCGCTGCCGCATTGTTCACGCAAGCTTCAGCTTCCGCTTCCGCTTCCGCTTGCAACTACACCTCAAATTTTCTTCCCGCACAACCTTACGCACCATTATTAGACCCTGCTACCAGGTAAGTTCGTTTTCATCTTTCCTTGTGTCTAGCTCTTGTGATCCAGAAAACCGGGTAGGGAGGCGGTATGATTGTCATTTGGTAGTACCATCGTAGCTTGGTCACTGACTCAACTAGCAGGCCTCCGCGAAAGATCACGACGAGACTCATCATCATGCCAAAGTTCCGAGGTATCGACGTCAAAATCATTACACAAGATCTCGAGCCATTGCCAGAATATGGTTTCACAGTCAGGAATAGACACAAGGAGTGTTCGTGTTACATTGAGTCCGCGACAGACTTGAGCTTCCAAGTCAAAATCGCCGCAGACCACCCTTTTGCTCAGGGAGAAGACCGCATCAGCACTTATGATTTTGATACCCATGACTGTATTGAATATCAGCACTGAATGGCTTATAGGCTAATCACTCACATAGATGGCTTATATCTCAGTCCATCACGCGCGCCTAAATATGACCCACCATGTCCCTTCCATCTACTGGCTAGCATCTATCTAGACGGACGTCATAAACCCGAGCGCCGCACAATCGTATATCTGGATCCTGCACATAAGCACTACAATGATGGACCGACTTACATGAGATCACGCTGGGTAAAGCACGAGGACGGAATAATCAAGTCTCATAAATGGGTGTTCAAAGATGCTGTAGGGATCGAGACTATGCTCGATAAGATGATAATCGCGGGAGAGCTCCCCATTCAAGGCAGTCTGGACAAGGATCAGGATGATTTAGTCGCCGCCCTCAATGCATCAACAATTCAGGCTGGGACAAGAGACGAAGATTGCCGAGATTCATCAGTTGGCAGTATCATGATCACCGTACAACGGGTGACAGTAGGAAATATCAAAACCGAGAAGCACTACCAACCGAGTCACACATTGAAAGACAAGGAAGATGTCGATATGGATGGAGCATCAAGTCACATTGCAAAACCAACTGAGGAAGGTGACGTGGTAAGTGGGTTGCAAGAATCAGTTCAGGTGATTGAATATAGCCCATACACACTGGATGAAGAAGATATGTATGCAACTTTCAAGTTTCTATACCGCAGTAAAGGTGAGTCCACATTTTATCCAATGCACAGGCTGCATAGGTAAAGTATCGGTTGCATAGTGATCTCTTAAGGCTTTCTTCGCAAGTGCTAAATACTAGATTAGCCGTCCTCCAAAAGTTCGACTTTCCCGAATTCGCTTTGCAAATGAAAGCAAAACCACGGGCTGGCGGCAGCCGACATTTCAGCCACTTGATGGCCAAAACTATTCCTCTGAGCATCACGGATCCGACCAAGTCCAATCCTGGTCCCAGGAAGAACGACGCCAAATCTTCCCCATCGGCTCTTGTACTTCGTGTCACCAATACTGATGGCAAACTTGTCGTCTCAAAGTCTTTAAAGAAAGGAAAAGGCTGCGCACGAATCGGACAATCTAGCAAGTGCCCTCGGCCTATAGCCACAGAAGATGAAGGCTCTTTAAGCGAGGCTTCCATGGACTTATCCGCCAGCCGTTTTGATTCTGATCCTGACTCTAGCACCGAGTCCGACTCCGATAATTCCGGATCTGATTACGATCCAAGTAGACAAAAGGGCCGCATGATCGAATCCGTTGACAGAGGCAAGTATGGTGTTAGCGGAAAGTCGGAATTATCAGTGTTAGTCTCTTTGACATGGCCAATAGGTACCTCTTTGATGCTAATACAACCAATAGAAAATCTGCATCCCCTGACGACTCAGCTCTAGACAAAGGCTCCGCTTTCAAATTTGTACCAAGTAGCGACGCCGACGCTGATGACGAAGATGACGACGGTGATACGGATAGTACATCGAGGCGCCATCTAAAACCATCACCCTTTGCCAATGCCGACAAAAAGACTCTGAAGCGGCCTCGTAATCTTGACGAGGATCATGAAGCTCCTGAGAACGAATTTCCATCTGGTCTGGCCGGCAACAAGGATGATGAAGGTCTTGGTGCTGCATTGGAGAAATTCACCGTCGAGCATAAAAAGTTACGCAGTAGTAGCATCACAATATCACCGCACGAGGATACTTCGCCTCGCTTCGATCTAGCCAGAATTCCAGACGATTACGAAAATATGCCACTAAAACAACCCAGGCTAGCCTTTGCTAAGGCTCTAAATTTCTACAAGAACCACAGCGAAGAAGAGAGGCTTGCTCTGCCTTGGACTGCGAATACATATAATTCTGAGGGAACCAGTCTTTGCCCAGATAAACATAGGAAGCCAAGTCCCGTCTCCTCACCATCGAAAGACAGCGTACCCCCGCTCTCGCGCCTGTTGTTGCATGACAATTCGGGCTCTTTTAGTGATGCGTCTGGATACTTTGGCGACAAGGAGGACGATGGCGAACGCACTCCAAACCTGAGACAGGATTCGACAAATGACGAGAACAGGGCACCGGTCACGCTCATGCTTACCAATCAAGCGTCGAGGAGGGAGGAGGATGGAGAAACTCACCGCTAGTCGCAATAATCCACGAACGAGCGATCGCTGCTATATCTGAAGAAGGAAGTATTAATCTCCACGCCCGCTTAGCTTCACTGTTGGGCCATGTCACTGCACATACTGTGTGGGTGCCTGTCTGTCACTGCAATCAGCTGATCCGAGTCTCACATTCTAATGTCGATATGAATGAGCATGACAGAATAAGTATAGTGAGACGAGCACAGCAGGACTAGAATAGCAGAAATCACCTTGGTGGAACAAGCGAATTGGACATGGAAATGTAGCGTTCTCTGTCTTCTTTGATGTGGATCACTAGTCTATTAGATGTTCTTCTTCCACTGCCAGCAAGTTTACATAGCGAGATAGTCGTGTAATAGCAAACAAGTCTCTGGATCAGGGACAATTGATTGCTCGCTTTTGAAGGTAATCAGGGGACCTTGAATGTACGTCGGTCACAGGGCATTTGTGCTAGCAATAGATAACAGAAAACTGCAGAAGAATGGAACATATTTGTCATGGTCATCATTGGAGTGTTGGTGTCGGTGTTGGTCTTGGTGTTTGTATGACCGACGCTGTTGATAGTGATGGGTAAGGGATTTCCTTGTCCATTTGCTCCTACGCTGGCCTTGCTGGTTTCGGTTGGATGTGTAACTTCGTGTTTTCACTTGTGGATGTCGACGTCAGTGCTCAGGGCATACTTACCTATTCAATGTGCTGATGTAGTGTAAACTGCGATCACTGTCTTGGCATCAACATCAGGTATCTAGATGGGAGTTCATTGCGCGCTCCACTTGTCATCTTCGCAATCAGTTATGGGTGGTTCCTCAGCTTGTTGGTAGATTGGACATGCATCCTGGCTTTGTGGAATGCATGGCCATGGCCTAGCACGACGCTGAGTGACAATACAGTGTACCAATTAGGAAAAGGCAAGGGTATCTGCTGGAGGTTAGTTTCAGAAGCGCACGTGAATGAAAAGTTGCGCTTTCAACGGATTATACAGATTCTTAACATTAAATAGTTAGATCCGCAGGCCTCTGTCTCTCCCGTACACGCACAGAAGTGAGGGACCCCTTAACGCTTCATGCGTATATCTCGCCTTGTTCGGAACTTGTTTTGGTTCCTGTCCGTGTGATACATCCAGCTTCTTGCTTTCAAGCCTCGTTCTTTCTACAATATCTCTTCCCGTGGTAGTAAAATAATAGGGTCGCTAGCCAGCCAACGCACGAACCGAATGTATGTTAAAAGGAGTACCCTGATAATCGCCATGTTACATGGGCTAGAACGCCAATCGCCGGGATGTCAAATCGTTGAGTACCCCAGACAGAGTGTACAGGTGTTTCTGAGAAGACAAAAGGAAACGGAGAACTGGTATCTTCATAGCGGTTATATGTATGCCAGCAATATGACTCCAGCTGCGGTAGGAACGAGTAGTGTAACAAGGTGATTCAGAGTGAGAGATGAAGCTGCGCCGGTACCGGCTGTGACATCAAATGGGCTACCACCACCACTGTCAGGATTGGATAGCTGCGGGGGCAAGCCATCTTGGCCACCGTTCTGGGATGGAGCTGGCTGAGTAGCAACGATGGTTGTTTCGGTCGGTGCGGGCGGAGGGTTTGCATCTGTCGCAATAGGAGTCTCCGATTGTATTGACGATGGTATCGCTGAGGGACTCGCCTCAGTCTCAGTAGGTGAAGCCGAATTCGCGCTTGAGATCGCCGTCGAGGTCTGTGACGGTCTATCTACCGTTGAAGATACTGATGGTGGTGCGGAGCTGGGCGTTGGTTCACTGTTTGGCGGCGCCGGCGGCAGAATCGTGGTGACTGCGAAGTTTGGACATAGTTCGGTGATTACATCGCCTTTGAGAAAGCGTCCGATCAGACTTTGCGCGTCGAGAGCGAGGCCACCGCATGCTTTCTGCACCGCCGTTTGTATTACTACCAGACCATCCACACATGCCTGTGAGCATTTCGCCTTGTTGGTAGTGCCCATGCCAATGAAGTCGGCATTCACGCAGCCGGGGACCTGTTGGTTGTATACGCGATCGCATCTTTCAGGTAGATTCGTGTTACGAGGTGTGAAGTCGACGAGGGCCACAGCGGAGGTAAAAGGGAGGAGACATGCGAGCGCAAGTACGTCTTGCTGCCGCATGATGAGGATGACGTTGCTGATGTTGCTTGTTGTTGTTAGTGGAAGAGGGAGAGGTGGAGTTGTGCGATAGCAGCGAGCAATTCACGATAGACGCTGCGGAGCGCCTGACCCTGGCTCCACGAAACTAAGATGACTGAGTGAAGGTTTGTCTTCCAGGGTGATGGTGCAGATGTGAATGTGGCGAGGTGAGACGTTCCCAGTCTGAAGTTTGAGCTGCCGCGTTCGGGCGAGTTGTCAGGGTCCGGCAGAATTGAATCACGGTCCAGCCAGAACCAGCCGAAGCAGAAGTATCTACGAAGCACACTTTAAGATGAAGCCCAAAACCTAGTCTCGTTAGTGATCAGTTGGTGACATCCTGTGGTTGTCGAAGGCATAAAGTCGGCATCATGTTGAACTCACCAACACGAGTAAGTGAGCGCCATGCACAGTTTGGGATGTGCGACAGCCGCTCAAAGCAGAAGAAAGCTTGGAATAGGAAGGCGGTCGACACCTCACCGAAAGGAGAAAAGAAGCAGTATAAAAGAAGAAAAATGGATATCACAGAAGGTAGGTAGACTTATGGAATACCTGTCCGTTGCAGACGTGAAGGAAAGGTTGACGCCTGCAACCTACGGTCCCCAGGGCCTGTGAGAGTCTGACGCAACGAGAAAAAGTCGGGGTTGAAGTAAGAGAAGTTTCAGACCTGTACCTACAACCCGGACAAGCGTGCGATTATGGAGCTTCGCCAACTCTATCAAACGCCACCGCCCCGTCGCCAACCATTATGAAGGAGAACCATGGCTGAACTGGCGTTCATCACAATCATGAGCAGTAGCCCGCGGATTGGCGCGCGCGCAGTTCAGCGCGATGGTGCTCCGGGATAGTGAAAGAGTTGTGGATGGCGACGACGAGGAGTTGGTTGGTTGTCGCAGGAGTCGCTTCACGAGCACCGAAGAAGTCTGAAACAGCGCTAGTTGACTCGCCCGCCAATTGGCGGCCCTCGATTCGGCGTGGCGTTGACGCTTGACAGCCTGAGGCCACAAGACGTCCATAGTCGGCGTGCTAAAACAATCATAGGTCACTACTTAAGACTTTGCTTGCATATGTGAGGAAGATATATACAGTGTTTCGCCTATTCTGAACCTCCAACTATATACAATGAAATGTTGGCTGCAACGAGACACCCTCTCTATCAGTACAATTCCCCTGACTTAGGCAGCACGACGTCCCGCACCGGAAAACATCTTGCGCTTGTTATAGTCACTTCTTTTGACGGACCCAGTGGAGATTGCTCCGTTGGGAGGAGGTCCCGATCCACTCGGTGGAGCACCGCCGACTCCTCCATTCGCGTTGTTGTGACCACCAGTAGCATCGTAGTATGCAGCATATGAGGCATCGGCAGTGTGGTTGGCAGTGGTATCGATGCCAATTGAGATCCAAGCCAACAGACCATCCGTGATATCGTCAGAGAGGTAGACAAATTCCGGGAATGGGTCGTAGTTGTTATCAGCTTGAGTCGGCGCCCACATGTCGTCATCATTTGACACGATAGCCTGTGTGTTGGTGTTATAGGGGTAAGTCGCCTCGACAGCCGATCGCAGAGACTCGTCGAAGAAGAGCTGGCCGATGTGGGCATAGGTTCCTCCAATCCAGCTGCCGTTGCGCAAGGTCTGGGCGTTGGTATGCACAACAACATGCTCGTGGATAGCTCTGCCGTCGTAATGGCCAGGGAAGATCGTGTCAAACTGAACAACACCATCGGAATCAGATTGCTGAAGGCCACGAAGGAAAGTGGTATTCAGACCGGCTTGACCAGAAGCGACATCAATGCCAGAGTATGTACCAGTGGCGTTGCAGGACCAAATATCGATTAGGAGCCGGGGCACCGGTTCGCAAGTGTTAGTGTCGATGAATTGCATCTCGAGATGCATGGGCACGCCCGCCTGGTCTTCAGCGACATTTTCTCTCAGGAGCTCACCAATGACGTAGTATGGACCAATGGTGTTCTCAGGAGTCAGGACGCAAGAGGTATTGGCGGAAAAGATGGCAGATGGATCATGAGGGTTGACAGTCCCGGTGTAGTTGTGGTTGACGGTCTCGAATTTCTGGAGGGCAGCCAAGTCCCTACGGTGGAGGTAAGGAGACATGGTGATACCACGAGCTTTGCGAAGACGTTCCGCAGTGGCAGCACGACGGGTGATCGCACGCTGCTCCAGGGCGCGAGCCTTTATTGTGCCGGCGCAGTTTCCAAGGGAGCGGGCGGCTTTGGAGGCAAGGTGGTCGCGGACTTGGATCTCTCTTTTGACTTGAGCGTGGTCGTGAACCTCTCCAGGATGGGCAGTGACTGATACAACGGAAACGGTAACAGCCAATGCCGTAGTAAGCTTCGAGAACAGTACCATAATGAAAGATTAGGTGAGACACGCTTGATTGAGCAGCGGGATCAATGATGGTGATGGTGGTAGAAATCAGTATTGACGAATCTTCCGGAACCTACTTATACAAATTCTCATAATGAGGCCACGCATGCTCGGCGTTGAGACAAATATGGGCGTCTCTCACATAGCAATCCGCCAACGGAGCAGCTTCGGTTTCCAGATACCGTGGTATCGTGTCCACCGAGAATTCTCACCCAATGACGACGCCTCTAATTACACACTACAACGACGATGAAGTCGTACATAGTAGTATACCAAAACAAGAAAACCCAGGTCATACCCAGATCTATGCTTGAGTGGATCGAAGTACGCAAGCCATGGTAGTGCCTTTGAAGGGGCTCTCCGCCATAGGCGTCCACTGTAATGCCAGTTATGACGAAAACGACAGTTCGCAGTAGGTTCTCCGACTACACGGATCATTGAAGTCTTCAAATCCGATGTCTGCCATTGGCTTCTGTTTTGTCGACGTCGTGGCCAAGCTTTAATCCAGGCTCTTAATCCACCATCACCACACGCCTCTACGCGTGGCCGATTCTTAAGCTTTCAAGTCGGGCATAAGATTGGTCTATGATGTGAGACGCCAAGAGTTCATATGCTTCAGATTAGTTGTTGCGAGGGACGGACATGATATTGCGCAAGCAGTGCACTTCAACGTGGTGAGGACTCTGGGAGGCAGCCTGGTAATAGAAGGAGAGAAAAGCCGACGCGTTGGGTATGCTGCCTTAGTGCCTTAAGGCAATAGTGCCCCTTTTGGCCTGCCAAGACCGGCGCCGGTACGAATCCTTCTAACTTGAAACTCTGTTGCACGCGTATACACCCACATCACCGACTCATGGAGACGAAAGGACGGGCTGAGCCATCAATCCACGTGTAGTGTGGTAGTACAGACGTAAACAGATTTGCTGGGACCTCATTTTTCTATCGTATCGACATCGGCCTCACGACTCTGTAAGATGAACATCGAGGTTATTGCGGCCATCTAATTCGTAGATCGAAGCTGTAGCGGGTTACTCATTTGTGTATCATACTGCTCATGGCACTGATAGAAGGTCCAGCAACTTTTGGCACTCTATCCTGGCATCTCATGACACATGACCTCAGCTGGAAGCTCCATGGGCCCATCATGTCTTGCCACAGCTGTTGAAGTCTTCTCATAGACTGTGTATCGGGACATAAATGGCTGTCTTCGGTGCCTTTTCAGCAAATATATAGCTAGCGCCAGAGCTATTTACCTAATAATACTCAGAGGTACGCCGACTCCGATACCAATTCTGGTTCCTTTCGACAATCCAGTATCAGGGGGCGTTGCTGTGCCATTTGGAATATTGAAAGAGCTAGGTAGCAAACGAGATACATCAGATGGCTGATCGTCAATGGGGGGTGTAATGGAGATAAGAACCACTATAACGATAGCATTCATTACCGATGTGAATCCGGATAAAGGTGCCGTGATGCCTATACCAAAGCTCTTACCAGTATCTGTTCCTCGAGCATTACTGATAGGTGTAGACGTCGCTCGGGCTAGCATTGGAGCTGTTGTCCCAGTGATCATGTTCCGACCGCGGATTGCATCTCTTCCCAGCACATATCCATCGCTGATGGTACTGGTCTTGATATCGGCATTGTATGGATCGAAGGGATAGTCATATGACGTATAAATAAACACATAGCCACTCGAGACGACGGTGTTGCAGTCCAGACCAACGCCACCATGTGGTTCATCTCCTCCGTTGTAGGTATATCCACTTTGATTGCATCAGCTTACTCCAAGATCGATCAGGTTCGGGCAGCTCACGGTGGACAACGTAGTATATCGACAATAGACAGTGCGACTGTAGACTCCCAGACCGTATGAGAGGCTCCAGGGCACTTCAGTGGTCCATAGCTTGTTATACCGCCAGGACTTCGACAGTGCGTAAACGCGTCTGGGTAGCAATCGACTTTTAAGTCGATTAGAACTCCGTAGCTTAGATCCCATCCTACAAGTTAATTTGCGTATTATTTGTAGTAGCTACCGCATCTCCCTGGCGCTAAGTAGCTGTCTGTGACCGGTACCCGTGTCGTGGTGGTGCCATCGTGGGTCTCTGGTGGCCAGGACATTGGATATACCGGTGGCTAAGGATTGCATATCTTTGTGGCACATCGATGCATAAGACTTCAGAGGAAAGGGTAGCCCTATGCCATAGGGACTTGTGTGTCGCGCTGTAAGATGTAATATGTTTGATCTGACGTGGTGAACTTTGTGTCTACTAGAGGCTTGCAACAGAGCGACTGTTCGTGCAAAGACTTGTCACCCGTACCTATTATGCTAGTCAAAGCATCACGTACGACACCTATGTACCATTACAGGAACTGCTGCTATGGAGTAAAGGAGAAATAATCTGATCACAATCATGAATACTGCCCGATCATAGCAGTCACTGATAATGGTGATGAATGTAATTTGTGCTCGTGATGGGGGAAACGTGAGCCTGACACAGACTCCACGACGTCAGAATCATGTGTACTGTCTACCCATTTGCTGCAATTCGTTCCTTTCTCCCTGTTCATATACTATACTGCGGGCGGTGGTCATAATAGATGCTTACAGCGGACTTGTCATACACGACCAAACACCACAAATTTCGAACAAATCCCAACCTCTCATTTGTAATACACCATCGTCAAGGAAGCAAAAGAAGCATCAAAATACAAAACATTCAGCAGTGGGGATTCGCTAGTGGTCACCCACCTAACTACTAATCCACCCCTAACCAGCTTAAATAGGCGGGAGCGAACGGGACCGCTTGCTTTCTGGTTGGTATGGCCGAATGTGGGAGACGAAATGAAAAACAAGTATATATTGAGGATATGCCTCCTCGGTGAGTTGAGTAAACGACCTCTATCCCTCCGTCGGAGACTCCAATAAGAAGAGCTATCAATAGAACACCATGGACATGTAGAGATCTAGATAAATATCTCAAGAAGCTCGTAGCAGCCACTGAGCTTTGGAGACGAAGATTCCTGCAGGAATGATCCTTTGGTGGATAGCCTTCAGATAGTCAAATCCGATAAACACCGCACGCAACCTCACACTCGACCAATCAAACAAATCATATATCTATAGCAACCGTTATATATGACTCTCTGCCAACAATCCACTGACATTCCATCGTATTAAGCCACGGCATCATCGCCGCGTCGCGAAAGTCATTCCTCATAGCACGCACCATCCACTCATCCATTCATCCATTCCCTCCCGAGGGGGCCCTTACCCCCCCGAAGGCATCACACAAACCACCTACCCGAACCAGCACCGCCTCGCATACCACCTACCAACTCGGTGCTGCCCCACAAACCCAGCCCCAATAGATACCACGCTCTCCACAAAACGTCGCCTCCAACATACCTACCTGCATCATATACCGCAAACTGAGTCATCTCACACTGCGCCAATCCCACCTTTCGAAATCCTCTCTTCTCTTCCCATCTGCCCTTGACAAGCAAACAGCAACAGCCAAACACCTCGTATTCGACACGGGTATACTAGGCAACCCCCAGCCCCCAGCCAGCCAGCCAGACAGCCCAGCCAGACAGCCCCCTAGCCCCCAGCGCAGGCAGCCCAGCGCAGGGTCCCCCCCAGCGCCACGCGCGGGGCTCGCTCGCAGCGGCGCAAGGAGGAGACGGTAGGGGTTAAGGCGCGTGGGCAAAAGACACGCTACAGTCGCCTTGGTCCGGCACGCCTCCAGGATTCCCTCCTAAGCTCCCGCTGTCAAACCGTGCTGTTGGGGAGACTGGACCGGGGGGATGTGGACGGGACTGGTTAGGTCGGGGGACGGGCTGGGTTAGGTTTCTCTGGCTTTGGGCTGGTCCCCCGGGTGTGTGTGCCGCTGCGGCTACGGCTACGGCTACGGCTACGGCTACGGCGACGGCTACGGCTGAGAGGAGGGGCGCAAATGCTCCCGGCTGGAATGGCGCGCTGCTAGAATGTCGGTAGAAGGTAGGTCTTTACACGCACGCTCTTCTGCTTATCTGTTTGTTTTGTGGTTTACCGCGTGCTTTCATGTGCTGCATTCGCGGTTTACTGTGTGTCTTTCCGGCTATCCGTCAGCAGTGGACGTCACACTTGATCTGACTAAGCGGGACCATACCATACACAACTTACTCTAGGTCATTAGGTCCGACACCACCACATACCACCATAATAACCCCACGCACCCATCTCAATCACCATAGCGCCCCCTCGGTTAGAGGCTTCACAGTCCCTTCACACCTCTCGCCCCCTTGCGGAGCACGATATCCGCCATGCTATCCATGCCTACTACCTACATGGCATACATGTCATAACAAGCCATCCCTCCCATGCACGCAAGCATACTCAGACAGCAATGCCATTCCATTCCATGACAAACGCGCAACCAGCGCCAGAGTTACACGGCAGAAACAGAATACAGAATGCCATCATTCAAACTATTCAGTGATGTTAGAATCAGTCAGTCGTGTCGGTTGGTTGTTTAGTCGTTTGGGTAGGTAAGAAAACAACGTCCAAATCCAACGCCGTCTCACGCGCCGCATGCTGGACGTGCTATATGACATATGTACTATATACTGTATACAGTGCCATACAGCGCACGGGATGAGCATGCTTACCAGACGAACACCCAACCAACCAAACAAACACCCAACCATCAGCAGCCACCACCAAGCTCAAAGACAAGAGAAAACGCCTATTTGTTCTGCCTACCTACCTACCTAATACAAACCCACTCAGACTCAACCTCACAACCCCAAGCCGCACTTGGAAGAGGCCGCAGTCTGGGGGCCCAGAGGGGTAGGGGGCCGAGAAGAGCGAGCAGCACAGCAAAGTAGGATTGTGTTTGGCAAGAAATATGGCCTTGCTTGCTTACTTCCCTACTTACTTCCCTACTTACCTACTTACTTACCTGCTTGCGTGCTTGCTTTCCAATGTTGCCTGCGTCCTACCTCACCTCACCACCCCATTCAACGCGCTCTAACCCCTCCCCTCCCTACTCTCCCCTCCTCCTCCTCCGCACTCCCCAAACCACGCACCACCACCAAACAACCCAAACAACCAACAGCCCAGGAACGCGCAGTCCCCATACCTAATTAGTCCTAGCCAAGAAAGACTCAAAAGGGCAAAACCTCGGGGATAAAAGACGTGATGAATCGGAGAGCAGCCCGAAAGGAAAGTTGGGGGGGGGGATCGGAAGTGCTGTCGGATAGGGTAGGTAGTGTGAGGTAGGGTAGCGTAAGCTAAGGTAAGGTGATTGGCGTAGTGTAGTGAGTGTTAGTCTTTCGTGGTTAAAATGGCTCGTCGCGAGGTCTTCGTTCTGGCTATCCTGGATCTGGGTTAATGTATGTGTGTGTGTGGGTGGGATGTGGGTGGGATGAGGCAGGGCATGGACTTGCATGGCACGCAAGGGCTCATGCTCATGCTCATGCAAGAACCTATTCACAACAACGCATGCTAAAGTATATGTCCTGTATAAATCTTTTTTTTTCTTTTTTGTCTTTAAAAGAATTTCCGGTGTATTTAGAACCAATCTCCACCAGGCAGAAGAGAAGAGAAGAGAAGAGAAGAGAAGATATAGCAAAGCACAATAGACCACAAGACCAGGAGACATACATCATGATATCACGAGGAGAGAGAGAGAGATAGAAAAAGGTTATGAAAACAAATACATTCCATTTTCGTCAAAATCCCCCGAATTGACTTGGCTTTCCATTCCATGTCCCCCGTTAGCCGTTTGTGCCAGTCAGTGTAATGAGACATCCACGTTCATCTATCCCTATGGAACGTTTGTACGCCCCACCCATGTACGGCCGTTTCAATTCGTATGCTGCGCATGCTCGTGCGCCATGTGCGTTTCAGGACGAGTTCAAAAGACATGGATCCACCCAGTTTTGGAAAGATCCCTCCCCCGGAACGACATGAACTCTCCCTCAAAGATAAACAAACAATAAACGAGACCGACGACCAAGAAACGCCGCCGATAGTAGTCCGTGCCAACAAAAGACATGCCAGTAAGATATATCAAAGGGAAAAAAAGGTGCTAAAATGTAAAACAAGAAAAGACCACCCACGTAGATACAATCCTCAGAGTTGCGGTAACGTGGCGACCGTTGGAGCGACGAGAATGGTCGACGAGTCCGGGATAGTGGTATACAGGGCAACATCGTCCAAAGGAGAATGACGGCGACATGAAGATGCGAGAAGACTGTACTGGTTCTCTCATCTGTGTGTCAAGGAAGAAAAGGCGACAAAAAGGTTGAATGTTGGTTGGCAAGGAAGTAAAGACGTTGAAATGCAATACCGTTGCGCTAATGTGCACATAGTAAGCAGGGCTGCGGAATGAAGAGAGTGATGCAGGGGAATGGTGGGAATGTCCAAGTGGAAGAAGAGGAGGGGTCCCAGCCGATAAAGAAGTTGACAGCTGCATCGACCGATGATGTTGATGAAGGCGCCGAGGAAGTCAAGAATCCCCCGTCCAGCGAAGGATCAGAAGACAAGACAACGTAAGCCTGCGAGGTTCGCCAGCAGGAGTATCCATCATAGGGCATGGAAAGTATGGAGGAGACAGCAACAGATTCAGACGCCATCCCAGTCGTAAGGAAACGCCAATTGCTGACGTTCCAGACAAAAAAGCTCCGACCGACACGCATCCAACGGGACGACGAGTCACGACCAGGAATCCCTCAGCCGTTGAAGTATGGGGTCTAGCGCGCTTTTATGCCAAGAATGAGCCGGAGCTGCATTCTGCACTTGGACATGCCCGACATTGACATTGGCTCGTTGTTAGGTCTTTCTCCGACATGACTTGCGTGCTCGACTTCCCCCAGTGGATACAGACAGCCACATCCTGGACGATAAGAGAATGTATTTAAGGAGAGCTGGCCCGCTTGGAACGCTTCGACCGTTCCATCCAGCGCTTCTTCCCAACACGCGTGTCAAAGTGCGGTGCCTTCTGTGCAATGTCATGTCCTGCGGCCATCATCGTACTGCGCATCTTGTTGCGGTATGCATCCACTATCATCCATCGTTAGCACTTCTCCTCATCCTTCTTCCACATCTTTTGACATCACTTACAAGATCGCTGCAAGAACAACGTACGACCGGCGAACACTCTGCCTTGGCTCCAGCTCATGCGATAGCCCAATTCGTTCAGAGTGACTTCACGTGATCGTTTGGTCCGCGTGATTCGTGGCTTCGGCAGTTTGATGTCACCGCCGTCCATTGTTGGCACTGGAACGAGAGTTCGGCCAGTGACTGGAGCTTCGGCTTCGCGCTCGTCCTCGGGATCACTCGTGAAAACGTGCGTTCCACGTGGCGAAGCTGGAGGTGAGGCTGTCTGCATGTCAAAGCACGAGCGCGGGAAAACCGAGTTAGATTTACGGTACGAGTCTGGAATCTCGTCCATGTTGACTTGATCGAGCATGACTCGTACGCGAACTCTGGTTCCTCGCTGAGCGTCGTCCACAAGAATGAACTTGCGACGCTTGGCCTCTGGTAGGTCCCCGAACAACGCAATCATACGCTCCTCATCAGCCCGTTTACCGGCAGGAGCAGCGCTTGAGTGCGGATGCGCATGACCACCAACGTGATCCATTGACCCGTGAATCGAGGGCATCGAAGAATTGCCTGCCGATGAGTAGCTAGGGTACGTAGGGCTGAAACTGTGTGCCGGGCGAACGTCGTTTGGTGAACTGATTCCCTGTCCATTGGTGGAGCCATGATGGTGGGTCTGCGGGCTTTGGTCGTAGCTGCTGCCTGATTGAGAGAAAGAAAAGTGATTAGCCGCCAGTCCACGCCATTGAGCGTCGTTAGTCGTTGCTGAGTGTGGGTGGTGGGTAGAGATGCGGCCGCGCAATAAACATGACAAGTGCAACTTTTCGGGCATGATGCTAAGTGCGTACTTGGATGATGGGTAAAGGGTAAAGACGCAGTACGAGGGGCCGCACCGGGAGGGAAACAATAATGTACATGTGCAAGGCAAAGGTGACAAGAAGTGCATCTGAATATAAATCCCACAATCGCCAAAGTGCCAATCAATCATCCCATCTGGTGAAACATACCGCTGACATCGTCGCTGCTACCCGGCGCGCCGCCTGGGTGCTCGTGATGATGGTGGAGCTGACCTCCCATTCCCATACCTGGCCTTGAACCTGGGGCTCCTGGCAAGCCCGCCGAGTTGGGAATCCCTGCGCTTCCCGGCGCGCTAGGCGTCATGTGTGGACCATGCTGCCCTCCCTGCACAGCTTTCCTGTTGGTGATCTTGGCCATTCTTCGGACTCTGCGACTGCGAAGTCGTGGGTCTTGGTTGCTGTTCCTCCAGCTGTCCACTGCACGCTGGATCAATCCTCTCTTGCCTCTCAAGCATGGATTCAATTGCGCAAGAGCCCAGCCGACAGTGTTGCATTCCGTCTCGTAATGCAGGCGATTGCCTTTGTACTGATCCTTGTGGCAGCATGCGCGAGGGTAGACACAGTTCTCGGTCTTGAAGTCTTGCGGCAGTTCCTCCACATTTACCGACTCCACGTCACATCGAATGGTGTATTCCATCTTGACGCGATCTCTCGAGTACTCAAACGCAATCCACTGGACACCGTTCTGGTCTTGTCGAACAACAAGCGGAGTTGTGGCTGGGATAGGGCCTGGAGCAGCGTTGGGGTTTACGTTTGCTGAATTACCCGGGTGCATGCTACCAGCACTTCCAGGCGGACCCTGTGGAGTAGTCTGCGACGCGCCAAGTCCAGAAGGTGGTCGTTGATGTGGTGTCTGCGGCATCCGTGACTTTGGGCTGCCGGTCAAGCCTTTGTAGTCTGCGTGGGGAGATTGATGAAGTGGTTGACTGTGTGGGCCTTGAATCAACGATGGACTGGTGTGCATTGGGTTGTGTTGAACATGTTGACTGTATGACGTTTGTTGGTGAGGTAGCGAGTATTGAGGATAGTACATGCTTGATCCCATGCCTGATGCCGGTTGTCCATAGATCGGTCTGCCATGAGCATCGTGCTGCGGTGACTGCACCGGTGCGGGCGAGTTTGTTTGCGGAGTCGCGTACATTGGCGGGAATTGTCTCATCGTTGCGGTCGCCATTCCTAGCTCTGGTGTATCTAGATTTCTGTCAGGGGCAGTCCAACGACATACATGACAAAGCGGAAGCAGATTGCGATAGATGTATCGCTACTGCTGTTTGCTTACCTGCGGATGATGTGTAACTACCTGGTCCGCTCCCTGCGCTATATGGACTTGGATGCGATGAATAATAGGAAACCTCTGGAGGAGGTTGGTTAGGCTGACCCTGAATCGGATAGGGACTCTGGTGTTGCTGAGGAATTGAATGAGTCGAATTGTGAGGCGAAGGGTAGGGTCCTTGTGGCGGTGGTTGCGGATGCTGCGGTTGATGTGGTGAGCCTGGATGCTGCTGCTGGATCACTCCTGGTCGCTGGTGGAGATGCTGCGGCGGTGGCAAGCCTTGCGAGGACTGATGGGGATGATGCTGGCGACGGCAATGTTAGCATGAACAGCGTGGTTTTGCAAAATAGCAGAGTGCATATGAGCGAAGTTGCAGGATTTGGGAGTGTGAAGAGAAGAGCTGCTGCCACGACCCGTCACCCTCGTACGCGTCTGTAGGTAAACAAGAAGCCTGTGCCTAGGCAGGGATGAAGGCTCAAGGGTTGATATGAGTCCTGGTCCCGACCTGGTTCCTGGACAGACAAGATCAGGCATGCCATATTTCTGCCGAAATGTCCGGGTATGGGTGAGAGAAAATGGACTGGCAGCATACATGACGACTATTGTTTCTGTCCTCTCCAGACAATTGCAACAGAAACCTTGACAAGCGGGCAATGAACGGGAAACTTGGAGACAGTAAAGGAAGCCTTACAAGAGGGAGATTCTGCTTTGAGATGGAGACAGGAAGAGGGAGAGATTGGAAGAAGGAGAAGAGTAAGGATGACGATTGGCAATGAACGTTGAAGAAAGATGAAGAAGGATGTTGGTGGGGAGGTGCAACGGGGAGGGATGTTGTACAGCAGTGGAGTTTCTTAAGCAGAACCAACTAGCAGGGATAGAGCAAGGCGTAGAAGAGGTGGTACGATGATAAACAGCAAGCAGATAGAAAGCAGACGGAAACAGCGTAGAAGCAGAAAGTAGATGACAGGGAACCAGGGAGCAGTAGAACAATAGACCAGGGAGGGGGAGGGGGTAGTGGTGTGGTGGGGATAATGATGATGATGATGGTGGTGGTGGTGTTTGAGAAGAGTATGAGGGTGCAGGGAAGCGGTCAGCAGTCAGCAAGTCAGCCAGAACTGGGCAGCAAATAGCCAAATTGCGCCTGTGCTTGTTTGGGGGGGGGGAGGGGGAGGGGGAGAGGGCAGAGGGAATTGGGCAGCGGGCGGCGGGCAGTGAGCAGTAAAGTTGGGGTGGCGTCTTGGCGACAGAAAGAAAAAGTAAAGAAAAAAAGGGCCCGGAGGGTGAATCAGCCACGGTAAGAGAAGCGGCGCATACCATGTAGGGAGCCAGAACCACGCGAGAACGGAACGAGTACGTGAGTTTCGAGGGGTCGATCGCTCGTCCAAAATAAAATATACCTGACGCGGCCTTGTCCTTGACACGCAACCACGATGCGCTCAGATAGCCTGGTGCATGCAGGAGAGGTCCAGCCCAGTCGAATGTAATGCTAATATCCCGTGCAATACAACAAACAAGGTTTGCGCCGTGAGAGCAGCGACCGGACGGCGGCCTGGGGAGAGATGGATGCAAGGGAGAGGGAGAGAGATAGAGACAGAGATGGAGAGAGAGCGAGAGACAGAGTTTGCGGATGAGCGCTGGCTGGACGTTGATGCTAAGTGGGCGCGTCGACGGATGTTCCCAGCAACGACAGTGCAATCGTGGTCCTCGTCCTCGAGGGTTGTTCTAGGGCGGCTGTAGCAAGGGGAATGATGTCGCGCAGAAAATGGATTGGGTTCAACGGTAGAACTTTGTAGAAAGAGCAAACAAGCAGACGAGAGTAGCGCGTATAGAAGTAGTAGACTGCTTGTCGTTCTGACAGGGCCGGCCAGTCGCCAGGGTTGTTGGTGTCGGTATGGATGGTATGGACGGTATGGATTGTATGGATTGTATGGATGGTATGGATTGTAGGCGGAGGCCCCCAGGAAGTGGCAGTAGTGCAGGCTGTCAAGCAGCGTGTGCGCATGCGAGAGGGATTGCGAATGACCAGGGAGGGCTTTTTGGGGCTTTTTTTCTTCAACTTACCAGTCCTTCCGCCACAGGCTCGGCCCTGTGGTATCTTTGGGGAGACATTGCCCTCTGGCGCGGCGATGCATGCGCCATTCGTAATGACCGTACTGACGATGACGATGGTGATGGTGATGACGAAGATGAAGATGATAAAAAAGAAGACCACGATGGGTTGGTGATGTTATTGATATGGTTGGCTGTTAGGTGATGGGTGTGTGAGGATGGTGCAGCGTGCTGATCGGAGCAGCGAGGCTTCGACTACTTCAGAAACCACTGGGCTCCGGCTACAGGATGACAAGTTGCAAACGATATGGTCGGTCGAACTGACAGAACAAAAGGAGGGGGAGGGTGTGAAGGGCAGGATATGGGATGGAAGGGGAGGGGGGAGGGGGGGGCAAGAGGTAGTGGTGATGCAGTGGTGTGTGGGTGGTGGGAGTTGTGTTGTGGTAATGTAGTAGCTAGTGTCAGTGAGTGAAAGATAGCGAGCTAGTAGCCTATTAGGCAGCTAGAAGAGTGGAGAGAGCAGGCAGGTAACATGAAATGCAGATGGGCAGCAGCTGTTGAATGTTCAAGATTCGGGATGGGGGCCTGAGGTGGTGGTGGTGCTGGTGGTGGTGCTGGTTGTGAATCTGTGTGGTGGTGGGCAGCGTCGAGGGTCGAGGGGTCGAGGGTCAATCAAGGGCGTCAGTTGATTAAAGTGGAGCTTGGGCCGGTGGGCGCTGGTTTGGTCGGTTACAGGGTGAATTACAGTCATCATTACAGGGTGGTGCGGCTCGAGACAGGCCTGACAATTAACTTAAGCTTCAATATCAACGCATACTGTTTGTTAACGCATCTCCACTAATGCTTGTATTTCATCATATGGTCAAATAGGCGAAGAATGATGAGTGACAAGTAAAGACAGTACACACAGTAATACGCGGTGCAGAGTGAAGATAGACCGGTCACGCCTGGGCTGGGGGTGTGTAGGGCAATTCAATGCACTCGGTAATTGATTAATTAGAGCATCAATATTATTAGCATTTCTGGAGAGCCCTCCGCAGAAAGAGGTTTATTCACTTGGATGCTGACGCGCTCTGTGCGAGCCACGAGCGAATTAGCTACCTCTCTCTGTCGCCGCTCATCTCATCGTCAGGCTCCAAGGCAGAAATCATGGCCAACCACCGCGAATCATTTTCCTTTTCACTCCCACTCTCACATTCTGACAATGTCGCCTCTCTATGAATATTGACTCTCTCTGTCTCTTCCTCTCTCTCTTCTCATCCACCAAACCCCCCCCCCCCCCCCCTCCTGGCACTACTGCCCCGCCACTCGACCGTTGTCTGTGCTTCTTGCATCTTGCATCGCTCTCCTCAATCTACTGCCCGAAGCCACTCGCCGCTGTCTTGTCCTCTTCCGCTTCCTCCTCTCCCTTCGCGTCTCAGCTTTCCATTCGCACACTGACCAGCTCCAATGCCGATAACCTGCCGGGCCAGTCAACGATGGCCCTCCTGATGGCGCTGGCGCACGCAAGAATAAATCCAAAACACGCCAGGGATCACGGTCCCATGGCCTGTCTATCCCTCTCTCGTCCAAGCGTACCCAGCAATTCTGCCTACCCGCTTGCGACATCGTACACAAACATACATGGCACATGCAGCAACAGCGCTTGCTGCTTCTTCCACTTCCTGATGCCCTCATCTATGACAAGCGATGCATGGCTGTGTGCGACTTTGCTCATTTTCAAGTCACCAGAATGCCACCCCCCGCATGTCGCGTCCAGTGTGCTGGTTCAACCGTGGAACTGCGCTTCAGCGCTTGATGAGGCGTGGCACAGCTTTTCAGCCCATTGTGCACCATGACTTGTGACTCCGACTTTCACGGGCCGCCCAGAACTGCTGAGGCGTGGAAAGAAGCGTGGACAGGAGCGTGGGTCCCGCGTGGGCTGCTGGTCTCTTCGGGATCCCTGGGTTTTGACGACCGAGGAAGGCATATACTATGTATGGCAAAAGAGCTGGTCCATGATACCGTAACTAGGTATACACCAGGTAAACGCAAAGACCGTTTCTAGCTTTGGAAACTAAGCATGGAGGCCATGTTCGCGGGTACGCCCGTGTCTATCATCAGCCTGGCACCTGGTACACAAATAGTCGACACAAGCTGAAAATTAATCTGGTGGCCATCATAGATGGAGCTTGCGCGCAACACAAAGGCAGTTCATCATCAAGCTCTCCAACAACAAGCCCCTATCAATGTATGGCGCTACGCGGAATTTATATGGCTTCCACATGCCACTCGTACCGGCAGACACGAGATCGGAAGCCGATGTTTCCATTTTTGCCGACTTTCCTGTTCGCCATCCTGCAGATAATACTGCTGACATAATTGAATTTTCTGTTGCGTCGGGTTAGCGGGCTCAGTCCATCCTTCTGCCCGTCGTTCTGCTGGTAGGGAGGGGGCACGGCGTTACACACTTTGTAAGCAATAGCGTACTCTCAGCCGGACCTCGGAACATCGTAACGAAAACTATTATGCATGCGTCCGGTGACAGTTCCCGTCATCAACGACAAGTCATGATGATTGATCGGAGACTCGGTCGTGTTGTCAGTATAGGTCGACGTCGTGATGGTCCCACACATCTTCCGTCACATCATCTCCCTAAGCCTCGCTTTACTTTTACGGTCGCGTCGGTTTAATACGAGACTAAACAGTCCTTCAACGCTAGTAGTCAATCTCTAGACGTGTTTCATGTTAGCAACTCTCGGCCCGTGAACTGTGCCTGAAGTGATTTAACCCACATACACCGACCGAACGCCACAGGAAGTGATGCTCGGCCCATCACCGTCTCGCCTGGTTCGCGCTTTCAGAAATGGTCGATGCGGAACAGCCGACGATAATATCAGACTCCGCTATTCCTCTCACTGACAGACAGCCCAAGAGCATCAAGCACGCGTCGTTCAAGTGTTCCGCTCGTTTACTCTTCTAGCGCCCCGCGTGCTCGTATTCTTCCACGTCTTCGTATCGGCGTTCGCGACGTCGTCTCTCGGTGCGTTTCATCGTTTCCGTGTGGGTTAGGCGTTCGCTTACGTCGTTTCCCACCGTCGGCAGCGCTTGCTTCATTTCACCCTTGCGTGATCATGCCCACCGGCTTTATACACTGCTAACGGTCTTTGACGTTCTTGGCCGCCGGAGTACTGTTTCCTAGAATGTGTCTGTTTCCTTCACAATAGCCGACATATTAGCGCACGGAAGTTGCCAGGCCGCTTATCTGCGAGTCCCCAATAGCCATCTCAGTCTGCTCTTACACTCGCGCTAGGAGCTCAGAAAAAACTCAATCGCTCAACGTCTCATACACGGTACACCTACTACTCAGACGAAGCTTTTAGCGTCTCCTCTCGACTCCTCGTAGGTACTGACCACAGAGTTCTTTTCCTTTTGGCATAATCAGATTGCCGCGTTCCCGGACCTCAAAGCGAAGATTGGTGCATATCACAGTGCCTTCCACTGTTGTCATCACATGTCAGAAGGATAATGCTTGCCGGAAGCTAGCAAACTGCTTAGAACTTGTGGCCAATTACTCACGCAGAACTATTCTGCATGCAGTATCTGATTCATCACGCCTCAGTCGTTAAAACTCGTGAAGCTTTACGCTGTTGAAGTCTCATCATAGCCCTGTCTTCGTCTTTTTGAGGTAGGTGTGCTGCTTCATGATGCTGCACATGAAAAGGTGAAAGACACGCAGACGTAACTCAACAAACCACACACGCAATGGGAGGCAAGATGCCAAACCTTCTCAATACAAACAGTCACCAACCTCAAGTATTCCCCAATGCTTACCTACTTGCTTGAACCGATAGGTAGCATAATGACCGGGAGGACTTTGTATCCAGAAGAATATTTGTCGTGCAATTAGGCTCACTTACTCCCTGGACTATTCTATGTGGAGGCATCATGGGTATAATATATAATGTCCGATGCCGTGAAGCGATCATGGTTCTCTTCCTGGTACCGAGATGGCAGCCCGCCCAGGGATGCCAGGTCAGAGGCGCAAGGCATACGACAGGACAACAGATGATCGCAGGAACTGCTCCATCAACAAGATCTATCATCTTTGGCCGCCACAATCTACGAGCGTCTCGATAGAGAGGTGCTCTAGTGCTTTCCCATCACCTCATAAGATTGTTCCTCCTACTGTTATATGTTAAACTTGGAAGTTTTCATTAAAGAACTGTGCTGTACGTACGTGCTGACAAGATTCCCCATGGCGCAGCCTCTTTAGGCGTTTACCCATGTGGCAGCCTACGGGAAAGGAAAGAACCATGGACCCACGTTCAAGCCTAAGGCTTCTGTATAAGTTTTAGAGGCTTAGGAACATAGTACGGGAGAGACCAGGGTTCCAAAACTCCGACATAATCATCATCTTCACGGAAAGACCAAGGTAGATCTACCAAGCTTCCCGAATACATGGGCGACTTCAGATCACTGACACATTATTGGGGTTTCGTCCGGCTCGGAGAAGCACGGGGTCCTGGTCAACGAGACATGTTCCACCGGGGCCACGGCCCACAAACCATCGGATAGAACGCAATGATGGACCGAATGCTTTTCGCAGCATCTGTGTTGGCCCACACATGTGGTCTCCTTTCCATTTTCCTCGGACTACGATATGCAGTTGCCCAATCTACAGCGGCAGCTTATCACAACTGTGTGAGACATTGGAATTATCTCTGCTGCCATCCTTGGCCCAAATAGTGCAGAGACCCGGATTCCTCCATGATTTCAGACATGCGATTGGGTGGTGCGAGCTGACGCGAGATGCAGCTTGCACGGCAATATCGTGTATAAACAAGCCGTTCACACGCACCTATATCCCGAAGACCTGACAGCTGAGATATGGGAAATTAAGGACTAGTTTCACTCCAGCACTCACTGCCGGCCATGATCAGAGCGACAAATGACAATTGGATGAAGGCATTGGCTCCCGTAGAAAGGCCGAGTGGTTTCGGTGGTACTGCGGTGCTCAGCCAGCGACGATATTGTGTATAGGCCCAGAGTACATAACTGCGGGTCACGGGTGCTTTCAGTCAACTAATAGCTTGGCTGTCCGGGTGACCTTGGAAGGCTGATGGCTCCATCGCCAGGCTCCATGATGACGATCGATCGAAGCCAGGGACCGGGACTTCAGAACTCCAGAACGCCAGAACAAAGCTTGCCAACGATGATTCCCTCACGACAGTGAGCGGAACCATTCGATGCAGCATCTGGACAAGACCAACAGGACGCGAAGTTAATGCCGCTGTCAAGGCCGATTTAAAAATAACGATATACTGCTTTGAAATGCCGCCCAGCTCGCTTGCAAACAGACGGCCAACTTCCTAACGTTCATGCATAAGTGCTCCTGCTTGCAAAAGACGATTGGCTCCAGCGCTGGCGACGAGGATGAGTGAAAGCCGTCCGCGGTATCCTTACGTCTAACAGACATGGGCTCGGATAGTGCATGGAGGGGGTTTTATACCAGGGGGGAGGGGGCCGGGACAAGTTCGAAGAGCTCTGCCTACCCTGTCTCCTTGCCCCTGTCCCTGTCCCCCTAGGCTCCCGCCAGAATCCTGGACGAAGCAAGGAAGAGAGCAGACGAAGAGAGAAGACGATGCAAGAAGAAACGACAGCAGCAACAAGATCAGGCCAGGCCAACCATTCCATTCGGTCCGTTGACTCTGACAGTTACTAGGGCGGGGGTGCAGGGTATGGCCAGCCAGGTTTTACTGGCTGCACCGTGGCGCCACTACCCAGTCGACGCTACCTAGGCACGCATGCTGCCATGACCAGGCTCGATTTTCTTTCTGGCACGCCTGCATCTGTCTGCATCGACATGTACATGGTAGCTATCTCATCTTGAAGCCTCATACCCGAAGGTGATCCTGAATCCTGCACTCGCAGGCTGGAGCATGCATTTGCCATCTGCTTGTCCTTGTTGACGACAAAGGGTTGCCCTTCATCTCCGGTTGTACCTCAGCCCGACTATGCGGCAACAGGCCTCCCACTGCCGCGACCGCTACGATCGCGTCACCCTAGACTTTCCAGATTGGTGTTTGACAGCTGCGCCAGATTGATTCTTCACCCGTCGCCCAGCCTTGACCAGAGCTTCGACAACGACCATCCGGCACGTTACACACTCGAAACACGCCCTGTCCATGCCATGAACCGTCTCCAGTATCGTATCTGAGAACTCTCATTGCATCGCACCGGTCGAGAACGACGATACGGGTCGCATATCGACGAGCCATCATCCTACCAGACCCGCCTATTCCGATTCGTGAGGTGCGTCATCAAATCGAGCGCGAACAGAGCTTGCTTCTGCCTCAGCTCTGAGCTATCATCCTATACTTCTGCTGTCCGCGACTCGACAGTTGTAGAGACCCTTAGCGAAACTTATTGTGGCATTGTACGACCTCGCGTGCACTGAAATGACCAATTATCTTCGTATTGCAAGATTTGAACCATCAGGCGACTCAAAGGTATGATCAGATACATCATGGTCAAATTGGTCCTAAGAAGTCAGCGCCTCGACCGCAAACGAAGTCTAATGCCGTTCGAGACTAAATTCGCAGAGTCACTGGAGCCAGCAGTTACTATAATTAGCTTTATACGTTTACGTTAAGATTGCCATCATTTGACGCTATGCTCGGATCACCTTATGCCCAAGTGGACCCAACGGTCACGCGTGCGCGCTATCACATCTAATAATTGCTAATTAATAGTTACTGTGTGCAGCTCAAAGTTCCATATGCGTCACGTGTGGTAGACGGCTTCATTTCTGGGCCGCATCCGCTGCGGTGAGTCGGGAGAGCTCCACAGCGAAAGCTTCAAGGCGTCTCGACTCATGGCCGCCATCAAGTCCCTCCTCGTCTCGACATTCCTTGTAGTCTACAACTGCACCGCACGGACAGTGGAGACCGTCTCTACGCTGTGTTGTTAGAGCTAACACGAATTCAAGGATAAGCAATATGAGTGCTAGAGGTCGCCGTAGAGTGCGCGAAACTCCCTAGGTTTCCATCTTGAGAGTCAGCGGACATCCCGAGACTTCACATTCATGACTGAATTCACCTGCCGCATCGGAGCTACTTCGTCTTTCGGAAAAGCTGTCCCCCGATCAGGACGTCGGCGTAGAGAGAGATGCCGCGGAGCATCTACTTAGAAGGTTGGGTATTCATACAAACATCCTACTGGCAATCGTCTTGATCCACTCCACTTCCCGAAAGGCCGCGCGCAACAGCGTCTGGAGTCGCACAGCCAAGCCGAGCTGAGCAGTTCTATCTTTGACTATGCCCAGGCCTTCTCTATGCCTCCATAGGTCCACTTCTTTGGCCTTTATCTCACCTCATCTTGGGCTGTTTCACATTCGAGCGCGGGACGAATGCCGGTGCTTTTTGCAGGTGACACTCCTCACCGATGACCAATCGATACCCACCGCGCTATGATTTTCTTTTTCCCTTTCCTTTATCATCGACGCCACTGAATCATTGTGGTACGAGTCTTAAACGGCTTCAACGGTGCTTGATTATCGACTAAGGAAACACATAGGCCGGTCTTCTACTAACGTGCTAAGACGACATGGTTCTCCAGACCTAAAAGGCATCCACAGCGGCGAACGTTGAGGTCCTGACTCAGGTCAACTCTTTCGGTTGCCTTCACGTATTTGTGCTTGCTCGTACGAAAAGGCACCGACGCGAGGGACAATCCGCAAATAGCCGACTTGCAATCCCTATCATCAGATGCTGTTTTACGCGCGTAGTGATGCTGTGCTCAAGACAAAGTTCGGAGAATGCCCTCAGTTCACTGACTGCTATCGTAGCGGGCAAAGGCTATACCTGCAGAAGAGTCATCAAGTTTCGGTGTTGCAGGAACTAGTTCCAATTGCCGGATATTGCCTCAGGACCGATCGGTCAAGTCCTCCTCGGTCAGACTATGCATTCGTGAGGCACGCCGCACACGAAGTCAATATCCAGATTACTGCTTCGGAGAGACTGAGATATTGCGTGGTCGCGTAGAGCGTTCATCACCTTCGAGTCTGGAGCGTGTACAAGTTCTTGTGAGGCCCCTTTCTCCGTGCAGCAACATCATTCGATCTCACGTGTCGCCATGCGTACGCCTCACTTTTGACACCGTCGACTTGCTGTAATCAGTCTTCGCTGGCAGTGCAGTGGAGATCGTAAGCCATTTCTGGAGTCAAAACTGTGGAACCGAACTGAAGTTCCACCTGGCGATTGCCAGAGGGGTTCGTAGTGCTGTGGGCGGGCTCATAGATCGAGGAATGCCTGTTGAGATTCTCACGTCCCATCCAGGGATGACATTACAGGGCTTTGCATTTCATGGAGTTTGGAATCTCGTTAATCGCCCTCCCGCGTCTTTTATGCGTCTTCGTGGACCCAGATTAACTCCATGCTACCTTAATTGTGGTATCTGAATGTGATGTTTGGCATATGACATGGTGAATGCACTCTTAACCACATCTGCTCACTGTTGGGGTTTCTGAGCCTAGTGGAGGTGGTATCCCTGCTGGACTGGGTCACAGAGGGCTTCTTTGCGCTGCCCTTGAGCACACTCAATGAGCCTTTGCATCGTTCCTGGTTGTGTCAAGGCTGATATCAGGCATGCTTGGATACTGAGACCCTGAGCGCTCAAGCGGTGCTCCCTACCCTTCTACTGCCAGGAAAAGTGTGATGTGAGGCATGCGAGAATGTTACGTCTTCCAGCGCCACCCAAGTACGCCAATTTCTTCATTTGCGGTGATCAAGAGCTTTCGCTAGGCATGGCTGTGAGACTGTGCGAAGCTCGTAGATGACCATCTCATGGCGACGGCTGTCATGACCAAGAAAATAAGCGTCGTTCTCATACAGCTGCTGGTCACAGTCTTATTGTGTGCTAATGTCTGTTCTATGATCCAGACATGACTTTCGAAACGCTGATGGCGTCGCAAGCCTCAACGTATATATGTCCCCACGGCTTGTAGTTGGACCTGAAAGACTTTGAAACACCGTACGAACAGATGCGTTCTACCGGGAACCATGAGCGCGTCTACATGGACTTGATGGACTGCTGTATTATATCCTTACGAGTGTTCTGGACAAGAGTACTCTCTCTTTACGACCTCCTGGGTCGCCATATATCCATCAAATGACGACGACGAATAACCGGCGTTGAGCTGTCAAACCGGATGAAATACTAGTTTCTCTCTCGCGCATCCTCTCTACCAGCCTGATATATTGACTACTAAAGCAAAAGGCTTCAGACATCCATCCATTCATCCAGACACAACACTTGGGCATAGTATGACTTCAAAGCGCAGATTATACAACCTCCTTGAACCAGTCATACCCACACGATCCTAGAAGCCTCTTCATGACCACACCGCAGAGATATTTTCAACAACAACAACAACAACAACAACAACAACAACCAGAAAAAATTAATCTACGGGGGTGTACTTGATACTAGATCGACATCGTTCAAACACCCAACAACCCCCTGCTATCCCACCTTTCAAAGCTCTGCATTCAAACTCTTCATCTCCCGCGAGTCTCACACTGGAGTACAAGCCCCTCGTCAGCGTCGAGTAATGACTTGTACTATCTAATACCTCCCCTATATACAGGCAGACCGTTCTCCCAAGCACAATATGACATAACACAACACGACGTGCGTCATATCTCTCCACCACGGCCTCTCAACCTCGCCCTCGCCCACGCCCTCGGTCAGATGCGAGATTGAAGAGATGAATGGATAAAACGCATAGATGAACACAGCATGGATAAGGGTCAGGCAGAGGCTGTGGGTTTGAAGGCGCTTGGGAGATACGGGTCTGCTGGACGTGGATAGCTCTGTGCTTGGAGGGAGTAGGGAACAGGGCATAGGGCGTGTCTCGAAGGTGTTTTTATGGTTCTTAGGATGTCTGTCAGGATAATTAAGTGGTGGTAGTAATGATGACGTAGACGACGAGATATGAGAAGGGTATATTATATACAAGGCACGTACCCCTAGATCTCCTAGTAGGATCATATGAATATGAATCCCATGGTTTCATAGTACGAGAGTAAAAATAGAAACAGCGATCGGGATGAAGTCTCGACTCATTCAGCACAGGGAGATATACAATCTCTCTTCCATGCCATCCCCCCTCTCTACCATAACGTAATTCCTATTCAAGCACCAAAGCCCGGATTTCTGCACCAGCACTCTACCAAGTTTTTTGTCATATAGTCTCTAATTATGTGCGTGTCGCGCTCTAACAACTCTGCTTTCGCGGTGCGAGGTATGGTATGTATGTATGTTATGTGTGGATAGTAGAAGTAGGACTCATCAGCATACCGCGTATACTGATTCGCTGTCGATATACTCGATTAGGTTTGTTATGTGCCATGTATCATGTATTTGGCTGGGCATGTCGTGGTTCGTAAAGACAGTTGCCTTAAGAAACGATATTTCGAATGACTGGACTTGGGAAAAAGCGCTCAGATCCATGGCAGAGCTGGCTTTGATGATGGCGGATACATACTCCCCACTCTATTTGTCCTCTTCACGCTGATGATTCTCTGCTTTCTCCTCCTCTTCCTTCCTTGGGGACACGGGAACGCGATATACAGCTACGACATCCCTTCTTTTCTGCCTAGAGAAGTGGTGTTCGTCTCTAATAAGTACGCAATAGCGTCCATGTTACCGGATTCTGTAGCTCGACTGGGTAGTAGTTCACGCACCGAGGGTTTTGCGCTTGATATATGTCTTTACATCCTTCTTCGTATTTAGTCCCGTTTGCTGGTATGTCGTTTCGTGGAATCTTGTGGACTATATCTGGTGTTGGGCTTGGATCTTGTGGTTAGGGGTAGAATAGGGGAGGTGTCTATACAGATGGTGGTTTGTTAGTCTGTTAGTCTGTCACTTGTTTGAAAAGAGTGGTGATTGTTGAAAGAGGAGTGGAGGAGGTTGGTGTGTATGGCGTGTGATGCGTGGTGAATCTAGTGATTAGATAAACACTTAATTATTTCTTTATCAGAGGTACGCAGAGGGAGAATATGTATATAGGGAAAAGTGCTAAGACTTGTAAACGCTGGTACTAATGTCCAAGCACAGAAAGCCTATATGACCTATCAGCTAATTGACATCCTACCCAATTATCTTTCCATTCATACATAAGCAACGTCTCTAGTCCACCGAAGCCTCAATATTTCATAGCGTTCTTAGTTGAAATGATATTTCTGTGCAGCATTGCCGTCAAGCAGGAATAGCTCAATCTGAACATTGTTCTGCTTGATTGCTCCAGTCAATTGATCGTTTGACGCACTCACGTAGCCAGCTTAGACAAGGGTACCCTTCGACAGGTGAGATGTCAGGGTAATGGATGGTGTTTTTTTTGCATCTATTCTTCGATGGAGTTAAGTTGTCTAGCAGAGGTGGTGCGATGATATGGATGTGTTTGTGTAGGTGTTTGTATAGTGTTGGGGTGGTTGATGGCAGGGGACGTTTATGTGGTAGGAATAGGGAGGAGGTTGTATGATAGTTGGAGGAGGGATGGAGACTGTTGGCTTTGTGAGTGAGAGAAGAAGCGAAGATGGTGTCTTTGATCTGTTGAGCTAGGTTGTATGGGGATTCTGGTGTGCTAGTAATCAGGAATGGTTCTTTGAACTTGAACTCTTGGGGAGCGAGTGGATTTAATGAATGTCATGCTTATTCTCGATTCGAAGATTGTATGATAGTGGTTGTAAAGCATTTGGCTCTATAGCCGTGTTGATTTATATATCGAGGTATTTGGCTCTACAGCTGTATTGATTTCTGTATCGAAGTATTTGGACATATATAACACGTTGAATATCTCTCGTTCCACCACCCTTAGCATTGGCTTGAGTTAGGAGAATAGCTGGTTCAGAGAACTGAAAATGACCTTCTCATATACTTTTTCGTTCATGCTGCATCAGTACTAGGTCAATAGAGCAAAGTATTCCAATGACACTCCCTAACATCCGTCAATCAAGCTCACTTGAGCTCAAACTTATGTGAGGCTGCTGCAAGTATCTCAATCCCTCATAGAAATACCGCTGTATTCATCAGCAACGTCCCTGTATACCTGATAAGGTGATGGAATTAATTGATCATGAAAATTTGAAGGCCTAGATTATGGCTTTACTAACGTGTAACAGGCTTATTTCACGGTTCTACTTTTCGCAGTCGATATCTATGGAAGTAATAGGGAGAATCAATTTATCTCCTCATACTATGTTCTATAAAAGCTCTATAAAAGCGTCCACGTAACATGAAAGCAGCAGGCCGAGGTGCATGACGCGCTTGTTGTCACGAAGTTCACCGCCTACAGTGAGTCGCGGCAGAATAGCTAGAGATAACGTCATTGGTCGGCGTGACGCTAGGAATCCATAGGTATCTGGGCAACTGTGAACACCTGTCATATACACTGCACGCCACCTATCTTCGCAGAGAGCGTACTCTGCTGACTTGGATCTCTGCCTCCGAAGATCCCTCGAGTTCCCACCATTGAGCAACTAGAAAATGTCCAGGAACCCCACCATAAAGCGCATCCGTAGGTCACAACCTATCGTGCTTCAGACTCACAGCTGATGTGGACACAGTCAAGGAAGCTGCCGAGCTCGCGAATAATGCATCTGCAGACTTTCACGCGGTACCTATGGATGACAACCTGTTCGATTGGCATTTCACACTACGAGGACCACCCGACCCCTCTCCGTATGCCGAAGGCATCTATCACGGCCGCATAGTGCTGCCATCGGCATACCCGCACCGCCCTCCCTCTTTTCGCTTTCTCACCCCATCCGGGCGCTTCGAAATCAATCGTGAAATCTGTTTGAGCATAAGTGGCTTCCATGAGGAGTCATGGCAGCCGGCATGGGGCATAAGGACAGCACTTGTCGCAATACGAAGCTTCATGGACACAGTCTCTGCAGGCCAGGTTGGTGGGCTAGAGTGTGATGCAAGTACGCGAAAAAGGATGGCAGAGGATTCAAGGAGTTGGAAGTGCCCAGCGTGTGGACATACGAATGAGGAGATCATGAAAGAGAGGGAGAAGCTTGCGGGGCCGACTGGGGATCAGGCCAAGAAGGATGATGATGTTGTGCCAGAAGAGCTGAGGCTAGCATATCGTGAAGACCTAGGAGCCGACGCGAAGAAGACAGAGTCGAAGGGCAAAGAGAAGGTAACGGAGCCGGAAGCTCCAGCTCCAGCAGCCGTTCCAGCAGATTCCTCAATACCACCTACGCAATCCACAGTAGAATCAGCACCTCCATCAAGAATGGAAACTACAAGATCTCCGCCCTCCCTTCAGGCCCGGCCAATCCAAGTCCCGCCGACCCAGACAACGCATGCCACGACCCAACAACGCCAGGCAGCGCAAGCGACACCGCAAAACGCCAACAGGGCTGTCCCAGCGTGGGTAGACCCTGCAATATACGCCCTCATAGCCATCCTGGCATATCTGATTCTGAAAAAGATGGGTTGAGCATATAAATCAGGTGGCACTTGTTGAAGTTGGTTATTCAAGGCGTTGGCGGTACTCAATTGGCGCATGGTGTCACTAAATACTAGGGCACGATATAGGCGTCATGTGTTTCAGCGTAGAAGCTCATTAATGGCCAAGAGAGCCTTAATGTGCAATTTTGCGCATTGTAGAGATTTGGCAAAAATCTGCGGCGAGATCTTCTGTGTTGGGTGGAACAGATATTCTACCTGGATCTGCGGGCATGCAACTCATGCTACGGTCTGAGCATCGATGTCTCGCCGTTTTAACACACTTACAGCCGAAAGCTTTATGACATCGAAGCTGAACAAGGATGGGTTTCGTCAGCAGGAAGACTCTGCTATTATCAGTCCTGGACGGGAGGACACCCAAATGTAATTGCTGGTTTTACGGCGTTTGGGCATACAACATACGTCTGAGTCGGACATTTCATTAATGCCATCATGCCATGCATGCAATAAAAGCGCTTTTTTCCATTCCGTCTCCTCTATTGTTACATGTGGTGCATGTGCTCTCTTTGCTGGCCTCGCGTGCGAATTGCATCACGAACCCTCGAGAGCCATCTCGAGTTCGGCCTTTCTTTTCACATGCGTATACGTTGACGTGGTAGGCCAAATCATCAAGCGTTGCCTGAAATTGATGATGTCTTCGTTTCGTTTTTTGGTCTGAGGCTAGTCAGGTTTGTGTAACTGTATTCAGGGTCCAGCCAAGAGCTTCACTTTTGACCACGAACTTCCACGACAATGTCCTATTGACTGCCTATTTCAGTGTACACTCTCTGAGCAGTGACTGTCATTGGCTGTCGGCTCGCCATGACGTATAGCACCCGGTGGGTTTCATGTTTGTCTATTTAAGTATTCAGGGTCCAGCCAAGGGCATCAGTTTTGACCACGAACTTCCACGACAATGTCATATAGACTGCCTATTTCAGTGTATATGCTCGAGCAGTGACTGTCATTGGCTATCGGCTGCTACAACGTCTATCACGGGGCGTGTTTAGTATTCAGGGTCCAGCCAAGAGCATCACTTTTGACCACGAACTTCTACGATAATGTCCTATAGACTGCCTATTTCAGTGTATATGCTCTAAGCAGTGACTATTATTGGCTGTCGGCTGCTACGACGTCTATCACGAGGCGTGTTTAGTATTCAGGGTCCAGCCAAGAGCATCACTTTTGACCACGAACTTCCACGATAAATGTGCTATAGACTGCCTATTTCAGTGTATATGCTCTGAGCAGTGACTGTCATTGGCTGTCAGCTGCTATGATGTATATTCATAGGGCGTGTTTCAGGTTTGTCAATCAGTATACAGGGTCCAGCCAAGAGCTTCACTTTTGACCACGAACTTCCACGATAAATGTACTATAGACTGCCTATTTCAGTGTATACGCTCTGAGAGATGGCCGTTATTGGCTGTCAGTTGCTATGACGTATATTACCGGGCGTGTGTTTCAGATTTGTTTAACAAAGTGAATAGCCACCGAAACAGGAAATCCAATGACCATCATCGTGGAAGTTCGTGGTCAAAATGTGAAGCTTTTGGACGGACCCTGGCTCAGACCTGTTATCACAGTCTGGTATGAGCATTTGGCAGTTAACCATCCTCATGAGTGCCCACGATGACTTGTCTCATTTAAGGAGCTATGGATTTTCTTTCCAGTCGTGAAGTTCCAGCCGTGAAGTTCCAATCGTGAAGTCCTTCCTACTAGTCACATAACAGTAGAAGCAAGCAGGTGGCACAACTTCTAGTGGTAGTCTTGCGCTTGACCGAGACACAAAAATCTCACGGTTGAACAAGATACAAGTGTATCCTTCACGGCGACGAGAGCAAGCTGTCACTACGCTAGCTGGTTTGAGTCACAACGTGCCTTGACTGCCGATCGCGTTCTGCTGTCATTTTTGGAAATTCCCTTTATAATTAATTTATTCGTACAGAAATTCAAGCCCCAGTGGGAGAATAGTCAAGTAGTTTCACGACACCTACCACTGAAGCAAAGGACCAGATGAAGGACCTAAATATCTGCAGGGGCGCAGAGGCGCATGATCTCCGGTTCGATCCCGGGTATGAGCTTTTGTTTTGAGTTTTGACCGCCCGATTTTGGGTAAGACTTTTTTTACTATTTTGCTGCTCCTTGTTGCCCTGGCTTGTAGTTTTACACCTTTTGAGTGTACTGTAGGCTCTGTAAAAGATACTTGATGCGTCTGGAATCTAAGGATGCCGTGTAGATATCTTTAGATAGTGTCATTACATGAAGATGTTTCAGTCCATGAAATCGTGTGCCGGTCCCTTATGAGGGTTCTAGAACCGAGTCCCTGTCTGTACAAAGGACTTCTATCGTCTATAATACATGTCGATGCAGGTTCTGCGGCGAGATGAGTCTGGTGAGTCACCTACATGAACATACTAGGACATTGAGCTGCTCTGCATGCTAGCGTGGCGAAGACGACTGTGACGAAAGTGTTACCAGCTTGGACATTTTGAAAACACCACAAATGGAGAGAGGACATGACGAGTCGCTGTTCTTTTGCTGGGCAAAAGGCCGCGAGTTCTGCGAGTGCAAAACCCTACACGCCAGCGCAATTTAGTCACACATTACGGAAGGGACATGCTGGGGACATGCTGAGGACATATATTGAAAGTAATGAAGAGGCGGAGTACAACACGTGGTCAATGTGAAATCATTCCCTGCTCTCTACTGACGTCGTCTTGAGTTGGTTTCAAATGGCCGGAGTCGACTGAAAAGGGGGAACTTCGAGAACACTCAACAACGTAGAGACTATCATCCTCTTCAGTACCTACGAAAGCCCTAGTGTAGCTTGCAACATGTTTTTTTAATGCGATAGTGTAGTATCTGTTCAAAATAACTCATCGTTGATGTGAAACTCGTTCTAGCCTATCATCTAAACTCGCATCATGCACTACAACTGCCGTCCTTGCCCTCCTTTTCACAACTGCCTGATGCCTTCTCCCCTTTACATGTTTCATCCAATCCTCTTCCGTTACCGATACCGTCCCACACGCTTCACATGTCTTCCTCTGCCACAAGTCCGGCCTCGTACTCAGATCATAGCTACTTTTCGGGCTCAGCATCTCTGCCGCAGCCTCACCAAGACTAGCCGGCAATGGCATTTCCTCCACGCCAGCCAGAAACCTCTCTGTAAGCTCTAGTGCAGGTTTCTCTACATTTTCGGAGAAGGTTGATATATCAGATCCATCGAGCAGATACAATCTTTCAGAGAGATCAGCTGCTTGAAACGCATGCGTGAGTTTGGTTCGTATCCACTTGACCTGACTCTTCGCATACTGTCTCGTGGCAATCTTGACCAGATCCACGGCTTCAGCTTTTGCTTTCTCTAGCTCTGTGACTGTGGCCGGTGGATCAGCGCGCGTGAGTGCTTGGTACGTCTCGAACTCCTTGTATCCAATGGATATCCAGATACCACGCGTACGGTCGACAGTCTCGCCAGCGGCCTGACGAGCAAGGAGATGTGCGTCTAAGGATTGAACTTCAGATAGAAGACCAGAGGCGAGCATCTTGTCGACGCGAGCGGAGAGTCGGTCTGGGAGAGTGGTCGGGGGCACGTTAATCCAGAAGACAAGGGGGTCGTATGTCAGGCGTGCCGCTGGTTTGACAACATCAATATCAGGCAGAGCGTCCTCGTGAGTTGGATCAGAAGCTCTGCGCTGGCGTTGCTCGTCGTATATCTGTGAAGCTGGCCTGCCGGTTTGCAGGTAGATCTCAAGAGACCGTTGAATTTTGCGGTGGTCGTTTGGATGCCAGCGGTCTGCCATCACGGGGTCTACTTCGCGCAACTTCGCGAGAATCACGGAGCTTGGTTCGTTGAGAATGGGGTATTTGTCGGCAAGGACGGGGACATGGTCTGGCTTGCGATCTTCTTCTTTGACACCTTGATCGAAAACGAGGGACTGGGTGTAGTAATGCGTGCCGCCGACGAGGATCGGGAGACGACCTCGTTGTCTAATATCTTCAATCTACATACTCATCAGTCTACCTTCCATGCAAACCAAGACAATAACCTTCATACCACATCCTTCGCCCTCTTTACGAACCGCTCCACTGTCCAGGTATTCTCCTCCAACCCAACCACACCCAACAAATGATGCGGCACACCTTTCATCTCCTCTTCAGTCACTTTGTTAGTAATGATTGGAAGTCCGTTATACAGTTGCATCGCATCGCCATTAATAATCTCGCCATTAAATTTGCGGGCTATCTCAACCGCCAACTGCAGGTGTCAATTGAAGGGCGCGCCTCGGGGTGAGATTGCGGCGCGACTTACCTGCGATTTGCCCGTACCCGTCGCTCCTACGACGGCGACGAGAGGCTTTCGAGGCAAGCGCGCCATAGTGATGCCTCGAAGGAAGCGCTGCATACATCTCACCTGGCCCGGAGGCTATTGTGTGATGGCGGAGGTCACGATAATTATGGAGGATCGCGACCTTTAAGTGGGGATTTTTCTTAAATGGTCAGTGCGTCATGACGAGTTGGAACGAGACTAGGGTCTTCTCACTATATATAACTGGTCGTCCCTCGCATTCAGTCTCAGGAATTCCTTTTCATTCCTCCATCCTTCGCCGTAGTCGTCGATACTGTGTTGTAGCAGGTATGAGTTTGGGAGACCAAAAAATTGCACCGTCCATCTCGGTGACGGGACTTAGCTACAAGTTCCCCGACGGGAGCACGGGGTTGTCCGATGTTTCGGTGCAACTACCACCAGGGAGTCGCACCGTGCTGATTGGAGGTAACAATTCAATCGTCCAAGAACGTTCAAAATAAAGGGCTCACCATACTATAGCCAATGGCGCGGGAAAAACAACCTTACTCCGCCTTCTGTCCGGCAAACGTATGGCGCCATCAGGAACTGTTAAAATCGCCGGTGTAGATCCATTCGCAGAAGGCCTTGAAGGTGTCACTTATCTTGGCATGGAATGGGTCCTCAATCCAATCGTCAGGACCGATATTGATGTCCCAACTCTCCTGGCTTCAGTGGGAGGCGACTACTACACAGCCCGACGAGACGAGCTCATCGATGTCTTGGATATCGACACTACGTGGCGCATGCACGCAGTCTCCGATGGAGAGCGCCGAAGAGTTCAACTTGCCATGGGGCTGCTCAGACCTTGGACGATTCTCTTGCTTGATGAGATTACAGTAGACCTTGATCTGTTGTCTCGTCACAACTTTCTAAGCTTCTTGCGTAAGGAGACCGAGACTCGGCCATGCACGATCGTGTACGCAACTCACATCATGGACAACCTTGCTGAGTGGCCAACCCACGTCGCACACATGAGTCTAGGCCGTGTTAAGAAATCTGGGAGTCGGGACGATTTCGAGCTCGATGGCAGGGATGGCGGGCCGGCTCATAGCGCGCTTGGAGGCCTGGTCCTGAAATGGCTGCAAGAAGACCTTATAGAGCGGGGCCCTCGCAAGGGTACGAGTGGTCAAGGCAAGACCTATCAGTCTTACGAAGGCAAAGGAGGTTATGGTAACGAGAAGGCCAAGAAGTGAGGAGTATGATGCACCGCATTGCCGGAATACGCAGTGCGGTAGGAACCATTCAACAGGACTGGCGAATTCAACACGCCTATACAAGCCGACATCAACGTCGGTAAGAAGATCAGGAGTTCAAAGGAGGGGAGTCACGCTCAACGAAGGGACAGAGCAGGGTAAGCCCCGGCTTCAACTGTAAACTGCTCAACGTAAACAGACTGGACGATGTCGACATAGCGCGGTCGGGAAATGGCGCATCAGGTATGAATGGAGGCTGTGTAGCAAAACGATGTTTGTGTACGCAAGGAGATGGAGGATCCTTTTGATCATGGAAAGTCTAGAGAGTAAATACACAAATTCGAAGAACTCGCGCTCCGCATCAGCGAATCTGGAGAAAGTGTACCATCAAAACTGAATACATAGTACATTTGACGAAGCGCGACCCAAAGAGGACCAGAGATATATCAACTTTTGCGGCTTCCGACAGCTGATCACTTTATATGCAACAGGTGACGACACACGTGACGTCCTGAGTGATCGGCGCGTGGATGACCTTGCCAGTAGACGGCCCTTCCACGAGTACGAGCGCGTTTGTCGGTGCGACAAAGTCTCACTTTTCCGCAAACTACTGAACACACGTCTAAAGATCAAAAGACATCCTCAACGCTCGTTTGCCCACGCGCCCTTACGCATTGCTTTTTCCCTCCTATATCTCGCCACCAAACATGTCCATGTCGCTATCACACCATCGCCGATCCACAGCGGCAAGGATTAGTCACAGACAAGGCCGCCGCGAGTCGCCTGCATGATCTCTTGACTGTGCACATGGCTGGCATGTCTTTCACCATGTCTTCACTATGCTTGCCTGCGTATTCAGCTTGTCTAGGCATCACTCCTGATGTGCTGTTGGAGTAGTCATAAAGCCGGCCTATGGCACTCAACTCGTTCTGAGCTGCAACACTCTTATCACAATGTCCACTCACGACGGCGAGACGCAGCCTACCAAGGGGCAGTCTTTGTCGACAGATATCAATACTGCAACTCGGTATGCATACAGGATATATGGGCTTTCATATCAGGTCATGCTAACAGCCTGCTACAGCTCCCAACACACACAGCTTAACCGCCTCATAACCTCCCGTCTACCGCTCTGCCTTCCCCCACACGCGGCCTCTCCTACCATCTACGCAACTGGCCTCTCGCACTTCGCCCACGTCTTCCTCACATTCGAATCACTCTTCCACGACATAGCAGCCCGCAGCTCCGTCTCAAATCCTGCGCTCTCCACCCTTCTCGAAGACCCTTGGGTGCACGTCCCGACCGCCGTCGACCCTCCAAGCAATGCCCGTCCACCAACACCCACCAATGAGCATGACGAGGACATACAATCCTTTCTCGCTGCCTTACTTCCACGCGGTATGCCGCGCTCACGGCGGCTCCTCGCTGATCTCACATACCTGACCAAGAAACACCCCGCCGATCTCTCCGCATCGCTCGCACGCTTCCCAGGCGACGCAGTCGCAGACTTTGTATTACATATCAAAGAGACAGTTGCCTGCAAACCGCATGTGCTCGTTGCATACGCATGGTGTTTCTACATGGCCGTATTCTCCGGTGGACGGTGGATCCGTGGCCAACTCACAATGGTCGGCTGCGACTTCTGGCTCTCTACTGACCCTGACTCCCGGTCGAGCACTACCGACTCACAAAAACCCTCATTCTCCGCTCTTGGCCTCTCCTTCTGGAATTTCGACGGCGACGCCGACGGCGAGGATATCAAGGCGGCTTTCAAAGAACGTCTGGCCAATGCCGACGCTCTCATCACTCCCGACGAGCGTGCCGATATTATTGCCGAGGCACAAATAATATTCGGCTTCTGCGAAGATCTAGTCGAGGAGTTAGATGACCTGCTCAGCACACCGGATGACGCACCAACTCCGGTCGAGCGTGTCGCTGAAGCGTACTTACCACCCATGTCGCCAGTGACAGAGACGCCCTTGAAGACGGAGGTGAAGAAAAGGGAGACAATACGGGATCGGCTAGATGTGTCTAATCTTGTGACAGCGACGGTGGTGGTTGGTTGCGTGTTATGGTATGCGGTGCATCTGCTTGGCGCATCGAGAGTGGGCGCTTGGCTGGAGTATGCTCTATGAGGCCTGGCAATTTGGGCGCGCAATCATATTACTCTTCACGTTTGTTATGGGCATTGCGCATTCTAGTATTAGACAGATACCCCTATCCGATACTTAATCATGCGCACACTTAGAGAGGCGTTCATTCAATACCATCATATTCATCCTATGTGTATTGCTGGTGGTATCAGTAAACGAAGCCCGTGCAATGTCCATCCATCAAAGTATCAATCGCTCTCTATAAACGCCTTGATTAATCATCAACATCGTCCAGTACATTATCACATCTTACGACTTCGGATCCACACTGCTCTCCCTCAATGGCAAGCCCGGTCCTTCAGGTCTCATCGGAGCCGCTCTACCTTCTAAGCTCAACGGCGTTCCGCTTCCAGAGCCTCGATGAGGCGAATTGGTGCCCGTCATCGGCGTTACATACCCGCTCGGTGGCACTGGAATGGAGATACCTTCAGGGCTGCTCGGGATCAGGTTAGACGAGATGCCCGGGATCTTTATGCGTTTGGCGACGTTGTTGTAGCTTGATGGTATAATCTATGACATGACAGTCAGAATGACAGGAGACAAAAAGCAGGTGGGGCGGCGAACCTCGATGATTTCATCACGGGGAAATTGCAGTTTGGGAATGTCTGCGGCATTACAAGCCATGAGATAGCCGTACAAGACGCGAAGTACGGATTCGTGTGCGACGATGAGGAGGTCGTTCTGCTCGCGCTCGAGCTCGAGGATGATTGGTTCCATGCGGACAGCGAGGTCGTGATAGGACTTTGGAATAGGTTAGTTTTTGTTTTATTTAAGATTCTGAAACGCTGTCACGGGGCTGGTGGTTTGTCTTACTTCTGCGCGTGGGTATCGATGGTGGTACGGATCGGCTTCATGCTTTGTTACTTCGTCGGGGTATTCGAGGCGGATCTTCGCTTCGGAGAGCTTCTCGCATACACCGGGGTTCATCTGGCTCATTTGGGAGCGCTGGCGTACGCGGTAGCCGCGCTGCTCGAGGGGTGCGGCTGTTTCTGCGGAGCGTCGGCGTGTGGATGTCCATATGGTTAGGGGCTTGAGGACAGCGTCCGGGTTGCCTTGGGCGATTAGGGTTTTGTGTTCTTGCTCGCGGTGCTCGAGGAGGGCGGTGGTCATTTTTCGCGAAAAGTCTTTGCCTTCTTCTGAGAGAGAGCCGTCGGCCTTGTACGAGTCTTCTTCTTTGGTTGTGCCGGCTCGTGCAAAGTATGTTTGCCTGGATTTGATGTGTAGATTCAGTAGGTAGAAGACTATTCGTTGTGATAAATAACCGAATGCACAGTTGTTTAGCATTACACGTTCACCGGCGTTGATCATCTTGATCCAATGAAGGTCTGGTTCTTCCATGGTCTCAAAGTGCGGTATCCTGCTCGATATTCTCTGCAGATAGTCTTTGATAGCATCTTCATCAGACCATCCTACATAATCTGGGGACGAAATCTTGACGCTCCGGACATTTTCCTCGATGATTTTCTCGTCAGTACACATAGACTCGATGAATATGGTCTGGATGTTGCGCTTTGCAAATTCCTTGGCGAGCGATCTGCGTCCGATAGACATGGCATTGACAGCATCATAGATGGCTACCTGGCCGTTTTCGTGTTCCAGAAAGCGGTAGATATCCTCTCTACATTTCTTGAGGATCTTGTTGCGTAGGAGTACAGACGAAGGGGAAGCGTTTGTGAAGAAGTAGTCGTCTGGAACATCTTTCCCAGGGCCCAGAGTTGCACGTCGATAGTCACCCAGATGGAACACGTGAGTCTTCACCCCAAGCCATCTCAAGTAACGAGCTAACGCGACAGAGACGTGAGTCTTTCCGCGAGCAGGAAGGCCGACTGTGGCAATTGCAATTCTGCCGGAATGAAATAGACGTCCGGACTCTGTACTGTACAACTGCGCGGGTGCCATTTCTTCCTTTTCCGGCAAGTCGTGGATTCCGTCAATCATGGTACTGGAACGTCTACGAAATCTGGGCGAGTTCGCCATGATTTCTGCTGTTCTGTCATGTAATCAGTTTAGGTTTGTTATCTTGCTATGTGGCGATTGCTAGGTGACAATAGTGTTTGGATGATGTTTGAGGACGCACAGTAGGGTATCCATATTGACTGTTCACGGGTATATCGGCCCGCAGATATGACACAGAGGACTTCGAAGATACGCGGAAAAGCTCAAGCAGTTAGTACAGATATGCCTGCGGATCTTGCAACGCAAGTGTCCAACGTTGTTGTGACGAGGAAACGGTCCTTCGGCGGGGACCCAACGCGGACGGGAAAGCAGGGATGACGCGGGTGTCACTAGATTATTCTTGCTCTTGCTACTCGCTACGTGAATGTCGAACTCATAGTAGGGAGAAAACCTGTACTCAATGCCGAGCTAACAGTATAGCAGTTGTAAGAGCTTTATTATATCGCCGACGACAGTATCTCAGGCCGCCATAGATTGGCCTTACTTGGGACGCCGACGCCAAGCTCACGTGAGCCGGGGCAACGCCGGTTCTACGACCGCGTCAAAGCTCTGCGCTGCGCAGCTCCTTACAGAAAAAGTTGGCTTGACTTTGTCAATATCCGCCCATCTATCGTCCATCTCGTCGTCGTCGCCAACCCGTCAAATTGTACTGCGGTCGTTCTTCTACGCTGTCTCTACCCTAGCACGAAAGTCTCATTGAAATTCGCCCCGGGACCTTGTGCCACTTCTACCTTACGTCTTCCTCGCCATGGCGCTCGACACGAAAGATGTACCGCTAGTGATTCCCCAGCCATCAACCACAGGGGGCATATTTGGAAGAGTCCAAGATGTATATACTGCCTACTCGGAACGAAGGGCTGCATTAGGTCTATCGAACCCAGGGACAGTGGATAATATCTCGCGAGAGGTGACGAGTGGAGTCTTTCTAAACAACCAGAGCTTCTCTGGTTTGCGCGCCGACATCACCAAAGCATTCAGCGTATCGCCTTTGTTTCAAATATCTCATGCCCTCTCCATGGGTTCACAAGGCCTGCCGCCATATGGGTTCACAGCGCTCTTCGGAAACAATAGGGTAAGTGGACGCTCATAGCTGGCTTGCATAATCCGGCGCTGATTCTTCGACACAGGTTTTCTGCCAGGCCAATATTGACAACGATTTCGCTCTACAAGCACGTTTCAATTATCGCTGGACACCTTCTCAAGTAACAAAGACGAACGTTCAACTGGCCCCCCAAGCTGGTGGTTCCATGATATCCCTTGAGCATGACTTTACTGGTGACGACTTTACGGCATCAATAAAGTCCATGAACCCATCGATACTGGATGGGGGGCTGACCGGGATCTTTGTGGGCAGCTATCTTCAATCCATCACTCCTGCTCTCTCTCTTGGTCTTGAGGGGGTCTGGCAACGTGCGGCTACTACACACGGTCCTGAGGTAGCTCTCTCATATTCTGGAAAATACAAGGGTGAAGACTGGCAGATTAGTGCGCAGGTCCTGGGTCAAGGTGCTATTGAAGCAGCGTACTGGAAGAAATTGACCGACAAACTTGAAACTGGTGTGTCTACCAGTCTGCAGTTTGCTGGTCTGAGTGGCGCGTCCATGATGGGCGGTCCTTCGAAAGAAGGAACTACAACAATCGGCGCCAAGTATGATTTTAGACAGTCACAATTCCGTGCTCAGATCGATAGCAATGGAAAGGTGTCGGCATTGTTGGAGAAGCGTGTAGCACAATCGGTTCAGGTCACCTTCTTCGGTGAAATTGATCACTACAAGGTACGTCAAAGATGATTATAATCAAAATTGTACTTCTAAGATATTGACACATTTTTAGCCCGCCCCGAAACTTGGTCTCGCAGTCTCCATCGAAGCTGCCGGCGAAGAGGTATTGGAACAGCAAGAAAAGCTAGGCGAAGCACCCGCGATCCCCTTCTAAACCACAACAACTATATTCCCGGCGTAATTTTGCCGACAGCGTTTCAGACATGCGAAATCTTCTGCAATCTGTATTAACAAAAGTCATGCATGGAGAACGCCTTTCGACCACCTCTCAATCGAAACTGGCGTCTCTCCAAAGGATTATCTGCATAGAAAGCTATCAATCGAGTTTCTAAGCCGAGACACGAATGTATACGGAAGGGCACCTTTATCTCTTGGATCGAAGTAAGCAAAGCATAATCGTTCCGCTGTCACGAATGGTGGCTGTATTGATGTGGATGGAACGCGGCGCATGTGTTCAAATGAGTGGGTTGCGTGTGGCCCTTGTAATTGTATATATTGCCCGTTTTAGATGATGGAACCTTTTCTTCTCTGCAATTGATTGCTTCGAAATTCGTGAATTGTGTGCTATGAGATACGTGCGCGAGTACCGGTACGGTCATGAGAAGCGACAGAAAATAGTAGTAGTACACATTATCCCAGGCTCAAAAAGATATCCTCATAAGCCACCAGAATCATAAAATATACAAGAAACCTAGTGTCAGGGTCTCAGCTAACCTTTACAAGGATGCCTTTGTTTGCTCCTGGCCCTGCGGCTGAGTCAAAAGCTATCATAACATTAGCAAAACGTCCTTCACTGCATGATCAGATCGAATTGTCAACTCACATCGTTCGCGCTCTGCTGCATCTTCATCTCTCGCTCCATCTCTGCCATCTGCTGGTCCTCAGCATAGGCCAGCGCCCACGGCACAGCGACCAGGATCGCGCTCGTGCTAATCACCCATAGCGCCTTGCCAGAGTACAGTAGACCGCTCTTCACCCAGTCGGTTGTGGTAGAGACGGTTGATTGCACTTTGTGGCGGTACGATGGCGGAATAATATCTTGCAAGGCGGCCAGACGTTCGGCAAGGGTTTCGTCGTCGGGTAAGGAGGATGTTACTGAGGATGTGTCAGAATCTAGGAGGCCTGTTAGTTGAAGGTCCATAGGCGCAAACGCGGAATGTGTGTTAGGAAGCCCGTCGCAGCATATGGGGCCTTACCGTCATCGGTGTCCCAGTCGTCCTCGCCGTCCATAGGACCAGTCTGGTCGCGGGAGAACTCCTCATCGAGCACTTCTTCAAGTCTGACCATTGTGAAGCTGTGTGTACGTGATTGGATAGATTGAACAGGTGGAAAGAGGGCGGATGGAGTTGTTTGGGATGGTCGCGAAGTTGGTGCTGGGAAAGTCTCAGTTTGGGAACTTTTGCAGGAGCTCGGACATATCGTCCCGGGTGAACGTCGGGATCTGGGATCAGGGGACTCTCGCGACGTGTCGTGGCCGTCATTCCCTAATCTCTATAAAGCTCTTTGAAGATAGTTCCACAAGAGCCTAACTATATGAAACAATCTTGCTGGTAAATGTCTTTTGCGAGACTGGACTGTTATACATGCCCAGGACCTCTGCGCAAATGTTCCAATGACCTGATCCGGATTCTATAGTCTATATAGCCTTTGCCCACGATCATGTTCATCTCATTCTTGTGTAAATGACGTAGCAGCTTTATTTCGTACGGAGAACTGTGCTGGACTTGCTCATATAATGGGTTCTAAAATTCAGCCAGTTTTAGCCAGGCGCAGCACATGAGGTATACCTCCGGGAGCGGGAATACCGTTCAAAGATGATAGTTTACCTTGCATTTTCTTCCTGCTGATTTCTATCGCGCCGATAATTCCTTGTCTATCCGATTATTAGCGTCACTCATAGGTGAGTGCCGTGGTTGCAGATGAGTCGTTTCCAAACTCAATACACAAGGCCTGCCTGGTAATTAAGTTGAAGTGGATAATCTCCTCGAAGGACCCAATCACAGCTTCCGTTTGAGCCGTTCCCAAAAATCCATATTCCATCCTAGCACATCTACAACCTAAAGTCGCTTTCTCACTTAGTAAACTGCAGGATATTAGTTACTCTTTTTTCATGCTCAGTTAAACAGTCCCGTGGCGCAGTGGTAGCGCGTCGTTCTTATATTGGCCGGTTTGATCACCACTAATATGGCTTGTTGCAGGCAATGCGAATGTCGCGGGTTCAATCCCCGCCGGGACTATTCAGTTTTGTTTTGTCGTTCGTCTACGAACAAGATTCATAGAAATCTACAAAATAATCAATAAATAAACAAATACGTGATCATTTATTCATTAACTTATTATCATTATCATCATTCCTTGATTGAAATAGTTTTCAATGACTAGACTAGGTACCTGCGATTTAGTATATGTAGATAGGTAAAAGAAAGGTACTTAAGCACTACTATAGTGATCAGTTATATGATTTATCTATCCATCTCAAAGATAGTAGTATATATACCTAGAACCATCTAACGAGTCTACTTGCTATAAGAAATAAAGAACCGACCTACTCCCAAGAAGACCGTTACATGTCCTAGTATCATAGCTAATCCCATACGTCAAAGTAATCTGGTATTTGACTTGGACTTCTCATTCCCCGATGGTATCCGTGCTTCGGCCTTCTTGGCCGAATCGTACTCTGACAACGTGGGCATGCCTTCAAAACACAGCCCGGACACTGTAATAGATACGTCCAAGTTTCGTAACATCTTGGGCATGCTGCACGACCGTGAACTTTTGGCCACCAGCCCCCATGGTCGCAAAGATTCTTGCGCGTTCTGTCACCGGATAATGCATCTTCCCATGCGAATGATAGCGCCTCGCGGCGTGCTCTTGCCTGCTGCGCTGCGGCTTCTCGGGCGCGCTCCTCTTGCTGTTTCCGTTCCCTTTCCAAATGTTCCTCCATTCGTTGTTTTTCTCTTTGTCGCAGTTCTCTCAAATACCGGTCAAACAGCTCCTGTTCTCTCTCGCGCTGTCTCTTCAGTTCCTGTTCTCTCTCGCGCTGTCTCTTCCGTTCCTGTTCTCGGGCTTTGGCCGCTCTTTCTCTTTCTGCATTCTCCCTTCGTTGTCTCTCGGCGTTCCCTCTCAGCCGAATCCGTTCCTGGATCACCCGGATCCGCTCCTGGTCTGCACTGTCTGCACGATCAAGTTCCCTCTTCAGATTGTCCCGTAGATTCTTTTGTTTATCGATCTCTTCTCGTTTCTGCGTCAGCCACCGCTCTTTCAGGTCCTTTTCGACTCTCCGCTCCTGTCTCTGCCTGTCCTTGCGTGCTTTTTCCTCCTCGCTTTCTACCCTTGCCTTGTACAGTGGGGATAGCAGCCATGTTGTCCAGCCGTTCTTCTGTGCTTCTGCCGCCGCCTCAGCTGCCGCGATGCTGTTCAAGTATTTAATCTGGGATTCCAGTTGCCGTATGCTCCTTTGTAGCTCGAAGATTACTGAGTCTAGTGCGGAATCCTGCGCCAACCAGCGTTCTTTGCGTTCTTGCTGGGCCTTCACGTACGAGGCAATCTGCGCAGCTTCACCGCGGGTCTGCGATCGCGAGGTCTGGGCATGCTGTTGTCCAGAGCCCGTCCGCTTGATCGAGGAGTAATAGAGACTATCGTATTCTGTGCGTTTGCTAGTGTCCTTTAGTGTTTCGTAGGCCTGTCCGAGCTAATTCAAATGAATTAGTGTTCTATTTAGCGAAAGGGGTCTTCCTGGATTAGGAAAGCATGGTCTCTTGGAAAAAGCCATGTATAAACAGTGATAAGTTAAGACTTTTTCGCTTACTAGCTGGAAAGCTTTAGTAGCATCGCCTTTATTGGGGTTTCGATCCGGGTGTAGTTTGAGCGCCAACCTTTTGTAGGCTTTGATTATCACTTCGATTGACGCAGCCTCGTCGACTTCCAGGATTCTATAATAGTCCTCTGTGACCGGCACCGGAGCCATATTCGCATGAAAAACTTAGGCACAGATTTGATTTTTGATATATATATATATATCAGAGGCTCTGACAAACACGCAAGTGGGAATGTGAAGACGCAGCCTATTATATCATTATGTGGTCTTCCAATCAAAACTTGCTTTTTTTTTCCTTGGCCCGGCCCTGTTCTGGATGTGTTATTATTGCATGGATACCAACTAATATCGCAAGGATGTAAAGCGTTCAATAATATTTACATCGAAGCGAGCAAAGTGTGGCCCGTTTGCCATGGGCGAGCTGAACTTTTATTCCGACTTTCTTTTGGCGGTCTGTATAGTGCCTTGTGCTACCACTTGTCGTTCCCCAAAGGAAGCCACTGAGCTGCGATGTACTTTGGGTCAGCATACCGAAGAGACCATGATTTCAAGAATTCTGGAGTGTAGTATATCGCTTGTTACGTTATTCAGCTGGCTGTCTATCCTGTTTGTGAATGGCTTAGAGCGTGGATGAGCATTGTGCATGTTGGTCATCGAACAGTACCCAGGTGTGCGACATTGATTTGCATGGAGGATATAAAAAACACTAGGCCCCGCATGCAGGACATCAAGTAAACAATGCCAAAGTATAGGTAAACAATAGCCGCGCATAGGTCAAGACCACCCAGTTACTCCTTCTTGCTCCCAATATGCAGCTTCTCCTTGAGCTTGGCCAGCTTGCTAACCTTCTCCTTGCCAGACGGGGACGGTGATGTTGCAGTCTCTTTCTTGGCTGCGCAGTTTGATTAGCACTTCAGTCGGACCGAACCTCGCAAGCAGAAGTTGCGGCATTGGAAGAACTCACCATCCTTACTGGTATCCAACGGCTCCTTGTTTAATGGCTCAGTTACCCCTGAGCCAGGCTCCTTCTGCGCAATAGTCTTCGCTGGCGGCTCGACCGTTGGGTTGGCTTCCTTTCTATCGTCTCCAGCGTCTGGCTTGTCTGCATGGAAATGAGTTTCCGGGGCGTTCGACTTGTGAGCGAGGATGCCAGTGGGGTCAGCTTCAGGGTGTTGCTTGCTGCCTTCTTTGGGCTTGCTATCAGTCTTCTCCTCGGTATCTTCCTTGGGGGTCTCTTCGGTCTCTTTAACGGCTGGTATATCGGCGGAGGTGTCCTTGGTGGGTTCTGCGGCGCCGGTATCTTTGGCAGCTACGCTCTTGGTCGTGTAGTCATCAGTGGAGGATGTTGTTGGGTTTGCTTCGGCAGCTTTGTTGAAGTGGTCGTCGGAGGCAGGTTCTACAGCTCCAGTCAGTATGTCTCCTCGGTGAACCCTCTCCCGAAACTCCATGCTAGCAGTATACAGAATGAAAACACGGCGGCAGTCCGCACTCGTAGCCATACCAAGCACGTTGACAAGATATGCTTGAATGCTCGCAACAGCACCATCGGCGTCGCTGTTGCTGGCTCGCCCGCCGGGCGGAATATGCTCACCAGCATTGCCCTTGTCAAAGGGTTCCCCTACACCTCCTTGCTCACCATTCTTAGGCTCAATGCCTGACTGTTGCTGGGTACCTTCTCCAAAAACCATTTTGCTGGCTGTGGTCACTGCTGCATTTGCGGCGTTCGTGATGGTCTCCATGTTGGGCTGGCGGGGTATCGGGGATATAATATAACACGCGGACTGCGGGAAGAGTGTAGCTCGCAACGGGGATACGGCTTAGATTCTCAAGTTGATCGCGATCCACCGGGGTACGACAGTTTGAATATGTAGGCAGCAATGGACGTGTAATGCCAGCAATTAAGGAGGGGTGAGCGGCTAAGGGATTGAGGCACGAGGACTGCGGCGAGATAGTGAAGACTTATAAAGCGAGTTGACCGGGAGGCAATCTGGGAAGCGGAAGCGCCCCCAATAGCCAACCTTCTGACCATAGAGGGATGTATTACGTAGCCGCCGGGTCGCTGTAGCTGTTTGCCCTATGTTCCTTAGTTAGGGAAGGGAGGTAGAAGCCGCCAGCGACAGCAAGAAACAGATTAGCACGGCCTGTTGGACAGGCTGCAGTGTGTAATCTCTGACTGGTCTGCTCCCTGCCTGTCTGTCTTCTGGGATCTGGTTCTGCGTCAGATGCATCGTTGGCACATGGTCACGCACATGGTTTATCCGGGCGTGGGATCTGAGGTGTATCGAAATGACGTAGTGAGCCGGGTGCGGGGCGGCCGCGTAAACAACTTGCAGCGCGCTAGACGTAGGCATCTAACATCCGAACTACTTGTCATGCCGCTAACTCGCGATTCTGCTGGTACGCCTGGTAGCGTGCCGATAAGCAAAGGTGATTAAACGTTTCGAATAGGCCCAATTACTAAATTACGACCTGTCAGGAGCGGCGTACGGCCACAAAGATTATATACACGCACGCGCCTCTTGCGATCCCTGGAATTGACTTAGCAGACTAAGACCGATATCCTCCACAGACAGATATTTTTACTCAAGGTAGCCCAAGCTGAAAATGCGTTAAAGGGATACACGAATAGAAAAAAGAGCTTACCATACAAGAATCGGTAAGGGCGTAGAGAATGCATTGATGTTACTCAACTGACGACAGGTTGGGAAAATGTTCATATTACCGTGCCTTCTTGGCTTCTGCAGCAACAGCCTTGCCGTTGGCATTACTGGCCTTCTTCCCCTTCTTCTCCATCTCGACCTCGACCTCGACCTCCTCGTCGCTTGCTTCATCATCACTTCGCTCGTCTTTGGCCTCCCTATGGACCGCAAATCTATATGCGATGCGCAGAATGAGGAAGAACCAGAAGAGATTGACAGCTTGCAAAGCCGCCAAGAGTGCGAAAGTAATGAACTGACTGAGCGTACATTTATACTGCTGGGTTTCCCAATTCAGTTCGAAAGGACCGACAGTCATAAACTCGTTTGTAATCGAGTACATCACTTTGAGATTGATATAGTGTCGGAAGTAGGCCCATGCGAAGAGGAAAATACAGAAATAGGGACCCATTATGGGCGAGTCGACGTAGTTCATGACCTTGGATGTCTGCAACATGGACAGGTTAACAATAGTCCACAGTTGAACGAAGGAATACTTACGGCAAGGAAGAAATCACTGACGTCCATCGTGATGTAGATCGCCAGTCCCATGTATGTGAAGTGGAATCGGTAGCTGAGGCCAATCAACAGCAGGGTTATAATGTGATGCGCCACAAGTTCCTGAAAGTCTTTCCGCGGCTTTTCCAATAGCAAGACGAGGACGATCATCTGCTGTGCCCAGTAGCTGGCTTGCAGTAAATAGTATGCCTTGAAGACTGCTTCATGCGTCTTATGCGGAAACCCTTCGTACATCCCGGTAGTGTTGAAATACCACACCGGTGTCCTAGACATAACCCACAGACCATACGGACCGAATATCGAGAAGTATATCGCAGTGTAGAATTGTTCCATGAATCTTGATTGTTTGGCGCGAGACTTGATACCGGCTTTGATCGCAAGAGGTCGAATTAGGCGCTGCATGAGGAACTCGCGCGTAAAAGAGAGGAATACAGTATAGAACGAGACAAACGCAAAGTCCAGCTTGCCTTTGCCATATTGTAGCGGTTTATCGTCGCCAGGCGCTTGCGGAAGAGGATATGAGAGAAACAGAGCGGGATAGACGGGGTTACTTTTGGAGGGATTTGTTAGGTATATGGCGACAACGATGAGACATATGGCGAGCGGATTGACCCATGTGTGTTTCATTGAAAACTGTTTCCAGCGTCGGAACAAGCTCTTGACCTTCCTTCTCTTCGAGCGACGGTGTTTGGTCCCGTCCGAAGACGATCGCATCGCATCCTTTCACGTCAGCTAAGAATGCTTTTGGTATGAGCTGACGACTCACTTCGGGTAATGGAGAAGGCGGCGGTGAAAGAGTCGCAAATGATACTGCTGTGTTGTCTCCTGGAAGTTCTGCGCCTAGCCCGCTGGACTTTCGCCGCGGTCGTGTGCTTATTGTTTGTCTGCCACCGTATGATTTTTGTTTGCCGTCGCCACGAATGGCTTCATAAGCTGTGGAGACGGCCGGGAATGGTTCTGAGGATGCCATGCTATGCTGAATTAAATGCTGTTGATGTGCATGGAGCTAAGTTTATCGTAGGAGAGAGCTGAGGTGGTTTTATCAGGAGTACATCTCTTAATTTCGGGACCCTGAGCAAAGCTCCTCCGCCCGAGCACGATCGGCACTTTAGTTACCGTATTATTTGTATAAGTCAGCGCTTACATACCATATAGCGCCCCTTTCCTGAAACGTTTGACACAATGCTTAGTGGCAGTCAAACCTGTATTCACGTCCAGGAACAGCATAATCTGTCGTTGGATATATGAAAGTACTGAGGTGGTTTTGCCGTTAAGAATCTAGGATGTGCTACACGTGTCGGGTGGATAATGACTTGTCAGATATGACGCTCCTCACGATATAAGGTGCTATCAATGTAAAACTTGGTTCGAATAGACCATGTAGTCGATAAGCTAAGGTCCATGTAATAGCTTCAGTGCGAGGGTCCATCCTTTGACATACCAACGGCTTTCCCGTTCTGGTGCGACTGTTTGAGCATTTGCGTGGCACGCGACTTCATATTATGCTCCTTGTGACCCTCACCGTCTATCACCAACGTAGATGAGACACTTTCAGTATCTGATGCAGGTGTGCTAATCTGACGCACCAGACCTCGGACACCGCCTGTTTTCCTGGCAGGTAGCTCTCCCTGTCCTGCTGTCGCAACATACAAAAGGTATTTGAGATTGGGTAATGTCTGCCGAATGTCCAGTAAGCGTAGTCCGAGCCGATTCGACAATATCTCGATATCTTTGTTCAGTAAAAACACGCCATATTCGAACCGATATCTAACGCTACCCTTTAAGAAAAGGGGATAAGTTCTTGGCCCGCTTGTCTGAGATATGGGGTCTTCCACGCATGAGGTTGATTCTCTGGCTTTGATTGGATAAGGCAACGGAACAGACATGTAAAGTGCCAGCTGATAGACAACTTTGGCTACATGTCCCAAAGCCGCAGCAATCCCTTGTTCCTTATGATCGTTATCGAAATCGGAATTCGGTAAGGCCAGACCCCGGATCGTGAAAGCAAGGGGCTGATCTTTAATCGGCTCGATTGGATAGATTCGCATTAGATCCTCACAGATACGGCGCCGTTGACCATTGGATTCCTCGTGGATTTTAGTCAACTGCAGTCGCGCATTCTTTATGACATCTTGAGCCTCATCAATCTGGGCCTGCGCTGTCTCCTGCGCCTCTCTGCCTGTTGCTATGGCAGTGCGGCGGGACTCGATGGATTCTTGGAGTGCCTTTCTCTGTCGTTTTGCAGCCTCTACTCGCTTCTTCTGTGCACTGACTGCTTGCTCTATCGTCTTCACGCGGAGCTCTACTTCAGGTACCTGGCGAATTAGCGTTTCCGAGCCTTTGTTCTGTTGAAGTATGTCCTCAATCTCTGAAGCCAATCGCTCGCGAGTATTGATGGCATCTTGTATACAGTCATCAAGCGTTGAAAGTTGCATGAGGGCATCGTACGGCGATGTGGCCGCACCGACAGCCACGCGTTCTAACGAGTCTTTCGCCTGGGAGCGAAGCTTGAACGGAGTCGAAATGTCCAAGAAGCTTGTATAGACACCGTCGGTCAGGTGGAACAGAATGCAGTTTGGAGGGAATGGCTGCCTGAACGTTTCGAGCTGCACGCATCAGAGAACTGATATCGTGATAATGATGTTCTGACCTACAGATTTGCCAATGTACTGGAGGGCACGGAGATCTACGTCATACTCGATAAGTAAGACATATTCGGCCACGCCGTCCATCTTCGCCCATATCTTGACAGTAAGGGCGCATAGCCTCGTTACAGCGGGACCGCACGGGTCGAGATCGAAATATCGAAACGTGGGATTCTATCGATGGTCAATATGTGAAGTCAAGCTCACTAGCCATCAACCCTTACCATCGCTTTTCCGGCAACTTCGCTGACATAGATGGGGTCTATCAGTGAGCTGTGAGTAAACAACTCATGGCAGTCCAAAGTATTTAGGCGCACCAGCTTGTGTCTCAACGTGCAACGAAAAGAACGTCTCTGCCATTCTCCCTTCGGTTACGTCTTCCAATCTTTTCTGACGAGCAACTGGACTAGCTCCTGACCATTCCATCGTACTTCTTCTCCTCGTTCTAGTAGCGCTTGGTCGCGTGGGCGGTGACTTGTCTTCTTTTGTGACTTCATCCTGGGGGGCTTTCGAGCTCCCGGGACCACGTAGATCTGCAACAGAGTGGTAGTGTTCTAGCGGTCTACTTTCGCGCAAGGCAAGGGCCTTGGATGCAGATTTCAGCGCCGAGGGTAAACCATCATCATCAATGGGTGCGCGACGGGTACGTGAGAGTTTCGGGTTCAGAGAGAGGTTGCGGAGAGTAAGGCCGTGAAGGTGTCTAAGACGGCGATTCTAGTGGCATATGAGCGATGAGCGACGTTCAATACGAGGTGCAATCATACGTATTCGAGTAGCCACGGCTTCTCGCGAGGCAGCGGGCTCTGCGTCGTACCACTTTGAAGATCTGAAGCCATCCGAGCTTGCGGGGATAGGATCGGCTGCGGAGGTGAACGCTCGCATGAAGGCGAGTAGTGGCAATCAGCAAAAGAATGTTAGGTCATTGCGGTAAGTTGTCTTTCCAGGCCGATATTGACATGAGTCGCTCTGCACAATTCATCTCGTGGACCGACAAGCTTTGTTGACTTCACTAAGGTGCAGCCCCAGGCCCAAGAACAATGCTCCTCCCTCTGGTCTGTTTGCGCCGCTAGTGCAGTTTCGCCGTAATTTATTCAGGGACCGAATTTGTTACCCGCATGCACACTAAGCACAAGCTCCGACTCCGAACTTTCTGTGATTCTGAGCTCAACGACTGCAAGCACTCGTCTGCTCAAGCCATCTAGATCCGCAATTGCGGATTCTACTCATCATGGCTAGCACAACGGCAACAGCCAAGCTGACGGGCGCGTCGACTGCGCTCAATCAGGAACTTCTTCGAATGTTGCGAGGCCCGAGACATGAACGGGTGTTATATGTGTTTGAGAATATCCGGACGAAACAAGTTGTGTACTCACTGAAGCGCGATCTGTTGGCATCGGACAAGCAAGTGTGTGCTCCTATATTGATGTGTCTTTTCATCGGGTTCTGACCGGCTCACAGGAGAAGAAATCGCTTCAACAGCTTACATTTGTAGGCAAGGGCTCAGTTGCACCAGAAATACGAGAAGATTTGTGGAAAGCTTTGGCTGTGGTACATTTTCGGGATCAGGACCTTTGTCGCACCGCTCTTCACAAGCTCCGCGAATACCGCATGCTACGAGAATACAATTGGAGGCAAAATTATGCGAACCTGAAGAAACTCAAGAACAAACAAGTCAAACTGCTCCAACAGCGTCTTGAAAAGGATCAGGAACTATTAGAACGGGGAGAGGTTACAGAGGCAGACATCATGCAAGAGCTGGCAAAGCAGATGGGCCACCCCTCGTTGCTGGACACAGATATCGAGGTAGCCAACTTCCGGCCGAAGAGACATAGTCAAAGGTATAATACTGCGACCAAGCACAGCAGACATCTGCAGAAATGGCTACAGGACCGAAAAAAGTTCTTGCAGGATCAAAAAGCCAATAGCGTTGCCGATCTTGCCCATGTTCTCAAGGGAATCCATGGCATGGACATTGCAAAGCAAGCAAACGAATTTCTGGAGAAACAAATTGCATGGTTGAAGGCCCCTGACGCGGAATTTGCGCAGCTCAAGGAATGGGCCAAAAGCGAGGATCACGATCACGAGGAAGAACTGAAGGAGGTTTGGGAGACGTGCACGAGGCTCTATCAGCGCGGCAAGAAACATCCCGAGCAGCGTACGACCGACAAACGTCATGCCGTCCGTACAGCCGAGCGCCGCTATAAAGCTCTCCTCTCTCTCCGCGAGGCTCGCCAAGCCCGCGCAGAAGGCGACTTTGCCCGCGCGACCGAGCTCGAAGAAGCCGTGCTGCGAGGCTGCAGGCACGAGATCCTCCACCGCGAAATGCTCGAGCGCCGCACCCTGGATCTCTTCAAGAAAGTCGCACTGGAGCGGTACAACGCCAACAAACTCGTCTGGCGCCCCGAGACCCGCGGCGCCGTGCTGAAACCAATCTTCGGCGACCCAAAGAAATCCGTAGTAGCCTACGACAAATCCGAAGGCTGGCACGGCAGCCCACAAGGCGCGTACATGCCGCGCGCCCCGGTCAACTTCAAGCACTGGCTCGACAATCTCCAGCCCCGGCCCCCGATCGCGCCCAGCATCGACCAACAAGGTCTCGCCTTCCGCGCGTTCCTGGAGATGCTGCGCAACCGCGACATGGACTACTCCTCCGGCACCGGCACGTCCACCCTCAACGCCGGCATCTACCAGGACACCCAGACCATCACCAAGCCCGGCGCCATCACCCCCTTGCCAGATGACGACCCCGCACAGGTCTTCATCGAATGGGGCGACGTCGCAAACGCAGAATACGTCCGCGACAAAGACTGGCCCGAGCACGTCTCCTTTGCAAGCCTCGACATCCCGGGCCAGCGCGTGCTCAGACCAAGCGCCATGGCGCCCCGCCCGCGTCTATACGAGGACCTCCTCGCAGAGTATACCCAGAGGGCAGAAAGGGCAGCAATCAAGGCGAGAAAGGCGCGGCGCTGGGCTGAGAGGCAGGCAGCTGACGCGGGAGCCGGTCAAACGCCTCGGGTACAGAAGAAGACGGCTGCTGCTGCTGCTGCTGCTGCTGCGCCCACGGGTATACTCGGCCAGACTGAGGTCTATCTGCGCGCGTATCTGCCGTTTTTGTTCCGCGGCTCGGCGCCCGCGCGGAGGCAGAGTCTGTAGGTGGTCCTACCTAGATGCGATGAGAGGATTGGGAAGGAGAGGGGAGGGGGAAGAGGGATAGATGATCGAGCTGTTGTGTATATGTAGATATATATCCCTCTGTATGTGTGTTGTTGGTGGAAGGGGTGTATATCAAACCGTCATGCTAGACTTCTAACACTAAGCGAGAGTGTGTTCTTGTATGTACGTATGTATAGTGTAGTATAGTATAGACAGAGTATAGCAAAACACACACACACGCGTATCATCCTCTATCTAATCCAATCTAATCCAATCTAATCGAAATCAACCGCAAGCCAACCCGTCATGAGACACAACACTAAACAAACTGCCTTCCTACTTGTCGTCCAGTACCAGTTGTATATTAGGACTACATGCTATCTGCTATATGCTATATGCTATATGCTATATGCTATATGCTATATGCTACATGCTACATGCTATATGCTATATGCTATATGCTATATGCCACAGAACATACTCCTTCCTTCCTCCATTCCTCAAACGATCTTCCACTAACATAAAGAGAGACAAAAAAGCCATCCAATCCAATCCAAACAACGAGCCCTGGACAACTGGAACTATACGTACGTACGTTACGCTTTACTTTATTAAATACTCGAAATACTCCCAACACTCAAAGACCCATACTCATGACCAACCACACTCCTCCTCCTCCTCCTTCTCCTCCTTCTTCTTCTTCTTTCTTTTGGAGAAAAAAACTCAAAGTATACCCCGAAAATTTGAACCCAAATCCTCCCAACTCAATTCAACTCAATCCAACTCAATCCAACTCAATCCAATCCAGTCTAATCCAACAAACTAGTCAACCAACTAGCTCAACCAACTAACTCAACTAGCCAGTAACCCAGCAGCAAACAACGAAACCAAAACCAAAACAAGACAAATGTAAAACAAGACGAAACCAAAACAAGACAAAAGTGAAAAAAAGAAAGAAGAAAAAAACGCCGTCCGCAATGCCAAAGGAGAGTTATATATATATACCTGTGTATATGAGTATGAATATGTGTATGAGTATATGAATATGAGTATATGTGTATGAGTATGAGTATGATGACCGATGACCGATGACCGATGCCGATGCTGATAAATCTCCCCAACAAAACAACAAGTTCGATACTGTTTGCACTGTTGCCCGAGTAGTCTGGTGGGGTGGGTATAGAACCGCATCATGTCGGTACGACGTAAACAAAACAAAACACCCTCAAAACATCTCCTCATACCAGATACCAGACGATATGGTATGCCTCTCCCTACCACAACACCGTCATACCCCCCATCCCATCCCAACCCACTCGGCATCCATCCCAAACAACAACTCCCGCTTCGTCTGATTCGACACCTGAACCTCGGGTGCATTCCCCTGTTCACACCAATTCTTAATCGGCTGCAAATTCAGAAACGTCAGTATACACTCATTACTTCCCGATTCATGATACGCAAAAACAAAAAGGGCAGACTCACAATGCACAACTTCCGACACCACTGGCACTCGTTACGATCAACATAAAAGTTGCGCAGCAGGAGGATGAATCCAATCAGCACGGCGACGAGCGCGCCGGCGCGGAACAGCCACCACGCCCACCAGAGCGGCTTGCGGCCGGCGAAGAAGCCGAGTGGCTGACGCACGAATGCCTTGATGGCTGGCTCGTCGTCCTGCGCGTTTCTGCTGACGGCGGCGTATGGGGGTTCGTCTTCGCCTGTGCGGGCGCGGAGCACGTTGGGGGAGTGTAGGATACATATGCCTAGCACGATGCCCATGAGCAGGCCACCGATATGGCTGAAGTTGTCCAGACCGGGGAGGAATCCGAGGATGATCATGACGATGATGTCGAGCATGAGGAAGAGGAGGTCTTTGACGGGACTTGGGCGGTCTTTCCAGGTGTAGAGAATGTCAAGCAGAACGAGACCTATGATTCCGAATATGGCGCCGGATGCGCCGACGGAGGAGAGCAGCGGCGCGGCGTAGTTTCCGCCCAGGACGAAACCGAAGATGCCGCTGCTGAAATATACGAGGGCGAAGCGGATGCTGCCGACTTGTTTTTCCATGTCGCGCCCTAGCGTCATCTGGAGGAGCATGTTGAACGCGATGTGTATGATGCCGACGTGTAAGAAAATGGGCACGATGAAGCGCCACCACTGGTTTGGCTCCTGGCTTCTGTCATCGACAGCGGTGCCAGGGGGTTGTGTTGGGAAGCCCCCGAAGCCACACAGCTCGCTCAGGCTGCAGAAGGGTCCGGTGAGGGATGTTGCGTTGGGACATGGCCAACTGACGGGAGGGTCCCTGCCGGTAACGTTGACGAGGTTGTGCATACAAGGCGTATATCTGGAGCCCATGTTGATGAGCGTCCATGGCGAGGGACCGATCATGAAGTTGAAGCTGGGCTTGATCATGATGGGCGTTCCAGTTGCAACAGCTGCGGCGGTCAGTAAGAAGCCAATAAAAACAACAAGTTCAAGCAACTCACCATTCTTGATCAGCGCACCAATGAAGACGCCAATCTGCACCAAAGTGAGAGTAAAGCACACATATGTAATCTTTCCCGTGAACCAGCCTTCCTTCTTCCGCACATATCTGCCGTTGTTTCCCCTTTGACCGCGATTCTTGCTCTGGCCTTCCGCGTCGACCCCATAGACGCCATTCCCGTCCTTGGGGTTCAAGGGCGCTTGGCTTGAAGCAGCGTGAAGTGGAATCGCGTTTTGGTCGGCAAAGGGATCGGAACTGTGATTGTACGGAGAAGGTGTTGCGTAGGGATTACCGGCGGCGCCATGATACGACGAGTCCATAGTCTGTAGGCTAGGCTGATGGCTGATATCAGGATGTTGGTGACTGTATGCTTGATTCCTGTCATCAAAGGGCGATGCTACTGGAGATATGTCGTGCGCATCGTGTTGCCTGCCTCCTCCTACTCCTCCAAGAGCGCCAGAGCTCTGAGGACCTGCATGGTGAAAGTCATCGTAAGGCTGGTTGTTGTAGTAGTCGTTGGCCGCCATGATGAGCGGAGACGAAGTTTGGGTGATCCTTCGCAGAAGGTCACAAAGCTACAATAGTCGGACGGGACGGGGACGAGAAGAGTTGGAATGCTGTTTTGGCAGAGCCGTTGGGTTGCGGGGGGACAAGGCTATTTGCTCGGAGGAGGGAGGTTTGGAGCGGCCGGGGGGAGTGAGTGTTTCAGAATGAACCAAGCGGAGCGAAAAGGCAGACAGACAGAACGACAGACTGGCGCTGGTGGTGGAACGAGGGTCGGGATTGCAGGACCCGTCAATGCAACAGCACGCAAGGGCGGGAGGAGTATTTTACTGCAAGGCAGGGTGGTAAGGTAATTAGGGAAGAAAAAGAGTTGTTTGACGATAGGATAGATCGGGTCGGTCAGGGAAAAGCTGTGGTGGTAGATCTACGGCGGTTCCCTGCCCAGCAGCGCCACACAGCCACAGGCAGCCCCAACTGACATCCCCATTCCCTGCTCTGGCCTGAGCATCATCGAACCCAGCGCCAGCCAGCCAGCCAGGGCTCAAGCAAGAAGAAACACGCGCAAGGCCTGCCGGTGATCTGTCAGTGACCGGGGGAGTTGGTAGGGCGTAGGTAGTTGTGTACTATCCATTCATTGTCATATATAAGCTGCCTCACCCTCTCACCACCTACTACAGCCCAACAACTCATATATATACTCTTCAAAAGCGCTTCAACATATCAAATCTTCATTCTCCATTGACCTAATTGTTTCACGCCTTTGTTTGTCGAGGCCATAAATAGACCCGGACTTCGTTTCGTTTCGTTTCAAAACCAACGTTGTCGGTCGGTCCCTTTGCGTTGCGCCACTGACGACGCGTGGCTGAGCTCGCATTCAATCCCATACAGGAAACAGTACAGTACCCGCCCCGGCCGGCCGCCCCACAACAACGACCCATTCATTCCATGAGCCGCGCTGTGCTGTGTGGGACTGGTGTACGTAATGCAACGTGTGCTCAGCTGAGGTTGTTCAAAAAGCCCAAAAGAAAATGTTTTGCATCGTTGTTGTTGTTGTAATTAACTACTGCATTAATTGGGTTCATCAACAAGCCAGCCCTGTGGCTCTGGGTATCTCTATAACTAATCATCATTCAAGCTTTTTCCCTCACTCCCCATCAAAATGCGCATGCGATGATTATTTTGGTGTATCCAAAAACTCCACCTCTATCCATCCATCCATCCCTTGCAACACCCAGTCCAGTAGGGTCTACTCCCCTTCACGGACCGCCCGGCGAGCTTGAATGTGTCCTGGTCTGCCTCAGGCTTGGATTCATCATCTCTGATCCGATCGAGTCTACTCGTCCATGATTGTTGTGTGCTGCCGATCTTCGCACTTCTGATGATGCGCTTTTCGCTGCTGATTCCTTGAACGATTCAATCAACTTGATAAACTCTCGTCGGTATCGCGCGTCGCTAAACGTGATTGAGACGTCCGAGTGTTCTTCGCGATCATGCGAGACGCGGTGTGGTACGTTTGTCGTGTCTTCGGCTCGTGGGTCGTTGGCCGTCATCTTCTGGATGTCGAGGAGCGATCCGCTGGCTTTGTTGAAGACGCGCAGTTTGGCGTCGGCATCGTTGGACGTTGATAGTGAGCTGCCGCGCTTCACTGTGGAGGCATTAGCCTTGCCGATGACTTAACGTGGAACGTCAACGTATTACTCACCGCTCCCTGCTGTCCAGATCTTCGCAGGGTCACGCTTGTTGTCGTCGGCGTGTACTCTGAACGTAAGCTGGCAGACTCGCCCACTCGGCGACGACCGTTCCCACAGGATCAAATCGCCTGGCCCATAATCTTTACCGAGAAAACTTCGTCGAGATTTGAGTCGTCGGACCGTACCAAAGAACGTCATGGTCCAGCCGGTTATACCCTTCAACAACTTCACGACCCCTGGGCCGTTGTCAGCGTGTGCTAATTACTGGCTAATCCCACACAGCATATACACCTACCGGAAGGTGGGACCGGAAACTCATGATGATCACCAATGGCAAAGTTGATCACAGCCGTGTTGTCAAACTCCTTAATCTCCTGACACTGTGCCCTCATGCTTGACTTCGCCTCTGGCTCTTCTCGCAGGTTCGAGATGTAGGTGGGGGAGCTCAAGTTCAGCATCTTGATCTGGAATCGGTATGCTCGCCTGCTATACCGTTGGATTTCGTCATCGAAGAGTTGCATTTCAAAGTCGATATCGGGGTAGACGGAGTACAGAGTGGAGTACATTACTGATGGTTCGGTAGGAGTACAGAGAACGAGCATACGGTAGTCGAGAGCAAGCTGATTCGAACGAGGTAGGATGCGAGCAATGTTCCAGACGTATGCAAACTGACTCTGGGCTTGATTCTCCGAGAGTGTGACTTGACCGCATTGACGCACCTTCTCCGTGTCACCTGACGGCGATCGCAGACAGTCCACCAGCCTTTTGCCCTGGGAAGTAGTCATTTGTATCGAGACGTGGTGATTGGGTGTCTCGGGGCAATATACCCAGTCATACAGCTCACCCCAAGCACCTGTTCCCCTCTTCTGAACATGATTGCAGTCCGACCACCACAAGGATGTCTCGTCCGCATTGACCTGCGAGAAGATGTTTGTGAGCGGCAGCCAGTAAGAGGTGCACTGAAGTCTCGAGTTGCTGCCAGGGGCACTAACGACCATGCGACGAGTGTTCTTCCAGACTGTACTGTCCATGCTTTCATAGACTCGAATAGCACGCGATTGCCCGTAGCATTCATCACTATGATCCGACAAGTCTGTCCCCTCGTAGACTAATAATGACATTATCGGTGCCTCAAAGAGCTGGCGCTCGTGCCCTTTGGCTCCACAGAGACAGGCCAAGCCTGAACCTGTATGCTCATGTGCCGAAATACCGAGCCCTGGCGGAGACGAGGGTGCTGGAAGCGGAGTGAAAGCCGGAGCATCGTGATTAGCGCCCGGAATGCTGGGAAGACGGCCTGACCGTCCACCGGAGCTACGAGATCTAGTCATGGAAAGAGACGTCACTTTGTCTCGGCCAGGCGAGCCGGTCAGCGGAAGCAGATTCGACGATGGGGTTGGTGGTGTATTTGAGGCCGAGGAGCGCAGTGACGTTCGCGGGACTAGTGAGCTACTGCCTTTGGGCGGCGGGGTTGAATTTGAATCCTGTGATGGTCGTCTGTCGGTGAATACAGGCCGAAAGCTAGCTGTGGTCGTATGTGAAGGTAGACTTGGATGTTCAATACGAGGCGGCGTCATATCTGTCGGGCCAACACTTGAGTTGGACCTTGAGGTAGGGCTCACGACCGACGTCTGTGATCTCGAGACACAGCACCTGCCGACGAAATAATCGTCCATTGAGGTATTGTGGAAGTGAGCTTGGATGTCATCGACAATGTCTGCTGCGGTCGGTCTATCGCCAGGATTCTGTCGGAACTGTTGACATGATCAAACGGGATCCCGAAGTGAACACTCGCCAAACTCACCATCTTCTCGATCCAATCCAAAGCGACATCGTCGGGAGAGCCATCTCTTATGTGGTCCAGCCATGCTTTGGCAGCTTCAGGTTGACACCAGTAGTCGACTGATGGACTATTCTCGTTGAGCAGGAAGCGGTCAAGGTCTTGCAAGCTATGTCCCTTGATGACGGATATCATCTCGATGTAGACGCAGGCCAAGGACCAGACATCAGACTTTTCATTCCGGGACTGACGATTCACAACCTCGGGGGCACAGTAGCGTAGCGTGAACTTTCCGGGGTCGCCTGTGGTGGTGGCAGTTGGGAGATCATTCCAGTCATGGCTAATGCCAAAATCGCAAAGGTAGATCTGGCCATCGTTGAGCAAGATGTTGCCAGGCTTGATATCTTTGTGTCTGAAACGATTCTCATGACAGTAGGAGAGTGCGGAGGCTATGCAACCGAAAGCGTTGCGCAGCCAGTTGACCTCTTCGCCGAGCAATGGCTCTTTGGCCTGTCGTTCAAGCAGTGTCTTCAGCTCCAGTTCAGCGACGGGAGTCAGGATCAGGGAGAAGGACCACAGGTCGGTATAGCTGCCGACATAGCTGACGAGATGTTTGTGGCGCAGGCGCTGCAAGGCCTTGAGCTCCCTTTCGAATTCCTCGAGCTTGCGCTGCTGGGTTGCGATATTGTTTCCTCTCAGGATCTTCTTCCGGGCAAAGAACAGACCGGATAGCTTATGGCGTACACGCTCGACGGAGGCCGAGCCACCTCTGCCCAAGTTCTCATATTCGTCAAAGTGGGCATGACCGTCACGGATATGACGGTGGGTCAGCATATGGCTGGTGAAGTTTGAGGCATTCATGAGCTCGGTGCGGGAACAGACGATCCATTGAGAGGTAAGAAAGTTCTCGAGAAGGACGTCCTCGTCCCTGAGCTTCATGGGCAGATAGATTTCACGAAAGGGAAAGGCGAGATCGTGCAGGTTGTCTTGGATGAAGGAGTGGAAGATGGGAGAGTGCTGATCGAGGCCAAGCATGCGCAGGAGACAGTAGAGGCGTGGACGAGAGAACCAATCCTTGGTGTCGGGATGTGATTGCAAGGTGTTTGCGAGATCGAGAAAGACGGCATCGTCAATGATGGTGTCTGGAGGAGAGGATGGGATGAGAGCGTTGATGGAACGACGGACTTCGGCACGGGTGAGCAGCTGCTCGGGATCCCCAGACTCGGTCATGGTTCCGGGGCGGCGGTATTATTATAGGAAGCTGGTAAGCTAGAATGACAGCAGCAATAATAGCTACAACTGGCAGAACTTGTGGGGTGGACCAGTGACATTGTACCCGGCCGCAGCTGCATCAGACGAGGAGAAGGGCCGAAGAAGTCACAAGGGCACGGAGGATGGTGGTGGACAGGACATGTGGAGAGATGTGGTGAGGGAGAGAGTGTAAGAGGGTGAGTGAGAGAGGCAGATGGAAGTACAGGAGCTGGAGTGGAAGAGAGGCTGAGGATGAGGATGAGGAGGATGATGATGATGACGGCAGTGACGCGTGGAGGAGGCGGAAGATGGATGGGTGGATAGAGATGAGAACAAGCTGCAGCAGTGTAGTAGTTGTTGTTGTTGCAGCTGTGTGTACAGTGTATGTATTTCGACGTGTGTGCGTGTGTATAGGTAGTAGTATAAGAATGGATGATGGATAGCAAAGCCTGTCAGCGATGGATGAATGAATGAATGAATGAATGGATCGTATCGTATCGTGTGTCCCTCCCTCCCTGGACCTTGGGGATGGATCTTGGATCTATTTGGGAATTATCCCCCCCCCCCCGGTCCCTCCCCGTTTTCTCCCTTGGACCCCCCAAAAACCCAATTCCCCGCCAATGCTTAGGCGGTCCTGTCGCCCAATCGTCGCTTTGCACGGGCACCATCCAGCCCGTTTGTCCCGCCTATTAGGCTTGTCCAAGCCGCCAAAGCCCCCACCACGGCCGCCTAATCCGCCCCGTCCTGCCCCCCGTTCTAGCTAGCACATGGCGGGGGATCTGCTCCAGCTGGGCCCAACAGTGCGCACGCAGCAGTCCAGGACAGTACAGGACAGTACAGTAGTTCTTCTGCCTCCCTCCACGACCAACACCACCACCACCACCACCACCACCACCACCACCGACCGGTCAACAGCTTGTCTCGGTCGTATAGGTTGGTTGGCATTATGCAGCTTGCCACTCATCTCTCATCCATCATTCATTCATTCATCCATCCATTCCCCCATCCATCAACATCTCAATCCAATCCTGTCCATTCAGCTGACCTGCCATGCCCGCCTCCCTATTCACTTCGTCTCCTCGCCAGGCAGCAGCACATCTTCGCCCTGTCAATTGATGCCTGCATGCCGTGGCGTGTAGTACAGCATGGCCCAGAACGATACACTGCTGTGCTTGTTCCACTGCTCAGCCTCAGCCACCATGCTCCCATCTGATACATGTCCTCCTGCCCACTTTCATATCATGCCTACGCCGCCTACGTCCCATGCCTTGACCTCCTTCACATTAGTCTGCCTATCATGGACACTTCGAATCCACCTCCAAACCTGAAGAATGCTGACAACGCTGCTCCAGGAGCAAGAGGCCCCAAAGATCGCCATTTTGCCGCTGCTTTCTCGGGTTGGTCTGCTCAGCAATTGGACGACGCCGTCAAGACTTTGGTCGACCAATCAGATGGCTATCTGGACGACTACCACCACTACCTTCTTCGTGGTGCCTACCTTGCCCAGTCGAAGAAAGCGTTCGATCGACCAAGAGAAGATGGTCTGGCCCTGAAAGAACGTGAACAGCAATATCTCAAACTCGAACGAAGTGACCGTCGAATCGACAAGTTCAACCAGCCCTGGCGATTGTATTTCCTCATCATATGCTGCAGTCTGGGCGCCGCTGTGCAAGGATGGGATGAATGTGAGTTGCTTCTGTATCTGCCATCAACATCCAACTTGTCACTCACATTCCTCCTATAGCTGCGGTCAATGGGGGTAAGTCGGCCATGCTTTGCATCTATATCTATAGAACCAGCATATCTTCATCACAATTCCAACACTGAATCACCCTAGCACAAATCTTCTATCAGCCTGCTTTCGGAATCGATGGCAGTATAGGTCTCAAGGGCCTTATCAACAGTGCTCCTTACCTCTGCTGTACCCTCTCTTGTTGGTACGCTACATGGTCCTGGCCTTCATCGTCCAACTTTGCCTGCTCACTGATTTACTCCAAGGCTGAACTACCCCATGAACAAGCTTCTTGGCCGCCGAGGTACCATCTTCTGGACATGTCTTATTTCCTCAATCACCTGTCTGGGGCAAGCTTTTCCCCAGACATGGCAACAGCTCTTTGTAGCTCGACTTTTGCTTGGTTTTGGTATCGGGCCAAAGAGGTACAATCATTATTAGTCTCCAAGAACGACTCGGCTTAACCATTCTTAGTGCTACTATTCCCATCTTTGCTGCTGAGTGTGCTCCATCAAACATAAGAGGAGCGTTGGTGATGATGTGGCAGGTACGAGCTTCCATCTCTTGACGACCTACCATGGCTGAAGACACCCATGGGCAATCTTCTGTATAGCCAACGTAGCATGAATTCAAGCTCTAGAAACCACTGTCGCATCAGCCTCGCTAATAGACTGCCAGATGTGGACTGCTTTCGGCATCATGTGCGGCTACATTGCTGGTGTTGTCCTTTACAACGTTGGTTCTGGAGCCTCAGCCCAATGCAGGTCTCCCGATGCTGACAAGACTATTCTTGCCTCCGCTCACTGTGTAGGATACTACCCATAATCTCCCCTCATCAATGTTGCTAACATATCCTGCTCAGAGCCTAAACTGGAGGCTTATGCTTGCCAGTCCGGTATGTTCCCACCTTTGACCATCATTACGACATACGCTTACCATGCTCCCGATGATACTGCCTCTAGTCGTGGTCATGTATATTTACGTCCTGCCAGAGTCCCCTCGATGGCTCCTCCTAAAGGCAAGAGAGGGCAAGGATAAACGCAGATACGAAGAGGCCTTCCTGGCTCTTCAAAGACTCCGCCACACCAAACTCCAAGCCGCCCGTGACCTGTTCCTGATCAACCACCTGCTGGGAGAGGAGGAGAAGATTATGAAGTATGACAAACCATTCCTGGAGCTCTTCACAAATGGTAGGAACCGGAGAGCGCTGACGGCGTCTGTCATATGTATGTTCATGCAACAGGTATGGACACGGATGAGTCTTGAGCCTGAGATATATATTGCTAATCCTCTTAGTTCTGCGGCATCAACGTACTCATATACTGTAAGCGTACACCACCGCCAGTCCAAGATCAGTCTGACACTCTCCAGATTCCAGCGATATTCTCGTACATAATGCTCACTTCAAGGAACGGCAGGCCCTTTTGACGAGTCTTGGCTTCGGAATCCTCAATTTCGTCTTTGCATTGCCAGCTGTCTGGACGATTGACTCGTTTGGTCGCCGCAATCTTCTACTGTCCACCTTTCCTTTTATGGCTCTGTCCATGCTGCTTGTCGCCATATCCTTCCAATTGGGCCCTGCTACGCCAATCGTCGGCCAAGTTGGCGTTACATCGGCGTCCTCGTCAACGGACACGCAAGCATCCCGTGGCCAAGTAGCTCTGCTATTCGTCGGCATGTATCTCTTTACCATCTTCTATTCTCCCGGCGAAGGGCCTGTCCCGTTCACGTACTCGGCAGAGTCAATGCCTCTTTACAACAGAGACTTTGGTATGGGAGTCACTACTTCGATCAATTGGTGAGCCTTGCCGTACCTGGAGTCTGTCCATCCGATGGCGAACGCCAACTCCTAACTCTTGAACTCTAGGTTCTTCAATTTCTTCTTGGCCATTACCTGGCCACCCTTCCTGAAAGCCTTCACGCCCACTGGTGCGTTCTGCTGGTACGCCGCCTGGAACGTAGTCGGTTGGTTCTTGATCGTGTTTCTCGTTCCCGAGACAAAGGATCTGAGTCTCGAGCAACTCGACCACGTCTTCAGCATACGCACACGTGAGCACGTTGCGCACGGCGCCGAGCAGATCAGTTGGTTCATCAGGACATACTTTGGCCGCCAGAAGGGGCTACGGCAGCCCGTGCTATTGACAGTCGACGAGAACGAGCCGCGCTTTGTTAGCCCGGAGCGGCGACGGCATTTCAGCGAAAGCTACCCAATGTATGACTGGGAGGATGATGCCAGGCCGAGTGCGGAGGCGTCTGGGCGCGACTCGAACAATCTTGGAAGGGCGAGCACACGAGACTCGCGATTTGAGAGAATGGGGAGTCGAGACTACTGAGTATTGTAGTAATTTATTTGTAAAAGGTGATTCCCATGTTTCTCGGCACATTGCTCCCTTCTGGTAATTAGCCTCTTGATGGGACTATCCAATTTTCCAACCGAGATTGTAAACACTGCATGCCCCATATTAATTATACCCCTATCAAGGTTAGCGTCATACTTACCCCGGGCTGCAGCCCGACGTCATCCACACCCACGTGGCTGCGCGTGCCCAACGTGTTAAACTTATCCCAACCTCTCCCATCATGATATATATATATATATCCACGCCTCCTTGCGTTGTGTGAAACGCATGCCTCAACATGGCGATTGCCAATCCATGAGTATCAGCTAGACTAACACGTAGAGCTATCAAAAACCCACCAATCCTTTGCCAGCCCCGGTCGTCTTATAGTGTATTCCATCCTGGATATGCGCCGCGCTCGCTTCTCGTATCACACCTCTCACGGAAAGGCCTCACGATGATAGGCACGTCCACTGCTGAATGGATCTTTATTCTCCTCTCCATATCCCTACTGCGTGCCATCGCGCCTCTTTCAATCATTTACAGCATTCTCTGGCTCTTCTTCCCGATTGCTATCGTCAGGAAGCATCCACTACCATTCCTGCTCAAGATATATGCCCTTACCGAGTCCGCATTCTTTCTGTTCGTGTATCTCCCTCTTCGAGCCCGCAGCCAGTCCGCGGCTGTTCACCCTCCGCTGGCAGACCGTGCTGCGCGAGAGGCACTCTTCGAGGAATGCATGCAAACCTTGGACGACCCTGAGACCTATCTGCGCAAGTGGTTTCTGGACGCGCCCCTGCATGAGATCAAAAGGGAAAACCTGCGCGAGTGGGTGCGGTGGGGGTTCTTCTCGAGAAACGACGTCGCGGCCAACTCGCTCGACGAAGATGAGGTCGAGCAATATGTCGTTGGGCTCGAGAGGAAACTTGGGCGTACGATCGAGGAAGGGAGAGGGACGGCAAAGTCCTTTCGCCTGACGTTTGACAGCGTTGGGATGTCGCATCGACCCTTGGTCTGGTATTTGGTCAGTCTCCCCAGAAGCCCCGTGTTTCAATTCCTGATATCTACCCTCCAGCTCGTCTTCATCGTCGATGTATACACCACAACCCGCCTGCTGTACGCCGGTCTAACCTACCACCGCCTGTCCTTCCCTCGCCTCCTCCTCACATTCCCCCCTCAACCACTCCCCCTGGCCCGGCACAAGTCCCCCTCCGAGACCCTCCCATACTGGTTCCGTCCCCACACATCCACAACAACAAGGCCGATAGTATACATCCACGGCATCGGCATCGGCCTCTACCCCTACGCCACCCTCCTCGCCGACCTCGCCCACGCCGACCCCTCAACCGGCATCCTCGTCTTCGAAATCCACCCAATCAGCGCCCGCATCACCCAGGCAACAGCCTCCATGCCCGTCCTCGTCGCCGAAATCCACCGCGTCCTCACCGCCCACAACATCCGCGACTGCGTCCTCGTCGCAAACTCGTACGGCACCGCCGTCGCATGCAACGTCCTCCGCTCAGCCCTCTTCGCCACGCCCGCCCGCCGCCCAGCCGTCCGCGCAACCAGCACCGCCTTCTCAAAACCCCACATTGCCGCCCTCGTGCTCGTCGACCCCATCTCCCTGCTCCTCCACCAGCCGGCCGTGGCGTACAACTTCGTCAAGCGGGCCCCGCGGCGCGCAAACGAGCACCAGCTGCACTATTTTGCGAGCTCGGACATGTGCGTTGCGCACACGCTCTCGCGGCACTTTTTCTGGACGGAGAATATCGTGTGGAAGCGGGATTTGATGGCCCGGTTTGGCGGGCCCGTGTGTGTTTGTCTGGCGGGGCGGGACCTGATTGTTGATGCCGGGGGTGTGTGGAAGTATCTTACCGGGCGGAGCAGGGCGGAGAGTGTTGGGCGGGATCGGGATGTCTACCAGGAGGGCTATTTGCGGGTGCTGTGGTTTGAGGATAGGGATCACGCGCAGGTGTTTGATTACAAGGGGTGTAGAAGGGCGATTGAGAGCGTGGTGCGCGAGTACTGCGGCATCAGCAGGCATGGCATCGAGAACGACAACAACACCAACAACAACACCAACGCAGACCACGTATCCAACCCCTAATAAATAACAAAAACCCCTAATCTCACCCCATCCACCCCCTCACAAACCCCATAATCCCCCACCCCTTCCTCCTCCGCTCCTCCTCCTCCCGCTCCCTCTTCCGCACCAACATCCTCTCCCACACCCCCCTCTCCATCGCCAAAACCTCCCGCTCCGTCATCTCCCCCATGCCGAAATCCGGCGCCGTGTCCGGGGAAGGCACATACTCCCCCTGTCCTTCCGCATCCCCGCCAATCCCAGCTACCCGCACCGCCTCCTCCGCCTTCCCAACAAGCCACTCCCCATGCACAAGCCCATCAGCCCAGTGCGCAGGCAGCCCCGCTCGACCGACCCACGCGCCGACAAGCGCGCCCGCGACAGCGGCGTTGGTGTCTGCGTCGCCGGCTTGCATTACTAGGTCTGTGATTATGCGTTCGAAGAGGTGTGCGTTGGTGTTGTCGTTGTCGTTCTTGTTGTTGTTGTTGTCGTCGTAGTCGTTGTTATATCCACCAGCGCAGCCGCGCATAGCAAGACGCAGCGCGAGAATCGCCGCGCCAAGACACTTATACACGTAGCCCATGCTGCGCCTCTCATCCAGCGCGAGCTGCGCGTACGTGTCTGCATAAACATGTCTGTCGAACTCCGCCTTGTCGAGCAGGCGAGCAGCTTGTTCGTCCGTTAGGACATCGCCTTCCCCCTCCCCAGCCCTCGGATCAGCATACTCCCCCCTCGCGCGCACCCACGCCCAACTCCTCTCCAGCAAACAATCTACATCCCCCTCCCGCACGACCGTCCCCCTAACCAACCCCCTAACCAATCCCCCAACAACACAACACGCAACAACACACCTCGGATCCGCATGCGTCACAACCCCCACCTCCGCCGCAACCCTCCACACCTCCTCTTCTCCCCCCGGCGCCCCGAGAACACCAATCACATGCGTCCGCATCAAGCTCCCGTTCGCCGCCATCCTGCGCCCATGTCGGATCCAGTACTCCCGCGAGACTTGCGCTGGGTCGGAGAGGTAGTTTGCGCTGGACACGACGCCGGCGATGGTGTTTCCTGTGCCGAGGGGGGGGCGGGAGAGGGCGCGGATGCCCTCGCGGGTCCAGCGGCGGAGGCGCGCGGCGAAGAGGGGGGCGGAGAGGGGGGTGGGGGTCGGGGTGGAGAGGTAGGTTAGGAGGAAGAGGAGGGCGTGGTCTGTGTCGTCGGTCCAGGTACGGGGGGGGAAGCGGTCTGTGGTTGGTTGGGTTAGGATGGTCTGTTTATATGGTTGGAGGAGAGGGAAGAGGGAGGGAAGGGGGAGGAAAGGGGAATGAGAGGGACGGAAATACCCCGGTGGCTATCACCCAGCAACGGGGTCACGGGCTCGACGAGGCTGAATTTCGCGGATGGATAGGCTTTTCGCGCGGCGTCTTGGGTGAGGAATTCGGTGTAGAGGCCGATTGTGTCGCCGAGGGCGGAGCCGAGGATTGTGCCTATGGCGCGGTCGGGGGCGGTTGGTGGGAGGGGGGATGGGGGTTGTTGAGGGGTGGTGGACATTGTGGGAGGTTGATGGGTGTGAGATGTGTTTGACGTGTGGGTGTTTGGCTTTCTTTTATATATCCCCCTTGGCATGTTGTGTCGGGGGGTTTACGTTCAGGCAGCAGCTTTTTGGACATATCCACCACTATCTCGTATTCGGCACGTGGTGGCTGAGTGATGTACCGCACGGATGAAAAGGTCGTGGTTTTGGGTTGTCATGGTGATGAGTAGATGGTGCTGGAACCAAAGTTTGAGTTTGGGTCGTCGGCTCCAGGGGATGAGAAGGATGGATTTGTGGTTTCGGTTTTTCAGGCTTGGATGGGATGGGATGTGGTTCTAGTTGAGGCTGACACGTGAGTGAGAGTCCCTTTTTGGGTTTAGCGTGGTTCTTTGTGAATATTTGCGCGGACGTTGGAACGTCGATATTCCACCTCGGACTTTTCTTAGTCATTCTCAAGTCTCGCGCGACGACCCTGGTTACATGCTTGGAGGGTTCGATGACGTCGTGGTGAAGGTCGCTGGACACTTACTGCATGCTTATAAGGCTCGATGACAACGTGCTGGAGGTGATTGAAGACTTACTGCCTGGTACTTGGACCGAGGAGGGATCAACATGACAGATTATAAAGTGCAATAAATTGGACACCTTTAGTCCATCACCCCATGGACACGCGGATGTCGACTGTCCTCCGGACCATGATCTGGTCAGACCCGTGCTCCCTCAACGACTCGGCGTCGACAACAGTGGAAGGCTTGCGACACTCAATGAGATTCCTTGTATCTGCGTGATCTGGCCGTAACGGACCCAGCTCCATCTCTGGGTTCTTCACCTGTCTCTTGAACCCCCGATCCCTGAATCGCGACCGGCTCATGCTTTCGGACAAAGTGTTTGACCTACTCCTGGGCTTGCCCGCAGCGCGTTTCCTGTACATGTCGTGAGGGTCCATCTGCCCGGTCGTCGTCGAGAGATATCCCGTGTTGAACAGGCGCAGAAACGGCCGCATGCACGGGATCGTGGCGGAGACAATGCATAGATGCATCTCAGCTTGGGTGTAGACTGCCGTTTTCACCAGCGACCAGGTAACGTCGGGCGAATCAAAGGCCGACATCAGATTCCAGAGGCGGAGGCCACCGAGGGCCGAAATTCTGTGCATGGCTTAGCATAGACCAGATGAATACAAGCATACACTACCCACGGTAACCGAAACCAGAATGCCGTGACGACGATGAATTTTGTGGAAAACGGAGCATGGAGATTCCAGACGAGGTATATCGGCAACGCCAATAGCATGAGCTCTGTCACTGAGCCAGAAGCAAAGATGCCTATCCATTGAGGTTCCTGTTTACGTTCAGCTATAGCCAGGCATCTATATAGGGCAGATCGTATCATACCGACTGTTTTAGACAGACATGGAAGGCGTCAATGTCATCAAAGTCGCTGCAGGCCACGCCGACGATGATGGTGCATGCGAAACCCCACATTGCTATCACCATAGAGACGACCAACGAAGCCATAGTGTGCCGCCTGGCTCTGGTCAGGCGATAGATGAAGAGCGAACATCCTGCTCTAGCAAAGCAGAGCGCCAGGATGTACAAGACGTTACTGATCCACAGAGTCTGAGACCATCAGCGAGGCAAATTCATGCAATTGGACATACAGACCCAGTATGTATGGCGTTGCGCGTCTTGGGAAAGATTGTGTTCTCGCTGCCCAAGACCGCTGCCGATTGACGACGCAGTGGCAACCGCCTGACCAAACCCAAATAGCTTCTCTCTCATCAGCAAAGGCCCTTTCATTCACTCGTTCATTTCTATCATCGCACTCACAGTAGCCAGCGTTATCAGCACGTCGTCCCATCTGAACAGCTCGGCAAAAGGCCACCTCGTCGTAAGGCGGAAGATGTAAAACAGACAAGAGCACGTCAGACACAGCACCATCGCTACTGTTATGAACGGGCTGTGGTCATTTGCACTGACGGCATCGCTGTAAACGAGTCCGCGATGCTCTAGTTGGCGAGTAAGTGTTGTCATTGTTTGGGTACGTGGGCGTGATTGAAGAAAGACCCAACATTCAGGACTACATCACGAAGGTACGAGGATTGAAGGAATATCACTTTAACCCAAAGCCTCCGCAAGGAGGAACAGGTTATTTGAGCCATGGTCACATTTCGAAACTCAGCCTTGCGTCTTACATCCAAGACCAACTAGTCAGCCCTAGGATTTGAGTTGCTTGCGCAGGTCAGCGTCTGCGATATATTGATTGGGTCAGGGAGCTGTAGTTCTGAACATATACCGCGCCGCGCTCAAGGCGTCTCGGCATCCCGGGGAAAATATAATAGATGAGATGAAGGGCCGTCTACATACCCAGAGCAAATCAGCGCTGCTCTACCTAGATACCTTGATAGCAGCAACCTCTCCCCTGGAAAGCCAAGCACATTGACGAAACTCTATACACCTATCACTGAATACGACCGCCAGTCGTATACGGGAAAATATCCTATTCTAGATTTTTTGTCGACCGACCGGATGAGATGTCTCGGTGGTACGTACAGATCATGAACCGGGCCCTCTCCCGGGTTGCCTCCGGATTAAAGGTCCGTGTGTACCCATGGATCCAGCATTTGTTTGGGACAAGATCGACAAAAGCTCCCGCTCCCGCTTCCGGGATCCACTAGGTTTAGTTCGCAGACGTCAAAGTAGCAGTCGAAGATTGAAGATGACTGTCGCTGCGACAGCATGCTGGACATGATTTGACACATGTACCAACCCCCCAGACAAACAGAATGATTTCTGAAGTAATTATCAGAATCTGGGCCTTCGCCGTATACAAAAGAAAACCCAAGGGCAGGTTTCGGGCAAGGATGAGCGCTCCACAATAGCCCCGCTGTGGTTCTATTCGTGTTATCTCGGCAGCTCTCGCCCTGTTCCCTCATTCCTGTTATTTGCCGCGCTTGCAGGCCCTTGCAATGCGTAGGCGCCGCTGCGCTGTTCGGCGTCGCCGTGTTGGTGTACTCCGGGACCATCCTGGGGTGGATCTACGTTGAAGTCTGACACAGTCACTCACTTCCTTCCTCCTCGTGCACCGTGCAACCAAACATATCGCAAGTCATTGTCGTCACAAAACCTCGGGGGTCTCTTGCCCTGTACCTATGATGGCTCGAATTTGCATCATGCCATTTGAATTGCAGCATGGGATTACCAAACTGTCGGGACGCCACAGTGTAATGGATGAGACTAGAGCAACGTGGTAAGAAGGGTGATTAGAGGATTTCGGTCCTTTTCTCGGCCCTTTCCCTCTGCCTCCTCTAGTAGCCTCTCGTTTCTGCTCCTCCCGAGGAGTTGAGTTCTTCATGTGAGGGACGGGACTGGTTTTCTACGTGTCTTTCTTGCACACTGCCCACCATGGTCAGCTTCGCGAGCATGACGAACAGGTACCTTGCCGAGACGAAGAACGAGTTTGCTCTGGAGTCTCGGACCCTTACCGACAACGATGGCCTCGCGGCCGATGCCAATGGCACGATACAAGATGGAAAGGATATGGCGAGGCTTGGTAAGAAGCAGCAGTTCCAAGTACGTTTGCGTATTTTCCCGGGTGTGTGTCGGTCGCCACATGAGCTCACGGGAAATTATGTAGAGAAACTTTCGGTTCATTTCGATTCTTGGCTTCACGTGCACGTTGATGTGTACGTGGGAATGTCTGGTCGCGAGCGCGTCTCTGGCATTGATCAATGGCGGTCTTGCGGGGTTTGTGTGGACTTGCTTTGGCACTACGTTCTGCTACACGGCGGTCATTGCGTCGATGGCTGATATGGCCTCGATGATGCCGACGACCGGTGGACAATACCGTATGATTCCTCCGCTGTGGGATCCGATTCATGAAATGTTTGAATTGACAATGTGGGTTTAGACTGGGTCTCGGAGTTTGCGCCAAAAAGCAAGCAGAAATTCATGAGTTACATGGCTGGTACGCACTGTGAGACTCTGGCCTTGGTCATGACTTTGTCTAAACACAATCTACAGGATGGACTGCGTCGTTGGGATGGCAAGCTGGTCTTGCCAGTACCGCGTTCCTTTCTGCGACCATGATACAGGGCCTGGTTGTCCTGAACTATCCCACATATGAGGCTCAGCGCTGGCACGCGACACTGATATTCATCGCGGTACTCTCTGTCTGCATATTCTTCAACACCATCGGGGCCAGACACCTGCCCCTGATTGAAGGCCTGATCCTGATGCTTCATATCATGGGCTTTTTCGCTGTCGTGATTCCGTTGTGGGTATTGGCGCCCAAGATCTCGGCAAAAGAAGTCTTCACTTCGTTTTCCAACACCGGAGGATGGAGCTCTGTTGGGAGTGCTTGTATGGTGGGACAGCTTGCATCGGTATACTCGTTTCTAGGACCCGATGCTGCTGTTCACATGGGTATGTGAACATACCCGAGCATTCCGACGAAGATACTGTACTAACAGCATACAAAGCTGAGGAAATCCGCGACGCATCCAAGATCGTCCCCCGCGCCATGATCACCACCGTCCTGGTCAACGGCCTGCTAGGCTTCGTCATGGTCATCACATTCTGCTTCTGCATCACCGACCTGCCCGCCGCCCTGGACTCCCGCACCGGCTTCCCCTTCATCGAAGTCTTTCACGCTGCCACAGACTCCAAAGCAGGCGCCACGGCCATGGTCTCCATCTTCATCGCCCTGCTCATGTGCTGCGCAATCGGCAACCTCGCAACCGCGTCCCGACAGTTCTTTGCGTTTGCCCGCGACGACGGCATGCCGGGCGCGCATATCTGGAGCAGAGTCACCACCGTCGGTGTTGCGATCCCGCTGCATGCGATACTGATCAGCATGACCATCTCCATCGCCATCGCGCTCATAAACATCGGATCGTAAGTCTCCCCAGCCCCGGTACACAAAGTCACCACCTATCTATCCCCTAACCCCCAGGCACTAACCAAACCCCACACAGCACCGCAGCCTTTAACTCCGTCGTCTCCCTCGTCACCGCCGCCGATTTCTCAACCTACTTCCTCTCCATCATCTGCATCCTCACCAAGCGGCTCCGCGGCGAGCCCCTCCTGCCGTCCCGCTGGAGCATGGGCAAATGGGCCATCCCGGTCAACATCTTCGCCTGCGCCTATCTCATCTTCGGCATGGTCATGTCCTTCTTCCCGACGTCCCGGATCGGGCTGAGCCCCGAGGGTATGAATTGGAGTGTGCTGGTGTACACGGTTGTGGTTGCGGGGGCGGCGGTGCTGTATTTGGTGCATGGGCGGTACACGTATCGGGGCCCGGTGGTGAATGTGAGGCGGGTGGAGTAGAGGGTGGTTGGGCGGTGTGTGGTTCATGCGGCTTTTTGGCGCATGAGTTGTGCTATGAGAAATGACGTTGATTGCTCATCTGGAATGGCATAGATAGAGGTATGGGGTTATAGATGCTTTGCCGCATAGAGATTATCTGAGCATACAGTTGAGAAGGTGGAAGTCGGGTGTGTATACATCCTCATCAAATGATAAGGCAACAATCCATGTCTGGCGTTGTCATCTTAAACGCCGGGCTGCCGCATAGCTTGGTCCATGGAGATTGTTGCCACCGAATGCTATCATTGGTTCGTTTGGGCTGCATTCCACATAATCCGTCGCCAGTATCTCTGCCACAAAGCAACGATCGAGCAGAAACAAACCAGACTACACCGAGACCAATACACAATGTACTCAATGTCTATCATATCAAGCCTTGTCGGGCTGAGAATCATCGCTCTGCAGCGCTGACATTTGACCGCCCTCTGGCGAATAGACCCTCACGATATAGGCTGGGATCACACAAGGCTGGCTGCCTCTTCTTGCTGACCCATCATTCTACCTGCCTGACGCCTCTTCTTCGTATCTGCATTGCTTACCCCGCACCATGGGTGTCAAATCAAACGTAAAAGCATGTACTTTGTCTTGCTCTTCAGACTCCAATGCTGACCTACTCTCGATCATACTCGATATTGTACTCTAAGCTAGTGTAGACTGTAGAATCCCCCTTCTCAAGTAGACCTCTCCTGAATTCGTACGTCATTGAGGATACTTCGAGTAAGTAACTTTAGTCTTTTGTACAGATGGACTTGTCAAAGTCTCACATGTTCCCTTATTCAAGATCCAGAGAGCTTCGATTCTAGTATGCTGATGGTGGACTCGGTGTAGGTGCAATTCTCGATCCCCGGGGTCGACCAAAAGAATGCAAGCACAGAATGAATCCATAGACCGGAGCGTCTTCACCGTGATCTCGCCTTTAATTCAAGACAAAGGAAAAGAGCTACACTTGAAGAAGAAAAGGGCACAGTTTGTCACAGACCATGATGCCGTCCTGAAGCAGGAAATCAAGCGATGGACCTTACCAGCCTTCCTCGAATCATTCGCTCGACTGTCGCAAGCTCATGTCTTCAGGTCCCCTAGGGAAGAACGTGTGTACTTTGGGGTGTCGCAGCAGACAGTCAGATCCCAAGAAAATGATCCAATGGTCGGACCTTCAGGAAGTGGGACCGCCGCGGATGCTGTGGCAGACCCAGAACCAGCTCCAAGTCCTGGCATACCAAATGAGCCTGTCGATGCAGAATCCGACCCAAAGACTGATGACACTGCAGTTGCTGGTAATCGCTTTGCCCCATTCTCTGTTCTCATTAGCTGACTGACCGACCCAGACTCGGATCCGGAGGACGCAAAGTCGTCGTTCCAGCCACAGGAAATCATTCTATCGATAAAATATTCCCAGCCGCCACTATCTGCTTCGCTGCCCCAGCGAATCCAACGGCCACTCCTCGACGACTTCCAAAAAGCCATCGAGCAAGCATGTTTCGATTTCGCGGAGCGGCAGGTGCCCAGAGTTCTTAGCGAGAAGCGATGGGAATCGGCGGACGCTGTGGAGGTCACCAAATGGCGCAGGATAATTCCACAATCTCTGTGTGCCATGTACAAGAATGACAGCGAGGTTACACTGACAGGCATGAGCAACATGTTTCACAAAGCGTCACAGCTCCGCAATGCCGCAGTCCATCGCGAGCGTCTGTCAGTATCCAAGCTCGACTACATGCTCGATGGCTCCGTTGTCCTGGCAGGGTATCTCAGGGACAAGGACTGTGAAGACCGGTTGCGAAACGACAAGGATCTGGTGCGGAAGTATACGTCCGAGGTGGAAACAGACCAGAAGAAGCGTCTGAAAATGTTCAAAAAGCAGGTCGACGAGAAGAAGAGGGAGTTTGAGATCTGTTTGCAGCAGATGGGGCAACAGGTTCTCGAGGACGATGCACGCTTTTCCCACGCAGCTTACAAGCGGCTGGAGCAAGAGCTTCAGACTAGTAAGTCAGCTCGCAGTGGTAGGCTGCAGGATCGTGTGGGAGTTCTTTGTCATAGTCGTCCGTCACTGCGAGGTTACTGGGAAAATATGGCCGAGATCAATGTAAACATTCTGTGGGACAGTGCTGTATGGATGGCTGCGATTGGACTCGTGCTCAGTTTGTTCCTTGCTCCAATTTTCGAGATTTGGCCATCGTAGGGGCTGCTTTTCTGCTCTCAAGTTTCGCTGTTCCTGTCGCAAGTTTCGCTTATAGACCGTTTCGCTTCGTCTGACAGCTGTTCTTGATCCCTTCGTGATAGCTCATACTGACTGTGCAGGTTGTGATCTGGTTGGTTTGTCATACATTGTTACATGAAATCTGAGCTGTGTGACCGACTGTATGCAATATTGATAAAATCTAGGATCCCATCGAAAACGACAATAATGAAGACGATGGAATGGAAAGTCGAGCAGGCTAAGTCTATCTGTGGCTATAACAACGACACTGGCTATAGTTCTTGAGACTTTGGTGTGAAGTGACAGGTCCGTGGATTGGAGAGATGATTGAGCCGTAGCTTGGAAAACACCGTGACCGTATCGACCGGGGCAACTGTTGGAAAAGTAGGCAATTCTTTGCAGTCCCACGCAGCAACTCATCGCCCTTGACATGGATACTTGGTATGGATATTTGGGTGATGGCGCGGATAAAGACTCACCGGGCCTTGAGCACGAAGTTGCAGTTGTATCTCGTTGTGAGCCTGCAACTACTACGGGGCAGTCAGAAAAAGGGGTTATGTACATGCAAAATCCGAATACTTCTCCAGGTCACTTCTCCATTGCGTACATGTCGTGTCAGCTACAGGTCGCAGGAATCTCGTAAACTGTATTGGACCAGCTTCAGCTATATTAGTGTAAGAATGTCGTGACTGGCGTACAATGGAGCCAATTCCTCCATTGTTCTTGGACCCAGTCCGGTAGATGGAAGGAAAACGCCAAAATAATCTTATACTCCATAATGACATTGGACTATACACCGCTCGCACCGGGAGCTTTCTCATCTTTTCGCAGGCTCAAGAGCAGCTCGCGGAATCTTTGCTTTTCTGTCCCACTGCCGCCCCCACGGGTCCCCTTTCCACTCAGATCAACAAGCTTCGCAATACGCTCCCAGCTAGTGCCACCCGCCGTAGTGTCTTCACGGCTCTTGATAAAGTCTTCAGCCTCGCGGCGGGTCTGTGCAGTCTGTTTCTCTTTCTTGTTGTTGTAGTTCTCGTAGAAGTCGTCAATCTGCTCGTGAGCGGCTTTGATGGCCTCGGCCTTGCGGTTTGCAGATACCTCGTCGCGGTGTTGAACTTGGAGGTCGCGCTTCTCACGCCATTCTCGGATTACTTCTGGCTCGGGCTCGTTTGATTGCGGAATATAAGACGACGCTGTGGTCTGCGGCGCGCCGGGGAGGAACGGCATCGAAGTTCCAGTGATGGTGCCGCCAGGAGCCATGTGCTATTATGTGTCAGCTGGTCCTGACGCCCGCAGATATTCTCAGCATACTTCATTAGATGTGTCTATCGCAGGAAAGTCGTTGTTGAATGACATCTCCTCGGCATTTCCCGGTGGTTGATATGAGCTACCTCCACCCAGAAGATCATCATCGCCGTCCTCGACCGTAGCTGCGAGGTTGTCGTTGGGAGAAGCAAACTGATTGGCGTCGTCGCCCAGCGCAGCACGTTCGCGGGAGAGAAAGTCATCACCGTCGGCTGAGTCGCCGACTAGATCAAAGCCAGCCTGTCCTCTTGCCTCTGTCTGACCTGAGACCTAGATTAGCCGTCATGCGCGAACAGCTGCGTACCACATCATACCTGCGTCGATCTCGTCCAAGGAGGGAAACCTGTCAGCCATGATTGCGATTGTGTGTTTGTCGGTGGGTTGGCGGTGCTGTGAGTGGGCTACAGGATCTTCAACTGGTATGCGAGTGGATTGACAGCCAGGCAAGGGTATTGAATGAGCTGTTGATGGAAGCAGAAGTTGTGATGTTTGAGTGGGTGGAGGCCAAACTTCACCTCCGAGCTGCCCTACTCGGCGTTTCTACGGTTCTGGCTTGCGCTAAGGAACTGCTCCAACGGAGCTCCCCAAGCTTCACGGTAATTAGACCTTGCCCGTACCGCAACATCTCATACGACAAACTTTTGCGCAGACAACCAACTCGGACAGCATCGTGTAGTACATCTGAAAGGGCTTGAAGCTTCGCAGTGGGACGAATTTCTGTATAGTCACTCCCGTAAACGTGTCTTGTGCTTGTGATGGCGTACACCGATGATGCCGTAAAGGCCAAGCTGTCTGCTCTCAATGAGACGCAGGATGGCATAATGGGTGTTGCGCAATGGGTCATGTTCCATAGGTACGACTTGTATCGAAGTCGTGACAAGCGCGCAGTCTAACAATGATGTGACAGGAGGCACGCAGACAGGACTGCTCAGCTCTGGCTACAACGACTGAAGGATTCAACGGCGACCAAGCGACTGAATCTGATATACCTCGCAAACGGTACGGTTATCCCCTGATGATGGCCAATCTCATACTGACGTGTTATCAGAAATTGCACAACAATCACGCGTTCGCAAGAAGATGGAGTTCATATCAGCCTTCTCTCCGGTGCGTAGTCCGACAATGAAACACAACAGACCTAACGAGAATTAGATTGTTGCCGAGGGCACCACAACGGCATATAGAAGTGCGACACAAGAGCTACAACAAAAGATACGGAGGGTGGTCGAGGTGTGGCGACAGAGGAATGTGTTTGACCTTCCCGTGCAGGAATCAATAGAGAAGGGCCTGGATGGTATGCCGAGTGCTTACGCTGGACATGCAGTTGGCTGACCGAGACTAGAGATTGACAAGACTCGACAGGGAGGCAAGAAAGGCGGTCTTGGAGGATCGCTGTTCAGCTCTGGACCCACGGCTCCTACCGAATTGCAGCCACTGATTGCTCCACAGAACGACCTCACCAAAGCCGAGATTGCCTATCGCTCCGTGATTGAGACTGCAAATGCAGAGTATGATAGAGTCACCAACCCTGACGCCAAAGCTCCCACTCCGCCCGTCCATGCCCACCAATTGAGCAACGTTTTGAAGACTCTTGCGAATGCAGAAGGGGCCGTCGCGCAGAGTATCAAATGTCGGCGTACACTCATTGAAGGCTTAGAGAAGCTTCTCGCGACCAACCGGACGGCATTGAGTACTGAAGAGACATACCACTACGAGCTGTCATCTAAGAAGACGACGATTGAAGCAAAGAAACGTGAGGTTGAGGACGGCATTATGCGTGGTCTGACGTCTGGACACGCGGGCAATGGCGCTGCGTACGAGGACGAGACCAACCGCCCGGACGTCGAACAATTGACACCACCGCCAGTAGAGTCGTTGACACCAACTGGTTCACCGCCCCCACAGGATCAGGCTGCAGCACCTGTCGAAGCCGATGCTAGCTATGACTATCCTCCCCAGACGCGCGCTGAACTAGATGGGATGGCTGATGCAGGGCAACCTGTTAGCCATGAATCTAATCCGGGCTTTGGGACCGTACCAAGTTCACTGAAGCGCCAGATGAGTGAGGAAGGCGGTGGCCTACCCTTTAAGAGACGCAGCTTGAAGAACGACGGACCAGAGTTTGCAGGGGAAGTCACCCTGGACGCAGATGTCGCTGATATGCTGGGCTGAGACTCGGCATACGGTCTTTATGGTGTACTCGGGCCACCATCTGTTCTTTTCTTCACATTAATAGCGGGGGGTTCTGTGTCTTCTTCGCGTTGATAGTGGTGGGGTTCTCTGTGCGAACAAATAATCATATAGTTGTGATTCACGGTCTTCAATCGAGCACCAGGAGCAGGTTTCCATGTATTTTAACATATAGGTATTCACTTTATATACTCTGCTTCATAGCGATATCTACCAGAACAGACAGCTAGGCACTGCAGTATCTACCGCATAGTAGTAAAGTCCCCTTTGGTGGTACACACGTATGAATCCCCTGAACGCCCGCCCCAGCCTTACACTATCCCCTGGCACTGCCAACAAGCCTCTCAAGAACTGAACTCGGGATGGTTCCCATCCTTTACCCTAACTACAGCACAAAACACAAGTTTCCGAGTTGAATTCGAGTTCACCCGAAGGCCATATGTACATGACCATGCCGGCGGGGAGGGGTTATACCACATGCCCAACGATCGAAGCGCTATCACCCAGCGGACATCGCAGACATTGTAGACATTGTAGACTGTAGACACAGTACAAATTGTAGATAGATTAGATATATTAGTTATATTAGATATGATAGATATGATAGATATGATAGATATGATAGATATGATAGATATGATAGATATGATAGATATGATAGATCTGATAGATATGATAGACATGATAGACGTGATAGACATGATAGACATGATAGATCTAGTAGAAAGCGTAGACACAGCAGACACAGCAGACACAGCAGATATATCAACCAATAAATCACCAACCCGCACCGCAAGCAGCCCTCTCCAAGTACCCTAAAGACAGATACACACTATCCAACAACCTCCATTCTTCTATATCCCGCGTCTTAAGCGAGTCCAGAGCAAGACATATAAACATACAATCATACAGTCAAACCCCCTGAATGACCCTCCCTCACGACTCCCTCGCTAGAAACGTCTCTCAAAGTCCAAAGCTACCATTGCATACATCCTCATATTTCACACTACTTCCCCTTACCTTTCCCTTCCCTCTATTCCCCTTCCCTCTATTCCCCTTCCCTCTATTCCCCTTCCCTCTATTCCCCTTCCCTCTATTCCCCTTCCCTCTATTCCCCTTCCCTCTATTCCCCTTCCCTCCATCCCCATCCCCTTCCCCTCCCTCCGTTCCTTCCCCTCCCTCTGTTCCCCTTCCCCAAACCGAAACCTAACCCAAGCTCCAATACCCCAGAAAGGACTCCCCCCAGCCCCTCCCCTTCCCCCAGCCCGGTCTACTCCACCAGTAATATACCCCAGGTAGTCCGCGAAACCGGGGGCTAGTAAGTGTGAAACCACCCATAGTATCAGTGCGGGGAGGGGGAAGTGTGGGGTTTATGACGATGGGCTGTTGGAGAATTGTACTTGATATCAGTGGATGAATGGATGAATGGATGGATGAATGATGTGATGTACCCGGGGTGGTGGCGAGGTCGGGTGATAGAAGGGGGCGAGGATTGAGGATTGGGGGGATGGGAGAGGGGAAGAGGGAAGAGGGTACGGGTAGGTACTGCGGACGCTGCCTTAGTGCAGATCTGCGATATCAAGGCCGAGGACAGGGACATTAGAGATCACTTTAATGACGCGGGACGGATTGTGGTTGATACATGAAACTAGAAGAATGCTCATTCGTGTGGTATATACATGTCCACTTGCATTGGCTGATATTCCCCCGCAAGCACTCCATCTTCGGCGAGAGCGCCTCGTTATCATGGGTATACTATATGAGTACGGTCAAGGCGGGGGGGGGGGGGGGGACCTACTCAGCGCTTCCTTCCGCGGTGAGAGGTGCTGTTGGATACATTCCTCGAAGACGTACGTGCCTTGCTGGATGCGGTTGGCGCGTCGAACGAGCGGGTTACGCGTTTGGCTCTTGGTGCCGCTGGGTTTTCGGTGGCTGTTTCGGGGGAGTCGGCCTTGCGCTTGCGGGAAGATGGTTGTGGTGCCGGGGATGGGGATTTTGCGTTGTGCCTCTTCTTGGTCTCTGCAGCCGTGAGGACGGGGCTTTTGGTGTCGATAGTCCTTGAGGCGCTCTTTGAGGTGTCTGAGGATGACGGGGTAGGTGGATGTTGAGTTTGTCTTGTCGGCTTTGTGGTTTGTGGGGTCTGATGCTTGGTGACGGGCTGTTCGTCGACAGAGCTGCCCGCGGGTGTCATCGTTTCATCCTTTCCCTCTTCGGTCGCACCGTGGTGTGACAGGAAGTTGGATATGCCCTCGGCCGCCGGATCGTCTTCATCGCGCTCGAATAGGTCGTCTGCTAGTGCTCTGGCAACATCGTCTGCATCCTCTTCTCCACCAAGCATTCGCATCGCATATTGGAGGAGCATATTCGGGTCTAACCCCTGGAGCCCGTTGCCTGCGCTTCCGAGCCGACTGACCAGAGCGGCTTTGAAGGCATCCTCGTCAATCATAGGTGCTCTGCTGGCTCCGTCTTCAGGCGGGATATCGAAAGTCTCGGCACCTTCATCCTGAGCTTTAGGCTTCTTTTTGAACTCCTCCAAGGAGCTATTCGCAAATCTTGTCCGCCAATCCTTCAGGAGAGCAACAGGCTGCTGAGCATCAACATTCATAGGCTTCGATGACCGATATGTCCGTTCCTTCTGCGTCCTCCAAGCAACCGTCGGTGTTGGGGACGACGGTGGCTCTGGTCCTTTGCTCGCCGATAGTTTCCGCTTCTTCCTTCCTCTTGCAACGGCACCAGGCCTTTCTCTCCTCTGGACGGTCGTTTCGTTTGTTGCACCGGCACCGCGCCCGGCGTCGTAGTCGTAGTATCCCGCAGAGCCATCTTCAATGTCTTCGTAGTAGTCGAAGCGATCCCAGTCATAATAGTCGTCGTCGTCTGCGAATGGAGGGGGAGACGCCACGGCGCGTTCGGCGAGGTCGTCCTAGAGGTAATTAGCAAGCCAAGGCGACATGACATGTGAGCAAGGTGTATATAGGCAAGCATACCGCTATGTGATATCCATCCTCTACGTAAGTGTAGTCTAGATCGAACTCGAAAAAGTCATCGTCAGAGTAGTCGCCGTAGTCCGACATTGTCGCGTGTATGCAATTGGTGGAGGGGGTGTCAAGTGTGCACCATATGTCGATAGGCGTTTGTCAAGTAAGGGGATCAAGACTCGGAATGTTTAGGATATCAGGACGGGATGCGCGGCATACGTCACGCGTCACCACTCGACAACAGTAGCGGAGAACGATGTTTTTCGTTGCGGAGTAATGGGACACTGAGCGAATAGAGGAGGCGAAATGTGTGGGATCATGAGTGAATCAGGGACGACTTTCATTGACGCGCATCACGTCCGTAGGTGCCTTGTGGATGGGGTGAAGTGTGTTTGGACGCCATGGTATGTCTGGGCGAAGTTGCGCCAACACACGCTGTTGGTCGGGCGTGCTGGTTGGTCGACCAGAAGACCTGGCGCTCCTCAAGTGCCCTGAGGATGATCAGCTTTGCCCTTGCTCCACCCGCATATCTTGTGGGAAGTAGTACAGAGTTGTAGGTTCAGATTTCGGCTTCCATCAAGATATGCCATCTGGACTTGGGCTATATTCGTAGTTATCGAGGCGTGCAACCGAGAGAGGTTAGTGCCGCCCGACTAGGTTAGCACCGATTGGCCGTGAATAGACATGTACAAGGTAACTTTACTCCGCTCTTCGCTCTGCTTACTTTTCTCGGAGTGCGACATGCATATTCACATTGGCTCTAGACTGAGGTTCAAAATAAATTCCTCCGCCAATGTGGGTGGACAAGGTATTGTGTATCACCTCAAAGCCGTCCAAACACCTGAGAAGCCAGCAAAACATCCTTCTACTTGTTGAGACGATTTATCCCGGGACACAGTCTTTCCAAGATCATCAACGTGTAGCCTGGCTTCGCTTAAATTAGGAAACAGTCTCGCCCTGGTTAGAATACTCTGTACTTTTGCAACGTGAAATTGGTGAAATAGTCTACATGCTGCAAGTCGGGCATGCTGTGGCGGCGCCGTTGAGCGGCGTGGCTATGAGTGTGACTGTAGATTGGGCTAGATGTTATTGGAATGGACGTTTCGTGACCGGCACGTATATATGTAAATGTCTCGCCGTCTACCGTGAGTCGGGATGATATGCTGGACCCGGATTTACAAGTCACGGGAACGAAGCGGGACGAGACTTGAAGGCCGACGGAGGGTGATGGAGGTGATGGAGAGTAAGATGAACGCTGGGGAAGCGGCTATACTTTGGGCTGTTTTGTCCAGACCCGCGGAGTGGGCAGAATGGCAGCAGCTTGTTTATCCTTGAATCCGGAGGCCCCGTCGAGGCGTGGGCACTGCTACAGTGCTACTGGCAGAGACAATCAGATGATGGCTAATTCTGCGCTATTACTGTTCCTGCGCGAACTTGAAGAGCAGAGAATCGAGTCGCGTTGTAGACGACTAGGAGTTAGATCGCCCGTCCACAAGGCAGGATGCGCAGCCGTCAGCACAGTATTGCTGCCCCTTGGAACGCCCTCAGCACGACAAGTGATGGATCTGTGTAGATCAACTGCTCGTATGGCCCCGAGCATGCCTGGATGACTTGGACATTCTCACATCATATAAAGACTCGAATAGGCTTTGATCATAATATAACTAGTTACATGATTACGCCACACAGGAGAAGAGACTCGCCTAATCCATTTCGTACAAGAGTCTAAGCCTATTCCGGGAGATAGATTAAAACTAGTAGGGATTCTAAGCGACATGAGGTAGAAGCAATGTGGAGAATGGAGACGAAGAAGTGTACCATAGATAGGTCAACCGTCACTGTTATGATTATCCTGACTGTATCGACAAGACACCACGAGACTAAGTGTGAATGATCCCTGGGGTGAGTGTCTTTCAGATGTCCATTATGCGTTTGCAGATGCGTGTTCTTGCAATATACGCTTCATGGTTACACGCAGGCCTGCAGGTCGGCCACGAAGATCCCTATCTGGTCCAAATGTGCAAAAGAATAAAGTATTCTGACTGTGCCTGCAGACCCAATAGTCTCCATCTGTGGCGCTGGCCGAGACTCCCTGCTCATCTCCACAAATAAGCTGCTAAATCGTCGACTAGGCGTACACTCGGGTTAGCCTATGAAAACAACGCAGTATTCCAACCATTTGTGGAAACGCGCCGTAGGGCTCGATGGAACGAGGCGCATCAACCAAATCCTAAATCCGACATCTTGCAGACCCAGATCCCATCGCACATTCCGGTGGCTTGCGGTTCTCGAGAGTAGTTCATGAGCAGTCATTCTAGCCATGGCCCCTATGATCGCGTCTTTAAAACCTGTTGTGTTCCCGAACAACTGGTCTTGCGATTGACCCTGTAGCCGCTTCAGTGCCCACTTTCAACATGGTAGCCATATCAGAACTCTTGATCGTGCTTGCTACAGCCTTGTCTGTCGAAGCCAGCTCCAAATGCTGCGCTGCAGGTTCGCCTACCACATGTCCTTCCACAATTCAAGCTCTGACTATACTAGATAAATGCTTCGCTTCTGCGAAGCTGCCGGCAAAGGCAACGCCAATTGTGTCCGCTTTCTGCCAAAAGTACATTCACAAGACTCCTGGAACGGTCACAGTATGCTACACTTCCCCCTGAACGTCCGGCCACACTGACGAAGCGCATAGGTCACGGTGTCGGCGACAAAGGGATCGACCGTGTCGCCCACTCCTGTTGTCGTGACACAGCCCGGAAACCCAATAACAATCCGGACCACCCCAATTGTGACTTCGGTCTTGACCGTCACCGAGACACAGCAGCAAGTCATCAGCTCCGGTGCCTGCGGTACCACTGTAACAAGTCCTTATCCAACATCAACCAACTATCGCGTTCGCGGCATCGATCCAGGCTCTCCTAACCAACGTCGCCACGTTCCCGTCATTCCCGATTTCCTTACGTCAAACTGCAATCCAAAGGATTTGCCCGCAAAGGTCAGCAAGGCCTGCTCCTGTTTCCTTACCTCTGCTACCACTACCGTGACTGCAACCCAAAACGTGGGCACCACGCTCCCGGCTTCCACTCAAGTCGTCACCGCGCCCGGCACAACCGTTCTGGAGACGGCCAGCGAACTCTCGTCCATCATCACTGTCACCCAGACTGCCGTACAGACTCAGACGACCTGTACTGGCGCCTCGACTACCGCGACCGAATACACCGGCGTCTTCTCTTGCGGCGTTCCATCCCCGACGGCAGGCCAGATTGGCACGCCCACTTGCGCAAACGACAACGTGCCGCCCGGCGAGACCAACAGCCCATTCCGCGTCGAAGGGGCCTCCGAGGGCAACATCTTTGATGGCTGCATAGTCAGTGGTCCACGCAACATCACCACTCCTTCTGGAGGCACCCACCTGTGCGATGGCACAAACAACAATGCCAACCCGGCCCCCGGTGCTACCTTTACCACCGATATCCAGTCTGCCGGCAACCAGGCCGGCTTTGACTTGGACGGCTCCTACAGCAACCAGTTCCAAGACTTCTTCATCACTCGTATCTCCGCCACCGCGCAGACCGGCAATCAGTTCTGGGGCGTCCTCCGCAACAGGGTCTTTACTGCTCGCGGCGGCTGCCAGGAGCAAGTCTCGCCCGCGGACGAGGCGCTCTGGGCTTATGACGCCTTTGCACCCAACAGAGTCTTCCTGTCCACCTCTCCCGGCTACCAGGTTGTCCGGCTGGGCGACCAGCAGTCCATCACCGTGACGGTGCTCGCCGGTAATCCGAACAGCGGCAACACGATCCCTGCTCAGGGCGCTACCTTTGGAACTGGTACTGTTGCCGGCTCCGACGGCAGTATCCAGCTTACTGTCCCCAGCCAGCCCGGCTGCTATCTGTACAAGGCGGAGTTGTCCAACGCCATTCGCAGCAACGCGTTCTATTTGTCTGTCTTGCCTGCCTCTTCTTAGACGGGCTCCCGTATACTTCCATACTGTCTTTAATATCTTGCTCGATATCACTTCGTGCGTTGAGAATACGATGCTTTACATTTTGACTTGTGCTCCCTCGTGTCGTGACCCGCCTTGACGAGATATCCGGCCCGTAGCTTTTGAGGTCATGACGATGCGACTTCATCCATATGTACTGCATGTCACACGAAGGGGCGTGATCACAACGACACAAGACGACGTGCTACGAACCGGCCTCCACAACACCGAGACTGCAAACTCACATACTCACAAACACCATCTACACTGCCCCTACAACATCCACACCCCAGCCCCCGCAACAACCGGAATCAAAGCCCAATGCATCCACACCTTCCCCCTCATAACCCCCATCCTCTCCTCCCTCCCCCTCAACGTCTCCCCTTCCACCTCCCCCTCTCCCTCCCCATACCACCCCTCCGGCCGCACCGTCCACCCATCCACCACCCCAACCACACACCCAGTCAACAACATCACCCCCAACGCCCTATCCAGCCCCCACACCCCACACAGTATCAGACCCAGGCCAGAGGCAATGTTGCGCGCCCCGACGGCGGGAATGTATGGGTTTTGCGCCGCGGTCTTGGCTGTCGAGGTCGTCGCTGGGAAGCCGAAACTGAGGCTCCATTGTGCTGGGTTGTGGATTGCGCGCAGGCCCATGGTGCAGCTGAGGAGGCCGAGGCAGGTGGTTAGGGTGCGAATTGTGGGTTTGGGTGCCGGGAGGAGGGAGTGGGATGGCATTTTGCAGGGAGGGGATTTTCTGGGGTTGTGGTTTTTTTTTGGGTGGTGGTGTGGTATCAGGGGGCTTTTAGAGAATGAATGGTAAGGCTGGGGAATAGGAAATAGGAGACGAGACGACTAGGCTGATTGTGGGAATATGCCTGCTCCGTATCAATAGTCAGGACCCACCTGCCATTCATGTTCGAAGGAGCTACTGCTGTGCGGTCCCCACTTCCGCACTAGGACTAGTAACCGGCCAGTTAAATAGCTTCTGTAGTCTCTTACTCTCACTCAATAACGTACAACTAATTCAATCACTAAGTTACACCTCCAACTTCATACTTTCACAACTCTTAGTTACACTTCCAGAGGCATTGGAAGGAAGCTAGCAACATTAATAGTCTTTCCCAACGCCATTTTAAAATCTATAAGTCTACCGCAATATAATTAATTCGTACAAGTCTATCTTAGTCGCTACTTATAAGGAAGGTATTAATACTTACTCGTAAGCATTCTGTAAGGTACTCGTGTTTAAATAGAAAAGATAAGCTTAATCTATGTCTTGAGAATGTTACTAAGATAGTATAATACTCATCTAATTAGTTGGATTACTCGTGTTAGATTACTTGAATCAGGTAGAATATTTGGCTATATATAGCTTAAGGCCTTATCAGACTGGATTTTAGTAACCTAAGGCCTGATTTATACCCCAAATTCAGCCTTGTATAGATATATCCCCACGTTATCGAATCTAATTCAAGCTATTCTCATCCCTTAGTATAAGTTGCAAGCTTAATCCGTACTTCTGAAGTGACTAATTATATATACTATTCTAGGCCTTGCGCTTAAGGGGTGTGCACTTGCTTCTTAGTCTCCACGGACCGCAGGTCAATATTCATTGCCTTTAAGTAAGTCGAGCGGAACAGGCAAACCTACAGTGAATACGGGTACCAAGATACATAGGCAAACTGTCAGGAGCGAGCTTTCGATATCATCCAACGAGGCTCGGTTCTGGTACGCGAGGGAAGCCTATAAGAGGTGGCTGAAGATCGGGTTCTTTCCTGGACTTGCGACTGAAGGAAGTGGATGATACCTACAACCCGACACAAATATGTCGTGAAGTGGCTGTTCATAGGGCCAAGACGCCTCATATCTTGATATCTATGTAAGTCAGGCAGACTGAGTGCTCCACTTCACTGACTTGTAAAAAAACTCATCATTGAGGGGATATCAGCTGGTGAAGCTTACATGTATCACTGGAGGTGACCTAAAGACAGCCATGTCTAAGAGACACATGTATAGTTAATATGTCAATCTGTATCGAGGCTTTCATACGGCATAGGAGTGTGCCGATTGGGCGCTTGAAGTCCAATATTCAATCTTACATAAGCAATTTGAGTCAACATACCGTCACTAGATATCAATGATGACTCTTAAGCCATGATCAGCTTTGCTAACAGTACAGTGCCTGTGTTTCCGAGTTAGCTTTGCATGTTTGGTAAAAGTACTGTCTCAGCGCATGCGCTGTGCTTGTATTATCGTTTAAAATCCCGAACACATGGTTACCGTGTGAGAGAGGGAGTACTTAAGAGAGGTTTATTTTAAGTTAGGGGTCTACCATCATAAGCGTCAGGGGGGTCTAGCGAGAGCTGATCCAAGTATTACTGCTGGGAATGTGCCTACGTGACCCGGACCTTACATGGTGTCAACGAAGATAAGCTCATGCATACCATGAGCGACCTCGACCTTTATCTTAAATAAGCAAAACCCCACGGTCTTTATGGATGGCTCCCGAACTTTTCCTCCGTTATGGAAATGTAAAACGCTAGGTCTAAATTAGGAGTAGAAATGGTCCTTAATTCTTCCCCCTCTCGAGACAAAGAGAAAACAATGAATCTTCAACCCGAACTATACCTCCTTCCTTTATATTATATCTCTAGGGGATATCCCTTCTTCTAAGATAAGTTAAAGTATATTACTTGATTACTTCTAATACTTCTATAAAACCTAGTATAAACGACTGCCTCGATGTAGTACACACGTTAAAAGGGGTTCGAACAAGCGAATATCTATCCATCTAGAAAATTAGTGTAGATAACTAGATAACTATCTAGATATAGTATACACGTTAAAAGGAGCTTGAATAAGCGAACGTCCGTCCTTCTACGAAACTAGTATAGATATCTAGACGACCACCTAGACATAGTATATACGTTTAAAAAGTAGCTTAAATAAGTAAGTATCTATCCTTCCATGAAGATAGTATGGATAACTAGATAACTATCTAGACGTAGTACACACGTTAGAAAGAGAAGCGAGCGTCCAACTCTTAGACACACTATCTACCAATAACTAGTTCAATCGATTCGATGCTTAAATAGTACATTCGTCCAAATCTTAGACATATCATCTACTAATAACTGGTCTAATTTGTTCGATGCTTATATAGTACATTTTTCTAACCCTTAGACACATTATCCACTAATAACTGGTCTAATTCATTCGATGCTTATATAGCAAAATCGTCTAACCTACCATCTACCAATAACTAGTCTAATATGTTTTATGTTTAGATAGTAGATTTTAAGAATCATGACATTATACCTAACAAGGTTCTATCGCTACATAGTATTACTCCCGGTGTCCGGTAAGAGTTGGAGGCGATGTCTATGAGCTAACATTTCCTTTACCACTAATTCCCTAGTTTCTTTTTACGCTCAACTTCCTGTACCATCTTTCTACCTTCTACTATGATAATGAATACTTCTTATGATCTTACAACCCCTTAAGTCTTTATGGCATATTATTTATATTCATCTAGATATAGTATAGCCTGCCTTCAAGTATAGCAGGTCTTATAGAAGGGCCAACGACATTAGGAGATCGGTCTATCGGAGTCAACCAAGACACTTTCTAGGGTTAGACCTGCTCGTATACATATACATATGAATATAAACTTGGAGGTATGGTATCATCACTGAGTTGGGATTAGACCGGATGAACCTACGCGTCAAAGGAAGAGGAGGATATATATTTGTATGATGAGTGTGTTACGGAGATCATACAGAGTCGACTGGTGTATCTTAAGAACATAGATACTTCCCAAGCAGTCACATCGCGCACTCTACGTAGAGCTTGTGGTTACTAACAACCTTATTTCAAGGGGCCACCTAAAAAAGCAAGCATGAGCCCATATTAAGAGTGAGAGAGCCAGGTTTTGTGTCCAACTGAGCAGACAGGTAAAAAATGGAAGAGTCCAAGTCTGAGGAGTATATTTGAAGACAGAGAGGACTCCTATTAAGCCAATGCTCTCCAAGACCGGAACTTGCCAGGTAAATTGAGGGCCATATAGTTTATAATACATGAGGCAAGTATGAAAGAGGGAGGGCCGGGCCTAAAGATCAAGTTTCTTTCCTATACTTAAAACCAAAAGAAAAAAGGGCTACCTAAAATCTGACGCAAAGACATGATGATGTGACTAGTTATGTTATAGACCCCAGATGCCCTAAATTCAACATCGATGGTAGTCAGACAAACTGGGCGGTTCCAGCTCACTAATTTGAAGGAAACTCATTATACAGGGGCTATTTATTACTAGGCAAACTTACAGGGACTACCGAAGGTGATCTAAAGATACCCATTTCTAAGAGACGCCTGAATCATCAATATATCAGTCTACATTGAGGTTTTTACACGGCAGGAGGGTGTGGAGATTGTGCACTTGAAGCCTAATACTCAATCTCACACAAGCATTACGAGTTGAGAAGCCGTGAGAGTCAACCCGGGGAAAAGAAGTGATTCTGACTCGTCTGCTAAGCATACAGTAGCACAAAGAAGCGACTCTTAGAATAAGTGGTCAGATTGAGGTGGTAGGATAAGCTCATATGGAATGACTCACTTGACTCGGCCACTGTCTCGACACAGTCTACGCGTCAAGAGAGACTACTTAACGATACTTCTAGACTTCAGCAATAGTGTGCAACTCTGGTTGAACACCACGCATCTCTCTCCCCGTTCACAAATTACGAACCGCTGATCAAGCTCATGACGATCTTGAAAGTCGATGACTCCTTCATACAGTGCACAAGTGGTTCAATGAAACCTTCGACAACTGAATGTTGGTCCTTCCGATAAATCTTCTACTTCACATGAACCCTTGTTCAGTGTGTGACTATCTTGTCGACGTACATCAGGCAGGAAACCTACCTTGACTACTCAAGACATTCGCGAACCTCAGCATAGATAATCATCTGGACGGCGATTTTAACGCGGTACACATACCTACAATAAATCTTTCTCAAGTACTCCCTCTCCCACATGGTGACCGTGTGTATATTCAACGATAATACAAGCACAGTGTACGCCCTGGGACAGCACTTCTACCATAACACGCAAAGCCAACACTCAGACACGTAGGTATAGTACTGCTACTAACAATAAAGCCGATCTTGGTTAAAGAGTCATCAGCGATATCCAGGGGCGGTATGTTGACTCTATCGAGTGACGCGCAGAATTCCAATTCATAAACTGATGCTGATGTTGATATTGAACACATGGATATCCAAATGCACCTTTCTTCGTTGCCCTGAACACAAACTAGACTGGAAACGCCCGTGGACGCTACAAAAATCTCTCTAGATCGTACCCACTCAAGCATTCTGCGCCATGGAGGCAGAATTCACTTCATTTCTCCGAAGACCACGAGGATAGCAAGGACTGCGAATACCCCTGAGTGAAAATGCGTGGCGCTCAGGATTGACAGTTCGTATAACCTATTAGCACAACTAGGCAGAAAAAAAGATCTCAGCTTATATGTTGCCCTCAACAGATCGTATGTGTTATTTATAACAATAAAACATGTACTTCCTAGAAGCCCTTACCCAATTTTCGCTCGGGTAAAGGATGTGACTTCGTTCTCTCACAGAGGAGCGAGAATGCCTGATGCTCGACTGTTACGTCTGGATGCTACGTTTCGAGATGTTCTTGTGACAAAATTTCCGAATTGACCCCGGGATTCGTCCCACACATAGCCTGAAGTACCAATTATCTGTGGCCCAGAACAGCCAATGAACTGACCATCCGTAAGGTCATGGATCAGCCACCGTCTCCTGTTCATAAGGTTCTTGAGTATATCACCCATCGACTACCCACAAGCACCGCTAGAGCCAAGGACTTCGGTATGCAGTTCCTATCAAGGGGCTTGGAAGCTCTCCTTGGCCAGGGGTTAAGTGGCGCACTGGGCGCGCGAAGCAATCACAACCACTTGTGGACTGGAAGACTGGTAACAATAAGTAAGTTTGCAATTTTAACTACTCTACATTTTCACATAGGTCTGGACTTCTTATAAGCTCCAGTAAGTACCTATCTCCCTTTCCTACAAGGGTCTGTCTTACTCTCAACCGTACAGTACTGAATTGAAAAGAGGAATGTACAGATCAGGAGGCCTTTCATTGTGCCACTACCCCCGAACCTTTAAACATATATGACTTCACTCCGCTTCATTCTGTCATATCGAAGTCGTTGGCCGACAGTGAGATCTACTGGGCCAAAGTCTGGATTCAGTTCAGATTGGTCGCGAGGGCAGGATCTCTAGTTTTGTAAATCAACGTATAGTAAATCTTGATGATGTGAGAATCTGGAGAAGGGCTCTGAGACCTGTGGACGTCAAACTGGAGCTACTGCAGGTACTTCGAGTTTCTTCATGGCCTCAAGACGTTCATGGTGCCCGGAACATTTGGGAGATCTCGACACATCAGTCGCGCTCCATTACGCGATTGCGCTCTACTTTATTACACTCCATTGCAACCAATCGCTTACAAATGTTCACGCCGGTATACGAGCAACCATTCACCAACTCCGACCTTGGGATGACCAGCCCCTATGACGTTGTATCCAGCAGACAGAGAATACTGCAATATGGGTCGAAAAGACGATTTCCAAGACTCATACTCCCCATTTCTTACCAAAGACTTGTAGCCATTGGGGAGTAGAAGGTGGGGTCCTTCGACCTCTGGAGAACCTGCACAACTGAATATCTAGTTAGCACGTGAAATGTAATGTGATCGTGGAAACTTAACTACTAATGTTCGTGAGAGTCGCAGGATAAATAGGTAAGATTCCGTAGATACAATCTAGATACATTACCTTACGCCAATGGGGGTATAAGTAGATGGCGACGTTTATGTATGCAATAGCTGCAAGTTACGAAGTCGGCTAATTTCACGTTGTGTGCGTCGAAGACGCTCAATCCTCTAAGGAACAGGGAAGAACAAGGCGTGATGAGGAAGCTTGGGAGTGATCTCATTCAATTTGCATTAAAGGCAGTCACGTAGACTTCCTGGATACTGGGGAGTGAGCAAGAGAGGCCTGTGCGCAAGCTGTATGAATAACTTCAGGTTCATTCCTGCTTCCGATTTTCATTCCTTGGTAACTTTCATCATGGCGGTGAGTACTCTCACATTCCGGCTCTTATTTGCTGACTCATTGAAATTCGTTGCGGTTTCTGGTGATTTGACGTGAACTGCTATGAACTGACGTGACTGTATGCAGGACGAACCAGAGAAGCGAAAGCGTAAGAAGCGCCCTCGTAAGAGGAAGAACAAAACCAATTGTCCAAATCCAGGACGAAAGAGGAGATCGCGAGCCCGCATGGCCGCAGAAGCTGCGGCTAATCCACCACCGCCACCAAAGTCTGCTGCGGCGGCAGTAGCCTTCGTGGCAAAGACGCCCCGACAAGAGATGCGAGAGCGGTACTTCGCAAAGCTAGCGGCGGAGGCGGCGGTGGTGGCTGCAGCTGAAGGAGAGGAAGAAGATGAAGAAGAGGACGAAGAGGAAGAAGACGAAGACGAAGACGACGAAGATGAAGAGCCCGTACCGAAGAGACGGCGTATCCGCCTCGCGCGGCGGTTCCCTCGTTGGGACCCAGATGACGATGATGAATGGGAGATTGAAGAACCCATCAGACATTGTAAGTCAATCCTCACATTTCTTCGAATCTGTCTTCGTCAGCCCTTCCAATATATAGTGTCTGTCATAAATCAATGTGGATTCAATATGCAGAGGGTGCACCTCGCATTGACCTCAATTACCGCTTTGTTCTTTCCGCCCACCCGAGGAGGCGTCATTTCATGTATCCATCACAGCTCAACGTGGTTTCTGGACGATGTGAGATCGACTTGCACTCGTTTCAGTTCAATCTTTGCTCTTTCTGTCCACCTGAGGAAGCATCATTCAATGTATCCATCACAGCTCAACGTGGTTTCTGGCTCATACGAGGTTAACTCGGATTGGTTTCAGTTGACCTTGTACACATTCTGTCAACCCGAAGAAGCATCATTCAATGTATCCATCACAGCTCAACATGGTTTCTGGACAATGTGAGGTCAACTCGCATTACTTTCAGTTGACCTTTTACACATTCTATTAGCCCGAAGAAGCATCGTTCAATGTATCCATCGCAGCTCACCTGGCTTCTGGCTGATACGAGGTTAACTCGGATTGGTTTCAGTTGACCTTTTACACATTCTGTTAACCCGAAGAAGCATCATTCAATGTATCCATCACAGCTCAACGTGGTTTCTGGACAATGTGAGGTCAACTCGCATTGATCTTACCTCACTCTTCGCTCTTTCTGTCGGTCACATACCAGTGTGACAGCGTAGCCCACTCTCTTTAGTCTCTTACTGTCCGTCTCGGGTATCTCTTGAAGGCTTACCCATCGTATCTTGACGTGGTTCTTCTCCGCTCTACATTCGATTCGCATTGTACCCTGCATGGCGCGAGGCTGTTTATATCTTACTTAGAAGACTTTGCTGACATCTGAGTAGCTTCTACTTACAAACCACTTGGGGAGTGGTGTCTTGTTTTCTGGCGAGAGTCAGGAATCAAGGCGGTAAACAGTAAGGGTGACCAAGAGCAGTTGAAGATCAAGCAGAAGGAGTCTCGCGAACTCGCTGCGAGACTCGCCGCTTTTGGTGGACATACCTGGACCGGAGGGGTCCACACTATCGAGTTTTCCCGATCATCTCATGACGGGTTTGACTTCGATAAGCAGAAGGGTACATTGCCAAACGTGACCAAAGAGACGCGTAAGTTCTTCGACACCTGCAAGCCCCGCTCCGTCACAGTACTCATTCGGTCCTTTGATGGTCTGGCGACGTGTGAACTGCCGTTCGAGTCACTGTTGAAGAGGTGGGGTGACAAGATACTGGACCTTGTGTTCCAGTCAGGTGTCGTGAACGAACCGCTTCTGTCGGTTCCCCACATGATTGGCGCCCTTGGGCTATACTGTATAGCTCCTTACTCGGCCGCGATCTTCAAGGCATATTTTGCTGATCGTACCGGGGTTAGGGTTGGCGCCGTCGTGCGTCTCCTGTTCGAGCAGCTGAAGGTTCTCGGCGACTCTAAACAGAGAGACCAGACGGGCACCCGGAACAGGAACAAGCTACCAGCCGCCAATGATCTATGGACCGGTTGAACGGTTGTAGTATGGCGGGGCCCTGCATCGTGTCGACGTGAGCTCCAATGATGGTCTTGTGTGTGTTTGTCTTTTAGGTTCTTCATAGGCAGCTACCTTACAGCACCGACTGGGTCTGGAGCATTTATGCGATGTCCAGTGCAATCAGGCGCGGAGGTCCTATTGCCGGCAGCTACCGTTATAGCAAGGTTACTGAAGTTGCAGCAGATGGCGGCCGTTGTTAACCTCAAGGTTGAGTGCTTTTTCTCAGCCTCGCCGCGAGGGACGGCCGTCCTCCAACATGGCGCCACCTTGCCGTGGGTGTTGGAGCTTATGCCACTGATCTTGAGTTGTCAACCGCTCCTAGATCTCAGGCTAACGAAGAGGGCCATGTCGATAGAAACCGCTTGCCAACTGGCGATTCTACCGGCTAAACGACTCTGTTGCAACGTAACCTGAATGACTGTTGTCAAATGACTACTGTCAAACCGCGATCGTCGAGAGTATTCAATTGCGAATTTTCATACCGATTGCCAATGTCGGGGTATAATATCGGGTATCCATCGACGAACGTCCATTCCAACCGTAACTCTTGGATCAATATCTCGAGTGTCCGTCTGCGATTATCCGTTCCGATTGCGGCTGTTGGATCAAAACGTCGAGTATCCGTCGACGAATAACCTAGTCCAATCATGGCTGCCATTTCAATATCTCAAGTGTCCAGCTGCGACTGTGCATTCCGATCGTGGCTGTCGAATCTATATTTCTGTTCTTCGTTTGCGAAGATCATTTCCAGATGCCGCTGTCGACGCATTATCTCGAGTCGTTGCTACACATCTTTTGACTCTGTACTACACTACTACCATTCGCGAGGACCACCATCTCAAAAGTATCAGAGTCTCCAATAATCCACCCTCGCGTCAAAGAGAGTCACTCCTCTTAGAAATGTTTCACTCAGAATTAACGAGTCTACCTTATGCGCGTCCTTGTAGCAAGCCAGATTTTCGACCTTCTCGTTTCCAGTGCGTCATCATTTTCGGCTTCAAGATATTCGCATTTTCAGTCCGTCGTATTCAGCATGTTCATCTTTCTTCCTTACATGGCCCATTTGTCTCCAGCAAGCCCTTGATCCAGTAAGTCAACGTCTTCAACCAGTTAAGTGTCCACAGCGCGTGTTTGTGTTGACAAGAATTGAAGTTTCTGCCCCTCTATCGTCCTCGTGTTGATGGCAACAGAAACATCTTTTTTTTTTCAAGAAGGCCATAGAAAACGCCACGGCAATAAGAGGTGCTTCATGCACAAGATGGAGATGGAGTCAGCGATAAAAGTGCTTCAGTTGAGGTAGAGGTTGAAGGCTGATGTCGAAGGTCGACGTCGGCCAAGACTGCGTAGCGCCTTCGCTAGATGGATGACTACAACCTACCTGCCTATTACTTCCACGGATGGTCAGTACACCACTAATAACACTAATTACCTATAAGCGGGACGACGTACGTTTATCTAGAAAACCACGTTTCACGTCCAACTGCTACTATCTGCAGTCTGTGACTGGCGCAAAACGAACTATGAAACGGCCTGGAACGACGACTGTAGAAAAAGATCCTGACAGCTCGACACTCATCAGAGCTGTATACAGCGGCGAATGTGCAAGCTGGCTCTGGTGCATCAAATTCTGGTATGTACTGATCATGCAGCAAGACGCAACCTTGACGATTGATAATAGCGGCGAAAACACCGGTGCTTCTCCCGAATCCCAATATCACGATGATTAATCAGGTATTCTTGAGGGCGGTTCTGCGCAATGCGGTACACGATCGTAGGAGAGCAAGATTTGATGGTAATGGTGATGGTCTTGTGGTTGAGGCCAATAATGTGGCTTGGACGTCTCGGAAATGTTGAAACACCTCACGGCATTACTTCGGAATGAAGTTGGCGGGTCAGCGTTGTCAATAACAACTTAAATTATAATGGAACTGATGAAGCGCCGTGGAGTCATGTGTTTATCCAGAGGTCTAATATACGAAAACATTGGTTCTATTTAATGATAGTGCCTATGCGGGGGCACATCGGCGATCTACGACTTCTGAACTGTAGCGATTAGGTATCCCCAGCGAGGTCACGTGCTTAATCACAGGATCTTTACAAATGTTTCTCCCCACTTTTTATCTGATCTACCATACGGCAATTGGCTATCCCAGTACCCTTGGTAATTCGTGGCATTTATATTGGTCCAATTGCAAGCCCAAATTTTACTGGCTGATTATTGCTTGCCTTGTAGAAACCCAGTCTGAGAAACATCCATAAGATAAGCTACTTGTTCTTCCAATTATCAGGTAACGTATAAACTGCATAAATGCTCGACTTGTCGCTCGTCCTTCAGGCAACACTAAACTCAGACCGAAATCGTAGACTGCTTGAACTTGATGACAGTCGGCACATCCTCTAGTGCAGTAGGACCCGTTGGGGTCCAACCAAGTCGTTCCTGTGTGCTCGCACTTGATATGGGATTATCTGCACTCACTCCGAACGCGATCCATCCAAAATGCTCCTGTAATTCATCTTGAGTCAAGCCTTTTAGAGGAACGTCAAGGTGCTTGCTGATCTCGGCCGCGATGTCTTTGATCGCGACTCCCTCCTCGGCCACAGCATGGAAAGTCGATCCAGGCTCCGCTCTCTCAATTGCCATACGGTACAGTTTCGCAACGTCATTGCGATGACAGGCACTCCACCTATTGTTGTATTCGCTTGCGTACGCCGAAATTCCCTTTTGAAGCGCTGCATCTACGAGATATCCCATGAGTCCTGACTGTCCTTCACCGTGGGCGGTAGGAGGGATCCGCACGGCACTGGCGCGTATGCCCTTGTTCGCGTATGCCAAACACACTGGTTCTGAAGCACCTCGGACTGAGAGCATTGAATTGGTCATGTCAGGACCATCTTCCTCCCGACCGACCTTGCCATGCTGTAGCATCATTGTGGCAGTAGTGCTAACAAGGGCCTTATCACCTCCTGCAGACACCAATGCATCTCCCATGGCAGTGATTGCAGCACGGTCCTTGGCGCAGCATCCTTCAATATCGGCGAAATCCAAGATGAATGCGAGGTGGATGACCGCGTCACACTTGGAGGCTGCGTCTGCTAAGAGATCGAGGTCCTCGATAGTACCACGGAGGCTCTCTGCACCTTGTGATTCCACTTGATTAGCTCCATCGTCACTCCGTACGAGACCGAGAACTGTGTGTCCTGCTGAGAGAAGTTCGTCAACGACAGCTGAGCCGATGAAGCCAGTGGCACCTGTGACGAACACGCGCATGTTGATTTCAAAGAAGGGGATCAGATGTAGAGGTATCTCAAGTAAAGCTGACAGTTTGCAGGAAATAGCTGAGGATTTGCTTGCGAGACTGATTTGCAAAATGGCTGGCCGACTACGTCTTATATACTTAAATCGGACCAAGTGTTAGAGTGTAATCGGAAGCTTTTGACTCCGTATGGTAGCTGTGCCGCTGATGAGGCTGAAATAGCTCGATGAAATCATCGAATACAACAGACTCAGCATACTCGTCCACTCACGCGAGGTCGTATCCAGCATACATACTAGTTTCGGGCTTGACAAAGAAGACCATCCTATCAGGCAAGTCAGTAGCCGGATCTCACATCAGCTACCCAGTAGTGCTGCATGATTTGGAGCCATTATTGAAGCCATCATTAAAGCCATTTATGTCAGGGAACAACCCATGATGCATCTTCACTCCACACTATAATTAGCCAATCACAAGCGATTGTACCCGGATGGAGGACTAGTGGAGAGACTAGTTGGGTCGGCACGACCGGGGTTTGGCCTTCTTTCAACGTTACAATCACTCGGGTGCTTGACGATAATCAGGTAAACTCTGCAACTCTTCTCTCACGGGATGACTGTGCAGTGGAAGTGTCTGAAGAAACACTCGCGATGGGTCCCCGGAGATCAAGATACGGCTGCCGGAATTGTAAGCTGAGGAAGACTAAGGTATGACGCCATATGCAACACGTCGACACATTCGTACCTGCCTAGATGATGCTCATCATTCTTCCTATGCTGTATAGTGCGATGAAAAGACACCACAATGTGGCAACTGCCGCAAATTTGGGGTAGTCTGCAATTTCGACTTCAAGGTTCCAGATCTCTTGCCGTTAGTTCAGAATCGAACGAAACAGAGAGAAGGCCATTCCAAGACGTTGTTACTAGAGCTCCCACTCAGTAGTGGTATGTGGGTCTCGTGTGGATCAGACACCTTCTCATTGGATCTGCATGATCAAGAACTCTTCCATCGATTTAGATACCGAACTCTTTCCTCGCTTTGGGGCCTTTCTGCGGGACATGTTTGCGCAGATCGAACATTTGGCGACTGCTTGAACGTAAGTCTAGTTTCTTACTCACAGTATTATTCGCCTTACAGGTAGTGTACTTCATTGCTTACTTGATGTTCTAGTATGGGTTCCTTATGCATGCCGTCCTGGCCGTGTCAGCCCTGCACGACCGCTATCTAGGCGTCCAAACAGTGCACTACCAACCCGTCCGTCAGGCCTATCACCTGTCACGAAGCATCGCTCTTTTCAGAGATTCACTCACCAACACCATTGGAGAGGCCCAGAAAGACGCTGTGTGGGCCACTGCTGTTTTCCTGGCCATTCTTACCATGTCCTCCACAGTTGTCTCGTCTCCTTCGGAGTGTTGGCCACTAACATCATCCGACTCCTCCACCGTCGAGTGGCTCCGGCTGAAGGCTAGCGACAAAGCATTGTGGACCATTGCGGATCCTCTACGGGCAGACAGTGCGTTCTCTACTATGTCAGATACTCTGTCGCAGATGAAGCAAGAACTTCCTGCCAAAGGCATCAGCGGTATGCCCGCTCGACTTGCACAAGCCTGCCATCTCAACGAGAAATCCACTGAAGAAACAAATCCCTACTTTCTGTTTGCACATGGTCTCTCTAGGCTCATTGGAGAGCCTCAAGGTGAAGCCTCCTTAGGTGTCGCTTTCATACCAATAAACAGCATGTCTCCTACTTTTCGCACATTGCTTGAAGATAAAGATCCTGTGGCACTGTTACTCCTTTGCTTGTGGTATACGAGGGCCCGACATTGTAAGTGGTGGATTGAGTTTCGAGCTCGACATGCGGTTCCGTCGATCTGTGCCTACCTTCAGCACAATCATGCGGACCTCGACGCTGTGGAGATGCTTGTGCTTGTCAGTTAGTATCTCGCATGCGCCGCTGCTCCCGTGTGTGGAGTTGTGCTGCTCATCGTTGTTTGGTCGCCGTGAGCGCTATCGCACACGCAGAGCAGATGCGGGGTTCTTTTTGTTGTGGGTGAGGTTGTTTACACGCTCGCGACTCTATCTTACGGCCCTGTGATTGTCTGTTTGCCTGGATGTGGTCAGAGCTATCTCGATATCATGCAGATGCCAGTGGGAGAAAAAAAAACGACTGTTCATATACTATGCGCATTCATTTCATTTATGTCTAGAGACACTCCTGCCATAGAAGCGTGCGTGCTATTCTTACAGAGCGCAGCCGTTTCATCAGCGAAGCGGGAAGAGACAAGTTGTTCAGAAATATGGGCGTGAAGCGCTTGTAGAAGTAATTCTAATAGTGAAATGGTTATGCGTGACAGAAAGTTATCCCAGTCTCCACGTCGGGCGAGATAATGTGAATCAGCGTGTCAGGTTGTAGTGAGCCCATTGTGGGAAACTTTTCTGCCATCGCCAAGCCAGATGGCTTGGCGATAGAGCGGCAGAGAGTTCAGCTTCGACGTCAAGACAAAGACGCATTGAATCTATGGACTTACTGAAGATTGAGGATCAATGTGCTATGAGATTCAGAAGAATATATTGTAGACAAGGGTGTTGAAAACGAAGACACGGTGCTGCGCAGAACACGAGACGCGCTACAGACGAGAAGGATGAAAACGTGGACTCGATGCGATATTCATTGGACTTTTGATCGCTGGGCATACTCGAGGTGTATCGCGCAGCTGAGAGTTAAGTCAATAGGTTAAGTACGTTTGATTGCCATAAAGATACCGCTTGGAATCTTGGGGCTTGTAGTACAGATATACAGAATATACAGGTCGTGATACTAAAGGAGAATTATGAGTTGTTTCGCTTGAAGTTCAACATCGGAGCCAACTCCGTAGCCGGACTCAGATATACGCAGTCACACACGTGACTTTGTGGACTCGCTTAACCCTTTCTGGGGAGAGATCTGCATCGCTTTTGCCTACTAGTCATCTGCCATTCATAGTGTTTTCAAATCTTGAATCAGGAAATTGAGCAGCCCGCGTAGCCCAATGGTAGGGCGCAAGACTTCTAATCTTGAGGCTGCGGGTTCGAGTCCCGCCGTGGGTGTTTTGTTTTTTTATTTTTCGATTTCCATTTTTTTGATTAAGCGAGCGATTCGGTGACGTCTGATTGGTCGATTAGCCGAGTTATTGCTTTTCGACGTTGTGTGATACGGCTCTGAACACGATTCCAATGCTCAGCGACGCTTTTATGCAGCTTAACGATAGATGTGTAATAGTAATAAGATTTCATATTCTACGTCCATAGCGCTACATCTGAGTCGGTTTACATTTTACCCTACCGCTCATCTAGAACGACAGCGTCACAGCTGTGGCTCTACGCCAAGAATGATTTGAGAAGAAAAGATCTCCTGGGGTTACTATTCTCACACTTTGCCATGTACTCGTCAAAGTAATAGTAGTACGTCAGAGTCCTTCACGATTCAGAGCCTGTCCCCGTGAGAACAACGCAGCGATGCTGGCGACAGTCGCAAAAACCACAGATGCTATGAGCGAACACTGAATGCCTTGGTGATATACTTGGCGTGCAGCTACTTGAACGTCGACTGGCAGAGAATGGAGGTAGGAGACGGAATGTCGAATGTTATCGATTATCTGGTAGGTGATCAGTATGACTTCGTTACTATTTACAGATATCGAAGCGGGAAAATGTGCAAGTTAGGGGTCAATGTTCTGAGAGATCGTACTGTCCTTTTATCATCTACTTCACTCAGAGCCGCTGGCAAGCGGCTCGTGAGCGTATTCTGTGTGATCAGCTGTGTGATGGCCACGCCATAGACCCAGCCGAGGGAGCGGACAAGGTAGACTGTTGAAGATGACACTGCGTGGTCTATACTAGTCAGCTGTAGATGTCACATTACGAAACGTTCATTACTTACCTGTGTGATCGAATGCAGCCATATATGTAAATAAGATGCCTGGATATACGATCCCCTGACCAAGGTTCGCAGGAAACAAGAACACAATATACTTCCAACCAGCTTCGCGAAACCTGAACGATGCAACCAAGCTATTTCCAATTGCCATCAGTCCTGTGCCAATTCGAACAAGTAGCGCCAATTTGCCCCAACGTGACATCACGATGCCTGAGATCAAGCCTCCTAGAGGACTAGCAACCGACGGAACAATGAGTCGAGCACCAGCCTTCGAGGCAGACTCGCCTAGCACAGCTTGGAAATACAAAGGGACCTGAAACAGAAACGCATACGCCGCCATTCCAACGAACAAATTCGAAATCTGCGTCGCAACAGGCGATATACCGCGAAACATACGTAGTGGCATGATAGGCATAGCTTTCGTGCTGGCTTCAACTCGAATGAATAGCGCCATAATGACAAGACTGCCGAGCAGTGAGGCAATGACCCATGGACTGAGCCACGGGAGATCATTCCCACCCAGTCCCAAGCCGACGAGCTGCAGCGAAAGTCCAGCGATCAAGAGCAGCGCACCACTAAAGTCAACCTTCTCCCACAACTGCTGCCAAGAGTCCGAGACTGGTGCACCAGGTCCTTCTTCCGGGTTTGGAAGCACAAAGAAGCCAAGCACGCATGCCGCCACAGAGATCGGAACCTGGAGAAGAAAACACCATCGCCAACCGACCTGATCAGCAACGAGGCCCCCCAGGGACGCACCACAAATGGACCCAACACCGTGTGTGACATTCTGAGCCGCCTGATACATGCCACGCTCCCGGAACGGGATCATGTCGCTGTTGACAATAGTAGCCATAGTCATGAGGCCTGCGCCACCGACTCCCTGGACGAGTCGAGCGGCTATAAACAACTGCACACTTGGCGCAAACGAACACGCCAGACTTCCGAGTCCAAACGTCGTCGCGGCAGCGAAGAAGCCTGCGCGTCGGCCAAAAATGTCGGAGAAACGACCGTACAACGGTTGGAATGTCGTGAATGTAATGAGATAGGAGGTGGTGAGCCATGATGCTATGTTCACGGCGTTGTATTCAGATCCAATTTTCGCCCATGTTGAGGCTGTGACAGTGCTGTCAAAGCCAGCGAGAAAGACGTTGCTGAAGATGGCGACTTGAATGAGTAGAAAGCCGCGGGGCGATGTCCACCTTTTCTTGATGAGAGACGTTGACTCATCCCCTTGCTCTTCGTCTACGCTACCTTGTGAAAGGTCCGATGGACGTTCGTTGAATACTGGCATGCTTACTTGGTTCATAGTTAGACGCGATCCCATAGATCAAATACCATGGCCAGCAGTACTCATATTAGAATGCCGAGGTAGGAGGGTTTCTCAAGGGTCCAGTGTATTTTAGTTTTCTGAACGTTCTAAACAAAGACTTACTAAGTAATCATGTAGTTAATAGTTTAGCCGAAGTAATATCCGGTACCCTTCTATCCGCCTCTTATTCTCCTCACTCTCTCCCTCTCTCTACCTCTCTTCCTCTTCCCCCCTCTCTCTATTATACGTGTTTTTTACTAATTTTGACCTAGTAGGCTTCAAAAAAACACTCATTACACGTGTTTTTGACTGATTTTGACCTTGTACGCCTCAAAACACCACTGATTACACGTGCTTTTGATTGATTTTGACTGATTTTAACTGATTTTGACCTTGTAGGCTTCAAAACAACACTGATTACACGTGTTTTTGACTGATTTTGACCTTTTAAGCTTCAAAACAACACTGATTACACGTGTTTTTGACTATTTTTGACCTCATGGGCTACAGATATACACGTGCTTTAAGTTTATTCTATATTACTTAGTAAGATAGCTTAGATATATGGTATGATAGCCGACTCGTATTATACATATAATACAGCTGGACGCTTGAGAAACCCTCCCGAGGTAGAGCTATCTTGGTACTTTAGGAGGTCTTAGAATTACGCTAATTATTTTCTAGACTTTGTAGTTTAGCTCTTATAATACTCTGTTTTATTTCATAGACTTCGTAAGAAAAAATTAACAACTTCGTATAATATACTTAGAAGAATTAGAAAATAGAGATACTCATTTATCTACTTAATAAATAGTATCACTCACTTTATTATATAACTATAATTATAGTACCTTTTTATTAGGTAGAGGATAGTAATCCACTTATATCCATCTCTAATAATCCTTTAGAGGTAGGATTGTAGAAGAGAAAACAAGTCTTCAGATTTGGTAAAAGTAAGCTATATTTTCATTTCTAACTCTAATCTGACCCCAGTGTGCTACCTGATTGAGCTTCCGCATTTCTATCGCCCCGATCCAGCATCTCTTCATCCGTACCACCGCTCCTGGTATCCTGATCCTCATTCATTTCGTCATCCTTTTCGTCTCTCTCGGCCTGCTTGACTTCTTCCTCGACCGCCGACAGCCTCTCGGCAAACTCTCGTTGCAGCTTTGCCAGCCAAGCCGAAAGCACAGGACCATCCATGCCGCTGGCCTGGGCCTGCAGCAGGTGTTCCTTGAGGTTCAAGATGAGTTTTCTTCGTCGCTCTTTGACGACCGCTACAGACGTCTTTTTGCGTCCTTGTGCGAGCTGCTCCAGCCTTTCTGACACGAATGTTGCACGCTCAATGAGAGTGGGTGGTAGCGCCATTACTCGTTCGAGAGCGAGACCGTAGTGCTGGACCTGAACAGCGCCTTCCGAGAGCTTGTATAGCATATTCATCTCCTCGTTGGCCTTGATCTCGACAGCGAGATGGAGGTTGACGACACCGTTACGCTCGGCCATGATCGTGGCGAGATCGCGAAAGTGCGTGGCGAACCAGACAAGTGCGCGGCTGTCGACAAGAGCTTCGGCAATGGCAATGGCAATGGCGAGCCCATCGCGGGAGCTGGTGCCTCGACCAAGCTCATCAATGATGGCCATCGACCGTTTGTCAATGTTATGGAGAATGTATGCTGTTTCACGCATCTCGACAGCAAACGTAGACATGTTTGCTTCGATGGAGTCGTCCAAGGTTACGCGAGCAAAAAGCTGATGAATGATGGGAAAGGAGGCGTAAGAGGCCGGTACGAACGAGCCTATCTGAGCCATCACTGTCATCAAGGCAACAGAGCGGATATAGGTGCTCTTGCCACTCATATTGCAACCGGTAATGATCTGAAAGCGAGTCTGCTGCGTGGCATAGACGTCGTTGGGAACGAATTTGGCGTCTTGAATCTTCTCAAGGATGGGATGGCGACCAGACTTGATTGCCAAGGTATCAGTGAGCTGGGGACGAACATATTGCTGGGTTATGGCAATGTGCGCCAAGGACGACACCATGTCGAGCATGCTGATGCCCTCACAGATCTTGAACAGAATCGACATATGGCCCCGAAGCTCCTCGATGAGGTCCTGTATGGCCTTGTCACTCATCAACAAGACCTCTTGGTGAGATTCAGCGATTTTTTGGTTACGTTTGACCAGATCCAATGTCTGGCACTCAATCATTTGCTTTCTTCGATAGACATTGATAAACACAGGCGGCAGTACACGGTCCTCGAGCTCAGATGTAGGGATTTTGATATGGAACTGGCGCAAGTTTTCAAACTTTAGCTCGAGTTGAATCTGATACTCCTCAGCCAGCTGCGCGGCGTGGTCATAAGCGTCATCGTTGGCTTCCTTGTATGTTTGACGGGCGACATCCAGCAGTCCGTTGATCCCCGACCTGACTGCATATGTCCTTTGATTGCGAAGTTCAAGGGGCTGTTTGGAGTAAGTGGTATCCTCATTGATCACGGTATCTATGAGTTGGATAAGTGGATCTAGATTCAGCGGGGCGCACAATTCGCAAATGTGGAGAAGCATGGAACTTCGTGCACTGGCCAGAGCCTCGTAAACTGGATTGACAGCATTGACGAATTGTTTCAGCATGATGATATTATTGATTGACTGTTCCATATGGTGGAGAGACGGCCGGGTTGGGATTACAATCAGCTATACCGCATTAGCATCATCACAATGTCACGAAATAATCTTACGGCCGTGAGAATCTTGTCAACGTCAAGAAAGCTTTGCAAGGCGGCCCTGATGCCAAAGAACATGTCTTCTTTGGTAGTGAGTTCCTCAAGCGCGTCGTAACGTATAGTCAAGGTCTCTCGGTCTGTTAGAGGCTGTAGAATGTTACTTCGCAGGAGTCGTTGACCCATTGGCGTCAATGTTTCATTCAAGAGGCCGAACAGGCAATGCTTGGACTTTGCCTTGTCAATATTCTGAATCAGCTCAAGTGAAGTCACGGTGGCCATGTCAATCATCATCGAGCCTTCTGAGGGCTCATACTTGAGGCGAAGAGAATGAAAAGCAAAAGTCTTGGACAATCCGAGTTCGAGAAATTTCAGCACCTAGAAGCGGTGATTAGCAGTAGACAGGCACAAAGTCATGGGTGCTCCATACGGCTGCAATGCAGCAAACGGCAAAGTAATTTCCACCGATGGCGACCTTGATGGACTGTATGTCGTCGACAAAGGCAAGCTGCTGGATATAGTCAAAGCCCGCTGTTTCGGCCCAGTAGCGTCGGTCGAGCAGGGTAATTTTGCTCTCAAGCACAACCAGGTTTTCTTCAATTATGGCGAACAATTTTGACTTTGGGTTAGCAGCGGTGGAGACGATGAGAATTTCGGACGGTCTGTAGACACGAAGCTTGTGAATGGTTCGAACATATGTCTGGCTGTCGCAGATCTGACACAAAACAGCTTCGGCAGTGTCCAGGTTGACAAAGGCGAGACCGACAGTAGGAGAGACACCTCTGGATTCACTAATGGCACACACTACCTGCTGTGCTTCGATACGAGCGAGCGTCGAGGCTCCAGTGCGTGGACGGCCGGTACTGGGACGTCTAGCACCGCTCCTTTCGAGACGCGGCTGCGACGTACTAGTAGTCGTAGATTCATCATACGAGTAGGACGGGTATGACGAAGAGGTTGATGCGCGAGACTGTGACGTGCACGGGAGTCGCTGGTTATTCATGATGGTGGGCAGCTAATGTTTCTTCAAGGCTTTAGGCGATAAAGGGCGGTAAGTGTGTTGTGGAAATGGATGTGCGTTTGATTACATAATATCGCTTACACGAGTCAGCTGCCAGGTACAGGGCTATATGGGGCCCGAGCTCTGCGAGTACGAAATCTTGGCGCATACACAAGGCTGGATTTTTATTCTCGTCCGTGTCTCCACAGTCTGGAGGTGGCCATCTATCGCGGCCGACCAACATCCTCCAGCACGAGATAAGCCTCTACAAAGTCCGCCAAACTTACCGTCACCCGACATGGCCACCGTACCACCTCCTCCAAGCAAGCGTCAGAAAACTGCGGCCGCAGCGCGAGCCAAGGAACAACAAGACATCACAGAACACGTCCCTGAAGGATCGGTGCGAATACGGTTTGTCGATCAAGCAACAGGCCAAACAGGTTCTCTTCCAGTCATCTCCGTCCCTCTTGCGCGCGCCTCTACAAAGAATCTCGAGACCCTACTGAACGGGCTACAAGAGCACGGCGATGAGCAAATACCCTACCGGTTCTTTTATTCTACGGCCAACGGCGGGGTCGCATTAGGGGATAGGGATGATGTATATCGGACTTTGATAGCGTCTGGCAAGGCCACGACAGAAACAGAGATTTCTTTACAGTACACGCCACAAGCTGTATTCAGAGTCAGAGCAGTATCACGTTGTTCCGCTGCGGTGTCTGGACATGGGGAGGCAATATTAGCCATTCAATTCTCCCCAACGTCGTCCTCCCGCGTCGCCAGTGGAGCGGGAGACGGTTCTGCAAGAATATGGGATTGCGATACTGGTACAATCGTATACACCTTAAAGGGTCACAAGGGATGGGTGCTTGCTGTGAGTTGGTCCCCAGACGGCAGTATCCTAGCTACAGGAGGCTCCGACAGCATGGTCAGACTTTGGGACCCTGCAACGGGGAAAGAGCTCGGAGGACCGATGAAAGCGCACAAGAAGCCAATCACGAATCTCTCCTGGGAGCCATATCACAAGCAAGAGTCGGGACGACCTCGGTTTGCTTCATCGTCACAGGATTCTACTGTCGTGATTTGGGACGCTGTGAGAAGAAAGATTGACTTCTCCCTGACGGGTCACAAGGATTCCGTAAAGTGCGTCAAATGGGGAGGTACTGGATCAATATATACTGCCTCACACGACAAGACAGTAAAAGTTTGGGATGCGACAAATGGCCAACTTCAGTTCACCTTGAACTCACATGCACATTGGGTCAACCACCTTGCGCTTTCGACCGACTTTGCTATCCGCACTGCATATCACGACCACACGAGGAAAACTCCAGCGACCGAGGAGGAGAAAGTAGCCAAAGCAAAGGAACGCTTTGAAAAGGCCGCAAGGGTTGGTGGGCAAATCACCGAGCGACTAGTCACGGCAAGCGACGATTGCACAGTCTTTCTTTGGAGTCCTTCAGTATCACAAAAACCTGTTGCGCGACTTACGGGGCATCAGAAGCAAGTCAACCATGTCACGTTCTCTCCAGATGGCGCCTACATAGCGTCCGCTGGATTCGATAATCATGTCAAGTTATGGTCCGGCCGGGATGGCAGTTTCATTTCATCTCTCCGGGGTCACGTTGCTTCGGTCTATCAATGCTGTTTCTCTGCAGACAGTCGTCTCCTCGTCAGCTCAAGCAAAGACACGACACTGAAAGCTTGGGATGTACGGACGGGCAAGATCAAGGAGGATCTCCCAGGCCACAAGGACGAAGTCTATGCCGTCGACTGGAGCCCAGACGGTGAAAAGGTTGCGAGTGGAGGTGCTGATAAGCAAGTCAGGATATGGCGGCATTGATCCTTATTTTGAACCTTTATATCCCTGGACGATACAGAGCTTGCTCATAATTTAGTACGGATAGCAGTGCGATTGCAAGACGGCCTCATTTGATATCCTTGCTACCCACCACCGTACCAAAGCAATCGTCCAGTTCAAGAAGAACCGTCTACACAACGAGTTAGAGACCTATACCAATACAGTCACGGGGGCAAGCTCACCTTTGTCAATTCCGCCCCGCCCACACCAGGAATGTCCCTATCTCCAATGGCATCACGGGCAAGCACAACTTCGTATCCTGCCTGATATGCCTCGCGCGCTGTTGTGCTCACACAAACATGCGCCATATACCCCGCAAGCACAACCTTATTTACACCCCATCCCTTCAGCGTCTCGTCCAAGTTGGTCTTCGTGAACGATCCGGGGAAGTTCTTTTGAATCAGCACCTCATTCTCAGCACCGCTCTTGATGGCGAGCTCTTCGAATTCGCTTGCAAGCGGCGTATCGGGTGTGAAAACGGGTGCGCCGGCGGGAACTTGGTGCACAACGTGAACGATGCGGCCTCCGGCTGCGCGATAGGCTGACAGCAGTGATCCTATGGCGGCACGCGAAGACTTGACATCGGCCACAGCGAGCTTTCCCTCTGCATATTCATTCTGAGCGTCGATGATGACGAGTGCGGAGTCGTTGGTCGTGGCTGTTAGCGGGGCCTGGCCGAGGGTTTGGCGGAATGAGAGAGGAGCCATGATGTATCACGAAATAATGGTCTTTGATCCTATGATATAGAGAGGGCTGAGCTGCGAAATATGGACAATGGTAACTACAATGTTCTAGTTTATATATATGATGAGCTCATTACCCCTCTTCGCGCCGGTCCGCTGGTCCGCTGGTTTGCTCCACAAAGTCGTCATGTTTCCGCAGTTGCGCGAATGTGAGAGCTTGTTGATGAAACTGAGAAAATAGACTTCAAGCTTCTGAGACTGTAAAGCACGGTACATAAAGAATTCGATGTAACGGATGGATGCGGACCGACCCCTCGGGCCTTTTTACGACTACTACAGGCGTTTTTCGTCCGTTGAATGCATGAGGCTTCAACGACGTCAACGCCACGATTTTAGGCGCAATGTCAGGACGATCCCGTAGAATCCTACGTCTCACTGCGGAAGCTCGCCCGTAGATTCGGGCCAAATGTGCATTACTCATCTCCATCGGCAGGCCGGCTCCTAGAATCCCGACCTCAGCTGCTATTGAAGTCTCAAGTACGTAGTGCCTCAAGACACCAATTTCCTGCTCATTTATAGCTTTGTAGCCCATCAGAATACCTTCGAATACGGCTCATACACGCGCAATGAAGATGGATACAAAGATAGTACCCGAAATAGAACAACTGGCATCCCAGACCCGCATATCGGGCCTACCCCCGAGCACGACATCATCGCACCACCCGACGATGGCGACATCACACAATCTCACTGCAACACCTGCAGGATCTCCACCCACACCTACGGCCACGTCCACGTCCAGCAGCAACAACAACAAAAACAACACCGTCCTCTACCTCGCCTACGGCTCCAACCTCGCATCCTCCACCTTCCGCGGCACACGCAACATCCACCCGCTCTCCAGCACAAACGTCCTCGTGCCCTCTCTCAAACTCACCTTCGACCTCCCCGGCTTGCCATACGCTGAGCCCTGCTTCGCAAACACGCACGCGCGCGATCCAGGGAATCCGACCACCGACGATCCCGCCTGGAAACACGGACTCGTCGGCGTGGTATACGAAGTCACGCGCGAGGACTATGCCATCATCATCAACACCGAGGGCGGCGGCGCGAGCTATGCCGATGTCAGCGTGCGCTGCTGGCCGCTTGCGCGCGGGCTGAGGGATGTGCCTGGCGAGGGGGAATTGGTTCCGGACGGGGGGTTTCTGGCTCATACGCTGCTTGCGCCGGCGGGGCGAGGGAGACGCGGGAAGGTGGTGCTGGATGCGCAGCCGAGTGTGCGGTACAAGGGGTTGTTGACGACCGGGGCGGACGAGCATGATTTGCCGGCGTCGTATCGGGTGTATCTAGACGGGCTTCCGGCGTATCGGATTACGCAGTGGAGGCAGGGCGTGGGGAAGGTGACGGTTATTGCGATGTTTGGGCCGTTGGTGCTGGGGCTTATTGGCTTGGGTAAGGTGTTGGGGGATAGGCATGGGAGGATTCCGAGGTGGTTGGGGGATGTCATGACGGTGGTGTTCAAGGTTATGTGGGCTATGTATGAGGTGGTGTTCAAGCCGGCGTTTGGTGATGGTGAGAAGACGGTCGGGAGCGAGCAGGATCGAGGTGAGCGGACGAGTCTGCTTTGTGAGAAGACGAGGCTGCGGGACTGAGAGCATGACGCGCTGAGCGAGCCGCGACAAGGACGAGCTGTGTCGTGATGGGTTGATAATCTAGATTTCTCGGGCCACTCATATCATGGAAAGTATTCAAGCCGTACACCAGACGCCAATGTGTGGACTGACCTCGCGCTGCTATGTAGATAGATATCTGGACCAGCCGACCGACATTTCGGTATCCATTGGCAAATCCAAAAAGACATACCAGCGATCCGAAGCTGTGTCGCAAAAATATTCAGAGTCAGAGATGCACGACTAACCTATCATATCGCTGGTATCATCTGCTTATTATTAAAAAAACCCTTAATACTGATTTCCATGGATTTTAAAGTGGGTCCATTCACCTCTATCAACAATGCGCCTCTGCTTGTGCGACCTCTGCCAGCGCGAGCATTTCCCCGTGGATCCAATGAATAGAGGGAGATTGACTTGAAAAGTTAGACTGGCGTCTGTCTGTCCTGCAAAGCCAATTGAAAATCTGAATTTTACGTGCTTTGGCCGTCAATAGCTGGGTCCTGACTGGATCGAGCCTGCACTGTCTATAGCGGGCGGGTCTTGGGCACGCAGCAAACAATCGTGGACCCCCAGGAATAAATAGTTGCGCTTAGCCTTCGACGTGAGAATCACTTGTTTCTTCTTCCTCGCACATACTTGCTTCTCCCTCACACATACTTGCTTCTCCTCATTCATACCCCTCTAACACCGACACGATGGACTCTTCAAGGACATCTTCCTACACACACACTTCTATCGGGGCATACTCGATGCAGAACAATCATAGGGGTGTCAAGCATCAGCGTGTTGTGACCGAACCTGCTGGTTCAGATCGGTCTCAAGCTTCGTTGCGTCAGAATTCTCAGCAAAAGCTGACAAGTCCTACCGCAATTCAAACTAACTGTCCCGAAACCGAGTTACTACAGCCTTCAGAAGTCAGCGTGCGTCAGGAGGCAGCTATCAACCCATTTACCACTGTTCAACACCAGGAATCACGCCATGCACACGCGCCGACGGTAGACGGGCGGAGGATGTATGACGGCAATTATTCAGTGCCACGGCGGAAGCGTCGAAAGCCAAGTCCACCGCAGCTCCTCACACCTTGGTTTTTCCCACCTTCGTCTGCAATGACCGAAGATCAAGCACCGAGTCAGCTGCTGCAGGGGCATACAGACTGTGATGAGAACGATATGGACGTAAGACTCCTGCACCAACACGAAGAGAGCTCTACCTATTGCTCAGTCCCTTCCAAGCATATTCTTCCGAGGATAAAGAAAAGGAGCCAGCCAGTCTGGCCCGAAGTCTCCTATCAAGACATCTCAAGACCGGGTGTGTCGGAGATCTCTAAAGCTCCTGATACCTGGTTTCAAGGACCCTTCTTTGACTCCACGCCGACTCGGTCGCGAAGCAGAAGTGGATCGCTACCGGAATACTCCCTCTTCCCGGACGAAGAGGTGGATGACGGTCCCGCTATAACTCTACAGCGCACGAGAACGTCACATATGTCGTTCGATTCTGGCATAGCAGGCTTCAGTGATGATTTGAGAGATGGGAATACCATTGATTCCAAGGCCAAGGGGCACCTTGAGCCGCAAGTTGAGTCACAATCTTCGATCGAGTCACATGTCTCCCCGAGAGACTATCAAGTTCTACAGGAGATGACACAAGCTTCACAGCTGAGAGGAGAGGAGGAGAAGAGGCAAGCGGAGGACAGGGAGGCAGCCGAGGACGAGAGTGAGACGGAAGAGGAGTCCGAGAAGATGACAAAGAAGGCAGACAAGGACGACATCACAGTCCCATCGCCTCAGATCATCCAGCTGTACGGGCTAGTTCAGGAACTTTTTGCCCACGATCCCTTCAAAATGATCATTGCCTGCATTTTCATGAGACAGGCAACACCGGAGAGACGCACCAAGAAGCCTACAAAGGCAGCTCTGGAGAAGACTGCGAAGAAAACCGCAGACGCCATCCGCGAGTTTTGGCGTTTCATTGCATTACATCCCACGCCAGCTGAGGTGGCAATTACGCCCTCTTACACTACCCTGGAACCCCCGAGACAGGGACGCGTTGTCTTACATGGCCTCTGCGAGATATTCAATCGTCTCGGCGACTGGCGTGGTGCCGAAACCATCATCGATATCAGCAAGATGTGGCTACACAAAATGCCAATCAAAGGCCAGCGCTTCCATATTTCCCACGAGGAACACGACATCATTCTCGGCGACGACAATGCCCCCAAGAATCGGAGTGATGCATTCGAAATCAGTCACCTCCCTGGCATCAGTGCGTATGAACTGGATTGCTTCCGCATATTCTCTCGCGACATATTGCGTGGCAAAGCAACCAACTTCAACGGCGGCGGCGCGACTGACCCATCATTCCAGCCTGAATGGACACGCGTTCTCCCTCGAGACGAGACACTCAAGGAGTTTGTAAAGTGGATGTGGCTGAAAAAGGGGATGTGCTGGAACAAGTCAACGGGGGTCAAGCGAGCACTCCGCGAGGATGAGATGGAGAAGACACGCGTTGCACTGGAGCAGCAAGAGAAGTCGATCGAGAGCAGGACGGCGGAACTAGGAGGTCTCATCAAGACCGTGGAAGTCGAGCTGTTGAACGAGTGGAAGAGCAGGGCAAACGCCGAGTGCGAAGAAGCACAATCACTGAGAGAGATGGAGTGTCCCGCCACTCTCGTCGTCGCCGCTTTCTGGCAAAACAACCCCGACGACGTGAGCGACGACTCGGATATCTCGGACATGGACGACTTGGACGATTGAAGAGACTTGGGCGATGATGGGAAGACCTGCCATCACAGAAACTACGTGATAGCCATTCAGAAGACGGAGGCGGCAAGGCCATACAATCGGCTACGCTACGATGCCGCAAGGAGCAGCTGCGAGGAGCCAGTGACGACACAGTCAAGAATCAGGGATGTACTTGATGGGACGCTCCGGTGGCTGGATATGAGGCATATCATGTGGGCATTTCAGGGAGTCTATACAGCTATTCCGGCCAGCGCCATCACGACTATTCGGGGATATCAAGAGGCGTTGTGATGGCCCCTGAACAGGGGTCTCGCATTCTCGGTGGTTCTGGGAACTGGGATGTCTCGTAATTAAGCATGGTCTGGAGTTATACGGCCTTGAATAGATACATGATAGAGGCCTGAATGGATTTTTGCAACACCATCTTTTACAGCTGTCACATGCCGAAGCACGGATGTGATATGATGAAACGGAGCGGTGTGCCTTGCAAAACAAACCCCACATGAACTCCTGAACGTGGACCCTGACTGCCCCTCGCCGCTAGAACTACTGGTTGCCCCTGCCCCACACCGCAGAGCTTCATCCATCGGATTCATTCATATAGAAGAGAAACCTCACACCTTCACACTTCACACCAAAGTACCGTAGCAATCCGACATCTCCAACTCCCACTCACCCTCCAATTGATCCTCCAAGATCCCCCAAGCCACTCCCACAATGGCTCAGACCCCGACAGCAGCATCTTCGTACCCACCCGAAGACGAGCGCGAGATCAAAAACACCATCGTGCTCTTCGACGTCGACCAAACCCTCACCATCCCGCGCGGCGTACGTCTCTCCTTCCTCTTCCTCTCCTCTACTCTCCCTGCTCCTTCCCAAACCCACCACCAACACAGCCACACCCATCTCTAAACACCGCGCTCACCATCCCGTCTTCCCCAAACAGAAAGCCACACCCCCAATCCTCGCCCTGCTCTCCGCCCTCCGCAAAAAAGTCCCAATCGGCTACATCGGCGGCTCCAACCTCCCCAAACAACAAGACCAACTCGGCGACGCCGCCGGCACAGACGTCCGCAACCTCTTCGACTACTGCTTTGCCGAAAACGGCCTCGTCGCCTTCCACGGGCCCACCTCCCTCGGCGACGCCTCCTTCATCCAGTCCATCGGCGACGCACAGTACAAGCTGCTAGTCAACTGGGTCCTGCGCTACATTGCCGACCTCGACATCCCGGTCAAGCGCGGCACCTTTGTCGAGTTCCGCCGCGGCATGATCAACGTATCGCCCATCGGGCGCAACGCAAGCCAGGAAGAGCGCGTCGCGTTTGAGCAGTACGACAAAGTGGCCCGGGTGCGCCAGACCATGGTCGACCGCATGCGCGCCGAGTTTGCGCATCTGGGGCTCACGTTTAGCATCGGCGGGCAGATTTCGTTTGACGTCTTCCCTGCCGGCTGGGATAAGACGTATGTGCTTAGGTATCTGCCGGAGGAGCGCTGGGCGACGGTGCATTTCTTTGGTGACAAGTATGTCGAGGGCGGGAATGATTATGAGATGATTGTGCATCCGCGGGTTACGCCGCATAGGGTGGATAGTCCGGAGCATACGATGCGGGATGTGATTGCGACGTTTTTCCCGGAGGGGTATGTTGAGGAGAAGGCGTGACTTGCTGGTGGTGGTGGTGGTGGTGGGTATGGATATGGATGCATGCATGGGGGAAATGATAAAGCGGGAGGATGAAAATCAGGTGTTTGTAGCCACCGATTGTCAATGGGCAGAGGAGGGTGACACGACTAGTCACGACACAGGCTGTTTGAGAGAATAGCCCTTTGAGGCTCTCCGACGGCCCGAACATCTCACTCAAGTTACTTGGAGGCAGAAAGTCGACGAAGCATAGAAGAATCCTTTTAGATGAAGCAAAAACACAGCCTAGAACACGGGTATTTACCACAAAGAGACATGCAAATTCACGTCTAGCAGCACACACACACACACACACACACACACACACACACACATACACATGAACGTCAGAGGCCTTGCGCCGCAACAAGTCAATTGCTCTATAAAGGTTGGGAAAGAGACGAGGGGCAAAAGAACAACAACAACAACAACGGAAAACAGGTATACCATGATGCTAAGCTAAGCTGAGATAAGCAGCAGACGACCATTCGTACAGATGAATATTTTTTGGTTTCCACCCATTATTAACGACCCTACAAGCCCCCCGGTGTCTCTCATTCTCTCCCACGTTCACATGATGATGTTGATGTTGATGATGATGATAGTGAGGGCCCAATCAATGCAAAGAAAAGAAAAGTAAAAAAAGTCGATACTAGTAAATCAAGCAAGCGAAAACTAAAGAGGAGAGGCGTTTGTGTCGTTGATGTGTGCAAGAGGCGCGCCCGTTGCTAGTCGTCGGTCGATTCCTGCACTGGAGCCTGGTATGGAGGGAGAGGTGGATGGACGTAGTGAGTAAAAGGAAATGGGGGAGAGGAAGGGGGAGAGAGAAAGAGAATATGCGCCCGTAGAAACATATAGAAACGCAAAATGTCAACTTTTGTTGCGGGGGGGGGGGGGGGGGGAATCATCACATAAAGTCGTCACTGGTCATTGTCAGCGATGCAGTTCCCTCAAGGTGTTTTTGCAAGATCATGTGCCAAAACTTACTCTCCAAAGTCGTCATCATAAGCTGCAGTGTCGGCCCTGCTGGAAACATCCCGTGTGGCGACTAGGCTGGCCTTTGTCTTTGCCGCCTTGGTCTTCTTGCCGCCCTTCTCGGCGGCCTTTTCTTCGCGCATCTTCTCGTTGCTCAGCGTCGTCAGTCCGGATGCAATCTTCTTGATCTGGTCGCTGGGCAGCTCCTTGGAAATGCCCTTGACAAACTCCTGCAAGAACAGGGCGTATTGTGCTTTCTTGTAGTTGTTGGACAGTAAAGGTGTCAGCGTCTCGCGCAGCTTCGTGAACTGGTCCTTGGATGTCGGGTTGAACAGTGGCAGCGACGACAGGTCAATCGCAGACGTAGGGTCCGCCTTGTCATTGTTGATGACAACGGGCTTCACGGCCGAGCGACCAGCCGGCACGCCAATATCGCCAAACAGATCCAGTGCGTTGCTCAGATCAGCCTCCTTCTCCTGCCGGCGCATACGGGCGCGGCGCTCGGCCTCGTCTTCCTCCTCGCTCGACTCGTCCTCCTCCTCCATCATCTTCCGGCGTTGCTTCTCCTTGATGCGTTCCTCGACGCGCTGCGCCTTGGACTTGTGGTTTGCCTTTGCTTCCGCACCGGCTTTTGCTTTTGCCTCGGCGGCCTTTTTTGCTTTTTCACGCTCTACTTCCGAGTCTTCGGCGGCGTCCCAGGAGTCGAGGACCTGACGTGTGGCGCATGGTTAGTGCATGTGTAAAAGGGGGGAGGGCACGCGCTTTGGCCCCGGCAAGGAGACTTACATCATCGTCTTCCTCCTCGTCGTCAAACTTGCCGCGACGAGTCACGGCGATAAGGGGAGGCGAGGATGGAGGTGTGGACTCAGACTCCTCGTCGTCTAGATGGGGCCTGTTAGTGACGTTGTGCGCGCGCGCGATGCGGCTTTTCAGGAGATGACGTACCCCAGTTCTTTGACGGCGCCATATTGGGTAGCGTGAGTGTTGTAGCAGGTGTGAGGGCCTGCTATTGGGGCGAGACGTAGAGTACGGTAGAGCGATGCAAAGACAAAAAACGGATTTTGGTATTGAGGCGTGCGGAAAGTGTGGGAGAGTGTGAGAGTGAGGTAAGTGTCGCGAAGTTGTTTCTAATTTAATGTTGGTGGGGAGTCAGGCATTCACCAGCCCAGCCCGACCAAAAGCCACCAGGACTCGCGCTAGAGCCCAGTCGACAGGCGTCGAATCGGCCGTCTCCGGAGTATATCGGCCTCCGCTGGCATGAAATTGATTAATTAATACATGCACCTCACGCAACAATAGTATTCCGCTCTTCACCTTTTGTTCATTGATGGTTCAAGGTATTGATGGTTCAAGGTATTGATGGTTCAAGGTATTGATGGTTCAAGGTATTGATGGTTCAAGCCATTGATGGTTCAAGCCATTGATAGTTCAAGCCATTGATAGTTCAAGCCATTGATAGTTCAAGCCATTGATGGGTCAAGCCATTCTGGTCTTTGGTCTATTGTCGTTCTTATTCGCTATATCAAGAGTACTCAGTCATAGCGCTGCTCTTTGCAGATACTGCAGTCAAACGACATGTACTCATCTACGTAAAATGACTCAACACTCATTATGCCCTCTATAATTTTCCGACTGTACGCCCAGCATTTCATGTGAAATGTACACTATTCTGCATCATCCATCTCCATGTCTCCATACTTCACTCATGTCCTGTCTCCATACCTCATGTCATGTCTCGTCTCATGTCATGTTCTGCTGTCCCATGCAATGGCAGACTTCAAGCCTTCTTTGACTTGGCTTGATGAGCGGCGAGAGCTCCAGACAGGTTGTACTGGCTCTCGATACCCTCGACACGGTGGGTGGAGTTGATGTTCTTGACTAGTGTGATCTGGTAGCAAGTCGCAGATCCCTGGCGGGAGATGATGGTGGAGTAGGCAAGGAAGTACTCCCAGATCTATTCGAAAGTAAGCAAAGTACTTAATCTCGCTGTGAAATAACTCACTCTGAACCAGCGCTTTCCATATTTGCCAATGACCTTGTCCTTGTTGCCCATCCAGTTCCTGTACCATCTCCATAGGGTGGCGGAGTAGTGCACACCAACAGTGTCAATGTGTTTGATCTCGAAACCAGCACCTTCGAGCTTGTCGACGAAGAAACCAAGAGGAGTAGAAGCGTCAGCACCAGGAAAGATGTACTTGTTCATGAAAAGACCCCAGATGAGATCCTCGTATTGCCATGGCTTGCGAAGACCAGCAATCTGAAGGAAGAAGACACCGTCATCGTCGAGCATGTCGTAGACTTGACGGAGGAAAGTACCAAAGTGGCGGACACCAACGTGCTCGGCCATCTCCAAGCAGGTAATCTTCTTGTATCCGCCCTCAGGCAGAGGAATGTCACGGTAGTCCATGCACAGGATGCGGCTCTGGTCCTCAGGGATACCAGCTCTGCGCAGACCATTGTTTCCCCAGGCGGTCTGGTTGCGCCCAAGCGTGACACCAGTAGCATGAGCACCATAGTTTACGCTGGCGAACTTTGCAAGAGTGCCCCAGCCGCAGCCAATATCGAGCAGCTTCTCACCAGGTTTCAATCCAATCTTCTCGCAGACGATCCCAAGCTTGTTGTCCTGGAGCTCCTCGAGAGACTCTTCTTTGTTGATGTCAGAGATTATGCCAGAGGTATAAATCATACGAGGGCCAAGGAACCAGCCGTAAAAGTCATCACCTCGATCGTAATGGTCACGGACCTGCTCCTCGTCTGCAGAATGTTAGTGCTGGCACGAGCACGACGGACAGGTAACAGCTTACCTTGAGAACGAGTGTGCATAATGACTTCTGGCATCATTCCAGTAAGGAAGAACCAAAACAGGCTCAGAGTGAACCTAAAGTTGGCCCAGTCGTGTCGGTACTCCATAGCCTCCAAGCAGTCACCCTTGAAATCGACCTTGCCGTCAAAGTACATTTCATGAAACGTTTCCATGGGAATGGTCTTGCGGCCAAAGTACTTTTCCCTGTCCTCTTGCTCATGAAACTGTAGGTAGTGTTCCACAGGCTTGCCTGGATAGCGAGCCTTCTCGTTGACTCTGGGAGAGAACGATGACAATAATGTCCAGAAGGCCATGAGGATTGGGATCGCGAAGAGGACTGCGAGGAAAATCCATGTCTTTAGTCCACCACCGAGCTTCCACGAACAGTAAAGAGGAATGCCTCCAAGCAAAGAGAAGAGGACGTAATTGTTGAAACTTTCGGCACCCGGCCCGTCGGCTGGAAGAGGTGCATTTTTGATCGCAGGATACTAGAAGAAATCATCAATGTCAGAAATGTTCAATTGGCCTCTCAATTGCAAGTGTGGCAGCTAGAGGGCTTCGCGCAGTGGGGAGCTCAAGTACTCACGGCTGTAGTGCGAACACCAAATTCCTTCGACTCAGGAGCTGGGGGTTCGGTAACAGGGGTTTCAATCCACTCAAAGGACTCCTCCGAGATGGCCTTACTTGGGTCCGACATTTTTGAAGTAAGGTGTTGAGGAGTTGAAGCAGACGGGAAATTTTAGGGGTTGAGAAAAAGTCGGTGGGGAGCTTCGTGGTCGCCAAGCAAGCGTCAGGCCGGGCACGACTGATTTCGACAACGTCCGCGTTCAACTTTATGCATGTGAAACAAAGCCGCTGTACGCCGTTGTCTATGTAGTATTATCTGGCCTGAGATTGTGAATGACAGCCTTTTGCATGTCATCTGTCACTCCGACGGACGTGAGATAGCTCTGTATACCACCATACCGATCTTGGATATGTTTGTCGACTTTCGAAACCATACCTGGCGCACAACGACCAAAATCATCACCGAGTCCGATGGACCGAATCTCTTTCAATCTTTCTTCACGTCCAGAGACGAGCTCGCCGTCGGTAAGCATGTAGTCATAATTGATGGCGTCGACAGGCACTCCGAGCAACAAAAGACACAACATAATAGTCAGACCTGTCCGATCTTTGCCTTGGGTACAGTGCAAGACTATTGGGTAATTTGCTGGCTCAGCCAGCACTGAGAATACCTGCTTCACTTCAAGACCGCACGCATCAATCGAGTCAATGGCAAGTCCTTCGATGCCCCGCTCTTGCATGACGTTCGTTGCGATGATGCTGATTGCGTCTTTGCGGTACCCCATGGCCATGAAGGCGATTAGCTTGCCGAAATTCCACCACGATAGCTTGCTCATTAGGGATTTGGAGAAAGCCCAACCATTAAAGTTAATCTCGTGATAAGTCACGGCTGGGATCTTTAGTGGGCTGGCGACATCGTCGTTTGTTTGCAGTGCCAATTCGGAGCTCTGTATTTTCGCATTGCGCTTCTGTGCCTGCTCGATATGCTCGGTCCTGCACAGTCATAAGAATGGGAGGCTATGAAGATGGTCGCCCATACTTTGTTCTCAGGTCGACGATAGTCTGGATACCAAAGTCCACCAAGAGTCTCTGTCTATCTCTGATGGTGCATTCATCTATGGAGGATTAGACTCAGATTTCGAACGATAGCATTGCTTCAAGGCACACCAGGGCTTGCACTTCTGTATAGCCTTTTTGATATCACATATCTGCAACGCATCAGTCTCGGGCACACGAGACGCGACACTCCCAACTCACTCCCGACCGGTGAAGTCGTTCACGGTCTGGCCAGCGTCCCGAAAGTTGAGGATAGATGGTAAAGGACTTGGCATCCTCAATGAATGGCCTTATTTTGAGGAGGGCACTGGATTGCTGACTCTGAATTGGCTGCAGCACTTGTTCGCCGCTCAAGCATACAGACAAGTGACGGTATATCGGAACAATTATGATGACATATGTCGAAGAAACCAGGCCAGGATTGCTTGTAGGCCTGAGGCATACATAGACTGCCAAATCTGGCAGAGTCCAAACGCTCCAGTCGCTCGTTTTGTACCCGCATTAAACGTCAGCTGTGCACGATAACTGTAGCCATTACATGGATGTATTTCCTATCCATCCCTAACCATCAACACGCAATGTCACGAGCAACAGGTATACACGCTGTCGGCCTCACCATTATTCAAAATTGGTAATGGTCAAAAACAACCCCTGTATTCGTCATTTCTCCAGAACGCTGTCCATTTCAAAGCCATATTGAAGCAGTATCAAAGCAGTCAGGATCGACCGCTTGCAGTTGTTTGAGGAGGAGCGACTTCCCTGGTATCGCGCGGACCAATTCTATCCCGTGCATACAGGAGAGACATTCTTCTCCAAGTACAAGGTTGTGGGCAAGCTTGGATACGGTCCTACTGTTTGGCTCTGCCGAGATATGAGGTCAAGAGATGTGTCTAGGGGCATTCCATTCAGTTTAGACCTAGATAGCTGACTAATACAGCAGAGATTCTGGCTTTGTAGCTCTTAAAGTCTGTACCCGGGATAATATTGGGTCTTTGCGAAATGATCGAGACCTGAAAATTTACGAGCATGTCAGTTCACTCAACTCACCATATGGTGGCCAAGCATATATTCGCGGTCTTTTAGAGACATTCGAAATCGACGGTCCAGCTGGAAAAGCACTCATGTCTCATTCAGCCTCCAATGCATATGACTATCCGGGAGCTTCAGTGCTGCAATCCATCGAAGCGGCTTAACGAGCAGATTTTAAACTGGACTCTTTTCAACCTGCTTAGGGGGCTCACTTTCCTTCACGATGAAGTGAGAGTGGTTCACACCGGCGGATTTGTATACACTACATGCCTTGAGCATTGCATTGACTTCCTCGTAACAGACAATAATCCCTCGAACATCATACTAAGCATTGAGGATGAATCTCTACTCCCAGAATTCGAACGAGCGGAAGCCGAAGAACCATCACCAATGAAAGTGATCGATGAATTTCGGACGATCTATGGTTCTCGAAGATTTAGTCTTCCGAAAGACTCACGTTGGGGCCAGCCGGTCCTGTGTGACTTTGAAGAAGCGCGGATTGGCCAGACCCATAAGGGTCTGATTTAGCCTGAGCTGTACCAGGCCCCGGAAGTTTTGTTCAATATGGAATGGAGTTGTAGTGTTGACATCTGGAATCTAGCTGTTTTGGTAGGTCTTCAAACCCTATTAATAATCGCTCAATATAGATTCTACTAACTCGTCCCTCCCAGATATGGGATCTATTTGAGGTCCAACACCTGTTACATACTCTTGATGAAGCTCAAAGACGTGTCGGCAACACACCATGTTGCTGCGATGCTGGGGTACCTTGGAAGCCCCCCTTTCCAGTATCTCGGTCGGAGCGAAGTCACAAATAATGTCTTTGATGAGAAAGGTCAGTGCGTTCCCAAATGAACTCTGTCCAGCTTGCTCATGATCATGATCCAGGTCACTGGAAAGGTGCGGGAGATGTCACAGTGCCAGAAATGTCTCTTGAGCGAGCTGAGATTATCTTGGAAGTGAATAGAAAAGGCAGTAATGCACATGCAACGCAGACGCGTATCTGCATGCACGTCATCCTACACACATGATACAGTACACATATACACATCCCACACAAACTCACTCATATCCATGTGAGGTCGATGTTCAAATGAGTACCAGAAGAGAGACGGCGGGCTGCCGAACTTCTCACCGACCCCTGGTTGGAAGGGGCTATTCCTTGAATGTAGACCCGACAGCGGTCAACTCAATCTCATCCTGTTTCTCGGATTTAACTACGCTGTTATTGGTGTTCTCTTCTAGAAGCCGACGAAGATGGAGGTCCCATTTTAACAACCCGGAAAAGTCACAATGGCTCCGCAATATCATATAAGATGCTGTCGCCGCAGCACAACGGCTTCTACCTTATACAGCTCCACAGCAAACATGTAGCAGACCAATGCGATGTGTTGGGAAACGAGATCTATTGCTTGCCTCGCCGATCATGGTAATATCGATTGCCTTCATTTATGGCTAGTAACAGTCCACGCTAAAGCCTAAATCAAGCAAGAAGTGTTCCAGCTTCAGCAAGGCCACGAAAATAGCGATCTCAAAGGACCGACATCGTGTGTATCAGCTGTGGAGGCTCGGAATTTGGGAAGCCACAGGAGTGACAGGACTGAGGAAGAGTTGTAAACAGTTTAGTATATAACAATGCAGACCTATTGAGTAGCTCCAGTCTATCTGCCAGATTGCAAGCTACGGACGTCGACGAAGTATGGACCGACTGGGATGGCTGTTATTATACAGACGCTCATGAGCGCCAACTGCGAGAAAAGGTGACTCAGCATCTGATGGGTTCGCCTATGTTGTTGGTACGACGAGATGTTGTGTCCGATCACCTAAGTACGTTATAGGTGTAGCCCCAGAAGTCCAGACTTGGCGGCCACTAAGGCTACGTCATACGTCATCGCCCATCAGAATAGCCGCTACCTAAGGTTCTACCTAATACCTCTGCTGCGTCTGCTGCATCTGCTGAAACCCTCTTCTCCCTTCCCGTCTACATCTTCTGGCTGCATCGTTCGCATCAATCCCTGCTTTTTTTGTCGCCGGCTTTGCGCTATAGCTATCAGTATTCTACTGCAGAGTTGCTTCAATAGCCGTGCTACCTTTACAAGGATCCCCAATCCAGGTACCTGGCTTAGCTCCACACCATGACGAGTGACGGGGCACTTCCAGTTGCTCGACCACTGAGCCATGCTTCACTTCAAAGCAATACCACTACCTCTCACTCTATAACATGTCCTGATCCTAGTGCTCATGCCGCCCTTGAGAGGCAAGCCAGGCTTCAAGAGACTGCTTCTGTTGCTGCGCTACTCGTTACAAGGGACCGGAAAGAATCCAACCCAAACCCGGACGTCAAGCTGTCATCAGCCAGTATGTTATCACTACGTTCTCTCGTACTGCGCATCGGAGCTGACTCTTGATTCTAGGCGCTGCAGCCAGCTTAAAGTACGCAAAGCCTCAAGATCTGCCAGCTTTTCCAGTTGTTGGTGTTGTAGACGCCTCAGCTTCCGCTAGTAAGGCGGCCTTGCTTGCAAACGCAAACCCAACTGAAGTAAACTGGTGGAAACCTGAACAGTCAGAAGCCGCCAGTAAGGCTGCATTGCTTGCGCACGATCACAAGATGGCGCCGATGTGGCAGCCAGAAGCTAGTGCTGCTGGCTCCAAAGCTGCTCTTCTCGCTCACCGCGATGGCCCAAAATTGGATTTATGGCAACCATATGCGAGTCCCGCGGGGAATTCTGCGGCCGGCGCAGCGTTGAGAAAATGCACCAGCAGTCCCGCACCACCTCCAGCAGACTCTGTTGCTGACGACCGACGGCGAAAGGCTCTGATGGCTGCAAGGGGCGCATACTCCGGCAGCCAGCGACGGCGATCGGGTTCTACGCCAACACTGCCTACGTATCCTGACTCCGCAAACTCGGCACACAATGCGCTGAGTGCCGCTACCATTGTTCACCGTAATTCAACAAGGCTTGCCAATTCACCGCTTGCCACCACGCAAGGGCCCTCTAAAGGAGCACTGAACGCCGCTCGTGTACAAAACATTGGTAAAAACGTAGATAGAGAGATGTTTGGTTCAGCTCCACCGTTCGTTCTTGAGGCCGAAGAAAAGAAGCGCACCGACGCTCTCCGCGCCTCCGCTATTTCCATGGCACAAGGAATGTATACATTGGCCGAAGACCGTAGACACAAACAGGAAGCCTTGGACTCTCAACGAAGCACAGGGTTAGCCGCAGCCACCAGCGTGCATGGACGTAGCCAGTCGACATCTTCGCAAGATATTAGACAGCAAGCGCTTCAGTATATTCACATTCAAGACGCTGCACAAAAGCTAGCCGCGGAACGGCTATCAAAAATAAAGGTGGATGATAGTGCTGCCTATCGAGACTACTATGGATATGGAAAACCAGCGCCCCGCTCGCGTCTCTCCGTCCGCAGGCCCAACCGGCGACGTGCCTCCAGCGAGGGCGCTGCCAATGATGATTCTTCCGATGAAGAGCAATCTCGTAGAATACGCAACCAGATGTCCATATTCAACAACCAGGTCCAACAAGTCGACTCCCGAAAACGCCAAAAAGACAGGGAAGCAGTGTTGGCCGCTGCTGAAAAGAAGGTTCACGCGCAGATGCATTCTATGGATGAGAGGGTTTTCAATGCTACTGGAAAGATGTCCCAATCAATGATCGACGAATGGGATGCAAAGGCGCGTGCCAAGGCAACAGCGGAGAGCCAGTCTCGGATGGAGAACCATGGCAAAGTTGACATTGGAGGTGGACGATTCATGGACCAATCTGAGATCGATGCCATTGCGTCAAGTAGGATGCAACCTACGCTTGATGACATCAATGATCAAGCCGAGAGGCGCAGGGCTCGTGACGAGGAGATTCGATTGGACATTGAACAGAAAAGACGCGAGTTGAATAGAGAGAAAGAACGTGAGGCCGAGCTCAAGGCCGAAGAAAAGCGTCTCAAAGGTATGTAACTCCAATTCACAGTTAGTGCATTGACCTAAGTCCCCTATAGACGAGGACAAACGTCGTTCCAAGCTTCAGAAGCAAGAAGAGAAAGAATTCGCGAAAGCCGAAAAGGAAGCCGAAAAGGCCCGCAAAGCAGAAGAGAAACGTCTCTCAAAGCACGAAAAGCAACAGTCTAAAGAAGCTTCTAAACCCACCATCGCGACTACTACCACGCCCGAGCCCACCGAAGCCCGCGCAAGCAGCATTTCCACTGCAGATCCCCCTTTCGTCGACGCCTCGTCTACTGCAGCCCGCGACTCCATTGCCACCGACCCTACAACGCTCGCCAGCGTCGAGCCTCGTCCAGAAGATCCAACAAGCCCCACCAGTCCGACCAAGTCCGATGGCGGCCTTCGCAGATTGATCACGAAGCTAAAGCGTCGCTCGAAACACACGCCTTCAGCTTCCAACGATGCTGTCCCCACTTCGCCCGCAAAGGCATCCTCGTTCGTGGGCGGCGCTGCTCTCACTGGCGCTAAATCACCCGACGATACTGCCACCGCAGATAAGGACAAAAATAGAGCCATCGACGAACCTGCACGCGGTCGCTCGCCATCAATCTCCAGCCTCAGTTCCTCGGATCAAGGCGAGTCATCAGTATCTGTAAAGAAGCCCGTGCGCGAACTTTCTGATGACGAGAGCGACGAGGACAGGGACAAAGTAGACTCGAGCCTTGTTCCGCCGCCGAAGTTCAAAGAGGATAATATTGGCACAGGGGCGATCCGGAAAAGTGGCAGTCCCGTCCGGGGGACTATCTTCAAGGAGGAGTTTTGAGATGTTAATAATGATTCGTGCACACTTGCAGAAAAGAGGATGATATATCAGTCGATTGGGAGCTTATGGGTGGCAAGGGAGGGATATGAGAAATGTGTGCGTGGAAAACGAAGGGTTAATTATTCCCTTGGGATCTCCTAACATTGTCGTCGTCGTTTCTGTTTCTATTATAATGTCGCGTACGATGTTTTACCCGTGTGTTTTTCTGGGTCTCTTTTATCACTTCCCGCGTATACCTTTTTATACTGACGCTGACGATCTTCAAATCAATGAATGACGGATGGATGGATATATCTTTTTATCTTTCGAATCAAACCCCCCCAAAAAATAACACACATATATAATACAGTTCGCATAGGAGCGAGAGGTGAACAAGGCAAGGTGAGAAAAGGAGAAGGTAGTCAGAAACATACACACATATATATAGCTAATTTGTAGTACGTCAGGTTCTGAATAAGTTGAATGAAGAACTTTGTGTGTGTGTGTGTGTGTGTGTGTGTGTGTGTGTGTGTGTGTGTGTGTGTGTGAGAGAGAGAGAGAGAGATAATTTGGCTGCTTACAATACTACAATTCTGGATGTCCTGTATATTTGCTCGTTGGCTTGCTTTTTCGATTGTTTGATTGATAGTGTATGCAAGAACGATGAGATGCCTTTTTATTCGGCCTGTACAAGCATCCAAGCCCAGCCATTTCATCTAGACATGAGAGGTGGAGGAAGAGACATGAAAGAGATACACATAATGCTGATGAACGCAGCGTTTGTTGGTAAAGCAGACAGACAAACAACCAGGAGAAGAACCTTTGCAATCCAGTTCAGTTCAGCCCAAACCCAAATCGTATGCAAAATAGAAGGCGCCATACACCATCTCCTGTGGAGCTCGTCACATCCTCCTCCTCACTTCCCCAGTCCTCCTACTCATCCTCTGCCTCTACTCTCACAAGCACTTCTTCCAAAAAGCCCTCCAAGAATCCGACCACGTCGCCGCCCATCCCCACAGGACTCTTCTCATCCCACTCATCAATCTCGCAAAACAACCTCGCCGCTTTATCGACCAGTTTCTTGATGTTCTCGTGCGCATGTATACGGCGCTGCATAGCTTCGGCACTGTCACCACCAGCTTTGATCTGCAGATTGAGGTTATACGTGCGACGATGAAGTGCAGCCTGGAGGGCAGGCAGGACCACGCCATTCAGAGCAGTGATTTCCGCGGGATTTTGCGGGACGTGAGTCGTGAACGGATCCGAGTTTGAGGCAGTGGATAACATGGATGCATTGGAGAGTCGGGTGGACCGGGCGGCCGATAAACGCATCGAGGCGCGGCCTTTACTGTTGGCCACAGGCGGAATAGATGACGAGATTTGAGTGGATTGTGGGACGAATGCAGGTAGAGGCTGTTGTGTCGACAAAGGTTGAAGAGGCTTTTCTTTCGGAGTTGGTGGAAGCTCGTGGAGGCTGCCGGCACTTGTGGAGGTACGATGGCCTTTGAAAGGAGGTATCGGTGGCAAGGAAATAGGATTGTTCAGTTTGGGTACTGGAAGAGGATGCTGAGATCGAGATGACTGGGACGACTGGATTTGTGGCCTGGCAGGTTTGGGTGTCATCGGGTCATCCAGATGAAGTCCCTCCATGTCTGCCGCAATAGACTGCTGTAGGAAGTCATCGAACTCGTGAGCCATGCGACTGGCCCTCCTAGGTGTGACCACTTGTTTTGATGGACTGGTAGTCGTATTATCTGGGACTGCAACTACTTTCGACGGTGTTTGTGGTATCCGGGTCTTGTCCGGCGACGGCGGTAGCGGTATCTTCGACGCCGAGGGAGATAATGATACAGCGGATGACAATGCAGTCTTTGTTGGGCTTGGAGGGATCTGAAGAGGGGGCTTTGACAAGCGAATCGTCTCTTGTCCTCGGTGGCTTGCATTCTCTCCTTGTCCGGGTACAGGCTTGCGCGGCGAAACCGGCCGTGTCGGTGACGAAGGAGCACCACCCAGTCTTGCATTCGCAGCGGCATCATTCAATTGTCGAAGCCCTTGACCTCTACCGTTGTTCGGTCGGACAGTGCCAAAGTCCCAAAGATCCTCATTTATCGGTTCTCGCTGCTGTGGTGCTTCATCGTACTCGTCGTCTGAGTCGTATGAAGATTTTCCCCTACTTGTTCGCCACCGTTCATGTCGCTCGATAAGCTCTGTAAGGTAATTCGTCCTCTTTCCCTTCCTAATAAATGGATGTCTCAGCAATTCCTTTGCTGTAGGTCGATCCCGCGGCTCCTTCTGCAAGCAGACTTCCACAAAGTCCTTGAATTGCCTACTAAACTGAGACCCTTCTAGCTTTGGAGCCGGATTCCGCGGGATGAGAAAAAGCACCTTCATGGGATGAATGTCGGCAAAGGGAGGTTCACCTAGCGCCAATTCCAGGGCAGTGATTCCCAACGACCATATGTCTGCCTTCTGATCATGGCCTGATTGCTTGATGACTTCTGGAGCCATCCAAAAAGGTGTCCCAACAAACGTATTCTTCTTTGTCATTGTTGCAGACAACTGGCCCGAGACGCCGAAGTCTGCAAGTTTGACTTGTCCGTTTGAACCCAGCAATACGTTGGCAGCTAAAAGTTGTTAGCAGGGGCAGTAAGATGATGGTATCTTCATATACCTTTAATATCCCTATGGAGCTTGTTATCTCCATGTAGATATTCCAATCCCTGAAGTAGCTCTCTCATTATTATCATGATGTAGTCCTCATTGATCAAGCCAGGTTTCATGAGGTCCGCGCAGCTGCCCCCCGAACAGAATTCCATTATGATCCATAGATCGGAGCCCTTGAGATAGCTTCCATAGTATCTAGTGACGTATGGCGAGTGCAGTTCTGAGAGGATGGATATCTCCTGTATGATGTCTTCGACCTCGTCTTCGGCATTCTCGACGTCTATGACTTTTATTGCAACCGACTGGCCGTTGCGTTTATCGACTCTGAGGGTCCATTAATGAGCATTCAGGAGGACCAAAACGGGGATATTCACCCTTTGTACACTTTGCCAAAGCTTCCACCACCTATCCATAGTTTAGTTCGCTGTCATGCCACGATATAAAATTCTCGTACCTATGCAGCTTTGCTTGGTATACAAAGTCTCTGGGTCCACAGCCCCGTCAACTGCCACGCCTGTCATGTCTAAAGTTGCTCAATTGGCTCTTTCTGCGCTTCCTCTGCTTCTCACTGTGTATGCGAAGATATGTGAGTGTCGTTTTGGAGGTGTCGGCGGGCTGGCCTCTGCGCCTGACTCTAGTGCAAAGCTCGGGCAGACTCGAACGTAGACGAGGGTGAGTGTGTCGGCTGAGCCTGTTTTACACTGGTTATGACACTGCGTAGTCTATGTCTAGAGCCGTATGACTCTGACCAGGTCCCACAGCCACTAGGTTGAGGTGACAATTCGGCACAGCGCAAGCAAGTCTGCTGTGTAGGGTGTCGGTCATGAGAGCGCGCGATGCAATGTTCAGGCGGTCTGGTGCCCTCAAAGAACAAAGCAAGTCCGATGATATGTGCAATGTACGGAGGCGCAGGTATAGCAGTAAGGAGGATCGACGGGTTTGGGACTGGTAGAGTGGGAAGTGTTCTGCAAGAATGGTTGTTGTTTACCTGGTGCAGGTAGTGGATCCATTAACGGTCGCGTTGGTTGGTGGGGGTGATCCCTGCCGCAATCTGCGTCACCACATAAACAAACCTTCTCCATTGTTCGAGAACGCAACTGTTGCACGGGTTTTATATCGCGATTCATTCATGGTTACGCACGTGTCTAGACTCACTCAATGTGTACACTCTCCTGCATGCTGCGACGTTGACCAGGAGACTTGTTTCGCGTGCCTAAGCGCGGGGTGTTTGATTCGCTGGCATCATTTCCATCCAATGATTCACTATACGATTGCGGTACATGCTGCCTTTAATGCCCAATCAATGCTGTTTTGGGGATAGAGACAGAGCATGTAACAAACATTTGCACGCCGCCATTGTTGAATGCTTGAACCTTTGAACAAACGTTCTCATTGTCGGTGAGTGCCAGTCATTTCATTTGCCCTGTTGGGGGGTATCTTTTGCATCTTTAATATCCTTACGCCATGCTAAAAACCAGACACCGGTTCCAAATGCAATGCCAATATCCACATGTACGTGTACTGAAAATGCCGCCAATGAACCATGCCTTGCTAATTCGCATCACAGGGCAGCCAAACCGCCTGTTTTCTCTTCATCGTTCTCCTCGGAAATCTTCCGAGAAGACGGTTTCATCCTCTTCTGCTACAGGCGCAGGCGTTTTTCGTTCACGTTGTCCACGACGCCTGTGTCGATTATAGCTGATGTTGCTCGCCGAGTCGTCAGGAGCCAGCTCTGATCGTTCATCGTCGATTCCGTCGTCAGTTTCCTCATCCCACCTATCCATCCCGTACATGGATGCTGGAGTGCCCAAACGAACCTCCACATCCTCCGCCATGGAGCCACGCCGCGCTTGTGCGGCCATAGACAATCCCGCACTTCTTTCTCGAAGAGCATTCCGAACAGCCTCGGCTTTCATATGCAGGCTCTCAAAAGCATCTTCCAGTGCTTCCATTCCTACATAGATTTCGCGCTCTACCTCTGCAAGTACCGCAATCTCGGTCTCCTCGTCCATCTGAACAGGCGCACCGAACGAGCTGGGAGCAGGCGTCGGACCTCGACTTATCCTTCCACTCGGGCCTGGACTAAAGGGAGTTGGACCGCGAGAAACACCTGGACTGAACGGGGTCACATTCCTAGAGAGCGGAGTCGCTGTCGGGCCTCGAGATGGAGCGCGACTCAGGGGAGTACCGACTCCATTATCAGCACCACTCCAAAGAAAGCCGTCGAATCGACCAGAGATTAGAATTTCCCATTCCCCGCTGCTCACTGCTGCCAGTGTCGCGAGCACAGGATGTAGCTCCGCATGTTTCAGCAGAAATATGGCGCACTCAGGATTCCGCGGTAGGGTTGGCAAGCGGTATAGCCTCTGTAATGCGTGACTAGTGTGCTTCAGCAGCTCTGGTTGATGATTCTCCAGTGGTGTCTGAGATCGAGAGACTGGTATTGTCAACTGACCTCGTAAAAGAGCCGAGAAAACAGGTCTTTTTTCTTCTTCAAGCTTGGTCATGATCGCAAAGGCAAGAGTTGCATCGTCTACCTCTGGAGGGGGATCTTCAGGCTGTGCAGTAAGCCAACTCTGAACTGCTTGCTTGGTCTTCTTACTCTGTCGAATGTAATGCTCGCGATACTCTTCGGGGACGTCGATATCTACTTTCTGCATTGGCGCTTCGTGCCCTTGAAGCCCAAGCCCCGTCGAAGTAGGTGCGAGAGAGAATGGGGGCCAAGGAGGGAGCTCACGCCGCCCTGAGACATACTCGAGAATTTCTCCCCAGCTGACGCCTCTTTCCAGGTCCGTCTGTGGAGGTGCAAAGGCGCTCGAGTGGCACATTATACACTGACATCGCTCTTCTGATATATTGCGCGAGAATACTGCCTCAAGACGATCCAGCAATCTGCGGGCAACTGAGCGATACCCGGTGGCCACAGCTAGTGAGCCATTCTTCTCCATGACCTTCGTATAATCGTTCAGGAGATTCTCAAGCGGCGCAAAGAATGCTTGAACATTGATAGCGTGGTTGTCGGAAGGCCTTGGCGATGCATATTGTTGATATGGTGCAACCGGTTTCTTGCCGACAGCCGCAGATAACAGGTTACGGGAAACAAGATGCGATAGCCCACCATTTTGTAGAAGATAGTCAACTCGTGGGTGATCAAATACAGGAGCTGGAGGAGGTGGTGGTGGTGGTGGAGGGGGCGCAGGTTGCTGCACATAAGGGTTAGATGCGGTCTTTCCTGGAGTTTCATCGGTATCATCCGCGAAGACTTCGATAGGAGTTGGCTCTCGTGAATCTGGTGTGACTGTAGGGATTGGTGTATGCCTTACATTTGGTGTATAGGGGGTTGAAGTGACGGCTGAAATTGGGGGCGCATCGTTGCGACACAACACTGAAGCTGTTCTCCGAGCTGGTTTTCGATCCGGAGCAATTGACGTTGCATCTGAGTCAGTCGTTGATTGAGCTACTGAGGGTATATTGTGCGATCCTATCGAAGCACTCCGTCCGGGTGGGTGCGCATTGGGACTGAGCGGTCTTATGCTTGGAGCGGCTTTCTTTGGTGTCTCGAGACTGCTGCTGCGCATAGAGTATTCTGTGTCCCTTGTCACGTCCGATACATTGTCCGCCAACGTGCTCTCTCGAAGGCTTGAGCGTGAAGTCGAGAATTTAGGTCCAGTCGACGTCCGCGAGGGGCTCTCCGTGCTTCTCCGGCTTTTTGAAGCTTCTTCCATTGTACGTTCTGCCGATCGCCGTGTGCTTTGCCTGCTCTCTGATCTCCTCTGTTCTGACGCCGCCGTTGCCGTGAGAGGTGGACTCGGGGGTGCGGTTGCAGCTCGACGTTCTCCGGACGTTGGTTTGTCTCTACTGGTGTGACCTAGGTCCGTGGGGTCGGGGGTGTAGACAGCGGCTTTTGGAGCAGGCAACGAGTCTTTGCTACCCACGGCCTCTCTACTATGGGCTTTCGAAAAGGAAGGATATGGTAGACTTGTTTTGGAGGCGCCAGGGGAGTCTGGGGGTCTCCGATCCATCTCAGGGACGACGGACATTTTACGTGACGAGTGGGAATGATGGGAGGATGATTTCTTGTGGCGATGATGGCGGACATCCGCGTCACGAATGGGGTCCTTGGAAGAGGTCGAGGTTTTCGACCGACTCGAGCGAGAGGAAGTTTTGTGACGGTCGCGGCGTTCTCTGTCTTTGGCTTTGTCTTTGTCCTTCTCCTCCTCACTGTCCTTGAACCTTGGGCTGTCTCGGTCGCTCTCTTTCTTACGACGCCGGCTCTCCGAGTCTCTGCTCAACATGATTTTAACCCAGTGGCATCAGGAAGATTGGAGTGTGGGCGTGCAGGGAAGGCTGATCTAGAGAGGCGGAGATGCAAGGACGGCTAGCAAACAAGGCACATTAATTGGCTGGTGAGGTGACGGAGCTGCTTCTGCACTGCGCCGCACCGAGCAATGAGAGGGCGCGAAGAAAGGAGGGGGTGTGGTCGTACAGTAGAAAGCGGTCGCCAAGAGCAGTTGGGAGAGCTTGAGTGGTGAGATTGAGAGTGAGGTAGAGTGAGTGAGGTAACAGTGAATGTGAATGAGTGGTGCAGTGCAGGTGAATACCTACAGATAACTTGACTTGACACTGGCGCTTGTCCACGGGCCAAGTTTGACGTGGCTGCGGGACACGCGCATGGGTTTTCTTAGCACCGGGCTGTCAGATATCAGGCCACAATTTCAACCTCAGGCTACAACTTCGACCTCAATCGACGCGACGAGACCTGCAAAGCTCCAGATCTCCAAAGGCGGTGATTTCCGGGTCGACAAGAACATTGTGACATTGGAGCGAGCATCATGCGAAGGCTACAATTGCCTTTCCCGGTGCGTCACTGGAATGGAACGTTGACCCGAACGTCAAGGGGATCAAGTATGACAACGCTCTCCAGGCAGGCACCTTCAATAGCCATGTTGACATTGTGAGGATGCTTCTGCGTCATTGGGCGAAGATCAATGCGCACAATCATTGTTCGATACCACCAGATATAGAGGTTATCAAAGAATGATAGGCCTTTTGATGCTTGGCGGCATCGACAATCGCTACAAGAGGCTTTTTATAGGGGTGATCTCGAGACTGTCGAGTTACTGATAGAACAGAATCACAATTTCAATGAGTACGCGGGACTGTACAGAAGTCCCGTTCACTCGACAGTATACAAATCTCACAAGACCGTGGCTGAAGTTTTGATAGTTGCAGGTGCAAATGTTAACATTTATGATTGGGCATTTAGGTCTCCTCCCCAATTATATTGCAGCAAAATCCGGAATGGCAGCCAGATCGATGATTTCAGTATGCTTCTCACAAATGGAGAGTTTTCCAGGCGCCTGCTACATTTAGTCACGATACCCTCCAAGTAGCATCGCGTAATGGCAATGAATTATGTGTGGACACTAATCGCCAGGGGTGGAAGGCGATGTCAATGCTAAATTAGGTATGTATAGTTGTAGTTTTCAGATTGCTTATCGTTGGGAACATCATGGTGTTATACAGTCCCTCTTGAACACAGCGCAGACCACAGTGGTAGCAAAGAATGTTATGGAAGAGCTACACAATCTACTGCAGCTGGACATTATCATGACACTATACCCAGCTTCTACGGAAATCTGGTGCCAACGTCGATGCCCTAGGTGGCCATTATGTATCGCTGTTGCAGGTCGCTGTGGCAAGGGAAACTCCGTTCAGGAAGTGCAAATACTTCTCAACATGGGCGCATACGCTAACATACCAGGAGCTCACACCGAGACGGCCATAGAACGCTCAGCAGGCCCGAAAAGTTGCAGCTATTTCTCTACCTTATCGAACCAGCATAAAGGTGATATGACGGAGTCCAACCGAATGGGTTTACAACCACAAGACACGGGCTCAGAGCAATGTGATCGTTGTCACTCAAGCCCACTCACCGAACTGAAGCCGCATATCACGCCTAAGGTCCGTTTGCGAAATATTCTGGGACGGCTGGTGCTTTGCAGAGTATATCAAAATGAATTTACGGGATTAATCCCTGATGATCCCTCAAGAAGAAAGCTACATTTCGCGGACTACTCGTATAGTGAAAGGAACCTCAAAAGTATCAGATTTTGTGACTCTACCTACAACTCCTGCCCGAAGGCAAAAGGAAATCCGGGGGCCTGGGCATCACATGATGATCTGACTGTGAATGCGCTGTTCTCAACTTGATCGCCAGCCACAATTCGACCTGAGGGCGCCGTGATGCTATAGGTAAATCTCCCTCCACTCTGAGCTCCTGCGAACACAAATCTTATAGGGTAGTACCTCTTTGCAAGGAGATATACATTGAAGAATACATTGCCTCGCCCAGGCGGATTGAACTGATAGCTCACTAATGCCTCCCTATTTGTTCCGTTCCAGAATGCAGTCGCTTCAGGGCCGATCCAGGTATACAAAGCGTCGTCAACGTCGTTCAACTGAATGGTGTATGTTCCGGTCTCGCACGCATAAAGATATGCGCGGTGATTAATCGCGTACTGTGTCTTGACGAGATTGACAGTGGATCCATATATGGGCCCTGCTGGACCTCCCTCTGCACTGCCGATAGGTAATCCGATGGTGCGTGTGGTGCCGGTATAGATGGGTACTGTGGTCTTGAGAGCGGCTGGATTGAAGCTTGGGTATCCTGGTGCGGTATTGCTTGCAGAATTGTTGTAGTAAGCCCATTCCCAGCCGGCGTTGGGGCAGAAGATCGGGAGAGAAGGGCACGAAGGATCGAATGGTGGAATGACGATTGAGCTGGCCAATGACATGAGTGCCATGAACTGGACAAAGAGGTGGTACCTTGAAATATGCATTTTAATCCTATAGGGAATTTCTTGGTTGATGATGTTAGATTACAGATTGCTTGATGTCCTACCTTTTATACACTATTCCAGTCACACATGAGTGCATTCTTTGTTGCCGAGGGCAGAGAGGTTTCAAAAGTCGGAATGCACTTTTCGTCGTTTCAGCCAGCCTGTGAGATGTCTTGGGCGCCATCGGAGGCGATATGGACGATATATCATAGTTTGGCTTTAAATAGCGTATTCATTGTCTTAGTATGCGTTGAAATCAGTGACACAGGTCTAAGACCCATAGCTTCGGAAGTCGACACATAGTTCTGGTAGCTTTTCCATATAAGGTTCACATTTGCCTTGACGTGGTACAAGCCCACCGGGTTTTATTCTCCGGAATTTCCACATTTGAATTTCCTATTTGGGAAACGACCCCGGATTTTACCTCAGCTCCATATTTCCCCACGCGGCAACGCTTGCTTTTTCGGCAGATCACGGGCCCAAAATCAACTACCGTCTTCTGTTGTCATCAGATCCCGGTTTTGAATAGTCCGTCGCGGGGTTCGCCCGATGCTTATATCAACGTCACGAGACAGTAAGATTCAGAGTGACTAGATGTAAGGAGTGCATAAGAGCACGAATGCCCGGCTCGTGAGTAGATGTTCACACGGCTTGTATACAGAGGTTGATAACGAGAATCTGCAATGAGAACCGCCAAAATCGCCAGTATACTCACTGTAACAAGTGCACTACTATGTCACTTATCCGTGTTCGCCGCGGAACAACCACGATGTAAGCCATGGACAGTCGACAAGAAACATCGAATTTTCGTAGCAACGGACATTTCCAACGAGCCTGATGACGCAATGTCCCTCATTCGCATGCTCGTCCACTCAGATCAATACCACATTGAAGGAATTGCAGCAGTTACTTCCACATGGCTGAATGCCTCGACATACCCCGACCATATCGAGGAGATTATCAATGCATACGCCTTGGTTCAAGACAACCTCCAAACTCATGGACACGGCCAATTTCCCACTGCAGACACTCTCCTGTCGAAAGTCACGACTGGCCCCAAGATGTACGGCCTCACAGCCATCGAGTCTCTGCAAGCAGGAAACAACTCTTCACCCGGCGCACAACTCCTCCTTGCGGCCGTCGACGCATCCCCTGAGCCACTGTACGCGCAAGCATGGGGCGGTGCAAATCTCATCGCCGAAGCCCTCTGGGTAGCAAACGCCACCAAAACGCCCTCCGAATTCGCCATATTCACGTCTAAACTGCGCGTCTACAGCATCTCCGACCAGGACAACACAGGAGCCTGGGCCCGGATGCACTTCCCCGGCGTCCGCTGGATCGCATCCGTGCACGGCTGGAACGCATACGCCATGGCCGCATGGACAGGCATCAGCGGGGAAGACAACTACTCACAAGATAAAGGCGGCCCAGACACATCCCTCGTGTCCCCTTCCTGGCTTGCAGAGCACGTGCAGATTGGACCGCTCGGTACGCATTACCCGGACGTGCTGTATATCATGGAAGGCGATACACCATCCCTCTTCTACACGTTCAACAACGGTCTCGGGAACCCTGAGTTTCCAGCATGGGGCAGTTGGGGCGGGCGGTACACACCGAGCATGCTTGGCGGGAACCATTACGGTGATAACGTGGATACTGTTCTGGGCCATGATGGGCGAATGTATACGAGCAACAAGGCCACTGTATGGCGCTGGCGTGCGGCGTATCAGTGGGAAATGGCGGCACGCATGCAGTGGACTCTGCAACCGTATGTAACTGGGTCGAATACCATACATCCACCTGTCGTTGTCATCAATGGGTCGTGTGGAAGCCATCATATCGAGTTAACGGCTAAAGCTGGCAGCACAATCACGCTCGATGCTACAGACTCGTATGATCTCGACGGCAGTACGCTGGAATTCACATGGTTTCACTATCGTGAGCCTTCTATGACCCAGAATTCGTATTCAGAAGTGCCTTTGCTGAACTTTACGTTCGCAGGTGGGTCGAATAATCGGATTGTGAGTATACAGTTGCCAGCAGAAAGCGACGCGTGCAGGTCACCTACAAGAGTGAATAAGCTGGTGGATGCGGGTGTTGTGTGTCAGCAGTATCATTTGATTCTACAGGCCACGAATCAAGGGACGACACCGATCACGAGGTATCGAAGGGTGTTAGTGAAAACTGATCCTGGCAATGGGATGTAGTCACTTTATAGCTCTGAACAGGAGCGACGATAATATCTGGGAATAGTGCCCCATGAATGTAGTATTGACTATCGAGAATCCATGCGTCCAAGCCTCAAAACGAAGCCAGCGTTTCTTCAACCTTTACCACGGAAACACTATATTATGCCATGATGACCATTAGTACCCAAGGCATCCCTCGACCTATGATGTCCTGATGGCCTGATGTCTTTGTCTCCTGAGTCCGAATTCGAAACATGATTCAGTTGAGCTTGGAATGGTCGTCATAATTCGTTGATCAAGATACTTGTATCACAATGTCAGCTTTTAAAAGAATGTCGTACTGATGACCAACATTGTTCTAGCGACTTACTAATAGCCTCTCTTCTCTCTATCTCTGAACTCAGTTCGTCCACGCGTTTTTTGAGTTTCTTGCACATGAGATCCTTGAGATCAGGTCATGGTTTCTGAGCTCGCTTGTAACCGCCGCATGTAGGCTCTCTTGCATTTTGGAAGTTTCTTCAGCTTGTTGCGTTGGGCTCGGACAGGTACCGTCTTGAGTTCTCCATTTTTTAAATGCGCTGTCGAATTGGACTCTGTAACGTGCTAATATGGAGTCGATCATGCTAGGGTCAAACAACATTTCGGCCTCGTCTTTACACTTCTTCCAGACGGCGTTTTTGGTAGCTTCCTCGGGGGAGATCTGCTCGGCAGACATTATGTAGATGTAGTGATGACCGAGAATCCTGTAAATGCGATGGGAGTGCTGAGTGTGAGATAAGGTGCGAATGAAGTAGGAAGAATATACCACCCGCTCTACGATGCATCATATATATACCCAATATCCGTACCAAATCTTGTTTTGATGCATGGATATTCATTTCTCTGGCATCAGGAATTAGGTTGTTCGTTCCTTGGTCGGAGTGTTACACGCAGTACTTGCGCTGTCAGAATCAAGAGACCACGTCGCCCCCCCCCCCCCCCCCCCCCCCAAGATGGATTTGTTGGCTTTACCGCCACCCCCTACTTCATTACCTGATTTATCCTAGGAATGCTTTGTTCTCGGACTAGGTATGTATATTAGATCCTGTGCCACCGGGCGAAAGAATGCTGCCCCTTCTTTTGAGAATGTAAGTAGCTTTCTATCTTTACCACTCTGTAAATTATTCTAATGTTAAATCTTGCCACAATGATGTATTATAGGTAATCATGATGCAGTCATCATTTAAGTTGCAGACAAGGACAAAGCTGCGTCTAATATATCTCAAATCCTGCCAAATATAATCTCCTAGTATATTATTGGTATTTGTAGACGCATATGTCATGTAAACGCCTATTTCTCCTATGCTCCTCTCTTCATGCTCTATAATATATCGATAACTGTTTTTGTTTACACATTATATCAGGCATACAATATTCGATGTCAAAACTTCTACTATCCCGAATGCTCTCAAGAGAAACAGGGCTATAGAAACATAGATTTATACAAAATGATCCATTCATATATCATGTATGTCTCATATGTGTTCTAATTGCCACTAGAGTATTACCAAGATAAATGAGTAACAGACCGTTAAGTCATAATCTCTCTCTCTCTCTCTCTCTCTCTCTCTCTCTCTCTCTCTTTCAATATAAATAGATGAATAAGAAATTGATATATATAATAGGGCATCTATAGCAATTACCCACATAGAAATTAGCTTTAGCTACGTTACCAGAGATACAGTCAGGGTTAAATTAGTATATAAGATAGCTATACATGCGGATAGAAAGCACTGCCCGCAAGTACTTTATGATGGAGAGGCTTGGATTAGACTATCCAAGACGGCATAGGCTAGTGCAGTGCAGGTGTGAAACGTAGGTATACATTTAGACATAGTTGTGGGCGTATATGTAGGTATAGACGTAGGCAAGGCTGCGCGGGCAATGTAGTGTGTTGATCTGGTTCAGGGCCAGCTCCAGAGACTCGCTTCAGGCCAAAAACAAGGTGCCGACCATGTTCATCCAATCAATTGTCACACGAGCCAACATCAATCAAGAAACAGCCTATTCGCAGCGACGCAAATTACATGTTCTATGCATACTTCACTTCTGGCAGGTGCATGCTACGTACACAATACACACACGCTTCCCAGAACATACTTGATATCGTCCTAGATAGCATCGTCATCTTCATCATCATAAGCCTAGCCCGCCTCGAGATGCAGTATGTTTACCCATCACAACCAACTTCGAAAATCGCGGGAGAGGAGTCTCTCTGGGCATCGCGGGTTCGGAAGAAAGGAGACTTATTTTTTTGGCCGATGTTGCTCCACACAGTTTGTGTATATGCTCTTCGAATCGGTGCCATACGATTTTCCTTTCCATGTTCAGAGGTTGGTTGGGAATCCATTGGTGTGTGTATGTTGTATCCGAAGACTGCTGAAATGGGACCTTCAAGAGTGCTACATCTGAGTCGTACTGGCTGGCGACAGAGAGCGCATTGGGAGAGGTATGAGTCAACACGAGCGGAGCCCGAAGCTTCTGTGGGTGATAAGCGATAGTATAGAGAGAGAGCACTTGGTGACACACTACTTTTTACAGTATGTGCTACGATAAAGTCAGTAATCGTATGCATAAATCGATGGGGGAGATGGGATATACCAACGACAACATCCTGGCTCATGAGTGCACGAATGTCTTGATAACATGTTCGTCTCTTTTATCCACCAACTGGAGAGTATCGCGACTGTCATTTGTGACCTGCCTTTCCAGACTCTCATTCTCTATCATCTTGAAGTCCTTGCGCACCGAGACGTGAATTGGAGTCATAGCATTCTTCAGGCTGGTGGTGTCACGCTCTTCAAGACGGAGAGCACCTTCTCGTGGGTTTTCTTCTTCGTCATCTTTGCATCTTGTGGTCAGGTGCGATAGGCTGAACACGCCGGGGCGTTTGTGGTAACGATTCGGAGTTCCGTCAGAGTAGTCGGGTTCTTCACTGGAGACGCCTTTCGTGGTGAGATGCTCGATTACTTGCTTGTAAAGTGGATACAACGTAACCACACAGCCTGCCGTGATGGCAAGGCCGCACTCGACGATGGACCAGACAGCAATCGGAACAGTTGCGTCTAGTAGGGACGACCAGGTCAGAACACGAGCGTTGGCGAGAACTGAGAGATAAACTTACAGAGAAAGTCAGCATCAGTAAAAAATCGGGTGTATGGTATGCGAATGACGACCGCGCAGCTTGCACTATAAGACCGTCGAGTCAGCCAGAATCAGCAAATATGGAAAAGGAGTATCCACTTACATGCAGGCTATACTAAGGATTGGCACAAGCATGAACTTCATGCTTCGTTCCATTTGCAGTTTGGTAATTAGTACTACCGGCAGGAGGCCGAAGATGAAATCACATAGAGCGCAAGTAGCGCCGTAACAATAGGAGCAGATTGCAATGACTTCGGGTGAGAGACAATGACCGTCCACCACACCAAGCCATCTCGTCCAGAAGAACTGAACAGGCGAACACTCGAAGAAGGTAACGAAGAGGAACACAATTCCACTGAGAGTCGTGACGGCCATGGCGATCCAGATGATGATGCGGTGCACCTTGTAAACAGTCAGGCGGAGGAGAAAGACGCCAATAGAGATTTTGGCGCAGGTCATGGCGACGCTGTATGCAATGTAGCCGATCCAATAGATGTGGTATACGTCAGTATTCTCTGGCAACAGAGGAGGAATAGTCAACTTATCCTCATAGTCACCATGATACTCGTTGGATCCAGATCAGTCATATGCTGGCCCAGCCCGTGGCGTGTTCCCACTATCCCAGCAGTTGTGTAGGTCAGATAGCCCATCTGTATACGCATGAGCCTAGGACAGCCGAAATGGCAAATAGAATAATATCTCGTACCAATGAAAGGACCATAAAGTAATCGTCTAAACCGAAAGCCTTGGTTATGCGAATTCGAACATAGCATCGTAACAGCACAAAAGACAGTGCGAGGGGCCCAAACGAAGCAGCAACACCCAAGACCTGCGGGCCCCGGTTCTCGACCATGATTGTGAAAGAAGGAGTAAGTCAGATATTGGAGCCGGATGAACACGTCTGGGACTCGTAGAGAGTGGCCACAAGATAGAGATCTAATGTTCCATGGGCGAAGAGGATTGCAGGTAGTATATATGGTGGTGGACAGGGGCCATTGCGCGGGTACATAATGGTGAGCCTTTTTGATCCTTCTTCGAATGCACGTGACAGTCCCTAGTCTCATGCACTTGACAGTCTCTAGTCGCTGGGATCATACCACCGACAAATGGCGTTGCAAAACGGGCAGTATTAGGTTTCATGGCTTGTGGCGGTAGTTTTAGTCTGGAGGTTTTGTGGGGAGCGGGTCGGCGCTGACTAGGTAGGTAGAGCCGGATCTGGAAGCGGGTCAGGCCATTTGGTAATGCCCATATCATTTACCGAGAAGTCAACGGCGCTCTCACAATACCTGCATATGTCTGTTCTTCGTAATAATGCGCAGGGACTGTAAAGGGTTCGCTGCGGTAGTTGCGATGTCACTAGACAGGCCCTATTGGTGCTTACTTAAATTCTTGTTTTTTTATGGATCAGCTCAGGTCCGTTATGCATTTGATGGGCCGGGGAGGGCTGTTATGGCTGTAAAGCTTGTCGATCAGCTTCAGGTCTCGTGGCGCTCAGAATTCACATATCAGTAAGTACTAAAACGAAAGAAGAAAAAGCTAAGCTCATTCACGCGTGCCATCGTGCCAGGTGCCTTAAGATTTCCCGGCACGTCTCGCCCCCTGCGCCTGCCCACTTCTTACTAGCTAGCCCTACACGCATCCGAAATCCAGGACATCACTGAGATCACTCGAGCGTGGAGTGTCACTGGGTCAGTGTGTATACCATCACTATGCTATGTAGCCTCAGACTTGCAGGTACAGGGATGTTTCCCTGCCTTCCTCCCGTGGCTCCACTTGGGTAACCAGTCAGATTTCATCGTAGGGCCAGTAAAAAAATCTATTTTGGTTGTCACTCATCAGGCCACACTGCCACACACTCGTAGAATTCAACCAGATCCTGTTCGTACTTGGCCATTGCTCGAGAAAGATCAAACATGCATGAACTCTAGCAGGAAAACCACTCTCTGGCCCCACCAGACAGCAACTTTCCTGCTGGATGAAATAGGAAAATTCGTGACCATGCATCGCACAGCTGTGAATGTAGTACGCGAATCGTGAGAGGTGAGAGGGAAACAAATAATTGTGATGCCAAGACGCACAATGGATTCGACTGTAGCCATGTCTCCATTATCTGTGTGGACTAGTAATTCGCTAATTAATTAGTCTTGTTGTTGACCAGTGGAAAGGGCTGCTCCAAGCGGCGCTAACACCACAAAGTGCCTCCGCCAGGGACGTTGGCTTGTACCACTATCACCATCTACGATGAACATGGCTAGCTCATATTCGCACCGCTGTCTGTCGTGCACAGACGTAAACATTCTGGTCGAACGGACAGCCCAAGAGCTGGTTCTGTATCTGGATCATGTTTCTTTACTGCATACGTTCCTGCAACTCCTGTAGAGTCAAAATAGGCGTGGGATCTTGACCAGAAAGGTTGCTAGTCAGACGTGTTAGAAGTCGTGACCAATGTACATTGCAAGGTTTGAACAACCTTAGCAAAGCTGGAAGGAAGATACCCACAGTGATGAGCTTTTTCTCCAAATTCTCGACTGAGACTGAACGATTGCACAAGCTTGCGCACCCCCGGACTTCCTCCATAAAGTACATTATGATCACACGTTTCGCGTGATCACAAATTATCATGTAGCCTGCTTCGTCCACCGCAGTGCGATGATACACCGGATCGTTGACAGTCCACCTATGGACTGCCCAAGTAAGCATTGCCAGATATGTATCCTCGCCGGCGCAGAGGGCAGGGTCGGAGCGCACAGCTTCTACCAATACAGTCTGGATCCTGTCCTGGCAAAGCTCGGCAACATCGAGTGCTGTCTTATTCGCCCAGAGGTTCATTGATGCCACAGCAGGTCGTTTGAAATGCTACGGAATCAGCTTACAGCGTCAACCGTCATCATCCTCTGCATAACTGGGGCGAACAATACACCATCTCACCTCGATCATGTTGGCAACTTTGCTCTGCTGTATATCGTGGTTCCTGCCATTCATAATTGCCAAAGACCGGTAATTTCCAACAACGAATCTCTCCAATATTCTGATCCGGTCTGCGTTCGTCGAGTTTTAGGGGTATTTCCTGGTATCTTCTCCAAGCCACATGGCTGTGAAGACGGATTGAAGCATTTTCAGATGGTCAAGGTACAGAGGCGATGCACCGTTGCTGTCATCGATCGTCATCCTGAGTCCATTCTCAATATTGTTATATACATAGGCGAGTAGCGTACCAGGTGTAGGTCGGGCGAAGTTTGAGGAGGGCGCTGACTTGGCATGAGACTGACTTGTCTCGCCTGCTGACATGTTGCTTTGATAGACCAAGGTATAGTGAACTGGCTGGACTAAACGTTATCGTGCAAAAGGCAAGAATATTGTACAATAAATGCTGAATGGCTAATGAGTGTACGGAGCCCGAGACAACTCGAAAGCGTGAGCGACGTATAGTATATCTGACCTCTCTCACGGCTGAAAATAAGCTCCATGGTGTAGGTAGCAGTTTCCACCTCTGAACTACGTACATGCCGAGCATGTAACGGCGCCTCTAATCTGACTTGGTATTTCGGTCTTGTGATGACTTTTTGTGCTCAGTCTCATTTCGGATGTCTATACACTGGCGCATAGCAATCTGCCTAGCCAACGGCGAACATCACGATAAGAACATTTTAGGCCATGATTCTGTCAGCATTAAGTAAAAGCTATTCAAGTTTCCTCTTCTAAGGACCCAGATAGATGTGAGCAGTACGAACATTTACAGGCCGTGCATGGGCAGACCAAATCCCTGATAGCTGAAGAGTGCGGCAAGAGGTCGTGTACTTATTAGCCATTACTCGGTATAGAGCACCGGAAAAGATGCGGCGGGATCGCCTTGGCACAGAAAGTACCTGCAATATATCATATTGGTACAACCTATAGGAAAAAATACTGTAAGTCTATTACACGTGATTCTGGAAACTCATCTCCAGAACAATACAATACATTAGTTTGCGGAATCTATGCTTTTCCAACAGCTTGAAGTAGTACTCATCCTATTTGTTAGCACGTATGCCTCGAGACGCGAAGCTTGCTTGCACGTCCTTGTATACCTCCTCGGGAGGTCTGGTCGCCTTGATCTTGACGACTCGGCCTTCCGCTTCGAAGTGGTCTACAACCGGCATACTGGTCTCGATGAATGTACGAAAGCGCTTCTTGATCGATTCAATGTTGTCGTCGGCGCGACCGGAGGTCTTGCCGCGATTAAGAAGACGCTTCTCCATGACGTCTTCGGGGCAGTCGAAGAACAGAGTAAAGGAAGAGGGTACAACGGTCTCCTCGAATGCCACAGCTTGGTCCATTTTTCGCGGAAAGCCTGTTGAAGTCAATGGACTATATCCTTTTGCCAGATTACGGCTCTATCTCACCGTCAATCAAAAATTTATTGTTCCCGCTGTCTATGGATGCGCGCATGGCATTTTCTAACAGCTGCACGGTGACTTCCATGGGTACAATCTTTCCATCCGCGATATAAGATTTGATCAGGTCTCCAAACTCGCTTCCTGGCCTGTCCTGCTCCTCACGCAGTAGGTCTCCGGCCGAAAGGTGCTTGAACCCGTAATCCTCAACCAGCTTCGCGCATTGTGTTCCCTTGCCTGCACCCGGCCCTCCAAGGACAAATATGACGGTTGCTTCATCTTTAGAGTAGAGAGGCTTCTCGCGCTTCGGTGCCGGGAGTTTCTTGTCGTCCTTTGCGGCCATCTTATCTATAAAGGAGAGCGTCAGAATACTGGGCACGCTTTGTCAATCAGTGGCTCACTTTGCTCTCCTTCACGAGATTTTACGAGGCGCACGAATCCGAATGCTCCGAAGGACAATATAAGAACGAACGGCCAGACTCTGAGAGGTGATTGACTGGACCTGGACTGCTGCGAGCTCTGTTGTCGGAAAGTTGTAGAGAAATGACGATTGGAGGGTCTGAAACAGCGAACAGGAGCAGTTGACTGCTGTTTCAAAGTTGAAAAGACGGAACGAAAAGAGTGTGATGAGTACATGACAGCTGACCTGGTAGCGTTCAGGTGACAATGAGTATCTCCTTTGTTTGAAGGCTACCTGGTAATTATAGCTGCAGCTGCGCCTATAAAGCTTGGGGTTTACGATGGGCAAGGGTATTACTCGATACTAACTTCTTTTGTTCTACGCGACTGCTGAGTAATTATTAAGCGAAGCAGACTTCAATCGGTTCTCCTAGCTAAAGTCACACTTCTTTAGCAACCTCGCAATCACTCGCGAACAATGATGTCAATGGCTCTGACCATATTTTGCGACCATGCATACCTGCTCAATACCCACTCAAACCTAGTTCTTGTAACCTGACTACCATATATAGGTCAGCGACGTGGACATTCCCGTACATACTCGATTTCTACCGTACGCAAACGTCAAGCTACATGCAGGAGCGAGATACGAGGTCGACATATAAGAGCATGGAGATCAGAAAGTAGTAAATGGTATCGTGTCGCACTTTACGAGCTTGGCTGCACGTTGGTCCACAAGCACGCCGAGCCTGCGCTCACCGCGCTCGTAGCCCAATATCCGGTTACGAGACTTGCATTCGTCCAATGGTGCAAGTTATGGCTGTGTTATCGGCATCATGTCTGCTTGCTTGCTTGCGGTGGTGGAGTGGTTTTGCTGTCAAATAACCCTGTTAAAAGACGCTTAACCGGTCAGAAATTCTTGAACGTTGTGAAACTTTCCGAGAAATATTCTGGTGATACGCTCCCGCCTATTTAAGCTACTTGGGGGTGGATCATAACTAGGGTGGGTGAACATAAGCGATGTACGCTATGACCATCCCCCGGCGTTCGCAATTCTGGCGTCATACGGTGGACGTTTGGATCCATTTCCTTCGGGATCTGAAGAAAACCAAGGGGATCGAATCGGCCATTCGCGGCTTTAATATGAATCTCTCCTGAGTTTACGACCCAGCACTGCTACGGCACTGCTGGGGGGCTTTTGCTGCTTGCTGCGCCGACTCGAGAAGAGGATTTGGACGGTATGGCAGCTGTTCGAGAGAGTCGGCGTTCGACTTTTTGCGGTTACAACTCTGTTCGAAAATGAACGTGTGATCTAGCTGCCTTGTGCTTTTGCCTACGCTCGTCTCTAGCTTCTGTGGTTTGAGCAATATGACTGCTTCTGCATAATATGTAAGATATGTCACAACCATTTACTTTGCATTGCCATTGCCATGATGCCATCAGCTGAATAGAATGAGGTGGTTGGTAACCAACCCCCAGAAATGTACACGCGAAAGTGCGCTATATGTAAAATCTATTCACGGGCGGGGTCGTGCTTTCTACTTGTGTGCTATTGACACTCTTCTCAATAGCTTTTCCCCAGTTTCAGCTGAGTCTCGAACAGCTCAATTCTGGTACAGCGCTATTTAATCTCTCCTACAGGGTCTACTTGCACACCCATCCTCCACCACAAATACCGAATCTCCTAAGCAGTCGAATTTGCCTCCTAGTAGCATTTCATCATGCCTCCCCCCAAAATTGCCTCTAACCAAGCGGAAGCCCGCAAAACAAAAACTGAGTGTGTCATCTTACCGCGTCGGAACAACAAACCACCACTACTGACCGTACCAAGCAAGCCACGCAAGCAAGTTGGATTCTCCGACCTACCTGGAGAAGTGCGGAACCAGATTTATGGCTATTACTTTCAGAAGCGTTCTCGTGTCGAGCTACACACGGTTCCAAAACGCACAACACGAAAGAACCCGCTCCCTCGCAAGTCCAATCAAACGTTCATCTTCGTGAGCCCGACGGCGGACTCAAGGAAAGTGGTCTATTCACCGAAGAAGCCATCAGCACAATCAACAGTACACATCACTCGTCCGCTCTTCAAAAGCTGTCACAAGATCAGAAGCCAGTATCACGATACAAAATGGTCCAGCTCAATCGGTGCGCTGTTCCTTGTCAGCCGTCAGCTCTACGAAGAGACTATACATTTCCACTACGTTAACACCACCTTCGTATTCGACACCAGCAAGCGTCTCCGGTCTTTTCTGACTCACGTCTCTACCGAGCGTCTCTCCGCCATCCGGAATATCGAGGTCAAGCACATATCCTACGGCGAGCCTCAACATCCCCGCGATTGCGTATACAAGAATAAACACGACGAGAAATGGGAGGTTCTCTGCGCTGACACTGCCCGGCTTATGCCCAGTCTGCGCTCCTTGGTCGTGTCCTGGCACGTTGTCGAATGCCCCATGCGCTTCGAGGTGACGGAAGAATGGCTCAAGCCGCTCTGGGCATTCAACGTGCTTAATAAGTCTACAACCCCGTCAGAACTTCGTCACCTGAAGCGAAGTCATGATATCGTCCAAGATACCAAAATTCTGCAGTCAGCCGTACGCGAATCACCGTTCAAGATGCGGGTGCGGTTTTCAACATTCGCAGATGCAGCGCATCGGTATCAGCTGAAGAAGTATCAGATTGACCCGCGGCTCACAGCGGCGTATGATGCTCTGAAAGGAAGGTTCGAACAGGCAATCGGATACGTGGTTGCTGGATGGACTATGAAGGACGCTATCTGGGTGTACAAGGAAGTGTATCGCCAGCGGCACATCATGTGGGTCGCAAACTTGAACTTGAATGAGCCATTGGCGATCTTCATAGAGGATTGAGGGTGTGCTTGGTTTTGCTGTGATTCTTACAAGAGGAGGTTTGTCTCGGTTGTTACACGGAAGTACACATCAACAAAGAGACACAATCGCAACGAGAAGTGATTTGAGTATAGGGATAGCGAAGCTCCACGATGAATCTGAAAGTTATAGTAGCTCCATACGATTGACCGAGAAGAGTCTTTTCGAAGCTTCGAATTAAATAGGCTTGCTATGATCTCTATTCATTTTCCATCGCGCGCCGATATGCTTCAACTACAGCAGTACAGAGTACACGCTCAAGTCTCCATCTTCTCCTCGTCTTCATCATCGTCACCCTCAATCGCCTTCTTAGCCAACTTCTCTGCCTCCTCCCTCAGATCTTTCGGCACCTCCTCAAATCTTCCCTTGGTCGGTCCAGCCAACGAGCTCACCCAGCACATTTCCAGCTCAAACTCTTTATCTTTGCTGTCCTCGTGCGCCACGTAGATGATTCTCGCCGCTTCCTTGATCCCCTGCTCCAGACTCAGCTCTCCTGCCGCTAGATCAAGCTTCTCCAGCTCGCTCTTCGCACTCTGCCGTCCCTTGCCCGTCGCCGCACCGTAGTATGCCCAATACATCCCGCTCGGCTCAATCATATACAGATATGGTCCACCCTTCTTCTTAATGTCCTGCTTGCCACCCGCACCTATACTTGGGCCTGAGCCAACTTGTCCGTCGACACCAACCTCTGCCTCACTGTCCCAGCCGGCAATGATGGACGTCACGCCGAATGGTCGTACAGACGAGAACAGTGTGTACGCTTGTGTGTATTGGCCCATGCGGTCAGCGAGCGCAGAGACCGGAATGGGCGCTTTGTACATTTGGCGCCAAGAGGCAGCTTCTTCCCGAGAGCGTGAGACAAAGTGGCGTGCATCGGGCAGAAGGCCAGAGGAGACCTGAGTGACGATGTGTTAGTGGTTGATGTTTCGTATCTCTTACAGGATGGGCAACGTACGACTCCCATGTTGCGGTCGATGGTCGATATCCGCTTGTTGGCGTTGGGCTTGAGCAACTTGCTGGTGACGAGCTTTTCGAGCGCAAGCACGACGCCATCCTTGCATCTTATACCGATTGCAGTGCCACCGTTCTCAACAGCCTTAACAGCGTATTCAACCTAGTGTACTGTGTAAGTATAGATGTTGGAGCTTCATGGAAGCTAGAGTGAGGGAGATTGTACTTGGAAGTTGCGGCCATCAGGCGAGAAAACGGAGTTTGTCAGGTCATAGCCCGTTCCTATGGACGTCTTTGGAAGGGTTTAGCCTCTGAGGAAAAGATCGTTAGGTTGGAAGTGTTACCATGTTGGCTGAGCAATGGAGGTGACGGAGGTAAGGCTTCTATTGTGGTTGACAGCCGAGATCGTCGGATAAAGAGTTGGGTGATCGAGATGGGACCTTCTACAGAGGTTGAGAAGTTCAAATTGGTATTGTTGAGTCGAGAGTGGTGGATTATCGCCTTGAGCGTCGATGTCGAGCTTGGAGCTGGATCTCTAGGCGTTGATGAATTCGCGTCGTCGGAGAGCTATCGCGTTAGACCGGTTTAGGAGGAGGTAGCTTTACTCACGTGATATCTCCAGGATCTTATCTAATCGGACACAGCTGTCCTACAAATGCATGGATGGTTCTGCATGGAACCGCCAGTCGTGCTTTGTCTGGTGTCTCGCAGAATGCAGAATATCATAAGTAACCTCGTGGCAGTGCGTAGATAATATACTGCTTCACTTAGTGAAGCATACAACCACCAATCTCATTTCTCCAGAATATACTGCGACTTTTCAAAAGCATTGCACGCGCTGCACGTCCTTCACCTTCGAATGCTCGTGCCAAACTCCACAATGTCTTGTCTGGATGGCCTCCACGCCGTGAGCTGGCGATACCCTCTTGCGTGCGTGATAGTGGACATCTATTGGCAAGCACTGAGTGCTAGTGGAGCAGCGTCTGTTTCACGTCCATTCACGTTGGGCCACGCTGGGCCACCCTGAGCCTCGCTGGGCTTTGGAAGGCTCCACCCCTTTTGGGCGTCGGCGTCTCATGACCGCATCAACTCTGACTGGTACATCATACCTCCTTGGCTTGGTACTTAACCTCTTGCACCCCCAACCGCACAACCTCAACACTCCGCGTCTTGCTTCCAATTTACGGTGTTGGAACTGTACGTCTGTGTTTGAAGGCTATCCTACCGGTTGCGACATCTTGTAAAGTCCCTCATCTGCCAGAAGCGGGGCAAATCACGCCGTCTTGCACACCGCTCGTATCTTATAGATCAGCGTCTACTTGCACCACGATTCGTGGCGCGGTGGAAAAATTCCTACCAAACACCAAACGATTGAATACTCACTCGATTAATCCATAGTTTCAGCCACCACGGGCGTCCACAGTCGTCTGTTCAGGATATATGCAGCCAGTTCTAACGCACTTCTGCATGTCTTGCAACTATCACACTCCAGTAGCCTACACAGCAGCAGTTTTCTCACAGCTCCAGACTTGCAATCACGTAAGCCTAGTTTCGCAACTTATGATAGTCACTAATTCTCATCTCAGTGCGGTGCCCAAGCCAGTGGCCTAGTGAATCCCCCAACCGCAACCACCATGCAAGACACAATGCAGCAGGATGAGCTAGCAAATCTCTTTTCACGAAATCTCAGCCTCCAGCACCAGGCTCATGAGCCTCAAGTAGAGCAGCAGGAGTCTAAACCCGTTTCTTCGCAGGCGGTTCCTCTTGAGCCCCAACCCATTACGTACATTTCCCAGCATTACACTCATTCCGCTCATGTTATTCCCAAGGCGCATTCCGAGCCTTCATCTATACATGTAGATAGCTCAGAGCTGGTAGCAATTCTCCTCAGGAATAGCATTGATCCTACTGCCCTGTCTCCTTCTCAAATCAATCTTTTCCAGAACGCGGACGACGGACAAAAGCTGCGGCTTTTAGAACTATGGCGTATATCCCCTCCAAGCTACAACAAGAGTCAAGAACTGGGAGTGCCAGCGGACACGACACTCCAGCAAGAAGAGCATTTGGCCAGGCAAAGATATGAGGATACTGAACTTGTTAAGCAAAGGAAAGCCAATGAACAATCGATGTGGTCTGAGAACGAACAAATGATGGAGGAGGACTCCGGAATAGGGATCTCACTGGCTGGTCTTGCCGCACAAAATCTTGCAGGCTCAACCTCCGCTGACCAGGGATGCCGAAGCGCAGAACCGTACATGGAATCAGGTTATGAGTATCTCGCCAAACGAGATTATGACGAGGAATCTCGCTCTCTTCGAGAGTCGAACAGGTACAATCAAGCCGTGGATCCAGTCTACAACAAACCCACAGGTGACTGGCTTTGGGGCAAACCGGGAGTTCAGGATATGGAAAATCAATATGGTGCCTATACGGCCATGAGAGAGTATGAGATCCAGCAACAGCGAGGTACTTACGTCGGCATCCACGGAATGGACGAGGATATGATCATGTAAATATTGATAGTCCTACGCAAGTTTGTGGGATCAGTTGGTGCACATCAATTGTTGTTTGATTTTGTTGGCATGACTATACCCAAAGATCGAGTTTTACTTGTTGGAGATCGAACACTGGTTGTTGAGGCGGACGTCGAAGCGGCGATTTGGCATTCAGGATTATTCTGAACAGGACATTGTCGAGAGTATATTCTCATGAGGATAGCCTTCTGGATATTCTATTCCATGCATACCGCAATATTCTAAACGGTTCAATAACCTTTAAGCCTCGCGTGAATACTATCCTTTTCCATTACGCAATTTAGTTTTCTTTCCAGCAGCCGTGCATCGTAGATATCCATAGTCATTCAAGATGTTCCACCAAGCAGATCAGTACCAATGCTACGTCAAGACGGTATCTCATATTCACTGCAACCTTCGTCGGACATCCCGGCCGAACTGCCGTCGAGTCACAATCATCGTCATCCTCCTCGAGTGATCACGATGATCCACAACATATCACCTCATTTCCGATTTCTCGTCATATCAGGGCTCCTCCTACCATTGATCCTTCTGGTCATTCACCAACTTGATATATTTCCTCTGCAAACCTTCAAGTCCAAGAGAATGCCGCCTACATTAATACTGATTAGACATGCCCAGGCATTGCATAATGTCGCGCAGGGTAAGCTGTGACACTTCCAATAATCATGCGCAACTCATGCCGTAAGCTTGGTCATTCATGATCATCACTTATTGATGGTATCTCAGATTGGTCTCTCCACGATCCGCCGCTATCGGAGCTAGGTGTGCAGCAATGCGAAGCGTTGAAAACGAGTTTACAAGGACTGCCCCTTGCGAAGGATATCGAGCTTGTTGTTGTTAGTCCGATGAGAAGGACACTACAAACGATGAAGTTGGGCTTGGGATGGAAAATTGATGAGGGTGTGCCGGTCTTGCCGGATGCAAAGTGGCAGGGTGAGTGTTTTTCTTAGTTCTTTCGTTAGTGGTCATCTGCGTCTGCTTGTCTCAATACTATGCTATCCAGACCGTTTTTCGAAAGTAGCTGGGGGCTTGGTTGAGGACCTCCAAGCTCTAAGAATGGTCGTAATGTCACGGGGCACGTCGTGGATTTTGGGCTTGAAGCCACGCGTCTACCTTTAATGGTACAGCTTTCGTTCAAACTCCACATACACTAATATGCCTCTAGAAAACTCCGACAAGCCCTGCGACACAGGCTCCCCCATCGCCACCATACAATCCGAATACCCCGAGTACAACTACACCTCTGTCGACCCCATCTACCCCGAGAAGGTAAACCCACCAGACAACCTCTACGTCTTCACTCGAGCCGGCGTTCTCGCACGCGGCCAAGCTGCTCTTGCTGCTCTATACTCGCGCCCTGAAAAGGTCATCGCCGTAGTATCGCACTCCGCTTTCCTTCGCACCTCAGTATCGCAGTCGCACTACATGAATGCCGACTATCGGATCTTTGAGTATACGCTGGACAGTGGGAAGAATGGTGAGTTCAAGCTGAAGCAGTGGGTGGAGACGGAGGAGAAAGGGGGTGCGCTGGGCTTGAGCCGGAAGGGGCTCCAGGAGATTAAGCCGACTGATTTTCCGAATAAGGCAAAGGGGGAGGATGTTCCTCAGTTGCCGAATGACTAGGTGCAAGGGCCGAACCTGAACTTGGCATTGAGCAATATAGGGGCTCGATGCGCTGAATGAGAGATAGACTTGCGGTTACGCGTGTTACATAGAAGTCGATCATGGAGGACCGAGTTTATGATTCTACAGTCACAAAAGTACAATACGCAGCTATTATCTCCTCGTGCATGTAACTATGGGTAGTACACGCCGGTAGTCATGCGAGTCGTCATCATAAAGTTGGTGACGTAGTTTCTGATAGCGTTCTGGTATTGGCAGCAACTTTGTGCGACACAGTAGTCGATGACTTAGACGTAGGTCAAAGTGATAAATATACGTGTAGTCGGATGTCTGCGCACGCACTGCCAAAACCGTCATGTCGACAGTACGGTTCCAGAGTAAGCACTGTCTGAGCGAAATAGGCGCAAGGACTGAAGATGTTGCTATATCCGTCGGGCTCGAATCAGCTTTTGCTATTGATACTGGCTCTACATTGCTTGTCTCACACACACGCCCCGATCAAGAGAATCCTTTCAGTCTCTATACGTCATATTATTTGACGATCTTAGATATAGACATAATTGATGTATAAGTATGGAGTTTGAGTAGCTATGTTAAGTTCAGGAGAGTCTATCAGGAATAGAAAAGTATACCTGAGAGCACATATCTAAATCTATCAAGGGACAACTGGGCGATCCAAAGCGACGGAAAAGCAGTCAAAGCATGAGCCTGAAGATGATAACAAGAAATACATAGCTACAGGAAAATCTTTGCCAGTGAATTCTTTCGGTCTGGAAAGTGGCTCAAGGTGTTGCGTAGATACGTCAAAGCTTACTATGTGACGTTAGACACTGACAAGAGTATTGCTACTTATCAGGGACAGACATACAGTTCCATTCGATGTAATATACATGGCTATGGTGATAGCCAGTGACCGAGTGAGTGATTTTGAATACGAACTCAACATAGGTGCGGTAGCTCCAAAAAATACCAAACGAGCAAATGGCCTAGCCTGGTCAGATCCATCACAATGACTAAGGTGTGTGGACATTGATGTGCGTGCCCCCGAGCTTTGCTACACTAATCCCTCCTGGAAGCATTCCATACTTACCCAGTAGGATCACAAACCGCATGAACGGGAGTTAGGACGATGAAGTTAATCGCAGATATCATCGGATATACAAGTTGGTAAAGTTCATCCGCGGTCCCTAGTTGGCAGAAGACGTCTAAAGCATGCCTCAAGGCACGTCTCAACTCTCAACTCATTGAATGTGCTGAGAACATACGGAGATGTCACGGATGGCGAAATCAGAAGACCTTGTCACAAGATAATACTCCTCATCCAGACACGAACGATGACGGTAGTATCAATGATGAAGATAGCGCAGGCTTCATTGCAGTAAATGCGGCTTCGGAGGCTCTAAGCAATAAGACGATGAGGGCAGCTTGAAGAGGGACTAGATGAAACCGAGCGAAGCTCCTGATAGGCACAAGCTACAGGAGGCAGGATTCTACTTTCTCGGATTGAAGGGAGCTATCTCGCAACAAGAGAGAATGCAAATTTGAAGCAGGTAAAGAGCGATATGATATTTGACTGCTAGAAACAGTGTGATGCTTGCATATAGTGACGTAGTGAGACGATGCACAATGGTTGACCTGATACGTTGCAGGCTGGCGCCCCACATCCTCGGTGAATAGTGGCATTGACAAGCATTTCAATAGGTTTATTATAGACTGTTCTCAAGGGTTTTCACTGTACAGGCATTGTTGCATCGCATACAATGTGCGGGTAACTTTATGAAACACTCAATGAGTATGAACTGTCAGAGTTCGCGGCTGGAAAGATATTCGTAACAGCAGAGAGCAATTTAGTACCGTCCATGAAAATTTTATGGTCCCTGACTTTGCTCTAGCAGCTGACAGGCTTGAGATGTTCTGATGATTTTCAGTTATTACATATAGTTCTATAGCCATTTCCGCTAATTTTCCTGTATGAGATATGTTTCCAGTTGCCAGGGCGAGATGACACGTGAGTAAATAAGACTCAAGAAGCCAATGTAAATGGGAACAATGGAAAGTTGAAACTCTATTGACGAAATGATGGCCGATTCAGCTGCCCGTAGGATGTCAATGACGTGTGTTCCGCCTGAGCAATGACCTTTGTTGCATGTACATAGTACAGGACTGCCTGCCCACAATCACGATTCCCAGCAACTCTGCACAAGTTATTCGTGAGAGATACCTCTGACATCTGCCCAGATATTATTACCAACACTTTATCAATCTTCACAATATCAAGTCCTTTCTTACCGTAATCATTGTCACCATATTTGGGAACATGTCGTACTGCGAACCTGACTTTGTCCCGGATCCTATGGACATTGACGACGACGATTTTGAAGTCAATGGTACACCTCTGCAGGATTCTGTCGAAGGCTCCGCAGAAGAGCACAGGGTGGCCTATGATAGCCCCAAGAGTCCCCTTGTCGACTTATGGACTCCGTTTGATATCTTTGCTGAAGGTCAGCAACGCCGCGCGAAGGCAGACGAAGGGACCGAGTACAAATGCATACAAGAACACATCAATAGTCTGCAGGATTCGCCACTTCATTCGGGCACAAGTAGAAAGCCGAACATCTACAGACCCATGAGCCCATCCCGTCTGAAGACAGAATACAGCGATGACAGACACACCAACTGGTGGCGACCAAGACCAAAGGCTGTGGAAGCTCTACAGTGCTTCATAGGGGCCTACGAAAAAAGGATCGGACGAGACATAGTGTTCAAGATGTTCAAAGACCTCGACGATGCCCTGTTTGGTGGCTCTTTGTTGCACCGGGTACACATTTCGTGGTTCAGCAGTACTGGCGACTGTTGTAAGGTCGATGCGAGCAAGAATAATGATATCAGCATATATCTCAATGCGGCGAAAATAAGTGGAAGTTCCCCGGAGCTGTATGGAGCATACCTGCATGCCCTAGTACACGCTTTCATGAAATCGCAGACCATTCTTCCGGATTACTGTTGTTCTGGACCCAGCAGCAAGTACAGGTCGAAAGAACATGACGATATATTCTACAGCATTCTGGCAAAGGCGAGTAGGCGTCTGGACCATGTGTTCGAACTACTTGTACAGGACGCGGAGATGTGCGAACAGAAAGGCTTTCTTCCAAGTCAGACACAGCGTGAGAACATCAGGAGGCAGTCACAAATCAATCGGACCGACAAGAAGCAGCCTGGTGATAATGTCTTCGCAGAGAAAAAGAAGGGGATTGGCGCAGATCAGGAATCAAGGCAAGGTACACAGGATAATGGCGAGGACTTCTTTCACAAAAATACAGAGATACCACCACTGTTTGGAGAAAGTCGGCAAGCATATGATCGACAAAAACACAGCAGCTGTGCTGAACACACTCAGTTCCATGGCAATGCAAGAGGCTCCGCTCATGACAATGCGGATTATAAACAGTACTCGCAATTTGGAGGCAGGAGCAGAAAGGAACATAAGAAAGCTCCAGCCGAGACACAGTGGAGGAACTGGTTCAGACAAGATGAAAAGGAGGAGAGAAGAGGCACTTTCGGTGATGACAGGCCGTATGAGGGCAGTCGCTACCAACGGCGTCATTACGATTACGACAAGAGCGAGGAGTCCAGCCATTATGCACCACCACCACCACCACCACCTCCTCCTCCTCCTCCTCCTCCTCCTCCTCCTCCTCCTTACGGTCATTCACAAGCTGGTAAAAATTATGGCTCTAGTGGATTCCCGAAGTATGAGCGGTATCAGCACCACTACCGGTACGAGCAACAAGCAAAACCAGACCCTCCGCCTGCATGGCAGCCACCACTACTTCCTCCCCCTCCACCCTCGAGTAATATATTCAATCCCTACACTGTACTTGGCATTCATAGGACAGCGAGTATAGAAGAGATCGGGAAAGTTTATAAAAAGCTGGCGTTGGCGAATCATCCGGACAAAGCACATGATAAGAAAGAGGAGGCAACGGAGAGGATGAAGGAAATTAATATGGCAAGAGAGATACTTGTTAATCCTAAGCGCCGAAAGGATTATGACACAAAGGGAAAATTTTGAACAGCCGCAGTATATGTAGAGGAAGCAATGTAGCAGTCACAGACGGACGGGACCAACCAACCATGGTGGATATGGTAGACTATCAGGAGACTCACAAGTGTAGACAAGGAGAATATGTCGCGGCACTTATTTTCATTCAGGTTTGAAGATCGTCTTTTGAGGAGGCAAAATTAATGACCTGAACCGTAAAAGTTTACGTCACAGAGAAATGAATGGTTGGCAGTTGACCTTCGCTTAGGCTTTGTACGCCGATGAGGGTCTGTCTGTCGGAGGTCAGTATGTATAATAGTAGTTAATTTTCAGGTTATGCAGAGACCGTCCCGAAAGAACAGAGACGCCACAATTTTGTGAGTTAGTGCTCCAGCCCTCGCTCGACCACGGGAATAGCGTGAAACTGTGGAGATGCCTTCTTTATCCCCGAAAATCGACGCTAGCACCAAGGCTGGCCAATGGAAGCTCCGCTTCTTCGAAGTTGTCATCTGCTCGACGATTGGCCAGCCAGATCGCCCTCGGCAGACGGGCAAGAGTGTCTGCATCACCACTCTCTCTGCCACATCTGACCGTTTTGACCTCAAAACGCCTTTTCAACCTTTACCCCCTCTCCCTCTCCACTCCACCATACACAATGGCAACCTCACGAGCTCTATCACGGCTTGCCCTCAGGCGCGCAGGTACGTGCGCACCCGCAAGGTCACTATACTCGCCAATGCTAACAGCCGCATAGCAGCACCCACCTCGGTATTCACACGCACCTTCGCCACGGTCTCTCCCAGCCGCCCTGTCGTCCCCGAATCACAAACCTCGACCGCAAAAGAACCTTCGCCCGAAAAAGATGCTAGAATCAAGACCTTTCACATTTATCGCTGGAATCCTGATGAGCCGACCAGCAAGCCAAAGATGCAATCCTACACACTGGATCTCAACAAGACCGGACCCATGATGCTCGACGCCCTGATCCGCATCAAAAACGAACTTGATCCTACCCTCACCTTCCGCCGTTCGTGCCGCGAGGGTATCTGTGGTAGCTGCGCCATGAACATTGACGGCGTGAATACACTGGCATGTTTGTGTCGTATTCCCACCGAGACAACCCAGGAATCACGCGTCTACCCACTGCCACACATGTATGTGGTCAAGGATCTAGTGCCAGATTTGACGAACTTTTACAAGCAATACCGCTCAATCAAGCCGTACCTGCAGCGCGACACCCCGCCGCCAGATGTATGTCTCCTAAATAGCCAGCCTCCCTCTGGTGTCTCCTCTAGTAGTCATCCAAATGTACTAATACTTACCAGGGCCGTGAGAACCGTCAATCCAAAGCCGAACGCCGCAAGCTTGACGGTCTTTATGAATGCATTCTCTGCGCCTGCTGCAGCACATCATGCCCGTCGTATTGGTGGAATCAAGAAGAATACCTCGGTCCCGCCGTTCTCCTACAGTCATACCGGTGGATTGCTGATAGCCGTGACGAGAAGACGCAGGAGCGACAGGATGCGTTGAACAACAGTATGAGCCTGTACCGCTGTCACACAATCTTGAACTGCTCGCGCGTGTGTCCAAAGGGGCTGAATCCGGGTTTGGCGATCGCGGAGATCAAGAAGAGTATGGCGTTCACTTGAGCATCGCATGGACGATTAAAAGGCGTAGGGTTGTAGAAAGATTGCATGAGTATATGGGTCAGAGAGATTTTCTTATGTATATTTTGTGCTCGGAGTCGAGCATGCGACACTGCTTGATTGTGCAAGTGGCGTTTTAACTAGGCATGTAAAGCATAGCAACATTCAGCATTCAACAATCCATAATTGTGCCAATATTGTTCAGGTGATCTCACCGTTTGTCTAGTTATCCCAATTCGATAATGCTCGTACGAATCGCTGTCTGCTTACACTTCCAGCACCTTCACTTTCGTCATGCACAACACAGACCTATCTCGGACTTGCTATTCTCCAGACATGCAATGACAAGTATTGCCACGTTCGTGCTCAGGACTCCCCCGGCTGGGAGGCGGTAATGGAGCGACGTCAGGCATGTCCTCGTCGGGTGCGACGACCGACATCTCTGCCAGGGCTGCTTCGGCCTCGAGGGCATCCATCATGACGGCATCGATCGAGTATCTTTCCGTACTGATGACCCTTCTCAACCTCGTCTCCACACTTTGAAGCCTCCTCTCGTTCACAGTTGCAGGCGTCCTCACAGTGAAATCTCTACTCTCGCTCATATCGATATCTGTCGACGCCTTCGTGTTTGCATCATCAAGTATGTCGTCCAAGTCATCGTTTTCCTCTATCCACGGTCGAATCACGAATTCTCTGACTAGTACATCACCAGTATTAATCGGGTGTGCCATCGCACTGTCTTTCCGGTCGTCCTTATTCCGTCCAATAGATCGACAGACGACACGTCCGTTGCGCTCATAGAGCACGCAATTTGCCTTCAGTCCGTGGTTGCCTTGACCTTCAACTCGTAGTATGCTCGCGATCGGATACAGGCTGCCTACCCAGAGCTGCTTCTCGCGGAAATTCTCGTCCTGCCAAATTCTGCCAGGGATTAGCTGCCGTGTCTCGCCCATCACGTACTCAGCGACAGATTTGTAGCGCGCTAGCGGTCGTTGTGAGCAGATGGAACCGTCATCATTGTAGAGCTTCTTAAAGCGAGCACCAATCGTAGTGTCCATATTGTCCCAGATCTTGAGAAGCATAGTGTTGAGCATCCAGCCGTCATAGTTTTTAACTTCGAACGCGAGTTTGGCACCGCCAATCTTCATCAGGAACTCGAAGGGTTTGCGAATGTTGAGATCGAAATGCCATGGAGCAAGGTGATCTGTCGATCCAGGACTTTCAGGGAAACGGAGAGCTTGATTTTTACAATTATACTTGTCTGGAAAGGTATAGTGCAACGGTGCTGGGGTGAAGTTACAGTGTCGATATAGACTCGGGGCTTCTTGGCAATTAAGATTAAGCAACTGTACTCCGGCATGTGCCAAAGGATGCTGCCTAGTACCACTGGTTTGAGCAATTATACGGAGCAGTAATAAGGACGACATACGCGCCTCGTGAGGAGTTGGTACACCAACCATTTCCTTTGGGGACGTGGTGTCACGTATCCACCCGTCTAGCTTTAGGCCACAGGTATCCGCATGATGCAGGTCAGTGGTTGCCGCCCAACAATCTTTACAGCAGAAAGGTACGTCCATACAACTGTCGCAGACGCTGAATCCCTCTGATGGTTCGACTGTAAGCCTTTGAACTGTGCGTTGTGTTGGTGCTTCAAATGATCCTTCAGCTATCGTTGTGAACGAATCATCTTGGTCATCTTGGTAAGCCTCGTCGTCCTCGGAGACTTCGGTGACTCCTACAACCACGGGAGGAGCGGTTGGCTCGGGAGACATAGAAGGCCCTGGTGACCTCGAGGTGGGATCTCGCTTATCATTGACGCAAAGGGCGTCTCTGTAAGCTTTTTCAAGCAGCTCTCGCGATGCTGTCAGACTAGCGAAACAGCCTTCACATGTGGGATCGTTCCCATATAGAATCGTGCTGACAGACCCGACCATCCATGTAGATCGCTCGCAGAATATTTGCTCCTCCTCTTCCGTGAGATTGTCTTCGGCACAGAGATGGAGGTTGAGCACCTGTAAGCTTTCACCACGAATGCTGACATTCTTATTGCCATTGAGCGCAGATTTGTTCAATTTCTTAAGCGTTTCATTGAATTTTCCAGTAGTTTCGATATAGTTGTAAGTGTCCCAAGGATATAAACACCGGGGTATCCTCGTGTACTTCATTTCCATGAGTTCGTTTATCAACGGAGTAGACGTGTTTCGTTGCAAGTTCAGCCCTGCGGACGCCTCCTCTTTCTGTTGTTTGGCAAGACTTGAGAAAATCTCAGACTCTAAGCTGAATAATTGTTCACGCTCATCAGATGAGCAAGTAGCCTCGTCATGAGCATCCACCATTACGTCGAGCGCAGACTTAGCTGCACCACCACCAAGCTGGTACAGCGACAGTGCTAACAAGTACCGGGCTTTCATTTTGAGACCGTAGCAGAAATTGGAATAGTTCTGTACTAGAATGTCCACGTCGTCTGGAAAATCGACCTCCGAGAGAAAGATTCTGATGCTTCCGAGTTTCGTGTTCAGCCATGGGAGTTCCCCTCGAGCGATATAGCATGTTGGGGGCAAGGTCCAAGGCTCTTCTCTAACATCTGCAGCTATGTTCATGTATTTGAGAAAGTGCTCAATCTGATCTCTCCACAAGTTCTCCTGCTCGTCAATCATGCCAATGTTGGCAGCGTGCATGGCTCTGCATTACTATGTCAGTACGACACTCTAATGTAAGACTTGCGGACTACCTGTATGCATCCATTGCGGCCAACTCCGGATAGTCAAGCAGGAGATGGGCAAGGGCCCTACCGATGAAAGCGCAAGCATGACCTGGTGACGTTCTCGTTAAGACTTCTTCTGTGTAAAGCCCTTCTGCTTCGACGTAATGAGCTTTGACGAGGTACCCATTTGCCTTGTCGATCTTTTGGGCAGCTCGTTTGAGTGCCCTGGACGAGTGACGATCATCGCCTGCGAGCGACATATTTACAACTCACTTGAAATAATGCAGAGGCTGAATGCGATACTCATACGGGGGATATCAGGAGAGGGAGCCTCGAATGAGTGGAAAAAGGAAAATGAGCTGCTATCGAGTTGGAAGACAATGGAAGGTGTTTCAAGGTCGGCGACCTGGCGAAGCTGCCGGGCATTGTTTACATGAACAAGGAAGGAACACACACAGCGCTCACACTGGTAGAAGTGAATTCCCCTGTCTCGCTAATCATAGCAGGTATTCACTTCAGCGCTTACAGTGTTTGTGCTCACTCATAACGGCTTCTTCTACGTTCAGATCGCTATGCTCAGTCGAAAGTGAAAAGGATTGTACGACAGTGTTTGGGAGACGGCATGATGATCACGTCTCGCACAATCTTGGTGTTGTGCCTATTGGCAGTCTCTATTCTCTGAGATCATCCGTGGGCTCAGCCCTGTGGTCGATCTACCTAATATACGTTGTGCACAGATTGAGAGGCGTGAACAACGCGTCTTCGGAGACATTGACCAACGCTCAGGTGTTGACAGTGAAATCGGGAGACTTGGATCTGGACATGCCTTAAGAATAGAAACGATGCTTGGCCATCAGTAGGTTCGTGCGTGAAATTGACGTTCAAAGAAATGTGGTATTGTTTTGTAGTAAGCTCTCTCTAGGAGGTGAAAACAAGCAAATTGATTAATGGGCCCCGGTAATAAGTTCCCACTGTTACTGTGCCACCCGTCAGCCACCCGTCAACGCCACAGGAGACACAAAGCTTAAGGCTAGAGCTGCAAAGTAATTAGTGACTGTGCACGAGCTTCTTGGCTTCACAAGCTCATCATCTGATGTGATGCGCTGCGATGCGATGCCCGCGACTAATATACATAGTACAATATTAAGCCTTTCCAAGCATGGCTTGTTGGCGATCTCTGCTCCGTGCTCCTCAGCAGAACAACCATCCCATCCACCCCCGGACCATGGTTCTCCGCCTCTATTGTGCTTCGGACTGCTCGCACATTCATTGCGCGCCCAGCACCAGCAGTCTCTCCTCTGGTACCGGGTGCTGTAGCTCTTTAGCCCGACCCAGAGTCTGGTAGCTCTATTAATTTATTACCTGGTGTTAGACTTTCAATCCTGCGATTAATTGTCCTCTTCGAGAACACCCTCAGACTTCGGCTTCTTCTAATCTTCAGCAGACTTCCTTTGAGACAACCTTGGAAGAACGTGATAGTCTGTAAGTACGAATATAACATGTCTCATTTGCGACCATGGCAGACCTGACTCGCATTCCACAGACAATCTACCAATCAGCCACTTCGCTCGCATCAACGTCCAAACATTCAGAATAAGCATCATGGCCGCTGTCAATTTTGCCCTCCTCGCCCGCTCCGACGAAGCAAGAGCTGCCGTCGAGAAGCTTGCCCGCCGTAAGAATTGGGCAGCTCGCGAACCAGGCGTCATTGTCGTCTTCATTATCATCTCCCTAATCGTATTCCTCCTCGTTGGTCTACATGCCTCAAAGCAGTACAAGGCCCACAAATTGAAGAAGGAAAACGAGAAGGCGATGGCTTTAGTGCTCCCGCCTGTCCGGGAGGCCCAGTGATACACACTCTGCTTGGCCACTGGTCTTGAACGTTTTACTGTATGATGGGATGGGACCTTGAATTTGTACATGGGAGATACCCTCTTACTGTTGGGATACAGTTCTGTTAAACGTAGAGTGCTGTTCTGACAGGGCACTTGATACCGTCCCATGCGCCGGGTCGCACCTTGTACCCCTCGCTGAAGCTAATATAAATAATTTTCTTCGAGACCTGCATGGGTGTCTATTGCAATCGTGTGATCACAGCACTCATGTGGCAATTTACATGAATTCTTTGATCTTCACATTCCATCAGTGTGGTTGAATGTAGTGAATGTTATCCCACTCTACTTCTGATATGACGCGACGCCATAAACTGTGGGGATTATGGGAGAAACACAAGCGGCAGCGGGCGGGTAGGTTCAGCGGAGTGGATTGGAGTCAGTGCTCCCAGTGTTGAAAATACGTCAGGCAGGTAAACTTAATTTGCTCTGCTGAGTATAGTTACAGCACAGGTGTATATGGCTGAGAAAGCATAAACACTTCTTCGACTAACGCTCAGCATTATTCACCTTCTCATCTAAGTAGCTTTGTCCTGAGAATTGTCCAATCACGTGATGGCGCGTTTACGCGTCTACGCGTTCGCGCCACATATCTATGCTTTCCACTATATTTCTGTACTGCAGTTGTCGTTGCTCCGCTAAAGCCACAGCCTCAACCCCAGGCCTCAACAAATGGCACCCCAAAGCTCTCCTCTGCCCTCGACGCAAGCGAAGAAGCAAGCTTCCATCTCAAGCTTCTTCACACCTAAGTCATCAGCGCCGAAATCCTCACCACCTGCCCCGGAAGCTACCACCAGTGGCGGACACAAACCAGTAAGTAAAGAGCATGGAGACTCTGTGCGCTCAACATCGGGCACAAAGCGATCTCGTGAGGATGGAGAAGAGCATTCACCACTAGCCCGACCTCAATCGAAGAAGAAGCGTCCTTTGATGGCATCTGCTAGCATTGATGACAGCTTTGAGGCGGGGACTCTCCCCATGACCAATGGATGCACTGCTTCCAGCTCTGCAACACAAAAGAATGCGAATGGGTTGAAAGTCTCGGGGCGAACGTCCAAATACCTCTTCTCGAGCTCACCTCTGCACGATGAGAACGAAAGCGACCAGGATACAGAGGAGAAGAAGCAAGAGAAGGACCGCCTACACCAGCGCTTTGTCAGGAAGCTGGGTAGGCCAGAGGCTATGGCAGAGATCAGACGACGCAATCATACCGGCACTGAAGACCCCGCCGCTGCTGAGGAGGGCGAGGAAGAGGAGGGCGAGGAAGAAACCCCAGCACTGAAAGGCAGAGGAAGGAGATTAGCTGCAACAAAGAAGCCCAAGACACTTACACCTATGGAGAAACAAGTGGTGGAACTCAAAAAGAGCAATATGGATACACTTTTGGTCGTAGAGGTTGGTTACAAATTCAGGTTTTTCGGTGAAGATGCTAGAATAGCAGCGAAAGAACTGAGCATCGTATGTATACCTGGCAAGTTTCGATTCGACGATCATCCATCAGAAGCACATCTCGAAAAGTTTGCGTCTGCAAGTATCCCCGTTCACAGACTGCACGTCCATGTCAAGCGACTGGTTGCAGCCGGACACAAGGTCGGCGTAGTCAGGCAATTGGAAACGGCTGCATTGAAGGCAGTCGGTGATAACCGCAACACGCCGTTTGTCAGGAAACTTACCAATCTGTACACAAAAGGCACGTACATCGATGATGTGGAGGGCCTGGAGGGATCTTTGAACACACCTAGCGACCAGGCCCCTGCCACGGGATATCTGCTCTGCATGACAGAAACGAACGCAAAAGGTTGGGGTGATGATGAGAAGGTTCATGTTGGCATAGTTGCTGTGCAGCCTGCGACTGGCGATATTATATACGATGACTTCGAGGATGGCTTCATGCGGAGTGAGATCGAGACGCGCCTTTTGCATATCGCCCCTTGCGAATTTCTCATTGTTGGAGAAATGTCGAAAACGACGGAGAAGCTAGTCAGTCATCTGTCGGGAAGTAAGACAAACGTGTTTGGCGATCAGGCCCGCGTAGAGAGAGTTGCAAAGAACAAGACTATGGCTGCGGAAGCCTTCAGTCATATCTCCAATTTCTATGCGGATAGAGTGAAGACGGAAGCAGGTTACTCTGCGAACACAGAAACTGCCACACATGTCCTCGATCAAGCACACCAGCTATCTGAGCTCGTATCAATATGCTTGTCAGCTATGATCAAGCACATGTCTGAGTATGGTCTCGAACATGTGTTTGACCTGACTAAATACTTCCAGCCATTCAGTGCACGATCACATATGCTGCTGAATGGAAACACACTTACGAGTCTGGAGATCTATCAGAATCAAACTGATCATACTGAGAAGGGCAGTTTGTTCTGGTGTATCAATCGCACGAAAACAAGGTTCGGTCACCGATTGCTTCGCAAATGGGTAGGCAGGCCTTTACTCGACAAGCTGCAGCTTGAAGACCGCATAGCTGCAGTGGAAGAACTCAAGAAAGGAGAACACACTATCCCTGTTGATAAGCTGAACCATGTACTAGGTGGTATCAAGGGAGACCTTGAGAAATCTTTACTTCGAATATACTACCAAAAGTGCACGCGCCCAGAACTCCTGAACGTACTGCAATCCTTACAGGCTATAGGCAATCACTACGCTGGCGTGAAAGGCCCTGAGTCCGCTGGATTCAGGTCTTCAGTCTTGAATGAAGCCATCACTGCTCTTCCCAAAATTTCTGAAGATGTGGTCGGCTATCTGGAAAGAATAAATCCTCAAGCCGCCAAAGTCGACGACAAATATAACTTCTTCCGTGACGAGTACGACACCGAAGACATCGTTGCTCACCGCTTAGGAATTGCGACCATAGAAAGCGAACTCGACCACCATCGCGCCGAAGCTGCTGAGAAGATCAAGAAGAAACGTGTCGACTACACCACCGTCGCTGGCATCGAATATCTCATCGAAATCGACAACAAAGAATTAAAGAATGTTCCAGCATCCTGGCAGAAGATTAGCGGCACAAAAGCCAAATCGCGATTTCACACTCCCACAGTCATCGCAAAAATTCGTGAACGCGACCAACACAAAGAATCGCTCGCCGCCGCCTGCGACACCGCTTTCAAGACCCTCCTCACCGACATCAGTACTAGATACCAATCTCTACGCGACTGCATACAGGCCCTCGCCCACCTCGACTGTCTCCTCAGCCTGGCCACCGTCGCCTCGCAACCTGGCTACACGAAACCTACCTTTACCACCTCCCAAACAATCGCGGTTCAAGGCGCTCGCCACCCCATGGTCGAACACCTCCTCCTCGACGCCTACGTTCCCAATGATATCCACCTCTCGCATGACCCCAACACCGCCCCCCGCGCCCTTCTTCTCACCGGCCCAAACATGGGCGGCAAGAGTTCATACGTACGCTCTGTCGCCCTCACAATCATACTCGCCCAACTCGGCTCCTACGTACCTGCGTCCTCAGCATCTCTACCCCTCCTGGATGCCGTCTTCACCCGCATGGGCGCACATGACAACATGCTCGCTGGCGAAAGCACATTCATGGTCGAGCTCTCCGAAACCGCAGATATCCTCAAGACTGCCACCCCGCGCAGCCTGGTCCTCCTGGACGAATTGGGCCGCGGCACGAGCACGCATGACGGCGTTGCCATTGCCAGCGCCGTACTGGAGTATGTCGTCCGCGAGATAGGCTGCTACACTTTGTTTGTCACACATTACCAGACTCTGGCCCATACTACAAAACGCTTCCCCGCTGGCGAGCTGCGCAATGTGCATATGCGCTTTCGCGAAAATGAAGGCGTAGAGGAGTCGGAAGGTGAGGTGACATTCTTGTATGAAGTCGGCGAGGGCGTCGCGCATCGCAGTTATGGGCTTAATGTAGCGAGACTGGCGAGGGTGCCGGGAAGTGTGTTGGAGGTTGCGAGGGAGAAGAGTGGCGAGCTTGAGGGCAGGATGAGAGGAGTCCTAGTGGGCAATGTTGTGAACCTTGTAGCAAGGGTGATGGAGGAGGGCGATGAGGATGCGGTGGACATGCTAGTAAGGGGTATAGAGGAGCTGTAGAGATGGAGCATACCGGCCAATGGGCAACATCGCCATGTCACACGTTTATGTATCGGATGATGCAAGCCGCAAGGCCTTAATATACATCATTGCATGAATACACTATCGACATCCCGTGCGAGTGATACTTTTATCGTACAAGCCCCCAGTTGCATCACTCAGTAGAAGCCAGCGGTGGGAATAACATCCCTGCCTCGCCCTCAGGTATGTCAGGCGACTCCCCATAAGTCCGATCGCAACCGAATTCACAATGTGCCAACGTCCTCTTCTCCTCGCTCACACCCAGCATGTCCAACAACTGCCTGGCCTTGCCGGGCATGAACGGCTGCAGTAAGATGCCCAAGACCCTGATCGACTCGACAGCATGGAATATGGTAATGTCAAGCGGCTTATTGAGCCCCTTAGCATTCTCCTCGTTCGATTTCTTCTTGACCAGCATCCATGGCTCGGTCTGTTGGATGAAGGCATTTGCATGCAGCGGCAACTCAATAATGGCCTGAAGTGCCTGATTGACGTCGTTGTTTGCCATCATCTGCGAAGCAATATCGCGAGCTTTCTTTATGTGTGCACGCATATCAACATACTCACGATTCTGGCTGTGTTTTTCCGTCGTCTCCATGACGGCGCGGCGGATGCTCCACTTGCCCTTCAGCAGGCGAGAGACTAAGTTGCCGATTCGATTGCGGAGAATAGTCTGGTATGTGTCGTATATTGCATAGTTGCTGTAGCTGCTATCTTTAGTAACATTACCGTGAAGAGCAAGGAAACAGCGCAGATTATCCACACCGAACCGGTCGAGTGCGAAAAAGGGGTTGATCACGTTGCCAGTTGATTTGGACATGCGTTCTTTGCCGAGAAGCCAGTAGCCATGAGTCAGAAATTGTTTGGGAAGGGGAATGTCAAGGGCCATCAGGAATGCGGGCCAGTAAATACAATGAAAGCTGATTATGATCAGTGGCTGTGGTTGCAAGGTGTATGCATTCCCTGACATACCGCATGATATCTTTGCCGATGATCTGACAATGGGCTGGCCAGCCACCTATACTCTCCTGTCCCGGGGTCCATGGGAACCCTGCAGCAGTGATATAATTTATGAGAGCGTCTAACCAGACATATATGGTTTGACTTGAGTCGGTAGGCACAGGTATCCCCCATGTTAATCGTGCACAGGGCCGCGAAACGGACAAATCTTCAGTGTCCGTGCCAGCTTCCACGCCACGAACGATATCCTGCATTCGCACGTCTGGCAGGATCCAGCGCGGATTATCTTTGTACCATTCCAACAACCTTTCTCGAAAAGCTGAGAGTCGGAATCGGTAATTGATCTCTGAAACCCATTGAACCTCTTTACCTGTCTCTTTACTGACATTCTTCGTTTTCCCAGTTGCTGTGTCTAGCACACTATGCACTTGAGAAGTAGGATAGAAGGTCTCATCACTAACGGCATACCAGCCTTCATGCTTCGACTCATATAAGTAGCCCCGATCCGCCAGCATGGACCAAGCATACTGCACAGCTTCTATGTGATCCTTGTCGGTAGTCCGTATAAACCGATCGTATTCAACATTACATTCGCTTGCTAGATTCTGCGGGTCTTAGACAGACGGTCACTATAAGCAGAGTGTTTGGGTGTACCTTGAACAATTGGGCACCGTCGTCGCAGAACGATTTACTTTTGATGCCGGCAAGGGCAGCTGCTTGTTGAATCTAGATTGTTGACAATGGTCAGGCCGATTGAAAATACAGTCTAATACTGCCATACCTTCATGCCATGCTCATCAGTCCCAGTACACAATATAGCTCTCTTTCCGCATAAAGTGTGCCATCTCTTCATTATGTCTCCCAGTATCATGGTGTACATATGCCCAATATGAGGCGCTTTCCTTCCATAAGCTTGGGATAGGCCTTGCGGAGTCGAGAGATATCATTCGCACCTGCATTGACATAGAATATAGGCGTAGTGATGTATACTGGCCGGTCATCTGAAGCTGTTGAAGCTGTGCTTGAGTAGTAGTGCCACTGCCGCAAGTCCGTGCGCAAGGAACATGATGGCAAGAAACTCGTTCGTGATACTATGCGAGAGACGGTACGCAACAGTGGCGGAGGTAGAAGTCGTGGTGCCATTGCATGAAGCAGATCCCCCGACACGATGAATTCAAGTCGCATGTCCAGAGCTACCAGATATGATGGTCCGAGCTTACAATGGGTAGTCACGTGCAAGGTCCCATATGTAAATCTTCCGACCAACACTCCATCTCTATGTTCTGTATCCGTTCTTTTGGCCAGTCCAACACTCATCTGGCATGACTAGCGAACGTAAAACATACCGATCGAGTGCTCCGAGACGAGGCAGACAACGTCAAACATCTAGCTCTTTGGCTCGTGCCGCTTTCTCCTGCCTTAAACATCGCTTTCTCCTGCCTTAAACATCGAGCCATGCAGAATGGGATGAATCTGGAACAAGATTCTCCACGGAACACGACGGCCCAGTTGAGTGGTGAGATGCGTGCAGGACGTCGTATCTTCATCTGCGGAGATAAGGCATCCAAGTCTGGGGTCCCCTGAGTCGAGACGCCTCATCTGTCTCTATTCAAACCCATTTTTGTCTTCTATTCAAACCCCCTTTTAGGCAGTCCCTCACCCAGTCTCCTCTCATAAACCAAGTTCTATTTAGAATACACCCTAGCTATTATGTCAGTTCTGAAACATGCAGACTCTGTTTTGCGTTCTGCATGCGTACTTGATGTGGACGCCGCCAATGTGCATCTGATGCCTTACGATTCGATACGACCCTTTTGACACCTCAATAGAACCCAGAGTTGAATAGAGACACCCTGTCATTTAGGCGCATCTAACTATTGGTTTCTCGCATATCGGCCAAGAGCAAGATTCGCCGGAGTCAAGGTCACATCCTTGACCATCTCATTCTCCATCGTATCCATCTAGCTGTTCCCAGTTTTTCCTGACCCATCGTCTTTCCTTGCGTAGGATCAAGGTATGCGTCAATATTGAAAGCCTCCTGGACTGACGACTCGTCCCAACTTGAACGTACACGTTATTTTTTAACAAACTTCGGGGCTGAGTCGTTTGGTTGAAGCCCCTCAATATTGCATTCCTGCTCTGATCAGACTGGGTCAGTATCAGTATCAACGAGTCCCGCTGTGTTTGAGCCTATATAAAACGCTCAAGTCGCACGAGCTTTTCCTTCCTGTACCAAACAACCTCTCTGTTCCTCCTTCAGCTTCCTTCACAAGCATCGCCCTCACAACCCAACACCCAGCCTATTCATTCGATACTCTTTTCGGCCTATACACCATGTACCTCAAGCATCTCATGGTTGCCTTTGGCCTGGCCTTGATGGCCAGCGCCTCCGCCCGCTACAAAGTCGATGATTCGAAAATCGAAGTGAGAGACCCGAAGTCACCCATTTACCATGAGAAGCCCCACAACGTCCAGTGCCAACATCTAGGCGAGCCTTGTGGTGGCTAAGTTTGTTCAGCCCCGGTGGATAAAGCTCTCCTCGATCCGCATGGCACTGTCGCGGCGCATCCTACCGCCATGGAAGCTTTATATCAGAATATCATTAGACGATGTCGGTCGATACTTAGCACGTTAAAGTAGCCTATCGTCAGTGAACAATCATACAAATCTGGTTTACAGTCCACTCGAAGGACGCCTCCAATTCACCAAGCCACACCTCGCATCTGGATCGCCAAGTCACTGGTTACTCTTAGAGACATCGACAATCGGAGAACTTCATCCTCTTACACTTTTCATATAGTACGCTGACCTGAATGCAATTTGGTTCATGGTTTTCGGATATCGCAATTTTTTTGTAGTCACAGGCAACACACATATTCTTCCTAGTCAGCCCCGACGGTGACAGATTATGTTCATAGAAAGAGGGGGAAACGTACACTGCTTGTTTCCGTTTGCCTCAGATAATTTGCTGTTGGATACAAAGTTCCAGTCGTTACCGTCGAATACTCACATATATATATACAATGCTTTTATTTACCACGGGCCTTCACTTTACATAGCTTTTCCAATACTACAGTACCAGGACATTGATCTAGGAACATTTCAGGCAGCGAGGTGTATCCAGATGAATTATCCCTCACTGTATGTCGGGATTAACACTTCTGCCATGTTCAGACGTTGCATATTTTAGCCTGGTCATCATCCTGCGATTCTTCTAATCAAGCAGAGCACTGTTGTAGCGAACATCTCGACAGTTCGTAACCGAGGTCCACCGGCTACTCCAAACACACTTCCGCAACTAGTCACGCGCTATACCCGAACCAGCAACTAGCACAGCTGGACACCTACTTTATTGCAACCTCAGATTTACGTTCCGGAGCAATTATCAGGATTTCATACCTCCTCTTTACAGTGTTCCACAAAGAACTAATCATTACAGCAAGTAATACTATTACACACTATGGCCAAACCCCAGATCACATTGTACATTGATATCGTGTCGCCATTCGGGTATTTGGCATTTTATGCACTGCGGGTACGTCATCTCTTTTCTGATTACTACGTGTATGCGACGATCTACCTCTCCTTATGATCGATACCTTTTCTCAATACAAAAACCCACTACGGCCAAGAGATGTTTTTACTAATCCAAGATAGAACTTCCCTGTCTTCAAAGCATGCGATATCACGTACGTGCCTATTTTACTAGGCGGCGTCATGAAGGACGTGGGAAATCGTCCTCCATTCACTGTCAAAAGTAAGTTTCGTGCTGTATCTTTCTTGAGAGATTAGGTGTGCGCGCGTTGGAGTGATTGTGAATGCTACTGAAAAGGTTGGGACACCACTCGCTGGCATATGCTCCGGTTCCTCTGAATTCTCAAAGAGCAAAGTTTAACTTTGTTTACGGGATCCTGAGCGCTCTGTGTGTCAAAGCGACATTGTGATAATGGCACATTGTGTATGTGACCCTGTTGAGTATATCATGGGACTTGTTAAAGTGCCGTGAGCGAACTTCCCTTCAGACACATTTCAAATTATTGCTGCAAAACCTGAGCGTCATTATTTCGATCTTATCACCGATGGATACACCTCACAGCCGCGGGCAACCTACTCCTAATACCACGGACGACTCCAAATACGTCAGTTTCGGTGTGTTCTTTGGGACTACTACGTTACTGGTATTACTTTTCTTTCAGGGTATTCTCGCCGCCATTATTTATTTTGGCCTTGATACCCCACGCAGGAAGATGCTAGATAGGAATCATCATTCAGCACCCGATTTCGTAAGTCATAATGAGCCCTAAATAGTACTTGATCGACTGATATTCCTAATGAATGCCAGACGAGTCATCGCGCAGAACACTGTTCAAATCAGTACTGGCGATGAAGAATCGTTTCATGACGGCTTTCAATCAGTCACAACTTCGGTTCGTACCACTGGCGCCATTCAACAATCCAATCCCATGGACTACGAGTCTGCCATAGTCTCTGAATCTGCACCGCATGTCTCATACCAAAACTCCTCCGGATACGAACAAAGGTCAAGCGTAGGTCAGCCGAGCTTTGACTCTGAACCGGTCAGCCCCTTGGAGAGTCCTAAGGACAGCAGTATAGGATTTGGAGATCCTAGCTCCTCAGATGTCTCGAGTGTCTACCAGCAAAGAACCATTTACTCCCATAATCAACCAGCACAAGTCCACCTCCAGGGACCACACCCTTTTTCCCAATCACAGAGCGCCCAAATCTGCAACCCCTCGCCATATTCTCCGCATGGCTCTACATCCAACGACATTGATTCGATCCGTACGACTGTAGCCTCTGAGAAATACAACACAACACAGCTTGGCCACAAGTCCTGACCGAGCACATAATCCTCCACGAAGACAGCAGCTTACAGCACACACTGATTACCTATTTCATGCTCTACCTCCGCCCCTCTCCATCACGCCCCCCTTACAGCAACTAACCACCCCTTTCACAGACAAAGACACCTGGATCGCCAAAGAACGTACACGCTGGCAAAAGACCTTCTCCATCCCGATGCTCACCGGCATGCCGCCCAAATTCCCTGCAAACACCGTCCTCGTCCAACGTGCTTTGACGCACGTTTTCCTTACCACACCCTCAGCCACGGCCGACGCCGCCGCCGCCTGCTTCGAAGCGTACTGGGTCAAAGGGCTTGACATCACCGAACCGACCGTCGTGCATGCGGCGCTGGAGAAAGCGCTGGGACCCAAGGAGGCAGGCGATGCGTTGGAGGGCGCCAAGAGCGTCCGAGCGAAAGAAGAGTTGGGCAGACTGAGCAAAGGCGCTGTGAATGAGGGCGCGTTTGGGTTGCCATATTTTGTTGGTGAGTTGAACCGCTGTTGGGTGGTGGAGGATAGGGGTATAGGAAGTGTAGCTAAACATCGAGTAGCGACGAATGCAAAGGGCGAGAAGGAAACTTTCTGGGGGTTTGATCATTTGGGACAGGTGTGTCGCCATCTCGAGATTGATATGCCGCGCGAGGGCGGGTGGAGATCGGTGTTGTAGGTGTCTTGATGTAACTATGGAACTCGGCGGTGCAAGATGGGGGAGACCCTATCTGGTGAGGAAGAAAATGTACGCCTACGCGTCGCCATCTGGCTCAGAGAAGAAATAGTGCAATGGAGTGGGGATAGTCAGTAAGGATTTATTTTTATAGTGAAGTGGGTATCTTTGTTCCTTCATATGCATAAACTTCATAAGTAATGATCGATCCAAACATGTTGCCCGTAGCATACGACGCCCTTGAATCATGCGATGTGAAGAGACAAACGCCCATGCCAATGCAGTCTTAGAGATACAGAAGCCCAGAACCCACCCGACACTCGCTATGCCCGATAACCCTGATATAACAAAAGAAACTATTCATGCCATTTCGATTTCGTCATAGCTGTACATCTCGCGCAATTCCTGACACCGTCTCTGCAGAGAACGCACACGGGCCATGCGTTGTAGTCTTGCAGCTCCTTCCTATCGACCATGTTAGCTCGCATAACTAGCAGCAGATAGAACCCGCGACGCAGGTGCCGAAGCTACTACATTATCATGAGCTGCTGGCTGCGTAAGTCTCTGGCGAACTCCTGCAAGAGAAGTGTTACTTCCGATAGACGAGTTTGCACCAGTCTGAAGGCCAATGTTACGGGTGCTGCGTCGCCGGTTGATAGTAGGCGATGGTGGGTTGGCACCCTGATTTGTAGACGAAGCACTTGCAGGCGTCGATGTAGGAGGATGACTAGTGTTCATTGACACGTATGCACCCCCTGCAGAGAACCTGTTAGCTCCATTTGATATGATTGAACCTTGCGCTGGGGTTCCAGGATTACTCGAGATGCTCGGCCTTCTACTATTTGGAGCGAAGGGGTTGGTAGCGCGCAGCTCTCTTAGGCGACCTTGAACAAGTTCGTTTGCACGACGTTGTCGCTCCTCTACCGACAGACCAGAGGTCGAGGTTGGATTTGCACGGGTTCCAGGACCAGCACCAGTTGCAGCTGAATTGATTGGCGACAATTGTACGCCGTCATTCTGACGTAGTGTACGCGTCGACGGCTGGCTATGCAATCTTTGCACAGATGGCTGAGCGCGAAGTGTCATGCGTGATCTTTGTGCCCTCATCGCCCCAGTTGGAGCTACCTCATCTCTGACATCAGCCCTGGATTGTTGCGTGCGGAGGGCGCGACGTGAAGTCGAAGGACGGAGCGTTGCTGTGGAAGATTGCTCTCGAAGCCTCTGTGAAGATTGTCTGGGTCGAGGTGCGTTGCCGTGCATGCCAATGAAAGCCGAATACGGATTTCTTGTCTGAGATTGCCAAGTACGTTGCGCAAAATTGAGCCCAGGGCCACCCAAACTCGATCCAGGTGCAATTTGAAGACCAGGATGAGTACCCATGAAGCTTTGGGATCCTCGTCGGCTTGAAGACGAGGGTGGTCGTGCTGGAAGCCGGCTTGCAGGGCGTTCAATAGGGTCCATGGGAAAAGACGTCACACCCGGTGGTACGCTGCTCATGGTATTGGAAGGACGATGCCGATCGTCAGGTGAAGGAAAAGTACTTCGGAGTGTCGATCCACTACCCACAGAACCTACAGATGTCTCTCGATCGAGGCGAACTCCATTGTGAAAGCTGTGCGCATCTGTCGTGGAGAGGTTGGAACTTACGCTACCGGTCCGTTCGGATCGCGAGGTTGATTCGGCATTGGTGGCCATATGAAAGGATTGCCTATCGGCTCTTCGTGTACGAGGTGAAAGATCACTAGGTGCCGTCAAGGGGTTCACGTTGTTAGAAAGTGGCGAGAAAGGCGTTGGTGTAATAGACTGGGCATTCCGGTTGCGATTCGCGGTACGTGGTCGAGCTATTGGCGTCGTCGAACGGAGCTCTTCGAGCCAGTTGATTTGTTGGGTTAGTGCGGCTTGCATCTCATTCTGATGCTGGGCAAACATCCAGCTGATACGTGGATTATATTCCTGTCTATTTTGACCCAGCTGTCGCCGTCTAGGGGACTGGATGGATGTGTCATCCGAATTGTCATCGTCTTCGCCATCCAGACCGTCCCCTAACGTCAGAGTATTCGTAGAGCGACCAGGCTGCGAGGATGGAAAGGGGCCGTGAAGTCGGATTCTCGAGTTGCGATTGCGAAGCTGGCCTCCATTCATGACGGTATCACCATCGCGATCCATTTCTGAGTCATCATCATCTGCCTCGCCGTCTTCGTAATTACTAGTCGATACGGACAGAATCGAGCTTCTTCTTCGTAGTCCTCGGGAACCGTCTGGGAAACGTGTCTGGCCAATTCGAGATCGGGGCCGAGCTTGTAGGGTTGGTCTATCTGCAACAGGCGTTAGAGAATTCGTGATCCGAGGTCGCGCGTTTGGGTCCGCAGTCTGTTCCCACCCAACTGTCGTGCGCCCACCGTCGCTTTCATCTCCTTGGCCCTCCTCCACATCCTCTTCCGGTCCATGTTGCAGGGGCGACCATCCATGTCGGCTAAGCAGTCGTTGTGTATCCTCATCAAGATCGTGGTCCGCTGAAGCGTCTGTTGATATAGACGAGGCGACTCTATGAGATCCTCCATTGGCCCGCGAGAGGACCCGTTGTTGTCGTCGTTGACGTCCAGGTCGAACTGGACCACCCTCTTCATCATCATCGTCATCGTCATCGGCTTGCGTGGACCTTGGTCCGATGCTAGACGTTTCGGATTCAACAACACGACGATTCCTAGCCCTACGGCGCTGGCTTGATTGACTTGAGATTGGTGGTTGCGGAGTTTGGCTATTGGTGGAACCGCTGGCATCGGACATCTGTTCGGTTGCGCGATCATCCAGGAACCCGCTCATTGATGAATCCTCATCGTCCATATCTTCCTCCTCCTCCTCTTCAAGCATCTCAAGGTCCTCGGTGCCGTACATGTCTGAGGCTGAAGCAATGCTCGCGCTGTATCGCTGGCGACCACCGGCAGCACTATGTGCTGCGGGTCGTCTACGTGCAAGTCCGGCGGGCATGGCGGCGCGTGCCGCCGCTGGGTGGTTGTTCAGCCATTGGCTCACTACCAAGTCGGCTTCGTCCATGTAGGCTTCTTCCGAGTACGGAAGGTCCCCGGTGCCTTCAAGGTCGTCCTCATCAGGAAAATCGTCTTCATCCATGTAATCATCACCAATGTCAATATCTCTGTCCATGTCTTCACTAGAGCCACCCATGTCCGACTCGTCGACATCGATTGCGTCGAGGTGAAATTCGATGTCGTCCGCCTCAAATCCGCATCTTTGACAACTGCCCTCTTCAAGCTCCCAGGTGCAGAATGGGCACCTGTCGACATTGTCTTCGAAGTCTCGGATAGCACGCCTAGGCCCCAAGCGAGACAAATTGGATCTAAAAACGCCTTTGAACAGCCCCCCTAATCTTGGGTCGTCATTCTCACGATCTTTCTGTACTGCTTCTGCCTCTTCTGCTCGCCATGCTTTGTGCTGCTCGAGACTTTCGCCGACTGGGAGGTATTCGGCGCGATTGATGAAGATTGTTGTCATTTCTCGGATCTTAAACAATCAGCATGCATACGTTGAACAACACGATAGGGGTCACATACTAGATATGCTGGTGATGGTACCTGAGTGACCAATGTGCGGCAGTCGGGACATGTTTTGCGTTTCTTGTTGTTAACAAACCAGTGGGAGAGGCACTATGTGCTTGTCAGCTCGAACCTGCGTGCTGAATGATATAGGTAACTCACACTGTAGCAATAAATGTGCCCACACGCAACCACATAGGGCTCGTATAACAGTTTATCGCATATCTTGCACGTAATAATAGATCGAAGACTGGCAAAATCTTCAGAATAGCCTTTCAATAGCTGCATTATTCTGTCAGTAGAGCTCATATCAATTCCGCGGGATTGCTGGCCTCTTCATTTTTGCTGAGCGTTGCAGACTCATCCAGCTTCTTCGAGCCCTTTGATTTCAGGCTGATACTACTGGCAGTCCGGGTGGGCTTGTCCTTGTTCTCGACAGCCTTGTTGAACGCTGTATCGGAGCTTATAGAGGGTCTCCTGGGTTGTTTGGACGAAGACGCAATAGCAGCTGATGGAGGGGGTGTACTAGTCTGAGCTAGATTGTTGGCTGGATTTGAAGACGATGCTGTGACTTTGCTTCGTGAGCCGGTGGGGGTGGGGGACGGTCGTGTGTCCATTATGGCGATAGAGTGGAAGACCTCAGTCCTGTGCCAGCTTCACGGAAGAGAGAGCTATGCAGCTCATGAGGCTCATGAGGCTCCTCGGCAGTATTGGGATGGATGGTCTCAGGTTCTGGGCAAAGTTGAAGACAGCACGGGCACGAAAGCAAAGCGAGTGCGCGATGGTTGTTTGTGAAAGCGTAAATGTGAGGCGCACCTACCGTTGTAGCAGCACTAACAATTATTGACTAAGCGAATCTATGCTGCCTGAGGGACAGGCTCACAAACAGCCGTAGTCTTGCCTAACATTTGAGGCCAACTTTCGCAATGTAATTCAGGAAAAGTCCGATTTCATCACCCTTCAGCCTGCTCCTCTACCTCCCTATATCACACATAGCATATCACATAACCGCTTTCGCTCGACTGCAATGTCACCCTGTTTTTACCGGGGACTAGATGTTGAACTGTGCTAGAAAAACCAGGTCCGATGTTTGCTCCTCTTTAAATGTCCGTGAGTCGGACATGCATAATCACATCTGATCTATTCGTTCTAGGCTTACTAACCTGTCAGAGCACATGTCGCATATTATGCCTTGATATACATTTCCTAACGATTGAGTTTAGGCAAGTTTTTCCTGCGTCAGTATCGATCATCCGTAGGACATGCGTAGGTATTTCTCTTGACCCTATCGCTGTTTGCACGCGTTTGTGCAATTCAGCTCTTGTTCATTTTAAAAAAAAAAGCTTGCAATTTCGGGTTTTCGTCCTGACATACATCCACTTGCATCTCATTTAAAACGCGTCAAGTCTTAAACCTGGTTCGCAGAGTAACAAGCCAGGCATACATTCTTAGATGTCATAAGTGCAACAGAAAATGTCCGATACGCTCAAAATACTACCCCCTTGCAAAGTAACATATATGTGCTCGAAATTAGCCATTTTGCAGACTTCCGTTTCTCTGCGAGACCATATTGATCGCAGATTTGGACGATCGTCATGTTCATACAGAGCGGTTGTCGTCGATAACTAACCAGTTCATCAGTTTCTGCTCAAAGCAGGCGCGCTTCTTGGAGTCACTTTGCATTACCTTCACTCACTAATGATAACGTCTAGATTGCCGTCCATTGGCGGGATGTATCCTGCGATTATATCATTCTCCGGTACCAATTCTGTATTGGTATGTTTGATGAAATGTTTTTGTTCTCGTAAGAAGTTTTTCACCAAAGACGTTGGGCACTTTCGACCAGCGTGACGACTCTTCCTGAGCTCTTTCTGCAGGACTCTCATCCTCTCCTGCTGTATCTCGAGTCGGTATTCGATGAACTCGTAATGCAGTTCAGAGACGTCCGAAATACCACGCACAGTGGTCAAAACGCTGTCGTCTTTCAACTGGGCCGAACGCGGGCGAAAAGAGGTCACAGAGGTGATTCGCTCTCGGGCACCAAGTGCTCGAAGTGCCTGATGGGTGATGTATCTACCTTGAAGTACGACGGCACAGCCCTGACACATTAGTCAGTGATTGCAGCACAGTCAAAACTGGCAACGAACCTTTCCTGGACCTCGGACTTTAATCACGTTCCCATCAGCTGTACGCAATGCCGTCTCACCACCGACCATATCGGTACAGTCGCTCAGCATGGTAACGCACACGAAAGGGTAGCTATCTGTATGCCAACCAACGATTGGCTTGTCATCTTCGAACGGACAACCAGCAATACCCTCATCAGCGGCAAAGAACGACTTCTGCTTGTTAATGGCATCAAGTTCCTCAGCAGTTTGCTGCGCGGTCTTCATTGATAGATTAATATGCCCAATCTCGTAGTCCATGACCGGCACTAGATCAACACCGGCTATCTTCGATATGATCGCTAGTGTCTCGGGACAATGCCAAGCATCGTATGTGAACGGAGCATACCTGAATCTTAGCAAGTTTAAGGTACTTGTTGGGCAAGACTCACTTGGCAGCATATCCTCGAAACTGATGTGCGGCAATATTCGAAGAAAAAGAGCAGTCTCTCAAGACCTCGGGCTTGAAGATCTCCGTGCGCATTTCATTGATTGCTTCTTCAGAAAAGAGCTGAAAAGGCAGACTCACTGCCACAGGTGACACACCGGCATCCTCGTCATAGCCTAGGTCCTTCATCATAATGATATTTCCTGGAGGCTCATAGGTAAGATGCGTTGCTGGATCGAACGTGGCAGCAGCTGATACTGCTTTATCATTGAACGCGGACTCTTGAGTCTTGATGACCGGTCCCACTAGGAATTCGGGTGCATTGAACACTTGCTGAGCTCGTACCTCGGTTGCCATACCGTTGGACTCGTGTATCGTGTACTAAGCCGGCGTTTGTTGTTTCCACTACTTTCCCAGTCCGGAATGTGAGAAGCCCGCAGATACTAATGGAATATATAGGATGATTAGGTGACGAAAGATGACTTTGGGAACGAAAAGCTTTGCATGGGTAAAATTGAAAAAGTTGCACAGTTTCTGGCCTATTCGACTCGTCGGACACAGAGTATCCTTGGCAAGCAATTACCAACAGAGAGAGCAAGCCAAAAGTTATACGTCTACCAAAATTGATCGAAGGTGAAGTGACACTGTCAATCTGTGACAGAGACTGAACGTCGTTGGGTATAAAGTTAAACAGTGAGAGGTTTGGGTGGCGATCCGTAACAGGAAAGCACGTCGCAGTACGAGAAATGATGAGAAAGATGTTGAAGAAAGGACTCAGATCATGGAAGTATGGATGGCTCTTCATCTCAGCGAAGATGCCCCTTGCCAGCTTTATACATGGAAGGGCCCACGGCAAGTGTGGAGCAGTACTGTCGGCAGAATCGATTTGGCTTCAGAGGCACACTAAGCCTCCGCGAACTGACGTGACGATGAAGTATATGACTGGATAACAAACAAGCCATCGATCGTACCGAATGCGGAGTATCCTTCACTCAAGATTTCGGTCAATCCCTGATCCTTGTATTCAGTACAGTGCCTTTATCTGATTTCAAACAAATAACGACTCAAGCCGGAATGCTAGGTATGTTCCAAAACGTTCGACGCCACTATGTATCTTCCTAGATGCAGACATATTCTCCCGTTATTCCCAGAAACATGTCAAGTCGAACCAACCATTTCTGATCATACTGAGGATAGGTATGCAGCAGTACATGATGTAGGCAAACCCCAAGATCATGGTACATCATACTGAATCCAGTAGCTAATCATCATTTTCAACGAACACCGAAACTTAGCATGTGCAAATGTTGTGTTGGTCTGGCCACGACGCCAAGGTACAAATGCTTACATCAAAATAGATATCTGCTGTTCAACATGACTGCTTACCAGATCAACTGGTAGCTTCAAGTTGCCACGGTCATGATGGTTGGGCAGTCATCTTGCGGCGGAGATAGCGACACGTAGACAAAAAAGTGGAGGCATGCTTGTGAGGTGTGGAGGGCTAAAGAATCGAAGCACTGGAACCAAGTTGTCTCCAGCAGATAGTGACAGTGATAGGAGCAGGAGTATGAAAAATTGACGTTGAGGAATGGATCTCATGCCCGAATCGGGAAGCGAGATGACACTTGACCACGGGTTCAAGCAGCAGATGCCGGAGCACTAGGTCCATTACAACATCGCCCGGAACGTCCCAGTTGGCTACCTGGAGCATGCGCATTCATTCTGTGGTAGAGCATCGTGGAGAGTGGAAAATTGTGATGCCGTCACATCATGCTTGCGCGTATCCAGACGATATCGACGTCCATGCGTCACACAATCCCAGGGAAAACTTAGCCCATCAAGAATCTCGAGGCGCGGATTCGTTTCTATTAGTAAATGCAAAAACAGTCCCCCTTGAAGATTTTCATACGGATGCTCGCAATGCCACTACGCCTGGGTCATACCACGGCACGTATGATCAGCTACAGACATACTGGTCAAAATGGTATTAGTCTTTTCTAGGCTTCGACAACTCTTCGAGAAATCGCTTTTGGACAGTTTGAAAATGTGCATTCCAAGCTAACTATTTGCAAGCGTCTGGCGCATATCAACCATGAATTTTGATTTATATGCGTACATGCGTACATATGCACATTTATCGGCTACTTATCGTTCTAGCGCTGTCTTGGCAGCATGGATGGATGGGTTCCATATGCCGACAATGATCTAGGGCTCTCAAAGTGCACCCAACCGTCTAGATCTATTTCAACCTTTCTCCATCTTCACAGGGAAACGGCGCAACAATTGCCTCTCTCGCATTCGTCCGCACACTCGTCATCACTCCAGGCTCCTGGTAGACAGCAATGGCAGCGGCAGCAGTCCCGAGTGGAGATGGGTCCTCAGACTCCAAGCAAAACGAGGAGCCAATAGTATTTGACAAGAAGGCTGCTTCGCGGGCCATGTCGTAGGTGAACCGCTCCCTTGCTACTGTGATATACGGAGCGTACATCTGGTTGGCTCTAGACGCTTGAATATCTGCTGGGTAGCACACGCGACACCACAATAGCGTCACACCCAGCATTTCATGCGAGCCACACAGTGCAGACTTCGTAATATACATGTCCATACAGACTCACTAAAGCTGATAAAATACCTCTGTCTAGAAAATCACAATCACAGTTCGTTGATCCTTGCCAAGAATTCGCCGATCGAAGCATACGATGCTTACACCGGAACGGGAAAGAGAAAGATTTATGCCAGGACTATTTCGAGTACGCATCCTTCATGCCCTCGCATCCCCGATTTCTCCACGACTCTTGTCTCCAGCGTACACATATTACAATCTCTGGTTATGTTGCAATATATACACCGGGTGGGAAAAGGGTTGTGGAATAGTTGCATTTCATACCAAAATGCCTTTCTTGGTTAAGCATGCTAATGTACTCTCTCTGTTAGTGCATACAAACAGTGTAAAAAGCAATGGGTACGTATGTCTTCTTTATTGGCCCCAAGTTTACCGATCCAACCGCCTTCGTCATATATCTACATGCACCATTGGATCCTCTCGGTATCGTCTCCAGGCTTGAACCTAAAGGATATCTGTCGCAAAAGTCCTCTACTTGCAGGCGTTTTCCTCCATTTCTAAAGCCAACAAACCCAGTCTAACAATACACATGCAGATGGAACATCGCCGAGAAGAGCGCCGTAAAGCTGGCAAATGGTTCTAAACTGTATGATCATGATTATGATTATGACACGCCAACATAACGACCTTAATATTACCTGCATCAACAGTTCGTAGATGTATACAACACCCTTCACATCCACGATGAGCCGCTACGAGTTAGTTGTCACATGCCATACAACAGCAGATGTTCAATACACGGTGATAATTCACTGCACGAACGATCAAGTATACAGGATACGTATCACATTCGAAAACGCTTCACCAACCTCAACGGCTCTCCTAGAATGTACACAAGGCAAGGCTGTCGAGAGACAAGTTATCAAATCTACACTTCATCCTCGAGCTCTCACTCCCAGAACGATGGCTTGCGCACCTCAGACACATCATTGTCGCAAAGCCTTTCCAAATTCCCTGCCCAGGCTACCTCCCGTCGCCTAGCGCACAAAAATTGAATCGTCATCTTGTACACTACCACGAATCTCTCACGTGACTGCCACAGATAACAAACTTTGGGATAACTTTCCATTTCCTGTTTCAATCCCGCGTGGAACCTGGCCCTCCTTGCATCATGGCATGCATACCGTCTCTGACTTCTCGGGCGCTCTGATATCTATCTTATATATGCAGATGAACAGACATCTGAGCCAATGGTGTCGTTTGCTACCTCCGGGCTATGGTCCTATATCAAGATTTGGGAAGCGATGTGGGAAGAAGTAGAATGGTTTGCTTCGGCCCACAATCACAATGTTGGTTGGCTGGTGATACGGTGCGGTAACGGCGGTTAGGACAAAGATGCGTCCAACATCGTTCGGAGACGTAGATAAGATTGATCCGTTCGAGAGGTCACTTCAAACGAGGTGCGACGTGAGTTGTGTTGCTGAGTCACATGGTTAGCCACCAGGGTGAGATGGACGGAAATGGAAATTAGATCCATTGGCACATCCAGCAAGCCGGGGCGCGATTCAACGTAGGCTGCAGACCAAGTGGTGGATGGATATGTGACGGAGTTAGGTGGTCGGATGTTCATCTGGGAGATGTGTGTTGTTGGAGTGAACATGCAAGATACTGCCCGCACGACGCGCTTCGCATCTTGTCGTGCTCGTACGTCTCCATCTTGCTCTGATTCGGCCCACCATCATAGCTGCTCGGCAATGTGTGATACACCTCCAACAAACTTCGATTTCTCCTGGCCTCTATACGTATCCTCCGTCACTCCTGCACCACAAGCCCACTGCAATCATTCCACACAACCCCCAACCAATCTTCCACCCCCCAGACCTCCCACCACTACTTCATACCCCTTCACTAAAATCTACACCCGCAACACGCTTTGCCCAGAACTGCCACCCATCAAAGCATATTGGGGAATGGTCAATCTTATGATGTATATCTGTCTAATGCTGGTATATAGAGAGGCATGTGATACTGGTAAGTGGAGACGAAGATGTGACGTGAAGGAGACGAGAAACAGCAGAACGAGGAAAAGATATATTAATGGAAGATAGATGTGAGGAGAGTGTGCCGATATGGCCGAGCCAGGCGTTTGTAATCATGGCGTGTCAAGCATAGACGTTCGTGACGCGCTGGCTGACTATACGGCGCTGGATAACGTGTGCTTTAGCGGCGTTGGGGATGGTGTTGACGGTGTGTATTTCGACACCTGTAAGGTGCTTACAGGTGTGTATGGATAGACAGGTGCGCACATAAAATCTACTCGAGAACTACTCGAGTTGTAGCCCTGATAACGTAATCAGCTGTATATATATGTGTCTTGGAAGGATGAAACGCTCGTTGTTTGAGCTCGAACTGCTTTCAAGATGTCAGTATTCATTGACCTCTGCTAGAAACATCTGTTTCGCCTTTACCGTAATACTTGAACAAAGCTGTGCGTTTTATACTAACCACGACTCCGTGCTTGTCGTTCCTAGTGATCTGGAGAAGGCTGCGTGCTTGTGGTGATTCCCTCTACTCGCAGCGGACCCTTCATCCGCCCAACGCCTTTGTGAAGCTCTACTAGAATCATGAACAGTCATAAAAGAGTATTCTCTGATCTTGTAGCTGACGGTGAGGGTCGGAAATCCCTGTCTGCGCTCTGAACTACGAAGAATAGGAATCTCACAAACTTACGTAGCCGAATTCGCAATCAAGCTTCAATGAGGTAGCGAATGTGGTGCCTTCAAGGAGCAATATGCTTTATAGCCAGCTCGGAGACACAGGAGGTCTTTAAGGTCCAGTAAATCAGTAGCGTGGATGGCTGATGTCTAGAAAAGTACAGCTCCCAGCTGGGCGAGTGCCTGCAAACAAGTTTGATATCTCCCTGAGGCGACTCCAGTGGTTTCGAGGAGTTATACAGGTGACAGATATCTTACAACAGTTGAGTTGAGAGCAGACCAAAGAGCTTGGTACACAACAGAGATGTGAAGTGTCGGGGGTTTGAGGTGACTGGAAAGCCATATTAGCGATAGAGATTTAAAGGCCTGCTTTTGCTATAGCAGCATTCAACCCCAATTTAAGTTTACAAGTCTGAAGAAACAGCTGTTTATGAATCCTTGACGAGCCAAGTTCCCGTCTGATTTTGTAGGGATACCTGATTCTCCTTAGTTTAAAGCGTGATTTCGGCGATAGAGTGTCCAAAATCTGTTGTTCTCGGATATTTGGTAGGGTCGCTGCTGTTGAGCGAAGCTAGAGCTTTGCCTGTTTTCCATGTGAGCGCTGTATAATCTGCTCGTAGCCTGCCTCCCTTTTCAACACCACAACAACATCACAGCGTCCATATCGCCAACCCAAGATCCACTTCAAACAAGTCAAACCTCTTCTTGATAATCTCATAGCCAACCTCTAAAGTTTGTAGATCTACTTTAACTTCATCATGCCGTTCGCGCCTCTCGACACCACCGTCTGCTGCGTATGTTCCCGGTCGAACTCGACCTGAACACCCACGCTCAACCTCTGGCAGCTCAAGAGGAGCTGCTATGTTTGTTCTCATCATCTCTGCTGCTACTGCAGCTTGGTGCCGACTACCACCAAGGAGGTCGCAGCCCTCAAGTGCAAGGGCCTGTAGGCCATCAAATCGATGATTGTACGTATCTACCACCATTAATGACCTCAGATTACGGATAGCCATCAGAACAAGAAGCTAATCTGTTGTGCTTGAGCAGTGTATTCATATCTGTAGTATACATACGATAGCGGTCTTGTCTTGTCCAAAGAGCGCATCTACACCTTCTCAAGTGCCTTTACCACGCCCTCCAGCGCCGAAGCAATCGATGATTGCCCAAGGTAGCTTGCTAGAGAACCTACGTGAAGCCTGTTCTCTAACCTTTTAGCGATCCTCTCACCAAGCGGATCCTGCTTCATCGCAGCCTCGTATTCCGAGATGGTCGAGGCTACCGCGCGACCGGTGCCCTTCCACTCTCTTACATACGTGATGATCCGCTTGGCGGCGGCCGCGGAAACGCCAGACAGCTTCTTGATGCTCTCAGCACCGAGGTGCTTGTTGGCAGCATGCTTTGAGTCTTTATGAAGCTCGCCAGCTTTCCTGGCAAGCTTCGACAGCGAGCGCACCAGCTCGGCAGCGCTGTGGAGCGCAGTTAGGGCCTTGTTGCCATATATTTTCGGCAAGTTCTTGCCGAAGAAAGGAAGCTGACTGTCAGCAGCAGCACAAAGCTCCTCCCAGTCTGCGTTCAATGACTCTCCCGGCGTGGACATCTGAACAGCGACGCGACGTACGATGCTCCAGAGAGCTAATGCGGCCTTTTCGGACTCGGTAGTCTCACTTCGGTACTCCTCTGGATGCTTCGACACATACTGCTCATGTGCGGCACAGTCAAGGACAAGCGGGCGGTCTCCGTAGATGAGACTCTGCGTATTCTCGACAATCAAGAAAGCAGATAGCCAAGCCTGTCTAGGGATAGGATTGCCCATAACATCTACTTCGCTGTGTGTAGGAATGGGAAACATTTCAGGCATGCCTGGTGGCGCTACGACGGAACCAAGCTTGAAGTCTCGCTTGTCTATAATGGTCTCAGGAGAGCCAAGAGCTGGAGATATCAGTGGAAAATTCTTATGCTTGGGGAAACTACTCACGGATCTGGCACTCTACGACCCTGTCGCCTGTCATACGATTGATGCGTCGCAGTTCGAGTAGCACCATGGCTCTAGAGAAGCTGTGATCCAGCTCAAGGGTCAAATTCAAGCGTTCGATGATACCACTCAGAGATCCCATCGACTTATTCTTGGGCAACGAAGATTGTTCAACGGCCAACTTACTGTCATCTGTGACAAACTTTCTTAGGCTTCTGCCCTTGGCCAGCAGATCTTTATCAAGCTCGCGATCGTAATACTGGACACTAGCTTCTAGCTCTCTGGTTAACGTGCGCTCCTTCTCCCGAGCAGATCTGAAGACCCTCAATGATTTGTTGGGACCGCCGGAGTACGGCTCGCAAGGCTTTGCTAAAGGATGTTGGATCGATATTCGAGAGAACATGTTATGTGCCATTGCATCGCCAACGAAGTTCTTGATGGTCAATGTGTGCCATATTGAGATGGCGAGATCTCCAAGGCCGAGCGACAACAAAACCTTAACGAGAAGTAGGCGGGTTGCTTGCTGGGGCTGTTTACCCTCATCATCTATGGTCCAGGTCAATAGCAAAGCCGCTTGTATGACTCGGACTCGGCGATTCTCAGCGGGAAGCGACAAAAGCGCCACTGCAGCCAGGAATATCGGATTCTTGTAATCAGGCTCGCAGGCCTCGGCCATCGGTTTGGCTCCAGTCTCGGACCAGCCAATACAACGCAGAGCAAAATGGTCTGCTTCCTCTTGAGTAAAAGGTATGTTGCCTTCTGTTGTTCTTAAAATGAATTCGCAAAACAATGCATTCATTCTGCGCTTGTATCGGTTTCCTTTATAAGGTAATGGCATCTCGTAGAGCTTCCAAAGAAAACTTCGAATGTCAACATTAGTCATGATCGAACGCATGTCGTCAACGGCCATGATATCCTCGCAGTAGTTGCTGAAATACTGCACGCATTGTCCGAGGAAGGTTTCGTCATCCTGTCGGCTCTTGGACAGTACGACTTTGGCGAGCTGGGGACCGCTAGTTAGGCGAGGGACCCAATCTGGGAGGGCTCCGAGAGCATAGATGGTCCGGTCGAAAGCCTCTTGACATCTGAATCGAGACTGGAATTAGTAAGAGCGATTCAAAAGTGGTGATTTCCTTACGAAGTATCGCCTTGTTTGGACAGCTCCCGCACTGCTACAGCCCACTGGGTAAAAACCTCTGCTTGGTCCATCATAAAGATGACACGAGTGACGAGCGATGCTTTATTAGAAGGATCGGATTTGGATCCTTGCGCGTCCTTCAAGGCGACTTCCATGAGATCTGCAAGATATTCTACCATCGCCTTCCATTCACCCAAATCCCGTAGGCTCTTAAATTTCTTTGAGAGATAGGACTGCATACCTTGATGTACAGCTTCACTCAGGGCACCGCTACCATCTTTCGAGAAGAATTCCTTGAGCTTGTCGCGTTGTTGAAGCTTAGTATACACAGTCAAGGCAATATTGAGGTGAGATGGAGTCGTGATCCTTGGGCCTTGGGCCTTCAAAATTGTCAATCTGTGGATTCGGTCGACTTCAAGGACAGAGTCTGACAAACCTCGTTGATGGTGTTCTCGAACGCTTTCGTGATCTCGGTGGTCGCACCTCGCTGAAGAGCAATCGCATAGAATGTTTCAGAGCTACAGGCCTCTGAGGCTAACTGGCAGAGGTGCGCGCTCAAGAAATGAAGATCCGAATCAGTTCGTGTCTTCTTGAGCTCTCGACAAGCCTATCGCCTGTGAGATGAGGATTCAAGAATTATGGTACAAGTGGTTGGATGAACATACCGCGACAAGGTCCTTCAGAGCAAGTGAGCCATAAGCACATTGAAAGAAGATCTCCATGGGTCTTGAAGATGGAACTTTGACTTTGCTTTTAAGGAAAATTGCTTCAGCAGCCTTGAAATGATCCAAAACTAGGGATGGAGCTCCAAGGAAAATGATTCCCTGTCTCCTCTTATTCAGGGCATAGGCGTTGTACACACGTCGGAGGTAATTCGTCTCAATCGTTGTTGGTTTTGCTTCAAGCAGACTCAGAAGAATCTCTTCGGCTTGAACATATTGACCAAGCCTCGAGTGAAGTTCTGCAATCCAGATCTTTTAACGTTATCAGTCCCGACTTCAAAGGATATATCGGAGGAGTACGCACCTGACAAAAGACGGAAGGGGACTTCTTCAGCTCCTTTCGTAACACCTTGATTGCCTGAGGGTAGTTTTTCGCATAGGTATACACTATCTCGTCGATACGGCTGATGTGCGCGGGAGGAGCCATGTTTCTCCACACTGGATAAACAGTGGCAGATGAGTCTGGCTTGGATGAAGTTGAGATGCTGCTTTTGGGAACGTCGTAATCTGGAAAGTAGGTACTGTCAGTCCCATCTCTGTATCCAAGCATTAAAAAGTTCTCCATGGTAACCAAAGACCATCAAAAACTGACAAAAATGCAGTACTTAGGAAAGAAACGGATAGTAGTGCGGAGATATACAATTGGTGAGGCTTTACAGATGCTGCGGTACAATACGACTTCAGTGCTGATGTTGATGTTGGAGGTAAGAGGGAAGTGCGCTGGTAGATAATCTCAAAGCTCCCCATCTCCCAAAGATCCCGCACTGACGCTACCCCCAGAGTGTATGTTGATGGACCCCAGAATGGCTCACCTGCCACGGCAAAGTATCCGTCATTGAGATTGACTCAGAGACCAAATAGATACGAATTTGAGCTCTGTCACGTAGATCTGCTAAGGATATTGGGCACGCGATGCATATACCCAGACAATATGGAAATCGCGAAGCTCCCTCTTTAGACCGAGAAACTGGTTTATGGATGCAAGAAGATGCTCCGACATAGCGAGCTGCGCAAACAGACCTAGATCCTGAGACACTCCAGGCTATGAGATATTCAGACTTGACCCGCAAGAACACCAGCATCTATGCAGATGCACGCCTGCGCGGGATCATGCAAACATCGTATGGAGCACAACCTACAGTCAGGGGGCTCCTGATACTGTTCGATCTTAGCCCTTGTCAATGCTTTCACACACTTTGACAAAGCATACCCCTAGACATTTGACTTCACATGATGAAAGCTGAACGAATACAAAGGCTTACCATTAGAACTCTCGATAATCTGTACAGAGTCTTTCGGCTCTAGAAAGCACTGACACTCTACATTCTGCAGAAAAGTGCCATTTGTGCATGTACGTAAAAAACCCCCCTCCTTCCTTTATCTCGCGGTATATTTTTATCATTGTTGACTCCACGAAGCTTTGAAAATGAAACGAAGAAGCTACAAGAGTAACGGAATATGTGCTTACCTGTTGAACAAGCTACTAAAGGCCCAGCGTTGTATTTCTGGAACTTGTGAATCGACCAGTCGGCCACCCCTTTTGAAGGATCTACCTGAACCCATCAGCCTTGTCCGATCGATATCTTTCGTATCAACCCCTTACCGAAGCACAAGTATACCTTCCCCCTGCAAGGGACAGAATTCAATGCATAAGACTTAACTAACGATGTCACAGATGAGTCCAGATAGGAGTCCGTTGTCCGTAAAGTCGGAAGTTCGAGTTGATATTCGGTGATGAAATCTTCAATAAGGCTATAAAAGGAGAATAGTCTGATGAGATGTTGACTTGAGCAATCTATAAGACAATGCTCTTTGATATTAGGTGGTCATGGACGACAGGCCTTGGGCAATGCAGGTTTTTCGATGGCTGGGCACTCCCTTGTTCTAAGCTCGCGCCGGATGCAACAGGTTGCTGTGAATTATCCCAGAAAGAGACGTAAGATCCTAACACCAGAGCCCGTATACGACCCTCGAGGGCTGGCAGCAAGCAAGAAAACCGTGTGAGGAAGAGATGAAGAGAGAGAAGACGTCCATCTATCATTATGTGGTCGTGCAGGCTTGGCTTGGCTTGGCTTGAAGGCGGCGTTCCTCCCTCAGCCTACCCACTTACCTAGCCCCCCAGTCTCTTCTTTCCTACTGTCTCACCCGACCGCACGTCAGCCAGCCCGAGCTCGTCATCTATCGGGGAATCGTCGGTGAATCTGCTAATAGCTATTCCAAGCCTACACGCGGCTGTTTGCTTCATCACTGCTGTCGCAAGCGTTCGCTCCTTCGTCAACAACACATTTCACCACCTATTTCCACAGCTGCGACTTCTTCGCTCCCAGCTACTACTATGGATGACTACGAGAGAGATCGTGCGCAGCTCAACGAGATCGTCGCGCCCGTGGTAAGGAGCTATGACATAGACCTCGTCGAGTGAAGATGGCTGACATGGTTTTCAGATCGGTGAACCTGATGACTATCTTATATGGGATGGAGTCATCAAAGTTCTTATGGACTTCGATGGTGGCTTGAACCGCAATTCTAGTGACCTCGCCATCTCAGCAATTCGCGACGTGTACGACCGCCTGCTTCTCAAGTTTCCTCTATTCTTTGGTTATTGGAAGAAGTACGCAGATCTTGAATTTTCGCTCTCTGGTACCGAAGGTGCTGAACTGGTACGTTGATATTCTTCTTCACAAGATAGGACAGCTACTAAGAAGGTTTAGGTGTACGAGCGAGGAATTGGCAGCGTTGGCGTCAGTACCGCTCTTTGGGCTTATTATTGCGAGTTCAAGATGCAAACCTGTCACGAACCTGAGATCGTTCGAGAGTAAGTCCCATCGCTTGTGTCCTTCCCCCTCAGAATCACAATCAGACACTATGCAACAGCTACTGCTACCGACGATCTTCTATCTGAAAACCTTAATGTGGTGAGAGCGCTGCGACCCAACGAACCCCCGAAACTACTTCTCACCTGTTGTTGCTCAGAGTCCTCCACTACCTTCGTTATCCTTCATATGCATGAGCGGGGCGTCTCGAATCAGTCATTAGCTGTCTACCGCTCCACTTTCGAGCAGGGCTGCGCGCTTCACGTTATTCCAGACGTAAACCCCTTTGCTTCCCCTACCAATACTCTTGCCCCTTGTGCGCCAATCTATATACTGACATGTTTTCATTAGGCTGTTCGAGCGAGGCGCTGAATGCTGTGGCTTAGACTGGCACTCCGAAGCTTTCTGGGACAAGTGGCTTGAGTTTGAGGATCGAGTCGACGCCCCGGCCGAAAAATACAAAGTCCTGGTCCGGGTCAGCACATTGCCAATCTCTCACTATGCCAGATATTATGAGCAGATCCGCATATACGCCAATACTCGACCCGTCGACGAGCTTGTACCTGCAGCTCAGCTTGCAAGCTACCGTGATCAGGTCAGCTGCGAAAACTCCTACGGCCGACAAAAGAGCGAAGCCGAGAAAGACCGTGAGATACGAGCGCTGGTCGATGCTCACTACATCGAAGTTTGTCAAAAGACCTACGCGGAGTACGTAAAGCGGTATAATCACGAGGAGAGGTTCACCACCGGATTCTTCACACCGGGCGAAATAGAAGAGGCTCAGTTGGAGAATTGGCGCAAATATCTCGACTTCGAGGAACAGGAGGGAAAGTTTAATCGTACCATGTTCCTCTACGAGCGTTGTGTATCCATTTGCGCAAATTACGAAGAGTTTTGGCTCCGCTACGTTCGTTGGATGTCCGCGCAGCCTGACAAGCAAGAAAATACTCGCCATATCTTCGCTCGAGCATCAACCATATTCCTTCCCATTGCACTGTACCAAATACGTCTACTATGGGCCCTGTTCGAGGAGACAAGCATGAATCGCCTAGACGTCGCCAGGGACATCCTTCAAGGAATCATCTTCGCCACGCCTCAGAATCTGGAGGCTCTGGAGGCCTGGGCAAGTTTAGAACACCGGCAGAATGGACTGGACGCTGCGCTCGATGTCTATCGCGCCCAGATCGGAAATACAGACACAGATCTTCATGTCAAAGGTGCAATTATCAAAAAGGCCGGACTCATGATCTGGAAATTTCGTAGTAGCACCGAGGCACGTCGTCTCTTCGATGAGAACGTAGAGCACTACATGTCGATCCCCGCGTTTTGGAAAGGTTATCTCCAAGTAGAGATGAGTCAGTCGGCCAAAGAGCCCCACGATGTAGCACAACGTCAGCGTGTCAGGAATCTTCACCAGCAAATTCGCAACAACGGTCGTCTTCCTCCTCATGCGGTTCGACAATTGTCTGAGATGTATATGCACTTCCTCCTAGACAATGGCGCGAAAGAATCAGTTGAAGAGTACCTTCACGTGGATCTTCTTGTCAATGGGTAAGCTTTACATTCCGAATCCGTTCACAGTATATTAATACTAGCAGATCCTTCCCAACGTCAGCGGCTGTCCAGCGTGCTCAGCCCATGATTCAGAAGCCTCAAAGCAAGGGCAAAGCAAAGGAAAACAAGCGCTTGGGAGATGTTGAGATGACCGGCTAGAAACACTAGCACTAGATACCATAGCATTCCAATGAAGTATAAGGGTGCCCATAGGCACATTGGCCCAGGCAGCACCCATCTTGGCTAATACAAGCATGGGCACATTCATCTTTCACAGTAGCACCACTGCGAGAAGCGCGTTAAGGATCCCAAGGGTCGTGCAGCGTAATTAGTCTCTTCTGATTCTAAGAGATTCAATCTGGTTGATATCGGATGCATGATTAGACTGTTAGTAGTCATCCGCGCATGACGTGGTCTGAGAATATGTACCTGCACTCCTAGCTCCCAATGTCACGACGCCGCACTACTTGGTGTCTGGGCGCTTTCATACATCTCTATGACTCCAAGATCAAATGTACCCATGCCTATCTATATTTGGATTAGTTTTGCGTTATACAAGCATCATAGCACCTCTCGTAAGGTTTAATGAAATGTCAAATATATGGTACAGAGAATTTGGAAGCAGGATAGATCTATCGTGTCAAACCGAGTGTGGAGTCATTAACACTGGCCAAACAAAAATCAATATATTATTCACCGAACTTCTTAGAACTCAAAGGCACTTGTTGGATACGAAGCTGTATATACTTCTATTTATCTTACAGAGGTGTAGTTTCTTGGATAGGCATCTAGCTTGGCACGGGCTCCAACATGAATGGAAATTGTGTTTGTCTATATCTATTTTGCCAATAATGACTTCCAACTATCTGTGTATGTATCGTCGAACATAGACGTCGAACCAGATAGCAGATCCAGCAATTCGGTGAAGAGATTATTCTCATACGGATACTACTAACCAGTGATTTCGACTGTCTTAGACACTATCTCGAGCTGTTCAATAAACTCGCTAAAAGGCATTTCTTCTACGTTAAGCAAGTAGTGGAGTATATAGAGTGCTAAGCACCACAGCCTAGCTCAAGGACTTCTCAGCTGCTCTTCAATACGTTCCATCTTCAGCGCACGCTTTCGCTTATGGCCCCAGCCACAACGAGGCGTTATAGTTTTTTATTTGCCTTCCCATCTACCCTACTCCGAAACACCTTACCAGGCTTTCCTCTGTGAGCATAAGCTCAACTGCTTTCCACCACGACAATGTGCATAATGGTGCAACGCAGACCAAATTTATCCTACAAATACAACAGGCCTATGTGTTGGAGGTACTTGGCAATTTTGACAGCCTGACAAGGATGTCTGCTTCGTGTTTTGCGCTTTGACTGTACTACTTGAATTGAGGAGCTAAGGATGCAACAGGCGAGGCTGAAACTCGATCGCCTATATATGCTGGTCAGTTGTCATTGTTAGTCGCATGGTGAACCCCAGGGGATGAGCATGGGGCGAGAATGTCAGATTCTCTGTCAGACTCTCCTTTCTTCTTCTCTGGTTGATTTTTTGCTCCGGATCTCCTACTATGCAATATGAGATCACCGTTCAGAATGACAAAACCATCGTGGATATGCGTGATGTTATTCACAACACTTATATCAGCCCAGCAATGCTACTATCCAGACGGCACGGCCATCACCGACCCAGATTTGAACGTCTCGTGTGGCCGAGCCAACGAAGCAAGTGCGTGTTGCGGTGCCCGCGACGAATGCTACACCAATGGACTGTGTAAGGGGAATGGCGACGGCTGGCTGAACTGGTTTTGGCGATATGGATGTACTGATAGAGACTGGAACGCTAAGACATGTGGGCATTTTTGCACCCGTGAGCATACGTGTATCTCTGTCTGAAGACTCCGTCTCTGATCTCAAGCTAGAGTTTGATCGATCCGGACGGTCGCTTGTCTTGCAGTGCTCTCAGACCGAGTTCTGTTGCGCGTATCCTGATACGGTGTTTTTGAACGTGGAATCGAATTACACCTGCTGTCATGACGAGGAGCGAGTTTTCGATGCAGGGAAGCCGGTTCATTTGTCTGGCCCAAGTGTATATGTCGATGGCGTGTATTCGGAGTTTGAGAAAAGTGATGGCGCCACAACGACGGCTCCAACATCTCGAGTGTTTAGCACATTTACCTCGACGATTGCTTCCGCCACTCTTACACCAGTCACGCTGATAAGCTCGTCCCCAACACTGTTTAGCAGTATGCCTGTACCGTCCGCTTCGCCATCAACATCGTCTTCTCCGAACCGTCTCGCCATAGGAATTGGAGCTGGTCTAGGCATTCCCCTCGGTATCACGTTGACTGCAGGCCTTGCCTTTCTAATCTGGCGTTACAAGAATCGTACCAAACCCCAAGGTCCACCTTGTCCGCCGATGTATCAAGAATGGCTACATCAGCATGGTTACAAGCAAACAGATCCCCACGGTCCATACTTTGCCCCCACTGAACCGCAGGAGATACATGGCGCGCAGTTCTATGAGTTGCCTCTGAGCGGAGCTGAAGCAATGACGATGCAACAAGGTCCGCAGGAATTAGCTGATGTGTCTCGCACGAAGACGTAGACGCACATAGATCTCATTGCTACTGGGAAGTGAAAAGACCACGTTGTTGATGATTTGTTCAAGTTTAGCATTAAAGATCCTGTGGGAGCTCATTGATTGGAAGCCCACAGAGACAAGCTCACAGCCATGCATTGCGCCAGAGGATATTAGGCTAAAAAGGACTGGGTGGGCCGCTACAAGAAAAAGTGTAGGGCCAAACAATGGGGGCGTTGCTCTGAAGAGGTACATGCTGCAGTGGTATTTGAGGACAATGGCATGTTGGGTAGCTGAGAAATTCATTGTGCAGATCTAAACATTCTTACTGGATACCTGATAGGTGTTAGACACGAGCGAGGAGGTAGAAAGAGGTGATTACTATGATAATTGGATGGTATCTTAATAATCGCATCAAATGCCCACGATCTTGCGAGAATTGGCCAGAAGAAAGAACGCAGATGAGCGTGTGCCTGCTTGAGTGGAAACAGGTGTGTATTATGTCTCAGATCCTCGCCACGCAGCACATGATTGTGGACTATTATTGTTCGCCCAATCTTTGCGCATCCAAAGCAGTACACCACTATCAATATGATGTGCTTTTCGTGGAGCGTTCTCTGCAGCCTGATGTTTGGTGCCGATCCGAACCAGGTTTCCACTCCGGGTTGCATACACCAGACTCATGTTGCCCCAGAAACACCAGCTCTCAATGCTTAACAGAATATGCTTGTTTGTGCCGTCTGGGCGGCATCATTTCACAGAGATGCTGAGCATGTACCATATCCCATACCTGAACACATATCTAATGTGCTTTCATATCGTGTGCTTTTATCTTTGGCCAGCGAAACCAGGTGGGAAACCACCGCGTCCACCAGGTGGACCGCCCTGGGGTGGGCCACCTTGAAATCCAGGGGGGCCTTGAGGAGGACCGCCTTGAAAGCCTAAATCTTGTTAGAGAAGCCATATAAAGTGATGATTTTCATAGAGGTCTTACCAGGAGGGCCACCACCTGGCGCACCGGGAAAACCTGGGCCACCGAATCCAGCAGGCGGACCACCTCGACCTGGGAATCCGCCTGGGGGTCCTCCGAAGCCACCTGGAGGCTGAAATCCACCAGGTCCTCCAAAGCCAGCGGGTCCCGGTCCACCAACACCAGCAGCTGGACCTGTGAGTCCTGTTGGCATCCCTCTACCGGCTGGTCTGCTGATTCCTGGTCCAGCGGTCATGGTGGCTGGTGCACCCGTGCCTGCCGATGAAGACGCACCGAGACGTGCAGAAGGGTCTGCGGGCGGTGGTCCATCAACTGATAGCGACACGATGGTGGCGCCGCGGATGATCAACAGTCCAAGCGACCTTTTCTCTTCTTGATCTGTGAGCGGCTGGATAGTCCCCGGTGGACCTTTGTTGCCTTTGCGCTTTATGCGTCGGAACTCCTCTGTGTCTGCGAGAACGAGGTTCATATGCTGCACGAAGTATAAGTATTCGACAAAGAACATAGAGCGGGACTAGAGCAGGCTTCTACCTTATCAAAAGCCAGCATTTGCCCAGCCATCTGTCTACCATCGGCAAGTGTGGCACGCATACGATAGTTGAGCTAAGATTCATTAACCACTGGGGAATGCGTGCACACATAGGTCACTCACGAGATTTTGCTGTTGATCCAAAAGTCAGCTACACCTGTCAACGATTCCGCGTTGCAGCGCGTATTCATAGAACTTACAATCTTTCCTTGCTTATTCGCAGCCATGGTGGCGTAAAAGGTCCGAGACTTGACGACAACGAGAGGATGTCCGGTATAGAAGAAAACAACAGCTGATTGAGCGACACTGGATGGGTACTCGAGTGTAGTTATGTGCTAAAGTCGGTGTTGTATCGCGCGGTCGGCAAAGCTTTGATATGAGGTTGCGATGAGGCTCCAGCCAGTTCGCTTAGAAAGCTCTTTTCGGCTAGCGCCCTCACACTTGGATTTTCATGAACACCACACCAAAGACGTCTCTTTACAATCTCACCTCCAACTTACCTCACCGGGATTCACTAACATCACAGCAGCTATGGTACGCTCCAGCTACAACACTGCATAGACACCTCAGCATGCTAACATAACCTTTAGTCGGACAGCAAGGACAAGTCCACCAACCCCATGCGGGAGCTCCGCATCCAGAAGCTCGTCCTTAACATTTCCGTCGGAGAGTCTGGTGATAGACTTACGAGAGCGGCCAAAGTGCTCGAGCAATTGAGCGGTCAAACCCCAGTCTACAGTACGTTCATATCGGTCGCGCCTCCACAGAATTTATGAAATAATAATGTGTTGTCCTCCAGGCAAGGCCCGTTATACTGTCCGCACATTCGGTATTCGTCGTAACGAGAAAATTGCTGTCCACGTCACCGTCCGGGGTCCCAAGGCTGAGGAGATTCTTGAGCGTGGCCTCAAGGTCAAGGAATATGAGCTGAGGAAGCGCAACTTCTCCGAGACTGGCAACTTCGGCTTCGGTATCAGCGAACACATCGACTTGGGTATCAAGTACGACCCAGGTATTGGTATCTACGGCATGGACTTCTACTGCTGCATGTAAGTAGACTTGGCACGGTCCAGAATCCACACGTATGGGAATCTGACTTTTGCTTTCGCAGGACCCGCCCAGGTGAGCGCGTTGCTAAGCGCAGACGAGCGACAAGCAAAATCGGTGCATCCCACAAGATTACCCAGAACGAGACCATCAAGTGGTACAAGAACAGGTTCGAGGGTATCGTGAGGTAGAAGGTGTAAAAATGAATGGTTCGAAGGGGTGGCATATCAGCATTAGGGCATTTGAATGAAAGCCGCCGGCGCAAGAGTATTTGGAGTGAATCCGCAATGGGCCAGTGTACCTACAGGGAAAAAATACTCAAGTCAACGGCCTATCAATGGAGCTTTTTTCAATGCATCGATCCATATACCAATGAAGGCTTCACTCTGGTGATGACCGCATAACCATTGGTGATCTGCATTATACCAGACAAGGCTGCGGGAGTACACAAGACCCATGCTCCTGCTGGGCTGTCCTGCCCTTTGCCCATTATACGTGTATCTGGGTGACTTGTGATCGTACTTTGCGCGCAGTCGTCACGTGTGTCGGACTCTTTTGCTGTCTTTGATATGACATTAACTAATACAAAGCCCTGCATGATTTGCCACAGGCTGATGTCTAATATAGGGATAGCGAATATCGGCCATAAATCATCCATTGAATACCACGTAAAGAAGAAAGATGATCTGATGATTTCGGTAGCTGTAACATTGGACTAAGATGCCGATTTTAAAAATGTTACATATTCTGCAATCACTCGAATTTAATAATTACTGAAAACCTCAAGTTGTCATGATTTAGGACGTCCAGGGATGTGTTTTTCAGGGGTGTGTTTTTAACTGAGGGTGATCGCATCGTGGCTGCCTTGTCGAGCGCCCGCTGACGTCTCTCGCCCCAACATCTTTCCTAGGGCTGAGCACAATGCCGCGTAATCGCCCATTGGCATGTGAATCTAACTCAACATCCTGGGCTATCATGCGCAGGAACAATTCATATTCTCTTGACGGATCCTGACCTCACAACCTCCTCTGACTGGACTGACACTCGCCTTGCCAGCATCACTCGCGAAATGCCCATAGCTCGAAGGCTAACATGCAATACAAGGATGAGCCATTAGAGCCACGCAACGCTTCGACTTTCCCACAAGACCACGAAGAAGTAGATCCAGAAGCGCTGCGATTCTTCAACCGCTCACCACATCCGTATCACCGTAGAAGTGCTTCGATTGACGCTGTTGACCGTCCTGACGACCTATCGACTTCCCTCGATGAAGGAACAAGCCCGCAGCATACTGGTTCAAGAGAACGGGCCCGGCGTCCTGGTTGCTTGGAATGGACCACTCAATTCAAGACGCCACATTCATCCAGCGACAGTGGCTCAGAAGCTGATGATGAGAGCTATTCGGTGTTCAGAGCCTTGCCTGCACCACCGATCAAGCCACGGAAAGGACTGCGAGACCTGGCCGGAGAGCTCGATGGATCCAACACACCCCTACTATCTCCAGCACAGGTGGACGAGGATGGCCAGAAATACGAAACAAGCTATTTCCAGTTGAGGAGAGGAGGTATCAAACAGTCCCTCGTGGATGAGGAAGCTATCGCTGCTAGGAAACGGTATGTCAAGAGACGGCGAGCAGAGATGCTCAGGCGCACCACTGAAGTGGGACTCAATGCAGTCATTGGAGTCATTGTGATAAGAGGCATAACTGTTTCTCAAACTATCCACACTTGGCATTCTGGTAAGTGGAATATTGGCCTGCGGTCGTACATGTTTTGAGTACTAAGAGCTCTCCAGCAGAGCTTGTTTCCTATATCTCTATGGTACCAGCTTTAGCGCTGACTTATTTCACTCGAATACTGTTCTTCCGACCAAGCAGTCATGGCAGCGAGCAAATCCCTTTTCGTGAGCGAATCAGAATACCAGCGGCATTTGATCCAGCCACTTTGTTATACCCCGTTCTGCTACCGGTCATGGTGACCCTATCCATTACTCCTGCCGCAGAACATGCACTTTTACCGAACATCATTCTTGGACTAGCTTCTATTCCTCCTCGATTGGTTCAGTTCGGCGCTAGCCATCATGGCTATAATGTGATTCACTGGTTCATCAGTATCGTCCCCTTAATACTCTCCGAAAATACGGTATGGGTCGACAAGACGAGGGCCACAACGCCGTATCTACTAAAGTCAGGACCTCCGGACGCATTACGTCCTGACGATCTTGCAATTCTGTACGCTCTCCACCAGGCGCTGTTGTCTCCGTTACAATATCTCACCACAACGAGTCTCCTACCTGCTGAGCTTCAATTACTGTCTGTAGCATTGATCAACGTGCTCTTGTTTGCGCAGTCATCACAGACCACTATATTGTCAATCATTATCTGGGTCGGTGGCTTAGGCGTCTTCATTATGTGCGGTAAAGTCCTCACATGGGGAGTTCAGCTAGCACGTATCCCAAGGTGGCGTTTTCGTCGAGTTGGTGCCGTAATCAAGGCACGACAGTCATTCATCACAGCGCTCAAAAGAGGTCGAAAGTCTCATCAGCAAGCCGATGGGCCCATTGAGGTCTTTGACTCCGAGGAGGACGACAAGCTTGCCTCCAAAGCATTACAAAGACGCCGTCGAGAGAGCATCGGTATGGACGCACTGAAGGCGTTCTTACCGGATTCAATGCAAGACTCGGACGGATTGTATCGTTCGCTGAGTGCGAGGCACATACCTGCACCTGAACCTACTCCTAGAATCGAATCTCGCCAGCGAAGCAATACCTTATCTGCCCTTGAACTACCATCTCCACTGCCACGGCAGCCTTCGACTAACCGACGACGTCCGCGGCGCTCGGAGGTCAAATCTCTTCTAGAACTCACACCAGCACAGGCAACTACCCGAAAATGGGTTTATGCAGCGTACATATACGTCGCCATCATCAGCCTCATCCTCGGGCCTATCCGCTACCTTGTAGCACAACATGCTCTTCAAGGCAACGAACCATTCGGCTGGGCTTTAGGCTACCTGGCCGGGGGCATCCCAAGGTTTCGCGATCTACGCCGATCTCTCGATCTCGAGCCCTGGATCCCGCTCCCACCCCTTTTTCCATTCGAATACGATGATCTCTCGTCCAGCCTGTGCCGTGCAGATCATGTACGTACACAAGTGATCGGTGCTGCAAACACACGCCTCTGTATCGCTGCCTACTGCGTTGTCGTCCTGGGCTTTGGCATGCTCACCGTGCTCGGCCTGCCCTCTACTGTGGAAGTCGACACGCGGCGCAAAGTTTTTCACGGTATGATGGTGCTCATGCTTCTCCCCACCATCTTCATCGACCCTGCCTTCGTCTCACTCGCCCTTATCATCATCCTCGCCGTGTTCCTCCTCCTCGACCTCATCCGCGCATCGCAGCTGCCTCCGCTCAGCAAACCGCTCGCATACTTCCTCCAACCTTACGTTGATGGCCGAGACCTGCGTGGTCCTGTTGTTGTCAGCCATATCTTCCTGCTCATCGGCTGCGCGATCCCGTTATGGCTCAGCTTGGGTGGCATGGCGCGCACAGGCGTCGAGCCGTGGGATGGCTGGGACGTTGTGGGCCGCGATGTAAGTATGCTTGCTGGAGTTGTTTGTGTGGGCATGGGTGATGCTGCAGCATCGCTTGTAGGTCGGCGTTTTGGACGTCGCAAGTGGCCATGGGCAGGTGGAAAAAGTCTCGAGGGCAGCGCAGCGTTTGCGGGTGCCGTTACCATGGGATTGATGTTTGGCAAGACATGGCTATGGGCTGGGGGATGGGATGAGGCGAGTACGACCGGTAGCTCGTGGGTGAGTACACTGTGCAAGGCGCTGGGCGCGGCGTGTGGAGCAAGTCTGATGGAAGCGGTGTTGACGGGTGGGAATGATAACGTGATTGTGCCGGTGGTTTTATGGCTGCTCGTCAGGGGTCTGCGGATGTGACGTGATACCCCATGTATGCTTTATTGGAAAGATTTGGCAGCCCTGTGAACTGTCCTGCAAGGGAAGGTATGTCAGAATAGGCCTGTCGAACTAAAGACATAATTACTCCTCGTGCCTGGTGCCTGGCACAACAACATCATCATCGTCGTCACCGTCAGTGTCATCCGACACAGGTATAGCATGATTCTGAATCTAAGACACTGATCTGACATATGCGCAAGCGCGAGCGAGCCTCACCACGTGTGTGCCCGCGTGTGCCTGCGTGTGCCTGCGTGTCTACAGTCAAGCCAGGAGAGCCGGAGATGGTTTCGTACGTTTTTATGCGCGTGCGTGCGCGTGTGCGGAGTGAAATGGTCGAGTCGAGTTGAGTGCACGCTTCGTGGTCTGCAAGTAGTGACGTCACATCCAGTTCCCCCCGTCACTGTCATTCTCTCTGTGACATGGGAATTGTTCGTGTTAGTTAGGATACGCATGTTTCGAGCTCTGCTTTGTTTTTTATTTTTGCTTTGCTCTTTGTTTTGTTTTGTTTTGTTCCATGGGTTCATTGCATCATGGTCATGGCGAGGGAATATTGGTGTAATCACTGCAGCTGCGCGTGCATGGAGGTAGGGAAAGGTGCTTGATGGCATGGACGTGGCACTGCGTAGACATTCTAGAACATCTTTGACGCGTGAGCTGGTATTTAAAGGAGATCTATTGGGATTGTGATGTCGACGAGGGGACTGCGGTGGACAGTGATGAAGCATTGATAGTTACGCTGTAGACGGAGAGTGGATTTTAGGGGTGTTGGTCGATTGGGCGTCATGCCGACGTTCAACGGTGGTGTGAGCACGAATTATTTCCGTTTCTGGTGGCTCGGGAGCCAATGAGGTGCCCGCGTTGACTACGACCTCGACACTAACCCGTGGACGCTCGCGATCGAGAAGTTTGAATGCTGCCTTTGATGAGAACATTGGTGATAGGGTAATATTTTGCTTCTTTGGGAGGATGGCGTTGAATTTTGTTCTTTGAGGTTGTGTTTTGACGTACGATCTGCGGGATTGCTCGTCTCGCATCTGGGATGCGTTGTTCCCACGCGTCTAGAGTGGATGCCTCGAGGCGGATACCTTGTGGGCGGATGGAGCCATCCCCATCCATACCTTATGCTTCTTGCACGTTGTGTTGTGGGGCGATGGCTGGTTTCTATGGCAGTTGCATGTGTGTGTGCGTGTGGACAAGATCATCGGTGCATATCCAGATAGCCCAGCATGGAGACGGCGTAGGCGTAGTGACGATAAGATGTTGTGCCTGTGACGGATCGCCGTGGAACAGTGGAAGTCTAACTACCTGGTACAATCTACAGTAGGAGTACTTTAGTCGTAGTATCAGCTTATCGATAAGTGGCCTTGATACTGGCCAATCGCTCCTTATAGGCGCACCCGGGCGGCCGTAAAATGTCATCGATAAGGTAGCGCTGGACCCTGGCGGGCTACCAATCCTTCGCTGGTTCTGCATCTTCCCGGGCATCGTGAGGCTTCTTCGTGTGGGAGGGATCGCCGAAGATACGGGATGCTCCACTCTCCAGTCTGTTTGTCTGGAAGCCTAGGAGCTCCGGAGCGGTCGTGAAACAACAGCCTCTACCATGAAATGAATCCATGCTGTCACTACCGTATGCCTATGGAATGCTCCGGCTGGCACGCAAGGAAAGGAAAAAGGAACGAGGAAATGACCGCAATTAGGAGCATTCGGCTGCTACCGTACTTGGTACTTAATTAGTTACGTTGGCCTGGAGCTACTCTCAGGGGCCACTCTGCCTGCTACGGATGCCTGACCGATGAGCGACGTGGAGGGAGCTGGTTGCCGTTCGGGGCGGGGAAGGCTGCCGGTGCTGAGCTGCGTTGGAGGCGCATGTCCGAAGCCTGCTGTGTGATGGGCGATGGACGAGGGAATCCCAAGGGCGGAGTTGTGTCACTGTCGCACTTACTCGACGCCCGCTATTCCTTCCTTGTCTTCACCCTGAGAGCTGGAGACGCGGGGAGATGGTCCATGAAAGGATCATGCTATATCGCCGGCCGTTGCTGTCCTCGCTCCCTCGTTCAAGGCGTCATTGTATGCTCATGTTGTGTCTTCGTACCTACTATACTGCACGCCAGAATTGCATGCTGTGAGGTGATGACCGGTACACATGGCGAGAGCGGTCGGAGTAGGCGTCGACGTCAACGTCAACGTCCTCATTCCGCCGCCTGTTCACGCAATCCATTTCCTGTCAGGCTCATGCTGTCACGATGCGATACCTCCAGCCACCATCGCCCATCCGGGGAAGGCCCGTTTTGCAGTTGATTGGCTGCATTGGTGCGACGCGTGCTTGTGATCATCCGCCCCCGGTTTATCTTCGTGACGCTACAGTTGAGCGTGAGCAGTATTGGGTGTTGAGTACTGAGTATGGAGTATTGGCTCTTGTATTTGAGCACCCTTCCTCCGCTGATGCTGACGCTGAGGCTGGCGAATGAGCTCTTGACCTGTTCTGTCACTCATGACGTACCGACAAACGTACTGATACTTCTGTCTCGCTGTGAGAGACCTCTAGCGGAATAGGATGCCGCTGACCGGAAGAAAAGGCCATCACGGTAGCAGTTCGGTATTGATCTGCTGAAGGATCGTGGTACGTAGGTATACATAGAAGTAAGTAGTACATGATACAGGAACGGATGGAGAGAATGCTGCATCGTCCAGCTGCAGCCTGCAAGCCCCAGATAGGACAACGGCAGCCACTCCAGGCCCAGTTCCATACTATTACCACTTTCTACCACAACGCATGTTTGTGTCGATAAGGCGATGCGTGATATTGATATTGGAATCTATTGGTAGCTGGTGCTGAGTCCTCTCGGGGCGAACTGCGCTATTCTAGAACCAAGTTAGCGAGGGCGCAGGCCGCCATACAGCCCCGGAGGCCCCTCTCCTACCCACCACCTGGGGACCCCCTCCCCCCCAAAAAAATACAGGTGCACACCCTACCGAATGGATGGCCGCCTGCCTGCACCATCTGCTGCCCCCATGTCCTCATGCTTGCCCCGAGCTCTGACTCTATCAATCCACACACACTCACTCACTAACCACATCATTCATCCAGAGAGAGCTCTCATCACTACCCGATAATACTGCTGTTGTCTCTGTTTCCCTTCCTCTCCCAGTCACGCAATTCCTCGTCCTCCTCTCTTCACCATCCCTTGTATTTCTTCTTCTCCCTACTCCAACACCTACCTTCACCATCCCTCCCTCTGCGTCCTTGGTGCCCGCCTATTGCTGTCAACCTCCGAATTCTACGTACGCCCTTCCCGCTGCCGACCCGCTTGCTTCAGAGCCTCGCCTGTCAACCACGTTGTACCTGGTACCATCTATTGACGCTCGCTTCTGTTCTCTCACAGTATCATCCGTCTCCTTTGCGACCTTGCTTTACGCCTATACTCCATACCGACGTCTTCTACCAGCTTCCGCCGTTGCATCTTATACTTGTTACACGGCACTTCTAGCTAAGCTCTCGTCATCCCGGTCATCAAGCCCTCACCGGTCAGCTTCCTACCCTCCATCTCGACCATCCTCCGATATCGCCTCTTCCAGCTCATGTTCAATATCCTGACAGGCTCGCTATATCCACATCTACGCCGGTGATTCATCGCTTCGACTTATATCGTTCGTGGGAAACAACCAGAAGGCCTGGACAGGCTCTGGGCATTATCAACATTCGCCACCATGGCTACTCAAGCCCAGGGCTTCGGCTCAAGGAGGTCAAACCTGCAAGAGGATGAGAGCACAAGGATTGGAGATTTCAGGAAACTGGAGAATATCGGCAAGGGAAGCTTTGCCATCGTCTATCGTGGAGAGCATGTTGTACGTAGGGAGATGAAGCCCGACCCAAAACAGCTTGCTTTGGTCAGCAAGAGTGCTAATGTATACCTTGATAGAAAAACAGAGCCCTCGTGGCCATCAAGTCCGTCCATCTTCAAAAGCTGAATCGCAAGCTTAGAGACAATCTTGTCACCGAGATCAATATTCTACGAAGCCTCCAACACCCGCATATTGTCGCCCTAATTGACTGTCAAGAGTCCCCGAAGTTCATGAATATCGTCATGGAGTTCTGCGAACTGGGTGACTTGTCGAATTTCATCAGAAAGAGGCATCATCACATAGAGCATCCTGCTACAAAGGATATGGTGACAAAATATCCATGCCCACCAGCAGGCGGCCTGCATGAAGTAGTCGCTCATCATTTCAGCAAACAAATAGCTAGTGCTCTCGAATTCCTTCACGCCAAAAACTTCATTCATCGAGATTTGAAACCACAAAACCTCCTACTAAACCCGTCGCCGCGCTATTATCATCAGTACAAGCCAACCGAGATGCCTTACATGCCCACGAAGAACTCCCTTGTTCCTGCCACTGGTGTCGAATCACTCCCCATGTTGAAGGTGGCCGATTTCGGGTTCGCTCGGTTTCTTCCCCAGACGTCACTAGCAGAGACATTGTGTGGGTCTCCGCTGTATATGGCCCCTGAAATATTACGTTACGAGAAATACGATGCGAAGGCCGATCTGTGGTCTGTTGGAACTGTCATGTACGAGATGATGGTTGGTAAGCCTCCTTTCAAGGCTAACAACCACGTGGAATTGCTCAAGAAAATTGAAAGGCAAGAAGATCGAATCCGATTCCCTGAAGACCTTATCATCGGCACACAGATGAAGACGCTGATTAGAGCTCTTCTAAGACGGAAGCCGGTGGAAAGGATCGGGTTCGAAAGTTATTTCGATGATCCACTGATCAGAGGTCCCATCCCAAATCTTGTTGGTGATGACAGACCGGCATCCGAGCGTGAGACGACACCCCCGCCCGATTCAAAAGTTGGTACACGAGCAGAGCAGAAAAGACCGTCGACATCCTCTAGAGCACCGAGTGATCTTCGTCGACAGAGCCTTGATCATACACATCCAAAAGGTCCGCAAGGTCAGGCCGTTGTCGGCTCGGCTCCAACGTCACGGCCGAGCTCGAGAGCAACTACAACCACAAAGGCACCTCGCCGGTTGAGCTATACGCCTACGCCAGACGCAGACCTAGCTCGACAACAACAGCGCCGGCCGATAATGACAAGTCATCCAACCGCACCGGCTCGGCAGACGGTGCCTTCTCGGCCTGCTTCTCAAAACATGGACAGGCATAGTGGCAGAAATTCTGTATCGCCTACTTCATCTGTACATTTGAAAGAACATCTCGATGCCCAGCGGATCCCGCGTGGTGCTGAAGACAGAAGCCAACGTGATGGCAGGGATCGCACTGACCAGGAAATTGCCTTTGAAAGAGAATATGTCATGGTTGAAAAAAGAAGTGTCGAAGTGAACGCGCTTGCTGATGAGATGGCGGCCACTCCAGGGGGCAGACCGAACTCACAGCACAATGCAATGGTTCGTCGGGCCACAACTCAAGGATCGCCTACTTCGACAACTGGAGCTCATGTCTTACCGTCACGAGCCATTTCCATAGCACAAGGCAAGAGTCGGCCAGACTCGACTCATGCACGGACTGGCTCGTACGAACGTAGATATGGACGCATTCCCGGATCAGTCTCATCGGCGATCTCAAACGCCCTCAACGCAGTTGCTTTGCGCTCTGGCATGGGTTTGTCGCCTCCTCTGGGAACTGGACCATCTCCACCAAAGGGATATGCTGGATTCCCGTCTTACCCAACTGCGCAAAGCAGCATCTTGATGATTGGAGATGCAGTGAGGACTAGCGATCCCAAGGATGAAGAGAGCAAGACACTGAAATTCGTCGAGGACCTCGCGCACCGAAGCAATGTTGTCTACGGATTCGCCGAAGTGAAGTACAAGCAGCTTATTCCAGCGACACCGAGTGAAGGGCTTGGTATCGCGAACAAGACAGCCACCAACAATTACGAAGATGATGACGATGACCTGACAGTCGATGCAACTATGACTATATCCGAGGAAGCCCTTGTACTCTACGTCAAGGCTGTTGCTATCTTGGGCAAGGGCATCGACATTGCCGGCTCATGGTGGCTTCGTCGCAATCGTTTGGGCGATCGTTCTTCGCCTTCAAATGCATCAGCCAGTGCTCAACGATTGACTCATGTTGTCCAATGGCTCCGTAGCCGCTTCAACGAGTGTATTGATAAAGCCGAGTTCTCTGCTCGCAAGCTAGTCGAAGCTCAGAAGGCTTTACCGTCTGATCACCATCTGCATCCAAGCAATCGTCCAGCTGCGTCTGGCTCTTCCACCAGTATTGGTTCCACCGAAAATATATTTCTTCCAACCGGTGTGACTGCGGAGAAGCTCATGTATGATCGAGCAATTGAAATGAGTAAAGCAGCGGCTGTCAATGAGCTTGTCGGCGAAGACTTGCCTGGCTGCGAGCTTAATTATGGAACTGCCATTCAGATGCTTCAAGCAATCCTCGATACGGAGGATGAAAGTGCTGACAAGTCGGATGAGAATAAAAGTCACAAGTCAGATGCCGATACTTCAAGTAGCCTTGAGTTGGAGGACAAAGAGGCCATCAAGAAACGTACGTCCAATCACTACTATAGGAAACGTCGCAATGCTAACATATTACAGTCATTGATAGTATGAAATCTCGACTGAAGACGCTACGCAAGAAGATCGAAATACAGAAGGCTCAGAAACGTGCCAGTCTCTCTGCACCAAGAAGACCTTCATCAAACAGCTCGCCATCCACGACACCCAATACGGGTACCACACCTGCACAGCGCTGACATATTCCACCAAACGTTTCCAGATATTCTACGCCTCCATTGGCCATGTCATCCATGGTCGTATACACCGACTACCCGAGTTCTTTAGACTTCTGTCACAAATCATGTTCTCGACTGCACACTATATCGCCTGCATACGAGCAAGCAGCTTGTTCAAGACAACACAGCTTGTTCGCGGTTCTCTCGATAATCGTTCGTGCACCAAATAGCCACCGTTTTTGACGCCGGATTACTTTCTTGTCTTTTAGCTATGGCTTCTACCATCTACTTACCACCATTTATGTTATGTACATGATCACGGACCCTCCATACTCAAGGCGTACAGGCAACAATTGAATTTCCGGGCTGGCGCAACGTGTTTCCTTTTTCCTTTACTCGCAAACCTACATCATCGCGGGACCATGACAGCACGATGAACAAGATCATGACACGCATCATCGCATAATTTTTGGGCATCACTGCACACGGGCGTTTATAGTCTGTACTGGCCGGACCACAGTTGCGGCAGGATCACAGGATGACTATCATAATTTTCTTTCTCCTTGTTTTTGCCCTCTTCGGCCGTGTGTTTGCGATGGGTATTGAGCGGGAGCCTCTGAATTGGGCGATTTCTCGCATGGCGTACATAGGATTATGAGTCTGGGCATCGTTTTAAATCATTTCCATGGGTGCATAGGCGCCATTAAGCTATGGCGATGGCGATGGCGATGGGATATGCCAATGGCAAGGAAGGGTTCTTATCATTATACATATACTACCTTCCATCGACGGAAATAGACTAAAGTGCACACGCCCCTGTTGCTATTTTTCCTTAATTGGTCGATTATCCATGTGATTGTGTGCTTCTGATCGTAATGGAGACAGACACGAGATATCCATGTTTCTTTTTACCTCCTTGTATATATACGCACGTGGTCGTCTCTCATATGCGAATCCCGCCAAAGTTGTAACGGAAAGCCAATATATACTCACCGATATTTCATTGTCTAGATACATCGAACCTTCTCCTTTCCTCTCATACTTTCTTTTCTACAGGAACAGGCATTGAAGAACTGGGTTGGTTTGAAAGGATGTGTATTGATATAGAGAGTAGATCAGGTTACTAAGGAGGTGAGTAGGTAGGTAGGTAGGTATGCTCTATCGTCTCTATCTAGACTACGGGTCGAGTAGTATTGATCTTGCTAAGAGAGTAGTAAATCAGTATCCATGAATTAGAGAGATAGAGTGCACATACAGCTAGTTAATCCCCTTCCTCGAGTACATATATATAGTCTATGTAACATCTACGTACATATACGTGTAAGTATAGGACGGGTTTATCTACTATAATAGTATATATAGAGAGCAGGACTTCTAGTATGTAGGTATATATATAGAGAGCAGGACTTGAAGTATGTAGATATATATATAGTCTAAGAACTACTATCACGGACATAGCCATGCTTACCTAGGATTAGTTACATAGTAATAAGTGTCTAATATACCTATGTATAATGTATATGGCGTCTAGTACTTATTAGAATTCGTCGTCATAGTAGTAGTAGTAGTAGTAGTAGTAGTAGTAGTAGTAGTAGTAGTAGTAGTAGTAGTAGTAGTGGTAGTGGGAGTAGTATATACTTCTACCGCCGGTATCGATGAAGTCATATATACGTACATACACAAACAGTCCTATCAATAAGATCTTATTATACCCTTATTATACCTGTGATATCGAAATACTACTACGACTACGACTATGAGCAGAGTATAGCATACGATAGTATCTCTCGGTTAAGGGACGCGTTATGTATATAGCATGTGTAATATGTATATATGACGGTCAAATGGGTGAGGCTAGGGACATTCATGGTATTCATAGCATTACATGGTCAGCTTGCGAGTATGGATAATGCGAAAAGGGAGAGGTTAGAATCAACGGGTATATACTTGCATTCTGAGCGGCGAGTGGCTTCTTCGGGTCCAATCCCATGGAGACATCCTTAGGACATAGGGTGGAGGATCTCGTTTTGATTATGAATGCAATGTAGTGACTTCGAAGAGAGAAATCTCATGGCTGACTTATGGGTATCAGCAGAAAGGGCCACTACGAAAGAGGTCTGTCTAGACATAAGATGCAGGGCACAGAAAAAACTGATTAATGCACATAGTAGTTCGCATTCTCAAAATTGTGTGTAAGCCGAGATCTATATGGGTATTGAGGCGAAGTAGCAGCAGCAGTACATGATGTCGCGCGCTCTTGACCTATATCTGTGCGTCTGTATGGAAACGCCTGAATCCCACTCTCGAGTATAAAAGCACACTCACGTTACTCATCGTGGCGCGGGCTGTCTCACGAATCCAACAGTTCGACCATTACAGTGCCATTCTTGAGCCCGGCATCGCCGATTGTGGTGTCTAGTGCCTCAATGAGGTTCTTGCCATTGGCGATGAGCTCGAATTCAACCCCTTCTTTGCCCTGCAGCGGAGATGCTTTGAGCCACTCGTAGATTCGCTGTACTGGCTCGGCTAGGGCGAATCGGTGGATCGTGCGGCCTTCTGGGTGGCGGAATTGAATCCTGGTCGAGTTGGGTGTATTGTCTGGAATGTCATGTGGTTTGTCTGATGGTATCTTGGAAAATGCTGAGGGCTCGGGAGCAGGAGGCTCTGCCTCTGCCCTCTCTTTGCCTTTGCTAGACGCATCAGGCTGCTTCGTTAGTTCATCAGGATCCTCATCGCGAGGTCCTGCACCGCTGCTTGCACCCAAGCTGTTCTGCAGGGCCATCTCCAGCATCTCTTCCTCTGTCATCCTTCCGACATCAACAGGTTTCTTCTCGGGTTTCCTGGTCGCGACTGGGTTCCGAACGTGAGATTTCAGGCTATATCGATCTAGAAACTCGTGAAGCTGCATCAGGAACTCCGGAGCTTTCGGTATCGGAGACCCCGACCATACCTTCACCTGTTCGCCGGTGCGAGGGTCGACGATTGCGATGTGCGGGTACGCGTCGTTGCTGTCGCGATTTGGGAAATAGTATTGTATGTACTGCTGTCCCTGTGGATCCTCCTTCAGGTATTGCATGAACAGGAAGTTCTCCTTGATTGTGTCTTTGATTTGAGCATCTTTCCAGATGTCGCGGTTTAGCACTTGACAGTCGAAGATGGCCGAGTCTTGTACGTTCACAATGATCCATTTCTCTTCTGACTTACCCTGATCTCTGGCTTGATCCCAGGGTAGTCGGCAAATGAGCTCGAAGGGTGGTCGATACATTTCAGCTAGTAAATTGGACTTGCTGGATGCTTCAGACGCGCCGCCTGTTGCTCTCGACAAGTGACGACGTCGAGTGCCGTTTGAGGCGCTGCCTTCTTCTTCGTCCCATACTGATGATGGCACAGTTCTCTGGTTGAAAATGCCTGCTCGACTGTCTACTTAGATGTTAGCATACATCATATACATCAACGCTCACGCCAGCTTGTAGGCTTACGTTGGGCAAGTTGCCTTTGGCGAGCCAGCATCTGCTCCGCTACTGCAGCGTTGAGATCGTCCGGATCGTCCCAGCGCCCCGGCCCTCCTACCAGGGTCTCCGTTGTCCGGGCCATTGGTGCTCTCACCTCTTCCGGGTCGCCGCCAGCACCAGCGCTGCCATACATTTCTTCTTGCAGGCGACGTGCCATGGCTTCGTCATCTTCTACATTCGCAGGTGGGCGGCTGGCAGCGCTGGTGCCAGCATCAAAGTCCATATCATCGTCTGAATCTATCGTTATGATATCCTCGTCATTGTGATTCGAAGGACGGGTTCCCGCGGACTGAGCAGGAAGAGTGGCGGAACTTTGGGCTTGGTTAGAGCCACCCAGATCGAGATCGTTTGAGCCCTCAAAGAATAAGGCGATCGCTTGTTCTAGGTTGTTATCGGTGATCTGAAGGTACTGAGCGGCTCTGTCGGGATCTGCCGACGTGATGGCAGTGAAGTTTGCTATGTTCTCATCCATCTCGGACTGCTCGACACGGCCTGTTCTGGGGAGGGCTGGAGTGGAAGACGGATGAGACTCTGTAGTCGCAGGTGAGACGAGGTTGGGATCGCGTTCACGACTGCCTGGTCGCGTATTGGTCGCTGGATGGTGTCTGTTGTTCTGTGATCTTGCGGTGGGACAGTGTGGTGTATGGTCATCGAACCAAGTTGCGCAGACCCAAACTCTGGTGTAAAGAAGAGCGTGCGGTGGGACTGGTACTGCGGAGACGGGATGATTCTATGTCGATATGAGTGAAGTATCGGTAAGAAGCAGAGTGAGTATGGAAGACGAATGTGGAACAAAACACATTGTCCCAAGTGAGTGCAGGTAAATGCTCAGTACATTCGTGGTGGTATTGGCAAGCACGTTTTGGGGGGTAGGCGGGCGCCGTGGGTAGCTAACGTCATCCCGCGGGGCCTAGTCGAAGCCTGACCTGTCGCTGCCCAGGCTGGCGGCGAAAGCTTAGACACATGCAAAGGTTGTGGCGCGATTGATTTATAACAACATCAACATCAACCATTCACTGCTAGAAGCTTGCGACAGCGTTGTCTGCCTATCATATCCATATTTTCTAGCGGCAACACTCACTGAGATCCCGCCGCGTACCTCTTGTCTACTGCCTACGGTCGCTTCCACCTCAGCATGCCAGCCCACGGGACATAGATAACTCAGTTTGCTTCTACTTTTGAAGCTCAAGATCGCATCCAAACTCCTGCCATGGCACCTCAGGTGCAGTCTACCGAAGCCAGGGAATTGTCCCTGGTGGGCAAAGTAGAGATGAAGATAGCTTTAGCAGACACTGACCCTAAGCTGGAACAACTCTTGGGTACCTACTTAGCTCCGCTTCTCATGAAACTTGGATCAGAGAGTTGGCCAGTTCGGAACAAGGTGAGCCCAAACTCTTTTGACTTGGGTCGGCAACATGCAACCGCCTTACGTTCAGGGCATTGCTGATTGCGTCATGTTTCTCTTTAGGTCATTGCTGTTTGTCAACATATCAACACTCGCATACAATCACAGTACGGCCGACACGCAATAATCAAGCTGTTGGCTAACACGTCTACAGGGGGATAAAACTGCCTGTGTCTGCTTTGTTGCAACAGTACAAAGACACATCGACATCCCTGATTCGGCATTTTGACATATTGTACATTCAGCAAAGCATTGACAAACTCGGCATCAGTGAGCGCCTAGAGCTTCTCCCCTTACTGCTTGGCGGGATATCTTCAGATGCCACCAAGAACGCCCAACACGGTGCACAGTTGTTTCACCTTGCCCTTCAACTTCTACATCACTTCAAGTTGCCGCCTAGAGGTACTAAGGAGGATGAAGAACTACGGGCCCAGTTGAAGATCGCGGATGAGGACGCTAAGTTCCTCTCCACATATTTTGGCAAATTAGTCCTGTTCACACCCACGCGCTCTACGTCAGGGGTTCCTGGAGGTGTCCGAACGCCCGGCCTAACAGCTGAGGATCATCGGTTTCTGAGCGTCAACGGGAATGCAGAAGCTTGGGATCCTACCGCAAAGGAGGGAATAAACCTGGTCGAGACAAAGGTAGTTGTCATGAAGTTCTTATCGAGTGGTATCTTCACAAACACAGAACGTTTCTTCCCTGCTCTATTCGCCACCGCAGATACAAATTCCAGAATAGCAGCTCTTGGGGAGGATATTATCAAACACTCACAATCAGAAACCAACCTCGATGACCAGCAAATTGTGGAGCATCTATTCGATTTATATTTCGGAGGTACGCCGCCCTCAGGCGCATATCCGGTACGCATACCACTACGCATCAAGATATTAGGACTTCTCGCAAAATCAACGAAGAGCTTAGAGTACACGAAACAAATAACGAGACTCGTCGAAGCCGGCTTCATTAGCAATGAAGGCGAAGACGGCACTGCTGCTCGAGCAGGTTTGGAAGCAAAGAAGTTTCAAGATGCCATCTTCTCATATATTACCTTCGCAGCTAGGAACGGCAAGCAAAAACACTTAACGGCTATAGCGCCAGAGTTACTTAACCACCTCAAAGCTTTTGTCGAAGATCAAGGATGGCCTTTGAACACGAGCGGTGACACTCGCTTACGTGGGCTTGCGTATGTCGCTATCGGTCTGCTAGGAAAGACAGTCCCAGAAGTAGTTGCGAATGACCCCCAGTCTTCGTTACTCAAGTGGTTATTCCAGTCACTGAAAGAGGACGATTCAGGTAGTGAGGTCTTATTCAGTATCCAGGAAGCCCTTTCCAGTCTCATGGCGTCTTATCCTCGAGGGTTCGCAGATAAGAATGCTGAGCTTAGTTTTAAAAAGCTTCTGCTCCGATATATGGCGAGTGAGGGCCGAGTCGGCAGTGAGAATGCTCGTCCAGGTCCCCGTAGAAACGTGCAATACGTCGCCACCCGGTTCGCGAACCGCTGTTTGCCTTACGAAGACGTCATTGCACGATGGGTCGATATACTGGCCATAAGCACCGAAGGCACTGACTTTAGAGAATTGGTCGAAGAGGGGAAGCGGGGTCTGGATCCATACTGGCATGTCAGACTTGAGGGGTCTCTAAGGTCTGCAACAGAAGTCGCACCTGAAGTTTCCAATGTGCCTAATCCTGATTTCGCTGGTCTGGTTGAGTTTCTCTTCCGAGGCTCTATCGATGAGGAAGGGATGGTTGTGGGAGCTGAGAACTGGCTCCAGGGGCTTGTAACGAATTCCAATCCTGTTGAAGCGATACGAATATTTCGACGGAAATTTCCTGCCACTCTTTGGCCTGCAGTACATTTCAGCAGATTGGTCATGATACGTACCGCTCTCGAAACGAGCGGGCTCAAGCCAGACATTTCTGACGACTGGGAGAGGAAATTAGATGCCCTCGTTTCTACAGATCAAGGTTGTCGTGACGCTGTCATGAAGTATATCAAGACCAATACACAGTTAGGTGGCCGAGTTTCTCAATCAGTAGCAACCTTGCTCCGCGGCGCATTTGATCTTGTCATTACAGAGAGTGCTACTTCCGGTATCGGAGCTGCTGAATCATTCATTGAACTGTATTCCTTAACACCAGGAGACGTGTCGCACTCAACCCAATTGACCTCTGACTTCCCGTCATTAGAAGAAGCGGTCTTTTCGAACGATATACCAACGAGGAACTTTGGAGCTCATGCGTTCGGACTAATTGCCTCGCATCCTGGATGCGATGGCAATGTGGTTGAGCAATGTCTACAGCGATTTCTCCAAAAAGCAGAGCCTTGGAAGAACGCGATTGGAGCTGAGCTCAACAAGGCGTCTGGGAGTATTCTTGCTCTTGCTTACTACTTCAGTAGACTTAGCTGGCGAGAACCTAGGCTCGCCACAGCTGAGGCCTTGTTCCAGAGGTACTCTCAAACACTTTTCTCTATGCTTGAATCGTCGCGAGACAATGTTGTCCTGAACGCCGTATCTATATCCGTAGGTCAATTAGGTCTGTTCTCAGCAATCAGCCTTGATGATATCAACATGCATGTAACTTTCTCCACCGTGGTTGATAAGATCGGTGAGATTGCGCGCAAGGGAAGCACAAAGGCCATTATTGCGCTTGGTTATATCTCAATCATCACTGACGAGGAAGATATGGAGACCGAGGACGCACCTCTACGTCTGGTGGAGAAGAAGCTCCGCGACTTGTCAGACTTGCGCGATGCTGAAGTGCATTTCTCTGTCGGAGAAGCACTCAGTGTCCTGGCAGGTGGATGGGGATCTTCGGCCCTCATCAGTCAGTTCGATATCCAGGCAGTATCTTCTGATGACAAAGGCATGCCCTCTCCGCACAATCCCACAAGAAGTAGCACTATAACTCGGATTATGAAGGAGCTTATCGTTGACAGTCGTGCATCAAAGCCGTCTCTGCGGAAAGCAGCAACGATCTGGCTTCTCTGTATGATTCAGTATTGCGGACATCTCAAACCCATACAAGAACACTTACGGCAATGCCAAGTAGCCTTCAAGCGCTGCTTGTCAGATCGCGACGATGTTATACAAGAAGCGGCCTCGAGGGGTCTTGGGCTCGTGTATGAGAAAGGAGGACAAGATCTTAAAGACGACTTGGTTGCCGATTTGATTGGCATGTTCTCAGATAATAAAGCACAACTTGCAGGAAACGTCTCCGAAGATACGCAGCTTTTTGAACCTGGGGCTCTGCCGACTGGCGATGGCTCCGTTACGACTTACAAAGACATCCTCAGTCTCGCTTCCGAAGTGGGAGATTCTAGTCTGGTATATCGCTTCATGTCTCTCGCCTCGAACAACTCGATTTGGTCGACTAGAGCGGCTTTTGGTCGCTTTGGCTTGGGAAACGTTTTTTCTGACTCGAGTACGGACGGGTACCTCTCGAAGAATCCCAAGCTCTTTCCCAAGCTATTCCGCTATCGATTCGATCCAAACACCAACGTCCAGCGGTCCATGAAGGACATTTGGGATGCGCTCGTAAAAGATTCTTCTGCCACTATCAACACTCACTTCGATGCCATCATGGACGATCTTTTGAAGAATATACTAACTAAGGAGTGGAGAACACGCGAAGCCTGTTGTGCTGCGATTAGCGATCTGCTTCAAGGCAGAGACTTTGCAATTTATGAAGATTATCTCTCACAAATATGGAGCATGTGCTTCAAGGTACTCGATGACATCAAGGAGTCGGTACGAAATGCGGCTGGATCACTCGCTCGAGTACTGACCGGAATATTGGTTCGTAGTCTGGAAGCAGGGGGTGCTTCTTCCAAGCGAGCACAAGCGATGCTGGAACAGGTCCTTCCCTTCCTCCTCTCGTCGTCTGGCCTAGAATCATCAGCCAAAGATGTCCAGGGCTTGTCGCTGAAGACACTGATGGATATCATCAAGAAATCAGACGGACCTACATTACGACCATTCATCCCAGAACTGGTCGAAAAATTCATCGCTCTGCTAAGCTCTCTGGAACCAGAATTCGTCAACTACTTGCGCCTCAACGCCTCAAAATATAAGGTCACTGAGCAAAAAATTGACGATGCTCGTCTCTCGAGTGTGCGCGGAAGCCCTCTGATGGAAGCTATCGAACGTTGTCTTGATTTACTGGATGAGGCCTCCATGGAGAAGACCATGTTCAGTCTTCAAAACGCGATTCGTTCGTCACTAGATCTACCCTCCAAGGTCGGTGCCAGTAAGATCCTTGTATCACTGAGCACCAGACACAACTTTCTTTTCCGCCCGTACGCAGATCAGTATCTCCAATTCATCGAGCGCTTCATTCGAGATCGTAATGACACAGTGTCCGCTTCATTTGCTATGGCTGCTGGATATGTTGCTCGGGTTGCTTCGGACAAGTCCATAGCTCGCGCCATTGACTTTGGGAAGACGATGTACTTTGACTCTGAGGAGGACCGGCATCGATTGCTCTCCGGAGATTTGGTTTCGGCAATCTTGAAGCATGCACCCGATAGAGCAAACAAATTCACAACGGACATCCTCCCTTTCGTCTTCTTCGGTAAACAGGATAGCAACGAGCAAGTCAAAAACTTGTTCAAGGAAATCTGGGAGGAGAATGCTGGTGGGTCAAGAGCTGTGGTTCTGTATCTGAGCGAGATCGTCAGCCTCTCAGCCCAGTTTTTGGACTCGCCTAGATGGGTCCTTAAGCATACATCCTCCAGGACTATCGCCGAAGCCAGTAACGCCCTGGCCAGTCAGCCAGATGATATCACAACCGCGAATGCGGGAAAGGTATGGCCGGCGCTGGATCAAGCCGTTGGTGGCAAGACCTGGGATGGAAAAGAGGTTGTTCTAGATGCCTTTGCTAGGTTTGTGGAGAAATCATCGAACTTCTGGCGTGGGAAAGATGATGTCGGCACACAGATCACGAAGGTGAGATGGAGAATGTCGTCCTGTGAGTCACAGCTAACAGTGTATTCAAGATCATACTACGAGAAGCCAGGAGGAACAACAAAGTCTACCAACAAGCTGCACTACCCTCTCTCGGCAAAGTCGCAGTAGCTCGAACGGATATCGACATGAGTGCGGACGTGTTCAACATCATCGACTCTCTCGTTGAAGAATACACAGCAGCCGATGAGGATGCAATGGATGTTGATGGCGCGAAGAACATGTCCAGTTCTCAGATGTATGTGGAATGCCTTGAACACAATCCATTTTCTAATCCGAATATAGCCGCGAGAACATGCTTATCGGTTGCATCAAATGTGCACTTGCCTGTATCAACCCGCAAAAGTCACAGGAACTCCCGAGGGTCTTGCTGCACGCACTCGAGCTTATGCTCAAGGCCACAAAATCACAATCTCGCAACGTTCGACTAGCAAGTTTCGAATCAGTCAAGTTCAACTTTGAACGCTTCGAGAAGGAGAAGAGATCATTTGCGGCATCAGATCTCAGGCCTGTGAAGTCACAATTGTCCGATCTACTCCTTAGCCCCCAAATCAGTGACTTGCCTGAAGCCATGCGATCTGAGCGAGCCAAAGCTGTTGTGAACGTAGCGAATCTGTCGGGTGAGCTTATAGATAAAGCTGCTTTGGATCGGGCCGTGGGCGAGGAGAAGTCATTGATGTTGAAAAAGGAGCTGGAGAAGGCGGTTTGAAAGACGATAGAACATTAAATCATTAAATATTCAATCAATCCGTACATTGTACAATGAATATCCTCCATACTTCACACTCCCGGAGAGGGGTGTGGTAAGCGCTAAGTTAAGAACTGCATTCATCGCTACTCGAAAGTCAAGGGCCAAATTTAGCTCGCAAAGAGAAGTCATTCTCATCCAATAGTTTAGCGATGTCATGCAGCTGTACGGCACAGATATATGCATTCAGTTTGTACGCACTACATCCAGTACACGCCTAAGACTATATATGTATGCGAAAGACTTCCATAACTGACTCGGGCCGCTGCTGATTCATTACCGGAATGTTTCACCTCCCGAGACGATGTGTGGGATAAGCTGTGCAGTCACTTTGAAGTCAGCTACTCGCAATGGTCGAGCTGCAGTCTACGCTCAAGATCACCTTGCAACTGAGCGCACATACCTCAGTGACAGACTAAACGAGAGTCTGGAGAAGATCAAACATCGCGGGCCGGATGCTCGCGGCCAATGGATAAGCGATGACTGTCGAGTAGCTCTCGGCCACAATCGACTGTCCATCATCGACCTCAGTCCTGAAGCGGAGCAGCCATTCCATGATCCCGAGGAATGCATTCATGTTGTCGTGAATGGTGAGCTATACGGCCATGACGCCATCCGCGAGGATTTGATTCGCGGCGGGCATTCCTTCAAAAGCCAGTGCGACTCGGAGATTGTCGTAGCATTGTACAAAGAGCATGGTCTCTCGCTCTTGTCTCGACTGCGAGGCGAGTTTGCGTTTAGTCTGTATGATTCGAGGACGAAGTTGTTCATGGCAGCAAATGACCGATATGGCATAAAGCCCCTCTATTACACGGTCCAGCACGGGCGGCTCTTGGTGGCTTCTGAGATGAAAGCTTTTCTGCCATTCGACTGGACTCCTGAATGGGATGTGCAAGCTCTATGGGACAACGCCTGGATCTCGGACAAGAGGACGATTTTCCGGGATGTGTATCGGCTCCGTCCAGGTCACTATCTGTCGTGTACTGGGTTCAGCGCCCTGGAACAACAGAAGTATTGGGATATCGAGTATAGAGACAAGGTGAGAGAACACTAGCTGGTATGGCTGCTTTGGTGCTCACATGATGTAGCGCGAGTTGGAGACTCGCACTGAGCAGGAGATGATTGAGGGTGTCCGTGAACGTCTCCTTGAAGCGATACGAGTACGTCTGCGCGCCGATGTCCCAGTCGGGATATTCTTGAGCGGTGGGCTTGACTCGTCTGTCATTGCGGGCATGGTCAAGCATCTGATGGAGACAGAAGGGGCAGAGCTCGGTAGTGCGGCATAAAGGATGAATGTATTCAGTATCAAGTTCATGGACAAGGACTTTGACGAAGAGCGTACGTTACTATAGAACAATGCTAACCCCCTACTAACAGTCTTAGCTATTGCTCAACGCACTGCAGAGTGGCTGGACGTCCAGAAATATGTCGTCGAAATCGACGAAGAAACGATTGCTGCCAACTTCGCGGACACGTTCTGGCACGTCGAAACAGCCAGTGCCGATCTGGGCGCCATTGGAAAGTTTGCTCTCTCAAAACTACCTCAAGCACACGGTATCAAAGTGATCTTGACTGGGGAGGGCTCCGACGAGCAATTTGCTGGTTATTTCGATCTCCAGCCAGATTTCGTCCGCGAGCCTGACCTCTCCTGGCCCTCTCCTTCTAATACACTCCCAGAGTCTGTCCGCAAGACCCTGCACGATACCTTTGAAAATGATCAGACTAATACAGATGGTTCGCAAATGATATCCAACCGAGTCCATGATCCACCAGAGGCCTCTTTTGCCAAGCGCCAGATCAACAATTGCGACTATGTACGTATTGTCAGCTATAGTGGCATCCGTAATGCAGCAGCGTCCTGGGTCAAACAAGAGTGCGGTACCAATGAACTACGTGCTGTGGCCGTACACCACGCTATCGATGGTACTGCACGCGATAAGATAATGCGCAAATGGCACCCACTGCATTCCTCGCTGTACATCTGGACCAAGATAATGCTTGCAAACATCCATCTCGTGCAGCTCGGCGATAGAATGGAAATGGCACATAGCATCGAGGGGCGTCAGCCATTTCTAGACCACCATTTGACTGAATATGTCAACAATCTTCCGCCGTCCATGAAAATCCGCTACGACCCGGAGACCGGGGCGTTCAACGAGAAGTGGGTTCTAAAAGAGGCTGCTAAGCCGTTTATCCCAGATGAGATATATAAGCGTACGAAGCACCCTTTTACTGCCCCTATTAGGTTTAAAGTTGATGGGCCAGTGCATGAGATGATGAGGAGTCTGTTGACCCAGGACGCCGTAGAGCAGCTGGGCTTCATTGACTGGAAAATCTGTGAGGATCTCCTCCATGCGGGTTTCATAGAAGGCAATGCGATGAAGATGAGAGGCGCATTCTGCATTGGGATGCTGGTCGTCATTGGACAAAGATTCGGAGTGAGGAAAGCCGAACCAGAATTCTTTTAAAATTAGATGGGTTGATTTGAAGACGGCTGTTTAGCTTCACTGCTGGTCAATGGCATGTTCTCTAGTGTTTTGATAGCTGCTTGGGATTGGTTGGGTAGTAGAAGGTTGAGTGTAGATGCCTCAATATCGTGTTGACGCGTGCTTGTGTCAAATTGAAAGTCTGAAAGCTCAAAGAGGAACGTGCATGGGTGAATTGCCCACGTGGGGTCGTGACTGTGCTATGCCCCACGTGGCCTAGTGCCTAGCGCCACTTAGCGCCCCGTTCGTGCGTTAGGTAAACACAAACAAACGCGACGGCAAGCCCGACGAGAGACTGCAGCGACATGAGAATAAGGGCCTCAGTTAAGGCTTCTTTAACATCGACAACGGCATCCTGACCTGATCGTGAGAGTTGCAGAGATGCCGCGCTCGCGCCAATCGCGCCAGTCACTCTATGGGGGCTCAGGCACACCTATGAAGTAAGTGTTGTTTGCCGCACTGCAATGCGATCTGCTCACCTTCAGTCAGGATTCCTCTCAACGACGACCGACAGGAGAAAGCGAACCGTCTGAAATCACGACAGGCCCAACATGCGGACCAGATCAATCAGATCAAGGCTGCGGCCACGCCTGTTCGCAACAAGCGATTATCACTCGTAGCGGGTGGAAGCCCACACACCCCGATCGGACGAGACGACGATGACAGAACTCCTAAAGGCATGACGCCTCTTCGAAAAGTACCGATTTTGGCAGACTTCGAAGCATGGATGAAAATGGCCACAGACAACGTTCGTGGGCGCGATTGTGAGAGATCAAGAATGAGTAGGCTAACCAGGACCAGAAAATCAATGCCGCTAACTCCTGGAGCTTTGCGCTAATCGACTATTTCCATGACATGAGATTGCTGAAGGAGGGGGATGGGGTCAATTTTCAGAAAGCAAGTTGCACACTGGACGGCTGTGTCAAAATCTATACGAATCGCGTGGATAGCGTCGCAACTGAAACCGGAAAGCTGCTCAGTGGTCTAGCGGATAGCCGGGATAAAGGCCGGAAGGGCGATGACGATGGCGAAGATGGAGAAGACGGCGAGGAAGAGGAGGGCGAAGATGGCACAAAGCGAAAGAAAAAGAAGACGCAACGATCCTCTGAAGCCACCCTCGTATCATCTTTTGCACAACTACAATTGAAGAAGATGGAGCTGGAATTTTCAGTGGATCCACTCTTCAAAAAGGTCTCTGCAGATTTCGACGAAGGCGGCGCGAAAGGTCTACTGCTCAACCATCTTGCAATCGACAAAAAAGGGCGAATCGTCTTTGACAGCAGTGACGACGCACAAGATGCAACCGCCCAAGACACCAGATCTAGTATCGTCGAGTCGAACGAAGAAACAGTAGAGGAGACTTCTGCGCAAAACGAGAATCTCGATACCGACATTAGTGCTCTAGGTGCGAAATATTTTCCGGATTTGTCGGAGCTGGACGATAAGGACGTCTGCCCTTCGCTCAAAAACGTGGACTTTGGAGACCCTAATGGTTCGTTGGATCTCCCTTTTCTCAAAGCCCCAGAAGACTGGCGGCAAGACGCACATAAGGAGGATGAAGGTGAAGGCGACCGGTCAGGAGTTTTCATTGATGGAGAGAACGCTCTTGGTTTCGACGACGACGATGATGATGGTGGGCTTGGGGGCTTTGACCTACCTGCGGATGTTGGTTTTGGCGAGGGTGGAGAAGCCTGGGCCAAAGAAGCTGCCCTCGAGAAACAAATGCGAGTTCATGCTGTAACGATGATGCACGGAGAAGACGATGGCGATGCCCAGATGGGTGGAACTGAGGAAAATGCTCAGTATGCCATTTCAATGGCCAGAGCTGAGGACCATGAGAATGTTTTGAACTATTTCGATCAAGCTTTGCAAAAAAATTGGGCGGGACCTGAACTTTGGAAGATTAAACGAATAAAGGATATGACAAAGGCTACTACAACACCGGCGCCCAAGAGAAAAGAGAAAGAGCCGTTTGAGATCGATTTCCTCGCTCCTATGAGCCAATCACTAGCTGATGCTCTGTACACAAAACCGTCAACTAATGCAGCTATCTCTTTACCCAAAGCACAGTGGAAGTCGAAGACTAGGAATCTGCTTCCAGATGACAAGCATTTCAACTCGCGGCAACTGCTACAGCTGTTTCTCAAACCCAAAGCTCGCATGGGACCACGCAGAACTGGCTACGGCGGGCACACTTCTGGCCCAAGTAACGACGTGGTCCCGGAAGGCGAAGTTGGCGAAGAGTACTGGGCTCGCAATGAAGATGCGATCCCATCAACAGAGGGTGAGAATCCTCAAGGTGATTATGACGCAAACTTCTTTCAAGATGATGGCCTTGGCTTGCCCGGTGCAGGCATTGACGAGGATGACGATGAGTTCGTTGATGCCCCGGAAACTTTTGCGCCTCCAATCGAGGGTGGAGATGTTGCAATACCTTTAGATGCGGCATTTCCTGGGTCACAAAGCGGAGCATTCGGAGAAAATCTTATTGCACAGAGCAGACGGTCCCGACCTGAATATGTGCAATACGCCCGAGTAGCCAAAAAGGTAGACGTACGGAGGTTGAAGGAGAACCTTTGGAGAGGGATTGGCTATGAAGAGGTAAGCCAGCTTCTGATCACTGGATGACCATTGCTAATATCCTCCAGGTCACTGTCCCACCGACTCCTTCGAAGCAAATCGCTAAACCTATCCACAAGTCCGAGGATGGCTCTTTCAAATTCACGGAACTTATCAACAACTTGCAAGACGTCTATCCTAAGCAGCAGATGGACGACATCTCCACATCATTCTGTTTCATATGCGTGCTTCATTTGGCTAATGAAAAAGGGCTTGAAATCACAAATGAGACCAACTTCACGGACTTGACCATACGGCGGGATCCGTCAATGGAACTAACGGTGGGCGACGACTGATGTTTTGGATCTAAAATGCGTCATGTATTATGCATAGGAGGCGTTGGGTAATGACGGTGGCCGGAGCATACGAGCACAATCACGATTGGCGTTGCTTACTATTCTTGTTCATACGCAAGCGATTGTCAGCTTCAATGACATGTTGAAGTCGTGATTTGCTTCCAATCGCTTTGTGAGCGACTGAGACAGTCGTCAGCGAAAACAGACTTCATGAGGCTGTAGTGTGCGGCTTACGCTCAGTGGTGGACTCACGGACGATACACTTCCGCCTCTCATACTATCGTTCTACGAGTGAACCCGAGAGTCTGACCTTGATCCATTCATTCACTAGTGTTCCTTTATCACGAAGCTCATATACGATGGTCTGATGTGCTGACCTTTCTTACGCAGGGGCGATTTTCATCCCTGTCAGATCCCATGTCATAACAGCCAAACATCCGATGGATCCCGCTACAAGGGTCAAGTAATGTGCTCAGGCTATTCTGAGCCAAGACTTTTCATCAGTTCGACACTGGTATCTTTGGCCTATATCGGTCCTTCAACAAATTTGATCTCCCAGTTGATGCTACACTTGTTTTGAGATTGAAACTATTGTGCTCTAGGTGCCAGCTTAAGAGGAGAATGACATTCCGCTATGTCTCGCACGTTTAAGGAGATAGTTGATGCCAGGGTCAATGTGCACGGATCCAATCGAATTGGCAGAACCGGCCGAAGAAAGCACCATAGAACGCCTTCGCTTACACCTTGCCTAGCTCTCGGAACCGCATGCTTGGTAAAGATTCCAGGGGTACGTAGTGAGGTCGGCCAGCTGCACGAAATTTGACAGCCCTCGCATCTGCACAGCATATCTCGACCATTCATATTCTACAGGGATAGATAAAACGCTGGTGCATTTGGATAACTGATTTAGACCACCCATAACTGCGAGACGAACGCTGTGCCGCGCATCCCCCATAGGGACGTTGACACAGAGCCACCCAGATGCTGCATCAGCGAAGATTAGATACCATTGAGAACGCAACTTCCCTGCCCTCCAAGACCGCCTCAGAGACAAAGTGGCTGCATATCACCGCCCCGTCAGCTTCTCTGATCCTATGCCAATACAACGGATTGCTGACACCAATAGGTCATCATTTGAGGAAGGTAGGCCTCACTGAACTTCTACAGTTGGTGGAAAATAATCATCAGGGGATTGCAAACTGCCGTATATAACATCAACTCAGTCCTAAGAGAAGAGCCTCACCATCACAGCTTCTATCCGCTAGCATTCCACTGAGCCGTAGCATCCAGATCAGTCATGTATCTCGCAACACTCGCCACCGTTACCTTCAGTGCGATCGCACTCGCCCTTCCCTCCACCCCGGTGCTCACGCAACGAGCATGCAAATCCTACGAAACAATCTCGGACCCAGGCTTCTACGCCGCGGCCTCCATCTCCTCCGCAGACTTCCCGGACGACCCAGACTACTTCGAGAATCAGATCCTCGAGTGGCAGCCCAACCCCAGCGCCGGCAAGAAGTGTACACTCTTCGGCAACTTTGAGCGCGGTTTCGCCATCCGAGCTACAGGCGACATCAAATTGGACGTGTATAGGCGGAGTAGCAGTACCTCGAAGTCGTATATTGGCTCGTTGGCTGCGCTGCCTGTGGGTCCCGATGGCACGTTGGAGGACATCGTAAGCTCGCCAATTGCGAGCTTTCCTTGTGCGTCGGATATCGTGCTGGAGTTTCAGCTTGCGATTAGTGAGCCCGGGACATATGCGAACATTGCGTTTTCGAACGATGCGGAGAATGGGTTTTTTATTTTGGCTTGTTAGCTAGGTTAGGGGCTTGGGTATGGGATTCAGGGTTTTGGGATGGTATAGACGTCTGTGTTCAGCAGTAGCGAATGATTATAGACTCGTGATGGTACGCGCCCTGATTGTTATGAAGCATTTGTAAGGATATAATATGTCAATACGGAGTAAATTATATCTAGATGGAATATAGAACAATAAGGTATAATCTTGACTAGGGCCTTCACATGCGCTGAGTAGTAGCTTCCGAGGAGGAGGATTGCTCCGGAAGCCGCCAGGCATCAACTAAGGCACCCATCACTGACTAGAAGACAACAATGTTTCGTCACTCCCATTTAGTTCCAAGGATCCAGGATCTACGTTCGACAGTCCGCGACAGCATACGCAATGCAAAGGTATGAGAACATATCTCAAGTGAGACCCTTACATGCCCGCTAATGTGTGCTCCCCAACGACAGAAGCGTCAGGCGCAATGCGCTTGAGAAGCTGGCGGCATTATCCACGAAACCGTCACCCCGAGGTTATGTCGACCTCACGAATCTCTGCAAACGATGCCCTTCCGCGGATACGAAAGTCAATGGAAATGCAAATGCAAATGGCAATCTGAACGGCTCTGTGGGAACGGCCAGGGTTCCGATGGTGAGCTTCCTGTATGGGCATTCATGCCTAACAATGAATGCTAATATGACCATGGCAGAAAACCGCGGAGCTCGAAGTTATAATTGCCTTATGTAAAGCCGCACCGCTTGTGAAGTCTCTGGACTCAGCCGAGCAGCTGGCTCATCAGCTTGGGCCATACTTGTCAGAATCATCCTCCCAAACCATCCCAAGCTCGCCAGCTCTGCGCGACATTGAACCCTCACCGTGGGAGTCGCTCACCCTCCACCTCACAAGCGCGCTACTTTCGCTGGGAATAAATCATGAAAGCCTCAGACCGCGGATGGAGGAATGTGTGCGCCTTTATGTTGGTCAATGGGCTCAGACTGCTAGTTCTCTCTCTGGCGGGCCACTCGATCGAGATGTTGCTTCCGAAGATGCCTCAAGTACGGAGCTGGAAACTATAATGACACTAAACCTATCTATCTTAGGGTTCCTTGACGCGGCGGCCAAGTATACAAGGTTTTGGTCTGCGCAGGAACGATTACAGCTTGTTTCTGACATCAGAAAAGCCCTTACAGAGAAATTCATGGTTGCAACTGAAGCAGCGCAGTCAGTTGTGCGGACTTCTCGATCCCAACAAAAGCATCTGCGAGAATGGAAGAGGATTTCGAAGCACTATATCGCCAATGGCCGCCCGCTCGGGTCTATGCTCCTGCATCAAGGCTTTATGAACTTGGTTGTTTCTTCGTCAGCATTGGTCGTCTGCCCAACAGATCCGGAATTCTCAGTCCCGGTGCTTGACTATCTGCAGCAGTATCCTCAAGGTCATCCGAGTGAGCTAGATCCTGCCGAGAATGCGCTTCTTGAAGACCTTGCCAGTATTGCCATCGAAGAGATGGAGTTTGTGAACAGCGCTTCGGATTATCTACAGCAGGTCGGCTCTCCTTACCAACGGCAGATCGCATCCAAAGTAAAGGCAGACATTTTCAAGACTTTCGTTTGCTGCATGGTATACAATGAAGAAATTTCAGACCCAGATACGCTCCTTGCCTGGCTAGAGGCTACACTTTCTGATCCAGTTCAGCTTGTTGATCATTCTTTGGCAGCAACGGCACTGAAATGCTTACCCATCATCGCCCAGGCATCTCCAGCGACTGCGGCCAATCTAAGTCGAATTCTGCCTCGCTTGATTGTGCAAGGTGGGCTAGACCTGCCTACCGCATACGTTGCCGCCGATAGCCTAAGTAGAATTCTCAAAAGACTTCCCGAGGATGCAGTCATAACAACTTTGTACAGCCTTGGGAATGTCCTCAGTGGAACGTCTTTGCCAGATCGCAATGGTGCTGTTTCGCCACCGCAGAGCAGTCAACTTAAAGTGACCAATACAGGCGATAACACCGGCAGCACAATCTCTCTGTTAGCACAGGATACTGAGGAGCCATCGCTCGTTTATGCTATCGTCATTCAAACTGTCATTGGAATCGCCAAGAGCAGCAATGACGAGAAAATCATCGCTTTGGCTCTATCTATGCTTGTGCAAAAGATAGGCAAGGTGACACCTGCAGTAGATGCTCGAATTCTGAGCGAAAGCTCCGTGCTCGGAGCCTATACCGGCGCCAACGAACTCAAGAGCATCTTGAAGCTGTACTCGAAGATCGCCCATGACGCTCTCATCAACAATGATGATGTTATTTTACACGCTGTAAGAACATGCACGATCTTCAGGAATACTTTACCACTAACAACAACTCCAGGTCATGAGTGCCCGCATTAAATTGGCTCGTGAGATCACAATCAAGTCTCCATTGTTCGAAATCCTCATTCGAAGCTTCCTTGATTCGATAATCAGTCAGGGTGACGCCCCTGGAAAGGATACAAAGCACCATGGCAACACAGAATTCGCGGCTCAAGAGATCGCTCAGCTCCTGGAGCCGCTCGCGACCCTGGTTGCTGTCAACGCGGACGGACAGGATCACGAGCTCGATGAAGAGATTCTCACATTGCAGCGTGACGCATGGTTCAACGTGGCAGTCCATGGTTTCCATCCAACAAGCAATCTTGTCAAAAAATACGAGAAGGAACTTCGAACCTTGGCACAGTACAGTAAGCCACTCATTTCAGAAGAGCGAGCAGACCAACTCGAAAGTGACATCGAGTTGAATACAATTCTACGTCGGGGCAAGAGCTCAGAGCATACCGATGAGCAGAAGAAAAGCCTCATCAGGCTGCTACCGCAGCAAGAGAGTGCCATAAGATCGCTCAGTTACTCCGAGGTTGTTTTCGTCAATGCCGTCTATCTGTTGGAAGATCTTCGTGCTAGCTGTGGTAATTGCACAGCCATACTAACTTACTTTTTGGACCCGAAGCTCCGAAAGGATCAAATTGGTGAATGTATGGTCGCCTTATCGAAGAGAGTGGTCAACACATACCTTTCACAGACGTTGAAGGGAGAATTCCACGCATTCTCAACGCCATACCTGGCCTATCAACTTGCTCAGCTCTTTGCTGGGTGCTGCCATCGTATCGCCAAAGTTCGATCAGTGGCTACTGCATGTGCAGATATCATCATCAATGCTGTACCATCCACGCTTTGTCAGAAAAGTGCTCTGTTCGCACTTTTAGAAATACTGTCCATGATGTGGAGTTCGTGTCTCGAGGCCGACACAGACGAATACGAGTGGAGGTCGACTTTCTCCTCACCCTATGGCGATGTGAAAGTCGAACTCGGTGATGATTACTCGACCCGGAATAGCACACTCGCTGAGTTCCGAAAGCACGCAAGGACTTGGGTTTTGAAAGTGATTGACATAGCGCCTCTCGATATCAAAGGACTGCTTCAGGTAAAAACACTCAAATCATGTATTATGGCTTCGACTGACCAAGTAGACGTATCTTTCCGAATATGATGACGATGGTGCCTATGGACACGTCTCTCTAGGACGCTCATTCGCTTTAGAGATGGGTTCTGTTGTTCCCACTACTGATCAGCGACTGGGTAAGGACAAGCCTCCCTGGAATATTTTTATGCATTATCCTTATTACAGATTAGGTGCTATTGAATCTCACGACCTTGACATTAATCAAGCTTCGGACTTCGTTGCCCAGTACACTACGAGGCAGGAGTACCGGTTTGTAGATGGTTTGGTCGATCAGTACGAAGAAGAGTGGCTGAGGGAAGACAAGAAAGGTAAGCGCGCCAACCTGCATACGGGACCGAACCATGGCTGACCGATCCAAAGGCTTCCATCGTATCGATAAGCGTCCTACAGTGGATCGCAGTATCGATGATGCTACAAAACTCCTCATTGATCTCGAGGTGCGGACTACTAAGAATCGGCATGTTCCCATTGCGGAGCTACGTGATATCCTGCGTAGAGCAGCAGCCCTACTGTGTCGAGTACAAACAGACCAATGTGCGATTGTACAGCATCTTGTTGGTATTCCTTTCGCTGTATTCACGAAGCAGTCGATCAAGCTTGGAATCTCTCTGTGGACAAGTGTCATCAAAGAGAATCCCAGAATGGAGTCACGTATGCTCGCGACCATTGCAGAAAACTGGGAAAGCACGATTCGAAAGAAACGTGGCATCTTCAACGATAAGTTTACGTAGGTCGTACGATCACCACCGTCAAGATGTTTGCTAACTTGGGTGTAGACAACCAGACCCTTTCTTCGTGAAGCATGACTTCGCGCCAACTGATAAGCCTGCCCTCTTGCGTCGGCAGCAACAGGCTACCAATCTTATTGCGCCACACTTCCGGCTTATTCAATTCCTTTCAAGCCACTTCGCTGCAAGTAGGCTATGCAGTCCGTATATCGAGAGAATATATACACGCTTGATACGCGTCAGTGTAGACGCTGTTGGACATGGACAGACATCAAGCCATCCCTTAGCGCGAGAAGTGCATCTGCATATTGTCCTGCTTGCTCTAAGGATTCTGCAGTACAACACTAGTGTGCATGATAAGCAGAGATGGAGACTGAAGGATAAGATTCTGGGCGCTGCTCTGGCTTGGTTTGCAAGTCCTTTGAAGTTGGTATCATCATTTGAAGCATCTACCGTAGTTGCTAACACATCCACAGATGGTCCTACGGCGGTAATCGCTTGCAGATGAAAGCCGAAACCCACATACTGGGAGATATCCAAGCAGAGCTGAAGAAGAGTCCTGCAGATGTAGGCTTCAAAGTCACGACCTCCACTAGATCATTGGAAGATAAACAGAGCCTCCTACTTCAGCTACTCTCGGCCGAGCAGACAAGACTAATGGTGTGGCTGTTTCCGCTGAATTACAAGGAAAGACATCATTTCACGGACGGTAATCACCACAAGTTACCTATAGAGGTTTGTTGAGGTCGCTTGCCTATGAGATTTCGAGGTTGCTGACGACATCAGGGTGATCTTTCGAAAATGGTGAAGGTTGCGTGGGCAGAAAATCCGGCGCTTGCCGTTCACCTTGCATCGCGATTCCAAGTTCCAGGTATACATCAACAAGTCAGGTGGCAGATTCTCAATTTCCCAGAGAAAGTACTCGAGGAGCCCGAAGCACTTGAAATACTGCTAGGCTCCTCACTGCCTAACGACGTGATTTTCCAATTGAAGGTAAGATCTATAGTAATCGTATACCATCTGTGCTTATGGTTGACTTTCATAGTACCTGTTGTATTGGAAGCCCATAAATCCAATAACAGCAGTCACATACTTCATGCCGGCTTACGGCAACCATGCCTTTATAATTCAGTATGCCATGAGGACGCTGGAAAGCCATCCGGTCGACGTCACATTCTTCTATGTGCCACAAATTGTGCAAACGCTTCGATACGATGCACTAGGCTATGTCGAAAGATACATTGTCGAAGCTGGTCAATTCTCTCAGCTCTTCGCGCATCAGATCATCTGGAACATGAAGGCCAACTCGTTCAAAGACGAAGATTCTGAGATCCCAGACCCTGTCAAACCCACTTTAGACAAAGTCATGGATCGACTCGTGTCCAGCTTCACCAAAGAGGATCGAGGATTTTACGAGCGCGAGTTCGCCTTCTTCAGCGAGGTCACGAGCATCTCCGGCAAGCTTCGACCGTATATCAAGAGGTCCAAGCCTGAGAAGAAAGAAAAAATCGAAGAAGAGCTCCGCAAAATTCAAGTCGATGTCGGCGTGTATCTGCCGTGCAACCCAGAGGGTGTTGTGATTGGTATTGATCGAAAGTCTGGTAAGCCTCTGCAGTCTCACGCCAAGGCACCTTACATGGCTACATTTCGTATGCGCAAGGATATCGTCAAAGATAACGATGACGATGATGTGACGGGCCAAGACTCGGGAAGCCAATCTGTGGAAATGTGGAAGTCAGCCATCTTCAAGGTTGGAGACGATTGCCGACAGGATCTGCTCGCGTTGCAAATGATCTCCGCATTCAGGAGTATTTTTAACAGTGTTGGTCTCGATGCATGGGTATATCCATATCGTGTCACGGCCACAGCACCAGGCTGCGGTGTCATTGATGTGCTTCCCAATTCCATCTCTCGTGACATGCTTGGTCGCGAAGCTGTCAACGGATTGCATGACTACTTTTTGGCCAAGTATGGAGGCGAAGAGTCACCGCGCTACCAAGAAGCGCGGAACAACTTTGTCAAGAGCCACGCCGCCTACAGTGTCATTTCGTATCTGCTGCAGTTCAAGGATCGGCACAACGGTAACTTAATGATCATGGACGCAGGCCAAATCGCACACATCGACTTCGGGTTCTGCTTCGATATTGCACCGGGTGGTATCAAGTTTGAACGAGCTCCGTTCAAGCTGACGACGGAAATGATTGCAGTCCTGGGCGGTAACAATCCCCCGAACCAATCGTACAGATGGTTCGAAGAGCTTTGTATCAAAGCGTTCCTTGCGTGTCGTCCGCACGCCGAACATCTGATCCATCTCGTCATCTGTATGCTGGACAGCGACCTCCCCTGCTTTAAGCCCGAAACTATTAAGCATCTTCGGGAGAGGTTTGTGCTGGAGAAGAGTGAGATGGAGGCCGCAGGGTTCATGAGGGACCTGATTCGAAAGAGTGCCGGAAGTTACACAACGAAGCAGTACGACCACTTCCAGCTTCTAACGAACGGCATCCCGTACTAGGAGGGGATCACACGTCAACACAACATATGTCACCTGTAGGTTTCCAGGCTGCAGCCAATGCTTAGCCAAACATGCGTACGTAGCTGTTCTTAGGCATCGTTAATACATTCCAATCAATCCAATACCTACATCTTGGTCCAGCTCTCACGCGATGCCACCTTCTCCTTGCTTTGTCGTCATCCGGCAACCGTCGGGCTCTGGATGGATGTAACTGATTGGACTTACGAGAAGCAGATGCCGAACAAGTAATGGCTGCTGAGGCGGGGATGTCGTATACGAGCTGCCGATCCCTTTGATGCGGGGAAGATCGATGCGCCATGCAGCTCTGGCGTTACCCTTCCCTCAGGGAGACTACAGTAACACCGCCGAATGCACAAACGTCACGATGCTCTGTATTTCCAAATCGAGCGTCAGATCGTGTTGATAAGACCACCGACCCCGTCCGCCATACCCCACTAAGCATTCACTTAAAGCCCTCGCTAACTCTTTCATAGCCCTGGCGTTTGACCGGACTCTTCCCAGCAATACCTCCAAAACGAACGCCATTGACCTTCGCGCGATATCTGCTCCATCAACGGTGGACATGCTCGTGTCTCTCCTACTCGTCACACTGGCAAGCAGCGCCAGCTGCAGCGTCATTCTTAATACGCGTCAGTCAAACGCCAAAGTCATCGACCCTGGCGCCACACCCGACGGTGCTAGTGGACCGATCCCAGAGTCCTTTGTGGCTTACAGTATCGAATTCAGCTCGTTTCCCGAATTTGCAGGCAACTTATCAAGCCCAAACACTTTCTCAAACAACCTACTCGATAACCTGGCCCAGCTCCAAGGAACAAAACCTTACATCCGAGTTGGCGGTAACACACAGTAAGGTCCTCCGTCGCTTCTCCATTGTAATTTCATCCTTCGTCTCCTTGCTTCTACTTCTCCCTCCAAGAATATACCCGACACAGAGAACACACTCTCCCTCCGAGCATCAATCACACAACATAACAAGCAGAACCATCATCTGACACCCTCTTCGCGCTGCCCAGAGACTACGCCCTCTACAATGCATCCCTACCCATCGCCCTCAACGGCACAGTCATCCCTTCGCGCTCCCCAGACTACCCTTACCTCATCGACATAGGGCCATCGTACTTCGAATCGTATCTCACCCTCCCCGGCGTCAAGTTCATCCACGGCTTCAACCTTGCCAAAAACTCGACTTCGGATCATGCGCGCTTGCTCGAGTCGGTACCGCTTGTCTGCAAGGCGCTCAGCCACGGCAATCTGCTGTACTGGCAGCTGGGCAACGAGCCGGATCTGTTCAAGACGGCATCGCAGGGCATCCTGAGGCCGCGGAGCTATGACGAGGCGGCGTATGTGGCCGAGTGGCAGAATCTGACGACCCAGATCATGGGCGTTGTTGCCGAGGCGTGTCCCGGGCTGAGTAATGAGCAGTGGGTTGCGCCGAGTTTTGGGGGTGTGGGTAACAGCTTGAGGCAGGTGCCGACGTGGGCTGCTGGACTGAACAGCCAGGGGAAGGTGGTGTTGATTGATTCGCATAAGTGTGTTTTGTTTCATTCCATATGTGCATTGAATGTGACTGATATGTACAAGCTATATCGGCGGCGCAACTCAGCCCGGTATCTCCCTCCGCGGCACACTCATGAATCACACCCGTACGCGCCTCTCCGTCGATGCTCAAGTCGCCGTCAAAAATTCGCTCGCGCAATACTCTCTTCCCTTCATCCTTGGCGAGACAAACTCGCTCTACAACCAAGGCGCACCCGGTCTGTCCAACTCGTTCGGTGCCGCTTTGTGGAATCTCGACTTCGCACTGTACTGTGCATCACAGGACATCAAACGCGTCCACATGCACCAAGGCACGAATTACCGTTACCAGTCGTGGCAACCCGTCACCACAGCATTAGGCACAAAGGGAACCAAAGCGCCGTACTATGGAAATGTGGCGACGGCGGCGGCGCTGGGAGATTTGAGGGGCGGGGATGTGAGAGTGAAGCATATCGCATTGGCTGCCGAGACGGATGCAGGCTATGCGGTGTATGCGAAGGGCGTGTTGAGGAGCGTGGTCATAGTCAATATGGTACCGTACAATGCGTCGAGTACTGTGACTAGGGGTAGTGAGACGTATAGTGTGAAGCTGCCGGTCGGGTGTACGAGCGACGCTGTTGTGCAGAGGTTGCTTGCTCCTGGAAGCGATGTGATTGACGGAGCGACGTTCAACGGGGTCAGTTATGATCTAGCGCTGGATGATGGGAAGCCGGTTGTTGTGGAGGGGATGAAGAGAGACGAAGGAGTGACGGTGGAGTACGATGGAGAGCTTGCGGTCGATGTGCCGTGGTCGAGCGCGGCGGTCGTCCAGCCTAGCTGTGTTTAGGGGTGGTCTGGATAGCGACGCGTTGAGATGGAGTGAGGTCCTGTGGTTTCGATATCAGCTTTTGGTAACTAGCATTTGGGCGAATCCTCAACTTCATTTCATATTATGGACACTGATGCATGGGTTTCGCACTCTGACCTCGTCCGCTCATGTTCGCTCTCGGGTCAAAAGCTCAAACTTCCACACTCTCACCATCCGGGAACTGCTGACCTCCGTAGCATCTCGGACAGGGAGATAGGTGTTATGTGAGAACTCAGTCTACGGCGTCCTCTGGACATGTTACGTAAGTCCCTCCTATAGCTCACTCAGCCAGCTTCATCTTCGCCATGCAGACCCTTGACTACCACAGTAACATCCGCCATGTCGCCAGCCCACAGCAACACCTCACCCTTCTTTGCCTTCCTCCATTCCGTATGTGGCACGACGCCCACACCCAGTCGTACAAACGTCTCCATCAGCGCCCTCTGTCCACTGCCAATCTCCTCGTCCCGGATACAAATGCCTACATCCGCAGCGAGCAGACACTCGAGATCAGTAGTGCTATCCCCGACATACACGACAGGGGCCTTGTCTTTCGAGGAGACACCAAAGTAGTGCAGCTTATCTGCAGATGTGTGCACGCCTCGGCCACCGTTTGGTCCCTTAATTACGCCCGTCGAAGTGCCTAACGGAAGACCCTCGAGCTCGTTCGCAATTATCACAGGGAGCAACTTATCATGATCTCCATAAATTGGTCCCGCAGGCACAGCTGCAGTAGCATCCCTGAGTTCTGAAGGAATTATGCTCTGGAGAGCGTGCTGTATTGCGACATTGATGAATGTCGCGCTCCAATTTACACTGAGAATACGCACGTCAACTCTGTGCTTCGCAGCGTATGTTAGTAGTGAGGACCAGCCAACCCGCATCTCGACATCCGCGCTGACATGATGAAGGTCTTGACTTCGGGTACCTTTCAGTGCCTTGGTATCGGCTACGCGTGCGATGCTACGTGCTTCGACGGATGCAAGACTTGCGAGAAATGCCCTTTCGGCGGCGATGGTGGTACGGGTGGGTGCTGCCGGCATATATCTGTCGATGTGGCTCTGGAGATCCTGGACGTATGCTTCGACTATGTTTGTCCATTGCTGGGTGAGTTTGCGGGATTCAGTGGGTCGGGCGTGTTTGGCGGCTTGGTGGAGGAGATGCAGAGTGTCTCTTTTTGTTAGTGTGCCGTCGAAGTCGAGGGTGAGCTGCATTACGGGCAACGCCGAGTTAGGGGCGCGACGGATGAGGGAGTTCATATGGGATGAGAAAGATTGAATGTTAGCTGAGATGTGGTTCGACCTACTGGGGAAGGTGAATAGTAGCTATCCACATGCGGCTAGCGGTATGAACATAAACATGTGACATCATAGCTATTCTTACCTCTCACTGCATTCACCAAGATCCATGTTTATCAAGTACGATTCGCGCCTAACCCAAACCCAGCATCCGAGATGTCAAAAAACTACCTAATCACGGGCGCATGTCGCGGCATCGGTCGTGGGCTCTCTCGACTGCTCCTAGAGAAAGGCCACCGCGTGTTTCTCCTCGACAACGCCGAGCCCGAAATCGAACATATGCGCGCACAGCTCCCCAAATGGCTCTCCTCGAAACCAACCATTAAGGACCAGTACCACGTCTTCCGCGGCGACCTTTCCAACAGAAGCGACATCGACCGCGCCGCGAGCTCTGCCTCTGCATTCTTCGCCGGTCACGTCGACGTGCTCATCAACAATGCCGCAAACACCACCGGCGTCATCCACGAGCACCGCATCGACTCCCCAGAGTTCCCGGAGCTATGGGCAAAAACGATTGCTGTCAACCTAACGGGCAGCATGCTACTCACACGCGCGGTGCTGCCACAGCTACGTAAGACATCGACGCGCGAGCATGGCGGAAGCGTGATATTCATGTCGTCGACGCGTGCGTACCAGTCGGAGCCAAATAGCGAGGCATACGCAGCGACGAAGGCGGGGCTGCTCGGACTGTCGCAGGCGCTGTCGTGTAGTCTGGCGGATGACGGCATACGCGTGAATGCGATTCTGCCCGGGTGGATCAACGTGCAGAACGAAAGTCGGTGGGGCGATGAGAAGGGAATGAGCTGGGAAGATGGGCTGACGGAGGAGGATCACCGATGGCATTTTGCCGGGAGAGTGGGCAAGGTCGAGGATGTGTTCAGAGCGGTGGAGTATCTGGGGGATGGCAATAGTTGGGTGACGGGGCAGGAGTGTGTCGTGGATGGGGGCGTTACGAGGAGGATGGTGTATCCGGAGTAGAAATGCTCCTGTGCATGGTAACCTATGCGCCGGACTACGAGCGATACCTCAAGGGCTAGCGACGTTGATTTGATGAGGTTTGGGTATATTAATTCAGGACAGGCGGTCAGGGAGTGCGTCAGGTCAGGCATGCTAGACGTCCAAACATACGAGGACGTCCGGAAGGGTACTGTATTAGTGAGACACTCCAGCCCAGAGCTCGAATCATATTTATACCACCAGGACGAATCCTCATAAGACGTTATGTGAAGAAAAGTATCGAACATGTATTCCGGGGAAATGTAAACAGCTGGAAGTGATAACATGCATCCTCGGCTAAACTTTTCGCCGTCGCTGAACCCTGCCAAGACTACTGATAAGTCCCAAATTATGTTTTTCTACTCCCGGAAACCGATTTTCGTGCACGAGTATACAACACTGCCCTTGATACTCACCATGGGTCTTGCAGGTCCAAAGAAGTACGTAGCACACAAATCTCCACCCTGCAACATTACTCATCCTCATCTAGCCGGTTCAAGATCTCCAAAGACCCGAACAACACCACCTGGTCTCGCAATACCGACCGCTTCGGTCATCGCATTCTGACGGCACAAGGCTGGAAACCCGGTTCACATTTAGGCTCACAGACGTCTGAGCATGCCGCGCATCACACTGCAGCTTCCTTCTCGCACGTGCGGGTGCTTCTCAAAGATGATAACCTCGGACTGGGTGCGAAGCGGGGCAGCGAGCGGGCGGAAAACTTTGGTATGGCAGGTTTCGACGACCTTCTAGCACGACTGAACGGCAAGAGCGAAGAGAAGATACAGGAGGTAAAGAGCAAGCGGCGGGATGCGGACATGAAGGTCTTTGTGAGTCAGCGCTGGGGCACGATGATGTTTGTCAGTGGAGGGTTCCTGGTGGGCGATCAGATTGTCAAGAGCAAGGATGGGAGGATACCGAGTGGTGGTGGGCAGGTGGGAGATGTCGTGGATGCGAGCAAGCCAAGGAAGGAATCGTCGAAGAAGAGGAAGCACAGCGAGGAGACGGCCCTTGAGACCATTGATGAGGATCAGGAGCGAAAGCTGAAGCGCAAGAAGCGGAAGTCGAATCTACGCGTCGAGCTTGAGCAGGTCACAAGCGAGCCCGAAGCAAAGACGGACAAGAAGAAGTCGAAAAAAACAAAAGACAGTCAATCCGACGAGCGCTCGAAGAAGAGCAAATCCAACAAGCGAAGACAGAGCCGCTCCTCCAGCGACTCGGAATCCGACAGCTCCCGTAAACACAGCAAATCCGATCCTTCCACCAAACCCGCACAAGAAACCGAATCTACCCTCAAAGCCGCCCGCAAAGCCGAGAAGGCAGCCCTCAAAGCCGCCGCGAAAGCCGACAAAGCAGCGCGCAAAGAAGCCAAGCGGCTCAAGAAATCAAAATCCACATCCACGCTCCCTACGCCCGCGGACACCGCATCGTCATCCGCATCGCCAGCTCCCGCGGTCGAAGGAACAGCGCCGGTCAGCAACGCTATCCCAAACACTGCTCGACACGCCGCGCGGCGGAAATACATCATGGCGAAGCGCTCTGCAATCATGGATCCGCAGGCGCTGAAGGAGATTTTCATGATCAAGGGCACGGGGTGAGCGTCGATTATTGGGCGTTTAAAAGCATTCTCATTCATATGAGCATGAGGGCTCCAGGCGAGGCGTTTTGACGGTGCTGTGGAGTACTGAAAACTGGCGGGATGTAGCAGTGAATATATCCTTATATGTCCATGAATCGCTTTTACTACTGCGCGTCTAGGTATTTTGTGCTAGTGTACTCCGTGGTTTATATCAAAAAGGGTGCGCGATTCAAGTTGCTTTGCTATACAAGCCGCTAGATCCGCTCTACCGCGAAAGAAGCTATGAACACATTGAATCCACACCCACCAACGATACAGTACATACCAAGCAATACAACCAGCCAAAGTATCCCCCCGCGAAATATTCTATGCATTCCCATTGCCTCTGTGAAACATGGCAACGCCTAAGTCAGAACCCCCTCTATATCACCCCAACCATACTATGATGGACCAAAAGATGCACCAAAACCAACCCGAATACTTATACCTGCTGCTTCAACCTGCCTTGAAAGTCGCATGTACCTACTACTGCAGCTCCGTATGCAACGGGAAGCACATACGACTATGCACCCAAGGACCATAGTGCATGTGCCCGGACAATATATGTAGTCCTCCCTTCTGTATCGACAGGCGTACCTTTCGTCTTACGAGCGGGTTATCCAGCTTGCGGCATTGCATATCGTACCAAAAAGCACAAGTAATGCGACGTATACGGTGTTCGTTGCGCTGTGTCAAAACGACGACTGGTGTTAAGATATCCAGCGTGATGGCCAACAACGGTTCGTGCCGCTGGGAATTGGTCTGCCCTGCTGATGCACTTTATGCTCTCGAAGACAGATATCCGTCCAGCATATCCGAGAATGGTAGTAGGACTGCGGCCAAAGCAGCAAACCCAGTAAGAAGGCTCAAACAAAGCCGTAGTCCGACAGTCTCGCACGGCAGATGAAGATGGATTACCCATCCACGTATACCCCAATTCAATCCTTTGCCCTTCCCTTTCCCGTCAGAGCAACCTCATACCTGGGCCGAGCACGCTTGCCCAACTTCTTCTTCGTCGCATCGGGATGGCCAGTAGCATCCAGCATAGCCTGAATCCGCTCATGTTCCTGCAGCCGGCTCTGTCTAGACGTGCGATCGACTACGCTCTCGCCTCCAGCCAAACCACTTCCCCTGCCAGTGGAGCCGCACACGTGATCATGATCATGATCAAGATCATCCGCTTCAGTAAAGACCAAGTCGCCGGACGCGCCGACGGTCTCACGGGCAGCCTCCTCCATCAGGATGCCCATGGCCAGCAGCGCAGTCTCGTCCAGGGACTTGAAGCTCTTCCGGGCTCCTCCCGGACTCAACGCGCCGGCGTAGAACGCAGAGGCGTAGGCGTGGAGTGCCTTTAGCAGGTCGGAGTCCGGCAGCTTTTGGTCGTCGGGATGGAGCTTGCTGTCGGCGTTGTAGATGTCGTCTTCTTCGTAGCGTTGGGGTGCGCCCTTGCGCTTGAAGAGGACCTCGTCTGGGCGTAGGGGGATCCCGGTGGAGGCTTGCGGGTCTGTTGGGAGTCTGATTGAGCCGTCTGTGGCGACGCGGCCGGCGACGGCGTCGTAGACTGTCGCGTTACGGGTGGGTTTCTTCATGTTATGGGGCCAGCCAGCGAACTTGGATGACTTTGAAAGTTCAAGAGGAGATGGATGACCATATTAGGTAGATAGAGATGGAGTACAGCACTAGCGCACCAAAGTCAGCCTTCCCCGATCCGGCCTTAGCTCCGGGGATGTCAACCAACATCGCACTCCCGAAACCTACAAAACAGCAACACTCACCTCAACCCCTTCACGACTCCGGTCGACACCTCGATCCCCATGTCTCGCAGACACACATGGCCGGATGAGCGCCCTTCTCCTCAACCGCTCGCTCGGCGCCATCAAACCCTTCGAGCTACAGCGGTCCGAGACAACACGGCAGCTATACGCAATCCAGCCGGCCAATGTCTACTTCAAAGGGCAGAACACCAGTAGCATCACCAAAGAGCAAGGCATCCAGAGGCGCGACCACAACAATGACGACGACGAGCCCATCCCCGCGCACCCCGCAGGCGTCAACACCATCGCAATAGACCGCTTCGAAGGCAAATACCTCCTCTCCGGCGGCGCAGACTCCAGCATCGCAATATGGGACCTCGAGGACAACAACAACGCCCACAGCACCAAACACAACAGCACCACCACCACCACCCTCCACCACCCCGCCGGCCACGTCCACCGCAGCACACCCACCCACAAGCCCGGCATAACCCACCTCTCCTTCTACGCCTTCGACTCCGCCGCCTTCCTCAGCTCCTCCTACGACCACACCCTCAAGATCTACGACGCCGAAGCCCTCACCCCCTCCGCCTCCTTCAACCTCGAAGCAGCCGTCTACTCGCACGCGATGTCGCCCATCGGAACACACCTCACCGTCGCCTGCGCAACCCAGCACCCCGCCATCCGCCTCGTCGATCTCCGCTCCGCAGCCTGCTCGCACGCCCTCGCGGCCGGCCACTCCGCCGGCGCCGCAGTCCTCTCCCTCGCCTGGTGTCCCGTGGCTGAACACACGCTCGCTAGCGCCGGCGCAGACGGCACAATCCGCTTCTGGGATATTCGCCGCTCTGCCGCCGCCCTCGCCGTGCTCGACATGCATGATTCTCAGGGCGTTGTCGGCGGCGGTTCCAGCCCCAATCGCACCCGCACCCGCAATCCAATCCACGCCCGCGCCCACCTCGGCCCCGCAAACGGCATCTGCTGGACCGACGACGGACAGCATCTCATCAGCGTAGGCCACGACGATCGCATCCGCGTCTGGGACGTGCGGCGCGGCGCAAACACGCTCGTCAATTTCGGACCGCTTGTGCGGAATAATAGCAATGCTGGCGGCGGCAGAAGCTCTGCCACGCTCCTCCCCTTGCTCTCCCCGCCCTCGCTTACCCCCGCCGGCAAGGAGTTGCTTTTCTATCCTAATCCCAACGAGATTCTGGTGTTTGATTTGTTTGAGGGTGAGTTGGTCAAGAGGCTTCGGGTGTCGTCGTCTTCGTCGATGTTGTCGTCGGGTAGGGAGATGGGGATGGGGAGGGGAGGCTTGATGGGTATGAGGAAGAAAGGTGGTCTTGGTGGTATTGGTGGAATTGGTGTGGAACAAGCCCGCAGATCGCGCACGACGGCGCTGGCGTGGAAGTATCATGACGTTGGGTTCTACTCTGCGCATGCGGATGGGAGTATTCGGGCGTGGATGCCGCGGTCGAGTGCGGATGCGGAGGCGGATGAGGAGGAGGAGTGGGGGGAAGAGGGTGAAGGGGGTAGTGGTGGTGGTGGTGGTGGTGGTGGGAATTGGAATGGGAAGGGGAATGGGAAGAGAAAGGCAGATGTGCTGGATGATATTGTGGAGGGGCTGACGAGGCGGACTGTCACGTTTGCGTAGATTGTTGATGGGATAGGATAGGATAGGATAGGATAGGATAGGATAGGATAGGATAGGATAGGATAGGATAGGATAGGATAGGATAGGATAGGATAGGATAGGATAGGATAGGATAGGATAGGATACATGCATGTATGCGTTCGTCATCAGCACTTGGTTTCCATGTCAGGTCTGGTGTCACAAAAAAGAAAAGAAACAGAGAAGAATGAAGAAAGAACAAAGTATTTTTTGCGCGTCTGTTGCTACCACTACTGCGACTGCTACTGCTACTGCTACTGCTGCTGTCTTTTAGAACTGAAGAGGTGGACAGCTGATTTCAATAAGAATATAAAGATGAAGAAGAAGATGATAGTTTCCAACCTCTACTTCGGTCTCCGTATGTAGAGCAGAGCAGCAGAGCATAGTAGCGCAGAGCAGGACAGAGCAGAGCAGCCAGAGCAGGATGGAGCAGAGCAGGACGGAGGCTCCGGTGCCAAACGTTGCATCTCGGTGCTGCGCGTGTGTCTACGTCCCTTCACTCGCCATCCATCATCCATTTGCCGTCCAACCACCCGCCGTTCGTACGTCCGTCGTCCGTTCGTGCACCGTCCGTTCGTCCGCCATGCAATCATCCACCATCCCATCCGTCCACCATCCCATCACCCGCCGTCCACTCCTCCCTGATCCACTCCTCCCCAACCCACTCATCCCCTTCACCCCTCACCCCTCATCCCATCGCCCGCCGTCCATCCGTCCATCCGTCCGTCCGTCCGGCCGTACGTACATTCGCATCTGCGATTCTAATCAACTCAAACTAGAAGGCACATCTAATAACACAGTCAGATTTCGTCGGCATCGTATTCCTCGCGGTTGGGCACGCTCTTGGGCCCGTCCTTACGAATTGGTATTTTGATTCCCTGGGCGGCGAAGCAGCGACTCAGCTCGGTGCTCTCGACCACGCCCGGAAACTTCTTTGCCGAGTAGACTTGGAAGGGGTCTGTAAAGTTGTATGCCAGCACGGGGGCACGGCCTTTGTTGAGGCTACCTTTGCCATCGCCAACGTCGACAAAGTTCATCTTCAGTCTGTCGCGGGTGTGTGTGTTAGTTGGGTGTGCGAGCAGGGTTCATGGCAGGACAGGGGAGAGAGAGAGTGTGTGTGTGTGTTAGTTGGGTAAGCAGATAGAGTCAGTAGTTCTCCGCGCAACATACCGGAATACTCCTTCGGTGCGGACCGAGAGATCTTGGAGGATGAACCAGAGCCCACATTTGCCCTGGGGGTCCTTCAGCTTAAAGGCATTCACCGACAGGCTTCCAATGAGGTTGCGCGTGTACATGCCAGCAGTACCATGGTGGTGATTGACGGCGGCGGCGCCCTGAGCAGCTTGGACGGGCTGGCTGTAGTGTACGGCTTGTGGAGGCTGTGAATAGCCGACGGGAGGACTCCATTGTTGCTGTGGATAGTGTGGCATCTGACCGCCGTATTGGGCGGCCTGGGCGGCATGAGCGGCATGGGCGGCCTGAGCGGCGTGTGCGGCTTGAGCGGCCTGGGCGGCATGGGCCATAATCTGCTGCTGCTGGGCATTTGTAACAGTCTGACGCGAGTAGATGACCTCGGGCGGAGGCGGATAGGAAACGGGAGTGGCATTGGAGATGGAGACGGAGGGAGCGCCGCCATGCGATCGCACCAGGTTCACCTCCTGTTGACCTTCCTTGTCCCACAAGTCCACGCTGAGGACCATGTATTGGCTCTCGATTTCGCTGTAGATGGTGCATTAGTCGACCGCGCAGGTCTGGTAGAACATGTGCAAACGTACTTGTAGTCTGGAATCTCTTTGCCCGTCTTGGGATCGACGATACAGAGGCGTATGCATGGTGGTGGGGTGATGGGTCTTCGATCCTAGGGTTGCGGTTTAGCAGCTCGTTGAGTGTATGTGTGAGGAAGAAGACTCTTTGGCATCCATCGTCCTCTCTTGCGTGTGAACTCACCTTGTCGCCAAAACCACACATACGGGCTCGCAAAGGACCTTGTGCGACGATGAGGCTGTTTGTAAGATGAAATCAGATTGGTTCTGGTAATGAGAATACAGAAGACGTACGTATAAAACAAGCCGTCACGCTCGCTGGTCATGCCAAGGCCATCCAGATTGTGGGGTCTGGCAGGGTGAATAGCCATGCTGTTTTGTGGTGGGGGCGGAGGCTGTATGTACATGGCGGCATGTGGATGCTGCATCTGTTGCGGAGGGCCAGGAGGATACTGGGCATGAGCGTGCATGGTAGCGGGCATATAGGAGGTTTGTGAGGTGACGGGAGGCAGAGAGGGCATGTGCGGGACAAGGGCATGGTGTGACTGCTGGGGCCTCTGAGGCTGTTGGGACTGTTGCAGAGGAGGTTGATGCGGAGGGGGTTGATGCTGCTGCTGTTGCTGCTGCTGCTGCTGCTGCTGAGACGTGTGATGCGGCTGAGGAGTGTGGTGCTGAGGCGGCTGATGCGGAGGCGGCTGGTGCTGAGGCGGTTGATGCTGAGGTTGATGATGCCGAGGAGGTTGATGCTGAGGCAGTTGATGCTGAGGCAGTTGATGCTGAGGGGGTGGATGCTGAGGAGACTGATGGTATGATGGATGCATCATATTGGCAGCCATGATGCCCGGTGGCTGCGTAGCTGCAGTCGAGTCGAGTGGGAACGACCAGTTGTCAGAATAGGGACACGCTCAGACGAGGCGGCACACACGAACCTTATGTGAAGGGCGTGGTGGGTGTAACGAGAGACGAGCTCGGGATCCCAAAGACGTGGTTTGACAGATGGAAGCACTGCCTGACGGTCGAGAATGCAAGCGAATGTAGGTGAGTGTGACAAGAGAGGAGGAGTCGAGAAGGTCTGGCGGATGAGGGATATATCTGGATGAGAAAAACAAATATCCAAAGACGCGTGCGAGCGAGTGTTGCTCTAGTTACGCGTTCTTCCAAGCTGCTGGTTCCCAGAGTCGAGTGTCCCTTGGTTGAAGGGCCCGTCAGGATCCGGGTAGTGGATGGTGGAAGTTGTCAAAAGCAGTCACCGTATCATGCTCGCCACGGGAGTAGTATGTAGTGTAGTGGAATGGAGTGTTGTGCCGTGCCGTGTCGTGTCGTGTAATTGTAATTACAGACAGCTGGAGAGAAGGTCGAGACCTGTCCAATGATGTCCTCTCTTCCTTCCAGAATGCACGTCGAAGCCAAACGTCTCTGAAAAGTAAAAAGACGGTGTTCTGGAGGTACAAGACTGCCCGGTACCGCGCAGTGCCGCGTCCCTGTCTAGGTTACACGCTCTTTCAAGACCCAGAGTCTCCAAGACCGTGTAGCTTGGTCGACACAAGCAGCAGTTGAGGATATGGGAGATGTGTGCGGACGGATGGTACGGCGTGGATCGACGACAATTGGGAGGAAAAGAAGAAGAAGAAGAAGAAGAAGAAGAAGAAGCAGAAGCTGTGCTCGGCCACAGATGCGGTGCGTCTTCTTGCTGGCGATAGAAGTCGGATGGTGACACGAATTGAGAGGGACTGAGCGAGTCGATGTGAAGGGCGCAGTCGGCGGAGGGGGGGAGGAGGGGAGGGGAGAGGTTGGTCGAAGAGATTGGCGGGGAATGGCGAGGAAGTGAGCAAAGAAGGAGGAGTTCGGAGCAATACGGTGTCGACACTCAGCACTCAGCACTCAGCACTCAGCACATTCTGTACAAACGATAATTGTCGAGAAAGTGAAGAGAGAGGGCGGACGAAAGTGTTGAAGGAGTTGACGTCGGACTTGACTTGGGATGAAGCAGATTGGTTGGTTGGTTGGTTGGTTGGTTGGCGAGAGAGAGTAGTGGAGGATTCCCTAGCACAGTAGACAATTACAGTAATTAACTAATAAGACGTGAGACGGGTGCGAGCAGCAGCAGCAGCAGCAGCAGCAGCAGCAGCGGGATGCTCCACTTGGCGCGCAAACTCCACCCCCGTGCAGCTAATTACTGCCACTTTACCCTTTTGTTACCTGACAACCTTCGCCTGGGAAGCACGGCCAGCACCGCCAGCACCGCCAACAGCAGCCCAAAGTGCCCCCCGAAAGCTCCCAAGAGCCCCCAAGAAAGCCCCCCCAAAAGCCGCCGACAGTAGCCCCAGCCCCCGCCCCAGCCCAGCGTCAACGTTCCTCTTTAGCTGCAGATGGATGGCCGGCTCGATTATCGATTGTCGATTGCTCCTCTATCGTTAATTATTGTCATCACTCAAATCCTCCTATATAACGAATACATCCACATACGACTTAGTGCTAATCAGTTGTCATATATACTGCACATATATATATATATATATACACATCTTGCTACATAGCTCCTAGTCCATCCAATACATGATGCCATGCACCCGTCCCTTACCACCATCACCATCACCATTGCTTGTCTGCCTCCAGTCTCTGCCTGTCTCCCTGTCTTATCCAGCCACGCTGCCACACAGCCAGCCAAGCTACAACAAATACAGTTAGCACCACCCACACCACCCCATCTGACAGGTCCCCCGCCAATGCAGTGCAATAGCTGCCGTCCAGTGGGATCAGATAGCGACGTCCCGCGGTGGCTTGATGCATGCAAATGTCCCCGTCTCCCCCCCCAAAATGACGCCCCGGGGGAGTGGCGGCCGACCGTTGTGCCGGTGCTTGGGTGCTTGGGTGCTTGGGTGCATGCAGTAGTGTGTGTGCCTAGTGTGTGTGTGCCTGCGTGCCTGCATTCCATCCCATCCATCCATCCAACCATGCCGCTCATCAGAAAGTCTACTCATCAATACCTACCTAGCATGGGCCCACCAAAGCATACCACATTTCTCCCTTGGAGCACAGCATACTATAGCATACCCCCAAAACCCAGCATTCTCCAACAAAAAAATACAAGAGCAACACCATACCAAAGCACAGACAGATAACCCTAACCCAGACGACGTTCGTCATCACTCCTCGATTTCCCTACTACTAATCAATTACTACGACCGCCCACACCAGAGCGGTCGGAAGAAAAAGTACAGTAATTATCTATGTAGCTATTGATTAGTGAAATCCCCCATCCCCGGCATCCGATGATGAACCGATGATTCCCCGTCCTTTTTTTATGTCGAATATAAAGGGTACTTGACTTATTCATATGCTTTCGGCCTTAGGCATGTCAGCCTTAGGCATGCATATACGCTAGCCTAGAAAACAAGAATAGTGCCGATACACGCTATATTACGCGATTCGGCGTCTTCATCGTCAAGCTTGCTTGCTTACTTGGCAACATACACATACACACACTGATACAGTATAATACTTACCACACCACACCACACCTGCTGAGAAGACCATGATGACATGCATATATATATATATATACATACACAATACAGTATCCATCACTCATCTGTGCACACTTCTACTGCCCCTCCACCACACTCCCTCCACCCACCTGCAAATACGCCACGCTAAATCACCCAATCCACCAATCCACCACCCCATGTGCCAATCTCAGATTCTTCAACTTAATTATCCAAAATGGAACAACGTCTGCTTCTTGTTCTTGTTTCCCCCCTTCTTCCTGTTGCCTGTCGCGCTCTCTTCGCCGCCGTCCACAGGTGTCTGTGTCCCGCCGCTGCTTGATGCTGAACGTGCCGGGCCTGCTGCTACACCACCGCCACCACCCCAAGCATTCACTCCTCCCACGGCTGGGCTGTTGACGCGCCGCACTCCGGCTCCGCTACTGCCGGGCATGAATAGCGTGCTGGTTGGTTTTGCTGCTGCAGGTAATGCTGGGAATGCATCTGATGCCGTCGCTGCTGCTGCCGGCGTCTTTCTGGCTGCGTTCGTCGTTGTCGTTGACGACGACGGACCTCGCGAGACCTGTGGAGAGGGTGTGGCAGAGGCGCTGGCCGACGTCCATGGTGTCGTCCCAGATCGAGCTCCTCCTCCTCCTCCTCCTCCTCCCCCTCCAGCCCTGGACAGAGATGCATTCGCCGACGCCAGAGACGGGAAGCTATTCGCCACCGACCCTGCAGTGCCCCATCCACCCTGTCGATTCGCTGCCGATCGGGATGATTGCGCCGTCGAGCTCTTCAGCCTCAACACGCGAGAGCCCCCACCCGTCTGCTGCCCGACGCCTAATGTCGCTGCCGTCGTCGTCGTCGTCGTCGTCGATCCGCCGGGCAGTGAGGGATAGTCTTCGTGAATCGCCTTCCACTCGTTCCACGCCCGGATCAGCCCGTCCTTCTTGCTCGCAATCTCGAAAATGTCCGCCAATTCTCTGATCAATTTCCCGAGCTCAACCGAGCTGGTGTCGAAGAGCACGAAGAACGAGTCGATAAGCTCCGATGCATTGACTGCCCCCGTTTTGTATGCCGACACTTTGGTCTTGAATTCGGCCATCTTCGCTTGCTCTCCCTTCAACAGATTCGTTGCCCGCTCCGTCACTGCGTTGTGACGTAGCTGGCGAGCCTGTTCCTGGGGTGTCAGCTCACGAGCCGGTTGTTGTGTGGGTGCAGAGCTTTCTGCTGGGAAGGCGTCTGCTCGAGCCGCGCCACGTGGCTGTGTCGCCGTTACCGTCACAGGCTCTTGCGATCGAGAAGGTGCTTGGGCTGCAGTGGGCGCTGCGCTCAGTTGCCCGCCAAACGTTCGTGAACTGACCGACTGTGCACTGTGTATTGCCATTTGTCGCTGGTACGCCAGCTCGTCTCGTCGCAGCGGTTGTGCAGATGACTGTGGAATCGCCTCAACATTCGGGTCACGGCCCCGCCCTCTTCCTCGTCCTCGTCCTTCTCGCCGTGGCTCTTGGTGTGGCTGTCTGTAGTCAAACCCTGACATGTCAACTCTTCTAGCATCGCGACGAGCGTCCTTGGACAAGCCATGAGGATGACTTTCCAGTTGATGCGCCTTCAGATCCAGCTCCGACTCGAACACGACAAACTTCTTGTCCAGACAATCTTGTTCTAGGCAGAGGAAGTGATCCCGCCGGAAGTGTACTTCCAGCGAGTCGTAGTTGGCATAGTACTCCTGTAGACGGCCGTCACTACGCCGGTCGCAGATATGGCAACGCTCGTGCTTGTCCCTGCAGTGTGTGTACAGTTCATCGTCCCCGTAGAATCTCTGCTTACAGAACCCACACTCCGGATGCCCTTTAAACCCGCTCTGATCTACCGCGCCCGGATTGTCGTCGCCAAACCGCTGATGCTTGCGCAAGTCGTTGTGTGTAAAAAGCTCATGCTCGTGCGTAAACACCTTCTTATTGCGCGTACACAGATCGCACATGATCTTGTGGTGAACATTCTTAACATGCCGATGTAAATCAGGCCAGCCCAAGCATGCCACATCACAGCTCGAATCCGCACAGTTGAACCTCAACAGCAGCACCGTGTCCTCGAGAATCTCCTGTGCCTCGAATCGTATGCCCAGATTGTCGTCCTTGCGCGTGATTTCGCTATCCGTAAAGTCCTGGTACTGCTTCGTGCCGTCGTCCGTGAAGATGACGTGGTCCGCGGGCGTCCGACAGTGTGCGCACGACTTTGACTTGTATAACGCTCGGAGCCGCAACGCGCAGATGTGACAGGTGCGATGATTGCACGGCGCTACGGCCCAGTGCACCACCGGCGACGCGCAGATGAAGCAGATCTCCCCGTCGCCTTCCTCATCGCCCTCCTCCTGGATGTCAGCTTTCGCGGGCTTCTTGGTTGCGTCGGCGACTGCATCTGTGCCGTTCGCCGCCGCCGCCGCCGCTGGGGATGTGCCGTTTGCTGTGGGTTCGTGAGAGAGTTGTCCGCCGAATCCTCGAGGCCCTTCTTGTCCTCCTGCTCCTCGGCCTTGCCCTCGTCCTCGTTGTCCGCCTCTTCCTCTGCTGTTTCGTTGTGTGCCGTCTCCCGCTCCTCTCGACGCCGAATTGCTGCCGCCTCGTGGTCCTCCGCCTCCTCTCCGGCGACCTCCTCGAGGAGGAGAAGTCAGGCCGGGAGGTAGTTGTGGTGCCGCCGTCTCACCAGACATGCTTGCAACAAATTTTATTGCGAGTGATGTCGTCACTGGGGCTGAAATATAATATAGTGGGGGGTGGAGAAGGGTAAGTTTAGCGAGTTGAAAATAAATAATGTAGATGCGGTCCTCTGATAGTATTATGGATTATAAAGGGATGTAGAAGAGTCACATATGCCAGCGTAAGGCGCAATTGAGAGTTTGTTGTTTGGCGGTGTGGCTGTGGGTGCGGTATGGGAATGATTCATGCTTGAGTGTCGCGAACCGAAGCGTGCGTTTGTGCTGTGGCGGTTCTGTGGGTGAGGCTAGTGAGTGACTCAGGCCATCCACCGCCATCCGGATCCATGGATCCATGGATCTGATCTGATCTGGGCAGCACTGACAAGTCCAAGAGACTGTCACCAACACCCATCACCCCTTTTGCCATATGTGTTGGACTCCGGTGACTACGACATGTTGGCAGTTCTCTCCTCATGCCCTGCGTGGTCGTACCAAATGCGTACACCATCGAGCTATATTGGTGAGCTACAATTCCACGACAGCTTCATTCACATCGCAGCCCCCTACGCCGCTCAGGTGCATCGTCCCCAGAAGTACGAACACGAAGCTCTTCGATCTGGCTTTCACAGTTCCCTCAAGCTGCCGCTCTCATCATCAAACTCATCTCCATAGCTCTGCTCGAGCATCCCCACAAACCCCTCTCCTGATCCCCCGCATTGTGCCTTCAGCCAGCCTTCCATGCTCAAGATATGATCAGTCGTAGATTCCACCCTCCCCTTACAAGCCTCCACTCGCCCTCTCTTTCTTTCCATCTCAACCGGGTCATTCTGGCTGTAGCCCATCAACTCCTTCTTCAGCTGCTCCACCTCTCTCTTCAACCCTTCACTCCTCTCCATAAGCTCTCCTCTATCCATTCCGTCCGCGCCGTCATCCTCTCTCGCCTCACTGGCTTCGTCAACCTTTGCCTGTAATTCCTGCACCGAAGTCTCAGCCCTCTCAAACTCGTCGCGCGCAACGTCGAGCTGGGCTTCCTTTAGCTTCCTCTCCTCCGAGGGAAAGCTCCAGTACCAATTCCCGCTGCCGATCTTCTCCACGTGGATCTGGTTCTCGTCGGCGAGGGCTTGGAGGTAGTCCTTGACGGCCATGCCGTTGATTGAGGCGACGGAGGGGAGGGCCTTTTCGAGGTCTTTGATGGAGTGCGCTACGCAGGAGTTGCGGAACCATTTGAGGATGATGGCTTGCTTTGCGGCTGGCGGTTGGGTCTTTGGGGCCTGTTTTGCGTGGTGAGTGGAGGGAAGTGATGTGAGTGAAGTGAGCTAGGGTGGCCGTTGATAAGCATTGTGGCTTACCATGTTGGGCACTTGTGGCAAAGGCTGCGATTAGTTGCACAGACGAGATGAGTGTGGGTGTGAATTGAACAATGAGTGCGTGAAACAATGGTCAAGAGCTGACACCCGCGGCAGGATGTTCGGCCTCGCATTGTTCACGCAAGAGTCACGGGAACTCCTTATCCTTCAGATTTTTGCGTCTCAATCAAGCGGTGCTAATGTGATGCCATGACAGTACAACGTCTATTATTGTATTCCAGAAGAATTGCAAGTTCGTCCTCTCAAGTAGTGCGCGAATTACTTGCACAATGGCCATCACAGAGCAACCGATAGAGCTATTGGCAGAGCTTCCGGCAGTCTACAGTCGTAGCCATCAGAGGAGAGGATAGTGTACTCCTTCATACAAGGTGTGTACCAATATCAATTGACGGAGTAAACCATCTCAAGACGCCCTTTGTGGATGACGAAACATACACGATGGTGAGACGGATACGAAACATTGTGTGTAAGTTTTCTACAATAGATTGACTAATCACCTCGGTATCGCTGGCGTTCGCCGCCGAATGACTACGATACAGCACATACTCACGGCAACTGGAACGAGGCTTCAAAGGTATCAGTAGTAATTAGTGGTAGTTTTGCATTAGCATGCATGCATCTGTGGCTTGCAGGACCAATCCCGGCCACGGATCGGATGGGACGGCTCGCCGCTTACCGGACCTTAAAAACTGCCGCAATGGATGGACGAGTCATAACTTCAGTATCTTGTAAGACTCACCAAATTTTTTTTTCCTATTATAATTACTGCAAGATTCAGTTCGTTGCTTGTGTTTCCCCTGTCGTACTAGGAACAACCATGGCACTGTATGCTCTCTTCGAAGGTGCAATTCCCGGAACATTGTCATATGCAATCATCTTCCTCCTCCCGGTACTCTACATTGGCTATTCACTTTACTTGCATCCACTTGCCCACATCCCAGGTCCCTTCCTAGCAAAACTATTCCCAGTCCCGCTGTGGATCCTCACATACAGAGGAATCGAGGCGAGCACACTGACGGCAGAACATGAGAAACGAGGCCCCGTGATTCGCATCGCTCCAAATGAAGTCTCGGTCTCAGACGGCGCTGCCCTGGCACCGATATACATATCGAAAGGCGGCTTCAAGAAGTCCGAGAAGTACGTCCGAACAACCCCTGTCCCAAGATCTCCCTCAATTAACAATCCATCTCCAGCTACACAAACTTCCACATCGAAGGCCACCCAACCCTCTTCTCCGCCCTCGACATGGACCACCGCGCCCTCCGCGCCAAAGCCGTCCTGCCCATGTTCTCCACATCTTCCATCCGCAAACACGGCTGGCACACCCTCAAAGCCGCCGCATCCCAATGGGCCGACGTCCTCGAATCCGCGAAACACTCCTCCTCCTCCTCCTCCTCCTCCTCCTCCTCTTCGCCCCGCCGCATCAACATCCTCTGCTCCGCCCGCGCCCTCGCCCTCGACTCCCTCTCCGCCTACCTCTTCGGCCGCCGCTACGGCGCCCTCGACGAACTCCTGTCCGCACCCCAAGACACCCCAGACCCCTCCTTCACCGCCGACGCCTTCGTAAACGCCTTCGTCGCCTTCGGCCGCTTCTTCAACCTCCCGCCCCCCCTCTTCCACCTCGCCGAGTCCCTCGCCGCACACACCTCCTTCACGCCCCAAATCCACGCCAGCATCGCAGACGTCGACGCCTACGCCGCCTCCATTGTCGCGGACGCCGCCGGAGCCAACACTGCCAAACCATCCGGTTCCGACCCTCAGTCCGAAGCCGGAGAAGAAGAAGAGGAAGAAGAAGAAGAAGAAGAAGAAGAAGGAAACACGTACCAAGCCCGCCTTCTACGCGCAGGTATCTCGCCCGCCGAAGCCGCAGCCCAATGCAAGGATCTCATCTTCGCGGGCACGGACTCGACAGGCATGAATCTCGCTACCATCGTATTTCACCTCGTGCGGAATCCGGCCGTGTATGCGCGGTTGCGCGCCGAGGTGCTTGCTATGCCCGATGATGACGATGACGATGAGGGTGCCGATCTCATGGCCCTCCCGTATCTCTCCGCCGTCGTAAAAGAGGGTCTACGCATCAGCATGGCGAATCCCACACGTCTACCGCGCGTCGTACCGGTCGGAGGCGTGACGCTTCCGAGCGGACACTTCCTCCCTGCCGGCTCGATTGTCGGGATCGGAGCACATGCGCTGCATATGAATGCGCGGACGTTTGGGGATCCGGAGCGGTTTTGGCCGGAGCGGTGGCTTGGAGACGGCGGCGGCGGTGGGAATGCGGAGATGATGGGGCGGGATAGTGTTGCGTTTGGGAGGGGGGGTCGGGCGTGTGTGGCGCGGAATCTGGCGGGGGTGGAGTTGTATTTGGGGGTGGAGCGGGTGGTGAGACGGGGGGTGTTGGAGGGGGCGAGGGCGGTGGGGGAGAGGGTGAGGGTGTTGGAGTGGTTTAATGCGAGGGTTGTGGGGGAGAGGATTGATGTTGTTTGGGGTGCGTGAGGGGGTGGTGTAGTAGCGGAGTGTTTTGCACATGTAGAATGAATGGAATGGAATGGAATGATCCCGTGACGAGAGTATGGAGTATGGGGAACCTACTTACTCGCTAACACTGCTCTCGTCTCCAGGAGCATCATCGTCGACAACATCCACCGCTTGACCTCCCGCCTCAGCCGACCGGCCCGTCATGAGAAATGCCTTGAGGCATGTAATCCGGTGCCCAGTCTCATAGGTCCCAACAAGCACGCCCACGCCCATGCCCACGCCCTCCTCCCCAGCCTCCTCCTCATCCCCCGGATCCTCCCCATTCGCCTCCGCAGTCTCCACCTCACCACCCCCCGAGATCTTCGCATCCAGTTCCTTCCTGCCCACGCTCCAGATTCGCACCGCGCCATCACTGCTGCCCGCGATGACCGAATAGCTCCTCGCTTCACCAGCGCTGGAGCCCGTGTCGTGGCTGATGATCTCAAAGTCCTTGATTCGTCCTGCGATGCCGGCTGCGCGCCCGCCTAGTTCCGCTACAGGGCGACATTCCGGTAGTTTCGCGTCGTCGTCGTCGTCGTCGTTGGTGGTGTTGTTGTTGGTGTTCTTGTCGGTATCGTCTTCAGGCGCGGACACCTGCGTTGCGTAAAAGACGATTCTGCCGTCCTCCGTCGAGACGGCGAGGAGGGGTGCTGTGGTACCTGGAACATAGTGGATTTGGTGAATCTTCGTTCGCGGAGCGGGAATGATGACGGCGCGTGGTTTGGAGTCCTGTGTGAGTGTCAGTGTGATGAACGAGAGATGGAGGAGCATGGAGGAGTATGCATACGAGTCCATATACCACCGCACCGCGCTCAAAGGAGATTGTGTACTCCTCGCCATCGGTGTCCCATGCGATTTTGCGGCCCTCGCCGCTGGAATGCTTTCCTTCGCCGACCTGTTGGAGGAGCTCGCGGCTGAAGTTCAGCACGCCGGCTTTCTTGGTGGTCAGGAGGTTCCATAGACGCATGCACTTCTCGCCTTTGCCGACGGTGATCATGAGCTTCATGCTGGGATGCACGGCAAAGTCGTTGACGCCGGCGGGGACTTCGCCGGGGGCCAGGGTGTCTCCGCTGGGCCGGCCGACTGCTTTCGGGATGGGTGCCTTGATCGTGGACATTACTGTCCAGTCCTGCGTTCTCTGCGCGATGGCTACGGTGTTGTCTTCTGATGCGGATAGAAGCTTTGACTTGGTGGGGAAGTAGAGAGCCGTGATACTGGAGGAATGGTGGAGAAGCGATCCGAGCTCGCGATTCTTCGGGTTCTCAGCAGTCGAGATGCCGGAGAGGGAGGGTAATGACGGTCCGTCCTGAGGCGCTGGAGGCGAGGTAGATAGCTGGTAGAGGTTGATCCGTTCGTCAGTACTTCCACTGGCCAGAATGACTTTGGAATCGTCGGAGCCAAATGGCGGTGATATGGCGAGACATCGGACAGATGAGGTGTGAGCATTGAAGAGAAACGTGTCTAGAAAGTTGGCCTGTGGTTCGGAGCTGTTTTTCTTGGGTGTGGTTGGTATCGAAGCGGTAAAGCCATGCAGAGCGCGCTCATATGATCCAAGCACGATTTGTATGGAAGCAGTTTCTTGTGATGACGAGGAGGCATTAGGATCAACATGCTCTGCAGCTGATGGTATTGGTGCTTTCAGAACACCATTCTTCTTGATTGACTTGACTGGAGGCTCCTTGACAGCCTCTCGTTTTCGTTTGGCCATGGGTGAATCTTCAGCTGGTTGTGTAAAGGGAAATCAATGTCCGCTCCAGACACACGCACACAATACTACTGTACCTCTGAATGCTGAAAGTGAGTGTAGCCTGTAGTCGTATTGTGGTGCGTACCGCGTTGAGTTGCGTGACAGCAAAGTGAATATCAGAAAGTCTGTAGCTATTAGCACCTGGGCAACTTTTTTTCTGAATGCACTAGGCTACATTGGGACGGAATAGCTGATGATCACGCTAGAATGGAATCGGCTAGCGTACAAACGCGAATAAGCGCGTCGCGGATGCGGGTGGAGTTGGAGCTGAAAACGCTGGAACCGGCCGGTGAGAAAGGAGAGTCACGTGGTTGATGCCTTACTTGGAAATGTTTGCCTTGACAATCAGTTGATTAATTAGCGGGCTATTGGGCTACCACCAATACCGCTCACTAGTGACCGGTTTATCGCTTGTCACAGTACCGCTGATACCGCTGTCTATTAACTCCACGGTAGCAGCCATACCGCTACCGCTATCGCTCATACCAGCTACCACTAAACCCCCCCCCGAGAGCGCCTCAGCTAATATTATTATTACTGACTGTTACTGCTAACTGCAATCCTGGAACTCGCATACTCTGGTGCTGCGATCCGTACTGAGCTTCATCTTTTGCAACCGCGTTTTCATCATCCAGCCATCAACACTCCACCCACGCTCTATAAATCTGCTCTCGCTCATCGCTCACTTCGCCGTCTGACCGAATGACGGATGTGTTCAGAGTGGTGAGCTTCTCATATGTTACTAGAACGAAGTCGCGATGAACTATCCAGGGCGAGGAAAAGCCAGATAGCGTGAGTAGCTCGTCTGTTATTCCCATTCCGCGCATCGTTCGAATGCGCTTGACGATGCGAAAACAAAAAATCGCTCAGAATTGTTTGTTTCGTTGTGTTGGTGCTGATATTCCATGCAGACATGTGGAAGCTTGGAGGCACGGCAAGCTGCGCGAGTTCTACGACGTCTTTACGGCCGTCTCTGAAGCGCGGGACCCGCTAGAATCGCCGCACTCCAACCTCAACGCGCCGCTCCCCCAACCTGGCGACGACGAGTCACGTTTTCTCGACTCTGTCGATATCAACAAGTATGTCTGTTCATTGCAAAGCATGATGCTTTTGTTTGAACACGTCCGCAATCCTGTTTGGGTAAGTGTCTGTACTAATTCATGCATAGAGGTCGAATCTTCAATGAAAACTTATACAACTACCCGTTGTTGTCTGTCCTACAATCCGCAGAAGCTCGCAAACTTCCCCGTGCGACCGACTCTGATTCATTGCCTCATGAGATAGATTCCAACAGTAAAGCCGTCGCCGTCGATCCAGTTGCGCCATTTACCAAGTCTGGATCCTCTCTTCCAGCTGCATCTCTTACACGACCCGTATCCCCGACTACCAACCCAAATGCAGCTTCCAAAGGTCCTTCGAGCAAGGAAATCTTACCTGTCAGTGAACCAACTCAGGACTCTTCTGTGCGCCCAGATGCGACTGTTGAGGCCTCTCGTGATCATGTTGAGCAAGCCAGCACCCAGAGAGCAGACCCTCCAACGCTTCAGCAGGAGCCTGCAAGCGAATCAGAAATCGTGCGTCCTATCGCAGCTGCTCAAGACGATAGAGTGCGAGACAGTCTTCAAATACCAACCCAACCTTGCGAGAAGGATCGCAAGGACGATGACCGTCATGTCTTGCTAGCAACGAATCATGCCGACCTGGCATCTTCTCCGTCCTCGACGGTAGGTCCTTATTCCACCCATACGCCTCGTCCTGCCCAGCAATCGCCGGATACCAGTCCCGAGCAAGAGTCTTTCAGCGCAGACAGCCATGCAATACTTCACCAAACGTCGAATCACGCCCCACAGAAGGATCTACCACCAGAAGAGCCTTTGTCCTTGCTCCCATCAAAAGAACACCAGCAAGTTCTTCACTCATCTGCACCATTGACACCCTCGGACCAGCAACACCCTCATGGCGAGCAATTTGGAGGTACAGAAGCCGTGGACGATCAGCCACAGTCAGGGAAGCCTGGCCAGTGTTTACCATCGGCGCACCGGAGCACGGATATAGGCTTCGAAATCAGGAAACAACCCACTCCGCCGCCAGATCTCGATATGCCAGACGCGACTAACTCCGTTGTTACGAAGGACCTCGATCGACTGAATGGAATAATACCAGTACCAGTCGTATCACAAGCGCAACCCCAAGAACCTGCGAATGGCCAGGTTGCCCTCACTCCGGACTCTGGTGCTCTAGCTCCGCTGAATCCTACAAATTCACGGAAACGGAAATGTGATCCAGAACATCAACCATCGAAGCCGCAGAAGAGGCGACAGTCTATGGTCATCTTCCCTCGTAAAGATGCGGATCATTACGAGAACATGACGCAAATGTACAGTGACGACTATGCCTCTTTGAAAGGGGCCTCGCTGGACGACGGAAAAGACTATCTGCATGGCCTGTTCACACATCAAGCTCACATGGCACCAAGATCCACACCGCTTGAACAACTTGTGTACAAAGCAAATAAGTCGGTGACCACCTCCAACTTTTCTGCAGTCAACCGCGATACCCAGGACTACAAGATTCTCAAGAGGGTATACCAGCTTCAAAATGCCAACAAATGGTCGTTACGTCAGATGGAGAAGCCACCTGAGCCAGCGCGCCCTATCACGCATGATGACTTTCTCCTTGCTCAAATGATGTGGATGCGCACTGACTTCAGGGAGGAGCGTAAATGGAAGCAAGCCACAGCGAGAGCCTTAGCTACATGGTGTGCTCACTTTGTCGCAAGTACCGATGAGCAACGCGCTTCATTGCAGGTCAAGCTGTCGTCCAGGGCGAGAGGTAATATGGCACGTGAGATGGATCAAGATCCGATGGCAGATGCGCCAACTCCCGACCTGGTTGCCTCGAGAGGTCCTGAGTCTCTGGGCGATGATGACAGACCAATGACGCCGGATTCGTACGTCAATCCAGCGATGCTATTCGACCTGGGATTCGACAATGTCGTGCTACACATGAAGGAAACTCCCGCAAATGAACGCCTCCTCCGCGAAATACCCGAATACGATCATATGGCAATACTCCATCAGGTAGAGTATGGTCCAGTAGAACCTACGATCCTAGCCGTCTCCAAGTACGTCACAGGAAAGATCATCAGCAGATCCCATGGCCCTCCACGTAAACGAAGTCGCTATGAGTACGAGCAAGAGGACAACATTAGTGACTATCCGAGTAAACGACCCACACCGGAGCACTCAAGACCCTCGACACCGGGACGACGACTGCACCGGGACGACCTGGCGCCAGAGAAGACGGATGTGGCGCTGTTCAACTACGAGAACAAACATGTGCGAGACCGCGTACACTCAAATTCCGTCTTCCGACCACCATCAGAATTTCCTATGCCCACGGTGCCTTTCCTGGCGTCGCGCACACCTTCGCAGTGGCACTGGGATGAAGATCAGAAGCTGCGTTCTCTGGTGAAGGAGTATCAATTCAATTGGTCTTTGGTGAGCTCCGAGTTATCAATCCCATCACTCTTCACATCTGGCACGGAACGGCGAACCCCGTGGGAATGTTTCGAGCGTTGGCAACAGTTAGACGGCCTACCGACTGAGATGTCTAGAACGCAGTACTTCCGTACTTGGGCATCACGACAAGAAGAAGCTCAGCGCATCAACAGCAATACTCTCCAGCTGCAACAGGCGCAACTACAACAACAAGGCCAACCTGCACCTACTTTGACGCCACGACGGCGCATCCAACCTTTCAGAGTTGAGCGAAGAAAGGAGAACAGGCACATTTCAATGGTCGATGCGATGAGGAAGCTTGCACGAAAACGCGAATCTATAGCACACAAAGCAGCCGAGGCTGCCAAAGCCGCTGCGATGAGAAAGGCACACGAGCCTCAGCCACCCAAGACAACTGTCCACACCCCGGCGGAATTCAGTCGGTTGAAGCATGAACGCGAAATACAGGCAGAGAAGCGAGAGCAAATGAGGCTAGCCCAGCAGCAAGCGATGATGATGCAACGTGTAAGTTTCCTTACTGTTTCGTACTTGGGCCGAACTTCACTGACTTCTCCCAGCAACAGGCTAACCTCAACGCCGCTCGCGCAGCTCAAGGCAACGCAAACGCTCAAATGCGGGTGGCCGCCACCCTGGCCAATGCAAATGGGGCGTCCAACACTAACGCTGGCCCCACTTCGCAAATCGCTAACGCCGCTTCAATGCAAAATCGTCCCCAGGGAGGTCAACAAGCTGTCATGCAGGGTAATATGGCCAATGGATCGAACACGGCCGGTATGAATATGAGCTTGAACGGCATGCCCCAGGCTCAAATGCAAATGCCGTCGCACCAAAGAATGCCCAATCAGGAGCACCTTCGTCAACACATGCCACATCGTCAATTCAGCACCACTCAGCAGCAACAGTACCAGATGCAACAGCAACAGGCACAGGCGCAGGCGCAGCAACAGCAGCTTAACAATCCCAACAATCTTGCGAGTGCGCATCGCGCCGGAACGAACATGGCTCTTCAGAACACACCAAACATGGTGGCCAACATCGCTACCATGACATCTAAACAGGGTAACGTCAATGGGGCCGCAAGCGCCAATGGCAATGCTTCTATGGCCGGTATTGCGAGAATGTCCGGGTCTCCACAGATGGCTCCACAGGTCAACGGAGGCCGTCCTCTGTCAAGTGGAAATGTACCAGTGATTCAGCAGGTGACGAATCGCCTTCGCCAGGCTCATCCGGACTGGACAGCGGAGCAAATACATTCGAAGGCAAACGAGGAGCTTACATCTCGCCTTCGACAACAGCAACAATTCCAACGACAACAGGCCGTGCATGCTGCCGCGGGCAACAATGCGTATCAAAGCCCTGGAACGATGAGCAACGGAACGATGATGGGAAGCGCCTCACCGTCGAATGCCCAGCAGTTTAATCAACAGGCCTACATCCAGAACATGATTCGGAACAACGCGAACGGCCAGTCACAGACTCAAGGGAGCAGCCCGAGCATGGGTGCTGTCAATCCTGTGAGCCGTAGCGCGACACCGCAGAACCCTCAACAGCAGCAACAACAACAACAACAGCAGCAGCAGCAGCAACAGCAGCAGCAGCAGCAAATACAGCAGAGCCCTGGAATGCAGCACGCTCAGATGGCTCGCCAGTAGAGGCGCATTTTGTACATATATCGACACGGTTGGTTTCATTTGCGGTCACACACACAAACACACACACATGATTGTTCTGTTCGGCATAAGACAGTTCTGGGATTAGCGAGATTCTTATTATGCTCTCGGGAGCAGCTGTAGTATGAGCACGGTACGGCGTCTGGAGAGGTTATTTTTTTTTAAAGTTGGTATTGATTCGTAGAGGCACAGAGCCTGTACAGGTTGTGAAGCGACGACCTGGCCTTGGTCGTCGTTGTTGTTGTTGTTGTTGTTGTTGTTGTTGTTGTTGTCGTCGTCGGCGTCGGCGTCATCGACATGGGAAAGACGATATTTGAGGGAGCCCCGTGTTAGGATAGAGCGCAGCATTGTTGAATGCAAGATTACGAGGAAGAAGCCTTTGAAGCAATATTCTAGATCTTCCTCCATCTACACAACTGCCTTTGGTTCTTCTCTGTGCTCCCCTCTCATGTGACAAATCTACCATCTATCTCTCCTTATCTCCGCACTGCACCCCAATCACACCTCCTCCCTCTCCCTCTCCCCCTTCCCTTCTCCTTCCCCCCTCCCCCTCCGCGCCCAAAACTCCCTCACCGCAACCGCCGTCCCCTCAACAATAACCCCCCACTCAACCGCATGCACCCTCTCCTCCACCCTCTCCAAGCCCCCCTCCCCCCGCTCATCCCCATCCCCCTCCACAAACCCAACCTCCCTAACCACCAACGGCAGCCCCATATCCACCTCCCGCACAACCCGATGCACCATCACCCCCGTCCTGTCCACTTTCCCCGCCCGCCAATCCGCATACGCCCGCGCAATCGCGTTCGCGCCGTTATACGCGCCTGGCAGCGCAGGGTGCAGGTTTATGACGTCTATGCCGGCGGCGGCGATGGGGTCGAGGAAGGAGGGGGTGAGGACGTGCATCCAGCCTGCGCAGATTATGAGGTGGGGTTTTGTTGCTGGTGGGGTGGGGGGGTGCAGGAGGAGGTGGGCGAGGTCGGCGTCGTAGGCTGCGCGGGCGGAGGCTTTTGCGGCTTCGATTTGGGTTGTTTTTTCGGGGTCTGTGGGTGTGGTGTCGTCGTTGGGTTTGGGAGTTGGGATGGCGGCGAGGTGTTTGCGGGTGTAGGGGACGAGGTTGTGGTATGTTGTTGGGATGCCGGCGGTTTGGGCGCGGACGAGGCCGTATGCGGCTTTGCGGTTGGAGACGACGTGGGTGATTGTGCAGTTTGAGAGGACGGAGGAGGGGGATGCGCAGGCGTCGATGAGGGCTTGGAGGTTTGTGCCGTTGCCGGAGATGAGGACTGTGAGGAGGGTTTTGGGGGTTGTTGGGGTGGAGGTGGACATTGGGATTGGATTTTTGCGAGGGGGATGTGCGGAGGATTGCAGAGTTGAGTGAGAGATTGATGTGTGTGTGAGAATCGATTGTGCCTTTTCTGGTTTTGTGTTTGTGAAAAGTGGTGGTAGTGGTCAGAGGTTTGGGTTTTTTTTCATGCGTCGCGAAAAGTCGCGATACTTGGGCAAGCTGCCCCACTGTGGGGTAAATTCACGCAGCTCGAGCTTTGAGTCTACGAGGTACTTGGGCAGACAGTGAGTATTCAGGTCGTGTCTATTAATTATGCGTACCGTCCTGTCTCTAAAATCTATATCACGCATGTACATTCAATCGCTGTCGTACTTGTTGGTATCATAATCGCCCAAAAGGATATCGTCTGGTGCAGGGCCGCGATTGTTTCGCACTATATCTCTGTTAGCCACTGCTCGTGCAACCCGTTCTCTGCTCACTTACCCCATTCCGTCTCAACTCTGAAGAATATCCACACCCATCGCCTGAAGACTTCCAAGGCTTCCATCAAGAATATGCCGCCTTCTAAGTCGTTAAAGTGATCCAGATGCGGACTGAGCTTGAAACTCCATGTACATCGCAGCATAAGGTCCATGATAATCACACTGTAATACAGCTCTTTCGCATAAAAGTATCGATGGCGTCGCAACCCGAATGGATGTTCCGGGTTGTCGCGCTCCTTTGAGAAAAGGGTGAGGTCCCAATCCTTGGCAACATCCCAGTAAAAGGAATAGAAAGAATTGATAAACACGGCCAGGAGCCTAGGCAACGTCTTGTTAGTTGACAGCTCACCAAGATTGTCAAATGATCCTACCACAGCCGAAAAAGTCCTTTCTCGCTCATGTGAAAGGTTGCAGGGTCATAGCCTCTTTGCATGGCACTCAATATGATGACTGGAAACGCGGTGGAATATTTCAGCGCGTTGGCCAAATGCTGCCCTCCCCACCCAGCGGCACCAATGCTACCTGATGGCTTATTCGCTCTTCTAACTCTCAAATACTCAATCAAACATTGTCGTAGTCGTATTAAACTCGGTATGCTGATAATGAATGGGACGAGGAACGCGCCTCCGCAAGTTCGGTCTGGTCGGCTTGTACTGCTGCCCTTTCCACTGACAAACATGCAAAGCGCGACGAAAAGATCACCCATAACTTTTGCGTAGCTCGTGAGCGCATCAGCCATCAGAATATCTCCAAATTTTCCATTATCTGCTTCCGCGATGCCACCTATGCTTATGCGTCGGAGGGTGAGGAGGAATCGCGACCGGCCAGATGGCGATACAGACGGAAGCGGAAGGGCAAACACAAGTATTACTACGATTAGGTATAGATTTGGAAGCAGCGAGTATTGCTCTACGAGATTGGCGTGGCCCCGCGTGAGGACCCAGAAAAGGAGGAGGGAGATGGCCAGCGGAATGCTGAGCAGGGTGGCGAGTCTATATGTTGAGACATGGTGTCGAGGCTGATGACTATGCGTTCGCGCGGGATATCGTATTAAAGATGGTACGTCCTGAAAGACAGCTTGAGTTAGCACTGTGTTCGCGACGATGGCGGCTCACGGGAGCAAGCATACGATTTTGACGAGAGAGAGGTAGTGCAGATTGGCACCCCAGGCCCAGATGCCAAACACACTGATTATAGCGACGCGATATGGGAGAGGAAGCCACAAACTGAATGTGTCTAGGATAGGGTCGACAGCCGGATCGCCGTCCATATTGATGATGGACGCAGCAGCCTTCTCCTTTCTACCAGTCTGGCCACACAGCAGGAGTCTTCGTGCTCGACATACAGCTGAGAATAGCTGATATTGTAGGTGGGATGCTTGATACCAGCCGCAACAGTGCGCAGCGGAACAATGACTCGCAAGAACCCAGAACGAAGAAATGTAAGCTTGAGATGAGAAGATGCCAGTGTATGTGGTGTATGTGCCAATGTGCCAAGCGATACTTTTCTTTGGCGGCAACGTAACGCGCTTCCCCCTGGCCTGGGCGCTTTGGGGGTCCAACCGCGAGATTTTCCGGCGGTGAAACGCGCTACTCAGCCCTATGACTGCGGCTCCATCGGGGCTGTCGATCCATGCTAACGTCCCTCTCGGTTCTAGTGCGAACGAGTGTCTGTGATGATGATGCCTTAATAATGGTGACGTTTACATTCACAATCGGCGCCTCTCGCGGGCTGTTTTGCCCCAGAATCCAAACGCGGATGCAAACTTTAGTTGTCTGTGCCTGCCTTGGGGAACATGACGACATTTTCGGAGATGATACCGACATCTTTCGTCCTGAGTGAAACTGCTGTAAACTCCCATCCCATCTCGTTTCTTCTCTCCTCCAATACCCAATCCGGATTGCAAGATACAAACTGATATTTGCATTGCTTCCCTCAGCACAGCCTTTCCCTCTCTGTTTCCTCTCAATCAATTAATCTCCTTTCTCCCAGCCATGTCTCGAGCACTTTTGCGTCCACGTAACATCGCCATCGCTGTCGGTGCATCACTCGGTGCCTACTATATCACCTCCAATTACAATCCTGCTCGCACAGCCGGTGTAAAGCGAATCGAAGACGCTTATACCAAAGGAGGAGGCACCCCAACGCATCTACCTGCAGTTGCTACTAAGCTTGGAGACAAGGATCACATCACACCACCTCACGAAACCCAGGGTGGAGGCGGAGGTGCGTGAAACTGCATTTGGTCATACTTGAGCTCTGTTGACTTACCTCCGTGGAGGCTCAGGCGTTTCATCCAAGAACTTCAAAGAGAACCTGGCAGACCAAAAGACAGCTCCTGTATGTCATCCTCACAGACATGATACCCCAAAACACGAACAGTCGTCTCTGGGTGCTGTGACTGACATGAATACACAGCAATCTGCGGCGTCGAAGAAGTTTCACGAAGCGATGTATGGTAAGGCAACCGTTCTCCTCTTCTCATTCAATGGAGTCCATGTCTAATGCACCACTCCAGGTCAGGATAAAGGCAAATGATCTGGTCAATTGGTAGAGCAATCAAACGTGGTGTCCATCGTCTGTCTCGGAGTCTGAATGCATAAAGCGGCGTCGTTGATTTACAAACCAAAAGAGTTACACGTACACGCATAATACATAATAGAATTCGACTACTTACACCTTGAATACCAAAGAGCTCCGTGTATGAGCATGCGATCGTCAAAGCGGACCTACAACCTGTCATGTCTCTTGAGCTAAATCCTTCAAAGTCAGTTCTGTATGGCCGACCATTGCCTACTCGACATTCTACCAGGAAACGCGATGTTGCTTCATGTACCTCCGTAGCCTTTACTTCCTTCCCAGTCAGAGGTTCCATTCTAAGTCTCTCCATACTAGAAGAGCGTGTCGATGTTGTAATGGATCTTTACATCACGTAGATGATCTGACTGGAAGAGACGGGACTAGCCAGAGAACATGTCGCTTGTAAACATTTGATTACGATTCGCTGTTGACATCCAAGTAGAACATCCGATGAGTACAGGGCGAACTCCTGAAGAGCGTATGGATTGATACATTGTAGCCTACAACGAGATGTATTGACAAAGATGACACGCCAGAGAGTTTGGTAGAAGAAAAGGGTTAGTATTGACTCGGCCCGACCTCGCTTGAGGGCTCTTGGTCCCTCTTTAGGCCTTCAAAGGAGATATCGAGCATCAAGTGTCTGTTGGTACAGGATGAAGCTGAGCACTAGAAATTGACTTAGTATCTGCAGCTCTAGGTCTAGCCCGTAGTCATACCATCAGTCTGCTACAAATTGTAGGGTGAAGACAAGTTTGATATTTGCCTGGATCGGTTGCCGTCGCGGTTGCCGCCGGCCGAGTGCTAGCTTTTACGGCTGCCAAGCCGTTTCCATACCTCGCCCGTTTAACGCTGCGCAATCTTCCCTCTTCTCCTGCACCAACGATCACCGTATCCTCTTCACTACGGCCCAAGATGTTCTCACGAAGCTTCGTTGGAGGCCAGCAGGTTAGTGCGACCTCAATTCCACCTCCATCATGACTATCAAGCCCCGCCGTAGCTAACCCACTTGCGTGGTTTAGGCCGTTAAAGCTTTGCGAGGATCAGCTGTCGCTCCACGATGTCTCGCTGGACCTTCCACAGCTACGAGATGTGAGTCGTTGCATTGGCAGACATTGCAGAATCTTACCGAACGCGAATTGACTGGATAATCAGCGCTGGCGACACTCTCATCAGACATCTTCAAGCCGACCAAGTTCGGCGGAAAGTACACCGTCACCCTCATTCCCGGTATGCCTCCAAGCTCGCGGCCAATCTATAGAAACTAAGAAGTGTGTCAGGCGATGGTATCGGTGCCGAAGTGTCTGAATCGGTCAAGGAGATCTTCAAGGCCGACAATGTACCAATAGAGTGGGAACAGGTGGACGTCTCTGGTATGGAGACTGGTAACAAACACTCTGAAGAGCTCTTCAGGGAATCAATTGCTTCATTGAAGCGTAACAAGCTTGGCCTGAAGGGTATTCTCCACACACCAGTCGAACGATCCGGTCACCAGTCCTTCAATGTCGCGCTCCGCCAAGAGCTTGACATCTATGCCTCAATCGTCCTTATCAAGAACATTCCTGGTTACGAGACCCGCCACAAAGATGTCGATCTTTGCATTATTCGTGAGAATACTGAGGGTGAGTACTCGGGCTTGGAGCACCAGTCGGTCAACGGTGTTGTCGAGTCTCTCAAGATCATCACCCGGGCCAAGTCGGAGCGCATCGCCAAATTCGCCTTCGCTTTCTCGCTCGCCAACAACCGCAAGAAGGTCACTTGTATCCACAAGGCAAACATCATGAAGCTTGCCGACGGTCTGTTCAGAAACACTTTCAAGAAGGTTGCTGAGGATTACCCGACACTGGAAACCAACGACATGATTGTCGACAACGCTTCCATGCAGTGTGTGTCCAGGCCACAACAGTTCGATGTCATGGTCATGCCCAACCTTTACGGAGGTATTCTCTCGAACATTGGTGCTGGTCTGGTTGGTGGTGCAGGTGTTGTCCCCGGCTGCAACATGGGTCGCGATGTCGCCGTGTTCGAGCCTGGATGCCGCCACGTCGGTCTAGATATCAAGGGCAAGGACCAGGCCAACCCTACAGCTCTTATCCTCTCCGGCTCCATGCTACTGCGCCACATCGGGCTCGATGACCATGCCAACCGCATCTCCAAGGCTGTGTACGACGTGATTGGCGAGGGCAAGCACAGGACGCGTGACATGGGCGGCGAGGCCACCACCCACCAATTTACTCGAGCTGTCCTTGACAAGATGGAGGCGTCCGCATAGATTTATCAGCATTTTCAGATTAGATGGTCCCCTTTGTTTTAGGTTCACGACGGAAGGAAGCGATGATCGATGTGACTGATGTATTTCTAGGCCGTACATAGCGCCGTACATAGCGTGATGCATTTAGACCTTTGGATCTTTCCCAAACTCCAGACGCCATGCTCATAATGCAATGTGACCTGATCCCATGATGCTGGAAAGCCCACCTCAGAAAGCAATATTCCTTTTCCGGCCGGTGTATTTCGAGTTCGGCTTCACTACCTTGCCCTTGGCCTCCATCTGCTCCTTTTTCCTCATGATCCACCCCTTGCTCCCCTTCTTCTCCACGACTCCCCGTTTCGAACGGTCTCTCCCTTGTGCTCTCCGCCGCGAATCATCCACATCCACACCTTCCATCCCACTAACCACACCCGTAATATCCCCACCATTCAAATCCCCGCCCCCAACCGTCAACACCAGATACGTCTTCGCACCCTTCGTCCCCTCATCATCAATCAGCAGCCCAGCCCCAAACCCAGCCCTAATAGCCGCCTGACTAACCATACCCCTCTGCACCTCATTCTTCGGATAAAACTGACACACCGCCCTGCCCCCACGCCGCAAACTCGCATACAACCCATCGAAAAACCGCTTCAACCGACCCCCCGCACTCTCCTCACTACTCTCCACATTACACAGCCACTGCAGCGCACTAATACTGATCGCGGCATCGAACGTGCCCGGCCGGAACGGCACGCCCTGCCCGGCGTCCGCGAGGAAGAGGTCGCCCTCGACGTCGCGCTCCAGCGCGACTGCTAGCATCGACGCCGAGATGTCGAGCCCGATCCAGGTGTGCGGCGGGGCTTCGGCGGAGAGGATGCTGCCGGATAGGCCGGAGCCGCAGCCGATGTCGAGGATGAGGGAGGGGTGGCGCAGGTCGAGGAGGTCGAGGGCGCGGTGCGTCATGCTGGCTTGGATGTGCTGGATGCGCGAGGAGGTGGTGTATTTGGCGGATTCGGTGTCGTTGTAGAAGAGGTCTGGGGGTCTGTTTGGGGGGGTTGGTTAGGAGGGTGTTTTGGAGGGAGTGTGATGGGAAGGTGTAGAGAAATGGTTGTGTGGGCTTCGGGGGTGTGCGGGGATTTGTGTGTGTGGAACTTACAGTATGTCCTCGGGGCGCGACATGGTGGAAGTGTTGGGAGGTGTTGACTGCTAGGTGTGGGTATATGCGATTGAGTGTATTCTGGTTGTCGTGTCGTGTAGAGAGCGCGCAAGGTGGTGGAGAGAAGGATGTGGTGTTTGCGGTCGCGATCGTGAACTTTTTGGGCGGGGAAAGGACTTTTTGGTGGGCTTTTCTGGACCTTTAAATCCGCGGCCAATCACAGCGCACCACTAGCATGGATGGGGGATTCATATACAGGCGACGTCAACCTCATCAAGCTTCAATACCCCCCAGATTGCGCAAGCTCTTCCCTTTGTCCTATCCTCAATCACACACACTGCCGCTTCCAAGATGTGGGTATTGCCACTTCTGGGCATCATCGGCCTGATTCTGGGCTTCGGTTTCTTGACCTTGGCCATTGGTAAGTAGGCACATATCCACGGCAGCCCATGGATATATGGATATATCCAAGCAAGCAACAACAAGACGCAGACCAAGAACCCCAACTAATATTCGTGCAAACACATAGCGTCTGGCCTCTACTACCTCTCCGAGCTCGTCGAGGAGCACACCGTCCTCGCGAAGAAGCTGCTCAACAAGATGATCTACGTCGTCATCGCGATCCAAACCATCCTCCTCCTCGTCGACCGCTTCCCCTTCCTGCTCAGCATCTTCAGCATCGCCTCGCACGTCGTCTACGCGCAGAACCTCCGCCGCTTCCCCGTCGTCAAGCTGACCGATCCCATCTTCCTCGTCTCGTGTGGTGCGTAGCTACTCCTCCCCTCCCCTCACATTCCATACCTTTTTCCACCCTTTCTCTCCCTGAAATGTATGTATGTATGTATGTACGTATGGCTAATACGCATATAACCCACCAGCCCTCGTCCTAACAAACCACTACCTCTGGTTCCGCCACTTCTCCGCCCCGCCCTCGCGCCCGCCCCCGGCCTACCCAGGCTACTACACCGGCGGCCGCGACTACACCATCCCGACCTTCACCGAGATTGCGTCCTATTTCGGGCTGTGCGTCTGGCTTGTGCCCTTTGCGCTCTTCGTCTCGCTGTCCGCCGGGGAGAATGTGTTGCCGTCGATGGGGTCCGAGTATGCGACTGGGGTGGGCAGCTCGTTTGCTAGTGCGGGGCAGGAGCCCGTGGGACTGGACGCGGCGGAGAGGAAGAAGAGAGTGGGTTTGAAGGGGAATGGGAGTGGGAATGCGGGGATGGCGAAGGCGGTGGTGAATGGGGTTAGGGAGTGGGTTGGGGAGACGGGGGAGGCGTTTGGGCTGTGGAAGGGGGAGCGGACGAGGCCGTTTTGAGGGGCGAGGGGTTTGATGCTCAATGGGTGCCTACATTAGTTTCAGTTTGCAAAAATCGATGGTTATTCTATTTCCGATTCATCCTATCTCGTGACGGTATCTCACTTATCTCGTAAACTTCCTTCGCAGAAAAACAGCTTTGATGTCTGCGTAGAGCAAGGAGGAATAGAGGAATAGACCAAGAGGCCTTTCATTCAATACCGTGATATGAACCAGCCTCTTCTTGAAAAGTCTAAGAAGATTCGATTCTCTCCTTCAGATCGTCGATTCCACGAGCAAGATCAATGGAGGTATGCTCTCGATCAAAAGACTATGACAAAGGCTTCTACCAAAGCATTTCTATCCTTCCCCCTCATCCATCAGCCCCTCAACCCATCATACTAACAACAACATGCAGCCAGCCATCCGCATACGCCGCCTCCTTGAGCAACTCCTCCACCGGCGCCGCCAACGGCACAACCGCACCATGCAGCACCGGCTCCGCAAGCAGATTACGCCTCCGACTCGGAAACAGCGCCGGAAGCACGGTATTCAGCACCGCACCCAGGGTATTCTGCGCGCGGCCTCCAGGCGCAAGCGGCGTGACGAGCGTCTGCACTATACGCAGCATACCCGCAGCAGTCGGCGGAGCAGGCTCATCTGTCGACGACGACGCAGCAGCGGCGACGGCTGTGGATGTGGATGTGGCTGATGTGGAAGTAGATGGCATGTATAATTTGAGAGGAACATGCCTGAGCGCGGGCCCGCCCGGGGGTTTGAGGAATTTCTGGTAGATGGGGTAGTAAGACTGCAGACTGTGATCCTGGACGGCAGAGTAGAGGGTGGTGGAGTCCTGTTTGGAGAGCGACATGACGACTTTTGCGCTGCCGTTGCGGAGGAAGTCGGCTTCTTTGACGGCGTTGATGTAGGCGTCTTGCATGTGCTTGCCTTGGTCGTCGAGCTGGACGAGATGCTCCTGTGGCCAGTCTGTGAAGTGGAGGACGAGCTTCCAGGGCTGGGTGCTGCTGCTGCTACTGCCGGGTCGTGGGAGGGCGCCACTTTGTTCTGCTTCGTTGGATTCTTCGGGTGTGGGTGTTGCTGCTGCGGGTGCTGAGGTGTCTGGTCTGAAGGGCTCGGTGCCGGCGTACAGGTCGTACAGTAGGCCCATGGGATACTGCCATTTCAGGGGGACATCTTCGAACGAGAGCCAGCCGTCGCTGAACGACACTTCAGGGTTGATGAGAGATGTTGCGAAGAAGCTGTGGATGCGCGGGAGGAGGAACGGCCAGTATGAGACGCGGGGACATTGTATCTGGCGTGTAAGAGTCAGCCAACTAGCCAAGACCATACAGATAAAGCAGCATATACAGCGGCTCTATTGCTGAGGGTTGCTTACAAGATACGGGTCCGACTGGTCATATGTGCGGCATTCTTCGCTGGCCAGCCTGATCTCCAGCGGTATCGAGCCATTCCAGACCTGGTTGAGGAGGCTGCGAGGGCGAGAGGGTGCGGTCATCGCCGTCGCGTATGATACAAACTCGCAAAGTCACAAAGAAGCATATTGTGTTATCGACAGCAGAGCACATTGACGTTTGCTGGAGCTTGAAGGTTGCAACAGCCTGGGGGGTTTGACCAATGATTGATGCCTAAGGCATGCATGGATGGAGCTGGCCCTTCTCCACTTTGGATCTTCCAGGATCCATCATAACAATATCCCAGTTCCCCGACTAGTTTGAAACCCGAATGGAACCTGCTTTTGCATATTATTAGCATCGTGTGGCAAGTCTTTGGGGTTCTTGGACTCCGCAAACACGTGTTCCCTCCAGACTCCAGCGATATGAAAACCGACTCGCTGTTCAGCTTTCATCAACACCGCTAGGCGTAACGCGACTCGCCGTCCAATCCCCGTCATGTCCGCACGCCGGAAACGATCATCTAGCTCGCCTGAACGTGATGCTCGGCAGGTCGGCTTCAGCGCATCGACGCCTGGAGCAGAACAGCCCAAGAGGAACAAGGTGACAAGCGAAGTAGATGAAGTAGAATTGATAGCGCCGAGTGACGCGTGGACCGTGGATACGTCAACTATCTTTTCGCCAAAGGAGAATAGGGGCATTAGAATCATTTGTATCGTGGAGAAGCTGCGAGTGCATTACGATATGTTAATGTACGTGTCTCGCGTTCAAAGTCAGAACCTTGTTAACGGGTTGCAGAGATGTTCTACCGACATATATCGGATCATGTGCGCTGGTAAAAGATCCGGCGCACAGCATACTTGGAAACGGAGAGCACCAAATCCCCTTAAAGCCGGGACTTGGCTCCGATTTCAATCACTTCCTGAAACTCGGCGTTCTCCAGCCGATGGGCGGCGGGCAAGCACCTTTAGATTCAATCATTGTTATCGATGCACATGACAGAAGACGACTTCTTGTGCCTTTTGGCTGGGGAGCCGGACGACATGTCATGGATGCAACTGGTGGGAAGGTCATTATCGAGAGGATGACACGTACTCTTATCCATGCGCTAGGAGATTTGCTGCAAAGTAAATAGTGGAAATAGCTTCACCAGACAAGTAGGACAGTCTTGCTCATTTCGACTTGTTCACATTATGTGTCTAGACCAATGATACCCTACTGATCAACCAGGATCATTCCCATTGCAATCGTAAATCCAGAAGCAGCTGACCGCAACATCTAGGTCTCCTTGTCTGGGATAGGGAAGTCTGATCCAGTAGCGGCCTTGTATTGCTTCCTGATCTGATCGGAAATCTGCTCGTCGGTGAACTGCTCAGCAGCAGACTCGTTGTCTTGGGGACCTTTGCCGAGAAACTTCTCTTGAACGTAGTCGACACCTGGATTCAGTTAGTAATGCTTGCAGGACGGAGGCGCTGTAGACCCATATATGGAAAACACTTACCCTTGTCAAGGTAGTCCTCATTCTTCTCGCTCTCCTTGCCCCCACCAGCGGCGCTGTTCAGCTTGTTGGTGATACCGCTCAAGAAGCCACCTTCTTCCTTCTGCTGTCCTCCCTGCTGCTGGTTGAACTGCTCATTGTTCTGCTGGTTGTTTTGGTTGTTGTTATTGTTATTGTTATTGTTGTTGTCACCGCCGGTGAAGTTCTTGACAAAGTCCATGATGAGGGGTAGTATTGAGAAAGACCTGCTGTGCATATCAGTACATGTCCTCACGAGGTCGCGCTTCGGTATAGCGAGACTCACTAATGGTTTGTTGGAAAGTAGGATAGGTTTGTGGATGAGAGAGGGAAGAATTGAGAGCTTGAAAGTGACCAGGGCAGGCATCTTTTATGTACCTATTTCCAGGGTAAGCTCCAGCACGCGATGAGCTGTCGTTTGGAACCCTGGAATGGAAGGCGCATAGTTGCGGGCTAGTATGACGTATCGGATGGCACGGACAAAGCCGGGGGTGTCAACAACAACAACAGGTAATGCTCAACTCGTCGGATTGAATGGCTCGATTCATGGCCGGACAGCTTGGCAGATATCGGGACTTTGTTTTTTCACCCAAGTCTAGTCTGCCACAGGACAGGAATAAAGAAACAGAGCAGTCCATGGCGGGGCAGTGCAGCGCCTGTAGTGTATCTTCATTGGCGGGAACCCCACTCTGATAGTTATGGTGGGCATCGAGATCAATATCGCGCCAATTGACCAGTCCTGGAGCCGTGTGGCTGACTCTCCAGTTCCGTATTCCAAAGGTCTAGAATCACAATGAAGCTGATAATATTGGCAGTGTACAATTTGTGTCATTATACTCTATCACATTTGGGTTGCCTTGTTCGTCCATCAATAATACCTAGTCGTCTGACTCTCTCAAACAGTAACTCCAAAAGCGATGCTGTGGCAATATCAAAACGCTAATCCGTACAAGAACCACCAAGCAATGCCGCTATGCTGTAACAAAACACTCTATAGTACCTCTCCGCTCATAATCTCTTTCAAGATGCTACTACCAGCACCACTCAGCGAAGCCTCGAGCTCCTTGCTTCCAATACTGCTCGCGATTCGTCTGTCTTTAAATACACTTCCTCCAAAGCCACCTCCACGTCCCTTTCTGCTCGGAGTGGTCGCTACAGACAAAGAGCCGCCTTTGCCCTCTACGGCAGTTATCATAGAAAGCGTCTCCAAGCTACCGATAATGTCCCTGAACTCGGTGTTGGTGAGTGCATGCAAGACATTGTCTCGCTTGCAGAGCCCGGTATAGGCGTCGAAGAGAGATTTCACAGTCGGAGCTGAGGCATTCCTACGCGAAGGTGTTGCAACAACACCATCGGGGGCAACGTGTTGAGTCTTCTTCTCGAGAGCAGAGAGCGCGCAGAGAACTGCCTTCTGCTGCAGATTAAGAGACTGTAGACGCTGCGAAGTACCGTTGCTGAAGACTGCAGCTGTGATGCGAGCCATGTGTGCGATAGTAGCTCGTGGGGCCGACTCAATTGTCAGATGTGACATTGACTGGGCAGCCACCTTAGTCTTCCCGAACTTCGAAGGAGAGCGAGCCGTGGGTGGAGACGATAAGTTCATGTTCTCGATGAGCGCTGCCTTCGAAGGGCTCACACCAGGTGAGATCGAAGAATCAGATGCTCTCAGTTGTTTGTCTTTTGTGTCTGCCTCGACCAGGTCGATTGCTCGCCGGCAGATGTCGAATGACTTTCTCAGGTCTCCAGACTGCGCTGCGACTTTCTTGGAGAGGAATTGGATAGCCGTGGGATGAATGAAAGGTACAAAGTTTGGATCACTTGCGGTGGCCGGCACCAGTGACCTAAGCTTCGATGTAACGACGGATGCAATCTGAGAAGCCGTGTATGGGAGAAATGGAAGCAGATGAGGTTTCAAGCCTCGAGACTTCAGTCGCGGGAGGAATCTGTCGGTGAAGTCGAGGGCGTTGGCAATGCCTACGAGTACAAGACTCGACTGCGCGTCCAAAGCCCATTCGAAGAGGGTATAGAGGAGCTCAAGGTCAAGATCCAATAGGTGATCGACTTCATCCAGTGTTACCAGGAACGATTGACTTTTCTCGTAAAAGAGTCGACGTAAGATGTCAATTGCATGGCCTTCGAGGGCCTCGGAGTCTGTGACGAGCTCTTCCAATAGCTTGCCATAAATATCTTCAGCCTTCTTCATGCTCATACAATTGATGTATGCAGTTGGTACGTCTCCAGCTTCAAGCTTTCTGCTGGTCTCACTAACAAACGCGCTTTTTCCGGTTCCTGGGGGCCCAGAAACATAGATACATCCGGAGGAGGTTGACTGCAGTCTCGATTCAACGAAATGTTCCAGCTCGGCGCGCTCCTTCTCGCGTCCAAAAAGTGCTGTAGGCATGGTGCCTTTCGCAAAGGTCTGGCGCGCGTCATTGTAGACTGTGATTGCTGAGCTTCGCGTATTACTGGGAGTATGTGGTGTTCGAGGAGTGAGCGGCTTGCCAGCGACAAGAACACGATGGCGTGGTGTTGTCGCAGGCTTCTTTAGGCGCGCGTCGCGGTGCCGCGGTGTCTGAGGAAGCTTGAAGTCGTCCACCGGCTTTGAGTCGGCCGGGACATTCTTCGAGGTCTTAAAGAGGTCCGTGATCTTTGTAGGAGAAAGAGGTACTCTGCTCTCTGGGGTGCCATGCTTTGCAGGTACTGTTCCAGCCCGAGTGCGCTTGCTTTTACGCGGCTGCAACTCCTCCCCATCAACGTCCATTGATTCGACATGTCGGGCGCCCAGTCGCTTCGATGGAGTAACAAATGGATTCTCCTTCTCATTGTCGTCAAGAATCACGAAATTGGCTCGTCTCTTTGCTTGTGACGAGGTTGCTACGCCTGAATCTGCAGCGCTTCTGGTCAGTATTTACACCAAAACAAGACTTGCCAGCTGTGCTTACCTGGCGATGCGAGAGAAGCGCGAGTCCGCTTGCCGAGGACTGAAGCAGACATGTCGAGTACTCTTGCAATGTACAGTGTGAGGAAGTCTCGATGTGTGGTGTGTGAGTGTGAAGTCTGTAGAAGGCGCGATGAATTGTAATGAGATGGGCTGGTGCACGGACGACAAGCGCGTTCTTCGACGCGCGCGCGACCGTGTCACGCTAGCAAAGCACTTCCGGCGTTATTCCGGGCCTTGGCATCATTTACGGAGGCGGAATCCGATGGACAGCGCGAAAGCACCACAGACTTATAATCATCTATGCCCGAAACTGTCCGTCGGGACATACAATCCCGCGCCTCTGGCTTAGAAGTTTTCAGACTGAGTCCAGCACTCGGGCTGACAAGAAACGTTGCACTGGTTCATCACACTGTCAATCAAACCCGACTGATGCGATGTGAGCAGGCTTGAAACAACAATGCCCGACACGAAGAGGGCGTGATCGAAGCAGGCTGTTATTGTCCAATTGGTTCCTGGCCGTAATACAACTGTTCCTATGATTGTTGAACACTGGAAGCAATCATCGCTGCCTTTCCAAAAACAGACCGCCTTGTCTCGCTTGTATCACCAGGTCAAGTTTGAGCAGCACCAGTCGTCACGCGTTTTCCCTGGAAATGTTTGTCAAGCCTAGCTGCCACTACTTAGTCCATCGAACAGAATGGCTCTAGGTCTGGTGTCTGAAGCCCTGCCAGACTCTAGAGCATATGCTCCAATGAAAGCTCACAAAGTCTTACGAGTCTCACTATATTTGCGTGGTTTGCCCTTGTTGCACCATCGTCCACGCTCTGGAATGCGGTGAGTGGGATGTTGTTCATGAGGCAGTGCTTGGGCACTGCTCGGGCATTACTCGAGGTATAAAGCTCTTTTGTTAATTGCTCTCTGCTCCTGCTTGCCCTCGCTCTTTTCATCCTCTTCAATACTTTCTATTTTATCTTATCTACATCATAATTCTCTACCATCTCAACCACAACCCTAGCCATGCGTTATGAACCTTGCGGCTGTGTGGTACAGCGACGTTGCCCTCACCATGGATCCGGCCACCGCGCTATTGGGTATCCGCGTCAAAGGCGCCGGTCCGGCCACCCGTTCCGATGCCACGCCGGATGCAGCTGGTGCAGTGTCTGGCATAGCGACTTTCCCTCTTTTGTATGCATGCTCTTACACCCTCCTAATCGCTACGCTAATAACCAGCCAGGAACACGAGCCGTGGTTCCCCTACATCAAGTCCTACTTTGGCGAGATCCATCGGCACTTCTTGGGCACGGGGGACACCGATACGTACGAGGTTATCGACCTGATAGACGCAATCACGGATGCTGTTGGGAGCATCATCGTCTGGGGTGTTCCTGGAAGGTCTCGCCTGAGACGGCTGCTCAAAGACATCGAACATGTCAGATATTCCCTCCTCGAAGGGGGTCTTGTCGGGGGCGGTATAATGGGAGGAGGCATGCTGGGTGGTGTGCCACCGCTCCCGCAGCTTGAATATTACTGATGGCAACGGCTTGTTTCAACATTCGGAGGATGTATCTACCCCTAACAAAACAATCTAATCCCTCGCACATGCTGTGCTACCCCTACACCTTCAAAGGCTCCCTAACAAGATACTCCTCCAACGACGTAAGTTTCCCCTTAACAAGCTTCGCACTCTCCCTCACCAGCTCCTCCCCATCCGGCCCAAAATACCCATACCGCTCAATATAATCATACATATTCCCCATCCCCTCCCGCGCAACCTCCCCCGGCACCCCCGCCAACCACTCCTCCCGACCCACCCGCTCATACACAACCTCCCGCCCAAGCACCCTCCCCATAACCTCCACCCGCTCCGCAACACTCCACCACCCCCCCGCAGCCCACACCTCCAACATCGCCCCCACAAACTCCCCCGTATCCCCCGCCACATCCACCATCGGCACCCTCGTCTCCGCACAAATATACCCCCTAACCACCAACACCCCATCCCCCTCCCGCTCCCGCACCGCCTCATACCCACCCATATTCTGCATATAATACCCGGGCGCATACACCCCGCTGCGCACCCCCTTCCCCTCCTTCTCCAGCCCACGTATATACCGCCCCACATCAGCCTTGACCTCCCACGCCTCCACACTCACCGCCCCACCCGACACCTCCGCCGGACTCGGCACCCCGCTCCACACGAGGAACCGTGCGCCCGCAGCAACACACGCGTCTACGATGCGCAGGGCCAGCGTGCGCTCGGCGGCATGTCCGCCTGGGGCGTAGGACGTGGATGTCATGATGAAGACTGTGTGGGCGCCTTCGAGGGCGGCGGCGAGGGAGGATGGGGAGGTGGGGTCGGTGGTGAAGAGGGGGATGCCGAGGGCGGAGAGGGCGGCGGCGCGGGGCTGGGTTGGGTCGCGGGTCAGGCCGCGGAGGGTGTATTGTTTGGAGAGGGTGGGGTGGGTGTGGATTTTTGTGGCGAGCGAGGTGCCTTGGTGGCCGGTTATGCCGAAGATGACGAGGAGGTTTGGCATTTTCTTTGGTGGTGGTGGTGGTGGTGGTGGTGTTGGGTTGTGTTGTGTTGTAGATTTGTAGGAAAAGTGTTGGTTTAGAATGGGAATTACATCGAGTTCTTGCCTGTCCTTCTTATATACTCTCTTCCCTCTCAACCAGCCCATCGCTAACACACGACCGAATCCCCAGCACGTCCCCGGAGCATGCATCGCGCGCGGCCTTTCGGAATTAGATTCCGGGGCGTAGTCCCCTATCTACATTCTATACCTATCTAGGCAAGTCTCGGATCCGGCGCGGACTTAGCCACTTACCGCATCGGGGACGTTGGCGCAATGCGTCTCTCCCAACATCCGAAACTGCCAGGGAGTGTCAACGATGGGGTCGCTTTGCATCCCTGCATTCGCGGGCATTAGGACTTTCAAAGTTCGTTATGTCCGTTATGTCTTTGGTCAGGCTTTCGTTATCGCTCTCGCCGGCTCGGGTGGATTTGCTATATAGCGTGAGCTGTGGAGTACATTAGAAACCAATAAACGCCATACACAGTGAGTGAGCGAATACATGAAAAGCACACAACAGCAATGAAGTGTTATACAAATACAATGCAGCCTTGAGACTAAGCTGCGGGGCGACGAGGAAGTGAGGGGACAGATACAGAGGGAACAAACAAATTTGAAAGAGGCAGATGGGTGGGTGGAAGAGAATGAACAGATGGACGCAGCACAAACCTGTCTCTGAAAAAAGGATCCATTCATACATGTATGCCAAGCAGACTCACCATGCACGAACTCGAGGTAAATATCCAAAGCCTGCATGATATATATGCCATTATATTATTTTCTCTCTATGATGTTTGCTTGCTTGCTATACACATACATCCACACACGTAAGCACATTATACGCTATGCACTCGTCATTTTCAGACCCTCAGTCAGTATCCATGGGCCCGTCATCAGAATATCCCCCCCCCCCAAAAGAAACGCCGCGCAATGCCAGGTCTCGCTCCTTTAATTCAGCTCATCGCTCAATGCCACTCTCATAACCACTCGCTCTACTCCTCCGACTACTCACTCGCCCCAGCGAATCACCCAACTGCCCAATCTCCGGCCCGAGTGCATCCAGATTGTCAATCTCATTCCGCTCTCCTTCTTCTTCCTCGTCATCACTGTGTTCCTCACCGAACCCGTGTGACGCGAAATCGCTCCATTGCCGCGTAATGACGGGGCCTCGCAACTTGCCGCGCTGGCGACTGTCGCAGCTGTTTGACGAAGAGCCAGATGAGCTGCCACTGAAGCGGTGGTCTGCGACGGGGCCAAGCGTGTCTGCGAGGCGCGACTCGTCTCGCGATGTATGGCGCGAGTGTGTGTAGATGCTCTCGACAGCCTCGGTGGGATGTGCACGAGACGCCGGACTGAAACCCGCTTCGACGGGCACAAAGCCACGGTCCATGGCCTTTTGCTCCGCGATGATGTCGTCGCGGCGGATAGCACTCTTGTCGCACATGCCCCTGAATATTCCGCCCCGGTCAAAGAGATCCAAGGGACGTGCCAATTCGGCGATCCCGCCGGCATCCATAACGCAAATGCGGTCGTAGCCGATGATGGTTTTGAGACGATGGGCGATACAAAGCAACGTCTTGCCACGGAAGCCATCGGCCATGGTGGCCTGGACTTTGGCATCAGTCTCCATGTCTACGGAGGAGGTGGCTTCGTCACAGATGATGATCTGAGAGTCGCGCACGAGGGCGCGGGCTAGGGCCATGAGTTGCCGCTGGCCGAGGGAGAAGTTGAGGCCTTCTTCTTCGACAGCCGTGTCGAGCTGGATTCGGTCTTTGCTCTTCTTGTTGTCGATGTTCTCGTCGCCAGTCTTGGCCTCGACGAGATAGGCCTGGCGGAGAGCGTTCCAGAGCTCGAGGTCGGTGTGTTCATTGAAAGGATCGAGATTGGAGCGGACGGTACCGCGGAAGAGGGTGGGATCTTGCGGGATGATAGCTAGACGTGAGCGCAGGTCGTGAAGGCCAATGGTAGAGATGTTGACACCGTCGATGGTTATGGAGCCACCGGAGAGCTCGACGAAACGGAAGAGTGTTTGCATAATGGTCGACTTGCCAGCACCCGTGCGACCAACGACACCTATGCGCTCACCGCCACGGACATGCATGTGGAAGTCGCGGAGGACGAGCGGAAGACCGTCACGATAGCGCATCTGAACGTGATCAAACTTGATCTCGCCGCTCTGTGGCCAGCTCGATGATACGTCGCCAAGATGAAGAGGAGGCTCTTGCTCAAGCTCGGTGCCGTAGTGATGGATACGTTCGGTAGCGTTCATGTTGTTCTCGACCTCAGCGAGTTGACGAACGGTGAATTGGATCATCTGAACAACGGATAGGATGTATGAAAGGACGAGACCAGAGATACTCGGGTCAACGTTGAAGCGAGATGTAACAACGAGAATACCAGTAACGAACACCAGTGCATTGCCAATGATGTCGAGACGAACGGATAGCCAACGCTGGTTGGCAAAGGTAAGGAAGTAAGCGCTGTTCATGTCGTTGACCGCATCGATCGTGGAATTCGAAAATTGTTCCTCCAGGCCATATGCTCGAATCGTAGCAATTCCACTGACAGCCTCGCTGAAACGGGTAAACACGGTGCTTCGAAGAACACTCTCGTGGCGCTTGATCTCTCGTGCCGAAGCCCGGTAGTAGGCGGCAGCAAAGCAGAAGATTACGCTCAGAGGGACCAGAGCGATAGCAAAGTAGTAGAAGTACGCAATGATGAGGATGAAAATTGAAATGATCATCGACATGGTCATCAGGAACATACGCCAGCTGTCACCTAAATTGTTGTCCATGGTATCAATATCCTTTGAGAAGCGGTTCGTAATACGTCCAAGTGGAGTCGTGTCGAAGAAAGACATTGGTGCGCGAAGTACACGGAAAATCGCAGCGTCCAACATCTTCTTTCCAGCTTCGGCACTGAACACGGAACAGGCGACAGAGAAAGAGAACGTACAGCAAGCCTGGAAGATACCAAGAGCAGCGTACACTCCGATGTAAGTCCCCTCTGAATAACCAAACTTGTTGGATGTCCACCAAGAGAGCCACAGACTTGTAACGACAGTAGCACCGTTGGTGATGATGAGAAGAAACAACACCAGAGGCGCGACCAAGATAGAACCAGCTGCTCTGACGTAGGCAGTGTAAACACCCCAGGCTATGTTGTCTGAGCCACGGTCTTCTTTTTGCATCAGAGCGGCTTGCTTTTCCTTCTTTTTGTCTAGTTTCTCGGTTTTCTTGGATTCGTCAGCAGCAGCCTCAGCAGGCTCCGCCTCCTCTTCCTTCTCATTGACAGACGTGCTAGCCATGAGCGTTTGGAAAGTGGCATTGTCTTGCATGAGATTATCGAAAGTATCCACAGCAGCGATCCGCCCTTGGTCCATAAGGATGATACGGTCACAGCGGTTGAGCACGTGAAGCTGGTGGGTAGCCAATACACGGCACTTGTTTGCAAGTAGACCACAGATCGCTTCGTCCATGATCTGTTTGCCGACGTGTGCGTCGACAGCCGAGAGTGGATCATCCATAATGACAATGTCCGAGTTGAAGTAGATAGCACGAGCGATATTTAGTCTCTGCTTTTGGCCTCCTGACACTGTGATACCCTTCTCACCAATTTCGGTCTGATCGCCATGGGGCATGATTTCAAAATCTCGGCGAAGAGCACAAGCGTCGACGACCATGTCATACCACTTCTTATTGAAGGGCCGCCCGAAGACGATATTGTCGCGAACTGTAGCGTTCTGTATCCAGGCATACTGTGGACAGAATGCTCGCGTGGCACCAAAAGTGACTTGGCCACTGGTACGGCGCATTTCGCCGGCCAAGGCAGCAAGGAACGAAGTCTTACCACAGCCAACGGTGCCAATGACTGCGACAAGCTCATTGCGGCCAATTTGAACGTCAACGCCTTGGATCTTGAATGGCTGGTCATCGATGAGAGTACTGTCGCTTATCCGCTTCATTTCCTTTTCGGCCAGAGACATATGCTTCTCCTTCTTGGACTTCTTATCCTTCTTACCCTTCTTAGAAGTGCCCTTATCTTCTTCCTTAGCTGCTTGTTCCCACGTGAAATCGGCTTTCTTGATATCGATTGCATATCTGCTATCTCCATCCCACACTGCCTCATCACTGGCCTCCTCAGCAAGCAAGAACTCTTGAATGCGCTCGAGAGAGGACATAGCATCAATGACTTGACCGAGGACCATAGGTAGGAAATTCAGGGGCAGACGGAGACCGTTGAATAAAGCTAGCGAGGAGAAGATAGGTGCAGGGTTGAGACCGTGCCCGGAGACAGAGTATACAATGAATGCAATCATGGCGGCGAAGACAGGCATGACCATGCCTACAGCGAGGATGGCATTACGGATCGAAAGGAGGAACTGGATGCCGCGGATTTCAGACCTCCGAATCTTACTCAGCCGGTCGAGGAAACTGAGTTCCCATCCGAAGTACTTGACGAATCGCACGGCACCCAGGATTTCTTGCGTCAGTGCCACGCGCTGATCAGTGATTTTGTTGATGGCGATACGTCGGACGAAAAGGGTGCGAATGGCGCGTGCCAGTAGCGGCATAGCAACGACAAGGAGTGAGAAGCCAGCAAGAGCACTGTATGTGATGTTGATGATAAGGAGGATCAGCGTGAGGGCGATGGCGACAGGGGCAGTCCAGACCATGTGGAACATGCCAGAGGCAGTGTCCACGCGGTACGTATCGACAGACATGAGATTGACAATGCGGCCATTGCTCCAACCCTGAGCATCCTTCTTGCCCTTTGCCTTCTTCTTCTTTCGAAGCATCTTGTCGTACCATTTCCGTTCTGCTTCGGACCCTGGCTTAATGCTTGACGGTGGATTGCCAAACATATCAGGGATATCCCCTCCAGCTCTAGCTCGGCCCGAAAGCTTCATAGCCTTATCGAATATCACCGAGATCAGCACACCTCTAGATTGACCACCAACCATCATACCACGGAAGATGAAATGGTTTGTGCAGAGTGTCTGAATGATTAACATGGCGACAATGCCAATGACGATGCCAACGCCACGCGCAATCGGAGGAGGATCAATGGCACCGTGAGACTTGGCGGAAACCCATGCTTCTGCTGCATAGGCAATGAGGTACTTCAAGACGAACGGTGCGAGCGATTGCAGGATTGATGCCATAAGCTGACAGAAACCACCAAGCAGGAATTCGAATTTGAAGGTGTCGTATAGCGCCATCGTCAACGGTCGCTTGTCCTTGCTGTCCAACCGCTTCTTGAAGTTCTCATTCAGCTTCACCTTCAGTACATGAGCACTCCGGTCGGGGTTTATCGACCAGATGTCAGTCTCTTCGAGTGGACGTTTGTAACCAGTCTGCGCACTACTTAGTAATGTTGACAGCAGCGACGCAAGCACGACTTACCCGCATAAGCGAACCGATCCAGTGAAAAGTGAGGACACTGAACCATGACGCCTGGTATTCGTGACTGACTTCCCTCGTCTTTGGGATTGGAGGCTTTCTCGAACTTCCGAATTGGTACCATTTCCTCTTTTCTTGCGAAGCTGGAGCTGTGGCCACACTCAGACCCGATACTACCGATTCGTTTGTGGTAGCATGTGTGTGTATCCTGTTGTCATCTGAAGACGAGTCAGAGAGGTCCTTCGCGGTGCCGACCTTGTCCAGCGGTACGGATTCAAATTCCTCCTCGGCATATGGTGGAGCGGGGCCATTGTGTTGCTGTCGCCCCGGGTCTTGATCTTTCTCCGGATGTACCATGATCAGAGTATATGGGGGATCATGGGTCTTGAGAGGAGAAGAGGAGAGAATGCAATACGTGGGCAGGGCATGCGGTGTATTTGAACCGCCGCACAAGAGCGACGAAGAGCAGAGTAGTAGCGGTCATGGTGGCTAAGTCCGAGAAGGAATGCTTGCCGATTCAGCGAACAGCGATTGGACGGAAGAGTCATACAGGCATCCAAGCGTGGGAGTGGGAGTGGATCATGGAGTGTTTAGCTTCGCGCAAGGCGAATGCTTGTCTGAGAGCGGGCGATGGCTGTTGGGGCGTCCCTTGTTGAACTTCCCATAATCGTCAGCCATCCCGCAAAACACGGAACATTTTCTGATCTGGCCCGGTCCCGGTCAGCATCGGCAGCATCGGCATTGTTCAGAATCCGATACCGCTTGCTTCACCACCATTGGTCAGCAGTACGATAATTCGAGAACATGATTGGCCTACGCGAGAACCAAGGGTGTAATGTGTTCTCCAAGTGTATATAAGCCTGCATCAACATTATTAATGGCATTCGGCAACATGAAGACCGTCATCTAGATACACCTTGTGGGCGAATTCCGGACGAATACATACATATATATGCATATATACACACACACACACACTTAGAGAACACTTAACGCATGTTATACAGCCTCGCATTACGACACAGACGCCATTATCATTTGCTCTGTCTAATGCTGGGGTCTAGGTCAAGCTTTCTGGCGCGTGCGCCCGTGATCAGCACTCAACTCGATTGCCGTGAATATTCGTATATCGTATTGTGTATAGACAGCAGCTGTAGTAGACTGTAGCGGCGTAGGAGGCTGAAGGTGTTGAAGAGCCCCCACCTCAAAACATTGGCCTCTGCTCAATCAATAAACCATGGATACATGCTACGGAGTATTAATCCAAGCAGCGTAGATGAACTGAGAAACTATCTTCAGGTATGCTGGATTCTTCAGCTCAAACGGCACCCATTCCGTCACCTTTGCAGTTATTATTATTTCATCACATAGAAGCTGATATTGCTGCCTTTGCATATTTGGAACCTGATCCTCCATCGAGTGGTCAGCCACGCCATGTCTGCAGACCTGCTCCTTCATTGCGCGGACCACGCGATATGTGGAGCCATGGACCCGGACGTTGATGCTGATCACCGCGTTTCGTCTTTATTTTTGGCATTCCCCGACATCAAACGTCATCCCGGCGTCCCAGCAATGATGGCATTCCGTCTGCCAACGTTGCAACCTGTGAGGTACAACGCTCGTATACGACTTAGTCCAATGTACTCTTCCCATTCGTCAAAGCTCGGCTCGTTGCGCTTCTTGCAGCGTCTACTCTAGTTGTCCACTCCAATGTGGATGTTCTTTTCGCCTGGAGGAATCACTTCCTTCTCCTTCTCCCCTTGCAGATTGGGAAGTTCGGCCATAGCCTCGCTAATGATGCTAAGTGCTTGCTGGATCTGTTCTTCGCTGATTATCAATGGAGGTGCCAGACGGATGATATTCTGGTGTGTTGGTTTTGCCTGAGTTTTCACATTAGATCTCATCCATTCACACCTCACGGCTATCATCTTACCAGCAAACCCTTCTCCTTAAGCAGCATACAGAGGTCCCAGGCGCTGTGGCCATTCGTCTTGTCTTCGTCAATCACGATCGCGTTCAATAAGCCTTTTCCCCGCACGAGGGTCAGCATGGGGTTGTTGATCTTCCGTAGTCCCTGGCGAAACAGCTCGCCCAGATTCTGGGCGCGCTCTACCATGCTCTCTTCCTGGATCAGCTCGAGGGCCCTGATGGCGACGGCGCAGCCAAGCGGGTTCCCGCCGTATGTGGAGCCGTGAGTGCCGGGCTCAACGGTTAGCATGATTTCTTTCGAAGCCAGTACGCAAGAGACTGGATACATTCCGCCTGAAATTGCTTTGCCTAACAGGACCATGTCGGGCTTGATACCACTCCATTCATAGCATAGCATCTTGCCTGTCCGAGCGATTCCAGTCTGGATCTCGTCACAAATCAAAAGTACGTTGTGCTTCTCACAAAGAGACTTGACTTCACGCAGGTAGTTCTCGTCTGGTACCACAATACCTGCCTCGCCCTGGATAGGCTCTACAAGGAACGCAGCGGTCTTGTCACCATGAGTCTCGAATACATCTCTTACGTCTTCCACATTGTTGTATCGGATATGCTTTCCGGTAGTCGGGTTTACACTACCAATGTTTGGGAGGTAAGGTCCATAGTTATCGCGTGATTCGGGGTCAGTTGACATGGTGATAGCGGCGAACTACCGGTTTGTCAGCCTTATACACGGTCTCTTTGCAGTAATGTGACTTACAGTGCGTCCGTGGAAGTTCTCCTGCACACTGAAAATCAGCGCCTCATTCTGAGGAATGCCTTTGACTTTATATCCCCATTTCCTAGCAACCTTAACCGCTGTCTCCACCGCTTCAGCTCCCGTATTCATTGGGAGGACCATATCAAAGCCAAACATCTTTGTCACGAATTCTGCAAACTTCGGGAATACGTCATTGTAGAAAGCGCGACTGCTCAGGGTCAAGCGAGATGCCTGATCAGTGAGAGCCTTGACAAGTTCAGGATGGCAATGGCCTTGGTTCACAGCGCTGTAGGCCGACAGAAAATCGAGGTACGGGCCTTTCCCGTCAGCATCCCACACGTGAACGCCGCGTGCTCTATCACACGTCAGCTTCGCTGTCGAATAGAGTCACTTCCAATGCTCACCTGCTGAACACAATTGGAAGAGGGTGGTAATTGTGAGCGGCGTGTGTCTGCTCAAGATGTAAGGCATCTTTCGTAGAAGAAGCATGGTACCGGGACGTAGTACCACTTGATGGGTTAAAAGTCTTCGCAGTTGGCTTCAAGGTCGACGCGTTTGTGTCATTGGCGCCATTGGCAGCGATGGCTGAAGGAGACATGTCGAGATAGGCCGGGACGATGCGTGGAGGCAATTGTGTAGTGGTGAGTTTGTTTTGGGTCGAGGCAATGGGATATCAGAAAGTGTAGGGCAGTGCAAAGTGAGGAATTTGAGGCTCGTAGATGAAGGGAAGGGCGAGTAGAAAAGAGAAAGCGGGCGAGAAAATGTGGAGGAGAAGGCGCAGAAGAGTAGCAGGAAGCAAAGCCGCCTCTATCCTCGGACTGCCATTAGGGAATTGAGCATTACATACACGCGGTTGTACCTGCGCTTAAGGGAACCCGAGCCTCGAGATATTACGTGGGGCTCAAATGGTTTGAAAGGCTTCAGGGCTCCGCTCCCCGCCATGGATGCCTGGACCTGGCAATTTTTAGGCTTGGTGTGCCGCCGTTACGGGCGACCTCCCCCATTTCGCCCGCCCCGATTGGTTGCCGCGTCTTGGGCCATGCTCGAGCCTTACGGATCTCGTGACCGACACTTGACACATGAGAACCGATAAGACGTCCTTGTGGCGCATCTCGCTCGGGACATCGACATCTGATGGATCAATGTTCCGGTGTAGACATGCATCTGCCGACAGCTGGATGCCGCGGCGTGCCGTGCATGATGAGTATGTGTGACACTATGACGGGTATGCTCTCACCCTGAGTAACTCGCCTGAAGATTAACCTCCGAGTCGGAGATATCTCCCGGTATAGTTCAGTCAGACAGTAAAACACTTTCGAAAGTCTCGCTCGGTATAATATGCGGCCGGGAACTAGAAGGTTATCGCACTATCTGCCTAGCGCTGCTTCAAATGGTGTCCGCGTGAGATTGGTCAAGTAGACTATCCTATGTCTAGAACAAGTGTATGTATTAGGCGTCTTTCTAACAACTTCAGTAGTAGAAGTCTCAAGTTGACTAGAGAACACTCATGTTTGAATTTGAATCGAGCGTCCTACACCATCTACATTACAGGCCGTAGCATCGTGATGCGTTACTCATGGAGAATTTCATGACTCGTAAATGTTGAAGTATATGCTGACGTATATGCGGGCGCAGTCCTTTCGGCTTCAGTCTACCGAATAGACACCATTGCAAACAGCGCGAAAGAAGGAAAGAAGACGGAGAAGAAGGAGAAGAGGAAGAAGAAGAACAAGAAGAAGAAGAACAGAAGAAGAAGACCGGGACTTGAAAGCTGCTACATGAAGCCTCCTACAGTCTTCGTCATGATAGGTGGGATCCAATTAATCTTCTAATTTTACAAATGACAGTAAAAATCTTGCTGTAATGCGGCCTGTGTATTGTCGCCAATTGTGCATGGAAACGGCCACGCGTGCCCGCTCTTCAAGGAAATTCCCTGGAAGAGTTAGCAAAGCTCCAGTGACCAAGGGAGAAATAAAATTTGTACTTTTTTCTTGGATCAGCGAACTTAGGTTTTGGAGGCATGTGATCATTCCCGGTTGAGTGATCTTCGCGCTCCAGTCGATTTTACAATCTTTGATCGGATTGCAGTTGCGAGCATACTTCTTTTGGAAGAGCTCTATGATAATGTCAAAGTATCCGTCAATTCTTCGGACAGCTTCATTTGCGCCCTCCTCTGCGAAGCTCCTCTCCAAATCTCCTTGGCCCACTCTACTATCCAGAATACTGTTAACATTCTTCTGGATGACTTCGGCAGCAATGGCTAAACCAAGAACGATAATGAACGCATCGGTCCATTTATCGCAGCCTTTACTACCCCCCAGCATGTTTTGCAGATGTTTTAAGAGCATCTCCATCTTTCTTCCCTGTAATCGCGCGTAAAAATGTTTGATTTGTCGATTCGCCAGACGCGGCGAAGTCTTGTCGCCGTAGTCATCTGGTTTATAGTTTGATAGCTTCGAGAGGCTGTCAACTTTGTGTTCGTCCGGTATGGTCAAAGTGTGTGCAACAATATAAGTCGTGATTATGAGGTAGTAAACTTCCGTCAGTAATTTCTCCTTCATGTTATTAGCAAGGTGTTCAACGACCTCGTCACGGGCATGTGCGCTCATACCTGTTCGGTTCCCTGAGCAGGGTCGATGTTAACTAGACACTCGAACATCCGTTTCGCGAAGTCTTCCTTTTCACCCGCATAGTATCTTCCGACAAAGTTGGTCATGAAATGAGTAGCGATCTGTTTGACGTGAGTGTCATATTTGGTCTCATCCTTGGTATAATGCATGCTCTGTAGCCCAAGTGGAGGCGAAGCCTTTTCTACACGAATGTTCTGGCCCGTCTTTGCGTCCTTGAAATGTTGGAATTGCCGTAGCAATTCAGGATTGCTCGGCTTGAATTCATAAACATCAACTTCAAGCCAGGGCAAGCCATATCCTGGCGTCAATTGAATCTTGATCTCAGATTTTCCCCAATCACGGACATTCGTTTCGCACATTTTAATTAACGTCTCTTCACTATGGAGGTCGGAAATCCAGGCTATAGTTTGTTAGCACTGACCAGTATACTCATGTTCGGGACATACTTGGTAGGAGAAAAATCATGAGTTCAGGAAGTATATCACGACAGCAGCCCAGTTTCCAATCATCACCTGGCTTTTGAGAACGATTCGCGCAACGGCGACAGATTTCGCCTGGGTCGCACTAGAATAGTCAGTCGAGCTATGGCTTTAGAAGAATGGACTGCTCCTACTTTATCTCTCTGAATCCTGCAGCGCCAACAGACACGTGTTTTCCTCATAACATTTGCCTGTGCCGCCTTGTCTGGAGCGAGGTGGGTGCCAGGCTTCCGGCCGCCAGCACGTTGGGCAGACGGTCCGTAGGGCTTCCGAACGCCTCGGGTATTCTTGGCGTACGATTTCTTCGATCGGGTAGTATCCATCTGTGAGCTACTCGTAGCACCATTAGCAGAATATAAATGCTGGTCTGTGATGTGATTATCCTTCGTGGTGGAGCTAGCTCCTTCCCATGTAGGGCCCGGATTCGAGAATAGCGATGGTCCATTGTGTAAGATTCCTTGCGAGCCATGTGTCAGTTGATAGTAGTCTATATGTGCAGGAATGGTCGACGATTGATAAGTGGATTGAGAAGGTATCTCAAGGTGATAACTATGGGGATACAAGCTGCGACCGATAGGTGCAATGTCATTTGGGCGGTATGCAGGCTCAGGCCCTGAAACTGGGCTTCGAGAGTCGAAAGGGACACCATCGTGTGTGTTTGCATACTGAGAGCTTTGTGTATTGTACATGGTGGTGTTATCGTAATTGTTTATACACCAGTCAACCCCGGCATTAGTGGGAGCATAGCCTTTAGGATCGGAGCCTAGTTCCCATATAGGTGCCGATGACGGGGCGGGAGTGGTGGGCATTTGATGAGGAGACCACGGTGACAGGTCAGCCCAACGTGGAGGTGGGAATGCCAAGGGTGTCATGGCCATGGAGGGTCTTGTAGACGCGGTCAGTTGCTGCGGAGCAGACATGGACCATCCTGTGACTTGGAAAGTACTGTCATGCTCGTGGCGCACTGGGTACTCATTCGTCATGGGCTGCTGAATAGCATAAGTCGGACTCGGAGAATGCGCAGAGCCTGAATCGGTATAAGCCTTTTATACGTGTATATTGATCAGTGCCTACCTTGGGATTCTCGGTGCCAGAGAGAACTTTGATTCGAACTCATCGACTGTTGACTGTGACGGCGCTCTAGATCGAGCATTCTATCGTCAATGGGCATCTCTTGGGGGGTTGAGTCTCGGATTCCATAGAGATCTTGATCAAGGCTATCGTTCGGGGGCGTCATAACAGAGTGTGATGAGTACAAGCTGCCAGTTGGGCTACTTGCAACATCATACTCCTCAAGCACTGGAGATACATTGCTGCCCTGACTCCTTGGAGAGAAAGATCCGAGCTGGCTGACAGAACTAGGAGTTATCCCTCGTGCCTTCGAATCGTACGATGGTCCAGTGGCAGCGTACTGAGTAGTTGGCAATCCGTTAATATACATGATATTCCCGTTCCAGTGGAAGTCGTTCATTATGACCATTTCGAAGATCTGGTTGCAGGTCAAAGGACACTCGAAAAATTGCTGCGGACGAATGCGAAACTGCTGCCTGATGTGTAAGGCTGAGGCACAAACGATTCTAGCGGAAGTTATCGAAACTCCCTTCGCTACATTAGAGACAGTTATAGAAAGCGAGCGACAGGAACCGTCGAAAAGTGGCAATCAGGAACAAGTTTTATGAGCAAGAAAGCAAGATCAAATCGACCTGTGACAGGGGGATTCAAGGCGTACGACAAAGCACGAGCTGGAATGAAAGGAGAGGTGCGCTGTTCAAGAGGAGGGAGGGCTGAGTGTTCAGAGGGTGTGGTGTATCAAGGATCTATGTGGCTTGCTGCGACCGGTCAGGCAGAAGCCGCCTTGATCGGTCGTTCTCTGCATGTTACCAGCATGTAAACACTCTGATTCGCCCAGCGGTGCAAAACATACCCATTGCGCTCTTTTTGCTCAGCCTTACCGAGTTATCGAGAGTTCTGTACTCGGGCTCGGAAGCGGTACAGGCCGTCCGTCTATGGATCCATATCCATTTGTTGTTATACAGTGCGCAAACAATTGGCGGGTCAGGCACAGACTTTGTTGGCTTGGCACTATATCTTCCTGCAAGTCAGTCAAACCCGATAGGGCTTACGATAAGTGGAAGAGTAATGAGGCAAAACCTGGGGTATTCTCTGGTCTAATGCTTGGTCATTTGTTGATTGGTGGTTCCGAGACGAGTTCTGATTGATCAGGATGCATCTTCACCGGTAGGAGTAGGCCATCCATGACAGCCCAACCAACTTCGCAGGCCACAATGCAGCTGCTTATGAAAGCCATATAAGAGTTGCTACGAATGTATGCATTCCAGCTAGAAGTAAGCGTTATGAATTCCGGTAAAGAGGCTCTTTAGGCTATATATCCTGTGTCAAGTAGCGAGTCGCGCGGCTGTCGCGAGGATGGGTTCATTTGAAGATACTAGGTATGATAATTGATCCATGACCGGTCGCACTGTGCTCCATCACGACGATACGAGTGGGTTCTTCATGAGGCTGCCTAATGACTGCTAATCTCGTTGGTGAGCAAGTGAGTATGCACTGCAAGTACTTCTCGAACGTGCATATCGACGCATGTAAAAAGCTACGCGGCAGATGTTTGCCCATTTGCTCGGTGCGTACAGCTCCTCTCCATCTGCTGTCAGCAGTACGTCGTCGCCATACCCAGATCGACCCGGTACACGACACCCTGTTTCGATTGGGATAGCACAGACGCGTCAGACCAGGAGCTGATACGTGTCTGTGTTTTTGTGCGTGGCTCGTGAGGGATGTGGTGAGACGTAAGGTACTGTGTACAGTGTGGCTACGATAATGATTCTTGACGAGAGCTGATTGTGATGGAGGTCGTCGTGACGTTCTGTGTATCTCCGCGAGGACAAGAAGTGGAGGAGAGATGGAGGGCAGTGAAGTAATGGGAGGAGGTATAATTAGTTACATGGATAAATACTGTACAGGCCACTAGAAAGATGAACCAATTACCGCCGCCAGTAACGCCGTGACCCCGCCCGGCCCTGTTATCGATCGGGCTGATAGGCAGCTAAGAATCGGCTAACTACCCCCCCGAACCCACCCCGCTGTTAGCTGGGTGTGGGCGCGTGTTGGCGCGTGTAGGCCCAGAGCAACAATGGTGACGGGCAGCAGCTGCGTGCGTCATTGTGTCAAGCTCAAACTTTCCTGTAATAAACCTGCTCTCATATTTTTGTCCCCCATAATATAGGCATTTGAGCTTTAGCTCTTGTACATAGAGCAACTTCTATCATAACTTAACGAATCTCATACTCTCTTGCTCAACTCTTGCTGCACGTGTCCACAGCTGTTCAAGATCATTCTGCAGCGTTACTGGTCTGTAATTGCTAGGCCTGCGTCCACCATCTGTAAGCATGTCGGGGCATGAGGATGCAGACGCAACTGCACGCCGATACAGAGCTCCTTTCTCCAGTAATCATCCAATTCCCACCGTACAGAGGTACAAGAAGGAGAAACAGGAAAAAGAAGCCACATATGGAGGGGTTGAGGAAGAGCAGGAAGCTAGCAGGACTCAGCGTGCAAGAGATGCCTATGATCGTTACAAACATGGCGATGAAGCTCAAAGAGACGACGAAGGCCCCTACAAAAGCGAGAACAAGAATCTCCAAGCAACGGCCACGCCGGACGGAGAAGGGGACAAAGAGATTACTACTCTTGATCAATCAAAGGAGCAGCCTATTGAGGAAGCTGCAAAAGACACGTCCGAAGCTGATATATCGCAAGATCCAAAGGAGCAGCGAAAGCAAATGAAAAAGAGGAAAGGCGATGCTGCGCGTGAAGTCACCGATCCAGTCACACATCTACCGGTCAGGATACATGATTTCACTGAAAGAGATCTGAAGAACACACCCGAGAATGAGCCAAACCCCGGTCTTCGCTCAAGAACCGGTACAGAGCAGATGGAGAATCCTGAGGACGATCCACAAATCAAAGCAGACGACGCATTTCAGAGAGACGCTCATTCTGCTATGGACGTAGTGTTCCCACCACCCAACTTTGAGGAGGTCAAGAAACAACTATCGCGCGTTTTCGAACAAGCCATCATAGCTGGGATCGGTACACTCTCGATATTTGCGATCGGGATTTCCCTTCTAGGCCATTTCTCCGGCTTCGACAAATCTGGTACATACATCAGCATACTCACCGTTATTGGCGGCCTTGTTAGTGCAATTACAGTATGGGTACTTCATCAATGGGCGAAGAACAAGATAAATGATGTGTGGGAGAACGAGACTTGGGAGAGCGAGAGGCAAGCAGGGAAGAGAATTGCAGCCAAAAACCAGATTGCAGAGTCAACTCATTGGCTCAATTCATTCTTGGCCTCTGTTTGGCCACTTATAAACCCTGATCTATTCGTCGCCATTCAAGATCAGTTGGAGGTAAGACCCTCAAAGTATGGTTCAGAAACAGCAGCTAACCTCGCTTGGGTAGGATGTCATGCAAGCTAGTCTACCAAAAATGGTCCGTATGGTCAGCGTCGAAGACCTCGGGCAGGGCAGCGAATCCTTGAGAATTCTAGGAATTAAGTGGCTTCCATCAGGTGCAGCGGCCCAGTCCGTTGGCGAAGATGGATCAATTCAGAAGAAGAAGAAGTCTAATGGTGAGAGCGATCGCAAAGTTCCCGGAGAAGGCGAAGTTGAGCAAAACTCAGACCAAGAAAAGAAGAAGTCCTCGGATGGTGGTGGTGATGGCCAGCCGGACCACGACGAAGGCCAGGAAAATATTGCCGAGGGTATGGAAGCTGAAGAAGGCGAGTTCATCAACTTGGAAGTCGCTCTTTCATATAGAGCGAGGGGCGCAGGCAAAGGTCTACGAAGCCGAGCCAAGAATGCACACCTTTACATGGCATTCTATTTGATAGGGGGTGTCAAATTCCCGGTTTGGGTCGAGATGCACGGGTTTGTGGGCGTATTACGACTGAGGATGCAACTTACCCCAGATCCTCCTTTTGTGTCTTTGTGTACCCTCACATTCCTTGGACAGCCTAAGGTAAGTCATCTTGTCTACGTTGTTCCATGTCAGCTGGAGCTTACTTTGACTTAGGTCGACCTATCGTGCGTACCGCTCAGCAAGCATGCACTTAATATCATGGATCTTCCATTGATAAGTAATTTTGTACAGTCAGCTGTGGATGCTGGACTGAGTACACTGGTTGCACCTCGGAATATGACTCTAGATTTGAAGGATATGCTCGTCGGTGACGATTTCAAGAAAGACACAACCGCTCGTGGAGTCCTGATGGTCACTGTCAAACGCGGTTTTGATTTCAAGGAAGGCGATTCTGGAATTGGACCTCTCAAGAGCGGCTCTTCCGACCCATATGTCTCTGTCGGTTGGGCAAAATTCAGCAAGCCGGTCTGGTCAACTAGAGTACTTATGGGTGAGATGGAGCCTTACTGGCAAGAGACGGCGTTTATTTTAGTGACACCTGAGGAGTTGAATGTTGATGAGCGGCTACGGTTACAGCTCTGGGACTCTGACAGGACTTCTGCGGACGATGACCTGGGGCGCATAGAGCTTGACTTGAAACACATAATGAGAAACGAAAACTCGAATGGAAAGCTCTGGGATCGTCAAGACGGCTTCCGTTCGATCAAGAAAGCTGAAAGCATGCCTGGACAGATAGAATGGAGCGTGGGATATTTCTCGAAGCTTCGGATGCAAGAATCGCAGCTTGCTTCGCAGACGAAAGAGCCTGGAGTCAAGAACATGGAAGACCTCCGAAAGCTGGTGGAACAAGAAAGCGAAAGGAAACTACGAGAAGCGAAGAAGGACGAGACCGAAGAGATCGAACAACAGAAAGCTCAGGATCTCAAGGAACGTGAGGACGAGCTCATAACACACGCACCACCGCCTGATGGCTACCCTACAGGCATCCTGTCCATTCAGATCCACAACATTACCGGGCTGGAGCTGCAAGCCATCAATAAGCGTGAGCAGAGCAAAAAAGATAACAATTCTGAAGTGGATGAAGAAGGTGACGACCTTCCATCCGCCTACTGCACCATCATCCTCAACCATCAGAAGATCTACAAGACACGCACTAAACCTAAGAACTCAAAGCCGTTCTTCAACGCCGGATGCGAGCGTCTTGTCCGTGACTGGCGCAATACCGAAATCCATCTCTCCATTCGGGACGCCCGAGTCCATGAGAACGATGCTCTGCTCGGGATCGTCCACCTTCCATTATCCAAACTATTTGAAAAGCGCTCTCAGTTCTCAGAATTCTTCCCCTTATCCGGCGGCGTCGGGTACGGCAAGGTGCGCGTGTCCATGGTCTTCCGCGCTGTGAAGCTGCAAGCACCTCGCGAGCTCCTAGGATGGGACTTTGGCACCGTCGAAATCCAACCCTCAGTCCACGCCGGCGAAGGTCTCCCACAGGACTTGCACGACAAACGAATCAAGCTGCACACCAACATCGGCAAAGCCAAACTCACCGCCCTCGGCGACGGCACCTGGTCCTCGTCGCCCAAGTCATCCTCCTCCTCCTCCTCCCCACGCACCCTCAAACTCGCCGTCCGCCGCCGCTACTCCTCCCCCCTCATCCTCGAATTCCGCGACTCCTCCCTCCTGCGCGACTCCACCCTCGCCTTCGCCGTGCTCTGGCTCAAAGACCTCCCCGACAACGACACTGTCACCCTCACTCTCCCCGTCTGGAAAGGCGACCTCGCCCGCGCCTCCCAGAACACCCTGTCCGACTGCGGCCAGCGCCACGGCAGCATCGTAGTCTCCCTCACCTTCTGGTCCGGCCTCAGCGGCTACCACGCCCGCTTCGCAGGCAAAGACGGGAATATGGCCGACGTCATGGAAGTCCTCGACTGCGCCGCCGACGTCGCCTCGGACGACAACGCCCTAAATTTCACCGACGATGACGCCGGTACTTCATCTTCTTCATCGTCATCAAGCGACAGCAGCAGCAGCGACGACGACGAAGACACACCCACAGGCAGCGAGAAGAGCACAAACGACAACTCCAACGACGATGGCTCCCGCGGCATCATCGACAGCGTCAGAGACTACAAGCACAACGCCAAGCAGCTGCATCGCAAGAATCGCGGCTTGATGCAGTGGAAGGGTCCGCGCACGGCGGCGTGGCTGAAGGGCAAGGCGAAGCGGACGGAGAAGGGTCTTGCGGGCTTGTTTAGCCATCATGATGGGGGTCGTGAGGCGGGGATTGAGACGGAGGTTTGAGATTCTGGTGGGGATTGGCGGGGTTAAGGGGATGTGGATGGGGATGTGGATGGGGATGGGGATGGGGATGGGGATGGGGAAAGGGGGAAGGTTCGGGGGGAGAGGTCTGAATTATCCGACAGAGTCTATAGGGCTATAGGTCTATGAGTCTACAGGTCTATGAATTACTACTAGTGTATATATATACTGATATATATACTACTATACATCCATACCAATAGAGGGAGGCAGAGATAGAAGGGGGTCAAAGAAGGACGGAAACCTCCAGCTTGTCATGCAAGTGCCAAGAATGTCAGGTTCTTAGGTAGATACCTGAGGCATCAAATTGTCTCGACTGATCCGCCGGCAAGTCAGTCAATAAAATTATCAATGCGATACGAGCGCTGACTATAACTCTGGTACACACCACTTTTAAATCCAGTCCATTTCGTGAAGAGAGGAAAGATGAATGAATGTAGGCATCGGTTCTTCTATATATGGTTTTCATTTGCTCTCTGTCTAGAAGAGATGCTATCGAAAAAAAGGTGGGTTGTCATCTTCATTATATTCGTGCCCCGTTCGTGCGCTCTATTGACGTTCGTCCAAAAATGATACGAACAGTGCCACTGGTTTCAAAACCCAAAGTGGTGTCAAACATACATTTCCATTCCACGCCCCCGGCGTAGCCCCATATCCAGCAGAGCTCGTTTTCTCTACCGAGTTCAGACGCCAATCCCTTTATCTTTTTTTGTGCAACACGTTTTTACTCCACAGTGACCGACTTGGCCAAGTTCCTGGGGAAATCGACGTTCAGGCCTTCGCCCACGGCGAGCCAGTACGCCATCAGCTGCAGAGGAATGACGTTGAGGAGACCCTGAAGAGCATCGACGGTCTGTGGAACCTCAATCTTCTCGGTCTTGTCCGACGGGAACTCGGTGTCGTCGGTGTTGCAAATAATAATGGGCTTGCCCTTGCGAGCAATGACTTGTTGGTATGCATTCAACGACTTGGCAAAGATGTCATCACGAGTGAGGATCATGACAATAGGGAGATCCTCATCGACCAAGGCAAGAACACCATGCTTGAGCTCACCAGACATGACGGCCTCGCAGTGAAGGTACGAAATTTCCTTGATCTTCAGAGCACCTTCCAGAGCAGTGGCGTGCTGGGCGCCACGACCAAGCAGAAGCATGTTCTTCTGGTGCTTGAACTTCTCACAGAGAGTCTTGATGCTGGAATCGAGCTTCAAGATCTCCTTGAACTGCTCAGAGACCTTGCCTAGACCCTCCATAATCTCTTGCCTTCTCTGGTGCTTGGACGCACGGTCCTCACTTAGCGAAAGAGCAAACATGACCATGCACACGAATTGCGAAGTGTACGCCTTGGTGGAGGCAACACCAATTTCGGGACCAGCGTTGATGTGGACACCACAGTGGGTGAGGAGAGAGATGGAGGAACCGACAACGTTGACGATACCAACGGTCAGGGCACCACGCTCAAGACAGTAGCGAAGGGCCATGAGAGAGTCGGCAGTCTCACCAGACTGAGAGACGAAAACACAGGTGTCATCACGGAAGACTGGAGCTTGTCTGTCGAGGAAATCTGAGGCGAGCTCGACGGAGATGGGAATCTCGGTCAGTTCCTCAAAGATACCACGCACCGCCATACATGAGTGGAAGGATGTACCGCAGGCAATGAAGATGATCCTGCGGCAGCGGCGGATTGTGGAGATGTATTGGCGAAGGCCACCAAGGGTGACCTTCTTATTTTCAATGTCTAGACGACCACGCATGGCGTTGACGACGGACTCTGGTTGCTCGAAAATCTCCTTTTGCATGAAGTGGTCGAACTTGCCCTTCATGATCTCCTGGAGCTCGATCTCGATGGTCTGGATGGCACGCACATTCGAGGCACCGTCGTTCTTCTGAAGACGGTGGATGTTGAGCTGACCCTCGTGGATGTGAGCAATGTCATCGTCCTCAAGGTACAAGACCTTCTTGGTGTGCTCAACAATGGCAGATGGGTCGGAGGAGAGGAAGAATTCGGTGGGCTGAGGAGCACCATCGTCTGAGAGGAAAGCACGCGATTGCGAGCGGTGGAGGAGAGATTTGTCGGGAGGGGCAAGAAGGTTGTTGCTCTTCTTCAGGGCGACGTTCTGCGAAGCACGCTCTGCAGGCAGGGCGACACCCTCTTCGGTGTACTCCACATCGACGAAATCGACCTTCATCTTCTTCTGAGTGCGGACACCGACGACCAATGGAGAACCCTTGCGGGCAGCGATGACCTCATGGGGGTAGTGGACGGACTTGAGGAGAAGACCGAAAGCTCCCTGTAACTCCTTGATGACAGCCTTGGCCAAGACTGGGAAGTCAATGTCCGGGTGCTGGTCGTAGATGTACTTTGTGAGTTTGGCAATGGCCTCAGTGTCGGTGTCAGTCTCGAACTTGAAGCCTCTGCCCTCGAGCAGAACCTTCAATTCTTTGTAGTTGGTGATGATACCATTGTGGACGACAGAGAACTCCCAGTTGGGGTCAGACCTGTGGGGGTGGCAGTTGACGCGCGAAGGCTTTCCGTGGGTGGCCCAGCGAGTGTGTGCGATACCAGCGTGGGAGTCGAAGACCTTTGTGAGGTCTGGCTTCTCCTCAACGATGAGCTGCTTCAGCTTGGCAACCTTGCCAACCTCCTTGAAAGCAAAGATCTCATTCTTCTTGTCACCGTCGACAGCTAGACCAGCTGAGTCGTATCCACGGTATTCTAGACGAGCGAGGCCTGGAATGTGTCAGTTTTGAGCCTAGCGAAGGCGGTGTGTGAGGAGGGGCTGAGGGGTGGTGGAGCGGTGAGGCAAGGAGGAATTGGGGCACAGATGCGTACCATTGACCAAGGTGTCAAGAATGTACTTGCGGTCCTTCTCGACGAGATAATTGACGTATCCAAAGATACCACTGTAGAGCAGAAAGAGTGAGCAAGCGGCGTCAGGTTGTTTTGGGAGGGCGGAATATGCAGAGATTGCTGGGAGCTATGAGGACAAGCTTACCACATGATGGAAAGGAAATTGAAACGGGACTGAAACGAGAGAGATGGTATGCGAGGTCAGGAACGATCGTAAGGTAGGATTGGGATTGCGATTGGGTATGAGAGATGGAAGTTGGAGAGTGGAATAGATGAAGGGAGGCAGAAGAGAGTTGGGGAGGAGGAGGCAGGAGAATATATGTGAAGGTTCGGTGGGGAGGTGGGATGTGTGTGAGGGATGAGCATCAAGTTTAGCGTGCCATCAATGCATCCGCATCTATCAACGACCTATTAATGCCAGCGCCAGTGCCAACACCAGCCCAGCACCACACCAGCACCAGCACCAGCATCAGCACCAGCATTAAACTGTTCGGCCAGGGCTCAAGGCTCAGGGCCCCAGTTGAGCATTTGTTGATGCAGGGCGGCGACAGGGCCACAGACAGCCAAGACCGCTGCCAGCTTTGCCACTCAGCCACTCACAGCAGAGAGGGGCTGCATCTTGTTTGTCTTTGGCCCGGTTTAATTCTGAAACTGCCAACAGTTCCACACCGTTGCCAGGCCTCTGAATAATTATCTCTTGTTGTTGTTATGTCTGTTTATTGTTGTGATGATAATATGTCTCACCTTCTTTGGTAGTGGAGCCTGGCACGTTGCTCAGCGGGTAATACACTTGGGATGGGGGAGGAGGTAATACAGACACCGCTTAAGCCCGTCAGATCCATCATTCCCCCCTCCCGACCTCGTTAACTAACAACAACCATAGCCTGCTAGCAATCTCGACCGATGCGCCACAAGGGTAAATCCATCTGTGCAGTATTAATTACTGTATACTGCTGCACTGTATTGCCGTTTGCAGTGGGGGTGAATAAGTGTGTGCACTATGGCTCGTAGCACCCGAATGGCAACACAGCTGCTGCCGCTAAACCGGGTGCCTTTCCTCTTTGCTACGCCCCGATGTTCTTGGTGCCGACCACAATTGAGGCGCAGCTCTTTGCCCAGCTGCTATTAATGGCATCAAATAGTCTACCTGATACTCTATACAACGCCCCAAGACCCTCTTTCCGGTACTTGTGAAGACGATCAAGCTTTTCTTCAGGCCCCATTAAGGTTGTTCGATATTGAATATCCTACGCTCTACGCTGTGTCTAGTGTCCCATGAGCTGCATCTTGCGGCGAACGCGAATACGGATCCGTGCGAACTGGAATGCCGACCTGTCATTGGCATCTGCACCCTTGTCCTTTCTCATCTCTCCCCTGAATTTGTGCGCGACCGACGTCAGCAGAACAGACCATGTATCTCTGCAGATCCGGTTACGCCTCCGTGAATCGATATATCAACTCCTTTCGCTCGACGTCATGCAGCTTGTTCCGATACTGATCAATTATTCAAGTGTGTGTCCTAATGTATTCGCTGGTAATGGAGACTGCCTTATGGAGTGCTGCTAAAGCTCCCCTCCCTTGCCTCAGCTAGCATATTACGCTTTCACAGTGGCTTCTCAGGCGTCCAATTATTGGCCATGTTTCCTTACACGAACCAAGCAAGCCTCGAATGAATGGTGGACTTTGAAGCTTACATCAGGCCTCCCGATCGGATGACTGTAAGGCTGATGATTAGCATCTACCATTCAAGACATGCTTCTCATGACGAACGCCTAACAGTTAGCATTGACAGCAAAGATTAGGCCTTAGCACCTCAGCCTTGCAATCCCGACGCCCATCCGTATTCCTTGCAAATTATCGCCGAATACCAATCGAGGACCGCATTCCGCCGATACAGTAACAGTCTAGAAACTGCTCATCGGAACTTAGCGTGTTAATGCTATTTGAGGGGTTCACTTGGCACTAGCGCCTGCGATGGCGGGGTCTGCAAGGCACCAGATACATTCCATCAACTCTAACCAACCTCTTCACCACCCATCCAATTGCTTTTAGCATTTGCATACACTTTCTAGTTGAGCCGTCTCAATCACCTCCTTCGCCTAAATCTTCACACACTCTCTCCTCACCTGTTCAAACATGGCTCCACTAAAGGGGCCTGGCAAAGCAAAGACATACGATGGTCAGGAAGCTTCCTCATAGCTATATAAGGCATAGGCCAATAAATACTGACACCAGGCAGGATCTGGTTTACGCGTTGGAATTGTCCATGCTAGGTGGAACACACCTCTCATCGATGCTCTCGTAGAGGGGTCCATCAAGTCTCTCAAGGCAGCAGGCGTCACAGACGAGAACATAGTGATCCAGAGCGTCCCTGGTAGCTACGAGCTGCCCTTTGCAGTTCAGCGGTACGTGTATAATCTTGTTTATTTACCAAAAATCGCAAGTCGTGAAGAATCTATGCTGATGTCTATAGCATGTATGCCGCTTCTCAGATTCAATCCTCGTCTGCCTCCGGCGGTGGCGCGCTCCTTGCCTCAGCGACCGATCTTCTCTCCTCCACCTCCGTTACAGATCTTACCAAGACCGATACGTCCGCCGCGAAGGACACTGCGTCCACTGCACCGTTCGATGCCATAATTGCTATTGGTGTACTGATCAAGGGCGAAACAATGCATTTCGAGTATATCGCAGACGCCGTCAGCCATGGGTTGATGCGGGTGCAGTTGGACGCGAACGTTCCCGTAGTCTTTGGACTGCTTACCGTGCTCACCGAGGAGCAGGGAAGGGCGAGAGCTGGGCTGTCGAGCGCGGAGAATAGTCATAACCATGGGGAAGACTGGGGGTCCGCGGCGGTGGAACTTGGTGTAAAGAGGCGGGGCTGGGCGGATGGGAAGTTGGATGATTAGATGCTACCTATGTATCGCAGAACATTCGCTCTTTTTATATACCCAGAAACGCCGGCCGCTCTGGTTGTGCGAATACAATGACGTAAAAGCAAGAGTCTCGTTCTGATCCAACGCGGCTCTTCAACACTATTACAAGCTCTACACTGTCACTAAAGATGTGGTAATCTCGAGGAGGATCGGAATCAGGCATGACACCAAAAGATCTGGTCTTCTGCTCTTGAGAGATGAATGTTCATGGTAGAACTCGGTTTTTGGCAGTGTGAGATGGCTTCAAGAGCAGGAATGGTATTGCGGTCCAGCAAGGGCCTGGTCGAGAAATACACCAGCCATCAATCATAGACGGAAAGTGGTCGTGGAGATGCTGCGTTCCATGTTTGATGACCTCGGTTGATACGCACGCACCGCTACCTCAGAACGGCGACACAATCGAACAGCTCACGTGAGGTACACATATTTGTCGCGCAATGGCAATTTCATCTTCCATCATCGATACAATACAACGATATATATCCCCATGCTATTACAAGTGTATTCGATGTTTGGATCCAGTAAGATTGGCAGTCTGTCTACGCGAATATGGGGTTGGTCGAGGCGGAGGCTTGCGGACGTTACGCACAGTGCGCTGATGGACATGCGGCGCGATTGTTTGTGTGAGTCAAATAGCAAAGCGAAGACTTAATACAAAGATAGCTGGAGGCGCCGGGAACGATTCGACAGTCTGGTTTGACGACGGGTGCATTTATGGGGAGGATGAATGAGTGAGTGGTGGTTGGAATGGCGACGACGTATTATGACCATTTTTACGACTTGGCGCTAGCGAGGGATGCATGGATCAATTCGCTGGCCGTTGTTCTCCTTTGACCTGGACACTAACCTAACCGTGTGAAATCACCTTCACTCTCCGTCGCCGCTACATACCTCCCACATTCCTCCTCATCTGCGTCTTCTGACGTGCCCGGCTCTGCGATCCTCGTTCTTTGCGTCTAGGGCCCTTTTCATTCGTCGTTAAACGCCTGCCTTTCCCGCCAGTCCTCCTCACACATTGTCGCAGATTCTCGCGATATCCTCGCGTTCCCCATCTCCCCACACTTTCGCGACATCCTCGCGCTATCGCGTGCACAAAACATCGTTTGGCCTCTGCAATCATCGAACATACACGTCAGACCTTTCATCAGTCACTGTACACACGCGATGGTGATGACCCGGGCTGTATACTTGGTATAGCGGCTTCTATTATGTCGCGCGAAAAAGCCGATACCTCATACACTGCTTTCTCGCTCGCAAATTCTAACAAGCGTAACAAGCCGCCTGGCAAAGAGGACCACCCAGCATGGGTTGGGCGAACGTCGCTGACATGGACTGCACCTAACCGTAAGACGACGCGACGCCCCCAGCCAGAGTCAAGCAATGCCGATGGAAAGTTGATACCGACCTCCAACGAAGAGGCGGATGCCCATCGGGGCGAAAATGGTGACACTCTGAATGGTGTGGGCTCCGCAAGCTCTCTCAATAGCACCGTTTCCTCAATCTTCAGCAACAACCTCAACATGCCGTCGTACCCCGGTAATACGTCCTCCATCCACGCGCTCACTCCTATAACCAATACAGACTCATCACCACCTGGCAAAAATGCTAGCCCACGGCCTGCTCAAACTTCTGTTGAGGCGATCTCGAGTGTCATCGCGACTGAAGAGGTCGCAGAAGCTCCTCGTATCCTTACCTTGGCTACACCTCCGAAGGAAAGGCTACAAGCACGCCCGGGACCTGGAGAAGATAAGGGCTTCAAAGTCTCATACGATCCTGAGCTCGACCCCACAGCATCCAAACAAGCGAAGAAGAGTTCGAGGGTAACAAAAAAGGCGTTTGGCGAGAATGTGAGTGGCTCTACAATTATAAAGGTTTTGCGACCTCTGATGCATGGCTTTGCTGACAAAATTTCATTGATAGGCTGATCTCCAAGTCGGCGATCCTCGTCTATTAATGCCTGGATACAAGCAAGGTGCCGGCATCAGAGGTCGTAAGACCGTTGTTCGAATTGCGCCATATCTCGTGAAACCTTATGCTTTTGATGAGAAGCTCTCCGTTCCTGGAACTCAGGCCACCCAGATCATGATCACCGGGTTTGATCCATTTACCCCAGAATCTCGTCTCAGAACTGTGTTCAGTCAGTGGGGTACAGTAGCCGAGGTCAGAAATCAGACAGATCCGGGAACTGGCAGCTTTCTTGGTATCTGTTTGATCAATTATAGAGATACACTGAATAGCAAGAAGACCGAGATCAGAGCCACGGCCATCCAGTCGGCGAAAAATGCCGAGCAGTTCGGCAATGGAGCAAAGATTGGGACGTCAATAGTCAAAGTTACACTTGACAAGACAGGTCGTAAGGCGAAAAAGCTTGTCGATGTCGCTGTCAAGCGCATCCAAGAGGAGAGATCGAAGCTGCGTGTGCCAGAGCCTCATCCACCTCCAACACTCATCCCAGTTGATCCCATAATCGGAGTGCCGGGTGCACCAAAAGGCCCATCTGGCAAGAAAGCTCCAGAGGGACCTCGAGTAGCAGCTCTACCAAAGCCTGCCTCCCATCTGGTGGTTGAAACAGACCCGATCATCAACACGATCAAGCGCCAGCCGTACATCTTCATTGCACAGTGCTACGTACCTGTCCTCGGTACGACGTTACCACATATAAAGAAGCGCCTGAAGAACTACTACTGGAACGACATTCGCTTAGACAAGAGTGGCTATTTCATAATATTCGAGGATTCACGAGATGGTGAGAATGAGGCAGGTCGATGCTTCAAAGAATGCCACATGGCAGCTCTCTTTACCTACGTAATGAACATGGATATACACAAAGAAGGAAACCCAAACTACGTCCGCAGCCCAAGTCCCGAGCGCGTCCGAGCTGAGAAACGCCAGAGAGAGGAAATGGAGAGGTATCAGCGTGAAGAAGAGGAGGATCTACAGCTGGAGTTGAAAGAACGTGCAGAGAATCTTGACCCAGTCAGAGCTGCCATAGATGCGCTTCGAGAAGAATTGCGCGAGAAAGTTCTCAATGACATGAAGACGAAAATCGCGGCACCGTTCCTGTTCGAGTACCTAGATCCTGCGAAACACGTCGAAAAGCGAAGGCGACTTGGCATCGCAGACCCACAGTCGACAGACAACAAGCCAACAACATTGTTCGCGAGAGGCGATGAATCTCCCTTGGTTGGCACTCCTGCGTCTAGGCAATCTGGCTTTGCTGGTCGTGGCCGTAAACCCCTTGGGACCTACGACGCAAACATGCAACCAAAATCCCGCAGGCTGCCAAAGAATGTGAATGCGTTCATGGATGAGCGTCGCAAGCAGCCTCCCAAGCGTCCAGTTGTGGTTCGTGGTCTCCACAGGCAAATGCAAGGCTTCTGGGGCGATGACGAGGAGGACTCCGAAGATGAGCATCGCAGCGTAGCTACGCGGGAAACTGAAGAGCAAGAGAGTCGACCGATAAGTCGGGAAGCCTCGATAGAAACGGAAATATTTCCAGAACCGTCCACCCGATTGTCGAGAGCCAAACGGCGCAGGCTTGAAGCTCACTGGGGTGAAGACGGCGAGGACGATTCCATCGACGATGCCACTGCTCGTAGATTATTGGCACATCTTATCGACAAGGATGTCGAGAAGATGGCAGAACGAGAGCTGGAGCAAGTTTTGTCCGTACTGCCACGATCATCATCCCTATGGAAACAGGCAGAGAAGGTGCGGAAACGGAATCTGCAGTTTAGAAGACATCAAGAGAAGTATGATGAGATCTTCGGACCAGTAGACGTCCCACCTGATACAACAGTCGAAGGAGACTTGTCGGCCGATAAGGCCGCGGAGACCGTGGAGGGGCATGAAGGGGAAGAAGTTGTGCTTGAGGTCGCTGAAAAGGTCGTCAAACCCAAACGCGGACGCAAACCTAAGAAGAAGCAAGTACCAGAGGAAGAGGAGCAGATTCTAGAAGAGGCGACCAAGGTTGAAGATATCACAGACATCCCAGAAGAGATTGACATGCGAGATGTGGAAGACGAGACACCCAAAGAAGGAACACCATTCGAAGGGGTGGTCGACTATACCTTCTCGACAGGCAAAGAACCCCGACGGACCGTTGAGGACGACCCAGAGATTCTTATGGATATCGATGGTTGGCAGCATCTTATCAAAGACGACGAAGATCTCAACCTACTTCGCAAGGCTCTCGCCGTGGAGCCCAGTTCAGACCTGGGCGACGTGCACCTATGGGCAATGAAACAGAAGGAGATCAAGTCTTTGAACAATGGTGGAGTCACGGGTGTAGTTCGTAGTGCGGCCAAAATCTCAGGCTACTACGTGCCGAACCCGTCAGGATGCGCCAGAACGGAGCCGACCAAGAAGATCCGCAACGAAGAAAAGTCCAAATACTTACCTCACCGCATCAAGGTGCTCAAGCAAAGGGAAGAAAGGGAAGCGCAGGCCAAGAATGATCCTGCTGCTGCTGCCGCCGCTGCCAAGCTCAAGCAAGAAGCCAAGCTTACATCCATGGCTTCTTCTCGACAGAACCGAGCCAACAATCGTCGTCTCGCGAATGAGATCAGCACACAGAATCTCAGTATCGAAGGAGATACAATGAAGTTCAACCAGCTCAAGAAGCGCAAGAAGCTTGTCAGATTTGATCGTTCGGCCATTCATAATTGGGGTCTGTACGCCGAAGAGAATATTGCACAGACAGATATGATTATCGAATACGTCGGTGAGAAAGTGCGACAGCGTGTTGCGGATCTTCGAGAGGCAAAATATACGATTCAGGGCGTTGGTAGCAGCTACCTCTTCCGCATAGACGAAGACACGATCATCGACGCGACAAAGCAAGGTGGCATTGCTCGCTTCATCAACCACAGCTGCTCTCCAAACTGTACGGCCAAGATCATTCGGGTGGACGGCGAGAAACGTATCGTCATCTATGCGCTGAGAGACATCGCCAAGAGTAGGTCTTATTTGATCACGTGTGCCATACCACCAGACTAACATATATATCTAGACGAGGAACTTACATACGATTACAAGTTTGAGCGAGAACTCGGCAGTGACGATCGGATACCATGTCTTTGCGGCTCTGTTGGTTGCAAGGGCTTCCTCAACTAAGCTCACCCCAATACTCCAATACCACATCTCCGTCCCCGGGACGACATACATATTGCCCACAGCCTCCGTTGCCCAGCTTTTTTCAACCTGCTTGGCGTTCACGGCTGTACTATTCAACCTCATACCTCGGTTCATGAAAAGTAGTCTTCGGCGTTTTTGACTGCATTGATGGCGCTTGGCTTTCCTCTTACTACTCTCCTATTGTCAGGATTCGCACCTGTCCCACGGTCGCTCCGCAGCTTCGTGGCGGCACTGGTGTATGTATACTTCGAAGAGAACTACTGCATCACGGCGCGATCCGGGACATGTGGTGCGAGATCTCGCCGCAGCTTCAGCTTTATTTGTTTGTACAAAACTTCCTGGGTGGTTTGGCTTGTTTGTTGTAAGCCTAGATGGAGATCTGCTACGCGATCACCTCCGGAAGTGACAACCTGGCGGGGCTGGGATTGGTGCTCACTGAGGGAGAGGGCAGATAGGCTTTGAGGTATGGAAGCAGGATATCTGCGGCTTCTGGGCACGTAGAGGACGCGTGAACATGGATATATAAGAATCAATTGAGGGATAATTAGTAATTTCTGCAGCCGAAGTTTGCTTTCTGCCTGCTTGTGACCGCACACGATAATCCGCCAATCAACTGCCATATATCCGATGGCAACGGACAACAGGGAACGGATCGTTTTTGTGGGGTCGCGAGGTCTCTGACTCGTGATTGTTCCACAGCAGTCCAGACAAAAGGAAGGTGCCGTAGTTGGCCGGATTAGGCAATCGCCTTGACCCCCTACGTCAATTCAACTCCTTTGTTTGACTTATAAACTCCGAGCTTATCCTCTTATGTTGTCAGCATTCCTGCCACCAGACATTCCTACGCTCGACGATGCCAGCATCAATAGGTGAATGAACTGCACCGCCACCTCCTGATTAGCCTGCCTATTGCCACTTTCCGTCGTCTTCCTACAGACTTGGGTTAGACACAAGAGGAATGCGGTCAGACTTCCTGCAGTCCATGGACCTCGAGCCTCAGTATGGCATCCTTATCATAGCATCCTCCATCTTTGTCGCCTTTCTTGCTGGAACGTGGCTGCATTCCAGAAGCAAAGATGGGCAACGAGCGCCTCCTAATTCCAATTTGCCGTTCGGGGGTGACCTGCTATACGTCATGTGGGATATGAAGGCGTGTTTTGATAGTGTATTGTGAGTCTTTTGGGAATAATCGTTTGGGGGAGAAACCGATCTCCCGGACCGTAGATTAATGCTGATTTTCTGGCGCAGAAAAGCATTTGATGGACTCCCTGTGCGACTTCGTCTGATCTTCACCGACATGTTCGTCGTCTTTGGTCCGGAAAACGTCAATACGGTGTGGAAGTCGCCCAACCTGCACCATCGAGCGTTCCGCAATGCTTCTCTGAACACCATGTTCAAGATCTCGCAGGCGCAGCATGACTTTTACGTCTCGGACGATTCGGGGCATTCTGAGCGACCGACGCCGGGGTCCAAGAGACCTCCGCATCTGCGTGTTGATTACGCCGGAATGAATCCGGTCCAGAAACTGCTGACCGGCCCAGCGTCAAAGCTGCTTGAAGATCGCCTCAATGCGAATTTGTGGGAATACTATACCCAGACCAGCATCAGCACATCAGAGTGGACTGACCTGGATGATCTATGGTCGTTTGTGCGAAATGCATGTTCGACGTCGATTTTGAGAGCAATATACGGGGAGCGGCTCCTGGAGGTTATTCCGACGTTTATAGAAGACTTCTGGACCTTTGACAAGACCATCCACAAGCTCTCGCAGCGGACCCCCCGATGGCTCTGTCCACAGGCGTACAAGTCGCGCGACAAATGCATTGACGCCGTCATTAAATGGCACGCCGATATCGAGCCTACCGTCAGAAAGGCTACGCCAGGCGAAGTAGCCTGGAGTCCCATCTACGGCACCGATGCCATCCGCGCTCGTTTGACTGCTTGGGCTCAGATGCCCGTCTACGTAGAGGATCCGGGCACATCGGCGGCAGACGACCTCGCATTCATATGGGGGTAAGTCCCCTTTAAGCACTCCAGCAACACCACCAATTAACACCCCACCAGTGCAAACGCAAACTTAATCCCAGCCTCCTTCTGGATGCTCGTCGAAGTCCTGCACAATCCGGCCCTCCTATCCGACGCCCAAGCCGCCATCGCCCGATGCACGACCACAACCACATCCACCACGCCCAACACCACAACCATCCCAATCGACACAACCGCCCTCTCCACAAACCCCCTCCTCCAAGCCATCTACGCCGAAACAATGCGCCTCCACGTCAGCACCCTCCTCCTCCGCAGCCCAGCCCGCGTCCCCCTCCCCCTAGGCCCCTACTCCATCCCGGCCGACACATCTATCCTAATCTCCTCCCTCCACGCACACACCGACCGGCGCGTCTGGCACAGTCCCGCTTGGCCCGTGGATACGTTTCAGCCGCTCCGCTTTCTCTCCCCGGCCTCGGCATCAGCTTCGGCATCTGCGCACAGGGAGCACGTGCCAGACACGCCCATAAAAACCAACACAGATAATACTCAGGAACAGCAGCAGCAGCAAGCACAGCAACTTCAAGACCAGCAATTCTCCCTAGCCCCCTACAAAAACGCCTGGATCCCCTACGGCGGCGGCGCGAATATCTGTCCGGGCAGGCATTTGGCCAAGAAGGCGATGATGGGCCATCTTGCTGTTGTGCTGACGTTGTTTGAGTTTGATACTGGTGGGGATGGGGGTGTGCCTGGGGATGATATGGAGCGGTTTGGGCTGGGGACGTGTGCGCCGGATCGGGAGGTTAGGGTTCGGGTGCGGAGGAGGAAGGGGTGAAGGGGTGAGTGAGATGGGGGAGTGTGGAGGAAGGAGGAGGTGAGGGGCGTGAGGGAGGGATAAAGGAACTCAGAACATACACCTTGAGAAGAAGACATCGAGTAAACCCCTATTAGAACAGAAATTATATATAAGAACATACCACATCCTATCTCAGTCTTAGTCTCGGTATGCGTAGACTCGATATGTGAGCATCTAGAGAAAAGAAAAGACTAAAACTCCAAAGGAATAAAAAGAAATGCATCGACCGAGAATCGAACTCGGGTCGAGTCGATATCCTGAAAAATGCCCCCTTACCGTAGAACAGAGAAGGGAACGAACTGGCAACGACTCAGTATACCACTAACCCACCGATGCAACTTCCTGTACAGTTCTGTGATGGATATGTATTTATTTGTCTCTGTTGGTTTTCTTTTTGCGAATATGAGGGTGTGGGCAGTGGGGAGTGGGATTGGGGAGTGGAAGTGGGGAGTAGGAGTAGGATTGGGGAGTGGGATTGGGAAGTGGGATTAGGGGAGTGGGGCTAGACCTTGCATTTTTTTTCGCGCATTTGATCTTTGAGGGTTTACTAGGGGGTCCTAATTATGGGGAGAGGGGGGTAGGTTCAGAGTGGATTTTTTTGGGGGGGCTTGGGCTTGGTGTGTGCTTTTGTGCGTTTTGTGCGTTTTGTGGGGGCAGGGGGGGTGTGGACCACCGTAGATGGTGGATGGTGGATCGTGGATCGTGGATAATTATGCACAGGGGGTTTGGAGACGGATTGGGAGGCCGGGGAATAGGGCAGGATGGGATAGGGCAGGATAGGATAGGGCAGGATAGGATAGGGCAGGATGGGATAGGATAGGGCAAGAGAAGAGGGTAAGAAGGTAAAGGTTTAAGCTGAGAGAGAGTCTGAGAGAGATTGCGATTACGACGACGTCTCCATATGGGCTCGCTACATCAACTGGCAATATATATAGCAAGCATCTTCAGAGACATGTTCAAGAAGCGAGGAAGTGTGAAGGTGAAGCTGATTTAGAATGTATTATTAAGTTGGACATTCATTGGAGTGTGCGACGATTCTTCTTTTCTGGACTTCGTCGTGTCGTGACATGTCTGGCATCATTTCTGTTCTATTCTGTTCTGTTCTGGGTATGATGCACGTGTATGTGTATTTATATGTGAGTATGTCTGACCAGCCAGGCATAATCCCTGAAACTCTACTCCCTCCCCCATAGCATGGGAAGGAATATCGTGCGTCTGCCCGCTATCTTATCGATTACACGTGGCTGTAAAACGTGAGATATGTACAGAGACAAGCAGAAGATGAGGCGAGAGTCAGAGAGAAAATGAATTTCGTAACAAAGTGTATTGATCAATATCGTGTCCTCTAGCACCCTATATGTATGTATCTAAGAGAATGTTTATCAACTTGCGCCCCCCAAAACCCTATATATCCAAACGAATGTATACGAAGAGAGTGTCAACGGTATCTTCTGACATCAAAAAGCAACAACAACATCGTTATCATCATCATGCGTATCCGCCCAGCACGCTGGTTGAGAGAATGTAATATAGTAGGACCAGCCAGCCAAGCCGGCGCTGAATGAATGTATGAATGAATGGGGAAAAGCGAGTGTGTAGAAGCCATGCTCGCAGCAGCAACAACAAAAAGTCCAGTAAATGAGTGTGGTATCAAGGTAAAAGTTTCGTGCATGAAGAACAATGAAAGAGATAGTTTGCGTGAACCGGTTGGAAGGGAACGCCCGCGAGATGGATGCAAGCAATGATTGGGTGTCGTTACAAATGCAGGGATATGCACCAAGCCTGGGAAATGCAGCATGAGGGTATGTATGCATGTATGTATGTGGCAAACGCGAACAAACGAGTAAAAGATATCATGGCCTTCGCGGTGGAACTCGGTTATTTTTGGCGACAAGAACAACAACTGAGGTGGAAAGGTCTCACGGTGCGTGAGCCGGTGCGTCAACTATCCAACATATTAGCCACCGCACGCCAATATTCAAAGCTTCAACATTTGCGCATTCTACTCACAATCCAGTGTGAACATCATCCGGTTATGGCCCTTGTCGGTCCAGTCCCACTTCCGCAACTTTGCCAGCTCGTCGTCCAGATCGAACTGCCAGCTCTTGATCTCCGCGACCGTCCGGCCGCCGTGCCCATGTGAGAACCGCACACCTGGACCGTCGCCCTCGAGCTCTGGTGTGCCAGTTCCAAGGGAGGTCGGAGAGAGCTCCCACCAGTCGAGAGAGTGGTAGTTTGGTGTTTCGATACCAGGAGCGATGTGGGAGTAGCTTTTGACTGAGACTGCGTCGTCGTCACAACTGTTTTCGTCGTCTTCCATGGAGACTTCGAGCTGGGGAAGGACGGGGGATTCGGGTCCCCAGGGCGCGTCGTCGGTTGTGGATGCATGCTCGAGGACGACAGCGGCAGTTGGAGATACTAATGTAATTCGTAAGCATCGTTCCAGTGTCACAGCAGAGAGCCGACTGTCTTACCGAGATCAGCTATAGAAGGTTCAAAGGCGCTTGGTTGCATGACTGGTGTGTTCTTAGCGAGCAATGGGGAGTGTTGTTGTATTATAAACCCAGGGCTGACAGGGGAAAAGGTCGTGACTGCGGTAGTGGTGGTGGCTGGAGGAACGTCTATGACTACTTTGCGTCAGCATGTGTTTTACCAACGTAGTAGGCCATATTGACTTACTAGTCTTTTTTGTTGGTGGTACATATACAGTTGGTGCTAGAGTTGGTAGTACAGGTTGATGACTGACCATTGGAGCTGCTGTCGCGGTGCAGCTTGCAGGTGGAGGCGCCGAAAGTACTTGATTTGATAGACTGCCCGAGCGAATCGATGTAGCAGCATTAGACTGACCTGCCTCCCCCGGCCCGATGATATTGTTGGACGATGCTGGTCCAGTTTGTGTCGGTAGAGAGGCAGCCTGATAAATGCTATGTTAGTACCGTCTGCCTCGATCCCGTCGCAGAGAGACGAGCTGGTAGTATCTCACCTTCTTAATGGTGGTCGCCTTGTTGACTGGAAATATACTATACACCGCACCCTTCCCATGCTTGGTGACCGGTGTGCGTGGAGATCGCATACCATTCCTGTTGAACTTGGTTAGCGACTGGCTTACAACTGAATACAGAAGAAGAGTTGACTGACTTGCTGACGCCCCGGGAACGGCCCCTGTTGCCTTGTCTTGAGCCGCGTCGAGAGGGTTTTCGATTTACCGTGTGCTGCTACACGCCAAGATTGTTAACGGTGTCCTCCAAGACCCCTTGATCTCAACTTACAGACGGGGGAAGTCGCGTATCCAGTCGTAGTGAAATATTCTGCCTTGACGCAGTAGCTGCTAATCTCGATATTGGTGCAGATATGCCCGTATGTGGTGCGGGTTGGAGAGCCGGCGCAAATGGCATCTGACTCGGCATTGGGTGCTCGGAAGTCTTGACATCAGAAGCTTTTGTGGACTCTTCAGTCTCATACTGTTGTCTCGAGTACCACGTCTCAAGCGGTGCAGCCCCTTCAATCGTCGTTTTGCGTTCATGCCGGGTATCGTCAATGAGTTGCTGAAGCTTGACTTGGTGCTCATCTGGATTCTGGATGAACTTATCGAAAAGAGAATTTGCCGCAGCTATTCTCGACTTGTAGTAGCTGCTATCTCGGTTTTGCTCCTCTTTCTGAACCGTAAGCAAGGACTGGTCTCCCGAAGAAGTTTGTGACTGGTTGACTGGCTCTGACACTCCAGCCTCGTACAGCTCATTCGAGTCCACTTCTACCGCCACGTGTGATTGGGACTCTTCAATTTTAATTGATGGCGATCTAGCTCCTGACGACGTAGGGACGATGATCTGCGTATTACTTTTAGCTCCGCTGTTGGAAGTGTCGCTCGGCATCTCACGCTTTCCCATTTGGGTCTCACTACTGCAAACATGCGAAGTGGGCGCAAGTGGTCGCGATGCCAATGCTGCATTGAAGGCGGTAATGTCAAGTTTGGGAATCTTGTCCCTCGACCCAAGTTTCTCGTGGCGCAGACGCTCTCGCATTTCTGCTTGCTGGGCGGCTGGGACTGCGTTTGGACCACGCATTGGGATGATTTCGTCTACAGATATCTTTTCCTTGCCCAACGATTTGACCGTTGTATAAGCTCTGGCCCAGCTGACTGAGGTACGGGGACGCTCAAATTGGCGCGCCTGGGGTTCGTCTTGGATAGACGTACCCTGCCTCGTCAACGTTAGCCGCTTCATGACCTTTGAAGCTATTTTCATCTCGGATCGGGATCCTGAGCGACTTGATCCTTCTAGAAGCGACTGTGTCGATGGGCTACTCGCTCTCGGAACAGCTGTGGCGTCATTCTTTATCGCCTCTATTTGCATCGACGGGCCTGCTACCTGGGTATCGACGGCCTGTGGTGCTGTTGTTGCCCATTCCGGCACAGCCTCTAGGGGCAGTGGTTCGAACAATGGAGGTAATTTTTCCGTGTGATGTAAGTCGGCAAGAGATCTACTTCGCCGACGGATGTTGAGAGACTGCGGCATCAGTCCTTCAGTCTCGAGTGAGGATGATACACTATCTGATCTTGTTACAGTAAGCGGACGGGCGGCCCAGAAAGCTTGACTTTCGACAATCTCGCTGTCTAGATCAGGTGCAGATGAGTCAAGACCTGCAGAGTATACTGAGGACGGACTGCTGGGAATTCGGGATAGTGAAGATTTCTGGCGGTGGAGAACATGTGATGCTGACGACATTTTTCGTTGGGAGGGCCTCTTGGAGGAGACAGAAGCCATACTGCCCGAACTGTCCGATCGTGTTCGCGACGATTGAGTGCTTGATGACTCCCAGTCGCGTCGATGCCCTCTGACACATTGGACGTCTTCTCTCTTGTCTTCGGCTTTCGAGTTAAAAACGGGCTCAAGATTTTTGGCAGCTGCATAATATTGCTCTTTGTAAAGAGAATCTGGACTCTCCCAGCTGGAAGTATGGTAGAATCGGTTTGTTGACTCTGTTCGGCGGTGACTATGTACCTGAACAGGATCCTCGCCTGTTAAGCCCAGGAGTTGATTCGCCTTTTGGACTCTGGGCCCCTGCGCGACCTGTGAGATATGTGTAGTAAGTAGCGTGCTCGTTCCCAGGATTTTTGATGCTTTCTCGAGAGATGGTCCGCGGTAGTTAGCTGTCGGCGGAACGGGAGATGCTCTGGGCTGTTTATAGGGGTTGATGGTCGGGTACATTCTCCTGTCTGTTGGTGGTGGAGGTGGTAATGGCTTGTCCTTGTTTGGAGGGTTTGGGGTAGTGGACCTAAACTGTGGACTTGGTGCAGAGATGGAGTATGTTGACATTGGCGGAGCAGAACGTGAAGCGGGCCGTGAGGTTGGATTTGTGACCGGCAACGCGCCACTCTTCTTGTATTCGTTCAGAGACATCGCAATTTCGTGCCTTGATAGTGTTCTATAATGAAACCTAGGGACCGAAAAGAGATACAGCGGCAGTAGCGCTGTTATGCGCTATGTAGCAGTTGCTGGGGAAGAATATGGGAATATCCGCGCCGGCGCGAGGAACAACGATAATGGGCTTCGATAAGTATCTTTCGACCTGTCGACAGTCAATAGACTGGCAGAGTCGCAAATTGCTCTCGTGATAGCAGGGTAGACGATCCAAGTACGTCGATCAGTGACAGGCGGGACTGGAGGAACTAGTCACCATTAACCCTGGCGAGCAGCAATGAATCTCGAACTAGACCCAGAAAATTGAGAGAGGGGGGAGAGACAGACAGCAAGACAATGAATGGATAATATAATAAAGTGATAGGAGATGTATGCAAGTTCCCATGGATTGTCTAGGTTTCCAGAGGTGACGGTCTAGACAAAAAACCACTGTGGAACAGTATGGGACAGGGCCAGGCTGGTTAAAGCACGTGGACATGACATGCATTGGCAGGGGGGTACGACAACATGGTCCATTGAATGGGCAAAAGAGAGAATAAGGTTAGAAGATAGATGGTAGGAAATACGGCCGTCGTAGCAAGGATAGTCTGTCCGAAACAGCACGCAAGACAGTCACGTCGATCATGGAGATGATCCGCGACAACGTCCGAGACGTTAGTTTTATGAAAAGCCGACGGCTTTCTCGGGCACCAAGTCATGAAGATGATTCATAGCGAGTATGAAAGTGTCATTGCAATGGCTTCGCTATAGAACCTGAATGGTTCCGCACAATTGGTGTAGCAAGAGATTCGTGGTATAATCTTGGTAAGAGTGTCAAGAGAATGTTCCAAACCAGATTCGTGCGATAGACAGCTGCAGATTGTGCCGGGGTTCCTTGATAGGATTAGCACAGTCAGAGAATAGCCATATCGTACTCCTCAGGTGAGTAGCTGGCTGTAGCATGTCACAGTATGTAATTGACGTCCACGTACTGGCTCAGATACTATGAGTGACACTAGGTATTCGTCGGCGAACAAATTATCCATGTATAGTTCAGTTTGAGCAGATATAAATCTAAAAAAAGTAATGAGACAAATTGTCCTACTTGCGATGCAATTGACAAAGGCGCAATGAAGCAGAGAGGTCAGGGCACACTGGCAGCAGAGACAGATCGAGGGGCCGAGGGTTACAGGGCCATGAAGCAAGACGACCGGGGTATGGGTATCGTACAGTCTATCGATTGATCTAGGTGATGATGTACGTGGAGCAGGATAGTGAGTCGGTGAAGTGTAGAGGTTGAAGTTGAGGACGATGGTGAGAGATGGACTGATGCTTGATGCTGGGGAGAAAGGCGGACAAAGCTCAAGCGGAATGACCGCTCTGGGCAGTAGTGCGGCCAAGCTAGTCCTAGTCAGGCTAGATGACACGAGCCACAGACCATCCCCACAAACGTCTCCGCACGTTGTCGGCCGACACTACTTTGTACAACTCGAGTGTTATTCTTGACGTGCGTGTGCTATAAATATCTCATTTCTTGCATACTTATGCAAAGAATTGTCGTATCTGATAGTGATAGTGACAGTGACAGTAGTAGTACTCGTGACAGCGATAGTGGTAGTCCTGTCGCTGCGCAGGACTCGTTGTGACTTCCTCCCTATAGTCATGCAATTATCATTTCACGTCAAGTACACGTCAAGTACACAATTGCAGTCAACACGCATGTCACTAATGCATGCTGTGCCTTATCTCAACAGATTCACGCCGGTACTTGCCATCACCAGCGCCGCAACAGACATTCATCGTCAGCAGTGAGCGCAGGAGACTACTACATACCACAGTAGTAGAGTGACAAGACCACACCCTGGCTTTGGTCGAAGCTCAAGACGATACTCTCATCCTTGCTAGTGTTGCAGCTCACGGGTCTGCCACATTCCCACCCGTATGTCACTCAACCTTACCCCATCACCGATGTTTCACGCTGACATCGAAAGAATGTCCATACTTTCCAGCCACTCAGCGGCGCCGTATGTCATTCCTTGCGTCCAATCATGGCACCTGGCTAGACAGCATGGTCGACGCATCTCACAAGTATAGTGTAATAGTTCTCTTATTCAATTGTGCTTCCATTTTTATTTCTATCTAGTCCCTACCTTGTCACAAGTCGTGTGCTAAGTCGTCACTTCATCCACATCAATAGTCTGGGGTATTCGGGCCCCGAGGTAAGCTCTCAGATGTTCACGGCTGTCCTGAACTTCTCGCCGGCATACACTGCGTTACTGCCGAGTTCCTCTTCAATACGAAGGATCTGGTTCAGCTTCGCAAGACGCTCAGATCGAGCAGGGGCACCAGTTTTCTGCGATACATTAGCCATGGGATCTTCTGTTTTGCTGGCTCAACATACAATTTGACCAGACCGAAGACCGACGACGATGTCGGCAATGGTAACGTCCTCAGTCTCGCCAGATCGGTGAGAGACCATCACGCCCCAGCCTGCAGCATACGAGTCCTTTGCCGCCTGGATAGCCTCGGTAATCGTCCCGATCTGGTTGACCTTGAGCAGGAGAGCGTTGCAAGCTTTGTCATCAATGGCCTGCTTGATGCGAATAGGATTGGTAACAGTCAAGTCATCACTATGGGCGTCTGTCAGTAAATACAAAAGGTAGCTAGAGTGGACACCTTACCCAACAATCTGGAAGTCAGACGTCTTGAAGAAGTAGCTCCAAGCTTCCCAGTCATCCTCGCCGAAGGGGTCCTCGATGCTCACGATGGGATACTTGCTTGCAAGCGACTTGTACATGTCCGCGAGCTGCTCATACGTGATCCACTTGGATTGATCGCTGTCAGGGTTCTTGAAGTCCAGATCGTACTTCTTGGCGTCGGCTTTGTAGAACTCGCTGGAAGCAACGTCCATGGCAATGTTCATCCTACCCTTGTATCCAGCAGCTTCAATGGCCTCAGATATGAGGTCAAGGGCTTCCTCCGCGGTCTGGATGTCGGGGGCAACACCACCCTCGTCACCGACATTGCCAGCGGACTGGCCGTACTTCTGCTTGGCAAGAGACTTGAGCTTTTGGTAAACCTCGGCGCCCCATCGCATAGCTTCGGTGAAGGTAGGCGCAGCACTAGGGGATCAATCAGCATTGTCACATGTCACGCAGACATGGCACTTCTTACGAGGGCACAATCATAAATTCTTGGAAAGCCAGTCGCCCACCAGCGTGAGAGCCACCATTGAGAACGTTCATGAAAGGTACAGGGAGCACGTATGGCTTAGTAGTACCAGACAGATCTGAGATGTGTGCGTAGAGTGGGACGCCCTATATGATAGTGTTAGCCAGTCAGCTTCTAGTCGAGCTCAGCGCATATACTTACCTTCTCGGCAGCAGCAGCCTTCGCAATGGCCATCGATACGCCCAGAATAGCATTCGCACCCAGCTTTGTCTTGTTGGTCGTCCCATCAAGCTTGTTCAGGAAACCATCGACTTTGGTCTGGTCCTTGACATCAATCCCCTCCTTGATGAGTGCTGGCGCAATGATGCTGTTCACATTGTCGACGGCTTTGGTGACACCTGGAAACGTAATTGTCAGAATCCACAGCGTGAAACCTTGCAGGACTCATGCCTTTGCCCGCCCATTTCGACTTGTCTCCATCGCGGAGTTCGCATGCTTCGTGCTGGCCTGGATATCACTTGTCAGTCTCCCAACCAAGACCTCGGGATGAACTCTATTTCTGATCTTACCAGTGGAGGCTCCAGAAGGAACGATCGCGCGGTGTAGACCGGTCTCGGTGACAATGTCAACCTCAACGGTGGGGTTACCACGGGAGTCGTAGACGGAGCGCGCGTGGATCTTTGTGATGGCCATTTTGATGTTCTGATAGCAGTCGTGAATGTTTTAGGGAGGGTGAGAGAAAAGTGTCTCACAAAGTTCTATATCTATACAAAGGAGGCATGATGTCAGCATATTCCCAACGGCCTAGTGCCTTGGAAACAAAACAAGCAAAAAAGCATTGAATGGCTGGGCAGGAAAATGCCGCAGATACACTGTCTTGGTATGGGACAACAAAGGACGAGGGTGAGTCAAATTCACTGATTGAGACTCACCAATTACCCAATGGTTGAGGAGTGATGGGACTGTGGAAGATGTTAAAAGAGAAAAGGACTCCGTGCTGGCGAGACAACTATGTATTCTCACTAAAATGGTGGGGTCAAGCTGGAGGGGCAACATCCAGAATTGGTGCCTCAGGCTTGAGCTGCGCAGGTCCGCCAAGTCAGGCAGCAAGGACTGCAAAAGAGCCTGACTAAGCACTGCCAAATACCTTTAGTACTCCTCCCATCCAATTTAGATCGCCGTGGTCTAGGTGGCCCAAGCTTGACTTCACCTCCGAACGCATGCAGAAGCTCCGTCTACATATCAACACAACTACAGTACCCTACAGAGTCCTTCAGAATCCTTTTTTAGCCATCTACGCATCTCCAAGTCCTTACCGCAAACGCCATAGCACACCTTCCACACACCCCCGCCCAAGCGGAACACACCAGCGAAGGGCAAATTCGATCACCTTCGGCCATCACCTCACGAACTCACTCTTCGCACATCACCTAGATCGCGGCACAGTATGAGTGGTGCTATTGACCCTGAGCGTGAGCATGCGTTGGAAGAATACAAGAAGAAGCTCCTTGAGTCAAGGGAATGGGAGGCTAAGCTAAAAGCCCTGAGGTTAGAGATAAAAGGGCTGGTACGAGACTTTGATGTGTCGGAAGACAATATCAAAGCTCTGCAGAGTGTCGGTCAGATTATAGGAGAGGTTCTAAAGCAGCTTGATGAGGAACGGTGTACGTGACACCTATCCGTCTCATGTCGATGACGAGCTGACGCGCATCATAGTCATCGTGAAAGCATCTTCGGGGCCTCGATACGTGGTGGGATGCCGATCGAAAGTTGACAAAGCAAAACTCAAGCAGGGTACACGTGTCGCCCTGGACATGACCACTCTGACCATAATGCGAATGCTGCCACGAGAAGTCGATCCGTTGGTGTATAACATGTCGTTGGAGGACCCAGGGCAAGTGAACTTTGGAGGCATCGGTGGTCTTAATGAGCAAATTCGTGAGCTTAGAGAGGTCATAGAGCTGCCGCTGAAGAATCCAGAGCTCTTCTTGCGAGTAGGTATCAAGCCTCCTAAGGGCGTGCTCCTTTACGGACCACCAGGTACTGGGAAGACTCTTCTGGCTAGAGCTGTTGCCAGCAGTCTGGAAACCAACTTCTTGAAAGGTCAGTCTGAAGCATCTCTATGCTATCAGCACGCTAACACGCAGTAGTTGTGTCATCCGCAATCGTTGACAAATACATTGGAGAGTCAGCACGTCTCATTCGCGAGATGTTTGGGTACGCAAAGGAACACGAACCCTGCATTATATTCATGGATGAGATTGATGCTATTGGTGGTCGTCGTTTTTCCGAAGGCACCTCCGCCGACCGCGAGATTCAGCGAACGCTAATGGAGCTGCTAAATCAGTTGGATGGTTTTGATTATCTGGGAAAGACAAAAATCATCATGGCCACAAATAGACCAGATACTCTAGATCCTGCGCTCCTCCGAGCCGGTCGTTTAGATCGAAAGATAGAGATCCCGCTACCCAACGAGGTTGGTCGACTGGAGATCATGAAGATTCACGCAGCTGGCGTGCAGACCGAGGGCGAGATTGACTTTGAAAGTATTGTCAAGATGAGCGACCAGTTCAATGGCGCAGATTTGAGGAACATTGTCACAGAAGCGTAAGTCTCAAATTGAAAGATGCGTCAATCTCTTACTAATCACCTCCAGTGGTTTGTTCGCTATCAAGGACTACCGCGACGCCATAAATCAAGATGACTTCAATAAGGCTGTGCGGAAGATGGCAGAATCGAAGAAGTTGGAGGGTAAGCTAGAATATCAGAAGTTGTGAGCGGGTACTACAGCATATCTCGAGTGCATATCCTAGCCAGAGCGAGGCTGCGACAGCATAGAGGCGGACTCCGATGTATTATACGCATGATCATAGAGAAAAGCAGACTAGCACTGCACCTATCTATAGGCTTTTATGCGCGGCTCCTGCCATCCTGAAGAAGAGTCTCGAAGCCTTTTCTGCAACTGCTGTATCGATTGATTGCCCACATCCCACGTTAATTCCAGCTCCCCGAAATAATTCGGTGTTTCGTTCATCATCATGAAGCCCACGCTTTGGAAAAGTCGTATACTTCGTACATTACCCTTACCAACCTTGACCCGGAGAAGACGTAGGCGGGCACGCCACTGCTCTCCTTGCTTAACACTTAGGTGAATAAGTATATACCAAAGAAAAGTGAGTAGGACCGCTCGACCATAGCCCTTGCCTTGGATATCTTTTCTAGCAATCATGATCTCAATCTCCCCAACCAGCCCAGCATCTGGGCTGCTTTGATCTCCTTCGTCGTCGCCTAGATCAGCTTCCGCAACAAAGAGATTTACGTCGCCGATCATCTGGTCCGGTCCATCGAACACTGTCGGTCTAATAGCGTCGCCCTGAATGACGTCTTCTGCGGGGGCCGTACATGCAATAAAGGTCAACTTATCCCCATCCACCCGCCAGCTCTGCTGCATATCAAATTCCTGCTCCAGGGTCAGGGGCTCGGACGCTGTTGCTTCTTGAAGTTCTGCGTCTTGCATCCATGTGTGATAGGTTGGCACATGACTTCGCGAATAGGGGACGAGGAGCACTTTAGGGGTGACAATGGCTGGGGTATAATCAGTACTGGCTTTGAGTATCTTCATGCCGGCCACTTGCCAGTATGCTCGTTGACCTTCATGATGGGTAGATATTGTTGAAATATAGTGTTTGTGGTCGAGAGACCTTCGCTTGCCTAGTTGGTCGGCTCGAAGACGATCCGGTAACGAGTGCGTTGTACCGATGACGGACATGCGACGTTATGCTGGGAAAGTCAATAGTTGTAAACTTTGTGGCATCAAAAACACACTTGCACCCTTGAGGTAAAAGACCAAATACCGAGACTTAGCAAAATCTATACGAATGGTCGGCGCTAAGCGAGTTCTGGTCACTGGCGGAAGCGGATTCATAGGCAGTGCCATCATCAAGGCATTCCAGGATCAACGACCAGCATACGACCTCGTTGTCCTCGACGTACAGCCTCTCAAGGCCAAAATACTTCAAAAGTCCACAGTTCGTTATTTTCACGCAGACATCACAAACGAACATGAGGTCTCCAAGGCGATCGGCGCTGCAAGACCAGATGTTATAGTCCATGTCGCCGGATATGTCCCCAGCGGCAACAGCAGATATAACCAAGCCGAGCGAGACTACACTTTCAAAGTCAACGTCCACGGTACCGAGAATGTTCTCGCGGCAGCGCGACAATTCGGCGTGCAATCCCTCGTGTATACCAGCAGCTGCACCGCCATCACCGACCACTCCGCGCACGACTACCCAAACATGACCGAAGCCCTCCCAGTAGGCTCGGCCACACTGATCTACGGCGAGTCCAAGGTCTGCAGAGAACCCACAATCTTCGATCTTGACACTAGCCCTGCTGACCCCCATCCAGGGCATATCCGAGCGCCTCGTCCTCGCAGCAAACAGCACGCACCTCAAGACATGCGCCCTACGACCCTCGACCGTGTTCGGCGCCGGCGATACCCAGCTCATCCCAACCATCCACCAGTGTATCGCCAAGGGCGAAACCCCTTTCATCGTAGGCACCGGGTTGAACCTCTACGACTTCAGCTTCGTGTCCAACATCGCAGACGCCCACGTCCTGGCTGTCGGAAACCTGCTCGACGGGCCCGGCACCGCCGCCGGCGAGGCCTTCTTCGTCTCAAACGGCCAGCCGGTCCCGTTCCGCGCGTTCTGTCTCGCTGTGTGGGCGCAGTTTGGGCACTATCCCCCCTTTGAGGTCAGGTTGCCTTGGGGACTGGCGTATTTTGCGGGTTTTGTGGCGGAGATTGGGACGTTTGTGACGGGGAGACCGGCGACGTTGAGTCGTGGTAGTGTGAAGGATGCGTGTCAGACGGCATATGCGAGTATCGAGAAGGCTAGGACGGTTCTTGGGTATGAGCCCAGGGTGTCGATTGTTCATGGGTTAAGGGAGGCTTGCATGGTAAGGTTCGAGGGTACTGTTGAATTCGTTCGGCTACTGATTCTATTACTTCAGGACTACAAGCAGCGGCTCGAAATCTGCAACAAGAAGGCTTGTTTGCGAACAGTGCATCAATGAAAGTATACGTCCTACCACGTCGATACCCAGCTAGACCATGTACTTCAGTTCAATTCCAGTCCTATTATGCATCAGTATATTGTACCTGATGAATTAAGGGAGAGACGGTGCACTGCAGCCAGGAGTGCAACCATATGCTAGCCTAGAGGACTTTAGCCTATTTATACAGGACCGAATTGGATATGCTTTATGTACAAATATGGTTGTGCGCCATTATGCCAAACACCCGATTATGCTATTGTTGACAACCGTCAAAAGCTCCACATTGGTACTGTGTGGGTGGAGTTGATGCCTTGCTATAGGTACTTGTTTTCTGCCAACCACGTTTTGACATCTTTGCCATCGCGTTCGACCCATTGTGCTTTAGCCTTCACGGCATCAAGACTTTGGGCAAGCGACTGGTCGAAGCCCTTGGTGCTCTTCTTAGCGAAGAAGCCCTCGATGTCTTGCATTTGTTCCTTGCTTGTGAAGCTGGAGGTACATATCGAGACAACGGATCCTAGCATTGTCAGGCCTGGTGGCAGTTTCTTCTCAAGCTCGTCCCAATTCTCCTTTACCCAAGACCACAGCGCAACGATACCTTCCTTGTGAGTGCGTAAGCCCCCCAATGGTAGGTATATATCTTGCGACTTGACCTCATCGCTGAGTGGAAAGGTAAGAGTTCGCTTGATCAGTTCGGGAGATTTTGCGCGGCCCAGGACACGCATCGCAGTGTTACGCTCATCAGATGTTCCTGCTGTGCGGTACTCGTTCAAAATGAGATCATACTGCCATGGAAGTTAGCCAAGCGTGTAATCAAGGATCAGGCATGTAGGAAACTCACATATTTTTGATCCGCGAAGCTCAGGCCGATGGCATAGACACTGCTTCGAATGTTTGGATGGATAGCTGTCCGATCGCCGGCCTTGAATTTTTCGAGCATATCAAATGCTGCAGCTTTGATCTTCTCGTCTCCAGCCAAGCCCGCACTTCCAAATAACATCGATTTGAACTGTTGTTCAAGGTGGCCATCTGTATCTTTAAAGGACCATCCAAGTTCATGAGCCTTGTCTTTGATTAGATCAAGTTGAAAGGACTTTAGTGCGTCTTTAGTAGTTTCGTCTTCGAACACCCAAGCGCCTCTAACTGAGCCAATACGACTGATAATTTCGTCCCATACCACGAATTCAGGCTCAGACTTGAAACCCTGTAGGAGTGAGAGAATTCCGGAGGTCTTCTGATAGCCTGAAGCGGCCAATGCTCCGGCGTCTGCAATCATGCCTGCCCTATCTTCAACAGATAAAAGCCCGTTCTTGGCGGCCTGCCCAAGTTTTTGTAGACGCTCAGGTGTGTACGAAGTCCGGTACACACCTGAGTGGTCCGCATTGAGCTTGAAGAAGTCAAGATCTTTGACCTTGAAATTAGCCTCCCTCTCAGTTAGTGTCAAGTCTTCGTTAATCCCATCTTTGGTCCGAAGAGCTAGTAGGACCGGGTACAAGGTCTTGTCTTCTTCTGGCTTCACGTCAGACGTTCTCAAAAAGCGATTTTGCTTCACGTGGATAGAGTCCTTGTTCTCGGTGACCGTAACAACGGGGAACCCGACGTTCTTTGTCCATATGTCCATGACTTTCTCAACATCTTTTCCACTGGCATCGCTCAGGGCCGCCCAGAGATCTTCAGTCTGGGTATTGCCATATGCATGTTTCTTGAGGTAACGTCGAACTCCCTCCATGAAAGTCTCTTCTCCGATGTACTTCGAGATCATGCGAAGTACGCATGATCCTTTAGAATATGATATAGCGTCGAAAATCTGGTTGATCTCATCTGCACGTTTGACAGGAACCTCTATGGGATGGCTGCTTCGTAGCGAATCCAATGACAGAGCGCTTTGCAGGTTGTCGGTTACATACCCTTGCCATACCTTCCATTCCGGATAGAAGGCGTTGCATGAGTACCAAGACATCCAGGTTGCGAAACCTTCATTCAGCCAAAGACCATCCCAAAAGTCCATTGTTACTAGATTACCAAACCATTGGTGGGCAAGTTCGTGTTGGACCACCTCTGCCACTCGTTGCTTGGTTGATGCACCACTGACTTTCTCATCTAGGAGCAAGTCGACTACACGGTACGTTATCAGTCCCCAGTTCTCCATGGCGCCGGCACTGAAATCAGGGATAGCCACCATATCCATTTTTGGCAATGGAAATTCACTGTTGAACTTTTTCTCGTAAAATTCCAAAGTCTTCGCAGCAAGCTCCAGGGAGAAACGACCGTGCTCAATGTCTCGGTCAGGTGTCGCGAAGACTCGAACAGGTACGCGAAAAGCATTCGTCTCGATGACCTTCAGCTCTCCAACAATGAAGGCCAGGAGATAAGTAGACATCAAAGGTGTCTTATTGAATGTCACTGCCTTCTTCCCACCAGATACCTCTTTCTCGGATGCAACATCCATGTTGCTCAGGCAGGTTAACGCTTTGTCCGCAACTAGAGTTATGGTGAATTCTGACTTGAGAGCAGGTTCGTCAAAGCAGGGAAATGCCCGCCGGGCATCTGTAGGCTCCATTTGTGTGGTGGCAAGGTATTTGGTCGACCCATCTGAGCCTTTGTACGAGGACCGGTAGAAACCCGCCATGTTGTCGTTCAGTGTTCCTGTGAACGTCTGCTCAAGCCTTGCCTCGCTCCCCGCTGGAAGTACCTCGTTGAAGGACACTTTGGTAGTTTGTGTATCTTCATTATAGTGTATCTCTGGGGAGGAAGTGATCTCGGTAGAGCCAGAGAAGACTTTGGTGGAATGGATATCAAGCTCCAGGGTATTGAGAGAGATAGAGGTAGTATCGTCTATAACATCGAGACTATCATGGGGTTCAGCATTCTGTCAACGATATATGCATCTCGAGATGCTGTTGGCGGACGATACATACTCGATGATAACCTTGCCTCCATATTTGAAAGTTTCGAAGTTGGGCTCAAGAGTCAGGTCGTAGTGTACAGCTTTCACATTCTTCGGCAGAACCTCACGGCCTTTGGTGAAGTCTACGGACGAGCCTGGAGCTTCGGCAAAGTGTTTACACATACTGCGCTGGTACGAACAATGTCTGATGGATGGTGATGTTATGATAGTTTTCGCTAGACGAGACGAGCGTGGAGTGGGAGGAGTACGGGTTGTGCGAGAGAGTTGGTGGGAAATGCACCTAGAGCTGGCCGAAGGTAGAGCGGTGAACTGAGCCCGGGGAGAGCGTCTGATGGCGGTGCGAAGAAGCATCCTCTTGTACGAAGCTCTCTTGAGAGCTCGCCCTTGCCCCTCAAGTACGCAGGAGTGTTGAAAACACGTGCTTGTTGGCTTGGTCCGAGCGCGCCGCGCGCATTAAAATTCGGATCACAAGCGGCACTCTTCTTCTTACCCATAATCATCGCAAATGGGATTGAATAGCTACACGTCTTCCGCTTTGCTCCTCGAAGACATTGTCACTCTATCTTTTGCCAGAGCAAATACCGTTCGTTTGAGGCGCCCTTCCTTCCTTTCCGTGGTGGGCACGCCATAGTTTATGGTTACAATTTTCACTCTTCCTATACGCATGCTCAACCATGAGAGACGAGCGTTGGAACTATGCATGAAGCACACTGGAACGAGTGATCTTAGTTGGCGGCTGTTACACCAATAAAATTGATGGACAGTCGATCAACGATCCTCCTGTGAATTCTCCTTATCACTTATCGCCATCCTGGCAGGGTTTATACCTGTGTGGAGATGTGGGGATCACCTTTGGCCGACGCGCGGCTGTATCATATATCAGTATATTTTCGCTCAGTCAGAATGCTCTACTCTCAAGTCTCATCGATCCAAGCATTGACATATATGATGTACCTCCTACTCCTTTTGCCAGCTCTGTTGATTGGCGCGCTTTCAGCAGAAGATGTAAAACCGCAGCAGAATGCGAACCATATCTTTAATGCAATCCATTCCTCCATGAGACAGTTTGGTTCTTCCTTGAATCACAATGGGATGTCTTTCTTTTTGGCGACCGTTCCTCGCGAGACCCGGTTGTATCATGGTACCAACACAGCTTCTCCTGTCCAGGGCATGGAATGGCTCGCTTTTGAAGCCGAACATGCGCTCATGTTTGCCCGTCCTCGATTTGGTCGACCTCCATCAAGGGGCGGCCACGGAGATCCACATCGAGGGCCTCCTACTTTGTCACCACAAGTTGTGCAGTCGGGGAGCAAGCAGCATGTCCTAGACGAAGAGTCTTCACACGATCGATCCGACAAGCCTATAAAGCACAATAATCATGGCCATCTACATACCTATCGAACGAAGAGGGACTTACATCTGCTATATATAGATGGCATGTCGGCCGCTAAGACTAGCAATGGTACACTGGACTCAACTGACCACGTTCTGTTGGATTCCTCATTGGTTTGTTCTGGTATATGCGAACATGAGCGAGCTACTATGCTTTGCAAGTTGGCAGAAACGGAATGGGGTAATCGTGTGGACGGGATCCTTCGCATGGAAGCTGGGTTCGAGATAATTATGTGTTCTTTCGAGAAGAACCTCGATATTGTTGCGGTGGCCCGTATTGATAGCCCAAAGCCAAGAAGCGGTGATCACAGGGGGTTTGGGACCTTTCAGCTGTACAAAGCTATCAGCGATCGCTTCCACGGTATCGGCGGCACACGTGTGAAGCTTGACTACGAGAACTTTGTGACGGCTTACGACTACCCCATAGACTTGTTCCGGAACCAAGACAGTAACATTACGATGCCTCGTTTAAGAAACGTATCCCAACCAATTGTAGATCGAATGAGAAAGGACATCAGGGATATGATCATGATGTCTGATCTGGACAGCTCGATGGTGTCGCATAATTGGCAGGCTACTACCGATATGATCGTTCAGAGATATTCATCTCCTTTGCGATACTTAATTTCGGACAAAGTCGCAGCATCGAACGAGCTTTTACGGCATACATTAACTCAGTACTTACGATCTTTCATTGACGATGCCAACAGGGACAGGAAAGGAGAGGTCACGCGATGTGCAGCACATATGTTCCCAACAGAAACGTTGCGGGACAAGCGTCTAGCCTCTCGCTCTGTGTACGACGTGAGCAAGACCATCTGCAGTACTCTATTTGAAGCCAGTGCACTCGCTGCGTCTAGATCAGACGCCGGACAAAGCAAGGCTGTTGACATAATTCGCACGCTTGTTGAATATCTACAATGGACGAGCTGGAAAGAATGCACGACATGTGATGATGAGCACCTGTGCTTCATACCCATCTGGCCAATGGGCAGTATACAAGATCACCGGAATCCTAGTTGTCTCAATGAGACTATGCTTGCAACACGACACGGATACTGGGGTAGATGGCAAGGTTAAGGTGTGTGGCCGATCATTGAGTTTTGCTCTCATAGAATATGGAGAGAAAACTCACCCATAATCGATCACTGAATTTCAGTCTTCGCTCGAATGACGATTCTTGTTATCATGGCGCCTCGCTATGAAGCGGGACTCCTTCAGAAAGCTTTTCTCGGCGGTATATTTTGCGTTTGTTTGTGAAGAAGAGAACGGTGCCGTGGCCGACGCGCGAAAATATTTGTACTGGAAAGATCTTAGTGGATTACATAATCACTTTCGTACTCATTGGTGCCTTGTTCATGCCTTGATGCTCAAGACCCCACTGTTAGCGTTGAGCCCCTCCGCGCAATAATAGTCCTGGTCAGAATTTAAAAAAATGATAACAGCTCACAATCATTGATATTGATGTGCATGATTACAACTCATTGACCAGCATCATGGCTTCAAGAAGCGCGGATAAGATTGGTAAGCCCGTGTAGTCTATTGCTATAGTATAAATAAACTTACGAAGTGCCCTACGCAGCAATCATCTCGGTCTATGACAAGACTGGTCTTCTGGGTCAGTCAGCGAAGCATTCGGGCCCTACCGATCCAGAAGGTTGACCATTTCCTCACTAGATCTCGCAAAGGGCCTTCAAAAGAATGGAGTGCGTATGCTAGCTTCAGGTGGCACTGCGCGCATGATACGAGAGGCGAACTTTCCTGTAGAAGATGTCTCTGCCATCACGAAAGCGCCCGAGATGTTGGCCGGGCGAGTCAAAACTCTACATCCAGCGGTACATCTACTCCAGAGTACTGGACTCAACAACTAGTACACTGCTTACAATGACAGGTTCATGGTGGTATTCTCGCCACAGATTCGGAGAAAGACAAGGAGGACCTCGCACAACAGAACATCCAGAAGGTCGACTACGTTATCTGCAATCTATACCCATTCAAAGATACGGTTGCAAAGATCGGTGTCACAGTGAAAGAGGCTGTTGAAGAGATTGATATTGGGGGTGTCACTCTTCTTCGTGCCGCTGCAAAGAACCATGCGAGAGTCACCATCCTGACAGATCCCAACGTGAGTTATGTGCTAATAATAAACCACGTTACATACTAATCTAGGACTAGGACTACCATGGTTTCCTGCAAGAGCTAGAGAAGGGAGATATCACCGAGCACAATCGACAACTCTACGCATTAAAGGCTTTCGAACACACGGCTGACTACGACAGTGCCATAGCAGGCTTCTTCCGCAAACAGTACGCATCCAACGGTATACAGCAGCTTCCTCTCAGGTATGGCACAAACCCGCATCAGAAGCCTGCATCAGCCTACACAAGCCTTCATGATCTTCCATTCAAAGTATTGAATGGTTCTCCCGGGTACGTCAATTTGCTTGACGCCCTTAACGCCTGGCCTCTGGTTAAGGAGCTCGATACTGCCCTGTCGCGTGCTGCTGCTGCTTCATTCAAGCACGTGAGCCCCGCCGGCGCCGCTATTGGGGTGCCGTTGAGCGACGTTGAGCGTAAGGTGTACATGGTCGATGATATCGACGGGATCGACACGTCCGTCCTGGCACAAGCGTACGCCCGTGCACGAGGAGCAGATCGCATGTCTTCCTTTGGAGATATGATCGCACTGTCCCGCGAGGTGGATGTTCCAACTGCCAAAATTATATCGAGAGAGGTATCGGACGGTGTCGTTGCTCCTGCTTTCAATGCTGAAGCCCTCGAGATCCTAAAGAAGAAGAAGGGCGGCAAGTATTTGGTGCTCCAAATGGATCCTGACTACGACCCCCCGACCCAAGAAACCAGATCCGTTTATGGAATTCAGCTTTCACAGCACCGTAACGATGCGCTAATCAAGCCTTCGGCATCGTTCGGTAGTATTATCACACCAAAAGATGGTTCACTCTCTGAATCGGCCCTTCGAGACCTTACAGTAGCAACCATTGCACTCAAGTACACCCAGTCCAACTCAGTATCCTATGCGCTCAATGGCCAGCTGATCGGTCTTGGTGCGGGTCAGCAGTCCCGAATTCATTGCACGCGATTAGCTGGTGATAAAGCCGACAACTGGTGGATGCGATTTCACGAGAGAACACTTGGGTTGAAGTGGAAAAAGGGAACGAAAAGAGCAGACAAGAGCAATGCCATTGATCTTTTGACTAGCGGGCTAGTGCCGGAGTCGGGCATCGAGAGGGAGGACTTCGAGAAACATTTCGAGGAGTCTCCTACCCCTTTCACCGCAGCCGAGCGCAAAGAGTGGTTATCCAAATTGTCCGAAGTTGCATGCTCCAGCGATGCATTCGTAAGTTCTACCTTACCTTGGTACTGATTTGCCGCATCTCATTGACATATTAATAGTTCCCGTTCATTGACAACGTTTTCCGCGCTGCACGATCAGGCGTGAAATATGTTGCAGCACCCATGGGCTCACAGAATGATCACCCTGTCGTCGAGACTGCAGAGAAGCTTGGTATCACCTTCGTGGAGCAACATCTTCGACTGTTTCATCATTAGTCACACCCATTCTTCATATTTCGCCTCATAGATTGGCGGAAGAAGATGAACCTCCCAACGAGCTTGTAGATAAACTACCAGAATTTTGATACCATAGATGTGAATATTGAATGCTTTAGAAGACGTGTTAAATATCGACGTCGTTGCGTGAACCATCCGGATTCTTGTCACGCAGAGCGTGTAACGACCACTCCATGTGACGTTGCTCTAGGTATATATCAGAACGGCGTCTGGCGCCAAGATTTGACTCACACGGTCGACTTTCTCGTCAAATTACTAACCCCACAGCCATCACCCCCACCAGAACCTCACAACATTCGAAAGCCCATCGCCATAGCAGGAGACTTGGACTGATATAATATACTCAATCTACATCATGGATTCGGATTCAGACAACCAATACGATGACAGGGGCCCGGAGTCAGAGGTGGAAGAGGAGGCGCCAAAACCCAAATCCGCGTTAAAAAAGAGTGCGCCTGTCCCAGCCGCTGTACAAAGGCCCGAGTTGCCAGAACAGCCGAATCCAGATACAGTAGACTTCAGTACTCTATCGCCCTTGTCTCCCGAGATTATATCGCGACAGGCGACCATAAACATCGGTACCATAGGGCACGTCGCCCACGGGAAATCGACTGTGGTAAAGGCTATCTCCGGAGTGCAGACTGTCAGGTTTAAGAATGAGTTGGAGCGGAATATCACGATTAAGCTTGGATATGCAAATGCGAAAGTCTACAAGTGTAACAACTCAGAGTGCCCACGGCCTACATGCTTCAGAAGCTATAAGAGCGACAAGGAGGTCGATCCTCCTTGCGAGCGCGAAGGATGTTCAGGTAGATACGAGCTAATGCGCCATCTTTCGTAAGTCTTTCTCGGGAAATTCGTAGCAGCAACTAACTGAAATCATTAGTTTTGTCGATTGTCCCGGTCACGACATTCTCATGAGCACCATGTTATCAGGCGCCGCCGTTATGGACGCCGCTCTACTTCTCATTGCCGGAAACGAACCGTGTCCTCAGCCCCAGACTTCCGAACATTTGGCTGCTATCGAGATTATGAAGCTCAATAATATCGTCATATTACAGAACAAAGTTGACTTGATGAGGGAAGAGGGCGCCGATCAGCATTATCAGTCTATTCTCAAGTTTATTCGCGGCACTGTTGCGGACGGATCACCCATCATTCCAATATCTGCTCAGCTGAAGTTCAACATTGACGCGATCAACGAGCACCTCATCTCAAACATTCCGGTTCCAGTTCGTGATTTCACTGCTAAGCCTCACATGATTGTCATTCGATCTTTCGATGTCAACAAGCCTGGCGCAGAGATCGAGGAGCTGAAAGGTGGTGTTGCTGGTGGCAGTATTCTGACTGGTGTGCTCAAGGTCAATGACGAGATCGAAATCAGACCGGGCATTGTCACGAAGGATGAATCCGGCAAAGTGGTTTGCAAACCGATCTTTAGCAGGGTGGTTTCGCTCTTTGCAGAGCACAATGACTTGAAGTTTGCCGTTCCGGGTGGACTGATTGGTGTGGGAACACGCGTCGACCCTACGTTGTGCCGTGCAGATCGTTTAGTAGGGTTCGTCCTTGGTCTCAAAGGCCATCTACCTTCCATTTACATTGAGCTGGAAGTCAACTACTTCCTTCTTCGACGTCTTCTTGGAGTGAAAACAGCCGATGGGAAGCAGGCTAAGGTCGCAAAACTGACCAAGAACGAAGTTCTTATGGTCAATATCGGCAGCACATCAGCAGGCGCTAAAGTCATGGCAATCAAAGCTGATGTTGCTCGTCTGAGCTTAACGAGTCCAGCATGTACTGAGATTGGGGAGAAGATTGCGCTTAGTCGAAGAATTGAGAAGCACTGGAGACTTATAGGATGGGCCAACATTGTCGCGTACGTATCATTTGAATCACCTTTGCTACTGAACTCAACTAACCTAGACGGCAGTGGCTCCACACTTGAGCCGACCGTTGATTGAAGACGATGAAGTGGGAATAGCGGTGACAAACGTTTGTGGCAGTGGCAGCTTCATAACGTGACGAAAGCACATGATGTCACGCTAAGCTTTTCAGATGTCTGGGGTATTTCGAGATCTTAGCGGCATCGTAGAGGAAGCTGAGTGCTTCGATAGAGACTCATAAAAGCGAGGGGCTGCCGGCATGGAGAGTAAGCGCAGCAGGCGTAGGTGGGATTTGCCGAGAAGTCCATTGTATGTATTTATACAAGATCATACTTCACCGTTTGCGCCCTTGACACTTGGCGTACCGTTGTACAGTCCTTGCAAGTAGCAATCGACAGACTTTCAGCGAAAGGAGACGAAATTGTTGGTGGTTCTGGCTCCTACAGCATACCTAATACCCAATGCGAGTGTGATCCGGGACCCGGCCCCTTGGCTCCGCAAGTCGGTCTCGGGGAATATCAACAAACTCCGAATGTCTCCTGGCGGCCCGAAGGCGTAGTAGGCGGCGCACGTATGAATTAAACATACGTAGTTTGTAGGTAGTTAACCGGTGTTAGAGCGCGTGCGTGTACCTAAGCAGACCGCCTGACCCTTGGATTATCACATGCCTTCCGCCTCCCGCCTTCTCACAGCATCTGCAACTAGAGAACGTGCCACCATAGAGAGCCAGACAACTATAGGAAAAAGTGGGTTTGTTGGGATTGCCTCTACCCTCAAATAGATACAGTTCAAGCACAAGGCCTGTGAACCGCATCCATAACCCTGGAGAGACCTTTAAGCGGGCGGGGTAGTCGATGCTTTATTGGAGTACATAACACAGCTTGAGCTTCTCGGGACACGCGCTTCCACGAAACGAGTAACATCCCGGCGCTTGCTCTTGAGAACTTCAACCATAAACCCGGGCTTCTGCTTGCTAAACCAGAGCAACCGGTCTGCCCGCGGAAGCATTCATTACCTATACCTACTACGACCTCCCTTTACTCTCGCTCGTCTCCAAATTCCCCTCCTGTTCAACAGACAGCTCATTGTCGTGCCTGACGACGACCTACTACGCTTCCTTCTTCTCCGAACAAACCGTCCGTCGCCGCACGATGGATGAGCCCCAACTCTTCCGACCGCAGCCACGCCGGCCATTCAAGACCTCCATAGATACTCTCGGCAACCCGAGCTCGTCATCTCAGCAGGACAGCTTCGCAGCACAATTGGACGAAAGACTCCGGCGCAGCCGTGGCTCTAGCATAAACGATAGCGACAGCCGTGCGCCGTCCCGGAACAGGAGTTTTCTAAACCTCACAGGCTCGACGCTATTCGGCATATACTCTGGAAATGGTGGGGACGGAGAACAATCTGAGTCTGCAACGCCCTGGGGGACAGGCGCAGAGACTCCTGCGACTCCAGTCAAATGGGAGGGCTTTCGCATTCCAACTCCGAGCCTTCCTAGCTTTCCTTCAAGAGGAATAAGCCTGGATGGGACAAGAAGAGGTAACTATACCAGACCAAAGAGCTTCCCGGTGATGGTCGCAGAGATTCTCTCTAGAACAGCCGCGCTATTCGTGATCGGCCTGGCCTATGGGATCATTGTTGCACATGTGCACGAACACGGACAGCTACAGATTGCGCCTGTCCGTGTAGAGGAGTTGGACCACGGCAGTCTGAAAAACCTTTTGGCTTGGGGATTTGCAAGTGTTATTGTCGGGATGCTTTTCCCCTTGGTCGATACCATGTGGAACACAAGCCAAGGGTCGAATTTAACAGCCTCAGATAAACTAAAGCTCCTTAGACGTGAAGAGGAAGATCGGCTACGGAATGGAGGGATGTTCGCTCAAGTTGTACGAGCTGTCGGTATATTCGTCGGCTTAGCGTTTGCTATAGTAAGTTGCCTGAAATGTACATCTTTACACGACTGCTAATATGCTCCCAGCGCAAACTTCCCTGGCGGTCCACGTTGCAGGTATCAGTGACACTCTCTATGGTTAACCCCGTCCTGTGGTACATCATCGATCGGACATCACCGGGCTTCGTCATCTCCACCATACTCGCCCTCTCGGGTACCTGCACCTTGCTATTAACAAATCCGGGCGTCGTCCCAGCTTCGTCTTCCGCTCAAGACCACGTCACGTTTGCCAACGGTACGTCTCAAGCCTTGGGTCAGAGCGATTTGATAGCGGGCGCCCTGAGCTATGAATTTGTTGGTGTTGCAACATGGGTCAGCAGTGTCATATTCTGCAGCTGCATCGGGTTTGGAAATATTGGCAGAGCTTTGGCAGGCAAGCGTTGAAGCATTTTACAAAACTGGCTGCCGATGTGGTATCAACTTCACACACGCATAAGTCGATACGATGGGAGCGTGCGGTCTGTAACAATATCACAGGCGAAAGTTGGGCGTTCTCGGCTGCATAGGGGCGGCGTTTTAGGCCCGGATGAATGCAGCACTCAACGTGCGAGATATGCTCATTTTTTGGGAGGAACCATTCTGTCCACAAATCAAATGTACATTATTCTTAATTCTCCGCATTCATGGAATGAGGAAAACGGAAAAGCCCTTCTCTAGAATGCTGAAATGCGGGAATGTGACAATGCCAAGAGTTGTACAATCCTGGAGGCTACCTTAGCCTTGTCTCAGTCATCTCTTATCCCTGTTCGCAGTCGTGGTCATGGATGGCTGTAGCTTCCCTTGACTTTGTTTCAGGAGCTCCCAAGAATTCACATTCAACCCACGATCAGGCCAATTATCGCGTACTGTTCTTTCGTTCTTCCTCCGCGCCTCGACCTCTCATTCCTTGCGCCCTTCACCGACACGTCCACCCTATACAGCCGCCAATACACCTTGTAGATCGTTTCCCGACGGTTTCTCGCTATACGAATAGGTATTGCGTGCTTGGACGCGATTCTCACCTTCAGATTACCTACGAGATATATTCATACATGACGCGCTGGACAATCGCAACAACTACAGTCCGTACACGAACATCGAGGGCGGGGACGGAAGAGTAAGCCTCGCGCGTTGATCCATGCAGTCAGCTGCGAGAAATCAGACGGAGATACAGTCCCAGAGGACAAAGGTGGGCGCAAGTCGGACTTGAGCGTCGAAGAAGAAGGCTGACCTGATGCGCAGCTTACGAACTCGTATAAAGAGCTGCTGGAGTAAGATTATCCCCATCTGAACCTGGTCTTTGCCGAGACATGATGAATTTAGGATGCGCTCCGATGATTGTTTGGTCTGATACTAAGCTTCGTTTTGCAGTGAATTTTCTTCAAGCGACCTTCGCCATGTAGGAAACTATAGCTTGGGGCGACTCATAGGGAAGGGCTCGTTTGGCAAGGTGTACCTGGCACACCATAAGTTGACCAATGGCTCGAAGGTGCGAGATCATAAAGAGGCAAAAATGCTCTATACTAAGATTACGTTTTCAGGTCGTGCTCAAGTCCGCAAAGAAAGATGATACCAACCTTGCTCGGGAAATACACCATCATCGCCAATTCCTACATCCACACATTGCGCGATTGTACGAGGTTATAGTCACTGAGAATCTGGTGTGGCTAGTGCTGGAATACTGTCCAGGTAGGAGATTCTCCCCCAAATACACACACGATGTGATTTGAACTGGCCCTGACAAGATTGGTTTTCTTCAGGCGATGAACTGTATAATTACCTCCTCAAGTCTGGGGCCATGGAACCGGTAAAGGTTCAGAAAATCTTCACACAGCTCGTAGGCGCAGTGTCGTATGTACACAACAAGTCCTGTGTACATCGAGACTTGAAACTGGAAAACATTCTACTGGACAAGCACGAAAATGTTAAGCTAGTCGACTTCGGGTTTACTCGCGAATATGAGGGCAAGGCGAGCTATCTTCAGACTTGGTGCGGTACGGTTTGTTATAGCGCCCCGGAGATGCTAAAAGGCGAGAAGTATGCGGGAGAGAAGGTGGATGTCTGGAGTTTGGGCATCATTCTGTACGCGTTGCTGGCCGGTGAACTACCATTCGATGAAGACGACGAGAGTGCCACCAAGGTGAAGATTCTCAAGGATGAGCCAAGCTATCCTGACACCTTCCCACCAGCAGCGAAGGATCTCATATCTCAGCTACTGTCCAAGAGACCTATCCTTCGACCCTCTCTAGCCGACATTCTCCAAAACCCTTGGCTGGCTGAGCATGCCCCTCAACAGCAGGCAATATTGAAGCTGCAACAACCGGCACCCTTTACCACAGACATTGAAAAGGAAACCTTGCAGCGCATGCGAAGTGCTGGTGTAGATATCGACACGGTCATCGAGAATGTGCTCGCGCAGCGCTGTGACCCTATGGCTGGCTGGTGGGCATTGCTGATAGAGAAGGAGGAAAGGAAAGCGAAGAGAAAAGAGAGAAAGCGTAGGGAACGAGAGGCGGAGGCGAAGAGCTTACGGCGCCTTAGTGCGGCCAGCAGTGCGCTTGATAGACTTGCGCCAACGATAAAAGAAGCAGATGAAGGCGAGCCTATGAGCCCGAGGGATGGTGCGCCCAGAAGTAGAGGCCGGAGTGCGAAGCGGAGAAGTGCCAATTGTATGTGTATATGTCTATGACTAGGTTATGTATTGCTAACGACTTCAGACGCATCTGCAACGGTGCCAGACTTACCCAAGCTGCCTGAAAAGAACACACTTACTCCTGAGACAGAGAGTGTTCCACCACCTCCCCCTCCTGTAGAAAAGGATGTAGTCCATTCCAGGGCATCGTCACGATCAAGACCGTTACCGCCACCAAAGGAGAACCGGAGGTCCCGTAGCTCAATGTTGAACGTGGTGCAGACAAATCCAGATCTTCTCTCCTCCAATGGTTACGTTCCGAAAAGGAGGCGGAAATATCAAGGGCCCTTCTTTGATCGATTCGCAGCTCTCCGAAATTGGTTTGACAAGGCCAAGAGTCGTTCTCCAGGGTCGAAGAACAAAACTTTGAATGCTTTGGCATCATCGGAGCAATCGAAGAACGGGTCTGACCTTGCGGCTCGCAGAAGGTCCGTGGCCCAATCGAGTACTCCTCGCGTTGCAAACATTCCCAACCGACCCGACCTGTATAAGCGAACATCCTACCCTTCACGGCCAAGAATCACTACAGCTACTTCTTCTACGTCGGTCCGTGCGCGACAGTCACTTTCCCCTTCTCCGATAACGCCCCGAGGCTCGTTTCGCCGTGCCTCTGGTCTACGAGGGCGTAAATCAACCTCCAGCTCCGTGTCGTCTATTCGGAGCCTCCACCACCATCAATATAGCCATTCAAAAGCTTCTTCAACGTCATCAGCATCCATAGCATCACCATCAGTTTCGGCCTCCGGCAAGCAATCTCGAGGATCCCCACATACATCTGTTAAAGTTCTTCCAGCTATCCCGACAGCATCGTCTACCTTCCCTTCCAACATCCGCCTGGTCCGTGGATCAAGTGAAGCACAGTCAGCTTTTGGTGGACTACCGCCTCCCTCTCCAGGTCTCATTTTCGCGAAACGGAAACGGAGCCCGTTCAAGGGGCCCATGCTGAGTGTCAACACACATAATAGTCCGAGCTCGCTGCCGCATCATCACCATCGATCACATCACACGCGGGATGGTAGCGGTAGCCAGAACAGCCGCAGTGGTAGCATACAGGGCCGACGGTCTGGCGAGGTCATTCTAGAAGAGGAGGATGAGGAAGAGCCGCTTGGGAGTATGCCTCCAGGCAGAGCCAGTCTGCAAAGCATGCGAGAGATGGCCGAGGAAGAAGAACTAGAAGAAGACGAGGAAGAAGAGATTGAAGAAGTCGAAGTTTTTAGTCCTGTGGAGGCTGGCAGTACGGTCGAGATGCTGGTCGAGGAAGAGGGCGGGGAAGGGGAAGAGGAAGCATTGTCAAATGACGGTCCCACCAAAAGCAAGGGGAAGGACACCGCGCTATGACTTGCGTGCTTTCATTTTTCTATTTATATTCTTACTCTAAATGATCTACAACACAGGACGACGCGGAACGATACCCCCTGGGAGAGAGAGTGTGTGTTGTTGTTAAATAGTTTTATTGATGTACCAGATTACCAAAATACCCCAAACCGCCTTCAGTCGACTCTCAGTCCACCACTCTCCTCAACTTCGTCCCCCAAGCCATCCTCTCGCCCGCATCCTGCTCACCCGACCCAGCGCCCCGAGATCGCCGCACGGCCTCCCCTCCTCTCTGCAACATCTCAACCTGGTAGGCATCCAAGTTGGCGAGCAGGTCTGCATCATCAGACTGGATAAGCACACGCGCAAGGTTCAGCGCATCTCGAATCGCCTGACAGCCGCCCTCGCCGCGAACTAATGGACATTGTCAGCATCAGCAATCCTCAAAACACAGGGGCACAAGAAGGAGGTAGTGGTAGTCCGGCAAACGTACAAGGCGTCATAGGATGCGCCGCATCCCCCATCAGCGTCACCCGCGTCCTCGGCATCCCCGGAATCACCGCATCGCGCAACACAAGCCGCGGCCGATGGATCCCCTCCTCGCCCGTAAGATGAATCAACCGCGTCAACTCCGGCTCAAACGCCGCCGCCATCTCCTTCGCAACACACAGCTGCTCCGCCGCCGACTGTTCTGCGTCAGGCGCGCTTTTCCCCGGCGCATCGATGATCATGTCCCAGTAATACGCGCCTTCCGCCCCGTCGTCGGAGATACGGTCGAGCCCGACGAACAGGTGTGTGTTGGACGGCCCAAATGCAACGTACGCGGAGCGCGCGAGGGAGAGTTGGTGCGCGAGCTCGGTGCCGCGGACGCGGAGTTCGCCTGTGATGAGCGTTACCGGGACGAGGGACGGGTGTGTGTCGGGCAGGATGTGGGCGCGGACTTTACTCCCGACGCCGTCTGCGCCGACAATAACACGGCCCGTGGCGTGTGTGCCGTCGGCGAAGTGTGCTGTTACGGATGCAGCACCGGGTGCTTCGGAGATGGAGACGAGGTGTTTTGCGTATTCGACGGGGATGTGAGTGCGGAGCAGCTGTGTGAGTTTAGCGCGGTTTGCGCGGATGATTTTGTGCGAGGGCGTGCTTTCGACAATGTGTTTTGTGCCGGATGGGCTGTAGAGGGCCATTTGGGCGGTGTGTTGGGGGAGGGGGAGGAGGTGGTTTGTGGTGTCGAGGGAGGGGACGTCTGGGGGCATTGCGGTGGTGAGTTCGTCGAGCATGCTGTGGAGGGCGATGGCCCAGCCTTGGGGCCGGGCGGTGGGGGAGGCGTCGCGCTCGAAGATGCGGAAGGGGATGTTTTGCTTGCGGAGGGCTTGGGCGAGGGTGAGGCCTGCTAGGCCGGCGCCGATGATGAGGATGGGGAGGGTGGTGGTGGTGGTGGTGGTGTTGGACATGGTTGGGGATGAGGATTGGGGCTTTTGGTGGTTTGCTTTGTTATTTGTGTGTCTGTGGGTGGGTCGGGATGTGTGTGTAGGATTATGAGGTTTCTCAGAAGTTTTTATAACTATATGTACGACTATCACGTCACTGGGTGGCATCTCTGTGTGTCGGTGTCGGTGTGCTTTGCGACGGAAAAAGATTGTTTGCCAAATGCCGAGAGCGAGATCATCACTTCGGCCTTGGGATGTTGTGCGAGGGAGCCTGGCTCTGCTTAGGCCATATCATATTGGTAGATAGCTCGCAACGCTCTTATGAGTCAGGTAATTACTACTCGTGTAGGCTGTGGCTTCGGTCATTGAAATGTCTTGCCAGAACGACCGAAAGGGGGTTGAAGTTGACGATAGAGAGCTGTGCCTTTATGTACGGCCTGAGACAGACGCGCTCAGTAGTTTTGAGACCGGAACCACAGCCTCACATTCTCCTCTGACTCTGACTCTGACTCTAACTCCTCCTTCAACTCAGCATCAGATGAAATGTAGTCAGACCTACTATTCCCGTAGTGGACTGCTCTCAAACTTCAACACACCGATGCAACCATGTTGCTCCAGCTTCCCAACGAGCTGCTGATCGCCATCACGGCAGAGGTCAGTCGAGTGATAGTCGCCATGCCTGGTATCAAGTATCAAGAGTTGACCGTCTCAGATCAAGGACTTTGTTGCCTTGCTAGCTCTCGCAGAAATTTCGCCTCGCACCTATGCTATCGCCATGCCGTTCTATGAACAGGAAATCAAGACCTTTCACCCCCAAGACCCGCTCCTCAAAGCGACGTACCGCGGCTGTACATTCGCAGTCGAAACGCTTTTGAAGCAGCGAAAGGACCCGGCAAGCAAATGGATGCGTGGCATCAGCAAGGTAACCTCTTGGCCTCCTACTATGCTCCGTCGATATTTCTGACACGCGCAGGGCTATCTCACCCACAACTTCGCGCTGCTGCATGCCGTCGAACATGGCCAAATGGACATTGCTAGGCTCCTACTTGAGCATGGCACGAACCCAGAGACTAGACGCGGCAGGCAGGGCACCGTTTTGCAGTTCGCAGCGTGTATTGGCAATCCAGCCATGGCGCAGCTGTTGCTCTCGCACGGAGCAGATCCGAACGCCACGGGCGGCGCGAATGGCTTCGCGTTACGCGCAGCAGCGCAAGCCGGTCATCTGGAGGTTATCAAGGTATTGCTTGACGGGGGCGCCAAAGTCAATATGCGACACAGACGCGACTCCGCAACAGCACTGCAGTCGGCAGTGCGGAACAGGCACAATGCAGTTGCAATGTACCTGCTGAGTCGTGGGGCCGATGACAACGAACATGACGATGACGATTCCTTTGCGGCCGGCAAGACATTCCGTGCAGCTCTCGACGTGCATCAGAGGCACGGCAACATGGAGATATTGACGGAGCTCGTGTCCAGGCTGGAAGTCGACTCCCTCGCCGCAGTCAACAGTCTAGCATCAGCCGCCAAATCCGGCGACGCAGCCATCGTCAACCTCCTCCTCCACCACGGCATCGACATCACCAAGACCGGCGTCCGCGCCCTCGGCATCGCCGCCCGAGCCGGCCACCTCCCGATCCTCAAAATCCTCATCGCCGCCGGCGCAAACATCAACGGCCAAAACCACACCAAAGGCACCGCCCTCCTCCGCGCATCCATCGCCGGCCACACCGCCTGCGTCAGCCACCTCCTCGCCCACGGCGCCCTCGTCAACATCACCACCCCATCCGGCGCCCGCCTCATCCACAACGGCTGGTCCTGGACCCCGCACTTCAGCACCGCCCTCCAGGCCGCCTGCTGGCACGACCACACCCCCATCGCACAACTCCTCCTCGACGCCGGCGCAGACCCAAACACCTCCTCCGCCGCCCGCTGGTTCGCCCCGCTCAACCTCGCCGCCTACCGCGGCAACATCGCCCTCGTCCGCCTGCTCCTCGACGCCGGCGCCGATGCTTCCGCGCGTGGACAAAAGTACGCCGACACCGCCCTCCAGGCCGCCACACAGCGTCGTCGTCACGATATCGTGCAGCTTCTCCTTGACCGCGGCGCCCGCATCGATGGCTCTGGCGCGCTGCAGAATGCGTGTGGGGCGCGGTATGCCGAGGTGGGCGATGTCGCGCTTGTGCGTTTGTTGCTGGCGCGTGGTGCGGATCCGAATGAGCGGGCGGATGCGTATGCTGTTACGGGGTATATTAGTGCGATGAATGGGCCGGGTGAGGTGTTTGTTAGTGCGCTTGAGGTTGCGAGGCGGCGGGATGGTGGTGGTGGTGAGGGCTTGGGCGGTGATGCGGGGGAGATTGTTGAGTTGTTGCTTCAGCATGGTGCGGTGGGGTGAGTGTGTGTGTGTGTGTTTGTGCTGTATACATGGGCACGTATTCGCTATCTTACTAGGTTGTTGTTCGTGGGGTTTGTTGTGTTGTATTATCACTATACCTCGAGCTCTGAGGCTCTGACGTTCTGTTCTATTTATAGCAGCAGCAGCAGCAGCACGCTTCCAACACCACACCAACATACCATCATTCAACCATCCATGCTCTCCTCTCTGAATAATAATAATAAGAATAATAATCACTTATCCATCCATCCATCCATCCACCCACTACACATAGAAAATGCACCTTCCCAATCCCAAACATAATCTCGATCTCAAATCTCAAATCTCAAACCTCAAACCTCAAACCCCAAACCCCCCCTGGACCCCTGACCCCTCAAAACCCCCAGATCCGGCCCCCTGCAACACACCACGCTTCATAACCTACACACACACACACACACACACACACACACACACACACACACACACACACACACACACACACACACACACACACACACACACACACACACACA